ACGTGAGCGGCGAGGCGGCCCTCGCGCCTTGCCTGTGTATGTCGCGGGGGGTCGTGCGACCGGGCCTGGCAGGCGGCGTGGGCCCTGCGCTTGCGCTTGCGCGTGTACTGCGCCTCTCGCCGGCGGTGCTGCAGCCGCCCAATGCGGCTGTATCGATGAACCGCGCGCCGAGTGCTGTGCACCGGTGTGAGCTCTTTGGACTGAACTTGTACGCGATGCGGCCGCAGGGGCATGGCGCGCGGGCGGTGGCGGCGGCGCCGCTGCTGGGCCCGCCGTGGCTGCCGTCTCCGCCTGCGCGCGAGACGCACGAGGCGCGGCATATGCGGCGGCATGCGGCGGCGGCGCGCGACGCTGTGCCTCTGGTGCCTGCGGCCGTGCTGATCAGCAAAAAGCGCGTGCACAAGCACGCCGTCGTGCGCAACCGGTGCCGCACGCGCCTCATGGCAGCGTTGCAGGCGGTCGCCCGCGAGGTGGCGTTTCCGGTGGTGCCAGGTACGTTGTCCTACTGACGGAAGGACATGCCTATGTGTTTTTTGGCACAGCGCATCTGTACCATGTGCCGATGGATGTGCTGCAGGCGCAGGTAGGGCGGGCGATGGCCGCCGTGGCGTCCAAGGCCAGTGCGCGGGAGCGCCGGCAGCGATAGACGGGCCTACGAGGGTATCACGTGGTGTTTTAGAGACGGACCGCGCAGCGTCGCGACGCGTTCCACTACGACCATGTCGCAGCCGGGCAGCGCTAGTGTGCCGGCGCCGCAGACCGAGGGTGCGCCGAAGGACGAGGCCGTGCTGCCGCAGCCTGCTGTGCAGGCACGGCCGACGCAGCGCATGCTGCACCCGTCGATCATCATTGCCATTTGGATTGCGTTCAGCAGCGGCGTCATTGTGTACAACAAGTACCTGCTCGTGAACCTCAAGTTCCCGTACCCTGTGTTCCTTACCACGTTCCACATGGCGTTTGCCGCGGTCGGAACGCGCGTGCTTGCGCGCTACACGACGCTGCTCAAGGGCCTGTCGAGTGTGGAGATGACGCTGGACCGCTGGTACCGCAACATCTTGCCGATCGGCGCGCTGTTCTCCGCGAGTCTGATCCTGAGCAACATGGCGTACCTATACCTCAGTGTGCCGTTCATCCAGATGCTCAAGGCGTTCACGCCGGTGGCTGTGCTCATGATCTCGTTCGCGTTTGGCCTGAAGCAGATGTCCACGACGCTCACGGGTATCGTGCTCATGATCTCGTTCGGTGTCGCTACGGCATCGTACGGCGAGCTCGAGTTCAACATGACGGGCTTTGTGTACCAGGTGCTCGCGATCGGCTTCGAGAGCACGCGCCTCGTCATGGTCCAGGTGCTCCTGCAGGGCCTCAAGATGGACCCGCTCGTCAGTCTGTACTACTTCTCGCCGGTATGCGCGGCATTCAACATGCTCATCCTGCCGTTCATGGAGGGCCTGGCGCCTTTCCGCGCGCTCGCGCAGCTCGGCCCGCTCGTGCTCCTGTCGAACGCCGGCGTCGCGTTTGGTCTCAATGTTGCCTCGGTGTTCCTCATTGGCGCCGCGTCCTCGCTCACGCTCACGCTCGCTGGCGTGCTCAAGGACATTTTGCTCATTCTCGGCTCCATGTGGATCCTCGGCAGCACCGTGACCGGCCTGCAGTTCTTCGGCTATGCCATCGCGCTCGGCGGCCTCGTGCTCTTCAAGACGCACAAGAGTTAATTGGGCTGTGCCACCGCCGCCCCACCTCCTCTCGCTCCCATAGAATCCAGGGCACAGTGCACTCGCCGCTTCTTTGGCGCGGGCCGCCCCGGCGGCGTCGCCGGCGCGTCCCACACGACCTGCGTCCACGGCACCGCGATGCGCCCGGCCGCAGGGTCGTGCGGCGATGCATCGACCACGATGCGGCGCTGCGCCTCGTCCACGTCCCACAGCTGCGTCGTCCATATCGCGCCGTGCGTCTTGAGGCGCACCGCCGAGGGACGCGGGAGCGCTAGCACCTGCTGCCGCAGCGCGTCGTCACGCGCCTCGGCAGCCTGCGCACGCCGCAGCGGGTTGTGGGCACGGCACAGCACCACGGCGCGCTCGTCGCTGCCCGCCGGCGAGTGCGTGCCCTCCAGCGCATCTGCCACGTCCGGCGCGCAGATATCCACGAACCACCCACTCGCCTCCTGCAGCGCACAGCTGACGTGCGCGGCGCGCGGGCACTTGCCCTTTGTGCACTGGACCTTCGCCCCATGCTTGGCGTGCGGCGGCGCACACACCTGGCACTTGAGCGTCCAGCGCGCGCGGTGTATGTGCTCGGCGCCTTGCACAGCCGCCGGCGGCCCGTGTGCGATCCACGTCTCGGGCAGGAAACACGCGCACAGCTGATGCGCGCGGTACGGCCGCCCGCTTGCCTCGCACGACGCCTTGGCAGCAGGGATGCGTGCCAGCGCGCCGATGGCCTCGGCAGGGATCGGCACCAGCGCGTCGTCCGTCTCGTTGGGGCAGAAGACACACACGGGTCGCGCTTGCGCCGGCGCCGGCGCTAGTGCCTCGCTCGCCTTCGGTGCCTCGGCTGCCGGGCCTCGCGGCCAAAACTGGTCCACGTCAAAGTGCACGCTCTCCTGGGCCAGGGGGCAGCGGCAGTAGTCGGCGACGCGCCCCAGCTCGATCCACGACGGGAGCGCAAAGTTGACGCTCTCCGCACAGTTGAAGCCAAGATTGAAGCCGGCGTGGTAGCCGTACGGGTACGTGATCACAAACTCGTGCGCGTGCTGCACGAGCTTGAGGGGGCGGATGCCCTGGCTCTTCAGGAACGACGGCGAGACGAGGAACGACTTGTGCCGCAGGAACTGCGGACACTTGCGCGCGTCGGCGGGGAATGCAGCGGCCATGATCGACTCGAAGCGCTGGCGGTCCGCCTGGCGGATCGCGTACCACTGCTTGGGCGCGCCAAAGTGGATGTAGTTGATCGAGTGCAAGTCCATATCCTCGACGTGCCAGGCAAACGAGGCCCGCCACATGCCAAAGTACAGGTAGGGCGTCGTGACGCCCGGCAGCGCGCAGCGCAGCGTGCGCGACAGAAGGCTGTCGAGCTCGCCGACGTTCCAGTGCTGCGTGCGTGCATCGAAGAGCGTGCCCTGCTGGTCTGCACCGTACATGGGCGGCTGTCCGAGGTTGAGCGTGCGCCAGTACTCGGTCTCAATCGCACGGCACGTCGGCTCGTCCCAGTCGGCCGCGCGGAGCGTGTGGCCGGCCTCGCGCTCGGCATCGGTGAGCGCCTCTCGGAGCCACTGGTGCTCGTAGTCAAACGCTCGCCACTCCTCGCTCGAGGTGCTCTTCGATGGGGTCGCACGCGCACGGTGCGCCGCGCCCAGACCCACGCCGCCGCTGCGCGTGAGCTTCCCGGCCGTAGCGAGGTTCGGCGCGGGCGACGCCTCGTACTGGCGGCTGTGCGCCACGGCCGCCTCGGCGGCCGCGGCGGCCGCGACCTGCCGCTGGATGCGCGACATGGGCGGCCCGCGCTGCGCCGGGCTCTGGCACAGGTCCGACCACTGCTTCGCGTCGAGGGGCTTGGCGCGCGTCACATTCGTCTGCGTCCACTTGCCGGGGCCTGCCGGGAGAAAGTGCTGCGTGATGGCATGCTTGATGCGCACATGGTCCAGGCTCGCGTGCGTCGGTGGCGCATCGTCCTGCGGGCAGAGACTCGGCAGGGCGGCGACCCACTCTGTAGGGGGAACGATCTTCACGATGCCGCTTTGCATGCCCCACGCATCGATCGCCTGGCAGAAGGCGTAAAAGTCGGCAAACTGCTCCATGGTCGGCTCAAAGACCGGCACGCCCTCCAGGCGCACCGGCCCCTCGCTCGCACCGTCGAGGCTCTCGGGCACGGGGAGCTGGGCGGTGCGGGGGTACAGGTACGACGGCCGCAGCCCACGCAGATGCGGCTGCTTCACATCGCCCCGGTCTTCCCAAGGCGGCCCGGGGCAGGCGACCATCACCAGCGAACGTCCCTGGCGCGGACGCGGCCCCCGCATCGCCTGCTTAGTCAGCCAAAAGGGCCACGCCCGGCCTGTCGACGTGCGTGTGCGGCGGCCATGTCGACCAAGGGCGCCGCGGCGTCCGGCAAGCCGCACGACTACAAGGCACACTTCACGCGGACACGGTCCAAGTATGAAAAGGTCATGGAGGTGCGTGTGCTCACTAACGGCAGCGCCAGCGCGAGCTGCAGAAACACGCGACGGACGCCATGAGCAAGCAGCAAAATCTACAGGACGAGGTCGAGTACGTGCGGCCGACTCACGCAGTTTCCTTCTTGACGCCATCCTCGATGTACAGACCAAGGCGGAGCGTGGCGAGCTGCTAGTGCTGCCGCCGAGTATCCGCGTAGAGTCCGCCGAGCCAACGCACGCCGGCCCGGGCAGCTCGCATGGAGCGCCCGTCCTGGCCAGTCCAGCCGAGTACTCGGACGACGACGCGACACCGGACGTCACCGTCGATATCGCCATCGAGGACGATGCAGGACCGGACGAGACGGGGATGCCGTCTTCCAGCTCGTCCGCGGCGAGTTTGCCCAAACGGCCGCGCATGTCGACGCCGCACGGCGACGAGCTGTTCGCTGCGGATCCAGCGTCCGATGCCCGGCCCGGCTCGCCGAAGCGGCCGCGCCTCACGTAGCCTGTCGCCGCAGACCGCGCCGCCTGTCGGCCTCCACACTTCCTCCATGCTGCCGACGCCGTGGCGTGGCTGGCTGCGCGCTGTCCCGCTTGTGCGGCATGCGTCCACGACGCCTTTTTACCGGCCACTGCCTGATCCAGGCGTGGGCTGGCGCGCTGATGAAGTTGATGAGGCGCGGCGCGCCGCGCGCGCGCGGCACATGCGGTTCAGCGAGGAGGACGCGGCGGAGCTTGCGCAGCTGCAGGCGTCGCTCACTGAGCTGCGCCACGCGCAGTCGGCGCGCGATGCCGAGCAGAAGCGCATGGCCGAGCTGATCCCACGCCTCGCAAAGAGCGGCGCCGCGCCCGCTGACCTCGAGACACATCGCCACCGTGCGCGGGAGCTGCGCGCCGAGCTCCGTGCGCTCGACAAGCGCGTGGCCGACGCACAGGCGCGCTCGCTGGCGGTCCGCAGCGCGTGGCCAAACCGCATGCATGCGGATGTGCCGCACGGCCCGGAGTCCGTGTCGCGCGTCGTGACGATCCGCGACGCTCGCGCCGAGGGATTCCGAGCGCCGCTGCCTACCATCGATCTTCCGTGCACGGTCGCCGAGCTCGCTGCGAACGAGGCTATGCAAGCGGCCCTGCCCTCAGACGCTCAGCGTGACCACATTGCGCGCGCCCAGGCACTTTCGCACGGCACGATCGATATGATCTCGGGCATCACCACGACCGGCCCATCGTGGCCCTACATGCTTGGCACCATGGCCCTGCTGGAGCATGCGCTTACGCAGTACGCGCTGCATGTGGCCGTGCGCCACCACTTTACGCCGGTGTGCGTGCCGGATGTGGTCAAGACCGATGTCGCTGAGCGCTGCGGGTTCCGGCCGCGCGACGAGGCGGCGGCGCAGACCTACTTTGTCGACACGCAGCGCGATGCAGATGCACCAGCGCTCTGCCTGGCCGGCACGGCTGAGATCCCACTCGCCGCGCTTGTCGCGAAGAACACGTACCGCGTCGGCGACGGCACACCGAATGCGGGCGGCGACGTGACGCGGCATGCGCTACCCGTCAAGCTCGTGGCCCTCGGCCACGCGTTCCGTGCGGAGGCAGGGGCGCGCGGTGCCGACACGCGGGGTCTGTACCGGATCCACCAGTTTACCAAGGCCGAGCTGTTTGCGGTGACGACCGCCGATGCGAGCGATGCGATGCTCGAGTCGCTGCGGCGCGTGCAGGAGGAGATTGTCGCTGGCCTCGGACTCCTGTACCGCGTCCTGGACATGTCGTCCGAGGAGCTCGGCGCGAGCGCGTACCGCAAGTACGACATTGAGGCGTGGATGCCGGGCCGGGGCGCATGGGGCGAGATCTGCTCCGCGTCCAACTGCACCGACTACCAGGCGCGGCGCCTCGCGATCAAGTACAAGGACGGCAGGCAGAGCCACTATGCCCACACGCTCAATGCGACGGCCGCGGCCATCCCGCGGCTCATTGTCGCGCTGCTCGAGACGTACAGTGGGAACAAGCTCGTGCTCCCTGCCTCGTTGCGTCCATTTTGGCTGGGCGGCGCGGCCGACCCGCATGTGCAGTGGGCCGAGCTGGCCCCCCCCTCGCTGCCGCACGCCGCGCCGGCGCCGACGCCGGCCGGCGCCGCTACCTCGCCTGCGCCGCGCGACGGTGCTCGCTCCGATGCGCCGCCGCCTCGCTCCGCACTGGCTCGCGCACAGGCCAGGCTGCGTGCGCTCGCAAAGCGCACGGGCGCTGATCCTGCGCCGCTCCTCGTCTCGTTCCTTCTGCTGCATGAGCTCACGGCGATCGTGCCGCTGGTGCTTCTGGCCGTGCTCCTGGCTGTCTTTGGCGCGGGCGATGCGCTGCTACGTGCGCTCCATGAGGCCATCGCACGCATGTGGCCGGCCGAGAGCAGCCTCCTCTCCGACTGGGTCTCGCGGGGCCGGCGCATGGCCACGCGCATGTGTGCGCGCTGCGATGCGCTGCTGCCTCGCGAGTCCGGTGCGCCGGGCGCCGCGGTGTGGCTCACGAGCCTCACGGCCGCGTACGTGGCTGTCAAGCTTTTGTGGCCGGTCCGCATTGCCGCATCCCTCGCGCTCGCCCCCGCGACGGCGCGCCTGCTCCAGCCGCTGTGGCGCCGCCTGCCGGGCCTGCGCCGCCGTTCCGTCACGCCGTAGTCGTTGGCCTCCACATTGGACGTCCATGTTCGTTGCGATCGTAGGGCTCGCGTGTGCCGGCAAGTCGGCCGTGGCCGAGTACCTCGAGTCGCGGCATGGCTTTCAGCGCGTGGGCCTGGGTGACTCGGGTGCGGGCCGGTCTTTTGCTACGCCTGACGAGATGCTGCACTTCGTGACGTGCCACTGGCGCTCCAACTTTGTGACCCTCGATATCGACACGAATGTGCTCGTGGACGTGTTTGAGAAGCGCCCCTTTTTCCTGCTGCTTGGCGTCGAAGCGCCGCTCATGCAGAGGTGGCGGCGCGCACAGGCACGTGCGCTCGCGGGCGAGCAGGTGCCATTATCGCTCGAGGCCTTTGTCGCGCTGGACGATGCTGTGCTGTACGGCTGTGCACCGAGCGAGGAGGGCGATACGTCCGCGGACCTCTCGAGCCTGTCGCTCATGGATCCGTCCGGCGCGGCCGTCTCGGCGTCGCTGCCGGATGCGCCCAGCTCGCTCGCCTCGCTCCTGCAGCGGTGCCAGGTGCGCATTGCGAATACGTTCAGCCATATGACCGAGCTGCACGCGCATCTCGACTCGCTTGCGCTGCCGTCGACGCACCGCATCCGGCCGTCCTGGGACACGTACTTTGTGCGGCTCTGCACGCTCGCGGCGATGCGCTCAAACTGCATGAAGCGCCGCGTGGGCGCTGTGATTGTCCGGGATCACCGCGTGCTATCCACCGGCTACAATGGGACGCCCCGCGGTCTCACCAACTGCAGCGAGGGCGGCTGCACGCGCTGCAATGGGAGCGCGCCGTGCGGGAGCAGCCTAGACGAGTGCCTGTGCCTGCACGCCGAGGAAAATGCGCTCCTCGAGCTCGGGCGCGACCGTGGCGGCGCGCAGGGCACGGTCCTGTACTGCAATACGTACGTATGCGCCACTCACCCCAGCTGCCCCTGCCTCCGGTGCGCGGTCAAAATTGTGCAGACGGGTGTGAAAGAGGTCGTGTACCAGCTTGAGTACAGCATGGACGATCGCAGTGCGCAGATCTTTGCCGACGCGGGCGTCGCGTTCCGTCGGTATGTGCCGCCGTTCTAGATCAGTGGCACAGGGCCGCATGCGCATTGGTGCCGCGCTCCTGCGCATAGTACGCGCCGGCCATGGCGCCGAGCACGATCGCGCCCAGGAGCCACGCATTGTAGGTCATCATGACTAGCATGAGAAAGCACGAGAGAGCCACCTGCGCGCCGTACATGCCGCTCCGCACAAGGCGCAGGCGCGCGGGCGTCTGCAGCGCACGCGGGAGACGGGAAAGGAGCGCGGGCCGCTTGGGGCTGTCGCCCTCCAGGACGTCGCTGCTGGCGAGCGGCATGACGCGCCGCGGCGTCGTCCTGGAGGGCGGACTATCGTCGCGCCGCGGCCGCTGGCCATGCACCCCCTGCGTGTGTGCGATCGCCACCTCCAAGTGCTGTAGGTACAGCTTCAGGACTTCGTAGCCCATCGCGAGGGCAAACACGACAGCTAGCGACACCACAAACTGCTTCTCGGTCTTGACATGCCACGACCGATGCACAATGCACATCCCGCTCGTGTCTGTGTTCCAGATCATCGACATGGTGCACTCTGCGCCCATGCCACCATGTTCCATGTGGTCGTGATGCCCGCCCGCGGGCGCGGGCGTGTCATGACACGGCATGGCACCGTGCCCGTTCGACGCCATCGTGGGCCAACACCACGTGCCGCCACCGCCGGGGCCCCAATATGCCACCGCCTCGGGCCGCGTACCGGCGGCACTTCTTTCCACGGCTGGGCGCCGGCGAGCCAGTGCCGCCTTTCCTTGTGGGCCCCGCCGGTGCACCGCCGACAGCGCTTGACGAGGCGCTGTACGAGCTCCTTTTTCGTGCGTGCCGGCAGTGTATCCTGCCATGGTACGCGCCCATCTCGCAGGACCGCGAGGCGCTCCATGCGCTCGTCCACATGGCACGGCTGCTCGCCCATCAGGTGCAGGCACGCACCGGTGCACTCCCGCTCGCGCTCGTGCCGGCCCATGAGCGCGACGCATGCCTCGCTCGCCGCGCGCGCGTCGCACGCACCCTGTGCGAGCGCGTTCCACTGATCCTTGTGCAGCACATGCGGCACTTCCATGTGGCCAGTGATACGCGCTTGGGCGCCGCTCACGCGTACGCGTTGCTGGGCGCCCACCCCGGCGTCGTCGACGGACGCATCAGCGATGCATACTGGCGTGCCTCCCTCGCGCCATGCCTCGCATCGCTTCGTGCGACAGCGCACGCGGCCGACCCGGCGGCCTTCTCCGAGCTCGATGAGCTGCTGCTGCGCGATCTTCTGGTGTATGCCCTTCGCACGAATCTCACGGCGTTCTCGCCCGCGGCGCTGTGCATGATAGCACACCGCGCCTTGGATCGTGCGCGCGCACACCCGATGGGGCCCTTCGCGCAGCTGGCATGGGTCGTCCGCCAGCTCGCGTCTATGCTGTGCGCTGCAGGCAGACAGACACGCCGATTCGCGCAGCAGCGCGACGCGGGCGCGGTCATCCTTGCTGACGATGCGCCGCCCATGACACGGCTCGCGGTCCTCGCTCTCGCGGAGGCACTCCAACTGTCGGCGCGCCCGGTCGGTGCATGGATCCTCGCTGTGCTGCTCACACTCGCGCGCTGCTTCGCGCCTATCCTCGATCCGTACGTGTGGCGTACTGACGCAGTGCCATGATGCGTTTCGCTATGGCGAACCTGTACTCGGAGCATTGGGCGCCCATGGCCGCCCAGGCACTTGCGCCTGCTTCGCCGCCCACGCCGGTGCCCGACGTGCGCAAGCCCAGCGCGGATCCGGAGCATGCGTTCTTCCGCCTGTGTATTCGGTGCTGGCTCTATACCCCTTGTATGTGATGCAGGCTCACATCAGCCTGGCTGCGCTTCCTCTATGGTGGCACGTATGATGCACAGATGAATACGATCCAGCACGCTCTCGCGCCCTTTTTTGCGCCGGCGGCGCACGAGCCACTGCTTCACTGTGCCTTGCTGCTGTACGAAAGTGCTTGGCTCTGCCTGCAGCCTTAGTCATCTCCCATACCCCAGGTCATGGTGTCGTTCGATCCCAGGGAGCACCCCCATCGGCGGTGGAATCCGCTGCAGCGCTCGTACGTGATATGCTCGCCGCACCGTACGCAGCGGCCGTGGCAGGGTGCGCAAGAGTCGGTGGGTCAGCCGGCCCTCCCGGCGTACGATCCCCGCTGCTACCTGTGCCCGGGCAACACGCGAGCGACGGGGGCCCAGAACGATGCGTACACGTCTACATACGTGTTCGAAAACGACTATGCGGCGCTAAAGGTACAGGAGGTCGAGCCGCCAGCGCGCGCCTCTGGCATCGAGGCGGCCCTCTTCGATATGCAGCCTGTGCGCGGCGCCTGCTACGTGCTGTGTTTTCATCCGCACCACAACCTCACGCTCGCGCACCTTACGACGCCGCCGTATTCGGCTGATGCACATATTGTGCCGATTGTCAAGGCATGGCAGTCCCTGTACCGCTCGATCGCGCGTGACCATACCTATGTCAAATACATACAGTTCTTTGAGAACAAGGGCAGTGCCATGGGGTGCAGCAATCCGCATCCTCATGGTCAAATATGGGCACTGGACTGCGTCCCTGGTGAGCCACTCCGCGAGAACGAAAGTATGAAGGCGTTTGCTTTGGATCCCCAGCATGCGCATGCGCAGGGCCCTCGCGATCCGCATGGTCGGCCATGCCTGCTGCTCGAGTACGTGCACCTTGAGTTGCACAAGGAGAAACGGCCCCGCATCGTGACGCTGAACAACCACTTTGTTGCGCTGGTACCATTTTGGGCCGTCTGGCCTTTTGAGATAATGGTCCTGCCGTACCAGCGATTCATTGCCTCGCTCGACGATCTCGACGACGAGGAGGTGAGCGCGCTCGCAGCCATTCTTGGCGAGGTCGCTTGCCGATTTGACAACCTGTTCCAGACATCGTTTCCGTATTCGATGGGGCTGCACCAGCGCCCAACACCTACACTAAGCGACGCCGAAGACCCCGGCATGTTTGCTCTACTGCATATCCACTTTTACCCGCCGCTCCTACGCAGTGCGACGGTGCGCAAGTTCCTGGTCGGGTACGTTGTATGCGCTGACGCAGCTTTGAAATGATGGCCGAGCCGCAGCGCGATATTACGGCAGAATCAGCCGCAGGACACCTTCGGGAATGCGGCACAGCCCACTTCGCTGCTCCCTAACTGCGTGTGTCGTCCAGGGTGGGCCTCAGCGCCGGTCCACGTCTGTGGAGACGCCATGGCCTCTCGTGGAGGTGGTATTGCGCCGAGGCCCCCTACCTCTGTGCGTGCCTTCACCGCCGAAGGGACGTGATTGGGCAAGCCCGTACGTGTCGGATCGTTCTTCTGTCATCGATTCGGACATAGAGCCAATTTCTGCCGCGCAAGTTTCGTTGTTCTACTGAAACGTGGATACCTGTCTATCAGACATGCCATTTGTACACCATTCCAGCGCTTTGATCGCCTGAATACCATTCTTCAAAGAAACAAAAGGTATATAAGAGCACCAGGATAATTTCTTCTGCCCATCAAGTTTCTTGATCCCGGACCTGTGATTCAAGCAACTCGTCTACTAGCAAGATGAAGTTCATTTCCACCTCCAGTGTCGCACTAGCTATTGCCCTTGCTTGCATGGCCCATGCGGCACCCATTCAGTCGACTATCTCATCCAAAGAACCAACCCATTTAGAACGGCTTGGTCTTCACAGCCCTGGGGTGACCATTCCTCCATCCATGATTGATCTGAACCGTCGCATGGTGATTGCTCCTGAAGAGAAGTGTGATGAACCTCAAGACCAAGGTTCTGGAGGCAACGGAGGCTCAGGCGGCGAAGGGGGTAATGGTGGCTCAGGCGGCAACGGAGGTTCTGGCGGCAAAGGAGGCTCTGGAGGTTCTGGAGGTTCCGGTGGCAGCGGAGGCTCAGGGGGCAACGGAGGCTCAGGGGGAAAAGGAGGCTCAGGCGGCGGCGGAGGTTCCGGTGGCAACGGAGGTTCCGGTGGCAACGGAGGTTCCGGTGATAACGGAGGCTCTGGTGGTAAAGGAGGCTCTGGGGGCAACGGAGGCTCTGGGGGCAACGGAGGTTCCGGTGGCAACGGAGGCTCTGGAGGTTCTGGAGGCTCTGGTGGCAAAGGAGGCTCTGGAGGCAACGGAGGTTCCGGTGGCAACGGAGGCTCTGGAGGCAACGGAGGTTCTGGTGGCAACGGAGGCTCTGGAGGCAACGGAGGTTCTGGTGGCAAAGGAGGCTCTGGAGGCAACGGAGGTTCCGGTGGCAACGGAGGTTCCGGTGGCAACGGAGGCTCTGGAGGCAACGGAGGTTCCGGTGGCAACGGAGGCTCTGGAGGCAAAGGAGGCTCTGGAGGCAACGGAGGTTCTGGTGGCAGAGGAGGCTCTGGTGGCAAAGGTGGCCACGGCGGTTCCGACAGCAACGGAGGCTCTAGTGGCGAAGGAGGTTCTGGAGGTAAAGGAGGATCCGGTGGCTCTGGCGGTAAAGGAGGTAGCGGCGGTTCGCCTGGCTCTCCCGGTTCGCCTGGCTCTCCGGGCTCTCCTGGCTCTCCTGGCTCTCCTGGCTCTCCTGGCTCTCCTGGCTCTCCTGGCTCTCCTGGTTCTCCCGGTTCTCCCGGTTCTCCTGGTTCTCCCGGTTCTCCCGGTTCTCCTGGTTCTCCTGGTTCTCCTGGTTCTCCTGGTTCTCCCGGTTCTCCTGGTTCTCCCGGTTCTCCTGGTTCTCCTGGCTCTCCTGGCTCTCCTGGATCTCCCGGATCTCCCGGATCTCCTGGCTCTCCTGGATCTCCTGGCTCTCCTGGATCTCCTGGCTCTCCTGGATCTCCTGGTTCTCCTGGTTCTTCCGGTTCTTCCGGTTCGCCTGACTCTTCTGGCTCCCAAAGTCCTACGAGCAATGGCAATGGAGGTAAAGGCCCTTCCTCTTCAAAATCACCTAGCACTACAGCTCCGTCGCGTACAAGCACGTCACACCACCCCACCGCTACTATGGTTACTACGCGGCGGCCTCACGCTACTGCTCCCTCGAATCAACCTGTGCCAGTAGTCACACCTCAACCACCCTCAACCGGTACATCACCTGGTAATGGATCGGGTGGTGGCATTCCTCCGTCGTCAGGTGGTTCCAATGGCGGCCGTGGTCCCGGCAGTCCCAACAGTGGCGGTAGTCCCGGCGGCAGCCCAGGAATTTATCCCCCCAGTAGCGGCTCCTCTGGTGGCCCTTACTCTCCCAGTGATTCTTCGCCAAGTGAGTCTCCTGACACCCAGCCAGAAGGCAGTCAGCCTGGTGGCTACTGTCCTGAGTGTGAGGGTGGTGAAAGTCAACCAAACGAAGGACCTGGATGTGAGGAACCTCAACCGGAGACTCAGCCCGATTGTCCAGAGTGTGAGGGCGGTGATAGTCAACCAGACGAAGGACCTGAATGTGAGGAACCTCAACCGGAGACTCAGCCCGATTGCCCAGAGTGTGAAGGTGCTGGGGATAACCCTAACGATCAGGTCCCTGATGACGGCACAGAAGAGGGCTGTGATGGAGATGATGACAGTCTTGACGGTGGCGATGACACCGGCGACGCTGATATTCAAGGCGGCGACTGCGACGAGGATGGTAGCTATGGGGACGACGATGGCGGCTTCGGCGATGACGGCAGTTTCGGCGGCGACGACGGCGGCTATGGCGGTGACGATGGCGGCTATGGCGGCTTCGGCGGCGATGACGGCGGTTATGGCGGTGACGATGGCGGCTTCGGCGGCGATGACGGCGGTTATGGCGGTGACGATGGCGGCTATGGCGGCTTCGGCGGCGACGACGGCGGTTATGGCGGTGACGATGGCGGCTATGGCGGCTTCGGCGGCGACGACGGCGGCTTCGGTGATTTTGGGGGAGGCGATTTTGGTGGACTTGGCGGAGACTATTAATCTCTTCTACTCTCCCGCAAGGGCGTCCTCTAGCTAGCTAGATTCCATCTTTCTGTATCTCCTTTACTGCCAGTAATGCCTGAGTCCTTGCTCCGAGCAGTTGTGTGGAGGTTATGCATCGGCCGAAGGGCGCCATTTTTTTCTTCCACGCCCTGGCCAGGTGAGCCGTGTCCAGGCATCAATGCGCTGAGGGCTATCATGGCAGCGAAGACGAAAGAGTCCGTCCCCAGCCCTGGTACGCCCAATTCACCCTCTAGAAGTCCCGCTGGGACTAAACTTCCTTGGATAGCACTACAGGATGAGTCTATATCACCTATCCCACCCCTTTTCACGCGGGATGGGGGTTATATGTTTCTGGTCCAGGACGCTACGGTTTTGATCATCTCGCGATTAACGAATCGTGTTGTGACGAGTCTCTCGGGTGAAAGCACACCAGAGGAGCACAAGCATACCGCTCCCATCACCGGTATGCAACTGAGCGCGTTCAATCCGCTTCAGCTCATCACAACCTCCCTGGATGGAACCATCAAAACGTGGGACTACTTGGATTCTGAGCTCCACGACAATGTACAGGTGGGTCACGCAATTGTGAGCATGAGTGCCAGTATGCAATGGAAAAATCGCCTTTTTGTGGCTGTCTGTAAGCGCACTGGTCATGCGAGCACTTCAGACGGCAAGGCCAAGGAAGCATCCAGCACCATCTATTCGGTTCAGCTGGGTCGAAGTACGCCTCGCCTGCACAAGCCCTCCAAATTGGTGCGACTTGGTAAGACGCGCCCTGTGTCGCACCTCTCTGTGTCGCCGGACGGCCGGTGGCTCATTGCCACTAGCCTCGCCAAAGTCCATGTCCTTGACTTGAATGATACCAGCGCCGGCTTCACCAAGTATGCCACGGAAAGCCACATTACCGCGCTTGCGTTCCACCCCGACAAGCAAATGGCGCGATTCGCCACCGGCGAACAGAACGGAAAGATCAAGATTTGGCATTGTCTTGAGCTCGCCAACGACCCTTTGCCTGCGCGGGGCGATGGGCCATGGGAGCCTGTAGCCGTGACAACGACATTGCACTGGCATTCCCATGCTGTGGCCGCATTACAGTATACGCCAGATGGCTCCCAGTTGCTTTCTGGTGGCGAGGAGGCAGTGCTTGTTTTGTGGAAGCTTAATAGCGGACATGCCGGTGGTTCGGAGGGTCGCGAGTATGTGCCGCGTCTGGGTGCGCCCATTGTGGCACTCGCCATCGCTTCTGGCTTTGAAGGAACCGAGCAGGAATATGTGGTGCGTCTGGCCGACGGCAGCACATCGTTTATTGCCAGTCTGAGCCTGAAGCCAACCCGCACCTTTTCGACGATCAAGACGGATGCGATGCGTTCTCTCCTCTCTTCTGAAGCACGGACGAGACAGACACAGCCCCTTTCGTATGACCCAGCGTCCGGGCAACTCGCACTTTTGGCTGGCCACCCATCGACGTTGCAGTTTGTCGACCTAGCCACGCGCACTCACGTCCGTGACATGGAAGTGGTCCCCTCGAATCGTGTATCGCGACCTGAGGCGCAGCTGATCACGCCGCAGGCTGTGCAGTTTGTGGTGTTCTCGGCTCCAAAGAAAGACTCGCTCCATGCTGAGTGGATGGCCACGCTGGATGGCCGGGATGGTGGCACTTTTACGGCAGAACTCTCTTTGAAACTGTGGCAATGGGATGCCCGGAGCAAGACCTATGTGCTCAACACGCGCATTGACCACCCGCATGAGGGCGCTGTGACGAGTCTGGCGTTCTCTCCGGTGCTCTCGGAGCAGCCGCTCGACTCGTTCTTGCTAGCTTCCACCGGCACGGATGGTCAGGTGAAAACCTGGCGAATGGCGACCCGCACGCTGAAGGGTACACGCACCGAACTATTCTGGGTGTGTCGGTCGTCGTTCGCGTATCGTGATACAACGCCCCAGCATGTCGCTTGGGCTCCGGACGGCTCGCTGCTAGCCGTATCTCAGGGGCCTTTCATCACACTATGGGACCCTCATACACTGGTCATGCAGGCTCACTTGTCGTCACCGGATCTCAAGCAGGTGTCGTCTTCTCTGTTTGTGGGCCGCAAGGGCCGATACCTGTCCGTGCTGGGCTCGCAGGCCCGGCTCCTGGTGTGGGACCTCGTGTTCCAGACCGTAGTGTGGTCGAGCGACGCGCCCGTGCAGGCACAGGTCGCGCACGCTGAGGGCCTCTTGGCTGCTCGTGCAGCCTCCGGTGCTACGGTGTTGGAGTATATTGTGCCCCGCACACAGTCTGTGGACCGCGTCTACAGCGTTTCACTGGAGCTCGGTCCAACCTACATCAATGCATCGGTGGATAACGACCCAGAGCACCTGTGCCTTTTGGCGCAGCGCCCAAGTGGGATGTTGGTGGGCATTGGCGGCGGAGCTCTTCGCCCCATCATGCCGTCAGCATCGCTGCACAGGACGGCCATGGAGAATGCGCGCGCCACGCTGTTCGACGAGCTCTTTGGTCTTGCTGATGCGGAGCATAACCGTGTGCAAGAGGTGCTGGATGAGGATGCACAACGGATGCAGACCCTCCTGTCCGATGTGTCTGTACCGACGACTATGGAGCTGTTTACCACGCCAGCCCATTTGTTGCCACCTATGTCGTCTCTCCTCGACAACTTTGTGGATGCCATATTGCCCGCTCACTCGGCGCCAGCCCCTTTGCCTGTGTCTGAGGAAGCGGCCGCACCAATGGCCATGGACGAGCCTGTGACGCCTCGTCTGGACGCGCTCGACCACGTGGCCAAGGCTCGCGATGCCGATATCAGCCACTTGACTGCGGTGTTCAACCAGCTCATGGCAACGCCGCGCCTGTCCGAAGGTGAGGCGCGCCCTTCTTCGCGCTCGTCCAAGAGCAAGCGGAAAGTGTCGCGCTCTATGTAGAGGATACCAAGGTCCATTATATCTCATCGTCGTTAAGCTCCCGCTCCATCTCGAGGGCCAGATCATCGAGAAAATGCTGATCATCGCTGCCCGCCGACTGGGGTGACACGGCTTCGTCCTCCGGTGGCAAGACAGTTCGTGTACTGCTATCCGTTTTTCGCCGTTTTGCATCGTTCTCGATGTCGTCGCTGTCTGCCAGAATACTGTTCCGCAGTTTCGACGGCTCATTCGTCCGTGCGCCTGCGGCCCGTCGCCGAAGTGACGGCGCCGGGGACTCTGTTTCGGGGCTTGGGACAGATCTGCGTAAGGTCCGATCACGTACTCTGTGAGGCTAGAGCCTAGAAGTGAGTCGTTTTCTGTCTCTGTGTCATCGTCATCCAAAAAGGCATCGACCTCGTCTTCCGCCTCGCCCCAGTCCATGTGGGCGAGGTTTTCCATCACCTGCTGGTCATCAGACAGTGTGTCGGAGAAGGTGCTCTGGGTCAAGTCTTGCGCCTCGGGCGGTAGGAGCGAGAGCTCCGTATTACGGGGAATGAGATAGGCCGCTTCGCCCTGTCGGACCCAGCTGCATATGGAATCATTGAGCCACGACGGCCAAACGACTTGGACGTTGCCGCGACGGTAGGCCTGCTCGGCTTTCATTGTATGTGGCTCAAGTTAGCAGCATGTACATACACTGGCCGCCACCATATGTGTGACGCTCTTCACTAGGTGCCTGTGGCACTTGGCACCAAACTCCTCGGCCATCGTCCAAATCGTCGCGCTGCTGTGAGAGATTGCACGTACGTCTCTGGCTCCTGGTTCACGGGAATGAGCCCTGAAAATACAATCTCGCATCCTTTCAGGACCTCGCCCTTCATGCGCTTGATGACATTCTGCTGTGAGTGCACACGACGCACCTTGACGTCAGGCCGGCCTTTCCCCTTGCCTTTCATATCGTGATAGGAGTCGTACCATTGCTGATGCACCTCTAAGAGAATCTGGGTGAGCGTGGATTACATACAGCCTCGATGAGTTCGAGCTCGGTATCGTCGTTGCGGAGCAGGAGTTCCTCCTCAATGACCTCAGCCTCAGGTTGCGCCTCCGACTCCTTAGGCGCGGGATCCGTGGATGGCGCTCCCGTGTCTTTCTTATGCTCGAGAGCCTCTTCTAGCTTGCGTTTAAGCGGCCGCGCTTCAATTTGCTCCTGGAGTTCTTTGCTCTGGGGCCCCTGCATATCGCTAGGCTTGTCCGCCGGCGGCGCTGTTGGCGTAGGGACCAGCGGCTTGGCCGGCCCCAGGTGCGCAGCGTTGATATCACCAATGCCAACAAAGAATTCGTCTGGGGTCAGTGGGGACCTACGCACAGGGCTCGACCTTGATGAGATTCGGGCTCCACGACCATACATCAGCGCGGTCGTCGATGATCACAACCATGTCGGTGCTGATCGGGAACAGACGCGCAAGGCTTTTCTGCATATCGCTGCCGTTCTCATCGCGTGACAGAATCCGCGCACCAAACTTGTGGCCGTCAGGATCGACAATGCGGCAGATACAATCCGCATACGAGCGCGTGCCCATGGTATATACATGCAGCTCATACTTGCTGGCTAGGGTCGTTAGAAACTCGTCCAAGCCCGGCCGCAACTTGACATAGTACCAGCAGCCATTTTCATCGCCGCCTGTCGCAAAGGACTTCACCTTTTCTGGATCTAGTCGCTCCGGCTGGTGCGAGACGGTGGTCCCATCGGCACCCAGTTGGAAAGCGACCACATCTTTGAGCGCGTCCCAGTTGGGGTTGTGTGGGTCGTGCGCCCACTCTTTTACGGTAGGATCAACAGTGACATGGATAATCGTTTGGTCCAAGTCCACAATCAGCGCCAATTTCTGCTGCTCAATCAGGTGCTTGGTATCTTCGGTGTCCATGCGAATGGCCTCATCGCGCGACACTTTCACGCTCGCAGACGAGTGCAGCGTGGCAAACGTGGGCTGATCAAACGAGCCCCTGGTGGTGAGTGGCTAACACCTACTCTTCAATCTCTTTCCCACACAGGGCACATAGCCCTGCAACCTGGATGGGATGCTCACAGGCCATCGCCGGGTAGCTGTGCCGACAACGGACTCGTGGAGCGCGTGGACCGCGCCGCTGCCTCCATCGTTGGAGACCTCCACATGAACATGCCGCGCCTGCGCGACATGGCCGATGTGTATGGTGCGTCGCAGCGACTCACGCAGACATGAGCACGAAGAGTGACGTGGGCGGCATGGAGGGCACTTCGTGGATGCTGAGCTCTGCCAAGGCTCAAAATGGCGTACAGCAGCTGCAATCAGACGACTTGGATACCCTCTGGCAGTGCGTATGGCTAGCTGACCGCAGGAGCGACGGATCGCAACCGCACTCGGTATACATCCACTTTCCGAGGCGCACTGCCGTTACAGTATGTGCCACTACTCACACAGCACATCTCCATCTATTTAGACTGTCTTCGTGACGACTCGTACACGCCAACGAAGATTCTGGTGCGTGCAGGCACGCATCCCTACGATCTTGTGGATGTGCGGTATCGCGAATTTGTGGAACCACAGGGATGGTATCACTTTATGTTGTCTGGCACGAGTGACATGGAGCCAGAGGAGGCACAGGCCGCGCGCGCCTCCAGCGCCTCGATGCCTCTGCGTGCGATTGAGCTGTTCGTGCTCCAGGTGAATATTCTCGGAAACCACCTAAACGGCAAGGACTCACACATTCGGTGCATGAAGGTGTTTGGCCCAACACCTCCGGGGATTGCACGCCCCCCCGCGCAGCCCGAGGTCCAGCGCATCATGACGGAGCGGCTCCTTGAGCAGGGCAAAAACACGCATGCCTTCCACCGACAGGTGGAGCGCGTCGGCTACGAAAGAGCCGTTGCGCAACTGGAGCGCATCCTCCAGCAACACCCTCATGCTGCCTTCGCGCAAGCGGCCCCCACGCGCGCGCACACCGCTCAGCGGTCGCTCCTTCATTTGTCCCATACGCTCCGGTAGCATGCACGTGGCCTCCACCTGTGCTTCGCGACACCCTCCCACGAACACCGTCGGCGGTCGGCGCGTGATGGAGGCCATTCTGCGACGCCAGCTCAAAGACTGGCGCCGCACTTTCCGGAAAGAGGTATGCGCTTATACTCACCACAGCATGATCGTGAGCCGACGAAATCCGACATGCAGCGCGATCCCGACATGGCGTCCACGTACGACACGTGGCGGGCGCTGACGCGCAGCAGTGGCTCGTCGCGTTCGCACGCCTCGCGACACGAGGCGGCCGGTCCGCCTCGCACTGATTTTCCAACGACACCGAAGAAAAGCAAGGCGGCTCCGGTACCAGTCGCGAGCCCCGGCAACCCGTTTCGCTCACCCCAAAGGCCCACTAAGCACTATGCGCAGATGCCCCAATTTCCCCTCGCGAGCCACGAAGTGCCAGACTCTGCGCCTGACTCGGAGTCGGATGTGAGTGATATGGACGTGGAGCCGGCTGCCGCTGAGACGACGCCCGTCAAACGGACCCCCAATGGTCTTCCGCCGCCGCCGCCGCCGCTGTACACGCCTCGAACCAAGGCGCGCAAGCGCTTGCGAGGCGAGGACGTGACGCCGCCGTCACACGGACGCCTAAAACGGATGGTGTCGCAGACGCAGCATGCTCGTCTCCTTGCGCAAAGCCCCCCAGTGTCGAGTCGGCGCCCCATGTCACGCATCTTTAGTCGGTCCAACCATGATTTGGACGAACCGGAGGACGAGTCGTACGGGCCTTCGCCGCGCAAGCCGCAGGCGCAAGGTGGCTTCTTACCCCTCTTCCACGGCGATTCGTCTTCGATACCCGGGGTCACACGTTCCCCTCCGACCGAGGCGCCCGCGGTGCCTGCCACGGAGCTCGTTCCGGCCACACAGATCGGCAGTTCGTTGGAGTCAGGCGCAAGTCAAGATAGTCCTGCTGCGTCAGGGCCTACGGACCGCATGGTGCCCTCTGTCGGCACTCAACAGCCGGCGCCAACGGTCGTGGACGTGGACGGTGATGCGAAAATCCACGTATTGCCCTACAGCCGCTACGAGTCGTCCCGGCTAGCTGATCCCGACGACTGGGGCGAAGACGCTCTAGCCCTGCCGCGCACCGAATTGGATCGCTTTGAGGCGCCTACGGAGCATGTTATCGGCGCCGATCGTCTCTCTCACATGGAGTCTATGACACTTACGTCGCCGCAGAAGCATGCGCAGCGTGCGCTGCAGGAGCGACGCGCTCGCAAGGACGAAATGGTGCAGGACCTCGTGGGCCATGCCGAACCACCTGCAGCGGCCCTCGGCATCGCACGGACGGGACGCTCAGGTCTCGATGCCGACGAGGATGTACCTTCTCACATCGAAAATTCCGACGAGGACGACGATTGGGCAAGCGAGGCGAGTAGCGCGGACTATGGCCTGGGCGACGGTGGGATGGACGAGACGGACGTCGTGTAGGGTATAGATGTGGAGGTATTGCGTGCCAGCTCGCTCATGTCGGCGGCCATGGCGGACGAGGACGCGCCGCTGTTCTTTGAGGAGGCGGGCGGCGAGCCTCGTGCGCATGTGCCTGCGAAGCGCGGGGCGAATGATGCGCCCGACGCAGAGACTGCTTGGCACCGACGATACCTCGGTACCTTTGTGCTCTGTGGCTATTCGATGACCAAGGGTACTGGCTACCTGCAGCACGGCGAGCAGGTGCTAATCCAGCGCAAGCCCAAGACAAAGGGTGCTACATCCGTTCGGGGATCACGCACCAAGGTGAGACCGGACTATGTGGTGCGCTTCAGCAATGCTCGGGGTGCGTTCACTTCGCTAACCACAGGCTTCGAAGTCGGTCGTATCCCGGTGGATGTTGCAGGCTGGATGGCGTGCCTCCTCGATGAGCACCTATGCGAACTGGATGGGCGTGTAATCGACTGCGCTGCTTCCTTAGAAGTCGGAAGCGATATACTCCTAGAGATCCGCGCGTACCTGACGCGCCACGCGTTTTCCGCGCGTGTGGCGCAGCAGTGTCAGATACTGCTCGAGAAGGATGCCGCACCCCGTGTTGGCGATGGCGAAACGGAGCAAGAGCGGTCACTGCGTCACCGTAAAGTTGCACTGCAGCGCTTATTCCGCGCCTGCAGCTTGGCGCCAGAGCAATCTGCGCCGTCGTCGTCGCATGCCACCGTCACTCGCACCAAGCGGGACGACGACGACGACGGGACGGAGGTTTCGGACGAGTGCCTAACTAGCATCTACGCACGCGCTCAGAAGGACGATGCGCTCTTACCAATGGCTGATGCGCCGCCCACCTTTGCTCTGGAGCTGCGGCCGTACCAGAAGCAGGCGCTCGCATGGATGCAGAGCATGGAAGCAGCCCACACGGCGGTACGCGCCTCTTCGCTGCATCCCCTGTGGGAGGCATATCGCTGGCCGCTCGCTGACGATGCAGACGTCGGGCTCGGCTTATTTTATATGAACCCATACATCGGCGACCTCAGTCTCGAGTTCCAGCCAGCCAGTCGCGGTGCGCGGGGCGGTATTCTGGCGGACGAGATGGGACTCGGCAAGACAATCATGCTTGCGAGTCTTATCCATGCGAATCGCGCCACGGAAGCGGAGCGCCCTACGCGACGTACAGGCCTGCAGCAGGCACGCTTATCGTTCAGCGCCCCGCCAAACCGCTCTTCTCGAACGCCGGCCACGCTGGTCGTGGCGCCCATGAGCCTGCTGAGTCAGTGGCGCACCGAGCTGGAGCGCGCATCGCACCCTGGCACGCTCACGGTGGCGCTGTACTATGGCGACCAGCGCGAGCAACTGGGGGCACAGGTACGCGCGGGCGGTGTCGATGTGGTTGTTACATCGTACGGCACGCTAACTAGTGACTTCAAGCAGCTCGACAAGCGCAGTATCTCGCCACTGTTTGACGAGACTTGGCACCGAGTCGTGCTCGACGAGGCACACACCATCAAGAACCGCAGCACGCTCGCTGCGCGCGCCGTGTGTCGTCTCGAGGCAGATCGGCGCTGGGCGCTCACTGGCACACCGATCCAGAACCGACTAACGGACTTGTACAGCTTGCTGCGGTTCTTGCGCGTCGAGCCCTGGGGCGATGCGCGCTTCTTCCACAGCTTTTTAGCAAAGCCATTTGCAAGTCAGAATGCCAAGGCGCTGGACATTGTCCAGGCCATCCTATCGAGCCTGCTCCTGCGCCGCGAAAAACACACCAAAGACCGGGATGGCCACAGCATCGTCGAGCTGCCGCCCAAGATTATCGATACCCAGCGCCTGACGTTCTCTGAGGCCGAGCGCGAGATCTACCTCAGTGTCTATGACCGTGCTCGCATGCGTTACCGCGATCTGGCGGCCCAGGGGCTTGTGGGCCAGCATGTCAGCCTCATCTTTGCCGTCCTAATGCGCCTGCGCCAGGCAGTGTGTCACCCATACCTCGTCCTGCCAACCCGTGCCGAGCGCGCGCCAGAGGAGCCGAGCTTTGAGGCGCAGCTGCACGAGCTTGTGCGCCGCTTTGAGTCGGAGAAGCCCGACGCATATGCACGCGACGTACTCGACACGCTGCTTGCCTCGGCGCCGGCCGACGAGGACGAGTGCCCTTTCTGTATGGAGCTCAAGGCGTCCAAGTGCTTTTTGCCGCGGTGCATGCACCATGGGTGCCGCGAGTGCCTAGTGCAATACCTACAGGCATGTGAAGACCGCGGCGAGGAGCCCCACTGCCCCGTCTGCCGCCGCGGGCCGGTGCAGGCCGAGGACCTGGTAGAGAGTGTGCGGCGCACAGAGCCGCCCAAAGCGCCCCATGTCGCGGTGCGGGGCAGCACTAAGCTCGATGCGCTCATGAAGCAGCTTGCCAACATTACGGCCGCCGATCCGACGTGCAAAGGTGTCATCTTTTCGCAGTTCACGGGCTTTCTGGATCTGATCCAGTCGCATATCGAGCAGCAGGGCTATACATACGTGCGTCTGGATGGACGCACGTCACAAAAAGAGCGCGAAGGTGTACTGGCGCGCTTTGCCAACGAGCCAGGGCCCCTCTTTCTGCTCATCTCGCTGCGGGCCGGCGGCGTCGGACTCAACTGTACGTATGTTCTGCTCACGCAGTGACCGCGGCGAATCACGTGTGGCTCATGGACTGCTGGTGGAATAGCAGTATGTACGTATGGGCTACTGACACCAGTGAGGAACAGGCGATCGACCGTATCCACCGCCTTGGGCAGACGCGCACCGTCACCGTGCACCGCCTCCTCGTCGACGACACGATCGAGGACCGGATCCTGGCCATCCAAGCGCACAAGCGCAAGCTTGTGGAGCACGCACTCGCGTCGCAGCCGCGCGGTCCCGCCGCGGATACCATGGAGAACTTGCGTCTGCTCTTCGACGACATCTAGCAGGCCTGTACGCGCTCACACACATGGATGGCATCGGCTGTCACGAGCCGCACTGGCCACACGCGCCATGCGAGGCGCAGTCCTGCTGCACGCAACGCACGCATAAAGTCTGCCGGACGCTGCAGCTGAACGCGCGAGAGTCCCTGGATGGGGGCTGCCATGTCGCGGAACCCGGGTGGACATGCTCGCTCCGAGAGCATATGCGTGAACAGGCACAAATCCAACTGCGGGCTTTCCGTCTTGTTGTAGATCCACGCTGGCGCTTGACTCGGCACCCACGACGCGCTTGCGCGCGCAAGGTGCTTGCTCTGGAAAAGCGAGACGCCCGTCATCGCCGAGAGCGTGTCAATGTGCACATGCGCTGCGCCTCGCACACGCTCATGAAGCAGCGCCAGCGCGGCGCCGCCGGGGTAATTGTGTGCGCTCGCGGCGAGACTGAGTACACACTGTGCCGCACTGATCGCGAGCACACCTCCAGCCACTAGGATGCCGCCAGGGTACGCGAGACAGCGGTGCATGCCGCGCGCCGCGAGCGCGTTCCACAGCGGGACCGTGTATAGGATAAATCGCCACTCTTTGTGGGGTAGCGCACTCAGCAGGGCCACATGCACGCCCGCTATCCACGCAAGCAGGGCCGTCGTGCGGTCGCGAAGGTAGACGATCGCGCCCAGCGCCGCCATCGGCAGCCCCGCAGCGAGGAGGCGGGGAAGCGCCTGGGTCATGTACATAGACCATGGCGCGATGCCCCACTCGGCGCTGTGCCCTTCGACGACATTGAACAGGAGGGCATCGCCTTCGGGCCACAGAAAGGGACCCTGCCAAAAGTACGAGTCGACGAGGATGCTCAGAGCAACTCCTGCCACACACGAGGTGAGACCGAGCGGGACGAGGTGCACAAGCGGGCGGTCAAACGCGATCCATGCGGCGAGATAGCACGGAATAGCGAGACCCAAGAGCTCAAGACGCAGTACAACGGCGGTGGCTGCGAGTAGCGCTAGGCCCACGTACATGCGGCGTCTCCTCACGACAAGCGCCAGCGCGATGAGGACGAGCGGCAGTGCTACGCTGTTCGGCGTCGTGCGACCCGCCCAGAACGGCAGGTGGAACTGCGACGCAGTCAGAAGGACGAAGAGCCGTCGCGGCGTGCGTTGCGTCGGAAACACGGCGTACACCCACACAACCAAAGCGCCGGCCGTGCACGCGGCCAGGCCCATGCGCAGGCCGAGTTGTGCGTGTGTTGAGTCACCAGTCATATACGACAGCACAGATGCTGGCCACATCACGGTGGCTAGGAGAAGCGGTCCGACGAATGAGCGCGGCACAGCGCCAGGGAAGGAGACATGGTCGTACTAGGATGAGAACGGTACGCATACCTGGGAGCGGGCTTCAGGCCTGATGCCGAACGCCCAGATATCATGCACGGCCTGCAGTGTAAAGCTTTCCTCGACCTTGGTGCTAGGCGCGACAATCACATGCGTGGTCAACACGGCCACGAGCAGGGCGGCCAGCACCCAAGGCTCTGCCCCACGCATCTCGATGAGATCCGTTGGGTGAATCAGTGCACGTGAATCGGATCGCCGGCCGGCGCTCGGCCTTATTCCACCATGTCCGCTGTGCCCGCTCCCAAGGCCCGTTCTCGCCCGCTTGTGACGGCGTACCTTGTGTTCTACAACCTCTTTTCTTTTGTACTATGGCTGCGCGTATTTGCCGGCGTTGTCCTGTATATGCTACACGGCGACTCGGCCCGCCAGATGATGTACGCCACGGTGGCCGAGGCCGTTCAGCGTGTGCTGCCCGCTAAGGTGGCGGGTGCCCTCATCGAGTATGGCGCCTATCCCCCGCTCGCTGCGGCGATTCTGCGCCGCGCCTCGAATCTGCACGACTACATCGGCCCGCTCGTCGTGATCACGCAGACGCTTGCTGTGATGGAGGTTGTGCATGCGGCGGTCGGCTGGGTGCGCTCGAACGTGCTGATCACGGCCGTGCAAGTCATGTCACGCCTGATTGTTGTGTGGGGCATCTCGGAAAAGTACGAGGCTGCCGCGCACTCGCCGTTCTATGCGCTCATGGTGTGCGCCTGGTCGCTCAGCGAAATTGCACGCTACCCCTTCTATGTGAATCAGCTGCTGCGCTCGCCGTCGTTCATTGCGCTGTGGGCGCGCTACTCTGGCTTCATTGTGCTGTATCCACTGGGTGTGCTGGGCGAGGTGTCGCTCATCTATGCCACGCTGCCGGTGCACCGTGGCTGGCCCTGGGAGAATCTGTCCGCATGGTCGCTGCGGGACCTCGCGTTCCTGGCGCTCTTGCCCGTGTACGTGCCTGGCCTCTATGTGCTGTACACGCGCCTGCTCGCCTCGCGCCGCAAGGTGTTGGGCCCCGACTGGGCCGGTACGAAGGCGCGCAAGGAGGTGCAGCAGCAGAAGGCCGCCGAGTTTCAGCGCATTCGCCGCCTGCACGAGAAGAAGCAGTAGCTAATTTACATAGCGCCCATTTCACGACGCAGAAGCTCTATCGCACGACGGCCCACCTCGGTCGGCTGGCGCAATGGAAAGTCGAGCCGCGACACTTGGCCCTCAACGAGCAGCATCGTGCACCGACGGAGAGCCATCGACCCATCATCCTGCGGCTGCAGAGGCAGCTCAAGCCGATCCGTCCACGCACGATGCCGGTCGCTTAGCAGCTCGAACCGTAGTTGCAAATTGTCGCGCACACGCCGGAGACATTCAGGCCCATGCAGGCTCAGTCCCAGCACTGCGAGGTCGGGCATCTGCTGCCGGAGCCCATCGAGCTCCGCATTGATGGCACGCAGTTGCTGAGCGCTCTCATGCTGCGCAGCTGCACGAATATCGACCTGACCGTCGCGCACGGGCATCGCGAAGAGATTCAGCAACACTGGACGGCGCAGCGACAACATGAAGAGGTCGACTCCAGTGCCATCCGTGCTATCGAGTGTGACCAGCGCAGGGAGCGGGTGCCCCGGCAGGTGGAACACGGCGTCATCCTTCTCAACCGCGTGCGTACTGTCCGCACACATCTGTTGTTAGCGTGTTCTAATAAGTGCATCCATTGAGCTCAGGACAATAACGCATATTTGGTCGCCCAGCACCTGTCGGTGTTGTCGCTTACTTGTGTTTTACGCTCATCATGGCCGTATAGGACGCTCTGTGTACGTACTGCCGTCAGCCTGCTCTCGATGCCAAGCGCTCAGGAATCCCGGTGTCTATGCATGAGGCCAGAGCCTTCATTGGATTGACAGATTGATGAATGGGTTGCTCATCCTTCGCTGGCTTGGCGGCGGTGCGTACCTCGTAGAAAGAAGACAAGGGGCCGATCGCAATTATTTGGACTCCAGTCACAGCAGGGGCGCCGCAGCACCATTGGCTCAACCGACCCACGTCGCGGCGGATGAGCGGCGATCCTCGCCGCTATGTGAGCGCGCTCGTCGAGGGCGAGTGCCCGCCGCTCGAACCGCTCGATGCATCGTTAGCTTCGCTTGCTGCCGCTGCGCCGCCGCCATCCGCGGCGCCACAGCGCGTCCCCTCACATATCTGGGCGCAGCTCGCGCGCCTTGCCACACCTGCTGAGCCACAGGCGGCTGACTCGGGCGCTGCCGCTGTGCTACTGCGTCACCTCGACGCAGGGACTTTGGATGCGGGTGAGAAGGATCGCATCGTGCACGCCGTCGTCGATGTGCTGCAGCCCTCTGGGCCATTCGACGCAGACACAGCCGCCTCGGCGCTGGCGGAGCTGCTCGGCTTCGAGCACCTCGAGCTTGCCATGGCACTTCTAGCGAAGCCGTCCGGTACTGCCGCGAAACTACGTCGCCACCTCGCACAGCGTGCGCAGGGCGTCGGCAGCGCAAAGGAGCCACTGGCGCTCCTCCCATCCTCGGACGAGGCTGAGATGTACCCCAACGTGTACAGTAGTGGCGAGCACGGCAGTATTCTCACCGCTTTTGGCACGCGGTACGCTCTACCTGTCGGAACGACGCGTGTACATGAATCGTACTACGAAGAGGTCACAATTCCTCGCAGCCAGCCCCTGCCGTTCCGCACCAACGAGCGGCTGATCACTCTGGACGAGATGGACGTGCTTTGCCGCGGTGCGTTCCACCAGTACCAAACTCTCAACCGCCTGCAGAGTGCTGTGTATCCTATGGCGTACAAGACCAATGAAAATCTACTAGTGTGTGCGCCCACAGGTGCAGGTAAGACGGACGTTGCAATGCTGTCGATCCTGCAGTGTGTGCGGCGGCATGCGCGCATCGATGGAGAACGTATCCACGTGGACCGCAATGCCTTCAAGATGGTGTATGTGGCGCCCATGAAGGCGCTCGTAGCGGAAGTCGTGGCTAAGTTTTCCAAGCGCCTGCGTTTCTTGGGTCTGCAGGTGCGCGAGCTGACTGGTGATATGCAGCTCACTCGGAAGGAGATGGCTGAGACACAGATGATCGTTACGACGCCTGAGAAGTGGGACGTCGTGACGCGGAAGCCAACGGGCGATGGCGAACTAGCTCTCTCTGTGCGCCTGCTGATCATGGACGAAGTGCATCTCCTGCATGAAGAGCGCGGCGCTGTGATTGAGACGATCGTTGCGCGCACGCAGCGTCTCGTGGAATCGACGCAATCGATGATCCGCATCGTCGGTCTGTCGGCGACGCTACCGAACTATGTGGATGTGGCCGACTTTCTGGGCGTCAATCGCTACCGCGGCATGTTTTACTTTGGCCCATCGTTCCGTCCCGTGCCACTCGAGCAGCACTTTATTGGTGTGCGCGGCAAGCACGGCTCGTCCCTCGCGCGCACGCACCTCGATCGTATTGCCTACGAAAAGGTGTGGGAGTTAGTACGCGATGGTCACCCTGTCATGGTGTTTGTCCACACACGTAAAGATACTGTCAAGACAGCGCAGGCACTGCTCGAGCTGGGGCGCGACGACGATATCTCGAGCTTGCTGACTGACGGGCGCGATCCGACTCGCTTCGAAAAGCAGGTCGGGCAATCGCGCAACAAGGAGCTGCGTGAGCTGTACCAGCACGGTATTGGCATCCACCATGCAGGCATGCTCCGCAGTGACCGCGACCTGAGTGAGCAGTTGTTCGCCGCAGGCGCCACGCGTGTACTGTGTTGTACGGCGACGCTAGCATGGGGTGTTAACCTGCCCGCCTATGCCGTGCTGATCAAGGGCACGGATGTATACGACGCGGAGCAGGGCAAGATGGTTGACCTCGGCATCCTCGATGTTCTGCAGATCTTTGGTCGTGCGGGTCGTCCACAGTTTGAGGATGTGGGCGTGAGTTTCATCTGCACGAGCAGCGAGAAGCTCTCCCACTATATCGACCTGATCACGTCGTCGCATCCAATCGAGTCGACGTTCCTCCGCGGCATCGTCGATGCGCTCAACGCCGAGGTTGCGCTCGGTTCGGTGTCGAGTGTGGACGACGGTGTCTCGTGGCTTGGCTTTACCTATCTCTTCACGCGCCTGAAGAAAGCGCCGCTCATCTACGGGCTCGATGCTCACGATCTGCTGAGTGATCCAGCCCTCCTCCAGCGGCGCAAACATTGGATTATGCATGCGGCGAATATACTCGTTCAACATGGCATGGCCACGATGGACGCCCAAACAGGTGCATTGCACCCGACGAATGTGGGTCGCATTGCCTCGCGCTACTATTTGAGCTACAAGACCATTGAGATCTTCCATGAGCGGCTTCGTAATGGCCTGCGTGAAGCGGACGCACTCGATCTCATGTCGCGTGCATCAGACTTTGCGCAGGTCGCGCTCCGCGAGAGTGAAGAGGCTGAGCTTACGCGCCTGCTGGAGCAGGTGCCTTGCGAGGTCGGCGGCGGCGTCGCAACGGCCCCCGGCAAGGTCAACATCCTTCTGCAGGCGCACGTCTCGTACTTGCCCATGGATGACTTTGCTCTTATTAGCGATGCTCGCTATGTGGCGCAAAACGCGGGGCGCATTCTTCTGGCACTCTTTGACTTGTCCCTCGACCGGGGCTACGGCGTATCGGCGGCCTCGTTCCTGCAGCTCGCCAAGGCTGTGGATCGCCGCGTCTGGCCGTTCGAACATCCGATGAAGCAGTGCACGCACCTGTCTCCTGATATCCTGCACAAAATTGCTACTTATGCCGACGAACTTGAGGTCAGTCAGATCCGCGCGCTGCCGCTCGGCCCGCTCGCCGATTTGCTGCGTGCGAATGAACGCATTGCGAAATTGGTGCACGAAGCTGCCGAACGCTTTCCTGCCATGGGTCTACGCGTCGCTGTGCGCCCTATGCCGGGGTCGTTTGTCTGCTTACAGGTGCGCCTTCAGCCCGCATTTATATGGGACGATCGTTTGCATGGCACCTCGCTTCCCCTGATCGTCTGGATTGAAGATGCAGCACAACGCGTGGTGTTCTCAGATCGCATTATGATCCGCCCGCCCTCGGCGCGTAGCGAGTCGTACGAATGGGAGGTACAGGTGCCGCTCTCGTCCCCCGTGACACGCCCTGCCGCGGAGGAGGCATACAGTGTCGTTTGGTCCTCGTTGCACTGGCTCGCTGCGGAAGGACGCGTAGACGTAACACTCGATACCGTCGCATGTCCGCCGCCTACGCCACTCACACCGCTGTTCGACGTGCCACTGCTCCAATTGCAGACGCTCTCGGAGAGCGCCATGACGACAGCGCTGCGGGAAGCACGTGGCCTATCGACGCTGAATGCAATGCAGACGCAGGTCCTACATACACTTGCGCATACACGCTCATCTGTGCTGCTGTGTGCGCCGCACGGCACGGGCAAGACGACCGTCGCGCTGTTCGCTGTGGGTCGTGCCCTCGCGCAAGGCGCCGTTGTGTGGGTGGCGCCGGATGACGCACGCGCCACGTTAGCCGTGCGCCTAGGCCGCGAGCTGGCCCCGTGGCTGGGCATTGAAGTGCGTACCCAAATCACGCGCAGCGCAGAGCCGGCGTGGTACGTGGTCACCGCTCGCGATGCACTGGCATTCGGTGCGCAGCATGGATGGGCGTCGGTCGCTCCGTCGCTTGTCGTGTTGTCGCACCTGCATCAGCTTGATACAACGTACGAGCTGGCTGTGATGCATCTCCGTCGAACTGCGCCCATGGCGCGCGTGGTCGCTACAGCGCTGAGTCTGTCCACGGCGCATTCGCTGGCTCAGTGGCTGCAGGTACCGCTGCACACCACGTTTGTGTGGGATCCGCGCGACTCACCGTATCCTGTGGCCACTTCATTTGCAACCGTGGATGTGCCGTACTCTGACACGCTCGTCAAGGCGTACGCAAAACCTGCGCTCGACAAGATGCTTGCCCATGGTGGCCCAGCGCTGCTGTTTGCACCGACGCGGGCGCAGTGCTTCACGGCGGCGCAGGAGTTGGTGGCGCGTATGGCCACGGCAGGTATCGCCATGCCTGTGGACACGGAAAACACCGCACATCGCTGGAAGAACGCCGAACTGGCGAACTTAGTCCGCCAGGGCATCGCCGTTTGGCACCCTGGCCTTGCGCCAGGTGACCGTGCGGCACTGGAGCAGATGATGGAGGCGGGTCTACTCCGTGCTATACTTTGTCCCCATGATGCAGACGTGCCATTCCGCGTGCCCTTGGTCATTGTCCTGGGTACGCAGTATACCGAGCACGGCTCGCGATCCGTGAAGCAGATGACGACAGAGCACCTGCTCTCTCTGCAACGCTGCGCGGTGCGTCCCAACGATACCAATGGAGACATGCTGATTCTCTGTCAGCAAGTACACGCGCCGACACTAGAGCGCCTTTTGTGGACGCCCCTTGCTGTGGAATCCCCACTGCACGACTCGCCCGACTTGGCCGAAAGTCTGCTTGTGGAGCTGCAGGCCCATCGCGTTGCCTCCGTGAGCGATATTGTGACCTGGCTGCGCGCATCGTATCTTGCTGTGCGAATGCGTGCGAATCCCGTGTACTATGATATCGACGGCGAAAATGACCGCACAGACCCCAGCTCCGCGCTGTCGCATCTGGCCGACGCCCTCGTACGGCGCGCTGTCCACCTCGGCGTTCTCCGACACGACGAGTACGGGCTGCGCGTGTCGAGCCTGGGCCACTCGCTCGCTCCTGGGAGTCTCGTGCGCTTACAAGCTATATCCGACATGGCACATCATTCGCGTGCCCTACCGGACGCTACGAAGCGGGTGCTAGATGCGTGGACCGCTACGGGCGAAGCACAGTGTCTCGAGGCATGCTGTGCCAAAACCATGCTTGAGGTCGTGGAATTCCCGCGCGCAGAAAGCCATGCCGAGACACCGCTTAAGCCGCGCCTATGGGCGCGACTGCTTCTTGCGCAGTGGCTCACTTCACAGCTGGGGGGGCGCTCTCTAGCCGACTTGGATGCCGTCGTTCGACAGGAAGCGGGCTCGGAGGCCAGTGCATTTATCTCCCTGCAGCGCGAAGCGCTCCTGCGGGAGCTCATGTCAGGCCCAGGTACTCTGCCGTGAACACGCGCGCCAGCTTTGACCATGCGTCCATAGTTTCGCGATCGAGTGCCTGTTGATTGTCGCGCGCTGTGTGCCACACCGAGGGGAATGGATAGGGTATCAGGTGCAGGATGGGCACGCCGCGCTCCAGAAAGGGGATGTGGTCATCTTGCACCATGCCGCTGCTCATATACGACTGAAAGATGGGCGGGTGCTGCGTGCCTGGCGGCCACAGCCATTGGTTCTTATCGAGTCGACGCTCAATCTGCGCCAACAGACCGTGCAAGTGACCGGTGCTCCGGAAGAAAATGGGTATTCTGGGCCCTGCAGCGCCAAGCAAATCAAAGAGGACCATGTGGTCGATCGTGTGGATCCGACGCACCGCAGACGATGGGCCCACCTCGTGCCGGGGCTCGTAGGGTAGCGAGGAGCCCGGGAGCGTCCATGTGTCGGCCCATAGCGCCGCCAACTGCTGGGCGCCATACACAGAATCTGTGCGCGACCATGTCACAAAGGCTTCCTCACCATCAAAGAAAACAATTTCCAGGGACACACCGTTGTCGAACATACCATGGGAGCCACGCGAGGCATTCCGACTGTGTGTATACGCATCCAGCTTGGCATCGAGTGACATGGCGACATCCACTAGCAGCGCACAGGGAAAGGCACTGTCTGTAGCACCCACAAAGCCAGCTTCGGTGCTGTCTGATGGAAAGTATTTGGAGTCGTAATGGGCCGCCAGAACCAGCTTCCGCGATGCATGGGGGTCACGCGTCAGAATGATATTGGTCATGTTTCTCTTGCCCAGCGGTGTCGTTGCCTCAAATGGAATTGTATCAACATGCCACTTGGGCCGCCCGGAAATGTCCACTCGCGAGAGAAACGGCTCGATGAGCGCGTCGCGCACCAGTGAATTATTGTGTGTGCCAGAAACTCGCGGAATCAGGATGCGGGATAGCAGCGAGGACGAATTCGTAACGTCCAGCCATGGGCGACTATCCGCCTGTAGTATTTCCCTTATGCTCTGGTCACTGAGCAAGAGGCCCTGTACGGCGGCAAGCCACCCTAGCCATAGGGCCCCCCACGCAATCCACAAAGTCATAGTGGAAGTGCCGATCGTTTGCACGTGGCTCATCCCTAGGATCGGGCGACGCCACGACTTGTCTCTCGCGCACATGCCCACTAGCGGGATAGAATCGCTGTCTTCACGGCAGGGGCTTTTGCCTCGGTTGGAGGCAACATTCTTCTCGATATTTCATCCTACGGATGGGCCTAGGGTTCTGTTTCAGATGCCCGAAGATACTTTTTATCAGCCGGGGCGTACGCCGACGTCGTCCTTGCCGACCAGCCAGCGGCGATTAATGCTGGACTTTTCGTCGCTGTCAGACTTTGTGATACCCAAAGCCCCCCTCTGCGGCAGACTCGTAACATGTGTCGTTGGGTCGCATCCTAACGAAATGGGACACCGTCGAAGCTACAAGGTTCTGGGTTTTCCTGTACTCTTGGATCAAACTGAGAAATACGAGCGAAACCACTTTATCTTCAACCTGTGTTTTGTTTTTGAGGCACACGTCGACGTCCAAGCCTATGAGCCTATTGTTCGAAAATGTGCACGCTCTCTCTGTCTCCTCGAGGTATGTCTGTCGGCTCTCACTCAGCAGAAAGAAGAGTCGTTTGTGTCCAAGCTAGATAACTTGCCTCGCCTATATGGTCTTGTGGAGCAGCTCTATGAAGACTTGAATGCATACTATGAGTCTTTTGTCGCACTCCCGGAAGCTGTGGACTCGATGGTTGACGGCAATGGCGCTGTGTTGGCCAATGATGAGCCGCAGGGTAACCTAACGCTAGTTGAGTCAGAAGAGCTAGATCGTCTCATTGCACAAGCTCTGGGTCCTTTGGGACGTGTTCGCGAGGCGCACAAATCTCAGGATCAGCATTGTCCCGTGGACAAAAAGCGGCCTAGTGCACTGGGCACTCTATCTGAGACTGGCCCGTCAGACAAGAACCAGATATCGACGTTGAACCCTCCCGCATCGTCCACAAGTGCGCCTGAACGATCACAAGGGGAGCAGTTGCACGGTCTAGGACGGACGGTCCGAGATGCCATCAATCTAAAGGTATTTCCTGCCTTTATAAACCCAGCCCCAGTCCATCCATGGGATGTGCCCGTGCTCTTGTTGGATATGTCTAGTTATGTTCATGATGGTTGGGACCTGACACTCGTCAAGCTGCTACCCCTTGTGGATGGCACAAACCATGTTAAGCGAATATCCGAATTGGCAGACACAGACATCGCCTTGGTGTGCCAGTGCGTGGAACACTTAATATACTATTCATTTGCGATTGTGATTGATATTTTCCAATTCTCGAATATCTACGTGCTGCGACCTCAAGTCGCGCGCATGTTTGACGATGTTCAGATGGGCAATGAGTGCGCCTCATACGTCGCGCGTCCAGGTCATCTTCCTCTCCCTGTACCCACATTGTTCAGAATGTATTCCCTACTTCGCAGTGGTCGCACCCTGCACGAATGGGTAGAGATTGCGGGTCATTATGTGCATTCGATCGATATTCGGCGATTCATCACGTTTGGTGTGATTAAAGGATTTGTGCGTCGCGTTCACCGATACCCCGTGTTAATGAGCTCGAACGAGCCTCTCGATTCCTCTCAAACGGATGATGCGCCAAATACTCAGCCAGCCATGATGGAAGGGAACGGGACTAACGCTATTCCATCGCCACCAGCTCGATCGAGCATGTTTTCCCATTTTTTCCAAGGCCTCTCGTCTAGCTCCTATGTCACGCATGAAGAACACGATTCATCGGCCAATGTCAGCTCCTTTTCGAGAGCCAAGGATCTACGGCCCGCTATTACTAGTAAATCATCATCTCGGCAAGGAGCGCATCGCCAACTGGCCACTGCGGTGGACGTAGCCATTGTGGCACATGACGCAAAGACTATGAATTTCCGTGGTAAATCCCCTCGACCTTCTATGCGTCATACTTCCCACAGCCCTGCTGCTCTGAGCTACCCCCCTGAATTACCTTCGCTTCTAGACGGTTTTCACTGCGATGACGAATTGTGCGTAACTTTCGGAAAGAGTTGGCCTGATTTACATGCCCTTATGGAGCGAATTGTCACCCCACATTTAATGAAGAGGCCAACGGACGACTCGCTCTACATGCCTACTTCAGATACCCGCGCCCGTACCGATGTCGGGGCAGGCGCCACCCAACTCATGGGGCCCCAGAGTCAGTTGCGAGATCCGCACCCACTTTATCATTCTCATTCTAACCACTCGGACCAATGTGGGACGACAGATTCGTCTCATGTGGGAGAAATACCATCTGGTCAGAAGCAGCTAGCTGTGATAGCGATTTAAGCTGCTGATACGTGACTATCTAAGGCTATCGAAAGGCCCGTGCGATGCCGTAAGACTAATTAGTCAGCACCGGTTAGCCTCGGTAGTCGGCTTACGCCCCACAGGATCGCTCGTACTCTCTCTAAGCGAGCGACGCTGGACGCGATGAGCGACAGTTCTCGCGAGTCGCTCTTTCTTCAGCGGTACCGCGCCTTTTTAAAGTTTGCAAAAGGTATGTGATGGAAAATGACACTAGATCACCAAACTGTGGTTGCTGCGGGACCTGCCTCGCTTGTCTCTACATTGGCATCCTTTCCCGTACGTGATTGTAATCTCACTCCAGTTTGATAGTGTCAAAAGCCGCATGCAAGTGAAAAACTATCCAAATGCTTGGAAATGTGCACAGGCTGTTATGCGTGAAGAGGGTGTTCAAGGCTTCTTTCGAGGTGTCACCATCCCGCTTATTACAATTACCTTTGTGCGGACCATTTCATTCAGCATGTATTCTACGACGAGGAAATGGATGGAGCAAAACTTTGGACCGCGCGAAAACCATCTCCCACGTACCGCACTGTATGGGCTTGTTGGGGGTATTGCTAGTGGCACGATGATAAGTTGTTTTTCGGCACCCTTTGAACTTGTTAAGGTGGAACGACAGCTCGAGTATCTGATCGCTACCCAGCGCCATCAAGCGAGTGGTAATACCAGTCCACTTGTTTTCAAGCCACGCTCAGGTTTTGAGGCGGCTCGTGACATATACCGGACGCACGGAGGCGTACGTGGATTCTACCTGGGACTGCGTTTGCATATGCTGCGCGACATGTCGGGAACGGCGTGTTACTTTGGCCTCTATGACTCAATTCGGTTGATTGGTGATCGCATGGAACGGAACAACATGTTTATGGGAACTCCTGCTCCCGTCGTATCATTTTTGATTGGGTCGGTGAGTGGCATCTTGTCGTGGTTCTCTATATACCCAATCGACCTCATCAAGACGCAAGTACAGCGAGACGTACTGGCAGGTGTGCAACGACAAAGTGCTGTGGCTGTGTTCCGGCGCCTGCTGCAGCGTGGTGATTCACACCCAACCGAGTTCAATGTGCGCCATGTTCCTTGGCGCCGGTTTCTGCGGCTGTACCGTGGCCTAGGAATTAGTGCGCTCCGCAGCTTTATTTCACACGGATTGATGTGGACGACGATCGAATCGATCAGCCATCGCGTGGAATCGGAGGCAAGGAATCACGACCTTGACTCTTCCTATGACTTTTTGGACTTCCAGTAGACAAGCAGTCAAACTATACCTTATCTACTTGCGATGGGCACGGCGCGCACGGCGCTCCATGTCATCCATATCGCAAAGAGCTTTAGCAGCTTTCCAGAATTGCACCCCGTTGATGATCTGCTTGCCAGCGCAAATAGGGAACGTGAGCGCACCTAGAAGTTGCGGCCAAGTCAAGCGTGGAATCCATACATAAACCAACTGGAAAAGGACACTACTCTTTTCAGCACTGGCCAGATGAAGGAGAGCATTGGGCAGGAAGGGTGCCACTTGCAGGCCCAAGGGCCGCGTGTAAAAGTCCATCAAGTACAGGCACACAAAGAAGAGTTCATTGGCGGCACAGAATACAAAGAGGACACGCTTTTAAGTTAGCAAGGTCACATACCGTATTGGTGTAGTATAGAGAGAGGATCCGTGAGGTTTTAGAGTCAACTTTCTTGTGGGAAGAGGAGCCCGAGACAAGAGTGCTATTGTGAGCAGCATGGCGCACGTACGTGTACATGTGAATGTAGTGACTGCTAAAGTCCAGGGTGACTAGGCCCTGGAATAAGAGGGCATAGGAAGGATAAGTCGCAGTCAGGAAACACAGTAGGCATGCTGTGGTGCAGCGGTCGGTGACCATATCAAGCACGGCACCAAAACGTGTGCTTTGGTTCAGCATGCGAGCAAACATGCCATCAAAGGCATCTAGCAGACACGAAATACAGTATAAAACTGTGCAAACCTTCGGGTTTTCGCGCATAAAGTACAGAGAGATGGCTGCCAGAATCACGCGTGTATAGCCTAGATGTTAAGGTCACGAATTCGTACCGATCAGGTTGGGCACAAAGAGAAACACATTTTCTCGCTTTGCCTCTATAGCGCGAGCAGTGCGTTCTTTTGAAAGCTTTGTCGAAGACTGCTTGCGTTTTGATCCTGCCATTCAGCTTCGGTCTCCGTCACGATGCCGCGGCGCGGCATAGGCGAAGCCCTTCCAACCAGCCACGGCTTCGGCCGAATCTTGCTACACGAACACGACGCACGGTTGCTGCATGGCAAGCGAAGCGGCAGGACTGCTACAAGCGGAGGTGGGTCTACGATTGTATTGACGCAGCCCATTACGGTCATTCCTTACAATCCTAATAACTCAAAATCAAATATATTCTCGCGGATTGAGCTGTTTGAGCGTGATGACGTTCCAAGCACATGGCGGCAAGAAGCCTATGTCAGTACCTGGACAATGGCGCAGGATCGGCTCACAGCTCTGGTGAAGAAACTGTATATGCCTGCATTCTCATCCTTAAGAAAAAGCCTTGACATACAGCCTGGAAATTTGTTTCCGGTCACTGTCCTAGATGGTACGTCGATAGCAGTTCTAACCATCGCCAGCGAGTGCGAGTGCCTCTTGGGAAGCATGGCCTCAGGCGCTAGGGGAAGCCCTTCAGGCACCCAATCGAGTATTTGTTCATATGACACCGGCTCAGTGTGTCAACATCACGTCCGCGCTAAGTGCAGTCGTATCGCAAGTGGCCCGATCAGTGCCTGTCACTCCAGAAACCCAGCAACTGTTCCAGCAGTATGACGCCAGCGATTTAATGTTAATTCCCGCGTTATTCCGTGCCATACGTCAGGAACTTCCTTCCATCGTACTTATCGTGCACGAGTTGGAGACATTTTCTGTGGCTGTTTTGAACGATGCGCTACATGCGTTGCTCGCATGGTCGGGGGGTGCACTGGGAGAGGCCCCTATGATACATTGCCTTTTCATATACACAGCGCCCTTGCCAGTACTTCCACGCTCGAGAGCATATGAATCATTCACTCGCGCGAAACCCTGGATCCACACCTTTCTTTCGCCGCGAGTACTGGCACAGCTGGATCTGGCCACTGTCGACTTGCCGGATAAGACTGAATTCTGGGAGCAGGTCGTCTGCTCATTTTTTGCATTACCTCAAACTAATATATGGCTTGGTCGCAGTATATTCGAGCTAGTGCGACGGCGCTATTGGCATGCATCGCCTAGTTATGACACTGTAGCACAATGCATCCGCCTGTGTTATTTGGAGCATTTCCGTTCACGACCACTATCTGCCTTTGTGCACCGACGACCGGATCTGGCATTAGTTCAAGAGCACTGGAGCCCGGAAATTCTAGCGCAGATGCGCTTGGCCATGTGCTCTAGCTACTTGGGCCAAAAACCTATACCACAACGGGTCAAAAAGCTTGCCAAGGATGACGCGGCTCTTCTGAGCATGGTGTCTGGTGTGTGCGAGGATATGCGGATTTGCATGACGCGGCGTGCTATAACATTAAGCGTGGTTGATGTTCTTCTGCATACAATGGGAATCTCCGGTGCTGTCGGTACAAAGCTCGGGTTATCCGGCTGCACCGCCGTGGCTTTAGAATGGGACCCTCCTTTTACGGACTGGGACGCTTCAAGAACGGCCGTGACCGGCGTCACAGCTTCAACGCCTCATGCTGAGCAGCTCGGTACATTGATCCAACATCTTTGCACGACGGTTACAGTAGAGCAAGTCGACACTCTTACGACGGCTCTGCTCGAACGCCTGGAGGCGTTGGAAGCAACTTTAGACGTTGCTGCAGCAGCCGTTGTCCGCACCTCGTATCGCGAACTCAAGTCCTTTTTAATGCATCCCGCCAAGCGGAGTTTATCTGAGACGGCAATGATTCGTCGCTCAGCACTGGCTCGCTGGGTCTCGACGACATGGGCTGAGCACCGCGAAACACCGTCTGATCTGGGCGCAGCCATTTGCACCTATGACTTCGCAGATCCCATCTCGACCTTATTAGAGGGAGCGGCTCGCGCCGATATTCTATTAGCGCTTGATTCACCGACTGAAGCCCTTGTTTCCATGTATGCTGCTTCGCAAACAGCACCTGGACAAAGGGAACAACCGCTGACGCATGACTGGCCAGAGTGGGAGTCGCAGAATTCTGAAGTCCATACGCTTCGAACCATGCATGAGGCATTGAAAATGTCCGTGATTCCTGATGTTTGCCGACTCTATTCACTCTATAAAGAATCCAGCAAGTTTATCAATTTGTCAGACTGGTATGAAGCTTTTGTGCAGTCGTTTGAGACAGAGGCGAAACAGCGAGAACAAACTCAGTTGCCTGCCGAGGAAGAAGCGGCCGACCTGCAAATGCGGTTCAGCCTTGCTGTCAACGAACTAGCGCATATGGGTCTACTAGGACCCACAGGGCGTAAACCAGAGCATGTATATCGCATTGTGTGGGATTTGCCGATTAGCAGCATGGACGATGCTTAAGACTGTTGAAATTTTTTGGACGATGGGCCCTTGAACCGAAATTTCGATAGCTTGGCATCACGGTTGCTGGGACGTTTAAAACCTCCGCGCCGCGAGGAAGGTTTGAACGAAGGACCCAACATTTGGCGCATGGCCGGCGTTGGCGTTGGTTTTTCCGACAGTCCCATGAGGCCCTGGACCAAGGACTGCACAGACTCGAGAATATGTGCATTGGATGTACGCAACATTTGCCGCAATGAGTAATAATAGCCGAATAGACTCGAAAACACTCCTTGAGCAGTCTCAGCTTGAATGTGACTCTGTGCTTTGGGAATCAACTCACCCTCGAGCATCTTAAGGCGAGGCTCAATCGGTGCAATCAACGAAGGAAGTGGAGCATGATCGTTCTTTTGGGCCAGCTGATCAACCTCTTCGGCAAATGAAGCTGCGTGGAGCGTCTCAAGCGGCATGTCATTCAGTTGGAATGCAACAAAGGCGGTCTCGAAGTCCATAACGACCAAATCAGCACGACCGTCACGACCGCGACGCCCTGTGCGTCCTACGCGATGCACATACATCTCTTTGGAGGGAGGGATACCAAACTGAATAACACGAGTCACCGAAGGATAATCAACGCCACGCGCGCTGACATCGCTCGTAAACATAATGCTAGGTTGGTTATTGCATTGCCGGAAACGCTGGCTAATCTTTGAACGCTTTGATTGATCCAACATACTGTGAATTCGGAACACCTGGGTATTCTTGGAGCCAGGAAGCGACGGTAGCATGACTTGCACCATGTTGGCCAGCATGTCTGTGAGCTTGGTCGTTGAAGTAAATAGCATGATCTTGGAACGAGGCCCGTGTACCATTTGATCATGTGCAATTAGGCGCATGATATGGGATAGCAGCTCTGAAGGATTTTGCAAGGTAGTAATGGTCTGAGGAATCCGCTTATGCACACTGTCTTCGCCTGGTGGTACACAATCAATAAAACGATGTTTTTCATGCAGCGCAGCGCGGGCGACCTCTGTGATAGAGGTGTCCATAGTAGCACTGAAAAGAAACGTAGTACGCTGTTCGTTGGACGGCAAATGCGAGATGATCGACTGGATATCCTCGCGAAAACCAAGTTCCAGTAGCATATCAGCCTCGTCCAATACAAGCGTCTGAGTAGTCGAGATAGCCTCGCGAAAGGACGCAATACTCAAAAGATCCAGCAAGCGACCAGGTGTGGCCACTACAATGTCCTTCGGGTACATATCCCACGGTCGACGCTGTCGAATACTTTTTACACCGCCCACGAGAACATGAACATGCATCCTTCTCTCCTTTTCAACAAGTTTTTTTGCTTCCTCTGCAATTTGCATTGCCAATTCACGCGTCGGAGAAATGACTAGCGTTCCAACACTGCCAAATCGGAATTCACGTTCAAGATCACGCACAGCACGACTGCTTATGTTGTCAAAGGTATCTGTGCCGTACTTATGCTGAATATGATTCCGAAAAGATACAGTAGGCTTGCCCTCCTTCAACTGGTGAATGGCATGTATCCTAGCTTGGATCGAAGGAACCAAAAACGCAATCGTTTTTCCTGTACCAGTGCGAGCTTTGCAAAGCATATCCCTACTTTTGCCATCACTTAAAATCGAAGACGATTCTGACAGCTCTGGAAGCAGTTTGAATACACGTTCTTGTACATCGGTAAGCTTGTCGAAGTGAAAGGGCGATTTGGTCAGGGTGTGGCGCAAAGATCGGGCCACTTTCCAACCCTCTAAGCGTTCCAGGAGAGAAACGCATGAACTATCTGTACTGAAATAGTGTGCATGACTCGTCTTAAATTGTTGAATGGTCCATCTGTGTAGCCGCCAGCCGACAACTCCGGTACGAGTAAGCACCATCATCGTGGGGCAAGGTACGCAGGAAGAATCTTGAAAATTTAGTCATCATCGTATACAGTAAGTACTCAAGTCCAACACAGCGCTCAGGACACCATGGCCGAGCCTCACTTCTTGGATGCTGAACGTCGCAGAAAGGCTGTTGTCAGTGAAACGAACCGATATCAGGTTCGATTTGATGCTCCTGATGGTATTACATTTGCGCCAGACGTGACCAATTCACACAATTCGTTTAAGCGTATATTTCATGTTCCAGCATTACCCGAACCGAAAGAAGCTATGTATAATTTCGAATGGGATATTGCCAAGCATGAAGGTCGTGAATATGTTCCTTCATCTTCTTTTGTAATAGGAGATGATGAAGAACTCACTCCTGCTCAAAAGTTTGCGCAAGAAACGAGAGAGCAAGCTGCCCAAACTCAAATGAAACAGAATGATCAAGACCAGGTTTCTACTGATAATACAAAGACAAAGGCTCCATCTGACTTAAAAGGAGAAAATCCGGCAGCTTCACACCATCCTGACGATACTGCTGAAAATGGAATTGCGGCAACAGACAAGAACAGCAAGTCAGACAAATCTAACGACAAAATGGATCGTATGGAAGAAGATAACACAAACTGCGACACTGCATACTACGATACAGAGAAACCTGAAGAATCCGACAAGCCAGAGACTGAAGAAATTGCACGAAAGGCCAAATCGGAGCTTGAGTCCGATTCCAACAGGATGGTGAATCATGACAATGATAAATCACAGGAGGACCACGGCCCTCTTACTGATGATGTTGAGATGTCCAATACTGCCCATCAAAACAAGGAAACTTCACCAAAGGACAGTGACGTATCGGCTTCTCAAGCAGGGCAACATGCTCAAAATGATGGAAAACAATCAAATGACCTTGCCCAGCGAACGGCCTCTAGGGCAATCGATGATAAAGAAATTACGGCAACGGATCCAAAAGAGAAAGCCAAGATAAAAGCCAAAATCAAGGCAAAGGCCAAAAAAAATCGCAAGAAAGCAGAAAAGGAGCAAGCAAATGCCCAAAGTAAGTCTTCGGATATTTCACAAGCAAAGGAAGAGCGCCCTATTACGGAAATAGGGCCGTCTCATTCAAGTGCTGCACCTGCTAAAGAAGAGAATCAAGAATTGAACTTGGTCAATTCGTCTGAAAAGAGTTCTATTCCCAACCAAAGTGAAGGGAAATTAGATTCATTAGACTTGCCTGACAAAAGTAAAAAATCGAACAGTGTCAAAACAGAACCAGATACTGATGGTACAAAGCTGGAAGAGACCCTTGGAAAAACGGGTGATATCGACGCGCCAAAATTGCAAGACAATATTGAGAATTCTACAGCGAAAAAGCCCGAGGCTGAAGCCCTGAATACGGATGGCGATGAACTTGAGATCAAGCCGGTTGATTCACATGAGCAAGGGGAAAATACCGAGCCTTTAAAACAACCAGGGGAAAATTCGAAGCAAGTCGAGACTGTCGAACCAAAGGATGACCATAAAACTCAAGAAAAGCAAGATGAGCCGAAAAAGGACAGAGTGCCAAATGACAGAGCATCTGTTTTTACAAAATCCAGTACGATGTCCAAGTATGCGCCTTCTGTGAGTGCATTTTCCGTGATGGCCGACAAGTCTCTGCAAGGAAAACTATACAATCTTCCCTCTCAAGTCCAAACTAACTTGCGTGTAAAGGACTTCAAGGTTCCTCCTAGCATCAACAGTAAAGATGATGGCAAAAAGCCCTGGAATAGTAGCACCTGGAGCTCGAATCGTGCATTCGAGTTGCTCAGTCAACAGCCCAAAGGTCGCGACTCGGGTACGCAATGGTCAGAGATCAGTGGCCCAGGTGATTCTACTGCATCGATATCTCAAGATGTTACATTAGATGTCATATCGGCTCTATTTGTACCAGACCCTCGTGCTTGGCGGCCATATCGGTTCGTGCGCCGAACCAACCCTCGTCAAGTACTATTAATGTGTGCTGGCACAGCTCTATCGCCTCCGCAGCTCCGATCTGCGGAGGTGGCGCACCGTGTGGCCGCTGGTCTAATTCCGAGGGAAGAAGCCGCCAAATTACTGGATTTGCCCTATTCTGCATCGGAGAACACAAAACTTCAGGCCGGTCTCGGATTTATATACAGCCCCGACAAGGCTATTTGTGCCGCACTTCATGAGGAACTGGATGTTGCGCGAGTTGAAAAAAATTTTGCGCGACGGCTTGAACGACCAGAATTCCCTGCTACGACAACAAGGCACCGAGCCGCTCTTCGAAGTGTGATCGCTGCCCTGGAGTATGTCCGGTGGGAGGAAGAAGGATTCGACAAAATTGTCCTAGCTACCCATCATGGATGGATTATCCGTGGGATCTCCCATGATATTTGGGAATGGCGCCAGAATGGCTGGAGATTTACGCGCAACAGTGTACTGGGTCTGCCAGGTGAGAATGTGCCGGACAGAGACCTATGGGAGTTGCTTGACTATGTTGTACGCCAGTATGAATCGATTGACTGCAACTGTCGCTTTTGGCATATCCCAAAGGCTACCAACAAAGAAGCTATCGCTCTTGCTGAAATGGGGGCTCTTAAGACAAACCAACAACCCAGTACGGTGCGCTGGACGAAAACCAAGAAGCAATCGTCCGGCACTGTTTAGGTAGTCCGATATGTTCGTACATGATTGGAGCTGAGGCGACGCTGCCTAGGGGCACGTGTTTGCAAATCCCATTTTAGACACCCTGTGATTTGGTATACTTGAAGGTGAAGTGATGTTGTGCACAGGCCATAGGAGCAGGTGCCTGGCTTACCTTTCGCCGTATTGTACAACTGGATTCTTTCCAGTATGTTTGTTCGACATCTTTTGAGTTCATTGGTGGTGGCAGTCCTTGGTGTTAAAGCGTTTTCGTGGCCCAATGATCCCTATGGTGAAACAGAGCTGGCACCCGCATCCAAGGGTTGCTGGAACCCAGACAGGGAAAGCAAGCAATTCACGCTGGCTGTTATGCCTGATACACAGTACCTGTATGACCAAAATAGGATTCACCCCGCACCTATGGAAGCAGCATTTGAGTATTTGACGTCATGCAATGAAACGGGTGAGAACATTGTGTTTATGGCCCATCTGGGTGATATTGCTCAGAATGGCTTAATTGAAGAGTACGCTGTGGCTTCAAAGGCATTCAATTTGCTAGATGAGGCTGGTGTGGCATACAGTACACTGGCGGGTAATCACGATATTGATTCGAGCACTGATGACACGCGTGGCTCGACCCCATTCTTGGACGCGTTTGGCTCGAAGAGGTTTGCCCATTCTAAGACCTACAAAGGATCCAACAAGGGTGGCTACAATAGCTTCCACGTCTTTAGAGCTGGCGGTCAGGACTGGCTCCTTCTAGCATTGGACTGGCGTATGTCGAACAGTAGCTTTGAGTGGGCGAATGGAGTCCTATCGAATCATTCGTCACTCCCTACAATTCTCACTACACATGAACTCGTCTCACCCGACACTGGCGTTACAGAGTTCTCTGACTACGGCGAGGAGGTTTGGGACAAATTGATTCGGAACCACGACCAAGTCTTCCTGACGTTGAATGGGCACTTTTGGCCAGCTGGGCGTACACACCGCACAAACCGCGCCGGTCATCGCGTGGACTCGCACATTGCGAACTACCAAAACCGGTACTATGGTGGTGCGGGTATGATACGTCTGTATCGTTTCGATCTGGAAAACAACACGATTGAAGTATCGACGTTCTCACCGTGGATTCACAAGCTGATGAAGCAGGGCAAGGCCAATAAGCTTGCCCTTCAAGAGGCCAGCCTAGATTCTGATGCGGATCAGTTTTCAATGTCGGTTCAATTCGAGGAGCGCTTCTTCAAGTCAAATAACACCAAATCGAAGCGCGGGGACGTGAAAGAGGTGATTCCTGGGACGCTTGCCTACTGGCGTTTCGACGGACACAACGACCAGACCTCAGTTTCGCACAATCTAACCATCAGAGACCTTTCTGACCACGGCAATGATTTGGTATTTCACGGTGTAAATGAGAGTGCTACTCACACTATCCACTGGTCCAGTGCGCATCATCCCCAGCAACCTGGTCATGGCAGTTTGAACTTTACCGGGCAGAAACAACCGCTGCGTGGATCATACCTCCAAACGGTGGATCACGCGCCGATAAACTATGCCACGTTTGAACATGGTTATACATTTGAGGCATATTACTATCTTCCTAGCAGCTGGAATCCTGACCAGAATGCTTGGTCTAGCATACTGAGCCGCTGGGGCACGGCTGGTCAGGCCAACAAGACAGGCGCTGGTGTGGATCCCGACGAGCCGATTGTGACGCTTTCGCTCTCGAACGACCGTGAGCTGCAGTGGCGAGTCTACCCGTTACACAAGAATGTGGGTAGCACCAATTGGGGCCATGAATCGCCCTTTGATACTTGGTGGCATGTGGCGGTGGTGAACAATGGCACGCTCACCAAAATGTTTGTGGATGGGTGTGAAGTGGTCCGGAACCCCCAGCAATGGGTTCCCGGTCTCACGACACTGAATCAGCCTTGGATGTTGGGCGGTTATGAATACAATGGCACTATAAACCAGATTTTCTACGGAAGTATTGGCGATGTGCGCATTGTCGATCGCCCGCTGTCGATTGACGAGTTCCTGTTGCACTCGGGTGCGGGGGACAAGAACCCTCCACGATAGTATATCTATAATGTATGCTTTGTCAGCTCGCGAACCACGGTCGACTCCCGCGCAGAGCCTGCAGTGCACGATCGACGTGGCATGGCTGCACCCATTCGAACCAGCTCGAGTGTTTCGCGCGATACTGCTTCGAGCCTAAGGTACAAAGCCCTTAGTGCTGAATCCTATCGGCTGGATAGCCCACCGTTTACGGGCGCTGCTGTCGCGGGAGCTGGACCAGTCACCCGGGAGCTGGCCGAGGGCAGCGATGGCACGCAAACAGTCAAGGTGCCCAGCAGAGAGAAAAAACCAATTCAAAACGTTCAAAACCGGTCTTCTGCACGTCCTCTTGATGGTGATGTGAGTCCGTGCGAGTTGGATTCTGGTCTGGATGACGAGCTGGATGAGCACCAAGACTGTGAACATGCCAGCATACCTGTGGATCCTACTAAATGGCGGTCTCCTTATACTCAACCAGTGCCTCTCCAGGGAGAAACGCTTGTATGTATAAAGATGCTCATTGCAGGATGATTACGTTTTTCCTCGTCACCGGCTGGGGACTCAAATGATGGATGAGAACAAAACGCCGCTGGTCATTGTGGCCTGTGGTAGTTTCTCGCCTCCCACCTACCTTCACTTGCGTATGTTTGAAATGGCAAAGGACCAAGTCATTGAAGCAGGCAAGTACGAGCTGCTTGCCGGATACTATTCGCCTGTGTCAGACCAGTACAAGAAGGAAGGCTTGGCGAAGGCGACGCATCGCGTGCGCATGTGCGAGCTGGCTGTGCAGCGCTCTTCCAACTGGCTGATGGTGGATGCGTGGGAATCACTGCAGGGGACCTATCAGCGTACAGCTGTTGTGTTGGACCATTTTGACCAAGAGATCAATGGGCAAGGGGGTTTGCGCCTTCGGGACGGCTCGTACAAACGCATTAAAATTATGCTGCTAGCCGGTGGTGATCTGATCCAGAGCATGGGCGAGCCAGGTGTGTGGGCCAACGACGATTTGCACCACATTCTCGGTCGGTACGGGTGCTTCATTGTTGAGCGTACGGGTGCTGATGTATGGTCCTTCCTGTTGTCACACGATCTACTTTGGCACCACCGCAAAAACTTGGTCGTGGTGAAGCAGACTATCTACAATGATATTAGCAGCTCGAAGGTGCGACTGTTTGTTCGTCGGGGATATTCGATCAAGTACCTTTTGCCGAACAGTGTAATCCAATACATTGAGCAGAACCAGCTGTACCGCTGAAAATAGAACAGTCCAAATCGTTGTGAATGGGTATGGAGACTATGACGGGCAACGAGCAGTGCCCAAGCCAAGCAACAGTTCGACGGCGTGGCGGTCGTGCTCGGTGAAAGAGCCCATCGAACTAGGTATGCCCTGTGGCGAATGAGACGGCGAGCGGTCGGTCTCGTCAAAGAAGCCACTGTCATCATGCACGTCCTCTTTTGTACTCACATCGCTGCGCGTGCTGGAAGTGCGTGCCCAGTGGATGCTCGAGGGCTTGGTATGCGTGGCAGACAGAGAGCGATGCATTGTTGTGGCCATGCGAGCCGGCGGATGTGTATAGTAATGAGCAGCCTCAGGTAGCGGACGAGCAGCGACATTATCTGCCTGCTTTAGCGTGGTGGGCACCATGTTTTCTTTGTCCGCAAATACATCGCGATCCGTGGCTAGTTCTAGGCTCAGCGAGGGCTTCCGCTTCATACTCTCTGTGCGACGAAGACCCACGCGCTCTTGCATCACCAAACGGGCATCCGTTTCAGGACGCTTAGCCTCATTGGCACTAAGAGCGCGCTGGCGTCTTTGCAGGCGCAGGAGGCGTTTCTGGGCGAGGCGACGCAGCGTGCACTCCTCATCGTCCTCGTCACCAGCAGGGGCCGGCTGCATGTCATCCACGTCGCTGGTGCAGCTTCCCAGTGCACTGGAGCTTTCCATGCGCTGCCAGATAGCGCGCTCATCATGACAAGGTCCGCCAGCAATGATGCAATGCCCCTCTCGAGTGCTGGCCAGGGCACAGGGCAACTTCTCAGCGTGCGTAACAGGGTCCATAGCTGCCTCGCCCAGAGCCGCGCGACCACCGGATGTGGTCACCAGGGAGACACAGGGTGTACTGGCAACACGTCGAAAGGGCTCGCGCGGTGGTAGAGACAGCGTAGGAGGAGCCACGGTCGTGGACTGCGACCGCTGAAGGGTATGTGGCTCAGCGCGCAGAGTCCCCATAGCCACGGGAGGCATGCATGCATGTGCATTGTAGCGAAGCGAGCGTTTCTTTTCGGCCTGGCGGCGGTTCTGGAACCAGACAGACACAGCCCTGGCATCAGTAAGTGCACACGCACCGAGGCGTCATTCCAACCAAGCTTGCGAGCCGATCGCGTGTCTTTTCGTTGGGGAAAGCGTTCTGCACATACGCTGACATGAGTATGTCAACTTCGTGTGGGCGCGTCCGGCGCCGGCGCTTTTTCTCGCGCGTGGGAGCCGACGCGCCCGTTGGCAAGGGAGCAGCGGCAGGCACCGTCGGCTCACCACGATCCGCCATGGCGGAAACAGAAACAGTCCCCATCATAGATGGAGCAGGGGATGGAGGGAGGAGGTTGGAAAGGGACCGGGCTCCACGGGCAGTGGGAGGAAGGAGCGCGTTGGTGCTGGCACGCAGCTAGCTCGTCCGGTGTTTGTTTAGCCACGCGCAGATCACGCGCCCTTTGTGGAGGCACATGGTTTGACTTTTTCTCAGCAGCCACCATGGGGGCCCTGCGTCGTGGTAAGGGGGCTCAGCGGGCTCGTGGGACGGCGGTGCATCACCGCGATGTGCCATGGGTCTCTATGCCTATATCCTCTGCGTCTGAAGCAGTCAATGAGACGACCGAGGAAGGATTCGAGGGTCTTGACATGACCGGCGACGACTTTCTCGGTCTGCAGGCTGCCGAAGGTTTTGACGTCGTATATGAGACGGATCCAACGAGCAAGAACAAGCGCATGCGCATAGTCAAGGTTGATGACCACAGAAAAAAAAAGGATGCACGTACGGAGTCCCGCGTGCCAGCTCAGAGCGACAAGAGCCGTCCAGTGACCAAGGCCGAGCCATCGGCCGATGAGGACGATGTACAGGCCGGCATGCCCGAGAAACCGGCCGCCAAGAGAAAGGCGAAGCGCCATGAAGCAATCTTGGATGATTTGGATGTGGGAAAGGCACTCCAAATGGCGCGCGAGCAAGAGCTGCTCCTCGACGACGATGCGGGCGACGACGGGAAAGAGGCCGCGGAGGCAGCTCTGCCAGGCTGGGCGTCGCTGCCGTTGCACCCTCGTTTGAAGCTGGCTCTCTCGAAGCTTAATTTTCAACAACCGACACATGTGCAGGCGCAAGCGATTCCCCCATCCATGGGGGTGGATGGCGCGCCGCGCGATGTCGTGGGCATTGCTCAAACCGGTTCGGGCAAGACGTTGGCGTATGGTCTTCCTATTTTGCACTACATCCTGGAAAACTCGGCGAACTCGACGGAAGCGGAGCGGCCGCTGGATGCACTGGTCCTGGCCCCAACCCGTGAGCTCGCGTTGCAGGTGACTGCGCATTTGCAAGCGCTCACCGAGGCGGGTGGTCGCTTTGCGAACGTGGCTGCTGTGTGTGGTGGAATGTCTGTCCAGAAGCAACAGCGGGTCTTGCGGCAGCATGGCGGCTCGCATATCATTGTGGCCACTCCTGGTCGTCTGTGGGACATGCTCAAGCACGACGACGCCCTGGCACTGCGTGTGCGTCGAGCACGCTTCCTAGTGATTGACGAGGCGGATCGGATGGTGGAGGCCGGGCACTTTGCCGAAATGGATGCCATCCTGGGAATGGTGCGCCGGACGAAAGGGGCCGTCGTGGATGCCAACGAAGAGATGCAAACGTTTGTGTATTCTGCGACGATGGCCAAGGCGTTGCAGACCAACCTAAAAAAGGCGAACTGGCGCAAGAAGCAGCGCCAGTCACAGCCCAGCAACACCTTGGACGACCTATTAGCGCGCGTTGATTTCCGGGACGCAGAGCCACTGGTCGTGGAGCTGGTGCCGGAGCGCCATGTGGCCGACACACTGTGGGAGACCAAGGTTGAGTGTGTGGGAAAGGACAAAGACTCGTACTTATACTACATCTTGCTGCGGTATCCTGGGCGCACGCTCGTCTTTCTCAATGCAATTGATGGTGTGCGGCGACTTGTGCCATTGCTCACGACGTTGGGCATCGCTGCATTCCCGCTGCACGGACAGCTGCAGCAGCAGCAGCGGCTAAAAAACCTGGACCGTTTCCGCAAGACGCCCAATTGCGTCCTCCTAGCGACGGATGTGGCAGCCCGTGGTATCGATATCCAGGGTGTGGACCACGTGGTGCACTTCCAGCTGCCCCGCTCCGCAGACACGTACGTGCATCGTGCTGGGCGTACCGCACGCGCGGGTCACATTGGTGTGTCGATCGCGCTCATTGAGCCGTCTGAAATGCGCCTGTGGCACAACATTTGGCAGGCGCTCCAGCGGGCGGACACAGTAGCGGCGCTACCGGTGGAATACGCCTTTATGAACCCAATTCGCGAGCGTCTGGCCGTAGCCAAGGAGATTGACAGGCTCACGCACGTGCAAACCAAGGCGTCGCACGATGACGCCTGGCTGCGCCAGCTTGCGGTGGATGCTGAATTGGACTATGAGAGCGATGCAAGCGATCCCGATGCGGACCACGTGGGGCGCAAACGCAAGCGACACGCCTCGCCCCCCGGGCTCGCGCGGCTCAAGCAGCAGCTGGCCGAGATGCTGGCGCGGCCCCTGCGCGCACGGGGCGTAAGCCAAAAGTACATTACCAGTGGCTCGAGGCCCGAGTTTGTGCAGACGATGCTGGCAGGTGACAGTACGTATAGAGAACTCACACCAGATGTGCCGCAGATGATCGGCCTGCGGAACTCGACCATCCACGCAGATATGGCTGCTGCCAAAAAACCGTCGAAGTAGAAACTATGTACCATACTTGGCCCCACGGTAGAACGCAGGTGGCAAAGACTGCGCCAACGAGAAATACGGCCGCTCCACCACGAGCAGCTCGGCGGCGACGCCCGAAGATGTGAGCGCGCCGACATGAAGCAGCGGCTGGTACTTGAACGTGGTGCGAACGGTCCAGGCCCCTGCCTCGTCAGGCTCCTCACCCGTATTGCGGCGCTTTTTGCGCGCGGCTGCTTTGGCCTCGCTCTGGCGCGCAGTACACATCCACGTCGGGCCATGCAGGATGAGCGTCGCGCCAGCTGGGCTGGGCACCCATGTCGAGCCGACTACAGGCTCGCGGATGCGCCCGAGCTGCGCATCGAGCTCTTGGCGCAGTCCGTTCTCCCACGCAGGCTCTTGGTCGGCGTCCAAATCGTAGAACGATACCTGGTTCGTCGGCAGCGTGATGACCAGCAGACTCGGTTGCGTCGGATGGAAGCATGCACTGCTCGGCAGGCAGGCTGGCGACGCGAGCGCACGCTGGTAAGAGAGTGTGTCTAGGTGGAACACGTGCAAGCGGCGACTGGCATCGCCGGTGAGCAACCACTGACTGTCAGGCGAGATGGCCGCTAGCACCACGGGCGCGAAGGCATCGCGCGGGCCGTGGGCGGACGCAGATGTGTCGGCGAGGGGCGTCGCGTCCGCGTCTGATCGCACTTGACCAGCAAGGACGCGCCCATCGACTGCCGCGCGGCGCGAGCGGTGCTGCTCGAACGATTTCAGAAGCTTAAGGGGCACGTCGTCGTGTACCGGCAGCTGGATAACATGCACAAAAGCGCCCTGCCGAGTACAGAGAATCAGACGTGTGCTGTCCGGCGTGAACATCAGCGACGAGGCACCGGGCACAGGCACAGGGCGCCTGTACATGGCCGCACCGAGCCCCTTGACTAGCCGAGGGCTGTCCTTCAAGCTGTAAAGTTTCGTTTCATATAGATCAGAGATGGCAAGGAAGCGGCCGTCGTGCGAGATGGCTGCAGCACCAATATTGGAGCGCACCTGCACCTCCATTTCGAGCACCTTGCGCCACGCTCCCCCCTGCTCGATCTGCCAGAGCCCTACGCTCCGATCCCGCCGCAGCACAATCCAACGCTGCCCAGGAGCGACGCAGACGACTCCATCGCGAGCACTCGCAGGAACAAACGCAATACGGCGCTGGATTGTGTCAGCAAACGATGTTGACGTGCTGGACGAGACAGGGTTGGTATCCGACGACTTGCGCCACGCTGCATGAGATGCAGGCGTCAAGACCAGGTGGTAGTCAAGGCCGCCGCTGACCAGGATCGGAACACGTGGGGTCGAGGCTGGCAAGCACATATTCAGGGGTGGATCCATGGCGAGCGCGCGCACATCATGCGCGTGCAAACGGCGCGTGCCTGTGTGAGTCCACGTGGAGCTGACGAGAGTGTATTCCACCACCTTTTGGTCGACGCCCGCGCTGTAGACGGCTTTGGCATCATTGCTAACACACAGGGAGAGGACATCAGCGCCGGCTGTATGGCACTGGAATGTGGCGCCGGGTATAGGCACGCGTGTCCGCGCATCAAAGAAGGTCACGCGCCCGGTGGAATCGCCGGCCACCAGCGTTCCATCGCGCAAGACTGCGACACACCACACGATGGTGTGCTCTTGGCGGTTCTTTAGCAGTGTCAAACGAGAGCGCATCTGGCCCGTAGCCACGTCCCACACCGCCGCCGTCGAATTGCCTAGGCCGCCAAGAAGGAATGTATCCTGCCATGTGTCTTCGTCCTCGTCCGAAGACAAGTCCGCGTCATGGCGCCTGGCTACGCGCTTCGGAGGGCCCCATGCCAGGCTCAGGATGCGGCTTGCCACGCGCGACATGCGAGGCTGCACAGGCACCTTCTCAATTGTACCTCGCGACGCAGTGACGTGCTCAAACGCGTCACCTGCGACGTTGATCAGGCGCACAATACCATCCTCACACCCAATCGCAAGGTACTTACCCGTGCTGCTGGCCGCCATGCTCCAAATCGCGCCACCTTGTGACGGCAGGGTGCGCGTCGGTACCTGGTGCTCTTCCAGCGCCAGGGTCGCCGGTCCATCTTCGCTGATTCGGGCAATGGACGCAGGCAAAAAGTGCTCCGATACGATACTGCCACCTGATGTACTAAAGAGCCGCAGATAGGGTGTGCCTTGAGGCGTGTGGGATACGGTAAAAGCAAGCGACTCGATTTTGTACTGGATATCGCCCAGCAAGGTCTGGGTAAGTAGAATACACGAACCATTTCTGGCATCCAGCCCTTCGCCATAGATTTGCTTCCGGAGCGAGTATCTTCGCACCATGTACAAAGATCAATGTTGCCATTGTCACGGCCGACTGCTAGCACGGACCGCGTGGCGCCCAGGCTGGACGCCATACCACTACTCGCCACGGGTACCGGCGAAAACGCGAGGGCCGTGATGGCGGACGGACTCCAGTCCACAAACCGCACGCGATGGAGCGGCAAGGCCGCCACCGCACGCCCGTGGGCCTGGCTCGCGTCGCTCATGGCGTGTGTCCAAAGCCAAGTGGCCTCGCCTCTGCTCGCAGCCGGCGAGGAAAAAAATCGTGCTCACGTGATGGAAGCGATGCGAGCCGTGCGCGGCCCTCGCGAGGAAGCGCGTGAGACTGAGAGCCACACATCATGACCGCAAGGAGCAAGACGAATCATGCACCAGTGTCGAAAACCGTGGTCATCAAGCTAGGTACCTCTTCCATACTCTCTGAGGACACCCTCGAGCCAAAGATCCGGATACTTGCATCGCTCGCCGAGACGGTATCGCTCTTGCGGCTGCGTGGACACAGAGTGGTCATTGTCTCGTCCGGTGCCATTGGTGTTGGGCGTGTAAAGATGGGGATTAAGGAAAGGCCAAAAAACCTTGGGGAACGTCAAGCGCTCGCTGCGCTGGGGCAGCTGCGCCTCATGACACTCTGGGACAGCTTTTTCGGCGCACTGGGGATCAATATCGCCCAGGTGCTGCTGACGCGCGCAGACATTGCGGACAGTCCGCGCTACCATAATGCGCGCACGACGCTTGAAACACTTTTGTCAGGCGATTTCAAGGCTGTGCCGATCGTCAACGAAAACGACACCGTCTCAGTATTCGAGATGCGCTTCGGCGACAATGACTCTTTATCGGCCATCACCGCGGGGATCATTGACGCAGACTATTTGTTCCTGTGTACAGATGTTGATGGCCTCTATACGGACAATCCTCGCTCACACCCAGATGCCTACCGCTTGCATGTGGTGCCGGATATGGACATGGCCCGGAAAGCGGCCAGTGTCAAAAGTTTGGGCTCGAATTTTGGCACCGGTGGAATGCAGACCAAGCTCATCGCTGCAGAATTGGCCACAGCAGCTGGGGTCACGACGGTGATTTTGAATGGTGAGCACCCTGAAAATATTGCGCGCATCGTCGAAAGCGACCTGGCTTCGCAGCCGGGGGTAGAACAGATGCAGCTCAATGATCCACCTCATACGCTGTTTCTACCTAGCAAGATACGCATGCCCGCGCGGAAATGGCGCATCCTACATGCAATGCATCCTTGTGGCTCGCTCTGGATCGACCAAGGAGCGTATGAACGTCTCTCGCGGAGAGAGTCGGGCGGTCGCTTGCTTCCTGCCGGCGTGTTGGCCGTGGACGGGACCTGGGAGCGTCTGCAGGCAGTGCGCCTGCTTGTGCGGGACGTACAGGAGGATGGGAACTACATCGACAAAGAAGTCGGACGAGCCTTGGTGAACTACACGTCGGTGGACTGTGAGCGCATCAAGGGTCTGCAAAGGTACGTGTACATGTGTCACTTACACATACAGTTCCCAAATCGAAGATGTGTTAGGTGCAGCAGACTCGACATATATCTCAGATCAGGTGGTGCTCTCGGCACCGGCACCCTAGTCGCGACATTGTACAGACAGATCAATTACCCAAGATAGTCAATCGACTTGCCACCCATAGTCGCCTGCGCCTGCGTCACACCACCAGAGGCACCCGGCGGTACAATTTCACTTAGCTTTTCGCCAAGCTTGAGGGTGTTCCACTTAATCACACGCGGGTCCTGGCGCAGACGGTCATTGAGCACTTTGAGCGTAGGTGCGTTGGTATCAAACTGCATGAGCCAGTAGCTGGAATGTCAGCCACAGACACTTACTCTCCCGATGTGTGGTAGGCCTGGTGCCGTCGTGCACGCTGCGGCAGGGTGCGCTTGCCCCAATACTGCACGTTGCGGACCACACCACCGTGGTTTAGCACGAGGCGCGAGGTCGAATGGACAAGATCACGCAAAGGCGCCTGACTCGTAAGCGAAGCTCACTTACCGACTCTGAAGAGGCGATGGCGACGCAGAATAGTTCGTACAGACTGAGGTCAGCACCACGACCGCTACGTACGGCATAGCAGCGTTCGTCGAGTAAGAAGACCTTCGAGCGTCGCGGTCGATGGCTTAGTCAGATTTCTATGACCTAGGGGGACCGCACCGCCTGGTGGAGAGCGAGGCTGAGTGACAGGAGCTGCAGGCTTTCCAGACCACCGTCCATAAGGGCCTTGTCTGTGCTGCCGAGCTGAAGAGCGCACTGCGCCTTTTGGCGCGCATTCAGCAAAGGGTGTGTGATAATGTAGTCGTGGAGCTGGAGTGAGCAGACACCACGCACCTGCAGGACCACCTGCATACAAGAATAGCCCTCGCGGACAATGCAGTCCACAACGCGCGAAATCCGATCAAAGTCAGAGCCCGCAGCAGTCGACATAGATTCGTCGGAATTTATTCCAATGCTCTGTGCCAGTGACTCGATCACATCTGTCGGCACAACTCCAGCCAGCTCACTGACTGTTGCGGCGGACATGGAGCGGACATCGCCGCCCCGTGCCGTGGCGAGACGCGCGACGGACTGGAGATAGGTGATGGAGCGGCGCATGTCTCCGTCAGAGGCGCGGATCAGTGCAGGAATGATCTCGGGGCTCAGCTGTAAACCCTCGGCTTCAGCAATGTGGGCCAGGCGTGCCTCTGTGCTCGCTATGTCCAGCGGCCGGAATCGGAACTTGCTGCAACGCGATGCGAGCGGCTCGATAATTCTCATGTCAGTTCATAGTACACACCGAGTAATGTAGTTGCATATCAGGCAGAACCGCGTGATTCGGCTATGTTGCTCCATAATGCGACGGAGTGCACCTTGGGCGTCTTGTGTCATGCTGTCCGCCTCGTCAAGAATTACGATCTTGTAGGGAGGAGACGGAAAGCGACTGTGTTACTCAGGGGCACGTACGGGTCGGGGGCAGACACAGCTGCCATAGCAAAAGATTTGATTTTCTCGCGAACCACTGAGATGCCGCGCTCGTCGGACGCGTTCAGCTCCAGCACACGAGAGCGCATGAGTTCAGGGCTGGAGTCAGTGCAGAAAATACCCACCCAAAAAGCTGCCTGGCGAGCGCGAGAATTGTCGACGTTTTTCCCGTACCAGGCGGGCCATAGAACAGCATGTGCGGGAGCTTCGGTCAGCAGCACGTCACGTACGTTGGTCGACGATAGCGCCTTGCGCAATACGTCCACAGCATGCTGCTGGGACGCCACATCGTCAATGCTTTTAGGCCGGCTCTCGGTAAGGCACATTGTACATACTACCGCTCAACCCACGGTCGACCTTCACTCGCCATACTCTGAAGGTGGGCGCGTGTCGGGCGCGCGCCGAGACGTGGAGTCCCAAGTAGCCTACCAGGTCTATAACACATGCATTGCACCACGAGTCGTTACGGCCGCGTCGCGCGTCTCCGTTGCGTGCGCCATGGACGACAGCATGGGCCCCCGACCTGATGCTGTGCAGCCGGGTCCCGAAACGGGAAAGCGCAAAGCAGGGGATCCACCCTCGCGTGGTTTGCCAAAACAAGCGAGGAAAGACGCTGCCTTGGTGCAACTAAAAGGATCACGCCTGATGCTGAAGCAGAAGGCGGTGGCATGGGATCGGACAATGCCGGTTCTACGCGGTACGTACTATTTGTGCTGACATGTAGCTGTACTGGAGTTTCAGTCGTTTCTATCACAGCGAGCCACAGAGGCGCTGCATGAGATGCCCGAGGAGCATCTGAGTCTGATTGCCTCGTTGGCTCAGGAGAGGTACATATCCTTTGGCTAACACGAAAGCGACAAGAACGAAGCCGACCTCGCAAAAAGTATCCGCGCAACGCTCATGCCGGAGGGCAGTGAGATGACAAATACCGAGGGAAATATGGTCGATGTGTTGAGCCTATCGACCATCCAGTCGAGCTTGCTGCGGATTGCACAGCGGGTGAACTATGGTGTTGATGTCGGGCCCGAAGACGAAATGGTGCCTACTGTATGTGCATAGAGACTGACACTAGTCATTGCAGTTATGGCGCTGGGAGGTCCATGACCTAGGACTGCTCCCGAAGGAAAATCTCGACAAGCTTGTGGCACGCCGCGAAGAGCGTGTGCAGGCCAGGGCACAGGTCAAAGAACTCCTGGAGGGTATGCCACCGGATAAGTACCAATCTCTCTTTCAGTCAAGGAAAAAGACAAGTGCAAAGCCACCCAGTCAGGATGGCCGAGACGCCCAGCTGGAGCGCGGATCGTCGCCCGCGCCAGTCAGTGTGCCCGCTCAGTCAGAAGAAGCGCCCAAGCCCGCGACTCCAGCACCCAAGGAAAAGTCGGAGCGCACAAAGCTCCGAGAAACACGCCGAGCTGAACGCCAGGCCAAGGAAGAGAAGGAAGAAAAGGACAAGCAGGCTCAAGTACGTCTGTTTAACTCCTTCTTTCAGCAGCCGGCCGCAAAGTTGTCGGCGAAAAAGGACGAGGACGAGGACCATAAGACAGACTTTGAGAAGACATTTTTGCCCTGTGAATTTAAGAACGTGGCGGAACCCAACAAGTTTTACCGCCCGGTTGATGATTCTCTCCTAAAAGAGCTAGACATACGCTCGCACGCACCGTCAGGTACGTCCAAAATATTCACACAGATCTTCTCTCGGAATTTAAGCAAAAGTATGGGCGTCCCAAGACGTCACGCCTGCGTGGCATTTACCCACCCGTCCATGTACGGGAGATTATGAAAGCAGTGACGGAATCAGATGTGTTGGGGGGGAATGCAGAAGAGCAAGCGAAGCGCGGCCTGGAGAAGCTAAACAATCGACAGCTCTTGCCGATCAAACTGCTCCAGTTCCAGTCTGATCGGCGCCCTGGATGGATAGGCACATTCACGCGTTCGTCCAAGTTTATCACACCACGCAAACCATTGGGTCAGGACCCGCTCGTGTTGGATTATTCCTATGACAGTGATGCAGAATGGGAAGATGTCGAGGAAGGCGAAAATGTCGACCCATTGGACGAACGCGAAGACGAAGAGAGCGTGGCCGGCTCGGAAGAAGACTCGGAAATGGACGATTGGCTTGAAGATGACCTGGAAGAAGAGGAAGAGGCTATGCCTCTCGGCGAAAGTGTCGCCGAATTAGAAACGCCTGCTAGTGTTTCGTCGTCGCGCAGTGCTCTTATTAGCTCCGCGCCAGCCGGTGTCAATACTTTAAAGCCGAAAAAGAAACTTAAGCTGCTTGGTCGTCGCTTTGACTCTAAATTGGTTCCTTACAGCACGGGGCCCCATTGGGAACTCAAAATGAGAGAACCTACCCACGAAAGCTTTGCACCATACCAGATTCAGTTCTTGAACGAAGCGTACGTGGGTCTAGATCCCTTTTCTTTTCTTGCACGGACAATTACGATTGATGCTGAAGATGTGCCATTGGAGAAAGAAAAGCCCTCTACCCCCTCTTCTATTGTGGCGCAAGCGTCTCCGTCGGGGTCATCCACGGCACAGCCTGCTCGTACGACGAAATTCCTCTTTCCCGATACCCATCTACCTGAACTACTTCATTTGATTGAAGGATCTACACGGTCAAAACCCGCCCTTGTTGAAGACTTAAGAGAGCACTTTGCGCCGACTATTAAAGGTGTTAGCAAGACAGCCATTGAAGCTAAGTTAAACGAATGTGCCACACGTGAAAGCAAGAAACCAGGTGCAAAATGGATCATCAAGGATGAGTGGAAGGTATTTCTAGAATAGCTGAACTCAAGAATTATAGCAGCAATTAGGAGACAGAGGAGCTAAATGGCCTTCTCAACGGCATAGAAGCAGCGAAGATACCCTAGAGCAATATTCCTTTAGGGCGATGTTCATGTTGTGCTAGATGGCTTCGCTAACCAACAGTAAGGCAAGATGGCCGAGCGGTCTAAGGCGCAACGTTAAGGTTTCCTTAATTCACAAGCTAAATAGCTTCCGTTGTCTTCGGGCGTGGGTTCGAATCCCACTCTTGTCACAATTTTTTGCTTAGCCGCATGTTACCCTCCACATGTGTTTTTGCCATCGTAACAATAGACCGTTACGATCTCCACATATCATGGGATCTACTGAGGCTGAGGTTACGGAGTCAAGTCTCCCGTAAGTGCTCTTTTTGTTTTGTCCTGACATTTAGAGAAATGATCAATGAGCTCAATTCGGTCCTGGTTCCCGATGAGGAGGTGGTCAGGATTCAGGAATCGAAAAAATTGATCAAGGAGATTAATGATAGACATCAGGTGGAACGCAAGGCCGTTCTTGAAATGATCCAGGGTATGTGTTGTGTGAAGTTCTCATAATAATAGGCCTGGAAAAATCAGTGTCCCAGTTGCGCGAGAGCACATCGCGTTCGTCGGCAGATTGGCGCTCTCTTGAGGAGCACATGGCCGTCATGAAAAATATGGAAGATCAAAAATTTGATCTGGCGCGAAAGATTAATGAGCAAGAGGCTGCTCTCTCTATGCTTGAGTCTGAAATTGAAGAACTGCGTCGAAAAAGCGACATGCTTGAGAATTGGGACGTGGAAGAAGAAGTGGTGATGGATAAAAATGCGTATGTGGGTGTACTAACTATAGTCTTTCTCTTAATCTCTTCCGAGGAATTGGGTTCCTCCCACACTATGAAAGCAAGCAACCAGATGCACTTATGGTGTCTTTGTTAGTTCGTTCGACTAAACACAACGTTGCAACTTCGTTTGATATCGACTATGATGCATTAAAAAATTCCCCTTCAGAACGCTGCGCCTTGGCCATGCAAATATGGGATGCAGTAGAGTAATTGGTTTCACTGATTTTGCTAAAGAAATGTAGCTGGTATTCGCTTGTAGTTGGGCCTGGGATGATACCCTTAGTGTGGAGATAATAGTGTCACTTTCGTACCATTTTTGTTTTCGTTCAACAATCACGCATGACTGCCTACACTACCTCGTCTCGACCCCGTCGTTCGTTCTTCGGCTTAGCCATTCTGGCTACAATCATAGCCATCATCGGTACACTCATTACGTACCTTGACTCGAACTTAGTACGCATATCCTTATTTACTTAAGCGCCGATTTTACATTTTTGACCAACCGAAATTACACGCCATTGTGAAAGATGCAGTTGCTAACCATGGCAACAACACTGAAATGATCTTCGATGAAATTGTAACCCAACTTCGCAAGGATCCGAAAGTTGGCCCTACCCTAAACCCGAACTCTTTCCGCGACCCCAACGAATGGGTTTTCAATAATGCAGGCGGTACGTCCATTTCATGCTGACTAGTAGGTGCTATGGGCTCTATGTACATCATCCACGCCTCTATCACCGAGGTTCGTGCTCACATCTAACGAAAGTATCTAATTTTTTTCGGCACACCAGTTGGCACCGAGGGCCACACTGGGCGTCACACCGTAAGTATTTCCGTGCTCTTATACCAGGCGGACGATTACTTCCACATTCTGACCGGCGAGCAACGTGCATACAAGGCTGGTGCTTTGGTCGATGAGGTACGTGATCTTTGTTTTACATCCAGCGTTATCCGGCTGGCTCAATGCATTATCTTAAACGCGGCCAAGTAAAGCAGTACATGATGCCCGAATCGGGCTGCTGGGCACTTGAGTTAGCTCAAGGCTGGATCCCTCCAATGCTGCCTTTTGGATTAGCTGACACACTCTTTTCTACTCTAGACCTTCCCACATTCTGGCGCACGGCTGTCATTACTGCCCGGGAGATGATCTCTAATCTGCTTCGTGGTATGTATCAAGGCGAGGTTTGCCAACTATGTACAGGAAAATTTTAATCGAGTTCATCCATATACGGCGTTCTTGCTGTGATGGCGCAATTGCTTACCATGATAGGCGAATACGAATCCAATAGCCGTCAAAATGATTGAAATGCCGCCGAACATGCTCATTGCTCCTTGGATAGTCATGGCGTTTACCATTTGTCCTGTGAAGAGCGGAAAACTTCCAGCTAATAAACATCGCAGAAAAGTATTGATGGATATAACGGCCGCGGTATTGTTGCTGTAAGTATCAGTCATATAAGCCATCCATGAATTGAAGGTCGCGAGCATTCCAAACGAAAAGCAGACACTGCCGATACTTGGAGCAATCCAATGAATATCTGCAAAAGGTGCTGTCCAACCAAAGATGAACAAGCCAACCGGTACTAGTACTAGCGTGAGTACACAAGAGCGGATGCGTAGTTCAGGAGTATGTTTATTCTCATCGTATGCTTTCTTGAAATGTTTGTTTTGCAGCCAAATTCCGACGATCAATGTGGACAAAACAAAACCAAACATCACAGCAAAGTATGTAAATCCCACTTGAACACGAGTGAGATGCCGTATATTATACCATACTGCCGGAAAAAAAAGAAGGGACCCATAGAGTAGTCCATAGAGCAAAGCCGTATAGAAGCACACGATCATGATGACAGGCTCTTCTAGCAGGAGTTTGATTGGCAAAGGTAGCGAACCAACAACACGGTATACAATGAGCTTGAACATTTTTATCGTGGGCCAGGCATGCATGAACCTACGCCACAACCACCAAAATTTACTGTGATGGTGAGACCACTCCTCAATGACTTCTTTATCAGCTAGAACTTGTTTTTCCAATAAAACAGGCGGATAAGTCTCTGGGACAGTTAGTGTGTAGATGATCAGCAATACCGATCCAACAATGGGGATGGAACGTAAATTCCATCGCCACGTCGTTTCGTGAACAGTAACAGCGCCAAGAAGTGCAGCCAAAGGTGGACCAAAAAAGGCAGAAAAACGAAACATAGAATTGTAGGGTATGCGATCACGTTCCGTCGTCATATCCACAATACTACCTGCAACGTTAACAAAAATCGCTGCAGCAAAGGCACCAGCAAATGCGCGACAAATAAGAAGCGTTCTCATATGATCCGACAAGCATGCTCCCAAGTCAAAGAGAATCATTCCGGTCATGCCGATGATAAAAAGCGGTCGCCGACCCACAACTTGACTGATTGGCCCCCAAGGTAAGGCGCCAACTGCCATACCAAACATATAAACGCTCGTTCCTAATTGCGCGACTTCTGTGCTAACATGGAATTCATCTTTTACAGCTAGAACACCAGGCGAGTATATACCAGACGCATAAGCAGCATAGACAGTGATCCAATCGAAAACAGCGTTGGAATAGATCTTCTTGGCAAGTGGCCAATTTCTCGGGTGACTGCTGTAGTCTAATTCCGTTGAAGGCACAATGGGTCTTGCATTAATTGATACAGAATCATCATTAGTACATTTATTTTCTTCGTCCATGACATAGAGAGGGCTTGGTGGAAGGACGAGTCATACACTTGCAATACTAAGAGCACAACCGTGCCGGTACACGATATCCTCCACAATGACGCACCAACAACCAAGAAAATTCCTAGACAAAATATGATAAGCTTTTATGGGGATGCCATCTTAGTCTTTTTTCATTTCATTAAATACCATTTTCAACTATGACATATTATTAGTTTTTTGATGTAGCGAAGCACGCGCTCGAGCCGCCAAATCAGCATACTGATCACGATTTGCTTTCTAATTGTCAGATACTCATACCACGTACTAGCCAACTCCGGACCTGATTTTCCGAGGACACCAGCTTTTTCGCACCTGTACCATCTTGAGACTGTTCCCATTGAAGTAAAATTTTTTTCAATGTAGAGATAGATTCTCGATGTTCTGGTGCCGCATCGAGGTTCGCATTATAAAGGTTCACCCACTGCCGGTGTCGTTCGATGAGCCTGTCTTTTGCCCCATGCACGGGCAGATGGAGAGCCTCAATATAAATACAAAGAACATACCTCGAGAAGTTTGCGCATATCGCGCTCTGTCTTCAAGTGGTATTGCGGGCGAGTGAGCTTTTTTGTGGCCTGAGTATTGGTCTCCTTAGAAACACCCAACCAACTATCCATTGAGGTTGAATTAGTTGCTGGCTCGATACCACACCCATAATCCAGATGGGCATTAAGGGATGCAACATCAAATTTCTGTTGACATATCGGACATTGAACAACAATGTCCGAGTTCAGGGTGCGATAATCGACATCATCCACGCCTGGTGTACCAGCTACTCGCTTTCGTGGTCGAAGGTAACGGTGTTCTCCTTCAAGGGCTGGCTCTTCTAGTTCATCAGTCTCTTTCAGAGATTGAGTTTTCTCTTTATCCTGCTTTTTCTCGAGTGTCTGTAGTTGATGCCGTTGTTTCATCAAAAATATCCTACTGTATTATTCCATTGACTCACGTACCTCGCGTCCCGCCAGTGATTCGCTGCTGCTTCGAGCGCAGGTTGGGCAACCAATTCACCATCAAAGGCTTTCTTTTGCCTACAATTTGGACAGAAAGTACCTTTACCACCAGGCTGATTGATATGCATTCGAATGCATGAAGAACAGAACACATGAGCACATTCCCTAAGTGCGACAGGCGCACGAAATATGTCCTTCTGTTAGAATTTCCAGACATACATAGCAAAGGGTACAGCGTAGAGAAGAGTCCAAGGGGCGCAAAGTAGCCCATTCGCCTGTCCAGTCAGAGGGATCGCCTATCTCGGCAAGCAGCGCGTCATTCATGCTGCCTTCTCGGGTGGAGACGCGCGTTGCTTAGACATTCACACTGGAGGTTGTGTTTTCTCCACATTATAAAGCCTTTGGTCGACTACAGGTATCATTATAAGCGCCGCTGGAGTGTATGCTCTAGCGGTGATGGCGGAGACGCTCATGGCGAAGCATTGCATCTTTTCTAGAAAACGTTGCACCACAAATTCGACATGTCCATTCAAGTTCCGCTAGAGCCTTTTGTACATCAACTTCCTTCCCTAGCACGATGCATTGATCCACCTTAAGCAGTCCATCTTTCACAAGCTGTGCTTCTTCGCGTAGATGTAGCGTGATACGATGACGCGCTAAATCATACATGCGATGGAAAATCGTACCACAGACCTGATGCGTTACAGGCGATACGTAGTCACAGCGTATGGCTGAGCCCGATACAGGCGAGGACGTATTGCCCCTGTTGATATTATGATTTGACGTGGGTGAGGTACCGAATGGATGTCCAGCAGTACGATGCAGTGGGTTTGTCGCACTTGATCCGCGTGCACTTGACACCGTACGTGGAGGACGCCCACGTCGGGCAGTAGTTCGGTGCGGTGCGGGCGACATATGGTGTGTTTGCTCATAGTCGGAATCAGCATCGAGTTCTGAACTCGATGATTCCGAAGATTGAGCAGTAGAAGAACTAGGTATGACCGAAGATGGGGAGGCCTCCTTCTGGTGACTTCGACTGGACGGCCCGAATGTGGCTATACCTGTGGAAGAATCCTTGATGGACATAGGGTGTGAGGCATCTTGCTCTTGGTCAGTAGCGGGTGTGATTGCCTGCGCACTGTTCAAAATTGAAGGGCTTCGCCCATTGTCATCATCATGCGTTGGTTCACTTTCGGTGGCACTTATTGACATTTGCGAACCTGAGACTGACTCCATATCTGTGCCCGTACCAAAAGTGCTGTCTTGACTGCTGGGAATATAGCCATAACCAGTCATAGCACCTGAATTGGTGCGGCCAAGCGGCTCAGTACCGTTGCGAGTTTTATGCATTCGAGCACCAGTATGATTAGGGAGATCATCTTCGGAATCACTTGAGGTGGATACAGAAGAGAATGTAGGGCCTAACATGGGCCAGTTGCCCTCTGAAGGCAATTCCCGGCTTTCCGGGATGTTCTGAGGCGGGGTCCCATACATGGGCCTGCTCCATTGCTCCAGCAGTTGCTCGTTGGGCTTCGTGATACCCATTGGCGCATCCTGTATCACTGCATTAGCATGAAACGGCTTTTCATCCTCGTCATCCTCTTCCTCCGTACTAGAGCCGGTTTCCATACCACTAGACAAAGATAATGGCGTAGCCTGAGAGGCTGCTAAGTCGAGAGAGGGCTGCGAGGAGAACAGAGGGACCATATCTCCAAACAGATTAACATTATTATGCTTAGCAGGCGGTGTATTAGCCTCATTGTAATCTAGGTGCAGGTCCCTTGGGGATACAGTGAGTTTCTCAGTCGCAGGCCGATAAGCACCGGTTTCGTTATCATGAAAGAGATCTGGATTTGCCGACACTGAAGGTGGAAAACCATGGGCATTGTTTTCGCGCCAATAAGATTTCCAACGACGCAAATTGTCTTTTCCTTGAGCCCCAGGTTTCCAAAGGAATGAGGCTGCAGCATCCATATCACCTAGTGCAGCAGCCCATGCTCGTATGTCAGGAGTCTGATGAGCAGGAGGTGTAACAACTCGAGATGAATCAGGAGGAAGCTGCTCGGAGGGAAGCGACGGAAAAAGAGGGGGCATTTTTGGAGTCGTCGTAGAATCGCCATCGTTCGTCTGCAGCGAAAGAAGGTTTAGAGGAGCACCGAGTGTCCCACTAGAAGGGTTTTGGGGGGGTGTATTATAAGGTGAGCCGCTCTTCAGTGTTGCAGGTGAGTCTTTGGATAGATGAGACTGAAGATGAAGATTGTGAGGGGCTTCATCGAGAAGCGGTGATGTGTCTGGGAGCTGCCCTCGATGCTCCCAAAATCCTGGCCGTTGAAAGGGCGCCGCATCTTTCACCTCCTCATTTCCCCCTTGCTCATCATACAGGACGAAGTCGCCTGCCTCCATGGACAAGGCTGGCGGAAATGTGCCTTTAACTGTTGCCGATGTCCGGAAACACGGTGCCCACGAAATTTTGGCACCGGGGCTCGCCTGGTCTGCATGCACATTCGGCCGACAAGAATATTGGACTAGTGTCCGTGCGCGCTAAGCCGGCACCACGATGATGAGCGGACGACAGGTACAAGATAATGAGAAGCGCGATCTAGTTGGGCACGTTCTCTTCCAAGATGACCACCAAGAACTTTTGTTACAAAATCACTATTGAAAATGTGCCACCCACGGGTAAGTGGTAGCTCATGCTCAAATCCAGCTACAACCCAAGATTTAGCGTGCGTATTGAGCCTTGCGTCAATGCTCAGCGTCTCTATTACTACACAAGATGGTGAGAGCGTGGGTTCAATCATTGTATTCAGCAAGGATGATGTGGAAAAGGCTTACCGCCTCTCAGGCATCTTTTTACATGGTACAAGCCTTTCTATTCGTCGATCTGATGTGGTGTGCGACCCTAATCTTTCTTCACTCAAGTTAGGGCCTGCAGCTGAGAAGGTCTCGAATTCAAACAAGCATCCTATTACATGGGCTGGTATTGCCGCACGACATGCCCCAATGGTACCGTCTCCATTATCCAAATCGGTTTTACCTAGCACCACGATGCAGGCGCCATCTCTGCAAGAATCGCTACCCGTGTCGACTTCTATTCAGACTATGCCGTCAACCATAAATTCAAACATGGAAGCTCCCAGCACTACTCAGAGAAACCTCTACGTTCTTAACCTTCCGCTCGGTATTGACTCGTACGATCTGACAAATTTGTTTGCACAGTTTGGTCGAGTCGTACACAGCGTTGTGTTATCAATGCTTGATACACAGGCTCGACGTCGAGGCTTTATCGACATGGAAACACCTGAAAGTGCAAAATTGGCTCTTAACTCTTTGAATGGTTATATTTGGCGTGGTTACCCCCTGGAAGTATCTTATGCACTGGTGCAGCGTGGTGAAGTACCACCAGGCACTCAACTCCCTAAGACACCCGTCATTGAGCTTAGTGGCCTGCTACTCGCTGCCACAATTGACGAAGAAGACGTTCATTCTTTGATTGACCCCCATGGTGATGTGGAATCACTTGTCTTTCCTCACGAACATTTTGGGCGCCCGACTTTCTCAGTGCGTGTCACTATGCGGTCTCCGCAAGATGCACAGAGAGTATGCGCTGCTCTAGATGGAGTGCAAGTAAATGGTCAGCTTCTGCGAGCAAAGTCTGTCGAGTAACACATGGTCAATTCATGTAAGATCAAATAAGAATCATGTATACAGAAACTATGAAAAGCGAATATGTCCCCATCCATCAGTGGAAGGTGCGCTACTTTCTGCCGAGAAAGTAGCTGGCACACTCACGGTTGATAAACCCATGGAATAAGGTCCATTACCGCCATCAGTGAGGCCAACCTGATCAGCGAGCCGGCGATAAGCTGGTACTTGAACCAAGTCGTTGCGCACCAGAAGATGCTTCACGGTCTCCGCGTATTGCGTCTGGACGTCTGGTTCCAGTGCAGGGCTGAGCAAGGCACGCCCAACAAACAATACTCCATGGACAGGATCGAGAAGAACCTCCTCGAGTATGTGGGCATCTGGTATATCAAACAGTGTATCCAAAAGCAAACGTGCGGATGAAGTATCTGCTGTTTGGCTGATAAGTCGATGAATAATGGCGGACGCAAGTTTGTGAGTACACATTTGTGGCAGATGAGATTTAAATCGTGGGGCCAAAAGAGCAGGGACACCATCAAGTTGGGACGCGTCTAAGAGCCAGATCAGTAACAACGAACCATTGGAAGATGTGGCCAATGGAACGCAATGAAGAATAATTGCAAGCGCCACTCGTTTAATATGCTCGCGTGGGGTGTTCGGATGCTCAAGACAAGTCCTCATGCTTCGAGCTCCGAAGCGACCCTGTGCGATTTCCCATGTGCGGTCCACCATAGCATCCATGATAAAGTCTGCCAGAGGAAAGCCAAATGGCAGTACGCATTGCACCACATAATTTCCAAACTGGTCCAACAGAAGGGCTGGTGTATATGGCTGAATGTGCTTAACAATAAGAGCCTGTTGCTCAGCCGTTTTAGCACAATCGATAATCTTTTGGGCGGCCCATGTACCATTTTTATGTATACCCAGTGATGCCAGATGCGGTGCTAAAATCTCCAACATTTGTGTTTTCACTCCTTCAGAACACTGTTCAAAGAAGCGCTGTACAACAGTATTGCCGATGTAGTTTCGAGCCAACTCGACGATAATGAATAGCTGCTCCAAGGCCAAATCGTCGACTTGCTCTTGAGTCAATTGACGTGCTTCCAATGATTTGCGCATTTCGCGGTACTTCCCATGGTCAATTCGACGGCTGCCACGGCTCTCTGATGGATTTGGAATGCCGCTATGATACATGTGTTGTACAGCGGACCGGAATTGTAGAACGGTGGGATCTACACCCTCGCGGAAATGTAGCTCATTCAATAAAGCTCGTTGTTCTTCAGGTTCAACCACAGGAACCAGTTCAGACGGTAGTGGAATACCACCTTTATCGCTGCATGGAGCGATAGAAGTTGAGCTGCCAATACGCATGGTTCGAGGAGGAGGGGACCATACATCTTCCTCTCGTACAGTTTGGATACATATGGGCCAATGAGAAAGGACCCCATTTTTGTGAGTAACAAAGTCATCCAGCAAAAGAGCGGCCCGGGCATCTTCAACATGCTTAAAAATAACTTGTGCACTTTGTCCGCGAATTAAAGCACGTTCAACCTTACCAATATTGCTCAGCCACTGCATTAACTTTGCCTGGGTGGTGCCAGGAGGCAAGGATGATATATGAACAGCCCGAGATAGGGGGGGATCAGGCTCAACAAAGGTCGGCGAGGAAGCACCCCACATGATTTGTGGAACACAAGACTGGTCAGAAAGAAAGTCAAGGAGATAGGGACCAATATAAGCAGAGCCCGCTTCGGCCGCAGTCTTCGCACAAATAGGGTCTTCAAATTGGATCACAGCAGTTCCATTTTGTGGAAACAGCTGGATATCTTCAATTACACCATAGGGCTCAAACAAGCGGAGCAGCATCCTGGTAGATACTTGTACACTCAACTTGTTCAGGTATACATTACAGTCTTCACTTCGAGGTTGTGACAAAGGTTCTTGCACAGCCTGCAAAGATAGACTCCGAAGCCGCGTAGCTGGATTCATATCCGCCATAGGTGTGACACCATAGGCTCTCTGCAGTTCCATTTCAGTTCGATGACGACCATCAGGTCCGCTGAGCGCCGCAACTGTACCGGATCGAATTCGACCTGTCCCTGGTGCACGCAACGGCTGAGGGGCTGGTGAGTTTTTCCGAGGACTTCGCTGCAATACATCATCCATTGCAGCTCGGAAACCTGCCGCCGCCGCCGCAGGTTGAAGCATTGTAATATCTGAATAAAGGTGATCTTGAGTAGCAGAGCGGGGCTCGTCATTCAAACCTAAATAGTCAAGTGTCTTTGCGACTGACGAGACATCAGTGTCCCGTAAAGTCTCTTGATTTGTCATTTTCGGAAGAGGATCAAATGCACCTCGCACATTAGGTAGTGAAGCAAACATCTCATCATAAGGATTAGTCCCTGTACCCAGATGAACAGGGCTAAGCACGCGACGTCGTCTATTCTCCATTCCCATCATTGGCGTTCCTGGCAAACCAAATCGTGAAGGAAGAGTGTCGGCTCGTGCCCGACCGCGCGTCGCGCGCGGAGCTGGCAGTCCATCTTCTAAAGAGGAATGAGAGGGAATCATGGAGAGAGATCCAGAGGGAGTATGACGGTTTCGGTTGAGAGACATTAAAGACGAAACCGGTGCCGGATGCACAGAAGGATTATTAGAAAAGTGAGGATTAGAAAGGCTGTTTTCACCAGAATGACCAGCAGGGGTGATAGGGACTTGAGACCATAAATCTGAATCTATCCACGAGCTTGTTGGGGGTATGTTGGATGCGTTGTTTTGCGCCATCCTCGCGCAAAGTGAACGTGCGCGCCAGCGCCAAGCTTGATGAGCAGAGAACCTGTGATGTACGCCGTTCTACGCAACGCGCACACGAACAGGCCACGACACCTGTGTGTTCGGCCGTCGGCAGTGCACTTCGGCCGAATCATTGGGCAGCGGGCTGATGCATCGGGCTGCGTTTGCAAAATCGGGCGGGCTCGTCCCGCGCAAATCCTGCATCCCCCGGCTTCGAAAAAACGATTCTTCATTCCACGCCACCAGGACATTTAAGAACGACCCTTAATAATTTAGGGCCGTACCCTGTCATTTAGAACCACAAACAGGCTTGAGTTGACTCAGTAAGTCTGTGCGTGGTCTCTGTGTGAATACTGCACATTCTTCAGTGCCTCAGGCGCTGTTGTGTGGTAAACGGTTTGCTCACACGGCACATTTGACACATTCTGTGTGCTTGTTACAGACGCACGCGTGTCTTTGGTGACACTTATGGATATGGAGGTTCCACGACGTGCTCCGCGCTCGCGAAAACTTCCTAGCCGCTTGCGCTCGCCGTCACCAAAACCGCTGTCGGCTCAGCGACCTGAGATCGCAAGAGCAGCATCGCCTGTTGCAATCACTGATCATGCCCCAAATCCAGATGCACAAGAAGGTGAGCAGGCCACTGGTCCAGGGAAACGCCACAGGAGGCCTAGTTCTATGTATAAACCTCCAGAAGCGCTGACAGCGGACGTCAAACGGGCTTCGCCTGTGGCTATGCATGCTAAACCCAAGAGTGCGGCACGTCCTCATCCCAAACCCCTTTCTCTCGTGAAGAAAGAAGGTGATGAGGTCCGTACACCCACGCGAATTACACTCCGTGTGCCGCCTCAATCTGCATCAGCCGTGGATGATGTTCATACACCCGCTACATTCACGAGGAGAGGAGAGCGTATGACGGAGCCTATTCGTAAAAAGGCGACCAGAGCAGACAATGAGACAGGTATCATGAGCCCCAAGCCCGTACGTACGGCATCTGGTGTTTGGCGCATGAGTACAACACTTTTCCCTAACCAAGATGAGGAGGATGAGGATGAGGATGATCTCGACGAGGAAGGTGCAGGAGAAGTGGCTCGCAATACGCTTCAACTTGATCTTGCTGAGCGCGCCTGGTCCATCGCGATGTCCGATACCCCTAAGCCCATTCTGCACGTTGACGAACAGGATTTGTGTGCGGACTCAGATGGTGATGAAGACGATTTCCATCAAACTATGCTTCATGATGACGAACTCGATATGCTTACACGGGCTGATTCGCCCAAGGACAGCGACGAAGATGCACCTCTCACGGATGGACATGTTACTACGCCAGCCTCATGTGGGGCGAAGGATTCGCCCGTCGAAGCTCGAAGTTGTTCGCCAGCATTGTCCAACTCGGCGTCGTCGCCGCCCATGGAGGGAAGAAAGGATCCTGTGTTTTCACATGCGCTGCCTGTTCCACACGTGCTTACCAATGACCTGTCGGTCCATGCCGGTTCTATTACATTATCTCTTCCATTTGATTTAACGCAACCTACCTCCCATACAAATATTTCGACGGGAGTTGGAGATTCAGTGTCTTCGCCGATTTTAGATGCACACGGTGAGACCCCTCTCACGCCGGTGCATTCACATACCGTGAGCTCCCCTGACGAAGATGAAGAAAAAGAACGTCTTTGCTCGTTGGTTCCGCCCACATTGCCATCCGATCTATCTCAGGTAAAGCCAATAATGGCTCCGTCCTTATCTTCCTCCTCTCCTTTGAGCAACATTGACGAGGGATCCGAGCAGACCTTGCTTGATACAGCGTTTGAAACAGGTGAGCCTGCGGCGGTATCTCAGGAAACTGCGCACAAGGATGCTTGGATTAACGCGGGGCCCTCATTGCACATGTCCCTAGATGATACGGATATGGACCCTTTTCTGGGAGCGCCTGAAAAAATGTTCGCACTAACGGATCTGGACCGTGCGTGGAATCTAGCAATCGACTGTGACGCGGACTCCGCTGAGGCGCCAAAGCGGCCCAGAAGTGTTCTGACACATGGAAAGCGACCTCGTAGTGCGGATGGATCCTACACGTCGCAATCTCGCACGCGCATGTCTCGTCTGCGTAGCCGTGCGTTGTGACATTATCAACGAAAGAAACTTGTATTGTAGCGCCGCAATAGGCAAAATAGCAAAAACAAAGTGTACATGGGAACTATAGAGCCCAACAATTTTAATTTACAATATTACATGGGCAGTATAACAACAGAGGTAGATTCCGCACGACGCATAAAGGGTTGGGTAAAGGCCGGGCGTTGTTGCTGAAGCGCATCTTGCAGTACGGGCCGGCGGGTGCCAGCAGCAGCACAAGGTGAGTCGCCATCACCACCCTCGAACGAAGAGTCACAGGAAGAAAAGCTTGTGTCTCGAGCCATATCGGGGGGTGCAAGCTTGTCCGCTCTTAGAGGCTCCATGCGTGACACGGGCGGATTAATGGGGGCAGTGGAGTAGAGTTGCTGCGGAAGGAACGCAGGTGCAGAGGGTCTCGGAGCCATGCTCATCACACGGTTCATGCCAAAGGCGGCGGAGGCAAGAGCAGTGCCAGCTGGATTGCCATCACCATAGGCAAAGCTTCGATTTCGCGTAAATTGCTTGCGAAAACCATTCATGCCACTCGAACGTTTTTCCAGGTGGCGTGGGTCATCCATTGATACATACGCCCGTGGCTCGCACAAATCGGGACAGTGCTGGAAAAACTCGGCATAACCTCCTTCCAGTACATACACGTCCGGGAAGTGACACCGCGGATAGTCACTTGCCAAAGAACGATCTGCCTGGCGAAGCGCCAGAGCCATCGAAGGTCCTCGTTTCTGGCTAAACTCGCAGTGGAAAATTAGCACAAACTTACGGGTATCACCACAACTGTCAGCCATACCACTCTGTGTACGCTCAGGCATATCACGATTGGCATGGAGACCATGGCCGGGCTTCAAAAAGTGCTGGGTAAGCTGCTCCAGGGAATTCAAGTTCACAGAATTAATAATATGTCCTCCTTCATGTTCGTAGGCAAAACGACAGTCCACCACCTGATAGCCTGAAATCTGGTGGTCATAGTGGCCCGCAATTAAACTGCGCACTGTCTCGGGTGTGACGCGCATGAGTCCATCACTTTTGACCGTAAAACAGGGCAAGATCTTATGCTCCATTTCATGCATGCCAAACATCGGAAGCCCTTGTGAATGGGGCTTTGATGGTACCATAGCAGCTGGTGCTGTTGTCAAGGGTTGGTTTTCTTTATTAGGCAGTCCTCCAGCTGTGTGAACCCGCCGCATAACCGGAGCCTGTGTCGTTCGCCGAATGGAGGCGCGAATAGGCGACCCACCATGCACAGGCAACTCACCGAACTCTGCTAGCAATCCACCGGATCCCGATCCACTCTCTAGCAAAGATGCATCACAGGCAGGAACGGATGAAGAAACAGGTGGAACAGGTGATGAGGGAAGCAGCACAGGCGCATTTACCTGGGGAGACTGCGGGTCGAAAAAGTAGTCGCCCATGGGTGACGTCGACTTGGACGGGGGGGCTGGAGCCAAAAACGAATCACTGGCATTGCTGTCGTCGACAATCGGTGGTTCCAAACATACTGCGGGTGACGGGGAGGGCAGGGGGGCTTCCGTAGAGTCAGGGTCGTCATGTTGCGGCCACCAAAGTGATGCACTTTGTGAGCGCAAGTGCGTGCGGGACTTGTCCTTATTAGGCGGTATCGAAGGACCTTCAGAAAATAACACGCAGCGGTCAGGTCCATCATGCTCGAAAGAGGCATCCTGCAACTGTCGAAGAGATGACAAGCGCCGTTTGAGAGGGCGGTCCCGCTCTGGACTTACTGGGCTAGCAGGCTTGCGAAAAGGGGTATTGGTATGTAGAATGGGCATCGACTTGCGCACAGATGCGTCTGATCGTCGAACAATCGGTGGTTGGACCACCGTTTGCACTAACGTGCTGGGGCCTATTGTGCATGTTATCGCAGGCGAAGAGATTTCCATCGCATGAGGCGAGCTGTTTGGTACGCTTTGTGGTAAATTCACGAATGGTGCGAGCGGCGCATTCGAAGAGGGCATAGCGAAGGGGTCCTCAGTCGGTTGCGTATGGACGGAAGGCAGCGGCTCTCGCATGCGACGTGATGGATGTCCAGGGCTCTCCAGAGACGAGATGGACATCGAAGACCCAAATGACCAGTCCAAGTCATTCAATTGTGATTCTTCGCGTGGTTCAACCACGTTGGGTGAATTTTGTATGATCTCGTCCTCCCACGGTAATGTGGGTGTGGGCGACGACGAGAGCATGCTGACTGGATGCTTGCCTCAGCGAGTAGTGTACTGAAGATGGTACAGGAAGGCAGTCTTGCCCCAAATGTCCCGACACGGATAACAATTGCGTCACGGCACTCAATCCGGTTTAACGGGCTCTTAGAACCTCTACATCCGCCCACGCATGTCGGCGCCTGTAGTCTGGCGGAATTCTACACGCATACTTTTATAGAATCGGCATGTGCACGGCATATAACCCGTCGGTTGTGCTTCGTCAGCGCCATGATACTGCCACGTGGTGTCATCTCCACACAATTATGCAAGAAAAAAGGGAAAAAATCTCTGCGACACTAACGCACGGCGAAATCGTCCACTCTATGGCCAGCACGCTCGCGTTGTTCTGGTGGCTGTCTGCCGCCGACCGCGATGCACGCCTCCAAGGCTCAGATGCCTTGGTAGAGGCTCTTGTGGATCAAAGCACAGAAGGTGTACTAAATGCACCGCCTGGAGAGCCTGAGCCTCTCAGCGACGTTGTGACAGAGGAAGATGCACGCATATCCGAGCAGCGCCTGGACGAGTTGACGACCGCCGATGTAAATTATTCAGTGCGGCGCCTTATTCGTGGACTAGCCAGTCCACGAGAGAATGCTCGTATTGGTTTTGCGGTCGTGCTGAGTGAGCTCCTTAGTCACCTGCCTTCGGTGTGCGCTCACGATATTTTGGTGCTGTTGCTCAAGCACACCGTAGCGCGGGGCAACCTGAGTGGTCAGGAACTACGTGACCTGCAGTTTTCTCGCTTGTTCGGCGTCTTTGCTCTCGTTCGTTCAGGCCTCCTCTATGCCCCAACATCGTCGCTGGCTACATTCCAACGCGCCTTTCATGTTCTTTCCAAAGTGGCGTACTACAAGTCCTGGATCAGTGAATCATGTGGCTGGATTGTGATGCAGATGCTGCTACCCCTAGCTCGGGACAATGTGTCAAGACCCCCTTGGGCAAATGAGGCGCTCGACTGGGTGGCAGGCTGCTTGGCGGCAACGCATTCCCTGTCACCTGAGACACTGGCTTTGGCGCTGACGCTCGCACGCATTGCTCCCGAGCTCAATATCGGTTCCCGCATGTCACCACCTCTAAAGCATCCCTGCATCCTTGCCATGCCCAACCTGGCTCTCCTTGCGACTGTGTTGCGCGAGGGTGCAACGATGCATCTTCAGCCAGATATGCCCCAACCTAAACCCGGTACTTGGTCGGCCAAGTTGCCTTTCGTTTGGGATATGATCCTAGAAACGTACTTTGAACACGGAGCACCGGCAGACGCTGCTCCCTTTGCCGACTTTTTCCGCGTGGTGGTCGACGAAACCTTGTTCTCAACACAAGCATCGCCGGAGCGCAAGTCTTGGGGCTTCCAGGTCCTGCATCGCGCTTTGCAACGTGCCCCTGCCGAAACACTACCATTCCTATTTACTCCGAACCTCATCCGCACCTGGGTAAATCAACTTTCTGTGACAGATCGACTGCTTCACAGCATGGCCCAGAAAACTGTCACATACGTTGGAGAAGCGGTGAAGCGTAGTCCTACCGCTGGCATGGCACTAGTTACGCAACTGATGGGTGAACATGGCCGTCCTGACTTTGACCGCGTCACTCATACCAAGACTATCGAATCTATCTTGTCTTCGCTCGATGAAGCAGGTATTCAAAAGTACCTGGCCTACCTGCGCAATGTTGCGTACGAGACTGCCGATGTTGATGACAAGAAGCATGTCGCATCTCAGCGCCAGTGGGCATGTGACCAGATGCTGGGTCTTGTCCGCAGCAACGTTGTTGCCAAATCTGATCAATGGATTCGGGATGTACTTGTGTTTTTCGCGGGTCATGGCTGCTTTGCGCTTGTCAAGTCGCCACCAGCCCCTTGGAGCAACGTGCTGCAGGTACCTGCTGTGCCCTTCGATGACAGTGTACAGGAGTTATGTCGCCTCCGCTTGCAAGCCTGCCTTACGGAACTAAAAGGGTCAAAGACAGGGGATCATGATTGGCCCTTAGTGGTGCTGGATCTTCTGAAGGCCATGGCGAAAGAAAAAAGATGTTTCGTGAGCACTGCTACATCCCTGGCACAAGAGCGGATTGAGCGGGCTCTAGAGACGCTGAAGCAGCTCGACAAGGCTCAGTCAAAGGAGAAGGATGATACAAAAAAGGCACACATGCAGGCATTTAAGACGATGGTCGCTGCAGTGATCATAATTACCTATGAAGATACCGATGATGCTCCCGATCTGGTGGAAGGGCTAGTGGATGCGTCTAGGTTGTTGTTTTTTGAGAAGAGAAAGACCGAGATTGGCGGCATGGAAATGTTTGTGGACGTGCTGATCGGTCTTTTGGAGATCTCATCGGCCTTCTTACGGGCGATGGTGAGCCAAGCATTTGCAGCATTCATCGGATCAATGACCAAAGAGAGCATTGACCATCTAATTGACCAACTCGGTATGAATGAAGAAATCGAAGAGGTGGCAGACGAAGAAGGTCCAGAGGACCAAGAAATTTCTGAGCAGGGACTAGACAGAGATGCAAATGACAGCGAAGAAGAATTGGACGAGGACGAGGACGAGGACGAGGACGAAGAAGAGGACGAGGTGGACGAGGATGATGTGGATCCAGTGCTACGTTCTCGTGTTGAGGAAGCATTCCGTGCAACGGGAGCTGCCGCTGACGATGATGAGGATGATGACGATAACTTTGACGACGAGCAAATGGCCCAATTAGATGATAAGCTCGCTGAGATTTTCCGGCAACATACCAGTTCGAAACGCAAGAGGGCTGAGATCATACAGCGAGATACGGCACTCTTCCATAACAAGATTCTGGATCTGATTGAGATGTATGCCAAGGAGCAAAGCGGTAATGCGCTCAGAATGCGACTTGTAGCGCCTCTATTTGCGCTTTCTCGTGGTTCTGGCGATGTGTCGCAGCAAGTGGCACATCGCGCAAGTCAGATACTTCGTGCACGATTGTGCAAAGCCAAAGAACTGCCTCGTGGTAATTTGGACGTGGCTGGAATGGTGGACGAGTTAAAAGCGACACATGAATATGCGCGAAGCACACAGGATGTACAGATGGCCGAACTCAGTGGAGCTGTGAGTCAGCTTTATACCAAGGTGCTTATCCGCCATGGGCATCTCTCCGAGCCTGTCAGTGTTTATGAAACGACGCTTCACGACTTTTTGGAACGCAAGTCGTCACCTGTCCGTCCATCCTTCTTAATTGATGCTATTCGACGCCTACCCGAGCTGGGTTGGGGCCTGCGCGAATCCCTTTTAGACGGGTGTCGTGTGTCGAAATCGGCTCATGCGTTTCGGCAGATACAAGCGTTCACAATGCTTCAGGCCGTATTGCAACAACAGCAGCATGAAGAGACGCGACAAGCGACACCAAAGGCGTGCCTTGCTTTTATCAAGTCCATTTGTGCCGTGGTTGTGGAGACCGTTCATGTTGCTGCCTCTGACGATGTGAGTGCGTCTTCGCTGAATGCGCAACGCCTCAAAGAGGTACTGCGCTTTGCTCTTCAGGCTGTGCGCATCACTGTGCGAGTTGCTGGCAATGAAGCAAAAGCGGTTTATATGGCCTGGCCTTTGGATGACTTGGAAGGTATGGCTACAGCACTACAGAGCTCTACTCGATTTAAGAGTTCAACGTCTCTGCACGGTCTTATCAAGGAGATGCTTGCTGTGCTGCGGCGTGTGGGAGAGCTGAAAGAGAAGACAAAGAAGCGTACTGCTCAAGAGGACAAGCCTCGAGCGTCGGACTCTACCTCAAAAACTTCGGCTACCAAGCGTGCAAAGCGTGCGCCATAGGTTCATAGCCTACAGACTGATGGCCGGTCATCGAAGCAGGGCAGTCACGTGCCCCGAATGGACGAGCAAGCGAGCCAAGGCGTTCGAATGGCATCGCTTCTACTCGGCAGTATGAGCAACACGCTGTCAGATGCGGATCAAAAGGAGCTGAGCGCCTTCCTTGACACTGAGCAGTCAAAGGCTCGTATGCAAACAACTGTGCACGCATTCACGGAGCGCTGCTGGGACCAGTGCATGACTGGCTCGATTGGTGCGCGTTTCGGACGTGGCGAAGAGGCTTGTTTGAGCAACTGTGTGGAGCGGTACGTACATTCTAGCATCCGAGTGCTGACAAGCAGGTTCCTTGATACCTCCCTGTTTATTGTGTGTGGTGTGATCTAACTCAACAGGTGAAAAAGCTCGAGAGCCAGCGCGATTTGGTCGCATAAGAATAGCGATGTCCCATTTATAGTGTGCGTTTAGCTAGCATCATTGAAACTATATGGTGGGGTATTCTATGCAGAGATTCAGCGAGTGGTGGCCTGTACGGTGTCTCTCTTCAGCCACAACGACGGAGGCAGCGCGGCAGCCAGGGATAGGTCGGACGCGGTGCTCCGGGGTGGATCAGAAAATAATTTATGCGTGACCGAATATGACAGGAAGTTGAGCCAAGTGCTCGCCCTCGTGCGGCGTCAACAAACGCTTTGCCCGCTGCGTCACCAGAAGCGGCTCACATTCGAAGAGGTCCTCCCGGGCGCATATACCTGTACAGATCCCAGTGGATATTACTGAGACTGTACCTGTGTCACCATGGCCTCATCGCACTTGAATGCGTCTAACGTGGTCGGTGGCCAATATCGGGTCGGCAAGAAAATCGGTGAGGGTTCCTTCGGTGTGATCTTTGAGGGCACCGATCTTTTGACTCACCAGCGCATTGCGATCAAATTTGAGCCGCGCAAAAGTGATGCGCCACAACTTCGCGACGAGTACCGAACCTATAAGGTGCTGAGTGGGATCACGGGTGTTCCCCAGGTATACTATTTTGGCCAAGAGGGTTTGCATAATATTCTTGTGATTGATCTTCTGGGACCCTCTCTGGAAGATCTGTTTGATCTTTGTGGTCGCCGCTTTAGTGTTAAAACCGTGGTGATGATCGCGAAGCAGATGGTACGTGATATTGACTCACGCTCAGATTTCCCGTGTTCAGTCTATTCACGAGCGCAATCTAATCTACCGTGACATCAAGCCCGACAACTTTTTAATCGGGCGGAGCTCTAGTAAGAATTCGGGCTTGGTGCATGTGGTCGACTTTGGGATGGCCAAGCAGTACCGTGATCCCCGGACAAAGCAGCACATACCCTACCGGGAGCGTAAAAGTCTGAGTGGCACTGCCCGGTATATGAGTATCAATACGCACCTTGGCCGTGAGCAGTCTCGTCGAGATGATCTCGAAGCCCTGGGACATGTGTTTATGTACTTCCTTCGTGGTAGCCTTCCATGGCAGGGTCTTAAGGCGGCCACCAACAAGCAAAAGTATGAGAAGATTGGTGAGAAAAAGCAGAGTACGCCCATCAAGGAACTCTGTGAAGGATTTCCGGAAGAGTTTGGCATATACTTAAACTATGTGCGCAAGCTCGGCTTTGAGGAGACGCCGGATTATGACTTTTTGCGTGAGCTATTCACCAAGGTCCTGCGCGACCGCGGTGTTGTGGAAGATGGCGTATACGACTGGCTATTGCTGAACGAAAGCAAGCAGAATGACACTGAGGCACCGCGCGCCGGTCAGAGCCAAGACGCCGTGGCCGCTGGAGGGTCGGGGCCTGCAGTGGGGGCTGTTGGTACTCCCGGTACAACCCAGGCCCCTGCGCCAACGCGGAGCAAGGCGCGTGGTGCCGAGGTGACGCGCCTCAGCACCGCAGAGATTCGCACGGAGCAGGGCTTTGCGCCCCTGAGCGATGGCCACGCGGCTGGCCCAGCGGGTAGCTCGCGTGCTGCGCGCCTGCCGTCGGGACAGGCGGGGGCGCGCCAGAATTCAGTACCAGCCCCGGTCGCAGAGCGCACACGCCCTGCGGTACCCCGCCGACTGGACTCCGAACCGACGCAAAAGACGCCGGTCAACACTCACTCCTACGCCAACTATGCCAGCACGAGCGGTGTCAACCGGTATGATCCGCCTGCTGCACCAGAGCGTCGTTCCTTTGGACAACGCTTGATGGATTTCATGCTATGTCGATGCGATTAGTATAGACCCTATCTTTGCACTGTGCCTTTTGACCTCATAGACTGTCCCAAATAGGCCCTATTTCTGTCACTGCGTTCCATCGTCGGCCGTGGCACACTACTCCACAATTTGCGATGTCCCGTGCGCTCCGTGTCGCGGTAGTCGGCGCTGGGAGTGCTGGCCTCGCCGCTGCGCAGCAGTGCAGTGCTGTGGCGCGCGCCTATGGCCAGTCAATAGAGCTGGTTGTATTTGAGCGGCGGTCGAGCGTTGGTGGCCTGTGGCAGTACGAAAGCGATCCTGGGCCTTGCGATATTCATGTGCCGGAACGAGGCACTGCAGGCTATGCAACGCGGCCAAGCCGCGATCCCATGTGTCGCAGCGCCATGTATGAAGACCTGCGTACAAATATTCCATCGGTATGTAACGAGCCACTCATCCAGCCGGTGATGCAGTTCCGCGACATGCCCTTCCCTCACGGCACTGCCCTATTTCCCATTCGAGGTACGTGGCTTCTTCTTACGGTAGCCGAAGTGCTTGCCTATCTAGAGCGCTTTGCACACACACAAGGACTCTTCCCTCTCATCCACTTTGATACAGAAGTCGACCATGCGTACAAAGCTGGGCCGTGCTGGCGCATTACGACGCGCCATCGTCGCCCTCCGCACGCCACCCATACGTGGGAAGTGGACTGCATCATGGCCGCTCAAGGACGATGTAACGTACCCTACGTCCCAGCAATACCCAGTCTCCGTTACTTTAGGGGGCGCCAGATGCACAGCGCCTGGTACCGTTATCCTAACGACTTGCACGCGCGACGTGTCCTAATAGTGGGAAACAATTCGTCCGGCGCAGATATTGCGCGTGAGCTATGCGGAGGAGCGGTACGATCTTGGTCCTCAGAGGCTGGATCCTCGGCACCAGTGTGTGTGTTTCATTCGTACGCGCATGTGGATCAGCCACCGCCTATGGACTACGACCCGCGCGATCCAGCCAGTCCTGCATGGTGCCGCAACATTCACGTGGTTGGGCCCATTGATCACGTCGAGTCGGACGGCACGTTGGTGATGCAGAGTGGCGAACATCTTGCGGACATTGATCTGATCATTTGGGCGACGGGCTTCATGTACCAGGCGCCGTTTCTTGTGCCTACTCAGGCACCAATATCAGAGGCGCCCCTAGTGGTGCAGGATGCCCATACACGCACGGCACCTGACGTACAGGCCGCCAGCGTCCTGCACAATCTCGATGATTGGATGCTATTCTACAAGGCCGACCGTAGCTTGTGCTTCTTGGGCCTGCCGAACCGGATCGTGCCATTTCCATTCACACAGCTCCAGGCCAGGTACGTCCTGAAAACTTACTCTCAGAGTGGCAGCACATGTATGGCTGCGGCAGATCCCGCCGCTTCCCCGTGTACGAGCGCATTTGCCAGTGAGTGATCCGCAGCGATGGGTCGTCGAGACACCGTCGGAACACACGGCACGTTCCGGCCCCGGACCGGACGTTTGGGGCGACTTGACCATGGGTGCAGAGGCAGAAGCTGCCTATGTGGCTGCGTTGCAGTCGCTACTCCCACCGAGCGACGATCCTTCGTGGGCACCGCTGCCGACATCCTGGCACACAATGCGTCGGCAAGGCAAGGCGCTGCGCCGTGAGCATCTCGGGTATTGATCTTCATTTGCTAGCGTGTCCATACATGCACTGTACCACACGATGCAGCTGTAGCGACCATGGGGGGATGCTCATCGGGACCACGTTCTGTCCATAAGAGGGAGACAGGCACGTCAGGCGCGCGGCGATGACGCACGCTACCGCTGAAGTCGGGGCGGCTGTGCCACTTGACGCGCCCAGAGAGTGTGTCCCACGCATAAAGCGTGCCTGTCTCGTCGCCTGCCAAGACAAGCGATTCATCGAGCGAGAGTGTAGAGTGGCACCGGAACGATGCTTGCGTGTGTCCTTTGTACTGCTGGAGCTGCGTGCCGTCCGTGAGGTCCATGAGGCGATGGGTACTGTTCAGTGTGCTTAAGAGCATAGCTGCACCGTCTTGCGTAGGCGTGAGCGACGTAATAGGATCATCGATCACGTCCGTTCGAAGCTCTCCCATGCGCACGTCGTATGCGCGTAGCGTACCATCCACAGACGCCGTGTGCACGATGCCAGGAAGCACGGCGATACTGAGGATCGCATCACTGGCCTCATGCGCTTCAAAGATAGGGCGCCACGCGTTCGATGCGCGCAAATCATATGCACGCAGCACTGTGTCACTGCCCGCTGCGTACAGGATCTCGTCATTGGCGCCCCCTAGGGCCACGTCGTTCACACGGCCTGTATGTGCATTGAAGCGCGACAGGGTCTGCGCCGAGGCCACGTCCCAAACAAGGACGGAGCGGTCAGGCCCCCCACTGGCAAATCGCGTGCTGTCAGAGGCAATCGCCAGGCAGAGCACCTCATACGTGTGGCCCGCGTACCTCTGGATCGACGTCGAGCGCCCCCGGCTGTCTAATTCGTCCGAAACACCAACATGAGCATTCCACAGCTGAACCTGCTGGTCGCCACCACCCGTCAATAGGTACCTCCCGCTTGGATTGAAACGCGCTACATGGGCGGCACCGGCATGGGCCTGAATTGTGTGCGCCACGCTGTACGCCATGCACGTTGCTGCTCGCTGCAGCGAAGCCGGTCGCGATCCTGGTGAGAGACACGTGCGGCAGCTCCACTGGGCTGGCAGCGACGGTGCCACGCAACGGCGAGCCGCTACCATGGTCCCGCTGACTGGACCCAAGTCGCAGTGGCTTGACCAGGTTCTGTTTCTTGGTACGGGGACAAGCTCGCAAGTCCCTGCAATTCACTGTATCACGGGCGACGAAACCGAATGTGTGACGTGCCATGATGCGCTCAAGCCGGGAAGCAAGAACCGCCGCTTTTGCACGTCCCTGGTTGCCGTGGGAAGCCATCCCGACACACCGGAGAGCAAGTCCACGATTCTGATTGATTGTGGAAAGTCGTTCTATGAGTCTGCGCTGCGATACTTTCCGCGCTATGGCCTGCGGCGCATCGATGCCGTGCTGCTGACGCACGGACATGCGGATGCCATTCTCGGCTTGGACGACTTGCGCAGCTGGACCATGGGCGGGTGCATCCAGGGACATGTGGATGTCTACCTGACGTACGAATGTATGAAGACGGTCCAGCAGACTTTCCCCTACCTCATTGATCGAAGCCGTGCTACCGGCGGTGGAGACGTTGGGGCGCTTCGGTGGCATCTCATTGACTCTCACAGGCCCTTCTTTGTAGGGCCGATGCAGGTCGAGGTTACGCCATTGCCTGTGGACCATGGCTTCTACAGCGGCGGGAACCAGCCCTTTGAATGTCTGGGCTTCCGCATCGACTCAATGAGCTATATTAGTGACTGTGTACGTCGTTCATTCTTACGCAGCATTATATACCTGAGACCACACTCTCCCGGGTTAGCGGCAGTGAGTTGGTCATTCTCGACGGTCTTATGATGCATCGACACAAGAGCCACTTTTCAATACCACAGGCCATCGACTGCCTGTTGGAACTCGCACTTCGCCAGTCGAAATGCGATGCACTTCCGCCTTCATTGGCACTGCTCACGGATATCACGCACCGAGTCGAGCACGAACGCACGGAGGCGGAGCTGCAGCGCATGCTTCAGGGCATGCGCGCTTGGCTTCACGAGCAGCCAGAGGCGTCTGCACGCTGGTGGGATGGTATTTGGGACATGAGTGAAAACGAGAGCTCACGAAGACTCGCTCTCCGGAGTCCCGCGGCGGACGAAGCGCCGACGCACCCATGTGTCCCGCCCATTCATCTTGCATTCGATGGTCTCCAAGTGCTCTTTACCAAGTGCCGCGCCACGTGACGCAGCGCAGGGGCCAAGTGCCCGAGCACACAGCTTGCCTCGCATCATGTGGGTTCGTGTGGGGCTAGCCTTGGTTGTCGCCGCTATAGTACCCATCTTGTATCATTGGCATCCTAAGAAACGACGCTCTAAAACCCTCCCACCATCACAGGAGCGTGTTGTCATCCTTGGTGCCTCTTCCCTAGATGGCATCGGCGCAGCCATTGCTCGAGAATGCGTTGCTCGGGGATGCTCAAATCTTGTGCTCGTTGCGCGTCGCGAACAAGCACTCGAACAAGTGAAAGAGTCTATTGTGGCTGATCAGAGAACACCGGCTGCACGCGCCTGTGCCGAAGCCATCGAGCTCTATGTGGCCGACTGCACCAACGTCGGCGATATCCATCGCCTGCAGACCCGAATTGCTGAAGGTACGTACGTCGGCCACTGACACTAGAATTTGGCGGGATCGATACGCTGTACCTCGTGTTTGGTGCGTTGTGGACGCAGTCTCTGCTTGGTATCGCAGGCACTGACCCTACCGCCGATCGCCACGCGACGGGCCCGACCCGGGAGGGCCTACAGACAGTTTCCGATTCGGTCCGAGCGATCAACGATGCAAACATCACTGGCACGGCCCTTGTCCTATCTGCGCTCCTTCCTCGTCTCCAAACCAACTCCAAGGCCCCCTATGTGTGCATTGTTGGATCCTTAGCCAGTCTCGTGCCTGCCCCTACGCGTTCTATGTACTGTGCCACCAAGAGCGCCCAACAGATGCTGGTGCAGAGCGTGGCTGCTGAGTGTGCATCGCAGGCCAAGATCAATGGCTATGCCCATGTGCATTTTGTTGTCCTCGCGCCCTCAACGGTGCAAACCTCCTTCCGCTCACACATGGCGCTTACGCAAGGGCCACTGACTACGGCGCCCTCGTCCACAAGTTCGCTAAGGCCCAGTCATGTCGCCAGACAGGCCATATCATGCGTCGAGCAGGGCATCACGGGTGTCGTGCCGATGCCCAGCAAATACTTCTGGGTGTGGCTTCTCAGCCCTCTATTGTACGTGGATGGTTATCTAACCTAGCCCCCACCTGATCGAGCGTGGTGCGCATCGCCGTTACTCCTATTAGGCAGCAATACGTGCGCTGGCCAGCTTGTCGGCCAGCTCATCCGCCTCTGCATCCGGCTTGTCCTCCTCCTCTTCGTCGTCGTCGTCGTCGTCGTCATCAGGATCCTCCTCGCCCTCAGGATCCATCTCATCTAATTCATCCAGCACATCTGTCTTACCCCACTTTTCCAGTGCGGCGATAATCCTGTTGATGGAGGGATCCTCTTCATCAGCAAAGTTGCCGTTAATTTCCAGGAGAGAGAGCTCACTCAAGTGCAGCTCAATCGCCTCGCCGAGTTTGTGCAGTGACTTGCGGTCAAGATCACAGTACTGCACATGCAGTGCCTCGAGCTTTTTGTTATGACCATAGCTGAGAGTCTCGAACAGCAGACCACCACCCCGAGACTTGAGCAAGCAGTCAGACAGATTTAGTACACGCAGATGAGGCCAGTTCGGTAGGGCTGTCGCCACAGCATGCGACCCACGGAACGTGGCAGTGTTGTCCTGCAGGTCCAGCACCTCTAGGTCCTTGCACTGCGACAGACCCTCACAAATGGCCTTGACACCTTCCATGCGGATACCGTTTTGGTACATGCGCACTTCCTTGAGACCACCATGGGCAGCAAATGCGCGCGCCCAGTTAGGTGCCGAGCCGTTTTCCAGGCGGTTACGACCACAAATCAGACTGCGAAGCTGGCTTGCTTCGCCCTTCTCCTTGAGCTTTTGCGCAGCCTCATACAGCGCATCCGCAACGATCGTACCACCTGACACACCCAGGCCATTGTTGCTCAGCTTCAGAATGCGAATGTGGTGGTTGTTTGTGAGCAGGTTCACCATAGGTTCCGCAGAACGGCCTCCAAAGGCGTTGTCCGACAGATTGACCTCCTCGAGCTCCGGCAGGTCGACCATGGCATCACACAAGGCGCGCAGCGAATCTGGGATTTCAGTGATAAGTCGCCCAGTAAAAATATCAGCGAGGTCCGCGACCTTGAGCGTCTTTTTCGTCTTCAACACGTCAGCCAGCGCCATGCAGGCACCCACACCGAGCGTGTTGCCGCCCAAATGGATCTCAACGAGAGGCTCCATCTGTTCAATCTCAGACACATACGGGGCAATATCCTCCCGTGTATTTAGCTTGAGGTTCTTACCAACCAAGTCATATGCACCTTTCGGCCTCTTGGTCACGTCCGCACCCGTCATGATGGTGATGGTTTGCTAAGCACGTGGCAACATTGAGTGCCTCTACATACTCCACACACCTAACGGATCGCCCATCAGCGGGTCGCCCTGTTCCTGGGATGAGGCAGCTTTGCTCGAGCTGGGATTAGGAGCTTCACGCGTGTCCGTCAGGGAGAGGGTTTCTAGGTCTCTCAATTCCTCGTCTGGCTTGTATACCCAAGGATTTAAAGGTGATGCACGAATCTCCCTCGGCTCCGGTTGTGTCGGCGCCGCAGTGTCCACGGTCGGGCTCGCAGGTACGGGTCCATCAGGCGTGTCAGAGCTCGTTTTGCGTATGGCATCTTGCATTCGACTCCAGCCGTCTTGAAATAGAGCCCGCACACCACGAGCCGCCATGTGGAATGTCTCCTCTGGAATCAGCGGGTCCGTCGCTGGCGCATCCAGGGGCCTAGACTGCGCATCGCGACCAACTAAGCGGAGTCGCTCTTGAAACCGTTGGTGCTCCAAACGGTCAGCATCCAGTTTTTTATTGAGCTCTGCATCCGTTCGTTGGAAGAGAGTCGGCGTGAAGCGCACATCTTTTGGATCAGGGAAGAGGACACCGTGGTCACCTGGGCCCGCGCGCACGTCCAGCGCAGGGTTGAACCGAGGCTGAGTCCACTTGTCAGAGCATAGCAGCATATCCCATGCGCTAGGAAGCACCTGTGCGGGCGGTCTGATGCCCTCCCTAGGCGCCAGGCGGTCACACTCTGTGTTGAATAGAAACGTGCCTGTTGTGCCGGCGTACGCCAAGCGCAGGAGCTCTGCTAAGAAGGTATCAGTAAACTCAAATCGTTCAGGGAATTGGCGCAGGAGCTGCGCAACACAGTCAAGAAACTGGAAAAAGATTGGCGAGCGCTGAGAGGCAGCCCCGGCTTGGAAATGCTGCGTGAGTGACTTCGTAAATCCCCATAGTACATGAGATGCTCCCACAGGATCGGTAACACGCTCATCTTCTGGAATATTAGCGTCAAAAACCAGTTCGTGCTGAGGAGGCGTCATGTCGTGTTTGTGAGCGCCTAGGCCCAGGAGGCCCAGTCGCTCTTGAAATTGGTGGCCAAAGCTGACCCAGTCTTTTTCAATCAGTACTGCAAAGCCCTTGATCGTGCGGTAGTATGGATCCATGCAGAGCGCTGCGAGCGATGCCAACTGCGCTGTCCGGTCCCAACCGTCCGAGCAGTGGATCAGTACATGCGACGAATAGACGTGGACATGCTGCACAACTTGTTTGGTCCCTTCCAACAGTGCCGTGAGGTGCTTGAGCCACTGCGAACGATGCAGCTGCAGCTCATCAATTGGCGTGGGTGTGGCAGAATCAATAAAGGCAGGTCTCTCGTCCGCGGCACGAAGCGCCGCTTGTACCTTCCGCAGCGATTCACGCATCACATGGATATTGTCAATACCAAGATAGACCTTTTTACAGTTTTTGTAGTGTTCCATGTTTTCAGATCCGGCACCTTTGGCATGATTTGCCATCGCATTCGTAGTGGGCCGCGCATCGACAATCAGGTTACTCTGAGTCGAACCATACACCGTTGACTCCATACGGAATCCCTGATCATAGGCGTGTGATAGAAAAATTGCCTCGACAAGCCGCTCATCCTGCACGGAGCGATTCTGGGTAATGCCGACCATGGGCTGGCTCGAACGTGAGATTGTGCCTTGGTTGGCCCAGTGGAGATAAGTAAGGACCGGAATGCGACCCTTGCTGCGATGCTTCACAGCTTGGATCAGTGTCTGATCGCTAATATTGGCAGGTACCACGATAGTGGCGGGATATGTGGGTATCAACTAAAGTTAGCCGGCGCGACACATACGTCGTAGTTGGCATTCACTAACGAGAACCGCCATGCTTTCGTAGTAGAACCGACACCCTGTCGTTTAAACTCGCTGGGGGCATGATACAAATTCCACCCTGCCTGTAAAGAGGTCTTCTGATGAAACGCATAATACTGATCCAAGCGTTCTTAAGGTTAATCTCATCCGACGTACCTTTGTGAGAAGCTTGCTTCACCTGCTCCAGCACAGAAAGGGCCACAGCCTCTTCGGTAAATCCCAATGCTATGTGCTCAAACGTCTCAAGAAAGAGGGACAGGGGATACAAGGCCTCATTGGTACCACCTCGAAGGACCATGGGACGACGCACTGTATACGCAATCAGAGGTATATCCACTCGCTCACAAGTATCGCCATTCTCCAAGCAGAGATGATGGTCTGTTACCACAAGCGTGACAGAATAGCATTGCCCATCCTTCAGTATCCATACGTTAGGCACCTGGCAACGCGGGCGATCCTGCCGCCCGTCGTGCATAGATCGATGGCTGGGGGTCGCCTCCCCCGCAATCTGAAGTATGCACGTGATCTACCTAGGCTATACTAGGCGCTTGGTCATGTCTGCCAGGTCAGTGCCTTGTGGCGGTACGTACACGGCCCCTCGAGTTCATAGCCAAGACGACGGTAATAGTCGCGTGTGCCGACTCCAGAAATAACGGCGATCTTGACGCTGCCGTGCTCGTCGCGGGCAATCTGTTCAGCCTGCTCCATCAGTAGCGTGCCAAAGCCCTGGTGCTGAAACTTCGTAGGGTCGCGACTGTGCAGGGGCACAGCGCTACCATAGGTATGTAGTTCGCGCACAATGGATGTTTGTCCATCCTTGGTCAGCTCCGGGCGGTATGTGCCACTGCTAGAGCACTTGCGCAGACGCAAAAGGGCCACGAGAATGTCGTTCTCGGGGTCCTCATACGACAAAAAGCTTTCCCAGCCGCCGTTCGCCATGTAGTCACGACGCAGGAACTCAATCTCTTCAGGGCGCACTTTGGTATGGATTTCGTGAATACCAACCTCGCGATAACGCACATCGCGACACGTCACGCCAAAGTCACGCATGCGCTCTAGGGCCATCTCGCGCAAGTTGCCATTCTCGACGCCACTGGATACAAGCGGCATAGGAATATCGCGCTGGACACGATAGACTCGTGTCCATGGCGGCACAAGCGCCAGGATACGTGCAATCACGTCGACCAAAAACGATGGCGTGTAGTTTTTATACCGCCCCGTCCGCCATAACTCGTATAGACCCGTTCCACGGATAACGAGGGTCGGATAAAGCTTTAAACCATCAGAGCGGAAAGCCGGGTTCTCGAAATACTCCTTAAATTGTTCCATATCCCGCTCTACACCCACATTGGGCAGGTCTGGCATCATGTGCGCCACCACTTTGTACCCAGCATCCTTGGCCAGATGAAACGTCTCACACACCGCCTTGACTGTATGCCCGCGATTCGTGTCACGAGCTACATCCTCGTAAACGCTTTGCACGCCGATCTCAAGTCGGGTGCATCCGTATCGGAGCATTTGAGACAGGTGCGGCCGCAGACAATAGTCAGGACGTGTCTCGATCGTAATACCAATGCATTTAGTTTGAGAGCGCTCCGAGAACCGCACAGCCTCATCAACATCAAGTCCAGTATGTCCACTCAGCGCATTGTGAAGCTGTGCAATGAACTCATTGCGATATGACTCTGATAAACTCATGAATGTGCCACCCATGATAATATACTCAACCTTATCGACACTGTGCCCCAGCTCGCGCAGCTGCTGCACACGCCCTCGACTTTGCTCATAGGGATCGTAGCGAGCACGAATGGCACGCATTGATGTAGGCTGTATCAGAATGAAAGCGACATACCTCGTAGCCGGTATAGGACTGTGTGCTGTACTCAAAGTCGGAATCCGGCCCTCCAGGGCAGTACACACAAATGTTGCCCGTGAGTGCGATGTGAGGGCAGCGATGGGGCTTGCACATAACAGCGACCACGGCAATACCGCTAGCACTTCGAATCGGCTTTGCTCGAAGGGCTGGAACAAGCACCTTTTTGTATTGGTCTGGCACCGCAGCAATGATATCCGTCAGACGAGGCACACCCCCGTAGCCATGTTTCTTGCATGTAGCTCCACGGATCGCATTCAAAGAAACTGGACGCGACTCCTCGTGTGCCTGAACAAGCTGTGCAGCAATATCTGCACACACACGCAGGAGGCATTCAGCCGACGTTGAGGTCGACCCACCGGCCATATCGTGTTCGAAAAGTCGGAGGCCCTCAATTTTTGGTGTCTATTTGTCAGCAGTGGCGTCGATCGTGCACGACCACACACTTGCGCCGCCGACGATGTGGTGGCTGAGGCCATGGCTATGGCTAGGTCTACTCTACCTAGGCGTACAGTGTGTGTATGCGGATAGTTCTGAGAAATCAACGCAGACGGAGAACTTAATCGATGTTCTCAATTATCACCCTGAGCTCAGCATGTTCACACACCTGCTACAGCGTACCCGGTTGCTCCCCACGCTGAACCGCATTCAAGAGCTGGATGAAGAAGAAACGGGCATTACTATATTTGCTCCGACCAACAAAGCATTTAATGCCATGCTCTCCGGAGACATGGGCGACCCCCTGGCCGACAATGTTCAGGCCGTGCTGCGGCAGCGTCTACTCTATCATGTGCTCAATTACACGCTGCCGACCGAGGGCCCCGCACTGGAGTTGTATGAGACACTACATCTACCTTCTCGTAAGCGCTTATTTGAGCCAACCCGACCTGGCCGGATTCCTCAAAAGCCCCAACGGCCGCCCGAGCCTGGCGCGGAAGACCATGGAGGCTTACTGGGCAATCATGGACAATACATGCGGATCCAGCGCGATGCTACTGGTCAAGTGACCCGTGTTGGTGTGAATGCGCGTGGACAGGGCGGGGCGCGTTGTATTTCTCGCGATGCACGCTCGCGCCATGGTATTTTGTATGTTATCGACCAAGTCTTGGATGTGCCACCGCCCCTGGATATATTTTTGAAGAGTCATGCCAATACGACTGCGTTCCGCCATATTACCAATGACACAATGCATAAGCTGGCTACAATTCCGCAATTGACTATGTTCCTCCCGGTGGATGCTGCATGGCAATCATTACAGCCCCTGGAGAAAGCGTACCTATTCAGTGACTGGCCCCAGGCCATAGACGACTGGGTGCGTATTTTTGGCTGGCATGCATCCAATGCAGGTCTAGGTCATGATATGGTTGGGTATGCCTCGCTGTTGCGTGCTGCGCAGCCCACTCGTGTGACTTCAATTCTGGGAGGCGAGGTCAATATCACAGTATCGTCGCAGGGTCAGCTGCAGTTTGGCAGGGCACGCATCGTGGATGAAGATATTTTGACAGAAAATGGCGTCGTTCATCTTGTGGATGGGTTACACCTGCCATTTGGCGACCTGGGTATGACTATGGAAAAGTGCTTACTAGCCCTCAATGCAACCTTTTATGTTTCACTCATGAAGCGGGCAGGTCTTGAGCACTATATTAACCAGGATCCTCATGAACCACAACGTATCGATGCTCCCAAAGGCCCATTCACCTTCATCGTACCCTCCAACGACGCTTTGAAGCACTGGCTGCATTCTTACGCAGCGACCAACCCTTCTATACCCAGTGATCCTGGCAATGACATATCCCGCCTTCGTGAAATGCTTTTGTATCATATATTACCCGGAGAGCATCATGAATTTGCACCCTATGGAATGTTATCTACGGAGTTTTATCCCTCGAAATTGCAGGGCCAACCACAGCGTATTCATGTATCTACCACCGAAGATCGTATATCTATCGGGTCTTCCAAGGTTCTTAAAGGTCCACTTCGCGCAGCTAACGCCACACTCTACTTTGTTAATGATGTCGCTCACATCCCCCTTGATCCTGTCGCTACCGCAACGCAATCGTCATTGACCATGTTTGTGCGCGCCCTGGTCCAGTCGCAAAAGGAAGACAGAGTGCGAAAGGCGCCCATAATGACCTATTTAGTGCCTCATGATGCAGGATTTGAGGCTATGGGCCTTGTGGCAAAATATCTTTTGCATACGCATTCTCGTGATTTAGATCAAGTGTTGACCTACCACGCCTTGCCGGGACTTTGGTACTCAGATCAGCTTTCGTCAGACTGGACTACGATACCCACTTGGGAGGGCTCTTTGCAATCCATGCGACTGGATTCGCGTGAGCTCCTTGTTCGCAGCAATACGTCGGAGAGGCTCACAGTCACTCAACCGGATATTCTAACAGATACAGGAGTCATTCACGTTGTACCTCGTCTTCGTGTACCGCCATCGGTACCGATAACGCTGTTCAAGCTTGCTCAAATATCGTCGGCTCAACGCATGATGCAGCTCATTGACGACGCGGGGTTCCAATGGCTATGGAACAAAACATATGATATCCAAGCCAAGAGTCCTTGTGGGCGCCAAAAGGTGGTGCTACTTCTCCCTAGTGATGATGCTTTTCTCCAAATTAACATCACTGAGTATTATCGCAGTCCCGAGCTACTTCGGGCACTTGTGGCCCAACACATTCTTCTTGTGAACGACTGTGATGAAGCGCACGAAAAGCGTTTCGATCTTCCTCTGTCCTTGGAGGACGAAGCACAACACCCCACCCTTCTCGATAAAAGCGTAGGAGGTACAAGCCGGTTCGGGGCCTTGGCGCTACGGTATATGGGACGGTCACGAGGCTCCTCTATTGGATATATGATTGGTATCAAGAACGCCCAAAGTGTACGCAACCACCACCACGCTGCTCGGATCACGAACTTCGGACGCGTATCTCAGCCTATTGCCTCACAAGGTGTGATGCCCGGGGGCATTCTAACGCTTGATACCATCCTGGAGCCCTACTCTCCTGGCTGGCTACACCGCTGGGACCGAGTCTGGCAAGTAATTCTACTGTTCTTGGTATTGTACAGTTTATACGAAGTCTATCTGTATGCTCGCATTCGTTATGAGGGCTATACAAGACTGCAAGCAGGCACATTGGAAGGTGAAGAAGAGTAAGATTACTGTAACTCAAAGGTATGAGACACCTTCGCCGGCATATGGTACAAAGCTAGTTTTTGGAAAGGTTCCGAACTCTCGTGGAAATAATAGCCGCGAAGTTGTATAGGCTTTGCCAGGTTTTCCATGTCTTGTTTTGCACAAACTGGGTCTTCCGACATAGGAGCAGTTCTCCCTCCCGGAGTCGAGATTACCTCGCTCTCCAACATGGGATCAAGGGAAAGGTAGATATAGTAAAATCCGGCAAAGCTGGCACCGGTAATGTGACTCACATGGTGGTCGGGTACAAGAAATCGCTCTTTCCAGCGCATAAAGACATAAGGGTATGCCTTAAAGTCGAAGGGTCGTCGAAGACTCCCTAGCTCATTGTACAATGCGTCAAAATTAGGGAACAAGGTCTGTATTAGACAAAAAACGCACCCAGTGTTTCAAGTCATCATGAGTGGTTGCATCCCACTTGTCCGTAGCAAACTTATAATGAGGACCGATGATCTCGCCATCAAAATAGGTTGTAATCTCCGGATATTCGCTTGTTAGTCCACATATTTTTAGAAAGCCGCCCATCGTAGAAGCTTCAAGATCCACATTCTTCAATTAGAACCACATAAAGCACATACCGTGAACTCGATTCGTACATCGTACGTATGCTGACGATTGCTTTGGGTACCGCAAAATAGGGCACCCGGTCGAAGGCAGCCAAGCGTTGCGGGTTTATAATGCGTCAAGGGGCTATCATACGGCAAGTCTGGTCTTTGTGCTTCGATATGGTACATATGCTCGTCTAGTGATGACGAGATTTTAGATAGAGGACAGACTCTTTGTGCTATCGTCGACGGCATCAGAGCTTCTGCAGAAAATCTCCCGCACGTGGAGGTGCAGCGTAGCCATCTGCTGACCACCATAACGTCTATTCATGAAGGGTAGCATCTATTATCTGCTCAATCTATAAGAGTCATCTCACGCCTATACACTCCTGAATACAATCTCTATAGGTTAGAATGTCTCACAGAAATGCGATCTCGGTGCTAGTACTCAGAGAGAATAGGCAATAAAAGTTGTCCTCGGTTCCCCTAGGGGATCGGATCAGGTCTGTGAATGCTTCTCATCCTTGTAGCACCGAGACGACATAGGGCTAACGTACCTGCAATACTCATGGGGTTTTATTTGTTGCTGCTACAAAGAAAACATGGTTGACGCATAGCCAACGTTCTTCGGCCTTGTATCACGTGAGCAACACAGCTGTGTGCCTTGTCGGCAGTGCGTTTATGGTACCCCGCCGCCTGCTGGTGCGTTCCCCATGTCAACCTATTTTGATACACTTCGGACGGTGCGTGGTGTTTCTGTCTATTTTCTTACTCTCAGACCTATCAAGACGTACCAATCACTGAACAAGGCATTTCCACGTCAGAGTTCATTGAAGCTACTGAGGGTGTCGTCAAGCTGTTCGACCTGCTTGGCAGCACAGCCTTCGCTGTCGTTCAGAATGATATGAACGGTAATATTAAGGTATGATACGGTCATTTAACACTAGAAAATTCGCGACCGACTCTTGGCGACGGGCCCTGACCTTTCGGGTACCTTGCAGCTCCTTGTCAAGAATGAAGGTCAGCCTGGTGACAAAAAGCGCACAGCTACAGAAGGTTTACTATGGCTTCTTCGGTATGTATAGTGTACACATTAATCGGAAGCGGTCTTGACTTCACAGCGCAGGCTCTGGGACATTCTATCCAAAACCCATCTGAGGAACTAAGTATTAGTTTTACGAATGCCTACGAAAAAACACTTCGGAAATACCACAGCATTGTGGTCCGGCCTATCTTTACTGTACGAATATCATATGCTAACCAAAAGCTTGCTATGAAAGCATGCCCCTATCGCAAAGACTTTTACGCAAAGCTCGGGCCATCAGAAGAGAGCGTCCGCGCGCCCTTGCAAGATTGGCTTGCTGCACTGGAAAATATCGTGGCCATAATGCAGAGGTTCTTCGAGTATGTATGCCCGTGTCACATCTAATCACACAGGGAGGGGCAGTATGCAAAGGGATTTTAGACGTCCATCAGCAATCACTTAGCTAAAGTGAATACCCAATGGACCAATTAAGATTAGCCAAGTAGTGACCTACGCATTGATCTGTGCACTCATGACCGGACACGTGCCTTCGGAACAGGTCGAGTGAGGGCCACAGGCCGGGTGCCGGCCCGGGCGTAGCAGTGTACTTTCGCCAACTTCATCCAATATGGGTATTCTCGACATTGTTCCTGCTGGTGTTGTTTCGGGCAAGGATGTCTACAAGGTGTTCGACTACGCTCGTGAGAACCACTTTGCCATCCCTGCTTTCAACGTGACTGTATGTTCTTTCAGCGCAACAGCTAACTTTTAGACTTCGTCCGTGGCCAACGCCGCTCTTGAAGCCGCTCGTGACTCGAAGTCGCCTGTCATCCTGCAGTTGTCGCAGGGTGGCGCTGCCTACTTCGCTGGTAAGGGTCTTGCCAACGACAAGCAGCAGGCTTCGATCGCTGGTGCCACCGCCGCTGCGCACTACATTCGCTCGGTTGCTCCCAGCTACGGCGTTCCCGTCATTTTGCACTCGGACCACTGTGCCAAGAAGCTGCTTCCTTGGTTCGATGGTATGCTTGCGGCTGATGAAGAGCACTTTGCGAAGACTGGCGAACCTCTTTTCAGCTCGCACATGCTCGACCTGTCGGAGGAGCCCAAGGAAGAGAACATTAAGATTTGCGTTGAGTACCTGAAGCGCATGGCCAAGATTGGCATCTGGCTTGAGATGGAGATCGGTATCACCGGTGGTGAGGAGGATGGTGTCAACAATGAGCACGTCCACAACTCGGCTCTATACACGCAGCCTGAGGACATTTGGGACATCTACAAGGCGTTCAGCGAGATCACCCCCAACTTCAGCATTGCTGCTGCTTTCGGCAATGTCCACGGTGTGTACAAGCCCGGCAATGTGGTGCTGCGCCCTGAGCTCCTGAAGATGCACCAGGACTATGTGCGCGACCAGCTCAAGACTAACAAGGAAAACCCTGTTTTCCTGGTCTTCCACGGTGGCTCGGGCTCGGAGAAGCAGGAGATCTATACTGCTGTGGACAATGGTGTCATTAAGATGAACGTTGACACTGACACTCAGTTCGCCTATCTTGAGGGTATCCGTGACTTTATTCTCAACAAGAAGGACTACCTGATGACCCAGGTTGGCAACCCCGAGGGCCCTGACAAGCCGAACAAGAAGCAGTACGATCCTCGCGTTTGGGTTCGTGAGGGCGAGAAAACTATGTCGAAGCGTTGCCAAATTGCCTTTGACGACCTCAAGTCTTCGAACAAGCTTTGAATGTGCTTGGCTTCTAACATACACAATTAGAATTCCTTATAGCTTATTAGGGAGCAAATAGTATGCAATTGTCATACTCTATAGATCAAGAGGTATACAGACGTGGGATGTTAGTAGTGTACATCCATATTTAAAAGCCGCGGGGGTTGACGCGCAATGTTTTGCGCGTCCACTTGGGAACTTTGTGGACACTTTTCCGGAAATTTACACCAGTTGGCGAAAAAATGGTATACTTGTCGCGCGAATGCATGTCATTCTCTTTAGGAAGCTTGAGATCGCGTTCCAAAGCGGAGCATGTCACACCGCTGGCGCGGACAGTCTCAATTACCATATCAACGTCTCGCAAACGCTGACGGACACGCGCCTTGCGAGGTGATGACAGGCGCCAAGGGTTTTTCCTATATCATAAATTTTACAAGTACATACCATAATAGGCCTCCTAGGGCCGCGCTGGAGGGACGGAAGGCACCCAGGAAAGACATGGCACGAGTAAAAGAGACGTCGGAGCCGATGGATCACTTTGTCTTCACGTGACTGACGTTACACGTGGAGCTGTCGTGGAACCTTAAGCCACGTACTCTCTAGCCATCTACTCTCCGGCGACATGGAGCGTGCGTGGACGTCCTCTGTGGAAGGCGCTCTGGGCCATTTCCAGGTGCAACGTTCCCAGGGTCTCTCTGATAAGCAAGTTGCCGATGCACAAATTCGCTATGGCTCAAATGGTTCGTGCGTCGCGGAATCGCTAATATACAGAGTTGAAGGAAGAAGATTCGGTTCCGCTGTGGCGTCTGGTTTTACAGCAGTTCCAAGATCAGCTCGTCGTTATCCTTCTTGCATCGGCTATGGTTTCCTTAGTTCTTGCACTTGTGGAAAATGAAGGGAGTTTGCTGAACGCACTTGTGGAACCCAGCGTTATTTTCCTGATTTTGATTGCTAATGCGACTGTCGGCGTTCTTCAGGAACGGAATGCCGACCAGTCTATTCAAGCACTTCGTGCTTACTCTCCAGATATTGCTATTGTGCTTCGTAATGGTGACGTTTCTAGCATAAATGCTAAGGAGCTTGTTCCCGGTGATATTGTGATCCTTTCAACAGGTGACCGCATCCCTGCTGACTGTCGGGTTCTCGAGCTTAGATCGTCATCATTGCAGGTTGATCAAGCAATTCTTACTGGAGAATCAGAAAGCGTCTATAAATCAGCGACTGTGGTTCAAGATGACAAGGCCGTTAAGCAAGACATGGTGAATATTCTTTTTGCTGGCACTACGCTGGTAAGTGGTTCATGTGTTGCCCTAGTATGTCAAATTGGTGAGAACACCGCTATTGGTGGCATTCACGCCGAAATTGGACAGCAAGATGAGTCGAAGACGCCGTTGCAAGAGAAGTTGGACGAGTTTGGTGATCTCCTTGCCAAGGCTATCATGGTTATCTGCATCCTTGTTTGGGTTGTAAACATCCGTCATTTTAATGATCCATCACACCATGGTTGGGTGCGTGGCGCCATCTACTATTTTAAGATCGCTGTTGCCCTCGCTGTTGCTGCCATCCCTGAGGGTCTTGCCGCTGTGATTACAGCCTGTCTGGCCCTTGGAACCCAAAAAATGGCCCGCAAAAATGCCATCGTTCGTCACTTGCCAAGCGTTGAAACACTTGGATCTACAAGTGTGATTTGCTCGGACAAGACTGGAACCCTTACCACAAATGAAATGAGTGTTGCACATGTTTTGTTGGCTGGTTCTGAGATCGAATACACGGTTACTGGAACCACTTTCAGCCCAGAAGGCAAGCTCTATTCAAACAATCAAGTGGTGTCAAATTTAAACCAGCCTGGTAGTGCTATGCAAGCTCTGGTTGAGACTTGCGCGATATGCAATGATGCAAAAATTACTGTGGATTCGAATGGTCGCTATAAAGCATTGGGTCAAGCCACGGAGGCTGCCCTCCAAGTACTAGTGGAGAAGATTGGACATCATGACGCTGCCCAACAGGCACGCCTGGATTGCCTACAGCCTGCGCTGAGGGCCAACGCTGTTTGCAACCTGTACAATGAAGCCTTGCCACGCGTATCGACTCTTGACTTTACCCGCGACCGCAAAATGATGTCGACGTTCGTATGCCATGCACAAGACACTGGCCGCTTACTAGTGAAAGGTGCTCCTGAGTCAGTCTTGAGCCGTTCGTCGCATATTTATGTCAATGAGAAGACGCGCGTACCGCTCAGTGACACAGTTCGTGCGAAATTGGAGACAAAATTGCAGGCTTTTGGTCGTAAAGGTTTCCGCACCCTGGCTGTTGCTGTTCGCGATGGAGCAACACTGCCTAATCCGTTACATGTGCTGGATCCGAAGCAATACTCGGAATACGAGAAAGATCTGTCTCTGGTGGGATTAATTGCTATGCATGATCCCCCTCGTCCTGAAGTTCAAGATGCTATTCAGGCATGCATTGGCGCTGGTGTTCGTGTTATTGTGATTACTGGTGATAACCAGTATACAGCCGAGTCGATTTGTCGTGAAATTGGACTATTCGGACCGAATGAAGATGTGACTGATAAATCGTTTACAGGTCGCGACTTTGATGAGATGAGTTTGGACGAGAAGAAAGCCATGTGTCGGCGTGTTGTACTACTTTCGCGCGTAGAACCAGCGCACAAGAGTCAAATTGTTGACCTTTTACAGGGTCAAAACGAAGTGGTTGCGATGACCGGTGACGGTGTTAACGATGCACCGGCTTTGAAGCGTGCGTCTATCGGTGTTGCTATGGGTACAGGTACCGATGTAGCCAAATTGGCTGCCGACATGGTACTTGCAGATGATAATTTTGCAACTATTGTCACGGCCATTGAGCAAGGCCGCAGTATTTTCAACAACACGGCATCTTTTATCCGTTACTTGATTTCCTCAAACATTGGTGAAGTTGTAAGCATCTTCTTGACAGTGATACTGGGAATGCCTGAAGCCCTCATTCCTGTACAACTGCTTTGGGTAAATCTTGTAACTGATGGGCTTCCGGCTACAGCTTTGGGCTTCAACCCTCCTGATTGTGCTGTCATGCGACTTCCACCCCGGAAACGTGACGAGCCATTGATAACTCAATGGATGTTTGTGCGATATCTTTTGATTGGTGTTTACGTGGGTGTTGCTACAATTCTTGGTTATGCATGGTGGTTTGTTGCGTACGAGAATGGACCTCAAATCTCGGTGTATCAGTTAACTCATTTCCATCGCTGTGCGCGTGAATTTAGTCACGTTGGATGTGACATGTTTACAGGCGATGCAGCGCGCCATGGTTCTACTATGAGCCTAAGTATTCTGGTGACGATCGAAATGCTGAATGCTTTGAACGCTCTTTCTGAGGTTGACAGTCTGTTGACGCACTCGCCGCTAAAGAATTTGTGGCTCATCGGTGCTATTGTCCTGTCCATGGCTCTACACATGATGATTTTGTATGTGCCATACTTCCAGGATATTTTCTCTATTGCCCCGCTGAATCTGACGGAATGGCTTGCTGTGCTTTTATTCTCGCTCCCTGTTTTGGCTTTGGAAGAAATTTGCAAGTTCTTAAGCCGACGAGCAATTACACACGCCAAAAAGATCAAGTAGGTTTCATAGGAAAGCAGAAAATCCTTGTCATGATATTACTATAACCCTGTATAATAGTACAATGTGTGAAATGTATATGCACGTCTCTCTTGTATGAGATTTCATCGAAATCTACGACGGCGGGTTTGGGCTCAATTGTGGCAACGTGGCACTCATATCGCTCGGCATATTCGACATAGGTGTCCCTTGGCCAGGATGCTCACTTAATGAAAAAGCTTGTGGACGTTGGGGCATTAGAAGCATCAGCGAAGATGCCTGCTGCTGTTGCCTCCTCTCAATGGAATTCCACAATTGTAGCACGGCGGACGGCTCATGTTCATGCATCACGTGGGGTGTCGTCGACATCCTGGAATCATTGGAAGCAGAGATTGTCACGGGTGCAGTCGGTGAAGTATGCACACCTGCAGAGTTCGGTATCGACGGAGCCACACTTTGGGATGAGGTATTGTTAACAAACACAGCTGTTTGTGGCCCCGATGCCGAACCAGAAAATGCTGGACCTGCTGTGGGAGCAGGCTGACCCCCTAGGAGTGACGGGTCGAAATGGAATGGTCTGTGAACCTTGTCCATATAAAGTGGGGGTGTAAATGGGAAAGGAATGGAAGAAAGTACATCAGGTGCATGCGATGGTTCAACGACTTCATGCTTTTGCATTTCAGGATGTGTGCCATTCATTTCCATCGCGAGCACCGGCGCCTGAGCAGGCTGAGATGCATACACACCTGCAGTGTGTTGCGTTGGCGGTGCTTCAGATGTTTTCGAAGGAGACTCCCCGATAGATTGAGTCTCCACTTTAGACGGAAGAACCTGGAGAAAGAAAGAATGCTCGAGACGATGAAGCTGCCCAAACTGGACGTAAAGCGCCGTGACGCTCACTTCACCGCTTTCCGAGGGATTACAAGGAATGCCCGCAAGAACTTTCTCGTCCTCCTCCCAATGCAGCCATTGCGGCATTGTATTGGCCGAATACACGACTTTAATGTTGCCGTTGGATCCTTGAGGATCCCATATGCGCAGATTCCAAGACCACCGTTCTCCAACATATGCGACTTTACTTGTAGCAGCGGTGATTTTAGGGGTGAAGGCGAAAAATTCCCAACCGCCACCCGGTAATCGACGTGCTTCCACATTCCAAATATGGTTTCCCTTCGACTTGGCTTTTTTCCCGTCTTCATTGAATCGAGAGATGTACGCATGAGTCCATAAGTAGGGTTTAATCCTTCGCATTGAAGCATCATCTTCGCTGAGACCATGTCGCTGAAGTTCAGTTTGAAAAGCCTTCGTAAAAGCCTGGATGCGGAATTTGAAAGGGCGAAAATCAGGCGATTCGTCCAAACGTGCCATTTTTTTGGGCATAAGAGTTTGATGGATAAGCTCTCCACGTTCGTCTTTTGCCTCAAGATTTGAACACAGTGAATTTAAATAGTCATGGAAAACCTTATCATAGATGACACGGAGTTCGGGCGAAAGTTCACTAGTACCTCCAGCCGATCGATCCATCATCGTAAGGTTTTCCCAACCATCATCTGTAGAATCCAATAAGTTGGAATTGGAAGTGTCAAAAGCATCATTGTTAGTTAACGGGGTGGAATTCAAAACTTGACTATTATTTTCAATTTGCCATGCATCCGACGATGGTTGGTCCAAGGCGAGATTGAGAGCCATAGAAGATGCTGGAAGTAAATTGGCTTTTGACGGTCCTTCATTGACTGGCCCTAGCACATTCATTGGTTTTGCTGTAGGAGCCCCACTAGTCGGGGTAGCCGGCTGTGACACCGCTGATGCAACCATTGGGGCCTGTTCAGGGACAGTTGGCATAATATTCTCCGGTTGCGTCGAAGCCAACACGGGTTGGGTGTTGGCAGTATCAGAGAAAGGAAACGACGAAGGCTGTGTTGCAGTTTGTCCTTGACATGAGGCAGGATTAAGCTGGAAATCAAACTGGCTTGATTGAAACGTCGGCGAAAGTAGAGATGAAACCGTCCATTTCTTTTCAATATGCGACAAGTGGTGAGCAAGCTCTGACAGATCCGAGCGAGACCGAGCACGTGTAGACATGGACTGACTGCGAAGTGCTTTCATTGGTACTTCGGAGGCCTCATTTGCAATAATCCTTCGCTTTCGAGGCTCATAGCCATCTGCAGCTGTCGAGAATAATGAGGCGTTAAATAACTGTTTCTCGTGCTCGGGAGATAAACTTTGAGATGTTATAGATGCTCCACTGGAGGCGCCGGGCTGACTCTGGTGATTGGCAGCATAATTCATGCTCATAATGCCAATGTCACCAATGCGTCTGATCATCTTTTTCAATGATTCGACCTTGTCACTAGATTTATCATATTGACCCCCATGGAAATGGACGCTAGCATCTGCAGCAACACGGGCCATTTCGTCAACAATAGACCCAATTTCGGGCAATGCACTAGATGGATCAGTTAATGCGTTACCTCCAAACATATTTTGGAGGGATGAAGGTTCGACAGTGGTGAGTTCGTGATTAACGGGTGCAAGTACATCTGTGTGGGGTAAATTTAAGCGTGTCGTTTGATGCAAATCCATCGCTGGGAAATGACGAGCTGTATGATCTGGTGATCTTATGATAGACGCTGCATTGGCGCCTGGACTCACGTTAATGGCTGTAGTCATACCCAAACCAACAGTCAAATCGCTTTGAGGAAGGCTAGGAGGAATAGGTGCGGCATTCACCGATATTCCATTTGTTGGGATCTGGGGGTTCAAACTCATATACGTCTGTCTGTTGTTATTTTGCTCAAAGTGCGTCGAGTTCGAAAGCAAACCAGTGCTTCCTACATGCAATTTTTTCCCCGGCTCTTCAACTGGCAGTGCGGGGTTGTGCCATTCATTGGATGGGTACGTGACAGGATTCATCGTACCCATCTGATTGGTATTATTTATTTGAGCCATACGCAGCGGATGAAAGACCCGCTAAGATGTGTATAAGCTTACGCTCAATATCTTGTAGCGGTAACGTATGAACCCCGACCTATACTCGACGGCGTCTTCCAACGAGCGTCTCAAGCTGTTTACTAATGAAGACTAGTTCCGCCTTTCAACGAAATTGGAAATGTGTTGACTAAATACTATTCACAAATTGGACAATGGGTGGTGGATCTAAGCGTGACATATTCGCAAATCTGCAAGGTCCAAGTCCATTCATTGTGCAACCTTATTTCAAAGAGCAAGTTTCTAGCCTTTGTTGAGAACAGTGAACTAATCAAAGATTGTCTCATTGTTTCACTTATTTTCTGAATGACCAATCGCAACGCGATCAGTCGATTTCATCTTTAAAGGTGATGTGCTAGTCGCAAACGTGAATGACGATTTGGTTCGTAGCGCACGGGGCACACTGGCGGAGCCTCGATTAATCCGAGAGGTCACTTCGCGAGTCGGAGTAGAAGGAGCCGTACTGGAGGTGGAATTTAATTGCGACGCATTAGGATCCCGGTCGCTCTTCATCCCTGAACGATCATCATATGAATCGATTGCTTCATGACAGGCCACATGCGTTGAAACATTACTGTTATCAGCTTTGCTTTGGTCTTTATCAAAGGCGAGCTCGACATCACCAACAGTCTCATCTCCTAGTGCCAGAGAAGTATCGGCCACGGAATCCACAGGACCACGAACCTGAACCACAGGAACTGAAGGACAATAAGGTTGAGTTGGAACTGTCCTTACAGGTGTAGTTGATATAGATGTACTTGGTGAGGGGCCTAGTTCAATGCCCAAGCCAGCAGGAGACACGGCACTGGTGGCAAAGGGTGACGTATGACGGGCCGTTGCGCTTCGTATAGCGCTATTAATAAAGTCAAGAGATCGCTTGTGTTGAGTGGTTCGTATCGCGACAGGCTGTACCATCTCAGGAGACAACATAGATGAGTTCTGCTTTTCTTTGGGACTGCGCATGGCATCCAACGCCCGCAGTCGTTCAATCATCTGATGCTGGTCAAGCAAAGAATCACCCGAATGTCTAAGAAGTCCGACAGCATTCATATAAGTGCGACGAGGTGGCGGGGGATCTAGTGAGACATAGTTGATCACTTGCAATGGCAAATCCACTTCCACCAGGGTCGAAGCATCGGCACCCACTCCAATACGGAGCATGTATTGAACTTCCACATGCCGACTTCGCTCGATTGAGATAATATTATCGGGAAGCTGAAAGGAGTGCGCAAAATAAACAGGTATGCCTGATGGGGCACCAGTCCACCAGTGGTGCGTATTGCCGGCCGTAAGCGTTTCATCAACGATAATTGAGCTAGACGAGTTCAGATCTAGTGGTGAAGCGGGTATCACGCTGCGCATATGATATAAATTCTCGACACGGACAAGTGCGATACGCAGCATATTAAGCATGTTTTCTCCATTGTTCAGCACACTAACATCGAAGTACACGCGCTGACCAGCCACCCAAGTCTCACGGTGTAGAGAAGCCGCCAACTGAATGCCTCGGGCATTCGCTTCGGCAGAGTTGGAACGGGCAACAATCGGTTGTGATGCACTTGCAAGCGCAGACGTGGGGTTCAAATAAGGATACAGTTGTAGCTTTTGGAAACAATGGGCCACACCACCCTGCTTCTCGCCAAATGCCTTGACCCGGACAGAAGCAATGATGATGTAGCCGACTTCTGCCGAATTGCTCTGATAGCTTCCCTTTGCCCCCTTATCCATTGGCACCTGTAAGGAGAATGGTAGAACATGTTCACCAGCCTGTCCAAGACAATAGCCATCATTGTCAGGCAACGAAGCAAAGCAAGGCAACAAATTTTGGCCCAGATTCTCAGGATGGGATACGGCTGGCGAACCATGAAGTACGTACGGTTCCGACGGTCCATCATTACTGCGATCCCCGTCAATAACCGACATGTGACGGTAAAATATGTGTCGGATGTCCTCATCAGGGAGGGTTTCAAAACCGATTAACCGCACCCGAGGTTGGGCAAGAAGCATTGCAGTGGAAGGGTCGGTGTGATCAGGTAGTACCAACCTAATGTATCCATGAAGTGTACTTCTTTCAACACAAAGATCATTCTCCAAAAAAATATCGATGTTGACGCGCTCATCACGCTCTGGAGGAAGCATCGGTGTGGTCTGGGGTTTCGCAGGAAGGTCATGAATGTTCAATTCATTCATAGATTTCAGTGGCGGCGTTAATGACTCAGGAAAATGATTACCCACATGCAGATAGGGTGTCGAGGAAGGCGTAGGGATAGGGACTTGTGCCATAGGTACTGCCATATTGATAGGAGCTGGATTCGTAACATGCAGTGATTGAGGCGAGGTCGAAGTATCACTAGGCGTTTCAACCCGGAGACGCGCAGGTACAGGCTGAACGTCCTGCATAACCGACCAATCCACAATAGGTTTTGCCGGCAGAGGATGTTTCATCGTATACACGGGCGATGTCTGCAAGCCAGCATTAGCAATTGATTGGTTTTCGCGCAAAGGCATCGAAGGAATTTGCAAGTGGGCATGAGCCTTGTTCGTGCTGTCCCCTTTGCCATGGTGACTTCGACCACGCACATGTGCGCGGCGGCGTGATGACTTGAGAGTGATGCCTTTGGGGACTACATTCTCTGTGTCTTTCGATACAGAAGCATCCAAGGGCGGATCAAAGTCGATACCTAGTCCGGACATCATGAAGGTCCACGCACACTAGCGGGCGAAGGAGGCCACGCGTTAGTAGCTGGGTGTGTTGATCTGGGCGAAAGCAACAAGCGATTCGGCCATGACCTGTGTTGGTCAGCGCAGCTGAAACAAGCGCTGTTTGGTCCAGACCAACAATGTAAATTCTATTGGCTGCGAGCTACCTCCACATAATGCGACGTTCGGCCTCACCGTATCGACCCATCCGCGTCTATATCGAGCTATTATGTAATAGAGAGAAAAGCTGCACGAGCCAGTCCTCATGGCTACTCAACCGCATTACAAGTGCGGCTTAGCCGCCACCGTGTCACTCTTCTTGGGGGCCGAGATGTACGAGCCTTTGGCATCGCGCTTGTCGCAGCGGGCGATGCCATCTTCGTCGCGGTAGACACCGAGTTCAATGAGTTTGGCGAATGCCTTGGCAAAGTCCTGGAAGAACAGGTCCCTGTCAGCAGCGTACTTCTCAACCCAGGGACGGAACTTGTCGTCCTGGATGAGGGCGTAGTCAGTGGGAAGCATCATGAGCGGCTCGTCATCCTCATCCATACCAGGCGCGCGAGCAGAGTACTGGAAGTTGCCGTCCCACTTGCGGGGCTCCCACTTCAGATCTAGAAGTAGCTTGAAGTAGGTGTTAGCAAAGCGAGTGGGGTTGACAACCCAAGGGCCATCGAAACCAGAGTTGTGCTTGTGGCAACGACCCAGGTTGTGAGCACCAGAAAGAGCCACAATCTCCTGGTCGTTGAATCCCATACGATAGAAGATGTGACGGAGGTGGTCATTGCCCTGCGCACCATCGGGCAGGCGGCCACGCGGAGGAATGTATTTGGTGTTAGCAAAGTCCGTGCGGCCCGGCTTCCACTCGATGTCAGGACCGCCCATACCCTTGATAGCAACGACGCCGGCGAGAGTCCAGAGGTCGGCGTAGGTGATCCAGGGATGCTTTTTCTTGATAGGCTCAAGGAAAGTACGAGCATTCTGGAGACCATAGTTGGCAGGGTCACCACCCTCCTCCTCGTAGCGCATGCCGGCACCGTTGGAGCCGCCAGTGTCATCCTCCTTGCTGTAGGTACCAGAAGAATGCCAAGCTAGACGAACAAGAACAGGACCAATCGATCCATCATCGTAGTCCTTGTTCTTCAAGATAGCAATAATGTCGTTGCGCACAGCGTCAAAGTCACCGAACTGAGACATTGGGACGTATGGAGACAAAGAAGTGTGTCGCCGGTATGGGGCTTAAAATGAGCCGGGTCAGAGAGCGAATCATATTGGCTTCGTTAGACAAGCGCTTGTATCATTCTTCGGCCGAACTACGACACGCTGGCGCTGCACGTGAAGAGCCCGTGCGCCCGGAGCAGTGGCAGCAAGATGCCAGCCTCCCGTGGATGCTTTCACGCCAACTGCTACTGCGTCGTCTACAACAGACAGGTTCGATTCTGGCTTCCTCCCGACATATCATGACTAGTGCTCAGGACATCCAGACCCGTGTTATTGGTGCCCCTAACACTCTCGATTACCGTGTCTACCTCGAGTCGAAGTCGACCGGTCAGCCTCTTTCGGCCTTCCACGATGTGCCGCTGTACGCTGATGAGGCGAACGGCATTCTGAACTTTATCGTTGAGATTCCCCGCTGGACCAATGCCAAGGTGGAGATCAGCAAGGAGGATGCCTTTAACCCCTTCAAGCAGGATACCAAAAAGGGTAAGTTGCGTTTCGTGCGCAACTCGTTCCCTCACAAGGGTTACATCTGGAACTACGGTGCCTTCCCTCAGACCTGGGAGGACCCCTCGTTCACGCACCCTGACACCAAGGCTAATGGTGACAATGACCCCCTTGACGTCGTCGAAATTGGTGAGCAAGTTGGCTACACCGGCCAGATCAAACAGGTCAAGGTTCTCGGTGTCATGGCCCTTCTTGACGAAGGTGAGACTGATTGGAAGGTGATTGTGATCGACGTCAATGATCCTATTGCTCCCAAGCTCAACGACATCGAGGATGTCGAGAAGCACCTTCCTGGCCTGATTCGCGCCACCAACGAATGGTTCCGCATTTACAAGATCCCTGACGGCAAGCCCGAAAACCAGTTCGCTTTTTCGGGTGAGGCCAAGAACAAGAGTTACGCGACTGAGGTCATCCATGAGTGCCACGAGGCTTGGCGCCGTCTGATCGCTGGCCAGGCCAACGCCGGTGACATCAAGCTCGAGAACTCGACGGTGCAGGGAAGCAAGGCTCAGGTTGGTCCTAACGACGCGGTTGTGGCCTCGATCCCGACTGCCAACCCTCAGCCCCCGGCGCCCATCGATCCGAGCATTGACAAGTGGTTCTTTATCAGCTCGTCGAACTAAATAGTATAAAAGCAACAATTTCTAGTCCATAATTTCACTGAAATACGTTGCTGAAGACTCTACTTATGTGCGGTAGAGGGCGCGCTTAGCCACTTTCTGAACCAGCTCAGGGGTAGGGAAAGACAGGCTTTCCAAGTTTGTAGCATACGGCGTAGGAATGTCAGCACCCGTAACACGCTCGACAGGAGCATCGAGGTAATCAAAGGCTTCCGATTCCATGATTTGGGCGCAGATCTCGCTGCCGAGACCAAATGCAGGGAAACCGCCCTCAACAGTAACAAGCCGGTTCGTCTTCTTCACACTAGCGATGACAGGCTCGATGTCAAGGGGACGAATCGTACGAAGGTTAATCACTTCAGCCTCAACACCCTCCTCCTTGAGCAACTTCGCAGCATTGAGGGCGTGATCAACACCAATCGAGTGCGAAACAATCGTGATATCTTTGCCAGAACGCTCAATTTTGGCCTTACCAATGGGCAGTAAGAAATCTTCTGACAGTACCTCCTCTGAAACAGGGAAAGAATGACCATACAAGATCTCATTCTCGAGCACCACGACAGGGTTAGGGTCACGAATGGCAGCCTTGAGGAGGCCACGAGCATCCTCAGCGCTATACGGGCTTACAACCTTGAGACCAGGGATCTGACCATACCAAGCTGTGTAGTCTTGAGAATGCTGTGCTGCCACACCCGCAGCCGCACCGTTAGGTCCACGAAAGACGACCGGGCAATGAACGCCACCGGCTGACATGTAGTGTGTTTTGCCTGCAGAGTTAATGATCTGGTCAATGGCCTGCATAGCAAAGTTGAACGTCATGAATTCGCAAATTGGACGAAGACCCGCAAATGCAGCACCCACAGCAAGACCTGCGAAGCCAGCCTCCGTGATGGGCGTATCCACAACGCGGTCCTCACCAAACTTATCCAGAAGACCCTTTGTCACCTTGTAGGCACCATTGTAACGAGCCACTTCTTCTCCCAAAAGAAATACACTCGAATCCCTGTGCATTTCCTCCTCCATGGCCGAGTTGAGAGCGTCACGGACCGTCATTTCCTGCGGCTTTGCGTCCGACGCCAAAAATCGCTTCGGAAGAGACAGAGGTGTACGAGTCAGGATGGGTGAGCGACTGACAGTCCGAAGAGCGCCAGTGCGCATTGTCAGGGCCCGCAGTGAAGGAACCATAGTGTGGTATACGTTGCAAGTAAAATAGTTCGTGGCAGCGTCCCGCCTGAGTCTACAGGCAGGATCGGATGACCTAACAATTCCACATTTCCCACTTGACCTATTAGGCTGATGGAGATGTTATACATTTGGGCATTTGCGACGCCGTCCCAGCGGCCAGCATTCACCAAACAGTATGTGGAAGGGATCATAGTCTAACTTTGCAGTGGATGAGCTTTCTTCGGGGTCATCTGATTACGCCGCAAGTACTTGGATTGCTTGGTTTCTTTCCACAAAGGGAAATGAGTACTTTTGCGAGATCGATGAAGACTACATATTGGATCGCTTCAATCTCACCGGCTTGAACTCAGAGGTTCACCACTATTTGTACGCCCTCGATTTAATCACCGACGCACTTGATGAAAACATCAGTGACTCAAATCGTGACCAAATCGAGACGCAGGCCCGCATTTTATATGGACTTATCCACGCTAGATATGTCGTGACAACACGTGGACTCGCAAAAATGGTATGTTCTGACTGTGCAATTGACAATTCCAGCTTGACAAATTCAAGCGCGCTGATTTTGGTCGGTGTCCTCGAGTACTGTGCTATCAGCAACCGCTGTTACCGGTGGGATTGTCTGACATCCCGTTTCAAAGCCCAGTCCGCCTATACTGCCCCCGGTGCGAGGATCTTTATCGACCGAAGAGCTCGCGCCACTGCGCCATTGATGGTGCATTTTTTGGTTCTTCTTTGCCGCATATGTTGGTACGTTGGGTGATGATCTGACGCCTTTAGCTCATGGTATACCCTCACATGATCCCGACAAAAACGACTGTTATTCCTCCCCCAGTACCACGAACGCAGCGGCAATATGGTGGTGTGTCTGCTGATGCTCTGCATCAAAGAGCTCTGGCTTTGGAACGCAAGTCAGGGCATGCGCTCTCCGGTGAAGAGACTGACTGCATGGGGGTGGCCTCCGACCACTCCACGGAGCCCACAGTCCCGCCCAATGTTAGGATTGAAAGAGTCGTGCCTCGCATTTTTGGCTTTCCTATCCATGAGACTAGCCGTCTAATGGCATGGCAAGAGCGGAAGCACGAGCAGCAAATGACCAAGATCGCTGAGTTTCATCGGCGAAAATTAGACACTGTTTAACAGAAACTGCGATGTTCCGCTACGTAGTGCGCCGCGCCCTGGAATAGTTGATAATGCGGAATTACGGCATCAAGTATATGTATTCATTACTATGCTGGCTTAGGCATCACAGCAAACTTGAGCTTTGGAGGATCCATACCCATCTGACGCATCTTTGCTACTTCTTCTTCGCGCTGCTTAGAAATGTTGAGCAGCACATCGCGGAAATTGAGGTTAATGGAAATTTGGTTTGCATTTTCAAAGATGAGCTTGCTCCAGTTTGGATTGAAACGTCCCGCCTGTCGCGCAATATCAAAAGCCTCCGTGCGAGTCTCATTCTCCTTAGCCTCAAGCATGGTAGCAGCATCATCGCCGAGTGAGCCGCGATCCAAGAGAGATTGAAGGGCTTGCTTGTCTTCGCGAAGGGAACTCATGCGGCGCAAAGCAGCAACAGCACGAGCAAGCAATGATGCTTGAAGAAGATGACGAGGAACGATCCATTCTTCGGCATCGGCAGGCAAATCCGGGTATTCTTCTTGCACATCGCTCAGTGCCTGGTATATAGCGCGATCCGGCTGTACATCCACATCTTCCGACGCAGCTTCCTGGAACTTGAGGGAGCGCCGCTGCGTTCGCGCACGGTAAAATTTGGAGAAAAGTGCCAAAGAGGCGAAGAGTGTAACGATATACGCAATCGGCACAAAAATCGATAACGCCATAACGGTGGAAGCAGAACGAGGACGCGGAATGACAGCGTCAGCGATGGAGGTGTGTATTGATGTTGCCCAAGTCTCGGATCTTCCCGTGGACCTAGTAGGCCCTACTGGGTGTGTGCCTTTCATGTGTGCCCGAGCTTGTGTCCACAACCCATACAACAGTCGGGTGCATTGTTTCCTACCTCGGCCTGGGCCACATCGGTTGTGTATTATAGCCAATATGAAGGGCCTTAAAAAGGCCATGGTATGTTATTATTGCACTTACACAGAACTTATCTCGGCCACGCAATAACGACAATCAGGGCCGGAATAACAGTGGCGGTAACAACAGCTCCAGCGCTCCTGCACCGCCCTCCAAAGACCAAAGCTCTCGGAGCTTTCTATCTGGGGGACTTCGCACCCAGATGCCCTCGTCAGGTATGCCCACATGTTCATTTACCTTAGCATCGGCTCCCAACAGTACTGTTACGCGTTTGTCGTCATCGTCATCTTCTCCCAGCATGTCAGGGAGTACCAGTGGGAAGGCAGGTGCCGTAAAGCAAACAAAGGTTTCGGCAGCACCCCAAACGCCGCCCCCACCGCCGCCTAGAGCTTCGACACCATCTTCCACTTCGTCACCGGCTATTTTACCTCCCCCTAGCCGTTCAAATTCTACGGGGGATAACTCGTCCGTTAGTAACTTGAATGCTTCTTCGAATACGCAGCAAGGAATGCCCAGCTATATATCTGCACAAGGAACAACTCCTTCAGCAGCCATGGCTCGCTTGCGTCAGCCGGTTACGCCGACGGTGGCGCCTAAAGACACAATCCCTCCAGCACGGACCGCACCGCGGAAACAGCGCAGCAGCCGCATTCAGCCAACAGAGACACGACAGCTGGAGCCTTTGCCCGCTTTCGCAGAAGTAATGCCTTCTGAGAAATCCCAGCTATTTGTGAAAAAATTAAGACAGGCCAGTATTGTGTTTGATTTTACGGATGCAAGCACCGAGCTTGCTGGTAAACAGATCAAAGCTCACGCACTGCAAGAAATGCTGGAGTATATCACAACACAGCGAGGCGCTATCACGGAGCCCATTTATCCTGAAATGGTGAATATGTTTGCGGCGAACCTGTTCCGAACCATACCACCGCCTTCCAGTGCCCTTGGAGACATGTTCGATCCTGAAGAAGATGAGCCCGTCCTTGAGCTTGCCTGGCCTCATCTACAGCTTGTTTATGAACTATTTTTACGTTTCATTGAGAGCACCGAACTAAACACGAGCGTTGCAAAGAAATATATCGACCATGGCTTTGTGTTGCAATTGCTTGACCTGTTCGACAGTGAAGATCCGCGGGAACGTGACTTCCTTAAAACGACGCTGCATCGGATCTATGGCAAGTTCCTCAATCTTCGTGCCTTTATTCGTCGCTCCATTAATAATGTGTTCTTTCAGTTTATCTACGAGACTGAGCGACACAATGGCATCGCGGAACTCTTGGAAATTCTTGGATCTATTATTAACGGCTTCGCATTGCCTCTTAAGGAAGAGCACAAAGTGTTTTTGTCACGGGTATTACTTCCTCTGCATAAAGTTCGGAGCCTTGCCATGTACCATCCACAACTCGCCTATTGCGTGGTCCAGTTCATTGAAAAGGATAGCCGGCTCACTGAGGAGGTTATGCTGGGATTGCTGCGATTCTGGCCTAAGACAAATTCACAAAAAGAAGTTATGTTCTTAAACGAAGTGGAAGAGGTGTTGGATGTGATCGACCCTACAGATTTTGCGAAAATTCAAGTACCTCTGTTTCAACAGGTGGCACGGTGTATTGAAAGTCAACATTTTCAAGTGGCGGAACGTGCTCTGTATTTCTGGAACAATGAGTACATTGTCAACTTGATGGGGGATAACATTCAGGTGATTTTGCCCATTGTGTTTAGCAGCTTGTATGAGAATTCGAAAGCGCACTGGAATCCGTATGTTTGTTCTACTAACCTCTTCAGTACTATCCACACGCTTGTCTACAATGCACTGAAACTGTTTATGGAGATCAACCCAGCGTTCTTTGACCTTGTCTCCAGTGAGCATCAGTATCAATTGTCTACGGCGGAGCAACGCAAGCAGGAACGGGAGCAGGCCTGGAAAAAGGTTTGTTCAGACGCTTTGCGTAATTCTCGCCGGCATGGGATCCATGCGCCTAATAATGTGCTTTCTTCGGGCCCCTTTTCCGACGCGGATGCTCAGCGCAGACCGTCGCTGATTCAAGAAAAATGCGCGTTCAATGATATGATTCCCCTGGCCAACTCACTATCGGGACTGGCTCCACCAGCATTAAGCCTGGCTTCTTCGACGGGGGTTGTCCATGGCCTGAACCCAGGCGGTGATATCTTATCGAAGGATATGAGGTCTAGTACTCCTAGTATGGACACGCAACCACTCGAAGATCGGGAACTATCTCCTAACAGTACGGCGGGCACTTCACATACCGGTGAATTTGAGGACGCCGAACAGAGTATTCTGCACGATCTTGCAGACCATATAGTACCTGCCTATTTGGAATAAGAATAGCATGGCTATGTACATAGTCCCCAAACGCCGGCAGCCGCGCTTTGCTTCAAAGGACACATGTGGAGGTAACGTTGCACGCCGAGTCGAGGTCACGAACTCGCCCCTGTATGGCTTGCAATCGTATTTACCAGATCCTTGAGATGGGTCTGTGCCTCTCCAGATTCCTTCTCGTAGAACTAGAATTAGTATAGAAAACGCACTGTGCACTTTTTAGACAACATCTTGCTTTCCTCTTGTGCTTGATCACGTTTCGATTGGGCAATTGACAGGATGTCGTCAAAACTCTCACGAATAAACCTGTATGTGAGCATTTCATGCATACATTTTTCCAACAGCTCTGTACACACGCGTCTCGCTGCCGAGACCATGAAGCTGCTCCATGGTAAGATCTTGAAGTTTTGCCTCGCGTTCACAGTTTCGCATCTGAGCACGGACTATACTGAGCTGGCGCTGAGATGCCACCATCCTTGACTGCATCTCATTGAGAATCTTAGAATATAAGTGAGAAATACGCACAATGGGCAGAGACTCATCTGCATTACCTGACATGATGGAGAACAGCCGCCGTGAACGACGCGCCGGGGCCCCCTCGAGGTACTTCCACGTGACCCAAACCCACCTTCCCCCAGGACGACGCGATCGTTCGCCATGTCCAAGCGCGGAGGATCGAATGTCGTATTCGGTACGTACATGGATACTTACACAAATAGTTGGAAATATACCCTATGATGTCTCTGAAGAGCAATTAGTTAATGTGTTCTCAGAAGTGGGTCGTGTCGTCGATTTCCGTTTGGTCAGTGACCGGGACCAGGGCAAGTTTAAAGGATATGGCTTTTGCGAATATGAAGGTACGAATGCACTATAATTAACATATAGACGCTGAGACTGCTGCATCGGCAGTTCGAAATCTAAACGACGTTGAGGTCGGTGGAAGACCTTTGCGGCTCGACTTCGCAGAGGTGGATCCTATGCTTGATGGCGGCGACCGCTCCGCTCGTGGCCGCACACCAGCCGGACTTCCTCCGGTTCCCAGTGGCGTCATGCCACCTCCAGGTGTTCCATCGACGGATGTGATTACGCGCACAATTGCATCACTCCCGCCCCATCAACTGATCGATATCCTCACGCAGATGAAATCGCTCACGGCGAACGCTCCTGAACAGGCGCGAAGCTTACTCACTGCGAATCCCCAACTAGCTTACGCTGTTTTCCATGCTATGCTTATGATGAATGTGGTGGATCCTATGGTAGTTCGGCGTGTCATGGGAGAGACTGGCATTAACTCAAGCATACCCCCCGCAGCACCGACGGTGCCACCCATGATGCCGGCAGGGCCTCCGCCGCCTGCATCGCATCCCATGGCTACTCCGCCTGTATCTATACAGCCCGTTCCAGCGCCGATGGAGCCCAGTGGCCCAATGCCGGCTCCGCCGCAACCACCCCAGCTGGATAATCAGCAGCGTATGCTGCTTCAACAAGTGTTGCAATTGACACCCGAACAGATCAATGCACTTCCGCCCGATCAGCGAGCAAGCATTTTGCAACTCAAGGCCCAATTTGGTCATTAGTTTCTGTGTATGATTACAGGCTCGCTTTTTCAGGTTCCACACTTGTCCATGGCAGCGCAGGTTTCATAGCCTCTAGATCGAGCGGGAACAGAGCCACAGGACCTTGCGACACGACACTGTCGGTATGATGCTGGATTGTCTCCCAGACCTTGTCGGGTGTGCCGCTCGCATCGATGCGAATCCAGTGCCCACCGACATATTGAACGAAGGACTCGACCTGGTAGAATGTGTGACGCACCTTTTCCTGGAAAGCACGCTTTTCGTAGCGTTCGTCTCCAAAGGAGGCTCTCGTAGAGGCTGTCTCTTCATCTAGGTCCAGGAACAAGGTCAAATCTGGGATGGGTATCCCTGCATCTGAGCCAATACACCAGTCCAGAGGGAGGCCTTTGGCCCAGGAGTATGCAATACCAGAGAACGCATATCGGTCACAGACGACAGTCTGCCCTTGCTGCAGAGACTGTAAAATGGATTCGCTGCATGGTGAGTCTCGGTCGACGCACATCATTTCCCAACGGTTCGCAGAAAACAAGAGGTGAACGGCATGGTCGTTAATATCACTCTTCTTGGTCAGGTACCCATGGATCATAGATCCAATAGCCGTCGCGCGTTCGGGGAACTTTACGTGGCGTGCATGCAAATGCTGAACAAGACGATCCACTTGAGTCGACTTGCCGGAGCGGTCAAGACCTTCCACCACAATCAGAGCCCCTCGCCGAACCGACGAGACGGGTAGAGGCAGTGAGCGCGACTTGTAGCAGCGTTGCATACTCGTTTCCATCCACCTCTGAATGCTCTGCAGGAGCGCCTGCATTGCATCACCGCGGTAGTTGTGGTCACACTTGGGAAATAGTTCGACGTGTACCGTGCCCGGCTGTCTCCGCGGATGGGCCGAGATAAGGTTGGCAATATCGGGCGCGTCTTCCACAGGCACAACACTATCAGCCAGTCCATGTGCGATGAACACTTGAATGGAAGGCGGTAAATTCTCAGCCATTTGAGGAGCAGGATAGTTGCATTGTGTCTCATGGTGCTCGGGATAGACACGAAACTCGCGTGCCTGGCCTTGAACCTGCAAGCTAATGGGTGCATATCCAAGTTCCTGAAACTTTGGCATGAATATTTCGTCTTTTTCATGGATTCGAGACATGCGAAGACGGCCAGAGCAGAGAATCATGCGCCGGGGAGGCGGCAAAAGGCCGTCACTGGGACTCAACGACGTGAACTTGCTGGCAAAGGTCGTGGACACAGTGCACCCTTTTGAGTGCGAGAGCATTGTATCCAGCCTGTAACCGAATCTCTTCACGAGGTACTGAACAATATGGTTCGTGTGTTCCGCGCCAAGCTGCCATCAGAGCCAACGATCGTACCGCATAGTCGCCGACATTCCATTCACCAGGCGTTTCGCCTTCGCCACTAGCATAAGCATCTCAAGCGCACAAACCTTATATCCCATCGAAACGAATCCATTCCAAGAATCTTTGTCGCGGGCCGGAAAAAGATGGCATTCTTATGCGAGAGCAACCCGTGTGTGAGCAGCGCGAGAGGCCTGCCAGCGCACGAGCCATCCGCAGGAAGCTCTGTCGCATCGGGTTGATCATGCAACCGTAAAATACCGTGGATACCTTGTCCATGATATGCCTCTTTTTCTGTTCCACCAGGAAACGGAATCACAATCTTCCACTCGCTCATCCTGGATCTAGCACGCGTGCGACTCGGCTCGAACGCGTGTGCGGGGCAAGATTCACTGTCACGTGCCTATAAAGCGAGGCGTCGCCCCTCGTGTAGGTGAGACGCCGTCATGGGCAGGAAAGCCGAGGTACAGCGCATAGCGCTGGAACGCTTGATGGGCCCCGAGAGTATGTGATCGATACTTATTATTAGTGATGGGGACGGCAGAAAAAGACGTGCATTTTACGGATCCCAAAGTGTGTCGCAACTTTTTGTGTGGCACATGCCCACACGACTTGTTCAGCAATACGGTAGGTTGCTCGCTGCTCATGGCAGAAAATGGATCTGGGTCCCTGCCCCAAATCACATCTTCCACGTTATAAGGAGCTTTATGATGCGGCCGTGGAGCGCGGCGAAACTTTCCCCCAAATCGTATCCGACTTTCAGCGCAACATACATATATTCGTGACGGACATGGATCGGAAAATCAGTGCCAATAGGCGCCGCTTAGAACAAACTCCCGAGGAAATGGAGAGGTTTAATGCTATGATGCGTGATATCAACGAGATTGAAGAGGCTATTACGGCCGCTACGAGTGAGATGGAGTCTCTTGGTGAGCAGGGCCGCGTCGAGGAATCGCTCAAGGAGCTCGAGAAAGTCGATGCGCTCAAGTCGGAGCGTTCCGAAAAAGAGAAGGAGCTCCAGACGCTGCAGGAGAACAGTGGTGCAAGTGGCCACCAAAAGCTGCGCGTATGCGACGTGTGTGGAGCGTACCTAAGTATTCTGGACTCGGACCGCCGCTTGGCTGACCACTTTAGTGGCAAGATGCATATGGGATACCAGCGTCTACGGGATCTCCTCAAGGAAATACAGAGCGAGAAAAAGACGCATCAGGACGCACCGAGGCCCCTGGATCCAGCGCGCGACCGACGACGGAGCCGATCGCCTGTAGGCGCCCGATCGTAATGCAGGGAAGTTGTGGAGCTGGGCGTACGCCAAGCCCGTGCTCCGTCCCATACCCGTAGACCTACGGCTTGATGAGCGAAGAGCGACGTACCACGGCGCAGTATATGCGCCAGGTGGTAGAGCATGTGCGGTCGCGGTGGAAGGCGCCTGGCACGACGCTTGACGCCTCACTGCTGCGTCCGGTGGACGTTCCATCGATGAACGCGGTCTTCCCTAGACTCACAGACGTGCAGCTGCAACGCCTATTCGGAGATGGCGCCACATCGACGCTGCCCAGTGACGTCTGCGATGTGTTGGAAAATATGGAACGTATGTGTCAAAAGCTCACCTAGACCTGTATGCGACAGGCACTGAAAGCCAGCGGCGCGGCGCTTGGGCCATTGCTGAGCTGCTTCGGCGCGTGGCAGGGCCTGCCCAGCGCAATACCACCCACGAAGAGGGTGTCAATACCAATGTGGACGAGGACGCAGACTATGTGGCTGGTATGTCGGAGGGCCGTGGTTTAGGCCCACTTACGGCGCCCCGCCGCCCTTTTGCCCCGCACGATGTCTTCGCTGCAATTGAAAAGAACGATGTGGATCGAATTATGGCCATCCGCGATACGCACTTTGAATTGCTGCTGGGAACTGATCAAAATGGCGTTGCCAGTCAAACTGGCATGCGCACGCCCTTAGAATATGCCATCAGCCTCGGTCCCAAATACCACCGTGTGTGTCTGTTCCTCGTGGGTGCGCTATCACGCTACGTGAACCATATCCCTGATGACCAGCCGCTAGACGATGCACAATTGAACGTGCTCCGCAAGGTGCGTGCGAACCTCAAGCTTGCGATTGATCAGAGCCTTCTCCGCGATGACACGTCGCTGGTGGCCAGCTACCTGCAAGTGCTGGTCATGGCAGAGGGTATAGCATGGCTCAGAAGAAGCGTGAAGAATGTGGCCTACGAAGTGGAAGGATGGGCAATACGCAAGCTGCAAGAGGGGGGCGTGGTGCCCCAGCCTATCCAGACCGCGCACGACGCCGTTAGCCTGTTCCTCACGAGCCATTTGCGCATGCGGCGGCAAAAAGAGAGCGTCGTGGTCGCGGCTGTGGACGACTACGTGGCCAATGCAACAGGGGATCTCGTGCTACTGGCACTATGGACGTGCCTGGCACCTGCACCTAGCGAGGTGCCGCTGTATGCGTTTGCGCGGGACGAGCGGTGCACGACCCTTTTCCTCGAATTTGTGAGTTCGCAGCGCGGAGCGCCACCGAGTGGCCCCGCGGCGAAGCTGTGGCGCCTTGCCGAGCGCATTGAGACGGCGCTCCATGGCGGACTACATACGCCTACGTCGGCAGAGCGACTCACGATGTTGTCTCAGATCCTTCGTTGATAGTATTATATACACTGGTAGTAATGGCAGCACAGCTCGACAAGCTGGCACAAGTGTTTTTCAAATTCAGCACGCGTCTTGGCCACGACCTGCTCATACAGCAGCGGGTCGATGGACTTGGAGCGCACAGTAAACGTGGCCGACACAGGGCGGTGGTCGGAGAGCGTCGCGTCCCATCGCTTGTAGGATGTGCACTGCACAACGTTGGGCAGGTGCCCGCGGTAGAGGATTCGATCGCAGTATGCAGGTACACGTGCTTTTTCGGAGGTGTCAAAATCGTTCGTGAGGCGATTGAACTTGTACGTCGGCGCAAAGTGAATGGGCGCCTCCTGGAACGAGCGAAGGCGAAAGTGCGGGTTCTCCCGCATCTGCTGCAGCAGCTGATCGACGCTGACCAGATCTGCATAGCGTTGCTGCTCGATTAGCTGGATCACAAGCTCTCGGCGCATGTCAAGGCGGTAGTTTAGGTCGCCAGCCACCAGGCAGATTTCGTGGTCGAGGATCATGGAACCATCGCCGCCAAAGGCAAATGATGGGTCGTACGCCTGTAACTCACCTGGTATGGTCGACTGCAGAATATCTGCCATATCCATATTGCGCTGCCGCACGTTGCGCTGTCCAGCGGCTAGGTGGCAGTTGAGGAAGCAGACGCTCGAGTCATCCACGATAAAACGTGTGACGACCGCGCCCTTGTTCCCATAGCGCCCTCCCAAGCCTGTCTTGACCAAGTAGCTGTCGACCTGGCGGATGCGTGGCTGCAATTCCGATTTGACAAACACAATTGTGAAAAGGCCCAGCATGCTCTCCGCCGACAGTACCACAAAAGGTGACTCGGGCGGCATGACGAGGCGCACATAGCTCACGAGTTTATCGAGCCATGCCTGGTAGCTGCTCGGCAGACGATCGCGCTCCTCCGCCGTCTTCGGTGTTTTCTTCGATTTGTTGCTGCCCAGCAGGAGCCGCTTGGCAGTGAGACGCTTGTCTTCGAGATCAATGAGCTCTTGGAACGCAAACACAATTACATCCGGCCCCGTGACGCGCCCCTCGGGACTCGTGCTGCATGACGACCGCAAAATGCGCTGGAATAGGTCCATGTTGTCGACCATGCCAAAAATGTCCGATGGTGACGCCGCGCCGAGGTTATACGTCGTAGTAAGCACCTTGAGTGTGCGGTACCTTGAGTAGGTGTCAGCTCGCTGGCTCACCTCCGTGTGCATCCAGTCGATGGAGAGCGGCGCATCCCAAAAAGTGACGAAATGGTCCGCCCCCACGCTGCACACGGCCAGTTCCGTCTGTCCTTGCTGCAGTCCATAGGCATCAAAGAGCAGGTCCGTGACGCTGTCGCGGTGGGCCTGCCACGTTTTGACCATGCGGTTCATCGTCGTGCTCGGCGCCATGACAGCAATGCGCCCCGAGCGTGTTCCGGCCCAAATCAGGTTCAGTACACCGACTAAGGTATGGATAGGCTCTGGACACAGCGCCACCTGATCGAGGCACTGTCCTTGCGTGTTCCATACGGTGATGTGACCCGTTTCGTGCCCGAAGAACACGACCAGGGGCAGGCCCGGGAGCGCTGCTGAGCACGTCACCATACCGAGGCCGTCGGTGCCGCCCATCGGGTGCTGCCCCGGCCGCGCCATGACATTGAATGGCCGCGAGTCCGACACGGGACTGTAGCACCGAACACTCAGCATGCGCTGGCTCGATTTGGTGCCTACACGGGGCACAACCACCTGTGAGCATACCCACAGTAGGCTACCAGCCACAGAGACATGCGAGTGCTTTGGCAAGTCAATGCGCACCGTCTCGGGGTTGGTAGATGCGAGACTCAGTGGCTGAGACCGCGCAAGCCACGTGGAGATCTTGCCGCTTTCGTCCACACACACAATGGCACGGCCCAGACGCGTGATGAGGGAGATGGGCGCCTTGTGCACGTTTGTGCGTACCGTCGTAATATGATTTGTGTACGTATCGAGCTCGCCCAGGTGCCCGCACGGTGTGCCGTACCAGACATAGCGTCCCTCCTCATGGCGCTGCGCATCGAAGACCGGCGGGCAGAATATCAAAGAGGTAGCGCGCAGCTCACGCGATGTCGTTGATATGTTGCCCGGACAGCCAAGTAGCGCATGGTGTTCTGCACTCTGTGCCACGATCCGCTCCGAGCTCGGCTCGAGTGCTTCTGGCGAGAAGTCGGCGCCGCGACGCACGACAAGCACGCGGACCTTGTCCTGCATCGCAACAACCACCGTTCCGCGGTACATCGTCGCCGCCCCCACCGGCGCACGGAAAGGGACTGTGCGGTGCGGCTGGAACGCGGGCGGCGCACGATTCACGTGCGACTTGTCAATGGCGTCCTGCGCGGGCAAAGCAGGTACATCGTCTTCTTCGTCTTCGTCGTCATCACTGCTCATGCCGGTTGGTACGGTCGGCACATCGGAGAACTCGAAGGTGTCTGGCGTGCGCACCTGCATATTGTGAGCATCACCCGACCCTGTCCGAGATACTGTGCCAGGTACAGACATGAACGATGCTGCGCTGCTTTCGCTGGGCGCCACAGGCGAGCGCAAAGATGTCTCGGACGTGAACGAGCTAGGCGCCATCCCTGGCTCGGGAGGCAGCGGACTTGGCTGTACAGCATCCTTAAGGGATAGATTCAAGTTTGCAATATTAGGTGGGCTCACAGATCCCGGGATCGTAGGTATGGAAAGCGCATTTGGTTCGTGGGTGCTGGGTACGGACCGCGTCACAGACAGCGGCGAGCGGCTGGCCGAGGGCTGCGTGCGGGCCGGCAGCTCCACACTGCGGGGCACCTGAAGCGACGAAGACGCAGCCTTAAGTGCCGCATTGGAGGTATGTAGGTCGCCTGAGAGGTAGGGCTGGGGAATTGATGCCGCCACGTAGTGGGAGCGGCCGGGCGAGAGGGTAGGCATCACATCGCTCTTGGTGCGAAGAAGCGGGGGAGGCGCAGTAGGCGCACTGGCAGGTTGTATCCGATGATCTCTCTCAGGGGGGAGCGGAGCAGCGGGCAAGGCGCGCTCCCCCCGCGGATCGCTCTGCGGGGTCATTAAAGTGACAAGCGCACGATACACTGCCCGCTCGGGCGGGCGTGCCGCGACGAGGGTGAACTCCACATGCCACGTGCATGCCAAGAGGGAGCGACACCTTCTTCGACCCGGCCGATGGCTACGCGCTGGCTGTTTGGTACAAGCGAGGATGAGCTGCCTCCGTCGCCGGACTTGGAGCCGACGGACGATGTAGTTCCGGATCAGCTGCCTTCGCTCCTTGGTGAGAAGGCGTGCATTGTGTACTATACGGACGGTGCGCGCGAGCCGACCACCATGACGGGGTCCGCTTGCTCAGCGCCCGAAGCGCCACCGCCGCCGTCGCAGGCGCGCGAATACCCTATCTACCTGAACTTGGATATGTCGAGTGGGTGTGGTGGCAAGATCTGGCCGGCAGCCGAAGTGCTGGGCGCCTACATTGCGTCGATGCCATCGCGGTACGCGCCGCACGCGAGTGACCTAGCGCTTGAGCAGCATCCGTGGCGCGGCAAGTCAATTGTCGAGCTTGGTAGCGGAACAGGACTGATTGGCTTCCTGGTCGCCAAGCTGGGCATTGGGTGCACAACATGGATCACCGACCAGGCCCCGATGCTGCCGCTCATGGCCGAGAATGCACAGCTGAACCCTGACATGATCGATGCGTGCCATGTGGCTGAGCTAAACTGGGGCGAGCCGCTGCCACCGGATGTGCCTACGCACCCAGACGTGATCCTTCTCGCCGACTGTGTGTACCGCGAAGAGGCATTTCAGCCCCTCGTCGATACGCTCGTGGCTATGTCGACGCCTACGACCGAGATTCTGTTCTGCTACCACAAGCGCCGCCGCGCCGATAAGCGCTTTTTCGCAATGATGCGCCGCCACTTTGAGCAGAAAGATGTGATGGACGACGATACAGCGCGCACCGAAGCGTACCGCCGGAGCGGCACATTCCTAATGCGCTTTCACAAGCGAACGTAGCATGTCTACGAAATCTCCCCTGCCTCGCGAGCTGCCAGGAACGCCTCGTGAAGCTTGACCTGGCGCTCACGCTCCTTCTCGAGGTTCTTCCGCCGCTTCTTGGCCACAGCCTCGCCATCCTTGTCGGCGGTCGGCAGGCCCAGCTCGTCCCAAGCGCTGTACTGATCGCAGTGGGGCGGCTGAAACATGGCGGCCGGCGCGACGCGGCCCTTTTCGAGCAGCTCGAGGCGCTTGGCGGCCGCCGCGGCAGCAGCTGCCGCCTTGCGCTCGGCCTTTTCGGCCTGCGCGCGCTCCTTCTCGGCGCGTGCTGCGCGCAGCTGTTCTGCCGGCACAAATTTGAACAGGGCCTGGCCATCCTCTTGGTCCTCCAGCGCGACGCCCAGGTCCACCAAGTCGACGTCGCGGAGCGTGTCGGCAAGCTGGAGCAGCTCGCTCGTCGGTGCGTTTGAGCGTGCCAGCTGACGCACGCGGTCACGGAACGACGAGAGGACACGCACAAACGGCGCGGCAATGTCGTCGCGGTTCCCGGCGCTGTCCTCGGTCGTCGCGTGGCCCCATGTGAGGCTGCCTTCGAGGACCGGCCCCTCGCCCAGGCCGAGCATGCGCAGCATACTCGCGACGTACTGAGCCACGTTGCGGAGCACCGTGACGTTCAGCGTGTCGCGCGACGAATTGCGCTCGTACACGTTGGCCTTCGAAACGAGCTGCAGCAACACCTCGAGACCACGTGGAGTGTCAAAGTTGTCGCACATGGCGGCGCGGAACGCGCACTGCGCGTCCTCGAGCTGCCGTGCGAGGGCCTGTGCCTCTGTCCCGTAGTGGTGCTGCCCATCGCTGAAAGCCGCGCCTCGCGCGCGCGCCTCGCGGTCGAGCGCTGTGACAGCGGCAAAAAAGTTGTTGAACGACGACTCGGCCGCACGTACTTCAGCCATGAGCGACTCGCGGAAGTCCATCTTGGCATGCCACGTCTGGAGGAGAAAGGCGAGGCGCAACTGGCGCGCAGTGAAGCGCGAGAGTGCCTCGTCGATGCTGATAAAGTTTTTCAGACTCTTACTCATTTTGAGGCCCTCGATGTGCAGGTGGCCGGTGTGCAAAAAGTACTGGATCCACTGCGTGCAGCCGTGGTACGCCTCGCTCTGTGCAAGCTCATTGTCATGGTGGGGGAACATGAGGTCCACACCGCCAGAGTGCACGTCGATATGCGCACCCAGCACCTCGGAGGCCATCACACTGCACTCAATGTGCCAGCCGGGGCGGCCAGGGCCCCACGGCGAGGGCCACGACGGCTCGCCGGGCTTGGCACGCTTCCATAGCGCAAAGTCCGCGGCGCTGCGCTTGCCCTTCGCGGCGAGTGCGCCTTCGCCCTCTTCGAGCAGCTCACGATTGCCCTTGCTCCACGGCGCAAGTTTGGCGTAGGTATGCGCACCTCCGGGACAGGCGCTGCCGTCGAACGCAGACGTTGCAAACCACACGTTCTTGCTCTCAGGCGACGCGTCGTCGACGTATGCGTACCCATTCCGCAGGATGCCCTCAATAAAGCGCACAATCTCGGGCACGTATTCACTCACGCGCGTGAGCATCGTGGGCGGCTCGACGTGCAGGCGGCGCATGTCATCGAAGAAGGCGGCCTCCCAGCGCGCCGCCAGCTCGCGGAACACGGCGGGATCGCTGACAGTGTGCGCGAGCGTCGCGTCCAGGTGTGCACTCAGCACATCGACACTCGCGTCGATCAGCTGGGCGGCCTGTGCCCCCGACGCATCGCCCGCGCCGAGTGCCACGGCGGCAGCGACTTGGGCGTCGCGAGACTGCTGCAGCGCCTTGAACCATAGGCTGAACTTGGGCATCGTCTGCGCTACCTCGGTCCGCCACGCCTCGCTCTGCGCGAGGCGCGCCACCTGCTCCCAGCCGCCCTCGCCCAGGCGCTGACGCTCTGCCTCGGCCGGATTAGCGGCTGCTTCGAGCGGCGGCGCGGGCGGCGCAAGCGGTGCGAGCGTGTGGCGGAAAAAGGCTGTCCAAGCCTCTTGGACCGTCTTCAGCAGAGGCGGCGTCAGCTGGGGGTGCTGCGCACGGAACTGGGCGAGCAGGTGCTCCTGCCGCGCACGCATAATAATTTTGTCGTCAATGTCCGTCACATTCATGACAAAGTGGATGTCGTAGCCAAGGTAGTCGCGCATGATGCGCCGTATCACATCCTGTGTAACGTAGTTGCGCGCGTGCCCCATGTGGCTGGCGTCGTACACGGTAGGGCCGCAGTTGTACCACGTCACGAGACGTCCGCGCTGGGGCACGAACGGTACTTTGGATCGCGTAAACGTGTTGTAGACCTTGAGCTCCGGCGCAGCCTCGCGCGGCTCAGGCACGGTCCATCCGCTCACACTGTTGGTCGACATGGTCCTGCGTTGTGCCAAAGTGTGCGTCCGCCGAGTGGCACGAAGAACGACACGGAGCATGCACAGGCTGACCTCCCCCGGCGGTCGCCCCCGACAAACGCTGAGTCAGCGGCCTGCCTGCCGCCGCGGTGTTCCTTGTGGCATGGCGGGGGCGGCGGATCGTGCGCGCGATGCGTGGGACGGCGTAGACCTCACGCCCCTCGTGCGCCTCGCGCAGGACGAGCTAAGCCGCGCGCTGGATGTGATTTCAGAGGCCAAGACCCTCTTTATGGACCCCGAGCTCGCGGGACCGCTGGGGCTCGTGGCGGATCTCGCTGCGCTGCGCCAGCAGGGGGTCGAGAAGATGTTCTGGATGGAAGAGGCCGACCCGGACACGCGGCCGGTGCGTGTGCATGCACCGACACGGCACCTTCTCTACCTGTGCCGACCCGAGACGCGCTGGATGAAGACGCTCGCAGCCCACTACGTGGCGGACATGGCAGCGTCGCCCGAGGGCCAGACGCACTATGTGTACACGGTAGCCTTTGTGCCGCACCGCACCGAGCGGTGCCTGCATTATCTGCGCGAGCGCAGCCTGCTCCCGGCCGTGCGCGTGCACGACTTGTGTCTCGAGTTCACTGTGCATGGTCCCGACGTGCTGAGCCTCGAGGACCCCGGCGCATTTGCGGACCTGTTTCTGCACGGCGACCACACCGCCCTCTTCCACGCGTCGCAGGCGCTCATGACGCTGCAGCGCATGTGGGGCCTATTCCCGCGCGTCGTCGGCAAAGGCGACTTGGCGAACCGGCTGTGCGACTTGCTTGTGCGCCAGCGGCGCGAGCACCTCGCGTCGGAGCCGTGTGCATCGCTGTCCGCTGCATCGCCACAGATTGACGCACTCATCGTGCTGGACCGCACCGTGGATCTCGTGACGCCGCTCTGCACGCAGCTGACGTACCTGGGCCTGGTGGACGAAGTGCTGGGCATACACCACGGCTTCGCTCATGTCGACGCCGCATGGGTCGGCGGCACCGGTGCGCCGCGCAAGGTGCGCATGGACGGCACAGACGACACGCTACTCGAGGCGCTGCAGGACGACAACTTTGCCGTCGTGGGCGAGAAGCTGCATGGGATCGCGCAGCGGATCAGCCACGACTACGAGGGCCGGCACAGCGCGAGCACCGTGCAGGAGCTGCGTGCGTTTGTGAGCCGCCTTGGCTCGCTGCAGACGGAGCATGCGAGCTTGCGCCTACACACGAACATCACAGAGCACCTGCTGCAGATCACGCAGTTGGAGCGCTTCCACCGCGTGCTCGAGATCCAGCAGAACTTGGTCGCTGGCGCGCCCGTAGCGCCGCAGCTGCAGGCCATCGACGAGCTCATGGACTTGGGTGCGCCTGCCCTAGATGTGGTGCGACTTGCATGCCTTGCCTCGTACGTGCACGGTGGCGTGAAAGCGGCGTGGCTCGATACGTTCACGACCACCGTCGTGCACATGTACGGCTACGCCTACCTCCCGCTGCTGCTCGCGCTCCGCCACTTGCGCATCCTCTATGCGACGCCGGCAGCCAAGGGTGCGAGTGTATCGACGTGGGCGCAGGTAGCCAAGCCCTTGCGCCTCGTGGACGACGACGTGGATGAGAGGCACCCGCGCGATATTTCGTACGTGTTCAGCGGCATGGCCCCGGGGTCGATCCGCCTCGTGCAGAGCATCTGCCAGCACGAGCGCACGCTCCAAGCGCTGCAACAGAGCGGCGAGCGACCCGCAGCTGCGCGGATCGCCGGGTGGCACGACGTGGACGAGGCGATCCTGGCGCTGCCAGGCGCCACCTTCGACGTGATGCAGGCGGACGAGCCGCGCGGCGCGCGCGACAGCGAACGTATCACCACCACGCTGGTGTTTTTTGTCGGCGGCGCGACGTACGCGGAAATCGCCGCACTGCGCCTCATGAGCCGGCAGCAGCGCACGCGCCGTTTCGTGGTGGCCACGACAGGCATGGTCCATGGTGCCTCGCTGCTGCGCGGGCTGAGCAACGTGGCGCTCGATTGATAGACTATGTACATGACACCTCAAGCTTCTGCGCCACGCAGCGCCGACGTCGCTAGGCAGCCGTGGACGACGCCGAGGAGGTGCTTGTTCTCAAGGGCCGCCGCGACGCGCTCCTTGTCGTTGAGCTGCTTGTTGATCGCGCCCTCCGACTGGTGCGTGCCGGGCCGGATCGTCACATCGACCTTGTAGCGCGGCGGCAGTGCACGCATGAGGCGCACACGCAGCGACAGGCCAATCAGGGTGGCCATGCTGCAGTGGGGAATCGTCGGCGTAAAGGCCAGGTGCACCGTAGGCGCGCGGCGCGCGGCCGCATCGCCCTCGTCGACAGTGATGTGCGCCTCATTGACGACGGCCAGCTGCTCGAGTGTGAGGGGATGCTCGGGATCCGTGATGGAGCGCACGAGGTCGAAGACCTCGCGTGCATCGAGAGCCTCGGGCGCCTCGTCGTCGGCCTCTTCGTCCTGCGCAAAGAGCGAGTGCGACGGCGCAAGCGGCTCATGCCGCCACCACGCCTCGTCGGCGGCCATGTGGTCGGCCATGCGTGGGCCCTGCGCCCGCGTCGCATGTACCACGGGGTTGGCGTTGTCCATCGTCGTGGCCGGCGGTGGCGTGGCTGGGTGGAGGGCAGGTCTTCTACGGGCTATCAGCGCGCCGAAGGCGCCGCCACATCGTGGGCGGACGGCAGCCCCCCCTGGCCTAGCTCGGGCGAAAATGAGTGCGTGTTCGTTGGGGAGCCTGGGGGCATATGACTCGAGTCCATCATCGAATTGTTGAGAAAGGCATCCATGAGATCCTGCTGGCCGGCCCAGGAGACCGTGCTGGACAGGCCCCAGCGCCCACCTGCATCGCCCATGTCCAGGCTGGAGGGCATCGAGTCAGTGAATGGAGAAAGCGACGACGTGATTGGCACCGTCGACGGCTCGACCAGGTCAGGGTCCTGCTCGTTCAGAATGCTCATCGAGTGGGAGCGCTGCGGCAGCACACTTGTGCCGGTCGACGGCATGAGGCCCAGCCCATGGGGGGCCAGCAGGTCCGCCGCCATCATCCCTGGGGAGAGCGTCGACATGCCCGGCGCCGCGCCCCCCGACGGGTACAGATCTGCACCGAGACGCAGGCCATGGTGCCATGGCTCGGACGGCGCCATAAAGTGTGAGGTCGGCTTGAGCGGCGACGGCGGCTTGTCCTGCCCCGGCAGGGACACGGACTCGTGCGCCTCCTCAGGGTGCGCCGACGGTCTCGTGCCGGGGCTCACGCCCTGCTCCTCCGCCTTGGCAGAGCCACCCGACGCGAGCGGCGACGGCTGCGTGCGAATGAGCGTCGGCATGGGGGGCGGCGTCGCCGAGGGCCGCATGAGGTGGTCGTCTGGCACCGCGAGATGCGCCGTGGGTGCGGGGTCGTCCACAGCACGCGTGCTCGTAGCCGGCATCGACATGGTGCGCCCCATCGTCTCGGCTTCACGGGACGGCACACCGAGGCCCATGTCCGTGGCCGATGCCGCCGGCTTCGGCTGCAGCTGCAGGCCCAACATGCCCTTATCGCCCGCGCTGGACCGCGCGGCACTGCCGAGTGTGGGGCTCGCGGGCGTTTGGGGCACACTGGGAGGCGCCGTGCGGTGCGGCGTCTGGAGCGCGGGGGCACTTTTTGCCGCGCCCGCCGGCAGCGGGGGGCCCAACACCGAGACGCGCGGCGTGCCCGGCTCCCGGGTCGCTGACTCGACGCACTCAAACTCCCAGGCGAGCACGCCGACGACGTCGCCCAAGCGACTGCCTGGGCTCACGCTCTGGTCCGACGGGGTGGGCGACGAGGGCTGCGGGCCATGCGGCGTGTCCTTGTGAAGCACGACAAACTCCTGCACAAACGCAACGCCGGCCACAGCCATGCCGACCGACGCCCGTTCGCTGGGCTCTTTGCAGTACGAGATGTCGGCTGGGGCGCCCGCGCCCTGGAAGACGCGCTGCGAGTGATTGCGGCTCAAAAAGTCCGCCCAAAAGTCAGCGGCAAAAGGTACTTGGTACGCCCACGCATAGCGTGCATCGCTGGGCGCAGGCGAGCGCGGCAGTGACGCAGCCTCGTCGCTTGACGAGGCGCGCACCGAGTCGGAGCGCCCACGCGCGAGCGGCCGCGGCGCCTCAAGGCGCTCCACGAGCGTGAGTACACACTTGCCGTGCGAGTATATCGACAGGACCATCGAGAGCGACGTATTTTGGGTGCTGCCCATCGACAGAGCGACGCCGAGGCGGTCGTACAAAGGCGCCGACGGCTCAGCGCGGGGGAGTGTGAGAGGAACATGCACATGTACAAAAGGACAGGACATTTGGCGGTGCATCTCGGCCAGGTGGGGGAAGCGGAAGGACGTCGCAGTGGGACCGTTACTCGGGAGCACAGGCACCTCACTGCCTGTCTGCAGAATTTTCGACATGGCGAGCGTATCCAAGCTGGTGTAGTGGTGGCAGTCGTCCGACTTGCTCGAGTGCGCCCAGAGGGAGAAGGCCGTGGGCATAAACGTCGGCAGTGGGTCCAGCTCGTGCAGCGGAACCAGCCGCGCGGGCGACGTCTGCCGCACACCCGTGGGCGGCAGACCGCGTGCGGCCGGATTGGGCGATGGCGACGACGAGACGTGCATGTTGTCGAGCGCTTTGGAGATGAGGCCTGTCGCCGGTGACTGTGCGGGCGAGTGGCTCGCCGGCAGAGGACTGCCGACCGCTGGGCTGAGCGACGTGCTCGTCGAGAGCATCGGGGAGGGAAGCACATCGGACGACGAGGGCGTCAGCGAGAAGCCGAGGAGGCCCATGCTGTACTCGGCAAGCGTGTGCGCATACATCATCCCTCCCGCCGGCGTGTAGTAGTCCTCCTCACTCGTCGGCTCGGCAATGAGCTGCTGGAACTCCAGGTCGCCGCGCTTGACGTTCTTGAGCACCTGGATGTGGCTCGACACCTGCTTGCGCGAGCGCATCTTGCCCGTCTTGCGCTCAATGTAGTCGGCAATCAGCTCGTTGCGCCCACACGGCTTGCCATGCACAAGCACCTTGCGCCGGCCCAGCTTGGGTATGAGCCGCAGTGCCTCCCAAAAGGCCACTTCGACGTCGTCGGGCCAGACATCTGTCGTCGACTGGCGCGTGCTGCGCTCGCGCGAGGCGCGAGGCTGCGGCGAGCTGTACTGGCGCTGCATCATCAGCGGCGCCGATATCGGAGGGCCCATGTGCGGCGACGCTGTCGGCGGCGACGACAGGCCTGGCGTCCCATGGAAGAGGCCCATCGGGTCGCGCGTCGGCCAGGGCGCGCTGACGCCGCCGTAGCTGTTGGCGCGGCGCATCACAGGACTCTCATGGTACGACGGACCCGGCAGGCTGCTCGGCGAGGTCCCGCTCGCCGACGCAGTGCGCAACGCAGTGCGGTGGGCCAGCGGCGACAGGTTGGCGCCGAGCGGCTGGCTCTGGAGCGCCATGTCCGCGCTGGAGGACGGCGACGGCGACTCTGGCACGTTGAACGAGAGCATAGAGGGCGGGAAGTACATGGAGCCGTTTAGGCCAGCTGCCTGAGGCATCATCATGCCGTAGGGCGAGCTGCTCGGCTCAGGGCGGACCGGCGACGAGAACGAAGGCGGCGACATGCGCCGCCGCTTGCCGTCGGTCGAGAGAGGCGGCGCCTGCATCGTCACAGGCATAGGCGAGTTCACGGGCCCTGCGATCGTGCCGAGAGGGAGGTGCCGCAGCTGGGTCGGCGAGAGCGCGGCGGCGCCATCGACGCCCGCCTCGCTCACACTGTGGGTCATAGGGGATGAGAAGTGGCCATCGAGTTCCAGACCCGACGGAGGGAAGCCTGCGCCCATGGGCGGGATGCCCATATAGGCACCGGACGCCATGGCGTTCCGCGGCCCCGACGGTGAGACCGGCTGGGTGGTAGGGAAATAAAACATGCCCGATCGTCCCGAGCCCACGTCGTACGGGACTAGCTAAAGAGGACGACGGCGTGCACTGGATGGATGCAGAGGACCTCTGGTGCCCGTCGCAGGATGTGCACCTTGCGTTCCACCAAGGTTTCGTGGCAACGCGACAGCCCTGGCAGCAAGGGAGATACTCGCACTACTCCCTGCAATGAATCCACGCGGATCGGGGTGGGCCAGCTTCTTCGTCAGACGCGTCGCGATGACGCCCCGCGCGGACGACTATGGACCTGCATGATTGGCCCTGCCCGAGTAGCGTGATGCCCTTTGGCCAACCCCGCCGCAAGGGGGGGCCCGTGCTGAGTCAGCACAGTAGGTGCACCCCGCCCGGCCGCTATCGCGCTACCGGGACGAGCACAGGCGCAGAATCTCTGCACGCTGATGCTGGACGAGGCGCGTCGTCTGCTTGGTTAGTCGACCTACGCACTTGGTTCACGGTGTTGCTCCACGCCTATATGTCAGTGTCGTCGTGCGTACCTCGACCTGCCAGGCGGCCGCGCGGATGCGCGCGCGATCCTCCATAGAGTCAAACTTCCACAGGTGGAACACTTGATGCAGCTCGCCAAGGCGCGAAAACCATGCGCCGAGCGGCTCTGTAAAGGGGCGGCGCGCCTCGAGACCCTGGCGCCTAATGTTGGTTCACCGTACGTACCAGATGCGCTCCCACTCCAGCAAGTGCCCCGGCTGCAGCTGGTAGGTGCGCAGCTCATAGACGCCGTCGCCCAAGTCCCAATCGGTGTTCTGCCAGAATGTAAAGGCCTGCGTCAGCCAGTTGCGGCGGTGCTGCAGCATGGGTGCGATGTGCTCATGGTGCTCGATCAGCAGGGGATCCGAGCGAAATTCCCGTGAAACCTTGTCAAAGCCTTCGTAGCCCGCGTAGCGCCAGACGTGGTCTGCATGAGTCGATGCCACGTACAAAAGTGGCCCATGTCGCCGACCACGACTTCCCAGCTACCCATGTGCTCCGCGGCACTGCCATACTTGACGGCCACTTGGTGCGCCATGCTCTCCCTGCGGTCAGCCGCCGATACATACATCGCCTGCGTGTACGGCGCCACATGCTCCGGCTTGACAGCCACGCCTGCATAAGCTCGCAGTACGTACGCTGAAGCTCATACACATAGTTGTCCGTGCCAGGCTTGTGCGACAACGCCTCGGCCCCTCCTTCGCCATGCAGGAGCGTCTGGCGTCAGTGCACAAGACTCACTTGAAACAGATTTCCATTCGTGCGCGGCGCACACGTATGCAGACGCGCAGCATGCAGACCTACTTGCCGGCGCCACATGGTGGGGGAAACTGTCCCGTGCGCCGGGGACCTCCACTAATGGGTATCGAGCTCGACCGACTCTAGCAGGAAGACCTGCGCATCGTCGTCGGCGCTGCGCTCCGGAAAGAGCAGGATTGTGTAGCCATTTTCGCCCGAGCGCAAAATACCATGCTCCGTCTCGCCAGCGCGAATGTGCCCCTTGCGCCGCACTTTCCGCGCGCGCGTAGCCGCCGTGCGCCCGTCGTCCGGCGGCCCGGCGCCGGTGAGCGTGCCACTGCCCAGCGGCAGCGCATGCCCAGGGTACTTGGACTGCCATGCAATCGGGGTATCCGCGAATCCGCCCACGCTGAGAGCCGCGATGCTGCGGTGCGCCTCCACCCAGTCCCAGGCGATCTGTAGGCACTGCGCTACAAGCGCGGGCGGCAGCCATCCCATCACACGCAGGTGCAGGCACGCGCTGGGCGTGCTGGCGGGGGGGGGATCGTACAAGCACACATAGGGCTCGCACCTGTCGAACGCGCGCAGGCGCGGCGACGGCAGAGCCATGAGCCCGGCCCACTCCAGCCACAGGCCCACGTCGCTGCGGCTGGGTGCACTCGGGCGGCGTGGCGCCCATACGTCCTCGTGCATGCGCACCACCGTATCCGGCTGCACGAAACGCACGTTTGTCGGATCAACGAGCGCCTCGGAGAATGTGATAGGAGCCCACGCACGCGCTGAGGGCGCGTCGAACGGCGCGGGCGGAGTCCATGCGAACAGGCAGGGCCAGGATGCGCGCCCCCGAGCCTTGTCCCACGCCGCGAGGCACTGCCGTGCGCGTTCGTAGCCGCGCTTACCCGGCACAAACGATGGATCAGAAAGAGGCAGCTGGATCATGTAACGCGATACAGGCCCGCTTCGCCGATCGCCCATGCGGCCGGACGCGCCATGTGCGAAGCGGCATGGGCGGCCCACGAGGCCCAGCTGCTGGTACGTGTCCTTGCACACCGACAGTATGAGCATTCCCTGGCCATCGACGCACAGGGTATCGTCGGAGTCGAGGCGGGTCATGCTTAGGGCGTACAGTGAGCCTGTAAGGATGTACTGGGCCACAAACGACGGCTCGAGAAACAGCGTGGCGGGGACGTGCGCGAGGCACGGCCCTGGACCGGCTGCGTGGATGGTGTTCTCCAGCGCGGCTTGAAGGGGTCTCACGTCTGCGGTGGCCGGCACGACTAGATTCAGCTTTCGTTAGGATGTGCACGTACGGTATGGTTAAATGGGTGCGAGAGGACCGCCGTCTGGAGCTCTGAGCGCGTGTGTGGCCCCCATGAGAAAGAGGCACTGCGTAGGCGCCCCGGCCCGCCTGGCGCCCCGCGTTCGCGGTCAGCCCGCATGGCGCCCCGGCGGCGCTTGTGCGTGCTATGCCGCGCCATGAGGCAAGGCACCGCACGAGCCTTCGTCGCACGAACAAAAGCCACGTGTGCTGACATAAGTCGTATGCGTGCCGGCAGGGCCTCCACGAGCGACGACAGGCGGCGTATTTCCGTAGCACCACGAAAAAGCCCGCCCTCTGTCGGAGCCGCCATGTCGCTGTTCAAGAAAGCCCAGTCGGCCGTGGCGCACAATTCGAAGATCCCGCAGCTGGGGAATAGTGACCTGAAGTCCCTGCAGGATCTTATTCACACAGAAAAGGCGTATGTCGCCTCTAACGCCAAGATGGCTGTCGAGACCCAAAACACGGCTGACGCGCTGCGTGTTTGGGCGAGTGGCGAGGGTGACGACCTGGAAGACGTGTTGCCGAAGGTGGCGTTTTTGTATGAGCACCTGAGCCGCGCCGAGACACGCTACAACTACTATGTGTCGACGATGCGCTTGCACCTCAAGTCGATCCGCTCGCGCGAGGAGAAGTATGCGGAGCTGAAGAACCGCCGCCGCTCGCTCCTGAGTAAAATTGAAGGTATGGAGCGTAAGCTAGCCAAGATGGGCCCTGAGAACAAGGACCTCGCCAAGGTGACGAGCAGCCTGCGCGAGCTGCGCAGCGACATGGAGGTGCTCAACAACGAAATGGCGCACGAGGAAGCGGCGCTCGGTGACTACAAGCGGCATACCATCGCCGAGGCCCTGGGGCTCAAAAGCGGTGGACTCATGGAGCTTGCCGAGAAGACGATCGTGATTGCAGAGTCGTGCCGCCTGCTTGTCGAGGAGATTCCGCTGCAGCCGACCATGCCCGGCACGCAGCGCGCGCCGTACCGCAACGAGGCGCGCACGAACCGCCTGCTGCAGGAAGCAGTGCGCCAGCTCGAATCGATCCACTTTGAGCCGCGCGAGTCGCAGCTGAATGTGGACCGCGCGCAGGCGTCGCCCGTGTCGCCGATGGCGGCGCAGCCGCGCCACGACGGACTGGACACGGGCGCAGGCCCTGACATGAGCCAAACCATGCTCAGCACCCACCCCACGGTGCCAAGCGCGACGCCAGGGTTACCCGCGCATGGCATGCAGCCCCTGGACGACCGCGAGCAGGGCAGCCAGGGATGGGTCGCGCCGGAAATGCCGCCTGCGGACACGGTCTCGCCTCCCCCGGGCCTGCCGACCGTACACGAGAGCCAGCACGACGCATACGAATGGGAGGAGCCGTCGCGGCGCTACACAAATGTGGCGTCGGCGCCTTCACAGCCGGACCTGTACCAGTATGTGCCGGATGCCACCTCGAACGCAGTGAACGATGTGATCCCGTCGTTCCCGCCCGTGCCGCCATCGGCGCCCGATGTGCCGGTCGACGACACCACGGAAGACCGCGCGTACTTTGAGGGTATCGGCAGCACCAAGGCGCTGCAGGAGGCTGCTGCACGAGGCGGTGGCTTCCCGACCATGGACACGTACCGCCACAGCCAGCCTGAGGTGTCGGGCCTGTATATGCCCGAGGCGTCGCAGGTCCGTGCGCTGTCGCCGTCGGGGCTGCGCCCTGTCGGTGCCGGTGTGCCGCGGTCGCCCTCGGACACACCTGCGCCGCCGCCGCCGCCGCCGCATGCTATGGCACCTGAGTATGGCATGCCCATGTCCCAGTCTATGCCTCCATCCATCCCTCCGCCGTCTATGTCTCAGTCGCACATGTTCCCGCCGCCGATGCCTCCTTCGCACATGCCCCAGCCGCCGATGCCTCCTTCGCATATGCCCCAGCCGCCGATGCCTCCTTCGCATATGCCCCAGCCGCCGATGTCTCATTCGCATATGCCGCCGCCGCCCCAGTCCTACACGCCATCGTACGGAGCGGCCCCGCCGTATGCGCCTGGGCCTCCAGGTCCGCAGATGGATGCACCGCTCGGCTATGGGTCCGTCGACGCACCGGCAGCGGGGCCTGCGATGCTCGCGCCGCCCACAGTGTCCGCGCCTCCGGAGCCAAGTGTCCTTGTGACTGCGCCGCCCCCTGCCTCAACAGAGAGCAGTATGCCGAGCGCGCTGCCATCCTACCTGGCATCGGAGGCACCCCCTGTGGACAGCGCGCGGCCACAGCCTGCGATGTCATCGAGTGGCTACATGCCCTACATGCCGACAGCCAACACTCTTCCCTAATTCGCTGGAATCGCTACTGCCTCCTGTACCATAGGGCTACGAGAGCCACACTAGTGCATCCCACCAGGAAACTCGTCATGTCGCGCCAGGTCACCGGGGCCCATGCGCGCCAGCGCCGTGGAGCGCGAGGCACCGTGCGTGTGGGCCAAGCCTCGCGGACCCAGCGCTCCGCCGTCGGCTCGTCCAAGCACGCGAGTGCGTCAATTGGAACGGCATCACACACACGCGACATCCACGCCATGCGCTCGGACGCCAGACCCGGCTCCGGTGCGTACGCTCGCAGCTTGGCGCGCAGAAGGCCGACACGCAAGATGGCCTCGCCAGCGCACGCGGGGATCGCCGCCTCGATCCGCTGCCGCAGGATGCGTGCGAGGCGCGGCCCGCGCCCATTCGTCGAGACCATCACCTGCAGGGGCCCACGGCGAATCATGGACCCAAAGTAAAAGTCGCACTCGTCCGGCACGTCCGCCACATTCACAGGGATGCGACGCGCGCGGCTCCATTCGCACACCTCACGGCTGCGCGCGGCGTCGTCAATGGCGGTAAGGATCATATCGTAGTCTTGCCCCGCAGCACGCACGAGCTGCGTCGGATCGCGGTACACGTCGTCGACGTAGGCATGGATCGTGCCGTCGTCGACCCACGCACGCACATCAGGGTGCAGCCCGTCGGCAGGCGCGAGGACGGTGATGTGTGCGCCCGCCGCGGCAAGATGCACAACGCGGCTGGCCGCGACCTCGCCGCCGCCAACGAGCAGGACACACCGGTCGCGCAGCTGCCACACGATGGGCAGCCCACCGCGCCCCTCCGGCACAGGCGTCATGGCAGAACCTCCACCACCCCCCATCGACCATGGGCGATGCATGGCCGGCCTGCATAGGCACCGCCGCCACATGGGAGCAGGTCGTGGATGCCGTCCTGCCGCCCCTGCGCCTCGTGGGCGCGCTGCCTGCAGCCTATGAGGCGTCGACGCGCGACGCGCCCGGACCTTGCGGCACGGTGCCGGCGTGGTGGGGCGCGTGCCAGCACAGCCTGCTGACGACGCTGTGCGTGACGTGGGCCGGCGCGCTCCAGCAGCACGACCTGTACGACGCGGTGCTGCGTGGGTGGCTCGTGCCGGACGGTGAGACGCTGGCCGTCGCGCAGGTATGGACGCACACGCTCGCTACGTGCGCGGCACTGCTCACGACGCGCGCCGAGTGCCACCCCGCCACGCTCGAGGCGCTTACGTGGGTCCTCGAGCGCCTGGACGCCACACGCATGCTTGGCCATGCCCTCGAGGCGTGCGGCGCCGAGCCGCACGCGGCGCGGCGCGACCTGCGCTGGGCCGAGGCGGCCGCGCAGATGAGCGCCCTGCCGACACGCGTCGCGAACGTGTATGGCCCGCGGCCGTCGGCCGGCGCGATGCTCGATGCCTATGCGGCATGGCCCGCATCACTGGCACAGGCGATGGCCCAGCGCATGAGCACGGACGCGGCCGGGCGCCTGGCCGTGCTGCTTGCGCGGCTCGCGCGCGCAGGCCACGTCACGCCTGCCTTTTGGCAGGCAGCTGCGCCCCACGTCCACGACGAGGCGGCGTGGGCGCTCGTGTGGGAGGCGTGTGAGGAGCGCGTGCGCGAGACGGTGCTGCAGGCGCTCCTTGCCCTATGGCAGGCGCGCATCGAGCGCACGCCATTCGCGCGCCCGGTCGCCAAGGACGAGCGCGCGCCGGGCACGGAGGGCCGCGCGTTTCTCACGCGCGAGGCGATGCAGTATGCGTACAGCGCGTACCGCATGCTGGCCATCGTGGCCGGCGCAGCCGAGGCGCCGCGCTGGTCGTGGGCGCGGCTGAGTGGCGCGCAGGCTGCCACGCACGGGCCACTGCTGTGCATCGCGCTAGCCGCCTGGGCCATGGACCGGGATCCCATCGAGTCGCTCGCGGCGCTCCTGCGTGCATGGAGCGATCCGCGGCGCATCGCGCGCGCGTCGCTGACGCAGGCCGAGGACGTCACGACGCTCGTGCTCGTGGCACTCAAGTGTGTGGTGCCCGCGCCCGAGGCGATTCGGGCGCATGCGACGTCGGCGTCCGTGCTGCGTGGTGTGTCTGCGCACATGGAGCACAGCGATCCGGCCGTCCGGCGACTCGGCATGCTCGTTGCCGAGGTGCTGAGTGCTTCGAGCGGCGTCGAGCGCCCGCTCCGCTTCCCGGAGGCCGTCTGGGACGGGCGCGGCGACGGGCGCGAGACGTGCCGCGTGCTGCGTGCGCTGTTCGACCGCGCCGGACCGCTCTGGCCGTCGACGGAGCCCGTCGCATGGCCCGCCGAGCCGGCCGCCCCGCCGCGCCCTGCGAGCGACCGCGCCCCTCGGCCGTCCGCGCCTGTGACCGTGTCGCTGCCGCGGCGCGTGCCTGCGCGGCGCCCGCTCGTTGAGGATGTGTCGGACCGCGCGGCGGCTCCTGTGCCGAGCATGTCCCCGGGCGCGTCGGACGAGAGCAGCGAGGGCGAGCACGACGACGGGGACACCTCTGTGCTGCTCGACGCGGCGCTACGGAAGAAGCCACGGGTGCCTGTGTATATCTACGAGCTGGTGCCGCTCCTGCGTGAGCGCGCATACCGAGCGAACAAGCTCGCACTCAAGCATGCCGAGCCGCTGATCCGGCGCAAGACGGGGTGGGGCGCCGAGATCGCCGAGCATGCCGTCGATGTGGCGATCGCACTTGCGTCCTTGCAGGACAATTACGGGATCCGAGCGCTGGACGAGCGGCGCACGCGCGCGCTGTGCGCCCTGTGTGTGGCAGCGCCGGGCGTGGTGGTGGACTGCCTGTGCGAGCAGGTGTTTTCGCCGCACTATGCGCTCGCGCAGCGGCTGTCCATGTTGCGTGCGATCGCGGATGCCGCGCAGGAGATGGCCGGCCTCACGCCGCTCGAGCCGGCCGTGGCGTCCCTGGGGCTGACCGAGGCGGCTACCGCGCGCGCGCGCGCGGGTGGCGAGGAGCGGCTCGCGCAGCATGGCGTGGATGTGGCGCGGCGGCAGGCGGCGCGTCTGGGGTCCGCGCCTGCGCCCGCCTGGAGTGTCAAGCCGGCGGTGCCGTTCACGGCGGCTGCGAGCGCCTTTGTCTTTCCCCTGCTGCGCCGGTGTGAGGCTGCGCAGCAGCAGGTGTCGCGTACGTATGCGGGCAGCGACGCCATGACGTCGCCGCCGGTCGTCGCGGCCGTGCTGCATACGCTGTGTGTGCTGTGCCAAGCGGGCCGGCACGCGCCGTTCTTTGCGACGCGCATTGTGCCTGATGTGCTGTCGTTTGCCGAGCGGCAGAGTGGGCATCCCGATGCGACGGTGGCGGGGGCGGCGCTGGCGCTCGTGCTCGTGGTCCTGGACGCTGCGAGCGATGCCGAGCGCCTGGTCGCGCAGGCGCAGGCGCCGCTGCTGGTACGTGTACAGAGCGTGGCAGAGGGCTACGTGGCGACGCGACCTGGCGGCGCCCTGGAGCGCAGTGCTGCAGCGGTGGTGCTGCGGATCAGCGAGATGCAGGCGCAGGTACGTCAAGCCCTTCTTGGTCTATAGTGTGCGGACAAGGGTATGGTACAAGGAGGTCAACTCATACGAGGCGGGCGCGCTTGTTCGCGTCCGCGTCGAGGCCGTGCGAGGCGAGCATGTTGCCGTGGTCGAGCGCGCCACTGGCGTCGTGGCCCTGGCCGAGGCCGACGTCGAGGTTCTGCTCGCCGTGCGTCGCGCTGCCGGCGCCGCCCTGGAACGCTGCCTGCGCGCCGAAGCGCTGGTCGCCGTACGCGGCCGGTGCGCCACCGGCCACATGCTTATCGCCAGCGGCGTGGCCCTCGGCCATGCCGAGCTGCGCACGCAGCCGCTCGACCTCGCGACGGCTCTCGTCGAGCGACATGCTCAGGTCGTTCATCGCCTGGTCCATGAGCAGCTTCTCGAGCGTCCACTTCTCAATGTTGCTCGCCTCGTTGTTCTTCAGGTCCTGGATGTACCGCACAGCCGCAATAATGATCGACCCTTTGTTCGTGTTCTTCACATCGCAGCCCGGCACGATCTGCGAGAGCTGCACAATACCGTCGTTGATCGCCGAGCGGCGACGGCGCTCGACCTCCTTGTGGTTGTCCTTGCGCTGGCGGTCGAGCTCGGGGCCTTTGCGCTTGTAGCGCGCGCCGCTCAGGCCATGGTCGCTCACGAACTTGGCGTCCATGCCGGCCTCGGCGCCGAGGCCGTCGCGCCCGCCGAGGTGCGCCTGCGAGCTGGCCGGCAGCTGGCGACCCGCAAGTGTGCCCATGGCCGCGAGCGCAGCGGCCGTGGCGGCAGGGTCGTGCGCGGCCGGCGCGCCCTTCGCCTGCCCAACGTGGCGCGCCTGCGGCAGGTCGTGCTCCATGCCGGGCGGCGGCGGCGCATCGCCGAGGTGGCTCGAGTCGGTCAGGGCGGTGCCCGAGGTGATTTCCTCGTCGCTCGGCACCACAGGTGCATTGGTGCGCTTGAACGACGATGCAAACGACGTCAGCGTCGACGCCGCCTGGCCGAGGCCGGGCGGGAGGTGCGCGAGCGCGTGGGCCGTGTCGTACTGGCCGGAGCCGTATCCGTGCTGGTCGTTGTCGGTGGCGCGCTGCGTAAGTGGCGTAGACGTACGGCTGCAGCGACAATACTCTCGAGCTGCTCCTGGTTCAGCCCCGCGAGGATGGTGCCGACGTCCTTCTCGATGCCGGCGTGGCCCGCGCCGTGGCCACCCGCGTCGGCACGCGTAGCATCGGCCGCGCCGGCGGTGGCGTTGGCGTCGGTGTAGGCCGACGACTGATCCACGTACGCATGCGGCGCGTCGGCAGCGGTGGAAGACCCTGCTCCGTTGGGAGGCGACATACTGATCACAAGCTCGGCGGTGGAGTGACGCGGTGGTTCAGACGCGGTGCGCGTTGCCTCCAAGTCACGGGACACGGAGGTGGGAGGGGTCACGTTTTGGCGGCACCATGGCGTCCAAAACAGGCCCGGCCGAGTGGTTGCCGCAGCAGGGCGCGGCACGTGGCGCCGCCAAAGAAGGCCCGATTTTCTTCGCCGAGCCGCGGCACTTCTTCCGCTCCGCACAACATGGTACGTTGGCTGAAGCTGACCCCAGTCCGACAACGAGGCTGAGAACGTCAACTTCGAGACCGCCCACGCCGGCGCCTCGCTCACCTACCCCCAGCAGTGCTCGGCCCTGCGCAAGAACGGCCACGTCGTGATCAAGGGCCGCCCCTGCAAGATCATCGACATGTCGACCTCGAAGACCGGCAAGCACGGTCACGCCAAGGTCCACCTGGTGGCCACGGACATCTTCACCAACCGGAAGTACGAGGACATTTCGCCCTCGACGCACAACATGGACGTGCCTAACGTCACCCGCCGCGAGTATCAGCTCATCAACATTGACGACGGCTACCTGAACCTCATGTCGAACGACGGCACGTCGAAGGACGACGTGAAGCTGCCTGAGGGCGAGCTTGGTGAGCAGATCACCGCCCAGTTCGAGGAGGGTAAGGACCTCATGATCAACGTCGTCGCCGCCATGAACGAGGAGCACGCCCTCTCGTTCAAGGAGGCGCCCCAGGGCAAGTAAAAGCCATGCACAGCCTGGCAGAAGCACAGCCAGCACCATGTAGTCTTGTGTAGCATGGTCTTGGTATCGCCCTATTAACTAATTACGCAGTCCTTGTCCGACTTGGGTTGGTAGCCCATGTCGCTGAACGTCTGGGGCGTCNCTGCCGCCGCTGCGCACTCGCCTGGGCCATGAGCATCGTGCGGCTGCGCGCCAGGTCGCCCCGCTCATGCGACTCGCCCGACACATTGCGCGCACGTTGGTGCGCAGAGTACAGACGCTCGTCGAGATGCTGCTGGTGCTGCGCACGCGAGACCGCGCTCTGCAGCGATGCCTGCAGCCGCGCCAGCCGATCTTTCGCATCCTGGTTGCCCTGCGCGGCCGCTTGCGTGTACCATTCGCGTGCCGACGCAAGGTTCACGGGCGTGCCAATACCGACCTCATTATAGTAGCCCATCGCAAACTCGGCGGTCGGTAGGTGGTGCCGCGCGGCCCGCTCGGCAAACGTGTACGCGAGATCCTCGTTCTTGTCAAAGCACCCCTCGGCACCACACAGGAACCACTTGCTCAGCGACATGTCGGCCTCCGGCTCGCCGCCCTGGCTTGCGGCACTGTAGTACTGGACACTGAGCAGCGGGTCGAACGGGAACGACAGCTGCGCATGCTCGTAGCACCACCCGCACTTGGACTGGGCCGCTGCCAGGTTCAGGTACGCCGCACGCTCGATGTACTGCCGTGCAAGCGGCGCAAGCGACTCGCGCGTGGGCGCCGGATTGGTGGGATCCGCGAACGCCTCGAGCGGCACCGGCACATGGCTCAGCTCGCCAGCCAGGATCAGGCCATAGATGAAGGCAGGATGCGGCGCATCGACCGTCGCCGCGTCCGCGGCCATCTGCAGGAGCGACATACCCTCCGTGAGGTCCTGCGGAAGCTCCAGCTGGCCCAGTGCCTTGGCGATGCCCATGCGGTACAGGCAGCTGACATCGCCCATCTGCACGCCGCGCCCGTACGCCGTCTTGGCACGCGCAATATCGCCCAGCGTCTCGTAGTCGCGCCCGATACGGAACCAGCTGGGCGCCCAGCCCATCCGCGCCGAGCGCTCAAAGTCGCTGAACGCAGATCGCAGATCCTTGGCCACGTATGCGGGAAAGTGGCCGCCGGCGAGCAGATCGCCTCTCGCGTATAGCGCCTCGGCGCTCGGGGTTGGGTGCGACGCAATCTGTACAATCTGCGCAATCGCCTCCTCGACCCAGCGCGGCACAGGGTCCTCCAGCGGAGCGCCACTAGCCTGCTGCCGCTCGGCCCACTTGAGCAGCTGCACCGACCAGCGCAGCTGATCGACCTCGCTGCCGCTCCGATCTGCGCGGTCTTTCTGGGCCTCGAGAGACTCGATATCTGGGAGAGGTACGCGGATCGTGGGGAGCGTTGCGGAAGTGCGCGGTAGCTCAGTTGGCGCAGGACGCGGGGCCTCGGCAGGCGCGAGTCGTGGGGGGCTCGCTGCAGCGGGCTCGGGCGATGCCACTTGGGCCGAGTTCGTGGCAGGCGACGCGCTGGGCCGCGGTGGCGACCGTGCCGGGGGGCGTGGCGGCGACGCAGCGGATGTAGCTGGCGGAGGGCTCAGCGGCTGGAATGGGTACGACGAATAGCTCGCGTGCAGGTGGTGGCTGGGCCGCAGGGGCTGCTGGCTCGCCGGGCGGCGCAGGCCCGGCTGGCTTGGCATCTGTGGCGACAGGTCTGCAGGGGGGTGGGTTTCAGCCGCGGAGGGAGACGCGTCGCCCATGCTGGACGACGATACATCGCCATACGACGAAGACTTGGGTATGCCTGAGACCATCGCTGGGGGGCGCGGCACCGCGGCCGGCGGTGGGGCCGGAAGTGGATCTTCGTCCGGCGCCGTCATAAACTTGAGGCGTGGTACCGGCTGTGTCCGCGCCATCGGCGCAACCTGGTACGATGGCTCAGGAGTTACGCGCGTCGGCATCGGCGGGTACGCCGAATCGCGGCCAAAGCCGGCCGGCAGGTCCGGCAGGTTCGACATGCAGAGAGGTGTGATGGCGCACGCGCAACAACACTCGAGGCGCTAAGCGCCGATTAGTCACGAGATCGAAATACGCCTAATTTTAAGCTCCGCCCGCGGAGGCCATGCACCTCTCACCAAGGGCGATCCTACTGTTCCCATCGCCTGTCTGTGCCTACAAATGCTCAGCAGCGCGTTGCATCCATCCTATGCGCAGCCAGGTGCCTAGACGGTACGAGAACGCCGATACAACAGACCATCACGAATTGTGAAGGAGCGGCTACGTGCGATACAGCTGCTCTATGTCGCGCCTCTGACCGCGACCGAATCGCCACTAGGACGCACAACTCGACTTGGTCGCTCCTGCGAGCAAGGCGCGAGACGCTCTGCTCGACGGCCTGCGGCGGGATGACCGTTGGTGACCTAAGCACTACGGCGAAATCGGGCCAACCACGGATGGCACGTGATGGCCCGTTGGATGGCACGGTCGCTGCCCCACACTTCGGCTTCGAGACCATGCCGGAGTCAGACGGACCGGTTCACTCTGGTTCGTCCTTGGCGACAAATTCGGCGAAAAGCAATGACATGCGCACAAATCCGCTGATGGATCCGAGTGCGGGCGGTGTCTTGGGGGGCTCGTACCGGCTGACGAAGACGATCGGCGAGGGCGCGTATGGCGTGGTTTAGTGCGTACCGCCTACTGACACAGTTCGGCGATCCATATACCGACATCTACGCGGGTTGCAGTGAAGAGAATTTCGCCGTTTGACCATCAGATGTTCTCGCTGCGTACGCTGCGTGAGATCCGCCTGCTGCGGCACTTCCACCACGAGAACATCATTTCGATCTTGGATATCCTGCCACCTGAATCGTTCGAGACATTCTCGGAGGTGTACCTGGTGCAGGAGCTCATGGAGACAGATATGCACCGCGTGATCCGCACACAGGACCTGTCGAATGACCACTTCCAATACTTTGTGTATCAGATCCTGCGTGGGCTCAAGGCGCTCCACTCGGCCGGCGTGCTGCACCGTGATCTGAAGCCGTCGAATCTGCTACTAAATGCGAATTGCGACCTCAAAATCTGTGACTTTGGGCTAGCGCGCAGTGCAGAGCAGCCGAACGAGGACAGCAAGGCCTTCCTGACCGAGTATGTCGCCACGCGCTGGTACCGGGCGCCGGAGATTATGCTGTCGTTCAAGGAGTACAGCAAGGCCATTGACCTCTGGTCGGTGGGCTGCATTTTTGCCGAAATGCTCACGGGGCGCCCGCTCTTCCCCGGGCGCGACTACCACCACCAGATCTCCCTGATCCTGGATGTGCTGGGCACGCCGTCCCTGGATGATTTCTATGCCATTACATCGTCCCGGTCGCGCGACTATATCCGCTCTCTGCCATTCGCCAAGCGCGCCAACTTTTCCCAGCTGTTTCCCCGCGCCGATCCTCATGCATTGGATCTTCTCGAGAGGCTACTGACCTTCTCGCCCCACAAGCGCATCAGTGCGGAAGAGGCGCTCAGCCACCCGTACTTGGAACCGTATCACGACCCAACTGACGAGCCCACCGCTGAGCCCCTGGATCCTAGCTTCTTTGATGCCGACTTTGCCTCTGAGCCACTCTCTCGCGCGCGCCTGAAAGAACTCATCTACGAAGAGGTGACACGCTAGTGCATGTACATAGTGGTATCATGGCCTACTCAACTAGAGGTCGCGCAACGCCGCCTCAATCTGTGCGTTGATGTACGCTTTCTTTTCCTGAATTGGGCAGCCATACAGGTCCTGCAACTGCGCGCGCACCTGGCGCTTGGTAATCGATGTCAGGTCACTCGCCGCGATGATCTGCCGAATGTCGTACCGCAGCACCTCATTGGGCGGAAGGCGTCCCAGGCGCTCGTCGCGCGGCAACCCCGGCGCCTCGGCGCTCGGCGGCATCGGGTCGAGCAAAAGATCGGGCGGCTCCATCGCCCAGGGCTGCTTGGCGCTCGCGTCGTCCAGCGGCGCAAGCGACGCGTCGTCGCGCAGCGGCCAAGACATGTCTGAGTACCGCTTCGACAGTCCTGGGCTCGTGTCCGCGTAGCTGTGGGGCAGGGGGCCGAGGCCCACGGGCTCGTCCGAAGGCGGCGCGCGGTTTTCCCATAACTCGCGCTCGTACTCGTCCCACGTCATGTGGGGAATCGTCTGCGGGTCAAAGTGGCCCTCGTTGTGCACGAGCAGCTTTTCGCCCTTCTCGCCCGTAACGATTCGCGTGTTGCCCCACGAAAAGTCGTCCATGTGCCAGAATGAGTAGAGCGGGAGGATAAGCGACCACAGGGGCATGCCGAGGATGTACACAACCATCCATCCGATCATGTCAAAGCGGCGGTGCAGGAGGAAGATGATGGCCTGCAAGCCGTAAATGCCACCCAGCAGCACAATCGACGTCACAGGAATGGTGCCGCCCTCGACGGCCACGACAAAGAGCAGGTACACGAGGTACCCGATCGTCACGGGCGCCACGACGGTGGACAAGAGGTCGATCAGCACGACGAACCGCATGGAGAAGAGACAAAAGCCACACAGCTGTGGCGTCTTGAGTAGCTCGACCAGATTGTGCACGGTCGAGTTGATCCAGCGGCGCCGCTGCGACAGCAGCACGCGCCAGCTGTCGGGCGCTGTCGTGACACAGCGCGCATGCTGCACAAACTGCGTCTTGTACTCGGGGAAGTGCTTGAGCACGAGCGTCGTCAGGTAGCGGTCCTCGCCCAGGTACAGCAGGTTCTTCAAGTGCAGCGTATCCACGCGGTTCTCCGCATAGTCGTCCAGCACCGCATGCGAGACAAACAACGGGCGCTGCGAGTCAGGCGCGCGGAAGCGGAACATAGAGAAACAGCCAGGCAAACACGTAATCGATCCAAAAAGGCTCTCGAACGCCTTGACCAGGTAGTGCGAAATATAGTACTCGTACACTTGGAGCATCGTCGTGAGGCTCTGGCGCTCGTTGGCGAGCGCTGTCTCGCCACACAGCCCAATTACCTTTTTGTCGCGCACGAAAAAGGCAATCATGCGTGCCAGTGCACTCGGCTCGACCTCCGTGTCGGCATCGACCTGCAGCAGGTACTCATAGAAGCTGGGATTCACGCCGATAATGTTCTTGATGTGGTGGTACATCTCCAGCTCGAGGGGGCTCATCGGCGAGCCATAGTGTACCTTGTTGAAGAAACGCATGAGGATCAGCTGCGAGTCGCGCTTGCCGCGGTTTCCAGGGCGCATCGTCTCGCTCGGCGCGCCGCACTTGGCCACGACCAGGTACGGCAGGAGATGGCCCGCATGCTCGTACAGCCCACTGTACACGCGCGCCATATTGTGCTGCTTCAGGCCTTCGCCGAGGGACACAAAGCTGCGCGGCTCCGCCTCGGTCGGCTCCGCGCCCAGCACGTCGAGCACAAGCTGCGGCGTAGGCGCCTCGTTGCCGGCGCCTGTCACATTGCCATCGCAGATGACAACGATCAGCTTCCGCCGATCGTCGTACCGCAGGCGCGCAATCGAGTTGATCGTCTTGCGCATCGACTCGGCGCCTTCCGTGTAGCAGGGAATCTGGCACACGACAAACTTCTCGTGGTCCTCGGGCGGCGTCGATCGCACAAACTGCAGCGCCGCAAAGAACTTGACGCCGACCGTGAGCACCATCAGGATGGAGAGACCCAGGAGGATGTACGACGAAAACGTGCACCGCGGCGAGCTCCGCTCATCGACGCGCCCAATCAAGAACAGGTTGCGCAGGCACGTCGCCTGGTCCTGCCGCTTCGCCGGGGGCATCGCGAGCGCATCAAACATGGCACGGACATCACGCCCAGGGTTCTGCGTGAACAGCTGCACAACACTCGGGTCGAGAATCGTGCGGTCCAGGTTGGCTGGCGGCGCGACGCCCTCCGGCATGCGGAAGCCGCCCTGGTTGCCCTGCCCCACATATGCCGTTAGGTCGTAGATGTAGCTGTTGTACACGCCAATCGTGCGCCCGTCCTCCATCATGTTTTGGATCTCTTTCGGCGTGTAGCCCACAAATCCGACACGGTACTGGCTGCGCATGTACCACATCTGCTCGTAGTACCAATCAGGCCGCACGTCCGTCCCTCGGTACGCGCGGAAGTCGTGGTATCGCGCATTGGCGTCCGTGTTGTTCGAATTGTCAAGCGTGACCCATGGCGAGATCGGGCCGTTCGGCCCGTTGCACAGCGCATTGACCTGCACGGGAAAGATGGACGTGGCGTCCGCGCCGGCGTACTGCAGGAGCGACTTGCGCGACACGACCGGGATTGCACTAAGGTGCGCGCCCACAATCTTGTGTAGGTCAAACACTTCGCCGCGGATCGCCGTGAACGCATCTGAGCCCTTGTGGCCGGACAACTCACCCACACTATACAGGTGCTGCCGGGGGCACACCACATTGCCAAGAAACACAATCACAAAGATCGAGCACAGGCACACGAACCAGATCATCATATTGATCGCCAGCTTCTCACGCCAGGCCATGCGCACATCTGAGCGCCGCAGCTTGGGGAAAAGCCCCAGCACCGGCGACGGCACCCAAAAGGTGCACAGCCAGGTGAGCACGACCCACAAACGCCGCTCGAACGTTACGCGTAGGCGCTCTGTGACCTGGGGGCCGGCCGGCGGCGCCGCTTCGCCCGGGCCTGCATCTTTGGTGTCGTCGAGGAGCAGCACATCCTCCCCGTCCGCGTCGTCGAGCAAACCTTGTTGTTCGTCGTATGACCACCCGCGCCATGCGGGGGTAGCCGGCTCGGGCGGCGATGGCGCAGCGTGCTCGGCACGCGATACGCGCGCCTCGTACGGTGAGTAGGGATCGACGACCGCCTGTGCGGCATCGTCGTCGTCCGCACTCGCTTTGCGCAGCTGGTGCTGCATCTCTTCGGGGTCCGTCGCACGCAAATGGTCCTCCAGCTCACGGAACACGGCATGCGAGAGAAATACCTTGTGCAGACCCATAGCGACATGTGTGTCTGTCCAGTTCATCCGTGCCACGGCGTCGCTCACGCGCATCTTGGCCTCCGCGGCGGGCGCCGCCAGCATATCGACCGCATCAAACATCGGCAGTGCGCCGTACCGATCGCAAAACTCGGTGAATGTGAGTGTGACGCTGTAGTCACTCTCGTGGCCGACGCGCAGCTGTGCCAGGTCCAGCGCCTCTAGCTGTCGCCGCATCATGCCGGGCTCACACTGGTTCGCCAGCACATTCGTGTTGGGCCGCACACACAGCACGAACCACGCCTTGGCCTCGTCCACGACATCGAGTAGCATGTGCAGCGACGATTGCAAAGTGCCCAGCACACAAGGTGGCCCTTCGCTTGCCGCCGCTGCCGGCTCATGTAGGGCCCCGCCATACACGTCGTCATCGTGCGGCTCGCGCGAGGCGGCGGCGCGCAGCGTGCCACTGCGCCCTAAGCGCTTCGTGCTCGGCGAGCGCTTGGCGGGCACCGCTGTACCCGGCGCCGACGCGTGCCGGAAGAGCCCGCGCACAAACGCACTAGACGAGCCAAAACCGCTCGTGCCGTCGACGAGTCCGTCCTGGGCGCCGCGCAGCAGCGACATATGCTCGAGTGCGGGCGACTCGTCATTCTGCGCGAGCCAGCCATGCGGCTCGTAAGCCACGGAGCCGTGAAAGTGCGTCACGACAAATTTCGGCGCACCAAGGCGGTCCACGCGCTCAACCTGCAGCGACGCATGGTGCACCCAACGGCGCTGCATCGCTTCGACCATTGTCTGTGAGTTTTTGCGGGGACGCCGCCGCGCCTGGTCGTCCATGATGTGCACGAGGCCGCCAGGGTAGTGTGTGAGCACACGCAGCCTGTCCGCCCCCGACACCGTGCTCGGAAGTGGTGCTAGGTGCGAGAGTCCTTCATGGTCTAATTCGCCCATGCGCCGCTCTCTCATGATGTGCATCATGTGCCGCTGGACCGTGTCCGCGGCCAAGTTCACGGCAAACGTCTCGAGATGATTGACGATGCGGTTGCGGTGCCCAGGTAGATCCAGCAGGCCAATGTAGGTATCGAAAGCCTCGTGGGCAAAGCACGAGCGGATGTGCTCGTTCACCCACGCAAACAGCAGCGAATAGAGCGTCCGCACCAGGCGGTCGCGGCTCTCGGCCGCCTGCTCCGCATTCAGTAGCGCCGTGCACAGCTGCCCTTGCACGACCGACGTCAGGTGCGTGAGTGCATGCGCGAGCGCCGAAGCACCAACGCCCAGCAGTGATGCAGCCACGTAGAGCGGCTCTTCCGACACGACGTGCGCTGCTGCAGACGGCCCATCTTCATGTATAAAGTCGATATCTCCCAGATGAAGTAGCGCCACGATGACGTCCAGCATCTCCGAGCGCTGCGACGTTGAGAGGCCGAGCGTGGTGACAGCATCGCACCACTGGCGGAAAGCGGCGGCGCGGGACGCCTCGTCCCTGTCGCGTGCATGGCCCACGCCGAGCAGCCGCAGCTCCGCGCCGTCCAGGCGCCAGCGCTGGCGGTCCTCTGGTGCAGCGCCAGCCACCAGCAGGGAGAACAGGTGGAACGCCCGGCCTGGTTGGCGCAGCAGCGATACACGCGCGAGCTCCAAATAGTACGGGAGCATTTTAAAGCCAATCAAGCGCCCATTCTGGCTGAACTGCAATTCCGTGTACAGCACCATGCTCGAAGCATTCGCATTCTCCTCGGTGGCGGCATGGCCCATGCACTCGAGTACGTACAGCGCAGCCGGCAGTTGCGCCGCGAGACGCGCACCGCGCTTACCTGGCAGTGCCGAGCTGACACTCGCGAGGGCCCGCATCGCGAGGCGCCGCGTCTCGCTTTTTCCACTCGCGGTCTCGCCCAGGAAGAACAGGCACTGGTCCTGGCCTGTCCGCTGCATGTAAAAATACGCATTGCACGCCGTCCGGAATATGTGGGACGGCAGCTGCGGGCCATTGACCATCAGACGTATATCCCGGAACTCGCGCGTGTACGCGCGCAGCACATCCTCGCTGTTCACATCCACCGCCGCATGGTACGGATTCGTGACCAGCAGCACGGACTCTTGCACCTGCGTATAGTAGAGCGACTGGTAGTATCGATGACACACGCGCGTGAGCATCTCATCTTCGACTTCGGCCCGAGTCTCCGCGGCGGGCACGGGCGTCGGCGCAGCGCCGCTCATCAACGCACAGGGTGGGTCGTCTCCTTCGACCAGACTGGCCCATGTGTTGGATGTACAGCCACGTGCAGACTACGAATCATCGTGCGCGTCGTACACGCATGGCCGTGGCGTGTGGAGGCAGGTCGTGCCTCACAGCCAGGGCAGGGGCGGCAGCCATGGGCCGGCGGCGGCAGCGGGCGGCTTCACATCTTCATCTAACGCAAAGGGACCCAGCGATTCGTCCTTCATTATGCTGCTCTGGCTCGTATGAGGCGATGAGTGCAAGGTCGGCGTGGCCGACGGCATGAATTTCGATGGCGAGGTCACTGTGCTTGCGCTCAACGACGGCGAGGACGATAGCCAGGAGCTTGCGGGCCGCGTCATCGTGGGTGCGGGGGCCACGAAAGGCTGGGTGCCGTGCGGAAATACAGGCGTCGTCAAGCCTGGCATCCCCATGGGCGGCGGGCCCAGCAGCACGGGATGGGGCAGCAGGGGCGCCGATTCGGGCGTTGGCGGCATGTCGGCGCTCAACACGAAGCGGTTCACCAGGGGCGCAGACATGGGCACAGTCGTTGGCAGAGGCTGAAACATGGGCGGCGGCGCCCACCGGGTGAGCGCCTCGGGCATTACGTGTCCACCTGCGTCGTGCCGCAGCGGTCGTGCAGCATAGGGGGCCGGTGCGGGGCGTGACTCTATTGGCAGCAGCGGCGTCGAGTGGCTCGTGTGGGACGTGTGGGCCATGTGCTTGTCCTTGGGGGGATGCATGCGCTGCTTGTGCTTCGTCAACGTCGTCCGTCGGCAAAACTCGCGGCCGCATCCCGGTACGCTGCACTTGTAGGGGCGCACACCCGTGTGGGTTCGGCGGTGGCGCGTGAGCGAGCTTGTATCGGCAAAGGCCTTGTTGCACTCAGGGCAGGCGAATGGACGTGCTCCCGTGTGGACATTGATGTGCACGGTGAGCGCACTACGCTGGATAAAGCTCTTGTGGCAGCCATCAAAAGGGCACGAGTACGGCCGCTCCTGTGTGTGCGTGCGGACGTGCCTGTGTGAGAGCGCGCACGTACCTTTGGAGGTCGGAGCGCCGGGCGAATGCCTTGAAGCAGTGCTGGTACGAGCAGGGAAAGGGCCTCTTTGGGTCTGAGACCACTGTCGCGTGCTCAGACCGCTGGCGATACCAGCCGCCAAGATCCATGCTGGGACTGAGCGCCAGGGTAGAATGCACTTTTATATAGCGGCAAGCGTGCCCGGCTACTCTGTCTCGCACTCATCTGGGACAAGGATCCGACACAGGCGTACAATCTACGACCACAATCCGTATTTCTTTCCTGGGTTTGTCTGCCACAAACGAATCGTGCCTGTTGTCAGTCTCTGATCGACGCACCATCTTCGCTGCCACTTGCTGCCACTTCGCCATCGGGCGAGTAGCTGACGCAGTGCACAGGTCCATGATGGCCTTTGTACAGGTCCCGCTCCTGGCCCGTCGAATAGTCGAACATGCGCACCCACTCATCGGCCGTGCACCCAGCTACAAATGCATCGGCTGATGTGGGGTGCAGCGAAATGGAGGACGGCGTAATGTCCAGCGTATGCTTTTGGACCACTTCGTGCGTGCCAAGATCCACAAACCAGGCATCATGCCCCGCGGCGATAGTAACGTACTCACCAAACGAGCCAACACACCGCTCCATCGAGACAAATGGCGCATCTAGCACCATGTCATGCACGGGTTCCATGGTCCGCAAATCCCACCATTGAATCAGCTTGTCTTCCGATGCAGTCACAATCGTCTGCGCCGTGTCGACGCCACGTCCCAGCACCACACTGCGGATGAGGCCTTCGTGCGTCGTCCCAGCATCATTCGTGCGGAACAGTTGGGCCCCAGCAGCGTCGGTCGGCGGCTTGCCGAGATCGAACAGACGTAGCTTCTTCTCATTGCCCGCAGTGAGGAGCTTTTGTGCATCTGCATCCAGAGCCACACTGCGCACAATGTGACTATGCGCAAAAGTATGCAAACACTCGCCCGTATACGTGTCCCAGAATTTTCTGCACCCATTAGCCAGTCGTACATACGCCGAAAAGTCGGCACTGCCCGTTGCCGCACGAGCCGCCTCACCACCGCTCATCTTGGCGCTCCATACCGCTCCTTTGTGACCTGATACTTATGAATCCATGCAGACATACCCAAGAAGGTACCGACCCAGTCACCCAGCCAGTCGCGCAGCCTGTAGCGAGTTAGACACTTTCGAGCACGCACATGGGACTGCCATCCTTGCAACTAGACAGCAGCATATATGTCCCGTCATCCTGCTTGTCGGAGTGCTCCAGATGCACTACAGGCCGCGTGTGTCCATGACATGTGAGCGGCGCAGACTCCGTGTGAGTGTCACCTACGTGCCCTGAGCGACGGTGCTTCCCCAGACATGATGCTCAACCGGCGTGGCAGCAGAGAACGCTCCAGGGCCAAGTCCAACACGTGATAGCCACAGGTCCCCAACCGCGACGCGTCGTTCCGCTACGCGGTAGCAGTGGGCGGTGGCTACACCATGTCGCGACCCTCTGTCCCTATCTTGCGCGCTCGTCTACGTGATGTAGGCATGCTCGCAGGGACGCTCCGCTCCGTTGGCTTTACGGCGGTTTGTACACGTTACTTACGCAGCTGGCACGCATGACACTCTCGCAATCCGGTATCGAAGTCGTGACGGAAGCCAACCAAATTGTGCAAGGTGCGCCAACACGCTGACATGGAGCCCATGCCTACCTTTATGCATCCATATTTGAATCATATGAGTTTGAACCACCTGAGAACTGGTTGGAGCGGGAGACGGAACGACACGAGTTTGATATGGACGAGACTATGCAGCCCTACATTGCTTTCGAGATTAACCTCAAGACACTCGTGTCCTGTATGGCTGTATTTGAGTCGCGACAGCACCCTCAGGGAATCGCATCAACAGCACGTGCCTCGGCGGATCCCAAGGAGCTCCGGCTCGAGCTTGTGTACGAGCGCGTGGGCGAGCCGCTGTGCCTCCGAATGCACGACGGCCGCTTGGAAACCAGCTTCCGCCTCCGCACTCTTGATTCCCCGCTGTCTTTTGAAATGGAGTTCTCCCCTACAGATACAAAGGCCCAAGTGATTATGCGGTCGGACCAACTGACCCCAGCCTTCCAAGAACTGCACGCAAGTGGTGACGCCATGATGCAGCTGGCCTTTCATCCAATGCAGTCTTCATCCTTTGGCAGTCTGCATCTCAGCACAGAGGGGCATTATGGCTCCACCGAGATTGAATACCCCCATGACCCTAGCGTCACGGAAAAGTTCCAGTGTACCGAACTCGTGGCGCATACCTATCCGATGGAGAGTGTTGGCTACATGCTGCCCGCTCTTCGTCACTCCGCGAAAACGTCTATACGCACAGACGATGCGGGCATGCTCAGTGTGCAGTTCATGATAACCAACGAACGCACAATAACCCGTCCTACCTCTGTGTCGAGTTCAGGCAATGCCTTTGTTGACTTTTTGTGTTGTCCTCTGGACAGTCGCCCGTGATGGATACCCTGAGCCAAATGCTTATTTTACCAGGACGATTAATAGCACAAGAACAATAATTAGTATAAATATAATCCACAGTGAACCTGATGTGAGTCGCTGCAGCGCGTACCGTGCTCTCTTGTACTTTGCCGAAACCGCTCCAGGCTTGTGCTGGCGCCGCCCAGACGCAAACCTGTGGACTCGACATCAGCATCGAGCGAGCTGATAATGCCTGTGTGGAGCTCCAACTCCTCATTCATTCGCATACTCAGGTTATGCTGCCGATGAATCGATGCACTCAAGTGCTCTAGCTGATCGTCCTGATCGTTCCATGATTGCATATAGGAAAGTTGCGCAGCCGCGGTTTGGTCATCGACTGGTGTGCGAGTCGTAGTAAAGGATGAAGGATCAGCAACGTCTGTCGTTTGCATCTGGGTCACAGGCTCATCCGACGCCGCATCTGACGCATGATGCATATACCGCATTTGAAGCACATGGGGGTGTTTTTCTTGCAGTTGGTTCAACATATCGATGCCGTGAGGATCGTTCATGACTTGGCCCGTGTGCCGGAGTAGGTCCGTGAGCTGTTGCACGGTGCCAGTCCAAGAATTGAGCTGCTCTACGCTTGGCATCGTATCTGAATCTTTTGAACCCCTCGCATAATTAGTGTTCCACTCGTCCAACATGGTCATTAGTGTGTCGAGATGCTTGGCGAGGAGTTTGTCTCGTCCAAAATAGGGAAAGGTGCGCAGAAACGCATGCTCTGCCGCATCAGCTGTAGAAGCGATCTCATCTGCAAGTCGGTTTCGTTCTTGGATAATAGCAAAGGCGGAGCTCCATACCGCATCGAAATGTTGCGAAGCATCGGTTAGGCTCGCGTGTTGTCCCGCCATCCGAGGCTTGGGTGCGGGGAATGAAAATCAACCACGTCGCTCTATGTGGAGGAACTATCCAGCAACGATTTCGGCTTTCAATCGTCCTGGGGTAAGATGGGGGGTACGTACCGGGTCCGCTATGCCCTCTGGCTTGATCGCGAACACGGCCTCAGCTTCAGGTAATGAGGGAGAATCAACTACGCGACAAATCCTCTGGTTTCCACGTCCCTTTCGCAGAGATAGTCTTGGATTAGTGTGGCGTAGACGTACCGTGTTGTTGAGGCATGAGCGACAATATTTCCACCGATAGGTTTCTTGGTATCCATGCCACCAAAGCCTGCATTGTCGACTTGTGCGACAACCTGATTCGTAAAGACCACGGCCACACCAAACTCATCCGCCAGACGTAGGAGAGTACGTAAAAACTTGGCCAGATGTGTCTGACGCGCGGAAAGTTCACCACGCCCAGCAAAATCTGTTCGATACAATGATGTAAGAGAGTCAACAATGAGAAGGGCAAAACGCGACTCGGACATCATGGCGGCTGCTTGAACCAACAAATCCAGCTGATGATCCGAATTATAGGCTCGCGCATAGGCCACGTTGTCCAACACCTCTTGACCATCCAGTCCGAACCGTTCTGCTACAGCCAAGAGACGCACAGGACGCTAAATCAGTAAAAAAAGACATACAAATGTTCCTTCCGTATCAATATAGAGGCATTTTCCCTCACCGCCACCCATCTCAATGGGGAGCTGGCATGTGACAGCTAGCGTATGGCAAAGCTGGCTCTTACCAGTACGGAATTCTCCAAACAGTTCCGTTATACTTCCTGTTTCAATACCACCTCCAATGACAAGGTCCAGCGCTGGCGATCCCGTAGTAATCGTAATCAAATCTGAGCGACGCTGATGGTATTCGGTGGCGGTTGTGAAACCTAATGGCACAAGCTTTGCGGCTGCATGTGAGAATGATATCCTTCACCCACCTTCACTGAGTATTTTATCTACTTTTTGTTCGGACATGCCCTTGATAAGGAGCAAAGTCTTTTTGGGCGTGAATGCCACACTTTCGAGAGTATGAAAGCCTGCTTCCTTCAATTTCTTACAATCCGATGAGGAAATACCGAACTCTTCCATCTTTGAAACAGGAAGAGGCCCCATAGCTTCGTCTGCTATCATCTCCAGCTCCGCTTCTGGCGGCACCATCGTCTCTGATGCCATGGTGGAAAGACGAGGACTCGACGCGTGTGGCGGCGTCGCGCGGTTCCAAGTGTTGATTGATGAATGGCACGTGGCATCCGCATGAAGATCGGACCTCTGACCGCCAAGCCTTGTTGCTTGCTCCACTTGGTCGGGCTCAATCACCATGCCAGGGGCTTCCGTCGCATCCAGCGTGAGCGGATTGACCAACACCATACTTGGTGCGGGTATGCTGGCTCTGCCTCATGCCTTTTCTGAGATGGGCTGGCTACTTGGTAGTATACTGACGCTACTGTGTGCCGCGTCCACCTTGCTCGGCCTCTATCTCCTCAAGTTGAGTACTATAAAAATGGGCGGGGCAAAAAGCTTTTTTGATCTCGGGCATCGAATCCTTCCCAAGTATGTGTGGGCTTTTGATGCTCTCATATCATTCAAGTGCTTTGGCGTTACGATCTCCTACTTGATCATATGCGGAAATTTGATGCCCCAAGTTATGAAAAGCTTAGTGCATGCTTTCGGCAGTGACGCATCTCAACTTCCTACACTCTTGGAGAGTAAGGTATTTTGGATCTTGGTACTTCTTGCTCTATTGTCGCCAATGTGTTATGTCCGCGAACTGCATTCTATGAAGCTTATCGGTTATCTTAATATAGGGGCTGTTGGCTACTTGCTCCTTATCCTCACTTATTTTGCCATATCGCCCCATGCTAACGCACAGCTTCCTCCTGCTGGCGAATTGCATGCCATCAGATGGGGAATGGGCATGGTCCGCACCTTTCCTATTTTGGTGTTTGCCTACACATGCGCCCAAAATATCATATCTGTTTACAATGAACTGCAAGACAGCACACTCGAGCGTTCGAATCTTGTCAATGTTGTTTCTATCGGGTTCAGTGCTATCACGTACCTATTTGTCGGTTTGATTGGCTACCTTACCTTTGGTTCTAGTGTAGCTGACAATATTATTGCCATGTACCCAGACCAGGGCCTATTTGTGTGCATCGGCAAAATCTGTGTTATTATCCTGACACTATCAAGTTATCCTGTCCAGCTTTATCCATCTCGAGCGAGCTTTATTAGCTTGATTCAGACCTACGTGTTCTGGAGAACAAGGATCTCAACTGCCCCTGACGAACATTCGTCGCTGGTTGACCGCGAATCACAGTCGCCGACCAATGTTTGGCCTGTGACAGAGTGGCGCTGGCGTATCATAACGACCGTTCTTATTGTGGTGGGCGTAATCATTGCGGTTTGTGTGGATAATCTGTCTGTGGTTCTTGGCTTTGTCGGTGCCATAGGCGGCACCACTGTATCATTTATCCTACCAAGTTTAATATACTTGCACCTCTTCCATGAAGAGTCCCATTCTACTATGTATATTTTGTCTTTGGTACTTGGTGGGGTACGTTTCTGTTCCATTTATAATCTAACATTGACAGTGGGGTGTGATCGTGCTTGTTGTTTCACTTGCTGCAAACTTTTACAATCTCGTAGCTTAAATTTCCAGACCTGTATGAGCAAGGACCTGGAAAATCCGTTCGCTGTTGTCGGTGCACAATGCTTCCAACTCATCCGTGTGCCTCGTGAGCAGCAGCCCGGCATAACCTAGCTGTTAGTAAGGAATATACATACCCAGTGCATTGACGCTTAGCGTGCCCGAATATGGTACTGCATTAGCTGCACCATCCGTATAGACACCCCAGCCAGCGTCAATGAGACTGAAACCCTCGGTGCGCCGAGGAATCACATGCATGGAACGGCGTGTAAGAAGCACATTAAAGCTGGGACGACTCGGCAAGCCGTTTTCCAAGTCGTTCTTTTCACGAGCCGTTGAAAACATCGACTCCAGTAGCTGAATGAAGCGGGTTCCCAAGTAGTTTTCCAGTTGAACAGCATCATCGGGGGGGTTCAACAATACAACAAAATGGCGCCAAGGTACAGGAAGCACATGTACATGTTCTTCAGGTAAGTGATAACACTACGCACCCATCTCCTTGCCGTCTTTCTCGATCTGATCCAATAGCACTTCAATGGGGACAGCTGGCTTGGCAGGTGCAGCGGGGTGTAGCTCGACGAATTGGAAATGACAGTGCGGCTGTGAAGCTCCGCTATCTTTACCGCAATTAAAGAAGCCGAGCATATCGTTGCCTGACTCCGAAGGTGTATAGGTGGTTAGGATCTGGTAAGCCTGGGCCAGCATGTTCGGCGCTGGTGGCAGCTCCTGCTTAACAAAGTCTGACGAGTCAATATTGGCAGCTCACCTTTGGTAACTAACAGAAAATGACGCGGAAGAACACAATACTTGTTTAGCTAAAACGTTAATGAAATACACATACCAAGAGAGCAAAGTCGTCTAGTTCCTGCACAAGTAGGTTTGGCACATACGGAGGTGCAAACACATCCACTTTGTTTTGTTGGGGCCTCTCCGTGTCTTGACTCTCTGACAATGCTTTGGGCTTTTTAAGCAAAGCAGGGACGTTCCGGATATGCCATGGAACCACGTTCTCTACGCCTTCTGTTTTGGCGACGGACACTTGCGATTCGTAAAAGAAGGCATCGCCAGACGCGATCGCGGTTTCATATTGCTTTGAAACAGTAGATGCGATGTTTTGCAGTTTCGACTGGCTCATGGAGTACAGCCGTGTGATGGTCTTGGAAATAGGAAGAAACAGGCCTCTGGGTCGTGCGACTGGGCGCATGCAAAGCCCTCAAAGCCATGGCATAATCCCTTTTGACCATGACTAATCTTGGGCTTACGTCTGTGCGCGACCGCCAGATTTCTCTACTATGTATTGATCATGTGGCATGTTTTGCTAGCGGCGCCGCTGGTGGCGCCGCTCTTATGGAACATGACACGGTCTCTAAGTTGGATACTTATATTTCTACCAATACTGGCCATATACTCAGAAACACTCCCTAGAGATGACCATGTGCCTTTTATATACCCGCTTGAATGGCAAGAAAAGCCGCCCACAGAGCCTCCTGTGAATGGAGAAGATGCTGTGTCGAGGCTTGCACATTTCATCGTTCGTGATTTTATAAAAAGTTGGCACAGCATCCTGGTTGATGGATCTGATGACGAGGACTCGGCATCATTTCCTCGCGCCGTATCACAACTGCTGAGTGACGTGCTTCACCGTATCCTCACGCGAATAGAGCAAGTCGACCTCTCTACTCTGCTCATGCAACGTGTGCTTCCGACTTTGCGTGAACATGTGGAAAAATATCGCTCAGCCCAAAATTCATTGCGTGGTGTGGCTCTGTCGAAAGAGGATCCAGCGTTTCATGACTGGTACTTGGCAGCAAAGTACCAACAAGGCGATCTTCACCCCGCTGTGGGCAATACTTCGAGTCTCGATACGAAAGAATCGGAGCATGACCATCTTCGAATATTGATGAATCGCTTCATTTCTGCTTTTACCCAGGATACTATGTGCTTGGGACGCATCGAGGCCGCTCTATTGCGAGAGATTTTGGCATGCTCCATTCTCTATCCGGTGATTAATATGGTCTCAGACCCAGATTGGATACATCTGCAAGTTACAGCCAAAGCGGCAAAACGTCTACATGAACTTGCGCAAGTGGATCGCGTGCGTGAGTCACTCAGTGCTTCCGCATCAGAACCTAGACTGACGCGAAAGCCGCTGCTGCACGACTATCCTGCGTCATCACCAAGGCATCGACGGAGAAATGCGTCAAGACGCACTCGCTCAAGTCGTTTGTTATACTCTAATGCCAAGAAAACATCTACATATGAGCGTTACCTTATGAGAATTGAGAGCACAAAATCTTCATTGGATCTCCGGCGGATTCGTCATGAACTTTTGAATGAGATCCTGCGAAACAAGGAAGAGCTATTAAATAATCCATCAAAAGCGTACAAAAGTGACTACGTGGAAAAGCTCGAGTCCGCGCTTCAAATTGCGGAGAAGCGTTTCGCGGAACTAGGGTGCAGCATAGACTCTCCTGAACCGAGCCATGATCTTGAGCCTGGCCGTTCACAGGAGCTAGGAAAGATCACTCTCTCAGAGATATTGCGGAATTTTGCCAGCTTGCCTTTTTTGCTTGAATTCATGGACCTTCGCGGACGTGCTGTTCTCCCTCGATTCTGGGTCTTTGTGGATGCGTTTAAAAACCCTTTGGAGGAAGTGGAATCAGATCTCTCATTTTTGGACGCAGAATCCTTATTGAAGGAGGTGGTACATACTCCTGACGCAGGCATGTATGCTTCAACTCAATCCCTCAAAGAATCCATGGAATTAGTACTGCAATACTGCAACTCGCCTCTACTTCGTATTCGAGAGTCATGCCGAGAGGTAGTGGAAACCTTTTTAACCCTTGAAAATTCCGCGGGTGTACAAGAACGTGGGCTATTTATTGTGCGTCAGTGTGTATTGTTGATGCAAGCGGATGTCATGCAGATCATGCTGGATCAAGATTGGGAGCCATTCACATTAAGTCATTTGTATATGCAAGCAGCGGATCAAGTACGTCAAAATCATGTATCAGCCGAGAAGACGCACAATGTTACTGTTCTCGATTGGGATATCGAATCTGACTACTTACTCGGCGAGGAACATCTGTCTTCTCCTTCGGGGCATCAGAAAGATGCACGGATTCCCTTTCGGTATGGCTTTCTGATGGGCTCAGGAGATGGCACCAAGAGTCAAGATCCTGCTTTGTTCCGCAAGCCTCTATTTGAAACTGACCCCCTTTTTGTTGATGATGCTAGCTCCGTTCCTATGGCAACAAAGATGCGACAGCCCTACCTCTCTAAACAGCACGTGTCAATGCCCCAGGGCATGTCGCCAGATGTTACTGAATCTACTAATCCTGGAATGGATCTTGCATGGATGCGACACCAGCAGACTACTTCACAATTGCGCTCCTTGCGTTGCCAGTGTGAGCAGCTGCACCACCAGCAGGACAAAATTGATACGCTTTTAAAAAAGGCTGAACTGACTGGGGCATCCACACAAGAAATCCAACTACTTCAGACGTCACGAAAAGCTATTGAACGCGATATTCGGACAGCGGAATGGGAAACTAACTACCTTGAAAACTTACTACACCAGCACGGTCACATATTTGATGCAAAACATGCTACGCACGTTTCAATCGAAATCAAGGATACTGAAGAGTGTAAAGACCAAGCTGGCCATGCTTTTATTTTGTACCATATTCTAGTGCGCATGTCTATGGTTGTCGGTGGAAGTCAGGATAAAGAATACACTTGGGTCATTTCGCGGCGGTATTCGGCGTTCCGTGAGCTACACCAAAGCCTCAAACATCAATTTCGATCTATTTGGGCATGCGAATCACTGTTTCCTGGAAAGAAACTGATGGGATCTATGAATTCAGCCTTCGTTGAATCCCGTCGGCGCTCCTTGGAGCGGTACCTTATTGTATGTCAGAGCCCTCTGACTCACAGGCAGCATTGGCCCTTCCAGACGTCCGTGTGTCCCGGACCATACAGCTATTCTTGTCGGATGTGAACGATGGGGCATCCATTCCAAACAATGCGACAGAAATATCGCTCATGGAGAGAATGCTTGGCAGTGTTTCAGAGCTGGCTAACGGAATTGAAGAGTTGATGGACGGATTTCGACCGACCATGTTTGATGCGGTGGTACACCAAATCATCGCTGCGGAAGATCGATCTGAATCGATAAGCACTGTGGACATTTGTACGGAAGCACGACAAGGCTATTTTACTGAGCCGCTCTGTGACTTTCTATTAGAGCTGTTTCAGCTTAAGCACGAATCCGACTGGCTGCGGCGCCGAGCCATTGAATTGGTACTACAAAACCTACTTGGGAGTACGATCGAAAGGTATGTGGTAATGTGCTTACTCTAGTTGGCTTCGCCAGAAAATGAATTATCAACTATCTACTACTCGCTTACACTGCGCGCTAGACTATGCGGTACAAATGCTATGGCCAAACGGGGGTCCGTTTTGTTTGCAACCCCGTCCAGAACGTTCTACTGAAGAGCAGCGCACAACCCTTGAACGCGCAACGCAAGCTATGTCAATTCTAGTTCCTGATTTTGCTGAGCATGTATTTGGCAGCGACAGGACTCGTATTGGATCTCAAACCTTACTGTCTGTGATTCAGAACAAACGGTTGAATAAACATGTGTTGTATACATTACTTGATCAATTTATGGAAGAGCTTGTGCCGCATCCGTCGTGATTCTCTACAATATGGGGGTCAATGCATCAAGTAGGAACTCGAAGAAAGTCGTCCGCTTTTTGTTCAGATACCGGCGTTTTGAGTAACACGATACCCACACTGCATGTTAGAGATCCCGACTTACAGGACACCGCCGACGAAAAAGGCCACGCTAATAAGGAACCAAACCACCCCCCACACCTGCGACGGGCAACAACCCACTAGTCGCGCAAATGCTGAGGCATCCGATTCATTGACTTTGCGGAATATCAGGTCGTCACAGATATCCCACACCGAATAAAGGCAATTCATGACACCCTGCTGTCAGTATTCGATAACGTACGAGGAACAAGACAAAATAGCGCAAGGCCACGGAGCTTTCGACCAGCTTCCATTAATGTGACGTTGTACTTACCCAAAATAAGACAAACAATCCCGCCATGACAATAATCAAGAGCCATGTGCTACTGTCAGCATTTCAACGTACAGCCAATTGCGCCGAGCCCACCAAAGCATCATTAAGAAAAATACAGCGACGACAATACTTGCCACTTTGCTAGCTCTCTCATCAAATCCACAAGCAATAAGAATAGCTCCGATAAGTGACGAGCCCAGATACCCGGCGGGTAGAGTAAAAAAGCTGATCCCACCCCGCATCCGTGTTGCACCGCCCTCGTCAGGGTCCAATTCGATGGACTCAATTTTTGCACATGTAAGGAGCCCCACAAATGCGTGAGAGAATTCATGGAATCCAACAGTCTGGGTATGAGCTGCATATACTTACAAGCAACTTGAATGGGTACAGCACTTGCTTGAGGATAGGGATGTTCCACTGCCATTAAACTAGAGGACATACCAGTACCAAAATTGCCACAACGTATATACATGCCACAATGATAGTATTTCTTTGGTCTTCTGTCACCAGTAGAGACCCTCTATCCTGTGCAGCCCGTCGGAATACCAGCGCAGGCGCCATGTCAAGAGGTCAAGGGGCTGTGCACATTCTAGGCACCATGCATATGTTCAACAGAATTCCAGCCACGTGGCTGTCAATTTCACATCTAGGTCCAAAGATCTTCGAGCTGACTGGCAGCCTATGTTCCACGACCTGAATGTGCCCTGGCCGGCACGGGAGGGAAGCGTAACGTCAAAGAAAGCAAAGAAAGCAGTACAGAAAACAGATGAGAATACGCATTCCAACTCAGACACTGTCGATCCGCTTGCCGTCCTTACTGAATCTGAAAAGTCTAGACTGAGTCAACTCGTCTATGAGTTGAGAGAGCGTACGTTGTCCTTTCCCGCTCATCATAAACAGTTGGGTATTCCACAATCGCTTTGAATCATGTGGTTTATACTAAGTACGATCCCCAGTTACATCCCCATCCTTTTGCGTCAACCCGGAAGGGCCCCAACCCACCTTTTCCGAAGTTGGACCCTCGAACACGAGGTGGCCAAGGTGTAAGGTCTCGGGCTCAAGGAATCAAACAGCTCAGCCGACTGACACTTGTTCTGGACAAGGATCAAGCCATCAAGTCCGGCACAGGGTTTGTCGCAGCCAACAGTAATGCGCTGCAGAATTATGACTTGCTAGCAGTGATGCCTCTCACGGAGAGTGGTTTTCAACATGCATGTATTACAATGAGCGAGTTAAAACCTTTCAGCGTGGATATTATCTCACTAGACTTAGCAGCTGCCCCAAGGCTACCATTTCATTTAAAACGAAGCACCGTCGGTGCTGCACTTGCTAATGGTGTGGTTTTTGAAATCACGTACGGATCTGCAACAGATACGTCGTCGTCTGCAATGGGGGATCAAGATTTGTCGGCAGCTCGCAGGAATCTTTTTAGCGGGGCAAGGGAAATACTGCGCGCGACAAATGGCAAGGGTGTGATTATCAGCGGTGCGGTCATGGACGTGCTGGGATTGCGTGCCCCTTATGATGTTTTGAATATGTATGTCTATGAAACTTATTCGATAGGGCAACGCTGATGGGTATGACGCTGCAATCCGCAAAAGATTCATTAACATCTGTTTGTCAATCTCTTCTAATCCGAGCCCGTACGTTGCACATTTTATACTGATGCTCAGAAACTCGACAAACATTTCGTGGGGCCGTATGCAAACCATCCGTCAAGACGCCTTGTGGTGACGACGAAGTCAGCCTACGAAATCGAGACCAAATTAACAAGAAACGCAAGCGTACTGGTGATACTTCATCTTGTTAGCATGCACGCATGTATACCTCGTCTCTATCTCAACAAGAAGTTAGTGTATAATCGCCGGCATATATTTCCGTACATCCGTTTCTTGGCACGAGCGAAATTGGCGCGTGATTTCAGACGTAGTATCATGAGCGGACCGTGCGCATGACAAGTGCCTGTACGTTGATGCACGCGGAAGCGCATACTGTACATGCGCACATGCGTGGTACACCATACGTAAGCAATGCGGGGCGGCGCTCGTATCCACCGCGTTCGTCATTTAGTTCGTCCGCATGGGAAAAGGGCGGAGACGGGTGATCTGAGCGACCTACCTAGGTCGCATTGCATTCCCGAGAAGGGAAGGATAGACCGCTGCATAGAAGCTACTTGTCGATTCGATCGTAAATTATTGGTCAAATTGTTAGTTTACCCGATTAAATCGCAATTACATCATCAGTTTGGCCAATTATACAAGGATATTGAGAGTGATCTTAGGTGGACGCTTGGGCCTGCAGGCATGAATGGATGCATGCCTAAACCCGGTTCGACATGCGTACATATAAATAAGACGGGCCAGCCCGTTCCTCTTACTCTTTACTTGAACTCTTCGTAATGAGCAACGTTATCAAGAAGGTTTTCAACACCGACAAGGCCGAGGCTGAGGGCTCGAAGGTCGCTGACGCTCCTCAGGAGGCTGGCCACAAGGGCGAGGGTTTCCTGCACGATGCTAAGGACCGTCTGCAGGGCTTCGCCGGCCACGGTCACCACAATGCCCAGAACGCCGCTTCGGGTGTCGCTGGCTCGGCTGGTGCCGGTGGTGCTCCCTCGGTTCCCTCTGCCAACGTTGACGTGACGAACCCTGTTAACGACGCCTCTGTGCAGGGTGGTGTTGAGGCCCCCCGCAGCTGGAGTACCCAGCTCCCTCAGTCGCAGTCGGTGGCTGACACCACTGGCGCTACTTCGGCTGGCCGCAACAACCTCACCCAGACCACTAGCACTGGCTCGGGTGTGAACGTTGCTGCTGGCAACGTTGACCAGGATGTGCAGCACCTGGCTCCCGTCACTCGCCACGTGCACCACCGTCATGAGATTGAGGAGCTGCTGCGCGAGCGTGAGCACCACATTCACCAGCACCACATTCAGCACCACGTGCAGCCTGTGGTCGACTCTGAGCACCTCGCTGAGCAGATTCACTCGCGTGTTGTGCCTCAGACCACTGTTCGCGAGGTGCACGCTAACACTGACAAGGACGCTGCCCTCATGCGCGCCGTTGCTGGTAACCCCAAGGACACTTTCACTCAGGCTGCCATTGACCGCAGCGTGATCGACAAGGGTGAGACTGTCCGCGAGATTGTGCACCACCACATCCACAACATTGTGCAGCCCATCATTGAGAAGGAGACTCACGAGTACCACCGCATCCGCACTACTATTCCTACCACTCACATCACCCACGAGGCCCCTATTGTGCACGAGTCGACTGCGCACCAGCCGATCCGCAAGGAGGACTTCCTCAAGGGCGGCGGTGTCCTGACTAGCACTACTCGTTCGATCGAGGAGGCTGGTCTGTTGAACCTCGGCAACAACCAGCGTACCGTGGAGGGCGAGACCTACACTGGTGGCCTGCCTCTCTCTCAGTAATTTAACTGTAACCATTCGGATGGCGAATAATTAGCTTCTCCTTAATAGAAAGATGTCACTATAATAGCGATGTAGTGTGTGTCTTAATGATGTAGCCTGCGCCATCAAATCTAGACTAGATTTGGGATTGCTTAGGGGGGCGCGTTTGAAAGTGTCATGATGCCCCAAACCGCTTCAGTGCCCCGCCCTGGTTCCCAACGATCGGGGGATCTAGCAGACTCGCCTGCAAACTCAACTTGGACGAATAATCTCGACATGGACTCGGGTTGCGCGGATAGAAGCTCCCATTCCATCCACATGGCTGGGCCTGCCGTTAAGGCGCCCCCGCCCTTGCGCTTAGGCTCGCCTAGCGCTTGCACGAATTCTAATGCCTTTGTTGTAGGCTGTACTTCGAGGTATTTTTCCCCATGATAAATAATAATAGGATAGTAGGGATATGGACCCCATTTTTGGTGACCATTGTAAATGTCTATTGCCAAAAGCTTAGAACGCGATGGATCCGGTTGCGGTGTCCACTGGAAACTGATGCCCTTTGGCCGAATACTATAAAAATGCACATCCGAGTACTCTTTCTTTTCTAATTCATGCTGGTTTCTCCATAAGTGCCATATTGGTTCATCACGTGTGATACCTAGAAGCTCTGTCAGGCACAATGGTCGATCGCCCATGTTGACGAAGCCTAGAATCCCTATAGTCTGACGCGAGTGCACAGTCCATCCCACGTGGTAATTCGACAGCACGTGCAATCACAATAATCACGCCTGTACGGGCGCGTTGCACAACAGTGTTGGAGAACGGCATGGCGCGCAACGTACCTCGGCAGTCGGTGTATTTCAATCCAAATGCAAGCGCCAACCAGCTCAGTAATATATATGCTTGCGTAAGTCATCTTCAAGCGGCGTGCACATGTGTATGTACTTGTTCTCTCACATGAAGCTTCACGACACAAATTCGGCACTCGAGTTCCATACTGGTGATCTAAAACGGCTCAATACTGCCATATCGAACCAGCGAGTGAGTAACTATCGATTGACTTTAGCACTTTGATTTGGTGTCTGAGTGTGAAGTTCGTCAAGCCCGCGAACATGTGGCAGCCGAAATTGCGCCACTGTTACGCGAATTGATTATGCGTGCTGAAGAGGTTCTTGGCAAGGACGAGCAGCACGCACGTACACTTCGAAACAGGGTATGTATATACTTCTCATATTAGGCAACGGAAGAACTTGCCAAGGTGGACGCGCAGGCGCAGATTTTGACGGAAGAAAAAGATGCGGCGCTAGGACGGACTGCGTCCCAGGTGGAATACGACGCACAAATGCAGGAGCTAGAGACGCTTCGTAAACAACGAGCTCAGCTAATGGAGCGTGTAAATCTGTTAGAGAAACAGGGGAAGGCAGTGCTTTAATCTATATACCCGAAACGAGCATTTGAATTGGGCTCACATTACCCATGTGAATTAGTCGCGGAAGGCGAAGTTACCGATACGGTTTTTTACCAAAAGCCGCAGCTCCATAAGAGTTGTAGGCGAACCAGCATTGCGGAGCCCCGCGACTACTTCGTCCCCATCTTGAATCTTACTCACACCCTTGGGTGTACCTAAAGTGTGAATGCATCGACAGACATACCGGTAAGGAGCACGTCTCCTGTTTCGAGCGTCATGATGGACGACACGTAAGAAATCAGCTCTGGAATAGAGAAAATCATATCTTTTGTATTCCCATTCTGGCGCATGTCGCCATTTACTCGAAGCCAAAGATCCACATTGTGAGGATCAGGGATCTGTTCTTTGGCGATCAAATCACTGTATGTAAACAAGCCATCCGTACCTAATTGGCGTGAAGGTGTCAAAGCCTTTAGCCGCAGACCAAGGGAGGCCACTTTTCTTGGCTTTTTCTTGCATGTTTCTGGCGGTCATATCAATTGCCAGGGCTAAGCAACATGAATATAGAAACACATACCGTAGCCACCGATGTGCGAGTCAGACTCTTTTATGCTAATGTCACGACCGTTCTTGCCGATCACCACCGCCAGCTCAACTTGGTGTCAATCACGCTTACTTACCTTCATGGTGTGCCACAACGCCCCGGGGTACTTCAATAGCCTGGCCTGAGCCAATGTAGCTCGACGTTGGCTTCAGAAAGAAAAACGGCTCCGTGGGTACGGCGTTATTCAGTTCTTTGGCGTGGTCGGCAAAGTTTCGCCCAATACTGACATATGAGATCCTTCATGATACATACGCAACAATCTTACGGCCTGTTGTGCGGAACGAAGACAGCATGTCGTCAAAGGATGAGCGCGTACAGACCGCGGAAGTGTGTTATCTCCACACTGTACGCTCCGCTCAAGGCTGATAACGACAATCGCACTCCTATAAGAACGAAACACCAGACAAGAACTAGGTAGAGAGACTTGTCTACAGAAGAGCGTCAGTTCTTGTTCGAGGAAATTGCAGGTAGCTGGAGGTTGGAGCCCTGTTGCGTGAATCGGTGGCTACGGATAAGCGAATTTCACGTACTGAGCAACGCGGGCAAGCTGAACTAAGCCCGTTGTTCCCACGAAAAAGTTCACAGCAGCCAGGGAGTAGTTGACGGGGGTGATGACGAAGCAGTAGCTGTAGCAGTGTGTTAACTTCCATACAACAAAAATACATACCGCACCCAGATCATGCCAGTGAGAGCCAGCGCCGTGTTCTGGGAGACGGAAAGCTTGTCTGCAGGACGCGCCAAATCACCAAGCCCGGCCAGAACAAGGCCCCATTTCATCATCGGGGCCCAAAAGAACACTAGCGCAAAGTCAGCCACAGTCCATGGTGAAGTGCATGCAATCGCATGCCAACCTAGAAGCAAACGTACCTGTCTTTGGTCCAGCTGGGTGGTTCATGAAGGCGCGGAAGCGGCTGCCGAAACTTGTGGATGCCATGGTGACGGTGGGCCGATCGAGGGGCACGGTCGGAGTGTGCGGAGGTTCGAGCGGCGCGGATATCTGGGAAATACACATGCATACGTCCTGTTCGGTTAAACCGCTCGACCTCGTGCGAGACGCGGACAGTCGCCGAAGGTACGCGCACACATGTCAGGCGCCGGCGATCCCATCGACGATGAAGACGCGTTCCTTTATGGCACATCGAATACTGAGATTACACCGTCACATGATGCTGCTCTCTCAGTAGAACCCTCGTCCGAATCACTGGCTCGTCCTGCCGACACAGGCCTCGAGACGGCGCGGCCAGACTCGTCGGCTGCCGCGGGTATCGAGGAAGTGAGTGCCCCTGAAGGGAAACCGGAAGACGTTGAGGAGGAAGAGGAAGAAGACAGTGACGAATCTGTGCGTATCCTAGTCTGACAACAGGACATTGAGTTTATTATTGACCCAAATGCACCACTGGTACCTCCTTCGCGGACAATGTCGTTCGCCCCGCCGGCGCCTGCATTCAAGCAGAATATCATTTCGACAGAATCCCCTGTAATCACAAACGACCATGTCGAGCCTCCCGCTGCGCCGTCTCAGCTGACAGCAATACCCCCTGTCGAGCCAACGGACGTGGAAGTCGGACCTACAGCTTCTACGGTCAAGCAAGCAAGGGCCATGGAGGAGCCACTCGGGCCGGAAGGCCCCCCTCCGTCTGCATCATCGACGGGTCCTGAGCTCCAGCTTGATCCCTCGGAGGCGGCACTGCGTTATCCCCCGACGGACAGCCTCTACGATGGACGCACACAAGAGGAGCAAGCGCAGGAGCCTCCGCCCATGACTATATACCAAGTGGACATTGAGTCTCTACCTGAAAAGCCCTGGCGTCGTCCAGGTGCCAACTTGAGTGATTGGTTTAATTATGGGTTTGACGAGCACACTTGGGCCTTGTGGTGTGCCAAAAAGAATATGATGAGTGACGCACGAGCAGATTTGGGAGCAGCGGACGAAGCACAGGTGCCAGGCATGCCCGCTATGCCTTTTATGCCTCCCATGGAGGGTTCTCAAGATGCCTTTGCCGCCATGTTTGGCCCCGGGGCTATGATGAGCATGCCCTCTATGCCGACATGGCCAGGTATGCAGGACGACGGGCAGTCCAATGCCATGGCTATTCCACCAGTCATGCCAGCGATGCCGGGTGCCCCATGGGGTGAGGTCCCACCTCCTGCGTCCGAGATCGGATCATGCGCGCCGCAGGACGGCCAGCATGATGCGCGCCCCAGTGGTACAGACATGCAAGAGCCTCGCCACGAACGCCGGGGCCGCCGCGGAGGACGGCGGCATGGGCGCTCGGGCGGGAGCGGCGCGCGCCGTGCTGAGCACGAAGATGACAATGCCCGTTCTCAAGGGCCCTACAATGACCGCGACACGGCGCATGGTGCAGGTGATACTCTCGACTATGGTGTACGCCCAGAGGAATCTCAATGGCACCGCGGCTCGCCGCGGCGAACTGACCATGATGGTGACGATGACGCGTACGATCCGGAGCATTTTGGTCGACCGCCGCCCCAGCAACATGGCCATCGTGACCGTCCAAGTCGACGAGAGCGCGAGCGTGCAAGGCACGAGCGCCGCTCTGGTCGTGGCGGGCAGAAGCGAGGGCCACCGGAGGGTGCAGATGATGGAGGCGACTACGCCTCGAAGCGGTTCCACGGAGGTCGCGGGCCATAGTAGAATCGCAACTACACTGGTCTTGGATCATAGCTGGGGTGGGCTCCGTGGGAGGGCAAACTCGGCCATGGCCGTAGTGGTTGTTGTGCCACTGGTTGACGCAGTCGGCGGCTCCATCGATCGTGTTCCACGGTCAGAAAGGATACGCATAGGTGTGAAAAAGGCTTGGCGCCATGGCCAGCGGGACAGCATAGATGGAGAAGGTGAAGATGACGGAGGAGATTTTGGCGGCGACGTCGAGAGCGTTTGGTGTGCTGGCTGAACGAGTGCAGCAGGGTCCTGCCATCCATCAATGTCCACCAGAGCATAAGGGGTATCGGGGGAAAGTCCATATACATTGCCTGGGCCCGCCACATGTCGCGTCAGTCGTGCGATGCGAGCCACGAGCCATTCTCGCTGCGACACTTGTTGGGCCAACGCATCGTCCATGCGCAAAAAGTGATGCGGCGCTCCGATATGGAAAGCTGCCCACAAGGGAGAGTTGGCAATGCGCCGCTTGGTGGGAAGAAATAGGGCCAGGGATCCCACCTCAAAGGACGCCACATTGAGTTTAGCTGCATGATCGGCGTGCGTATCGTGGCATTGGCCCTCGTACGCTTGCTTCCAAACATGGCACTGCGTGGACAACTGGTCCAGTTTTTGGCGCACTTCGTCGAACAGGGCAGGATCCAGCGTGTCCACGTCGGCAGAGAGGGTAGCTTCCAGCACATTAGCCTTAGGCTCACCGTCCATGGATCGCAAGTGAGCGGCGAGCTCATGAGCCTTGCTTGTCCATGCACGTGAAGTTGCATCCGGCGACGCATGCAATGCTTCTGTTCGCGCTGTCAGTTCCGACTCGAGTCGTTGGATGCGTTCTTGTGCCGCACGTAGCTGGCTCTCCAACAACTCCACACGAGATGCGCCGGTAGGACCGGCCGAGCTGGTAGGGAGGGTGTCGCTGGAAAGCGAATGTCCCTCATCTGATGATTCATCGGGAAACATAGACAGGCCTAGCTGTTTGCGCGCCGTGCGGTGGAATTCCGCTTCCCCATCATCAAGTGCATGCAAAAGTGGCGCAAGCGATTCGCGTAGATCGACGGCCAGACACGATCCCTCTGGGTGGGGCAGCTCCGCGTCAATTCGCCTGAGCTGCTCAAAGAAATCGTCAAGGTCGCTCCGTGAGAATGATACTGATGATTCCGCCTGGTCGCGTCGTCGCGTCGTGATATCGAGCACTGGTGGAACCTGCTCCATCGTCCGTGTATCCCACGGTAGAAGGGGCGCAATATCAGCCGCATACGTTTTGCGGCGCGCAATCTCCAAATCAGACATATGAGCCATAAGCTCGGCAACGTCCTGTGCCTGCTGTAAGAAGCGAGAGGCGAATTCTGTGCGGCGCACAGCCTCAATTAAAGTGGCACCGTACGCCCAACACATGCGTTTCAGCCGATGCAGCTGGTCAAATCGATTGAGCGGCGGCGACTGCAGAGCCATGTCAATATGTGCCACCGTGGAGCTCAGCTCAGCAAAGTCGCTTTGCAGGCTTCCAATGTCTTGAACAAGATTCAAGTGCCTGCACTGCAGCTCGTTGCGATCGGCAGCCAGCTCTTCCACACTGTGGACCATCTTTGTCTCCATGGCCGAGAGCTCAGAACACAGTTGATTCAGATGGACACGTATTCCACTGGGTAATGTATCGGGCATGGGCTGACGGTCAGATGGAGGGAGGCATTGCTGTCGGATCGACTCGGCAAGCGCCATGGCCTGCGAGTAATAGGAACGAATATTGCTAAACAAGTGCTCAGAGGGTCGCAGGTCGGTCCGCTTGACTTCCGATGCAATGTCAAAGAGATCCAGAGACAATTGTAGCTCACGTTTCATGCAGGTTGAGTACGTGGTCTGCAGTGCCCGCATGTCCTTCTCACACGACTGAGCCAACTCGCATATGCTCGTCGGCTCGACGAACGATGCCAGCGTCAGTGAAGAAGAGATAGGATCGCCTCCATGTTCCTCATCCACGTCACTGGGAAGGTGAAGGCGGGGATTCACGTGAATTCGTTGCAACACGGCTAGGTCCCACTCGTAACGGGAGAGCAGGTCCTTCATCGAAGAGAAGTCCTTCGTGGCAATCGTTTCCAGGTTCGACACAGCCTTCTTGATACTTCGAGCGTGAAGGTCAAGGTTATGCAAGGCCACGTAGGTGCTCTGATCGATCAAGTGCAGGCCGGTATCGAGTTCACTTGCTTCTTCCATGCGCATTTGCAGCGTCGATCGAGCTTCAGTGACCCAAGCCATGAGCCAGTCGAGAGCGCGTGCACGTAGCGGCTCTTCGAAGTAGTTGGCAGAGCATACACGCGTGGAATCAATCTGCACTTCAAGCATGGGCGCCACGGCGTCCGTGTCGGCTACGAGGAGCTCGCGATCGAACACGTACAACTCCTGAGAATGAGTAAGCCCGGCATACCTCCTCCTCGTTCGACCTTTGCAGTGAAAATTGGTCTAAGACATCCGCAGTCACCTGTACCCCCTCCTTGGTCATGCAAATAAGGGAATCATTTAGAATGCCTGTCGCCAACGATACACAGTCGAGCAGGTGCTCGAGCCTACGAGTCAGCACCGTTCACGTACGTGTGAAACTCGGCTAGCGTATTTTTTACGTGAATAATTTTCCCACAATAAGATACAATGAGCCGCATGTAGAAGGCTTAAGCGCTCGCATACCCTCGCGCCATGCGGCCGGGCGAACGGATCCACATGCGATCCGTAGGGGAAGGGCAATGATTATATAAGTACTGTCGTTCGCTCCGTCTGCGTCGAAGATTACTCGCTCCTTGCACCATCGTTCCGATGTTCTCCCTTGCCAGGCACGCTGCTACGCGCGCGGTGCCTCGTGGTGCTGCACGCATGGTGGGCTCCCGCATGAATTCTTCCGCGTCGTGGCAGCCAGTACTCAAACCGGGGGCGCTGCCTGTGTACGACGAAGCGCTCGCGTACATTGAAGAGGATGCGGCCGCCCTGCGCAAGAAGATTGAGGAGACTAAGCAGTCGGGAGACGTCCAAGAGGACTATTTGGACGCACTAGAAATTGTGTCGGAGATCAATCGCCCCCATGTGCGCACGCAATTCGCCAAGGGTGATTATGATCTGAGGCAGCCGGTCTTCCGTCACCTGCGCGAGCAGGCATGGCGGCTGGGCGGTGCACTAGAGCGCCTCGTTGAGCGCATCCAGCTCATGCACGTTCTGCCAGATGTGGTCCCTTCTATCACGCCAACGGTAGACCTAGAGGTCCTCTATGGCGAAGGTGCCGGCATCGGCGACCACGGCGGCCGCGGCGGCAGTGTGCACCCCGGCGTGTTCCTGGATCCAGCATTGGTTCGTACTATCCGCTTACGACAGACACGCGAGGCACCTACGATTCGTGCTACGGTCTTCCACAAGGACACCCGCAAGTATACCATTATGCTCGTGGATCCGGACGCACCTTGTGAGGATAGCCAATCTTTCAAAACGTACGTCCATTGGCTTGTCACGGACGTACCACTGTCTCTGCAAGAAAGTAATATTCCTTCCGGACATCCCCACAAGCTCGCGTATGTACCGCCCCACCCTCAATGCGGCACTCCGTACCACCGCTACACTATGCTGCTATTTGAGCAACAACCTGATACGTCTGTGGGTGACGTGGCGCGAGAAGGCGTGCAGGTACAGACCTTTGCGGAACAGAACGGACTTACTTTACGCGGTATTCATTTCTGGCGTGCGCAGTGGTCCGACCAAAACAAGACTGTCATCAGCCAAATCTACAAGGACGTGCTCCAAGTGCCTGAGCCACGATTCGGACGCGTCGCTCGGCAGGACCGGCTCAAGGACGAGCTGGGTCAACGTCACAGCAAATATTATTAGTTTTAGAAAAGGTATTCAGTCAGTCCGCGACGCATACGGCCCTCGTCCACATGGGTGTCGGGGCGGAATGGCCACCGTTCGAACGCGGAGGCCAACGAGGCCCATTGTCGATTGGTCAGCTCCACAATGGGGGTATCAGGTAAGACGACATCGTCTGGACGGTCTTTCATGCGCGGGTGCTCTGGAGCGACAAGGCGCAGAATGTTGTTCGCGCCTGGCGCCGTGTGCTTTAGTCCCTCCATCACCGTCTTGGACTTGAGCACAAACATGTTGCGGGTAAGAAACTCAAATGAGTCCATGTCACGCGCATCGATCAGCGGCGAACGCAATGGATCGATCTCCAACGCCGTCAACTTCCGCTTCTGCAGGCCCGTAGAAATGTTTGAGTTAGGGATGAAGATCGATGTTACTGGCACTCGCGGACCGATGGACGGCGTCGGAGGGTACATGTGTTCGGCATACGGCTCCATCTCGTCTCCTGTAAGTAGCTGCCGCGGCGTGCTCAGGCACTGCACCGTGGCACCCAGCTTGGCACGCGTGCGAGGGTCTTGTGGTGATGCCATCGAACGCAGCGCCACCGTCTCACCACACACGAATACCATTTTTACGCGGCCAAACTGGAACAGCCACAGCCGCGAAGAAATAGCATTGACCAGCTGGGCAAACAGTTGTTCGCCATGTACGGTATTTGGCAGCTGGGCAAAAAATACAATAGGACTTGTCGCTAATGTAAGAGAAAAAGACGTACCGTCCCAATCCATCGGAGGTGCATGATCTCCTAGCTTCGGCACACGTCCCTCGAGGTGTGACAAGTGCCCATCCTTCACCAGCATCTCATATGAATCCCACGAGTACCCTGACTCTGGAATAAGCCTGAGCTTTTCAGAATTGTTCCCCATCGAGGGATCTACGCGCAATTCTTCCAAATATGACAGGAAAAGAGGTACATTTTCCATGGAAATTACTTTTTCCACGGCCGGATGTTCCATAAAGGCACGCGTGAAAGTGCCAGGGCCCGGATACGCTTCAATGATAGTGGATTTTACTCCCTGACGCTCATCTGCATCAAGTCCCATCGCACGGACAATTTCTGCCACCTTGTCCTTGTTTGATACAAAGTATCGGTGTCGCGCTCGTTGCTCCTTTGAGAACGCAAACAGGGACTTCCATCGAGAGGGGTGGGGCAGGTGACCATAGCAGTAGGGAGCATCGATGAGATCAATGGGAGGCGAATAAGAGTGCAGCGGCGCATCCGTGTAGATCGACAGAGGAGTGTGGCGCTTCACACCAACGGCTATCATTAGCTGAGAAAGAACGTACCCTCGTCAGAGAATGGATCATCGGCACTCTCGATAGCACTTTTACGGCCACGCTTCCTCTTCGCTGTCATTTTAGCGTCCTCGGCCTTGGGGACCTTCGGCGGACGACCACGGCGCGGAGATGCAGTTGAAGTGGACGCGGTGTCATTCAGCGGCGACAGTTGCGTAAATGAGCGGTTAATCAAAAGATTTGGTCCTTTCTTTGTATGATTTCGTACGTATTCAGGTACAAGCGACGTAGAAAAGCGTGGCGGGTAACGACAGAGCCTCAACAGCTCTGCTGCAAGCAGCATCTGGCGTAAGAGAAAATTGATGTGTGGAGAAGCGACGACAACTGCCAGTTCGCTGACTAATTTACCTCTGCCACCTCGAGCACACGCCACGATGGGCACGAGCACTGAGCGGCTGCCGGATGCCTACGAGCTGCTGGATGTTGATATTGACGCGACAGAGGCACAGATTCGCACGGCTTATCGTAAAAAGTCTTTGCAGCTTCATCCAGATAAGGTAAAGGATGTCCCCCCCGACGTCGCAGCGGACCGCTTCCACCGGCTTACGCTCGCCTATGAGGAGCTTTTGAATCCCGCTACGCGCATTCGTCTCGCACAGGAACTTCAACAAGAACGTGAGCGTCGCCAAAGGAGATCTGCTTTTGATGAGCGCCGACGTGCAATGGCTGCAGACCTTGAAGAACGCGAAGAGCGGGACCGACAAGCTCGCGCGATGCGTGAACAGCGCTTGCGCGAGCGGGAATTGCGCATTGTGGCACTTCGTGAGGAGGGGCGAACTATGAGAATTCAGAGGCATGAGCGCCTGCTGAACGAATGGCAGGCGCACGCTCAGCAAGAGACAGCCACGAAAAGCGCTACACCTGAGTCTCCAGCGAATCTTCCCGCATGGGGGACGTTGGACACAACAGTGCTCGTACGATTTCCGTTTGAACAAGCAGCAGAGATGTGGGGGGCGATTGAACCACCAGAGTCGCTTCTGGACACACCTCTCGCTGTGTCACTGCAAGATTCCTATGGACCTCTAGTCAATGTTCGCGTCCGCACGACGCAAAAGAAAAGAAAGGAAATCTCTGTGATTGTCGTCTTCGAGTATGGTGTACATGCCTGGCGCGCCGTACACGATGGTATGCAACTCCGTTGCACCCACCCTCTGCTTCAAGACTGCTGGATCGGCTGGAGTGATGAAAGTGGCAAAGCACGTTCCGATATACCCCAGCGCATTGCAGCATGGATGGCTCAAGGCGTTACACCAGCACAGGCGCCGCTAACGGTGGAACCTGTCAAGACCATGCCTCATGATATCGCTGCCAACTTCGACTATGCCTATGAGGCCCGCACCCTAGAGCGCATGCGCCAGGCTGCTGGTATGGCATGAACGCTTCATGTTTACTCGATATCCTTGAGTCCGTGAGAGGCTTTGCGGCGGAAAATATGCTAGATACCCATTAGTCCTAATCCATGATGTCAACATACCTGGTCGCGGAGCCACTGACGGTACTGATGAAGAGACCCGATCTTTTCACCCTTATCGTTAGGATATTATACATACGTAGTAATCCGGCACAGGGTTGTGCACGACTTGGCGAGTCGGATCCGCACGCATTTTACGAATGTGAGCATAGAACTCCTTGTCCCGACGCGTCATTTGTGCCGCCTTGCTCCGGTGAAAAAGACTCCAAATAGAAAACCCAATGGATGGTCCCACGAGCCAACCTAGACCAGTACAGGCAGTTGTAGCACCCAAATACAAGAAGAAGGGGTCAATCTAGCGGTGAGCTAATAATGGAACATACACCGCCGAGGGTCTGGCTTGGATCAATTTCAATTGTCATGAAATACGATCCTGATGCAATAGCACTGAACAACATGGTTGGAACAGTGGCAACCAGGCCCGCAATGCGACGTTGACGGCGCAGACGCAAGTCTTTCAAGATCAGCATTGGCGTACATACATGTATCCCAAGGCAAGAGATTTTTCGAAGTATCCGGGCATTTAGTCGAAAATCCACATGTAGTCAAGTTGGATACACCTCGCCAGCCTGCTAGGGCACGAGCGTTCGAACGCACAAGCCACATGTTATACTGGTGCAGCATACACTGCATAGAAACGGACGTGCACGGCGAGCGCAATGTGTCACGTGGATGTGTCACGTGGATCGGGCAAAAGAGTGTGCCTTCTACTGGTCTTCTTCCAACATCGTGCCTAACAGTGAGTGGAACGTAGTGGGAGATTTCTGACGCGCGCAGCTCTAAGCGTTCTGACGCATATCTTTTACTTTTAATATGGCGACGACAGCACCAGGCAATGACCCGCCTCCGGTGCAACGGCCGCCGAGAGACCTGCGCCCGCAAACAGAGGATGTGACTGCGACCAAAGGTAATGACTTTGAGGACTTTTTCCTGAAACGGGAACTGCTCATGGGTATCTTCGAAGCAGGGTTTGAGCGTCCATCGCCGATTCAAGAGGAGTCGATTCCCATTGCACTCTCCGGACGCGATATTTTGGCCCGTGCAAAGAACGGTACTGGTAAGACGGCCGCCTATGTGATCCCTTCGCTGGAGCGGATCAACCCGAAGAAGGAAAAGATTCAAGCAGTGCTTCTTGTTCCCACACGTGAGCTTGCTCTTCAGACAAGTCAAGTGGCTAAGACACTTGGTAAGCACCTCGGTGTTGAAATCATGGTTAGCACTGGTGGTACAACACTGAAAGACGATATTTTGCGTCTCGGCCAGACTGTGCATATGCTCGTCGGTACGCCTGGGCGTATTCTCGATTTGGCTAGCAAGGGTATTGCTGACCTGAGTCAGTGCACGACATTTGTCATGGACGAGGCTGACAAGCTACTGTCGCCTGAATTCACGCCTGTGATGGAGCAGCTACTTGGTTTGCTGCCCAAGGAACGCCAGGTCATGCTCTTCTCGGCGACATTCCCCCTGATCGTCAAGGACTTCAAGGATAAGCATATGGTGAAACCCTACGAAATTAACCTAATGGACGAGCTCACGCTACGTGGTGTCACCCAGTACTATGCCTTTGTGGAAGAGCGTCAAAAGGTCCATTGTCTCAATACCTTGTTCTCGAAGCTTCAGATTAATCAGTCCATCATCTTCTGCAATTCGACGAACCGTGTGGAACTGCTGGCGAAGAAGATCACGGAACTAGGCTACTCATGCTTTTACTCGCACGCCAAGATGCTGCAGGCTCACCGCAACCGCGTCTTTCATGATTTCCGCCAAGGAGCATGCCGCAACCTTGTTTGCTCAGACCTACTTACCCGCGGTATCGATATCCAGGCAGTTAATGTGGTTATTAATTTCGACTTCCCCAAAAATGCGGAGACATACCTGCATCGCATTGGCCGTAGTGGTCGCTTTGGTCATATGGGTCTTGCTATCAACTTGATCACGTATGAAGATCGCTTCAACTTGTACCGAATTGAGCAAGAACTTGGCACCGAAGTTCAGCCGATTCCCGCTACGATTGACAAGCGTCTGTATGTGGCTCCTTCTTTGATTGAGGAGGCCGAGCAACGCGAGCGTGAGGCCAAGGCTACTGGAAAGCCGACACAGGGCCCTGGCGTGATGCAGCAGGGCTTACCATCCATTCCCCCTACGCAGGCAGCAATGCACGCTGTACCTATGGAGCATAACGGCAACTTTACGAACACTGTGCCACACCGTCGAGGTGGCCGTCGCAACCGCCGGGGTGGCGGTGGTAATGGCAATGGCAGCAAAAACAATGGCAACGGCAGCCAAAGCCAAACCAGCTAAATCTTACCACCAAGCCCTTTACCCAACTACCTGCTTCTACTCGTCTTTTTTTGCCACTTTTATTAGCCCCTTGAATGCTTGTCTGCCGCCTTCATGATTCTGCGAGCAGACCTGTGCTTATAGTCTCTCTTTCCCCCTCCCCCTCCCCCTTAAACAAATTAAAACCCTTTTTTAAAAATGGCTAGGTACGGCTAGAAGGTATGATCGAAGTCGAGTACATCGCGCTGCGGCTCCCAATCGGGGAGTGGAGCTGCTGGGGAACGGTTCTGAGACATCGAGGGCCCACCGTTCTTTGGCTGACGGCGACTTCCGCGGACAGGAGGGTAATTTTCTCGAGTAGAGAGGCCCATAAGTTCTCGATCAAGATCGTCGTAGTTCGACGCATCAGAGGAATTCGGCCATGCATTCAAAGATGGAGGCATCGGGTCGTCATCCTGGGAATCATGTTGGAATCGACGAGAGCTCACTGAGTCCATGTCTCCCATGGCATTATTGATACGAGAGTGGCGGTTCATAGGCTCAGGATAGGTATCGACCGCAGCGCTTGAGCTCGCATGCATGCCAAAGAACCGCCTCGTTCGTGCAGCCAGACTCCTGGACCCCCGTGGAGGCACAGCGCCTGGCGAGTCCATCCGGGAGGACGCAGACGTGGAAGGATAGAACTCGTCCGATTCATTGTCCACACGTGGTTTTGTCTTGCGTACGCGGCGGCTCCTATCGCCTTCGAAGAATTGGTCAGGGTCCACTAAAGCGTCCGGATCATGATCAGACGGATCGACGTCATCCTCATCAAGATAATATGCATGCCCTTCTTCATCGTATTGTACTGGGCGAGAAGGGTTGATGTATCTGTCAGCCCACTTACGATCTTTGGCTGGACCGCGTTGTTCATTCACAAGGCCGGCCTTACGTAGCCACACAGGAGTACGATCGGGCCTAAGAGAATTGTCACGGACTCGCTGAAAGGTGAGCTTGGCATCAATCACATACTTGGACAAAGAAGTTATGGATCTGAAAGTTAGTAGATCTCACACGTACATGTCCAGGGAAATACCCAGCAATGGTAAGAAGGACATTGACAAAGAAGTCTACACCGATACCGAAGCGGAGAAAGACCGCCAGCGGTGGGACTAGAATGCTGAAAATGATGATCAGAACCACGAAAGCATGGCGCCTGGTTGGTCGACTTTGTGTGAGTCTATGGAAACGACGCACAGCTCCCGACGGCTACCCGTCAATCCGAAAAACGACATGGCATGAGGTCGACAACACAACAGACATCGTGCATGCGACGCGTGGGGGCGGTACAATGTAGGTGTGTAATAAGTGTTCGTACAGGCTAAGCTCTACTCCAGTTCGGCGGCATCCGGCTCGACCTCGACAGGCTCAACAATCGAGCGAGCCGGCTGCCATACCATGACAATGTTGTCTTCAGCAGCTGTCGCCACCTTCCAGGGGTCCTGAGGACTCCATGTCAGGTCCGTCGGCCTGCTAGTGTGACCGCCGTGCACAAACAGCAATTCGGCCGGGCCGTCCTCAGCATCTTCGGCCGTCTGCTCTTCGCCAATACGGCTCAGGTCCCACACATTGACTCGGCGGTCAGCGGAGGCGGAGCAAAGAACCGTCTCGTGATGCGGCGACCATGCCAGCTGCAGCACTTCATCTTTATGGGCCTCGAGTGAATGCAAGTGCACACTCAGATTACGCAGATCCCATAGGCCAACTGTCTTGTCGCTGGAGGCTGTCGCAATGATATATTCACTCGCTGGACTGAAGGCCACGGCGTTGACCTCACCCTGGTGTGCCTCGACGCGGTACTTCGGCGCCTCACCCGAATCACGCGTGTCCCAGAGCAGCATCTGGCGGTCGTCACCAACAGACGCAAATAGGTGCTCATGGTGGTTGTGCCAGGCAACATCTTCCACGATAGCCGAATGACCACGATACGTCCGGACTGGATCGAGGGTTTTAGTCTCTTTTTGGTATGCGTTGATGTCCCTAGACGTTAGCGATGTGTACGAACCAATGGCACACAGTCGTATCTTCGGACGCACACAAAATGTGGCCCTGGCGAATAGGGTTCCAGGAGAGACCATAGCCCTCCCGAGTCTGTCCTCGTAGCACGATATCCGGACGGCACTTGCCATCGCTGTCCGGCTGGTTGCTGTGCTTGGTACGATCAAACACATATGAAAGGCCACTGACAGCACGAGTAGCAATCAGGTCACAGTTCTGAGGGCAATACCGCGCGCGATTGACTTCGCCCTCGTGGTTGATGCGCTGTGTCACCTGGACACGCGTCGATGCCGACGAGTACGAGCCAATTTCTGGTATAAGTCTAGTGCCACATACCTCCTTTTTCTTCATCGTAGTCCTTTATATCCAGCTTTGCCTCAAGGCCCTCGCCCTCGGTGTTGGGCAGATTCACGGTAGCAATCTGCAGGTAGTTGTTGTCCTGACCAGAGGTGTGTGTGCCTAGGAGGAAACGATGCCGCGTAAATCCCTTATCAGCAAATACCTCCTTGTCAGGCATCCATTGCATTGTGAGGGTGGGCCATTCGAGAGCATGCGTGATCACCATGTCATACAGGAACGGCGAGTTTTTCTTCCATACTGCCAGTTAGCGCGCGTATCCCGGTAGCGTACTTTTGTACTCCTTGTATAATTAGATCGTGGTATACATACCTCATTCGAGATAATGGCCATATTGGCCGAGGCCTCGTCTTCGGCGATCTCCACGTTCGACATGGCAGAAATGAGCGCGGTATGAGACGCGTGCCGGGAGCGTGTCGATTCGTGCACGTGGCACCACGTGCACGAATGACGATCTTCCAACGCACTGGCCTCTGTATGCCATCCTGGGGCCGATGGCGGCTGGCTCATCGAGAGATGACCCCAAGGCGTCCTTCCAGGTCCTGCGGCCGATATGTGTGAGTCTACTCCAGCTTTCAAAAGGAGCATTGGATGCTCCTGAGCTGCTCGGCACGCTCCAAGACCTGTATCATCAACTGAAGGCCCTCCCCGGTCCGTTCTCCCCCGCACTTGTGCACTATATATTCTATCCTCTATCTCAGCTTCTTCGAGTACGAGATACAGGCCTGTTTGCCTTAACAGATCGTGTGCGTGAGCTTGTGTTTCGTATTTTGGCAGTGCTGGCCCGCGACTGGTGGTCAGTATGGACGTGGAGCCATGTGCAACAGCACGCGCCCCAGGCGACACGCCTCGAGCAGTCCGCCGATTGGAGGGTCTGGGAGCAGCTTTTATTCCTTGGAGTTATGGCTCTCAGTGGCGGCCTACATATCCCGGCCTATCCCAACAGTGATGAAACACGGTTGGCTATTTTTGACTTTCTTGTCGCCCTATTACGGCCGCGCCAAACAGAGCCTGCAGGAGCGAGCCGGGATGTCGAATGGGAGTGGGATGGCGTGTCTGATCTACCCTTGCTGGGTGAAGAGGAAGACAACCAGCAAATATACCCCGCCCCACAGCATACAGCTGCCGCCCGAGAAAGCAATGCCTGCACGGGTGCCCTGGCCCACCTGCTCAAAATGGCCATGGACACGGTAAGGCTACCCTCAAATCCGGTCCACCTCCGTCTTTCTGCGCTGGAGGTGGCGGGTATCGTGGCGTTGACATGGATGGCAGGTTGCGGGAATGTGCTAGAGGGAGTCCCACAAAACGTGTCATCACTTCGCACCGTGCCGATGGATGCAGCGACAATGGCAGGCGCGGAGCGCCTGCGTCCCATTCTACCAGGTCTCTCTAGCTCGCTGGTCAGGGTGATTACCGGTGCCACTTCATCGACCATCGTTGCGCATGCCCTCTCGCTGCTCTCGGCCATATGGACTATCTGCTTGCATGACGAGTGCACTGCGTCGATGCGTGTGGCCCCATCAGAGGATGCATCGTTGCCAAGCTGTCTCGAAGACTTTTCTTTGTTGAGCTTGTCCTCGATGGACTCCGAAACCCCCGCCCAGCCTGACTCGGATCCTGACACCGATACGGCCAGCGAACTGGGGTCCACCAGCACGTCGATCACCTCCGTGGACGAGGGACAGGGACTATCGTGGCTTGAGCAGACAATTCAGCCTGTGCGCGTAGCGATTGTGGCCATCGCCCACGTCGTGGAGTGTGAAGAAGCCAATGTGCAATGCGCTCTGGCTCTGTGGTCGCATGCGCTGCTTGCATGTTCTTGGCATACACTTTCATGGGCAGACAAGGGGGCGAACGATGGTGTTCGCCGCATTCTCATCGAGACGCTGGTCGATTTGGCGCATCACCGGCACGTCGATCGCGTCGTGGACACCGCCCGTGCCTGCCTTCAGGAGGTGGGTGTGCGAGCCTTGCCCAGCCTGCAAGCCGTGATGGAAGAGTCGCTGAACACGCTCCCTGCCATGATTCGTCAAGTCCGAGACAACGCAGTGCAGAGATGGGCCTATCGAATGGCGACGTGTGCGTCTGTGCTATCCAAGGAGCTGTGCTCAGAGCAACTGCAAGCGCCTCAGACCGCCCTATTGTACCTCCTATCTTCAGAAGGAGATGTCGAGCAGTGGGCCGAGGCATGGGCACAAGCTGTTGGAGCGCATGAAGGCGCGCCCATTAGCATGGCTGATACAATGCCGCATATCCAGCCTTGCCTGACACAGTTGGAGGCGTCCTCCATGGTGGCTATCGGTCAGATGTGGTGCGACGTAGGTCAGTCGCTCGAGCAGCTTTTGTATCAAGCTGTGCGGCGAGGAAGTACACCCCGGTTTAAGGAAGCCTTTGCCGTCCCTCTGCACATGTTCCGCTTGGCTGCGACGTTCCGAGCTGACGCGCAGTGGTCGAACTCGCTCGCGCATATGTGGGCGACGCATGAGCTGCTCCTCGGAGCCAGTGCAACCTGGACACGGGCGGATGTGGGGGCATGGGCCACGCAGCCGGCAGCTCGGCCGTTGCGCAAGACGATGCATTCACTCGCGCGCCATATCATCCTGGAAATACAGAGCGTGTGGCAATGGGAAGCAGAACCATCGCCTGACCATGTGCCGACGGACCAAAATGTGGTGCACAAAGACCACAGCGGGGAAGAAACCCAGCTCGTGCGTGGGCTGCCGCCGGCCCAAGATCCGCCCCTGGGCGTGGAAGCCGGCCCGGCTTTGGATGTGTCCTTTGTAAGGCATGCCAGGCTGGATGGACCGCGCTCAGCACCAGGCTCGGCACAATTGGAGCATCGACGCCTAGCCCTGCGCGACCAGTGCGATGCCTTCTTGCTGCTGATCCTAGGATCCGCTGCGTCTATGCTGGGCGTGTCTTGCCGTCCGCTGTTGCTCCACATCCTATACCCGGTCCTAAGCGCGCTGGGTCGACACGACGACACGGTGCGCCAGGCTGCACAGTACGCATTGGAGCGATTGTCAGATGCCTGTGCCTATCCTACTGTTCAGAGCTGTGTGCTACATCATACCGACTACATCCTGGGCGCAGCAAGTCACCGCCTTGTAGCGGGTCTGCGCATGGAACTGCAAGCAGGACTTGCCCTCACGTCCCTGCAGCCACAGCGCACCCCTGGTGCCTTGCTGAGCGCGCGGGCAGCGCCATGGGTGCTGGTCCAGGTGATTCAGATGCTTGGTGTGGAGGCGGTGCCTCTCGTCGAAGATTCGATTGATGAGGTCCTTGCGGCTCTGGACCACTTCCACGGGCACGACGATGTGTGCGATGGTTTGCTCGCTGTGCTCGCTAAACTGGTACATGTGCTAGTACCACCTAGCCCAAGTGCGAAACCTACGATCGAGCCGCCCGGCACCTCGGAGCTGGATGCCTTTGAAGCATGGCTCGCAGGCAAAGACGAGATGACCCCAGGCGAAGCAGCGGCCGAACCCGGCGACGAGGATCCCAATCCCGAGCCGGACCGGCTACAAAGAATCGTGGCGCAGATCCTGGAGCGCTGTGTGCCGTTCATGAGTCATGCAAGTGCGCAGATCCGTGCTCGTGCGCTCAACATGCTGGCCGATGGAATCTACCTGTTGGCGCCCCAAGGATGCTCGGCGGAGCTGTACCCCGTGCTGGAACGCGCGTGGCCCTTGATACTCGCGCGGCTGGGTAAGAGTGCGTCGACGATGGGCAGGACGACCGAGTCAGACCATCATGTATGGTGCCAGGCCACTGCCCTGGTAGGCGTGTTGGGCGAGCATGTCCCGGATGTGTACGGAAAGAAAATCGTTCAAGATGCCTGGCCGCGGTGGCAAGGGTTGCTGACGGCCCTGCAGGAGGTGCGCAGGCAGCCGCCGGCCCGTCTCGAGAGCGGCCGCTCGGACACACCGGCGAGGCCGACTACCAAGCGCGCTGTGCGTCTCCTGGACGTGCATGGGTCGTTGGCCGACCTGATGAGGGCCGTGATGGAGGCGCTCACGCGCCTGATCTTGGCCGCTGGGGAGCGAGTGGAGAGTGCCGCCATTTGGGCCCTGCTGACGTATCCCTTGTTCCTCGACACACTCGACGAGCGCCAGCCGTGTGCGATCCGCAGGAGAGGCGTGGCGCTGTATGCGAGTTTGGCCCGTGCAGACGCCATGGCGACGTGGATGGCGCTGCGTGCTGCGGTCGGTGCGAGTCCACCGTGGGAGCTGCAGAGTGACTTGTCATTATCGTCGGACGTGTCTATGTGCTTTACATGGTAAACAAAAACCGCAGGTCGTCTACGCTGAGGCGGCCCATTGCGGCGTCGTCGTTGCCGATGGCTGCATCAATCATGGCGCCTGTGTGAGTAGAAAGCACGTACTCTTCTTGTTTTGTAGCTCAATAATGCGGCTCTCGATGCTGTTCTCAATAACCATGCGTTTCACTGCGTGAGTCATCGCCACGTACCCACGATAGGCCGGTGCTGGCCCAGTCGGTGAATCCGGTCCATCGCCTGCACCTCCACCGCTGGGTTCCACCAGGGATCCATGAGATAGACGCGCGAGGCTTCGGTGAGATTCAGGGCGACACCCCCGGCTTTGAGCGAGACAAGAAACACACTCACGCCGGGATGCTCCATGAAGTGCCGGATCGTGCGATCGCGCGCCTCAGGTGTCATATTGCCCTCGAGGCGGCAGATGCGAAAGCCGGCGCGCTGCAGGCGAAAGGCGATCAGGTCGAGGAAGTTGACAAACTGGCTGAACACCAGGCTCTTGATAGAGCGGTCCGGCAGCTCACGCAGCTTGGTCAGTTCTTCGACCAGAGCCTCGATCTTGGTGCTTGAGCGCCAGCGCGATAGGTCCAAGCGCGCGAGGATGCCCTGCCGCTTCGGGTTCCCCGGCGTCGGGACGGGGCACGGCGGCTCCAGGGCCGGCGCATCTAGGTCGATGGACAAGGAGGCGTGGCAGTAGGGGCAGTCGGGGGAGACATCGTCGCGCCGCAGCTCTGCGTCAACGTCGCCCTCGAGGCTGTCCAGGTACTGCCGGATACACGCGCGGCAGAAGACATGCCGGCAGCGCGATGAAATCGCATCCTCCGCTTCTTCAAGGCATAGCTTGCACACATGGACTTCATCCACATCGCCGAGCAGATCCACATTAGAGCGGGTGTGGGAGCGCAGCACCAGGTCAGGGTGGTTCGACATCTGGCGCATGCGCGTAAGCAGGGTGAAAATGTTGCTGTAGTTGTTCAGCACGGTGCCCTGGTCAAGGAACGTGCTGAACTTGCGCGTTGTGGACGTGTAGAGACTGTGGTACAGATCCTCCTCCTCGGGGCTGAACAGGTCGCGGCGCACCTCGATGGTGCGTGGCGGTAGGCCCATATCGTCGGCCCGCTCGAGCTTTGTGCGCCGGAGCATGATGCAATCGAGCAGGAGGCGCAAGCGCACAAACGCTTCTTCGCCCTCGCCCTCCTCGAAGCCGTCGCGCTGAATGGGCCGAAGGATCATAAAGTTCCAAAAGCTCAGGTGGACCATGGGCTTGTGGCCACAGTGCACACACATACTGTTGTTGTGGAACGACCACGTCGCGGACTTGCATGGACACTGTCGGCAGTAGTAGTACGCAAAGGGATCACCACCCAGGAAGCGGATCATCGAGTACAGCTCGCCGACACGATTCTGGAGGGGGGTGCCGCTGAGGCACCACTTGTAGTCGCTGCGCAGGGCAAATGCACTGCGTGCCGTGTTGGACGTGCGCTCCTTGATGTGGTGGGCCTCGTCGAGGATAATGCGGCGCCACGAGATCCCATGCAGCGGGCTCGGCTCGTGTACACGCCGTCCACGGCGCGTGACACCGTGCTTTTCGCGCCGGAATGTACTTTCCAGGACCGCATACGAGGTAAGCACCACATCCATCGAGGCCAGTTCCGTCGCATTGCTCGTGCGCTGCGCACCGTGCCACACAGTCACGTTCATACTCGGCGCGAACTTTTCGACCTCGTGGCGCCATTGGAGAATCGCCACGGTCGGTGCAACGACTAGCGTGGGGCGCTTTGGATCGGATACGAGCAGGCTGATCATCTGCAGGGTCTTGCCCATACCCATCTCGTCCGCCAGAAGCCCGCCGCGCCACAGGCTCTTCTCCTGCGACTGTAGCCACTGCAGGCCCTCGAGCTGGAACGGCAGCAGCGTCGCCGTGATGCCTTCAGGCTGCTCCGCCTTGGGCATCGCGCTACCACGCCGCCGCCGCATGCTGGCGAGCGCCTCCCAAACCCCCTCAAGCTCGGGATGCATGGCATTCAGCGTGGCCACAGCTTTCTGAAACTGATGTAAGTAGGGAAACATACACGCGTGAGCTTGGGCCGCGGCGCCCTGCGCCGCATTTTGACACGATCGGCGAGTGGTTCGTCACTGTCCGTGTCCGTCTCGGAGAGCGCGCGCTTCGGAGCGGGCCGTGCGAGGTCCTCCCAGGGCTCCTGCTTTTCTTGCATCAGCGCGACCCAGGGCTCTGGCGTTTCCTTCACATCAGACATCTCCGACTCGGCATCAGATGGGTCATAGGCCGACTCATCGTCCTTGCCCTCCGAGTCGGTCGCGTCCGACTCCTCTTTATACACGACACGCGCCGCCCGTCGACGCATGGTAAAAGACAAGGCACGTGATAATTATGGGCCCTACGTTAACGACTCAAGTCCGTGGTCAGCAGCGCGGACCACCCCGTGCGCCCGCTGGATCCACGCGGACGGTGGGCCGACCGGCCATACTGCCCGGAACGGGCGCTAGACGCATACCCGTGGTGTCGGGGCGCAGATACATCGCCGGGAAGCGACGCTGGCGAGGCAGGAGAGGCACCCGTGCGGAAGGGTTTTTTCTTGGGTGTCGGCGGCTTAAACGGCATATCCATCGGGTCGCGGCCGATGGACGAAGTCCCTGTCGCCGCTTGAGGGAAGGGTGAATCGCTAAACTGGTGGGCAGGCGGGATGCCCAGCTTCGACAGCGGCGTCAGCGATATCGTCGGCGCAATGCGCGGCTGCGAAGCATCCACAGGACTAGACATGGAGCTGCCTGGCGCCCCGTACGCCTCCATCGGCTGGTTGGGGTCAGGGTATGCGGACGGGGCCGCTGCCGGATAGGCATGGGGGGCACGCCCGTACGCGTCCCATCCATACTGGCCCTGCGCATACTGACCCTGCGCATACGAAGCTTGCACATCCTGCGGCGCATAGCCGTACTGCGCATAGTCCCCATAGCCCTGCGGCGCGTAGCCCTGCTGCGCATAGCCCTGCTGCGCATAGCCCTGCTGCGCGTAGCCTTGCGGCGCGAAGTCCTGTGGCGCATAGCCCTGCGGTGCGTAACTCTGGTCAACATAACCCTGCGGCGCGTATCCAGGCTGTGTGTATCCCTGGGCCGCATAGTCAGGCTGTGCATAGGCTTGAGAGTACCCTGTGTGCTCTAAGCCCTGTGCATAGACCGGGTCGTAGCCGGAGTAGCCTTGGTCCACTGGCGACGAGAGTTCGTTGTGGCCGGGAGCCGCATACGTCGCGTCGTAGCCGCCCTCCGCCTGAGTTGAGGCACCTCGTACCTCATCGTCAGAGGGGTGGAGCGCCGCTCCAGATGGCACGTCCTCGGCGCGGCTCGCCTCAGTCTCGTAAAGAGGACGCGTACCGCCAAATTCGTCATAAAACTCCTGGCCATCGTTGGGAGGTGGCCTCAGTGAGATGTGCTGTCGATGTGTCTGTTCCCGGTCGTACTGTTCGTACTGCGCTGCCTGCCGCCGTCGGGCCTGTTCGAGATGCTGCGCCAGCTCCGCATCGGGCTGGCGGGCCGGAGAGGTCGGCACGGTTGTTGACTGGGCGGCACGCAGAGACGTGTGGCCTAGATGCGACTTGGGCGGCACGGCCGGCGGCACATCTTCAGCCGGCGGTGCGGGCGCTGCGACGTCTGCTGGCGGTTCGGGCAAGCGGGCCTTGCCATGGTACGACTTTTCCAGCTGCTCGAGACTTAGCAGACTCGTGTCAATCGGTTCCGACTCGGACAGAAGGTACGAGTCGGACGGCAGCAGCAGCTTGCTGAAGCGCGCATCGGCCGGCTGCGACTCATGCTTTTCCCAGTCGGCCAGCAGAGACGAGGCCCCCGCAGCAGGCGCATCCTCCTCTGGCACTTCCTCTGGCACCTCCTTGGGTGCCTCGGGCGCCTTGGCAGGCTCTGGGGAGCTGCCGGCATCGCGCCACACAAAGGCCGGTACAAATTGGCGGCGCTTCTTCAAAAATGCCTGGAACTCCTCTTGCGACGGGCCCTCGACCTTGTGCAGCCGCGATCGCAGCCAGTCAGGCGAGTCCCAACGCACGCCCTTGCCAGCGAAAAGCTCGCTGGGACGGGGCGGGTCGTTCATGCCCGGTGTGTCAGGCAGCGGTGTGTCCGAGGGAATCTCTTCGAGTGATACACCCAACGTTGACGCGCGGTGCACCGCACGGCCATAATCCTTCTCGTCCATCGCATGCATAAAGTGATTCAGCATCACGGGGTCGTATACACCCTTACCACGAAGTGCAGGTGCAGGCCTCAGCTCGTCCACATCCTGAACGCTAGGCTCAGCCACAGCAGAGCTGTCCTCGACGGGAAGTGATGTATCCGCAAGTGTCTCGCCCTCCTCCGGCACGGTCTGCAAGAAATTTGGCTCGGGCTCAGTGGCTGGCTTCAAGTCCGTCGCATAGCGACGCGACGGCTGCTCAAAATCCCAATCGATATCATCCACTTCACTAGGTGCGACGACAGGCTCAGTCGTGAGCTTGGACGATGGCCATGTACCATCCACCGCAGTGCGCGCACCCATCACGGGCTCGGTCGACGCGTGCCAGTGCGGCAGCTGATGCTCCGACTCGAAGAAGCGTGTCTGTGCTGATGGCAGGAACGGCGTGTTCGCGAGGTTCCATGGCAGAGGCCCATGGCTCGCGGACGTATCGGCCGGTGTATCGGGCAGAGGCGCCTCGTCGTTCCTGACCACAGGCCATACAGGCGCTTGCCATGGGACCATGTCGGCTACCGAGTCGCGCTTCGGCTCTGAGGCATGGTCCGGTACAACAGCGTTGTCAGACACCACGGGAGCAAGTGGCACGGTTGGCTGCGAAGCAGTAGGCTCCGGCTCCAGGGCGCGTTCTGGTACAACAGCGCTGTCAGATACCACGGGAGCAAGTGGCACAGTTGGCTGCGACGCAGCAGGTTCCGGCTCCGAGACACGTTCCGGTACAACGGCATGGTCAGGTATCACAGAAGCCAGCGGCGCAGTTGGCTGTGGCACGGTTGGCGCTGGCGCAGAAGGCTCCAACTCGGGCTCACGCGCAGGGGACGCTGCCATGTAGGACCACGGGAGACCCGCGTTTATGACAGGCGGCGCCGAGACCATGGCCGCAGGCTCCTCAGCGACAGGCAGCGGCGCCGGCTGGGATACGGGCTCTGAGACAAGCATCGAATCCCGCGGCTTTTCAGGCGGGGCAGGCGCGACGTTGTCATTGGGACGCTCATCACCTGGTGTCTCCGCATCGCGTGGGGATAGAGAGTCCTTCTTTCGCAAAAATGCAGGAAGCGCTGTCGAGGGGAGTAGCGTACCACCCAACACATTGCTCAGACGCTTCATGACGGGCTGACTCGCGTCGTCCGTAGGTTCCGAGGCCGGTGGCTCCTCCGTCGTCGGCAATGCAGAAACAGGCACCTCTGGCACGCCCACAGGCGCTGCCACATCGGCCGCCTCAGGCTCCGACGTCTGCGGCAGCTTAGACGGCAAAGCAGGCAACAGGGCCTCGGCCGGCGCCACTGGCTCGTCCTTGATGGGCACATCAGGCACCTGGCCCAAGACGGGGGGCAGCTGAGGCAGCCTATTCTCGCTCAAGTATGGCAAGGGGCTCATCCATGGCGAGGAGCCCACACTCGGCGCGTGGAATGATACTGGCTTCGACACTGGTGTCGGCACAGACTGCACCAAGGGCGACTGGGAAGTACCTGATTCGCGGGGCTTGATCGGCATAGTAGCCTCATTGGCCGATACAAGCTCTGCCGTCGACTCTGCTAGAGGAGCATCGGTCGTGGTAGGCACACCCGAATCCGCATCCTGCTCAGCTGCACCGACGCTGGACACGGGCTCCGTGGCCGAAACAGTCTCGGGCACACCGCGCTCCGTGATGGGTTCGGCTGTCGCACTCTGGGTCGCATCGCTGGCTGGTGCAGCGGGCGCCTTTGCCCCCACAGGGGCAGTCACCAGCTCTTGCACAGGTTCCGTGTGCTCCTTTGTCTCAGGAACGGATTCTGAGGTGGAGGTCATATCCCGGGCAGGCACTTTGTCAGTCAGAGGCTCCGGCATAGGTTCAGTAGTAAGAACAGGTGCAGATGCCAACATTGGCTCACGGTTGCGCTCCATGATAGGCTCAGTGACCGGCTCCACGGGCTGGTGCTCCGGCTTAGCCTCAGCCTCGGGCACTTCGTCCAGCTTGTCTTCCTGGCCCGATAGCTCGTCCTTAGTTGGAGGGGCAATATCCCCCGTAGCGCCAACCATGCCAGTAGCATCGTCGGCGGTTAAAGATGCTGTCGTCAATGGCGGCACATTCGACGGCTCAGACACGGGCTCCACAGGCAGAGCACGGTCCCTAGCTTCTTCCTTTGCTTGCTCCACTGTCGGAGCAGCACCCACAGGGACCGTCTCCATGGCGGTTTTCGCGCCGGGTGCTGTCTTGGAGGAAAGAGATGGGGGCTCCACAGGCACATTGTTCGAGGTCGTAGCGGCCAAGTTGTGTACTTTGGGCTCCTCCATTGACTGCAGCCCAGACTCGGAGACAGGTGCATCCTCAGGCACTATCTCCGACGAGGTCATGAGCGGGCGCATGCGCGGTGGCACCGGTGGCTTATCTCCGGCGGGAAGTGGAGTAGGAGAGGCCACATTGTCTTCGGTGTTCTGAGCAGGCTCCGTCTCGATCTTAGACTCCTCGATCGTAGGTCCCGTCTCGAGCTTAGGCTCTTCAATCGTAGGTTCCGTCTCGATCTTGGACGCCGTTTCAGGTTTGGACTCCGTCTCAAGTTTGGGCTCTTCGGTCTTGGCCTCTTCGAGTTTGGGCTCCGTCTCGAGCTTGGGCTCTTCGGTCTTGGTCTCTTCGGTCTTGGTCTCTTCGATCTTGGGCTCCTCGAGCTTGGGCTCTTCGGTCTTGGCCTCTTCGAACTTGGGCTCCTCGAGCTTGGGCTCTTCGGTCTTGGCCTCTTCGAGCTTGGGCTCCGTCTCTAATTGGGGCACCGTCTCGAGTTTGGGTTCCGTCTCGAGCTTAGGCTCTTCGATCTTGGTCTCTTCGAGCTTGGGCTCCGTCTCGAGCTTGGGCTCCGTCTCGAGCTTGGGCTCCGTCTCGAGCTTGGGCTCCGTCTCGAGCTTGGGCTCCGTCTCGAGCTTGGGCTCCGTCTCGAGCTTGGGCTCAGGCGTCCTGTCGCGTTGGCCCACGAGCATAGCAATACCAGCACTGCTTGCGCTAGAGATGGCTTCACTCAGCGATCCAAGCAAGGTGGACTTAGACTCCGGCTGCGGTTCAGCTGTGACATCGTCAGATGTCAGCTTGGTAGACGCCATCGTGTCCGATGGTCCCGGAGCAGGCTGAGGCAAAAGAGCGGGCTTCTCTGGCGGGGTCGGCGCAGAAAGCACACTTTGTGTCGTCTCTTCGCTCAGATCAGACACGGTCTCCTGGATAGCTGGCTCGGCACGATCCGAGGATTGGTCCAGCTTCGGTGCGGACGGCATTAAAGCAGACTGACCCGTGTGACCAAAATCTGAGGGAACCGACCCTGGCATGGCGCGCTTCTCTTGTGACGACTGAATCGGGGCCTTCTCGATGGGGTCATACCAAGGGACCTCCGTGTCATGCCCTTCCACCGACGTCGCCGCGTCAAGGAACTCGTCGGCGTCGTACATCACCGTCGGTGCATGCGACGCGTGTGTTCCGTCAATACTCGCGTCCTCGTACTCCAAGGCAGCGTCAGATTCAAGGTCAGAATGGCCCTGTTCCGGACGCTGAATCACAGTAGTAGTGGACTCATCAGCAGCGCCGCTCTTGCTATCTTTCGAGCCGATAAGATATGACAGGGGATTTTTGAGCGGCGAGAAGCCCGCGAGACCACTCGTCTCAGATTGCACTGAGTCCTTTACTGGACTTGCGCCGATTTTGTCTTTAGCAAGTACCGCAGGTGCATCGTGTTCCTGCAGCTCAGCGGTCGACGACTGAAGCTTAAGAATGCGCTTGCTAGGCTCAAGCGCTAGCGTTTCCATGAGATACGGAGGAAGATGTGTGCTCGTAGGCGACAGCTCCGACTTAAGGGGACGCGGGGGCGACGTCGGAGGGCTGAACGAGGACAGATTAAGTCCGGCCCCCGAAATGGACGGTGCAAGCCCCCCGGCCGATGGCACATACGGTGACGATCGGCTCAGCTCACTGTACACGGGGCTTGTCACTGCACGCTGCGAAGTAGCAGGGGGAGTGGCGGGAACGCTAGACGCAGGGATCCGGGGCAAAAGCACCACATGACCGGGCTTCTCGTCCTTTATGGAGTTTTCATCGCCTGGTATTCCCTGGAATTTCTCAGATGCGAGGTTGGGAAACCGTTCAGGGTCAATGACAGGCATGGGAGGAATCGGATCATCCTCGCGAGCTTTGCCCTTACCTTTGTCGACTTGCTTTGGCGTCAGCGATCCTGAGTCCTTCGAGCGGAATGGACGAAGAGACATAGAGCTGGCGTTCATAGGAAAACCAAAACTATTGGGCGTTCCCGGCGCTTGGGCCTTCGGTGTGCCCGACGTTGCAGACTGTTCAGGCCCAGTCACCTCGGCACTCTCCAATTTCGGCGTGCTGGGGGGCAACGTGTCATTGCCCGTGCGTACGCGCCGAAAGCCAAATGACGACTTATTGCCAAGAGATTTGTTGCTTGGCATACGCAGTTTGCGGCGCAAGTCAAAAGAGTGGGAACGCGCATGAGACGAGGTGGACTCCGGCACAGATGGTGCGAGGGAGGCAGCAGTACGATTCGTACCAGGTGTAGACGGCGCTGAGGCGGTCACCGCCAAAGGAGTAGGCGTCTTCGCGCTGCTAAGGTCAGCCTGCGTAGCGGCTGCGTTGGAAGTAAGAGACGAGGGGGGTTCACGTTTGTCAGTGACTTGAGTGGCAGACTGATCGGCACCAGACTTTGCAGCATTGGCTCTGTCTGACGACGTCAGCTTACCCAGCTTTTTCTTGCCGAGCAGCGGCATGCTGGACCGGCACCTCAGCAAGGGATGGGAGGAAGATGACGCGCCCTCTGAGTGACGCGTTACGCCGCGCGAATCCCGCGGTGACGGGAATGTTCGTCAGGGTATGTGGTGACTAATAATAGATGCGTGTATGCATGCCTAAGTGGCGCGACGGGTCACGTGTAGCCACGTGGCCTGTCTGAGAAATCGCCGTCGTGTCGCAGTAGCATTGTCGCACACCCAGAAGATGGCCGCGCAGCAGCCTGTCTTTGTCGTGAACACTGGACCTGAACGTCAGTCTGGACGCAAGGCTCAAGTATCGAATATCACTGCTTCCAAAACGGTCGCAGATGTGATTCGCACTTGCTTGGGTCCCAAGGCCATGCTGAAAATGATCCTCGATCCTATGGGAGGCATTCTTCTTACCAACGATGGGCACGCCATCCTCCGCGAGATCGAAGTTGCACACCCAGCTGCAAAGAGCATGATCGAGCTTAGCCGCGCGCAGGACGAAGAGGTTGGTGACGGGACAACCAGCGTCATCATTCTCGCGGGAGAGGTCCTGGCTCACTCGTTGCCGCTGCTCGAACGCAATATGCACCCTGTGGTGATCATTTCCGCTTACAAAAAGGCGCTCACACGCGCTCTTCAAATCATTGACTCGATTTCTGTGCCGGTCAATGTTGATAATGATGAAGAGATGCTGGCCCTGATCAAGACTTCGATTGGTACCAAATTCGTGTCGCGCTGGTCCGATCTTATGTGCCGTCTTGCCCTCAAGGCTGTTCGCACAGTGGCCAGCGTTGACACTACGGTACCCCGCTCGGCAGATCCCAAGTCTTCGCCGGCGGTAACGGTGGACCTCAAGCGTTACGCCCGCGTTGAAAAGGTGCCTGGTGGAGAAATTGAGGACAGCCGCGTTCTAGACGGTGTGATGCTCAACAAGGACGTAACACATCCGAAAATGCGCCGCCGCATCGAAAGCCCGCGCATTATTCTGCTTGATTGCTCCCTGGAATACAAGAAGGGCGAATCCCAGACGAATATCGAAATCACGCGCGAAGAAGATTGGAGTCGTATCCTCGAGATCGAGGAAGAGCAGGTGAAGCAAATGTGTGACAAGATTCTTCAATTGAAGCCGGACCTTGTGTTTACCGAGAAGGGTGTCTCGGATCTCGCGCAGCACTTTTTGATGAAGGCGAATGTGACCTGCATTCGTCGAGTTCGCAAGTCGGACAACAATCGCATTGCGCGTGCTACGGGCGCTCAAATTGTGAACCGGGTGGACGACCTCCGCGAAAGCGATGTCGGAACTCGCTGTGGCCTTTTCCATGTTGAAAAGATGGGAGACGAGTAAGTGTGTATTGCTAATCTCTAGCTACTTCACTTTCCTGGACCGGTGCAAGGAGAACAAGGCCTGCACAATTCTCTTGCGTGGTCCTTCGAAAGATATTCTCAACGAGATTGACCGCAACTTGGCAGATGCCATGTCCGTCGCCCGCAATATTGTGTTCCATCCAATGCTTGCGCCGGGCGGCGGTGCCACGGAAATGGCCATCTCTGTGGGTCTGGCCCATTTTGCTGGCAAGTCTATGGAGGGCGTCGAAGTGGCAGCCGTGCATGCCGTCGCAGACGCCATGGAAGTAATTCCTCGCACACTCATTCAGAACTGCGGTGGCAACCCAATCAAGACGTTGACACAGCTGCGTGCCCGTCACGCAAATGGAGAATATACGTATGGTGTGGACGGAAACACCGGCCGTATCGTTGAAATGAAACAATATGGCCTCTTTGAGTCTGCCTCTGTGAAGATCCAGATTCTTAAAACAGCCATTGAGGTATGTCCCTGCTGTCTGACCTCCAGTCGGCCTCCCTTCTTCTCCGTGTGGATGATGTTGTCTCCGCGAAACGTGTGGACCAGAGCATGAATGCAGCGCCCCAGGCACAGAACATGGCTATGGCGGGCGGCGACGAAGGCATGGATATGGGTATGGCATAACTTTCCTCCGAACACCTGCCATTCCGCTCATATGCAATAGATTGGGCGCAATACCCTGCAGGTATAAGGTAGCTAGAATGTCTTCATTTCACAAGTATGAAAAGAGGGTGCTATAGTAACCAAGAAAACCGAGCCAAATAATACAGCAAAGTGTGACCATAGACAACGGATGACCAGCGAGTGTTCCAGAGTTGAGATGGGAATGAGCGTCAGAAGATACAGGCGTGTCCGTAATGTTGCTACTAATAGGGAAAAGGGGGGAATCGCCGGGATGCCAGCCCGAAATTAGATCGGTGTCAAACAAAGCAGATACACCCTCATCACTTCCGAAAACTTCGACGTCGTGCGACCAATTGCCAGCCACAATCAACCGGGGTTGGAAAGGACCCGAGAGGTGATGCTTCCAATTGGGAACATCGGAAAAATTGCCCGGGTAGCCAGAGACATCTAGATTCGTGCCGCCCAAGAGATTGATGTACTTCCAGAATGCCAAATTGCGCTGAACTCTCTGAGTGCCGCCTTGAAGTAAGGCCATGCACTCCTGGTCGCCATTATTTTCAACATCCAGCAGACCAGCGAGGTTTACCACGTCGCGAGACGCATAGTTTCGGAAATACCTCGTAGGCTCATGACCCGCGTAGGGTTTGATATCAAACTTGTCGAATCCATAACGCCATGTATTGTAAAGAGAGCAATGAGCTTTGTCAACCATAGAAGTGTTCGTGATAGGGCGGTCGTGCGTATAATATACATTGGAGCTTGGATCACCCACTAAAAATCGAACATGAACATTGGGTAAACTAGGAAGGACGGCTGCCAGACGCGCCGAAACTTGCGCACCTCCACTGTGGCCAGCCACAGTGATATTCTGGATCTGCGGGAAACGAGACTTGTCAGAAAAGTACCGGATAAGATTGTCCATGACTTCGTAGGATGAAACGCTTACGCCTTTGGGGTGGTTGGACTGCTCGCCAGCTTGCCAGACATTGATATCGCCCCAGGCAAGTTGTGAACTAGTATATTCTCCTTTATTAAGATTCGTTGAATAGAACAAGGGCGCGGCAATGACAACGTTTGGATCCACATTAGGGTTACCAGCCTGGATTTGTGCCATAACAGTGGCATTCATGACAGACCAGTAGTTGTCTGCGTCGCGGAGACTACCATGGATGACAATAATGGCATGCTTTGATTGCCTCCGATTCACAGACCGTGTCAGATACGTCGCCATCTGTGCGCCATCGCGGATGGGAAGAGAAGCCAGATAAGAACCAGGGGGATCCGCTCTAGGACTATGATTCTGCGACACGTCAGACAAACGAAATATGTACCTGACCCTCTTGAGTGCCGGAGGCCCGCGATGAGGCAGCTTTTTGATAAGCCTCTCGTCGGTGCTGTACGCGCAGTCCATTAGCTAAAATAGCACATGTGAGCAGCAACAGCAACCAGGTCAACTGTCTCATGAAGGCCTCCCCTAGACACTAACACAACCACCGCGTAAGGGTTGATATGAATGGATTGTCGATCCTCGCGCCAAGACAGGTCCACAGCCACAAAGAAAGCTAGCTCTCCAGGGCGGTAAGAAAAAATGCAGACAACATAAAAACACCATTGGCTACACGGCGGAGAATGCCAAACTATCAGCATAGCAAGTCGAACATTATATAAGCGATAAGGAAGTCAAAAGAGCAGCCGGCACCCTTTGGTCGTGCAACGAACGTGCCAGGATCGACAAGGATGAATAAAACGGAATGATTCGTTGGCAATCCTTGGCGCGCTATCTAAGAAAACGTGATGACCGCAATGTCAGGCTCGGCACTTGTGCAGTTCCGCCGATAAAAAGTCCAAGCCCACGACCGAAACTAACTGCATAAAACCGCAAATAATCCGACAGACAGGGCGACGGCGTCAAAAGAAAATACAACAATGCAAAAGAGTAACAGATAAGAAAAGACGCAACTTGACGCACATAACACGCCAGGAGAAGCATCCTGTATGATAACGTAATCACCTATGAATCCCTACAATGAAAACAGGCGATTCCAAAAACAGAAACACCAGAAATCCACTCTCGGCCGAATAGAGTACAGGAATGCACATGAAACGATGCATGTAATGGGATTTATAAAAACATTTCCTGATGCGTTCACAGTTAGAACCGACTTGAGCAGGAGCTCGGTCCTAGATATTAGTCAGATAGAAAAACACAAGTGAAATGATCCAACCTACGAACCCGACAAACGACCCGGATTACAAAATTGAGCCAATCCGAAGCACATGTCGGACCATCGGATCCAGTGCCGCAAATCCAGTGCGCCAGCTCACCCGAAAATGGACACAACATGGAAGGGCCCAAACGATTCGCCGACGGCAGCTCAGCGCATCAGGACCAAGCAGCAGTAAACGAGTGTAAGCAAGCGGGAAGTACTATATAACAGAAAGGGCCTCGATAAACACTTCTCTTACCCTTACCCCTTGACGCTCCCCTGTCCTACGGTGTCCGTGGACTATATACAAGCACCGCAGAGCTTGTAACGGGATATCCTGGATCTTCTGAGCGTCTGGTTTCTTCAAGGTTAATTCGTCAACATGTCCTACAACGGGCAAACAGAACTTCCGCCGCCCATCGTGGTGGCTGACCGTGCCTTTACTCAGGAGACCCCGGTCACGCAGCCGACTCACTACGAAGGTGCTGAGTACCAGGCCCACGATGGTGAGACCAACATCCACTATGATCAGGCCAACTACGGTCAGTACACTCAGTACCAGGAGGTCGCCCCCCAGCAGACCTACGAGCAGCAGACGTACGAACCGCCTGCTGAGGCTCCTCAGGACCAGGTTGCTCCTGTTGAGAACGAGAAGGCTGCCGAGGAGGAGGCTCCTCAGGATGAGTACGGTCAGCTTGTTGCCTTCATTCGTTCCCAGAAGGGCTCTTCCAACGAAGAGGAGAACAACGATGGCTCGCGTATCGTGAAGAAGCGCAACTGGCTTATGCCCTGGAAGGTTCGCGAGGTCCGCGTCAACAAGGACGGCGAGGAAGAGACTATCTCTCAAAAGGTTCCTTCGTCGTGGCTTGAGACCGACGTGTTCCAGGGTATCAGTGAGTCTGAAGCTACTAAGCGCCGCTCTCAGTTCGGTTACAACGAGCTGGAGAGCCCCCACGAGAACCTCGTGCTCAAGTTCATTGGTTTCTTCCGTGGTCCCGTCCTGTATGTGATGGAGCTTGCCGTTGCGCTTGCTGGTGGTCTCCGTGACTGGATTGACTTTGGTGTGATTATTGGTATTCTTATGCTTAACGCTTTCGTCGGTTGGTACCAAGAGAAGCAGGCTGGTGACATTGTTGCCCAGCTCAAGGCCGGTATTGCCCTTCGTGCTACTGTGATCCGTGATGGTCAGGAGAAGGAGATCGAGGCCCGTGAAGTCGTCCCCGGTGACATTGTTATTGTCGAGGACGGTATGACGGTTCCTTGCGATGGTCGTGTGCTTGCCAGCTACGATGACAAGGATCTCTCGCAGGCTACTGCGATCCGCAAGCGCATGGAGGAGACCCGTCATGGCAACGAAGAGGACGACGACGATGACATGGGTGTCGACAAGGGCCCTGCGATCATTGCTTGTGACCAGTCGGCTATCACTGGTGAGTCGCTCGCCGTCGACAAGCACATTGGTGACAAGGTTTTCTACACCACTGGTTGCAAGCGCGGAAAGGCTTACGTGCTGGTCGAGGAGATTGCCAAGCAGTCTTTCGTCGGTAAGACTGCTGCCCTTGTGACTAAGGGTGGTGACAATGGTCACTTCCAGAAGGTCATGAGCTCGATTGGTACTTCGCTTCTGGTTCTTGTCATTGTGTTCGTCCTTGTCATTTGGTTCGCTGGCTTCTTCCGCAACATTGAGATTGCCCGCCCCAAGGAAAACAACTTGCTCGTGTACACCCTGATCTTCCTGATCATTGGTGTTCCTGTCGGTCTTCCTTGCGTTACCACCACCACCATGGCTGTGGGTGCTGCCTACCTGGCTAAGCGTGAGGCTATTGTGCAGAAGCTTACTGCTATTGAGTCGCTCGCTGGTGTCGATGTGCTTTGCTCGGACAAGACTGGTACCCTGACTGCTAACAAGCTCTCGATCCACGAGCCTTTCACTTCGGAGGGTGTGGACGTCAGCTATATGATGGCTGTGGCTGCTCTTGCTTCGTCGCACAACGTTAACTCGCTCGACCCCATTGACAAAGTTACCCTTACTACCCTCCGTGAGTACCCCGCCGCTATTGAGGAGCTTGAGTCCGGTTGGGAGACGAAGCGCTTCACTCCCTTCGACCCTGTGTCGAAGCGTATTACTTCGGAGGTTCGCAAGAATGGTAAGGACTACGTGGCTGCCAAGGGTGCGCCCAACGCTATTCTGAAGCTGTGCGCTCCTCCTAAGGACCAGGCTGATCAGTACCGCAAGGTGGCTGGCGACTTTGCCTCGCGTGGTTTCCGTTCGCTTGGTGTGGCTATTCAGGAGGATGGCAACTGGCGTCTGCTGGGTCTGCTTCCTATGTTCGACCCGCCTCGTGCCGACACTGCCGCTACCATTGCTGAGGCTCAGTCGCTGGGTATCTCGGTCAAGATGCTTACTGGTGACGCTGTGGCTATTGCGAAGGAGACTTGCCGTATGCTTGCCCTGGGCACCAAGGTGTATGACTCGCAGCGCCTGATTGGTTCGGGTGGTATGGCTGGCTCGGCCATCCACGACTTTGTGGAGGCTGCCGACGGTTTCGCTGAGGTGTTCCCTGAGCACAAGTACCAGGTTGTGGAGATGCTGCAGCACCGTGGTCACCTGACGGCCATGACTGGTGACGGTGTCAACGATGCTCCTTCGCTGAAGAAGGCTGACTGTGGTATTGCTGTCGAGGGTGCCTCGGATGCCGCCCGCTCTGCTGCCGATGTGGTGTTCCTGGATGAGGGTCTGTCGACCATCATTACTTCGATCAAGGTCGCTCGTCAGATTTTCCACCGTATGAAGGCGTACATTCAGTACCGTATCTCGCTGTGTATCCACTTGGAGATCTACCTGCTTCTGTCGATCATTATCCTCAACGAGACGATCCGCGCCGATCTGATTGTGTTCATTGCCCTGTTCGCCGATGTTGCCACTATTGCCATTGCCTACGACAACGCTCCCCATGCCCGTGAGCCTGTCGAGTGGCAGCTGCCGAAGATCTGGATTATCTCAGTTGTGCTTGGTTTGATCCTGGCCGGTGGTACCTGGATTACGCGCGCTACCATGTTCCTGACTGGTGGTGGTATTATCCAGAACTTTGGTAACGTTCAGGAGATTCTGTACCTGGAGGTGGCTCTGACTGAGAACTGGCTGATTTTCGTCACTCGTCTGGGTGGTGGTGAGTCGGACATCACGCTTCCCTCGTGGCAGCTGGTGGGTGCCGTCGCCGTGGTCGACATTATCGCCTCGATCTTCTGTCTGTTCGGTTGGCTCTCGGGTGCTGAGCAGCGCAACTACCTGACGGCTCCGCACGGTGGCTGGACTGACATTGTGACTGTTGTGCGTGTCTGGGCCTTCTCGTTCGGTGTCATTGTCATTTGCGCTCTGGTGTACTACGTTATGTGCCGTATCCCTGCGCTGGACCACCTCGGTCGCCGCAACCGCTCTACCAAGAACGAGGTTCTGGAGGACTTCTTCACGAACGTGCAGCGTCTTACCCTGGTGCACGAGAAGGGCGAAGATGGTCACGATGTGTACTCGTTCAACACTCGTCTCGATGTGGACGACGACGAGTAAGGCCTATAAAGGCACACCGTTCGTCTGTGGCGGACTCGGAAAGATGGAAAGGCATGGACCGTCTTAATAATGTTCCCTTTCTAAAGTATACGCCCGTTTTATCCGCTGGTATTTCTCGGATAATGCTTGTGCAAGGTGGCATCGGCTCTGCGGATGATGCAACTTGCTTTCACAAGCCGGCAGTTTGGATCGTTGTTCATGTCTGTAGACGTGACTTTTTTGTCTGCCGTAGCACGGGAAAGTTTCCATTATCTTTCTATGTAATTGTTGAGCTCGCATGGTGAGCCTAGACTGGAGCCGTAGTATCACGTGGCGACAACGCGGTAGGGCAAACGAAGAATTTGTCCCAATTATCAGTAGGCCCTGTGAACGGACGCGCCTTTTTTGTCTGGCAGTGCCCAGCATGGCGAACAAGTTGCCCATGGTGGCGCCCCTGTACCTGCCCGGACGCGAACCGCTGCCGCCGGGCATCACAGAAGATGACCGCGAACAGATGAAGCAGGCCCTAAAGTACCAGCAATACATCGTGTCTGCGATGGAATCGTGTGTTGGCAAAGCCGCCATCTCCGGTGTGATCGGATTCGGGTTGGGCGCCTTCTTCAGCCTGATGAGCGCTTCTCTGGCAATAGACGATCCCATGCGCCAGACCATGATCGACCGGGCGGCATTTGAAAAGGCCAAGCGCCTTGAGAGCGAGGCCAAGGGCGCTGCCGGGTCGGGTTCGACGGCAGCGGCTCGGGCGGGCGCGCCTGCACGCGGCGCTGCCACGGCGCCGCTGCCCCTGGCCGCGGCGGCCCCGTCCAGTGCAACGCCGACATCGCACTCGGCTGGCCCGAGTACCGGCTCGATCCTGTCTAAGCTGCCCCGTGGCGAGTACTTCAAAAACTTGCCGCCGCCGCCGCCGCCGCTGCCGGCCACATCTATGCAAAGCACCAAAGAGTTCTTTATACAGACAGGGCGCAGCATGTACAGCAGCGGGCGCGGCTTTGGAAAAGTCGGCGCTCTGTACTCGGGCATCGAATGCTGCATCGAGAGCTTCCGCGCGAAGAACGACATTGTGAACCCTGTGGCTGGTGGCTTTTTAGCGGGCGGCATTCTTGCGCGGAACACGGGCCCGCAGACGGCCTTCGGGAGTGCGATCGCATTCGCTGCCTTCAGCGGAGCCATCGACATGTTCCTGCGGCGCGAGACCTCGGACGAAGACTGAGTGCGCTAGCTGCCTATAGATACAAGCCCTCGGGCGTGCCCTCGTTCTTGCGATCAATGACGCGCTCGCGCGCCGTAACAAAGTCCTGGTGTGAGTGGCGTGCACGTACCTTCTTTGTGACGCGCATGCGGCGCTCGCGGAGCGCGAGGAGACCCGCCTCGGTGGTCTGGCGTGAGCAGGGGCGTACGTACCAAGCTCTTGATATCGGCGCCGCTGAGGTCGTCCTTCATCGCGACGAATTCCTCTAGGTTGACGTCTGGGTCGAGGTTCATGCGCGACGTGTGCAGACGGAAAATCTGCATCTTCGTCTTCTGGTCCGGCAGCGGGAACTCGATCTTGCGGTCGATACGCCCGGGGCGGATAAGCGCGGGGTCCAGGCTCTCAATCTTGTTCGTCGCCATGATCACCTTGACATCGTGGCGCGAGTCGAAGCCGTCCAGCTGATTCAGCAGCTCCAGCAGTGTGCGCTGAATCTCGCGCTCGCCACCCGAGGTCGAGTCGTAGCGCTTCGAACCGACCGCGTCCACTTCGTCAATGAACACGATGCTCGGCGCGTGCTCATCGGCGACGCGGAACAGCTCGCGCACGAGCTTGGGCCCGTCACCGAGGTACTTTTGAATGAGCTCCGAGCCGACGACGCGCAGGAATGTGGCGGAGGTCTGGTTGGCGACGGCCTTGGCGAGCAGCGTCTTGCCGGTGCCCGGCACACCGTAGAGGATGACGCCCTTGGGCGGGCGGATACCCATCTCCTCGTACAGCTCAGGATGCGTGAGCGGCAATTCGACCGACTCCTTGATCTCCTGGATCTGCGACTCGAGGCCACCCACGTCCGCGTAGCTCTCAGACGGCGCCTTGTCGAGCTTCATCACGCTGACGCTTGGGTCGGTGTCCTCCGAGAGCACACCGACGACGGCCATCGTCTTGTGGTGCAGGAGGACGCTGCAGCCGGGCTCCAGGAGATCCTTGTCGACGAAGCTCATGATGCTGACATAGTACTCGGGGCCCGTCGAGCTGCTCACGATCGCATGCTCGTCGTCAATGATCTCCTCGAGCGTGCCCACGGCCATGGGGCTTCCGCGAATATCGTCCACGCGCGTGCGCTCTTCGGCATCTTGGTCGTCCTTGGGCCGCAGGCGGTCCTGGTTCATCACAAACTCCTCCTCGAGGAGGAGGTGGTCCTTGATGCGCTCCAGCTTCAGCAGCTTCAAGCGGCACCGTGTCGTAGGATACACGCTCGGGAGCTTCGCGGCCGTGTCCGAGTGCTTCTTCTTCTTCCCCACACGCGTCGGCACGGGCGGCTCCCACTTCTTGGGCTCTTTCTTCTGCGCGTCAGCGGCCTACACGTACCTTGTTGGCCTGGCCATCCTTACCAGTGCCACGACCGGGCGCACTACCACTGGGTACTTGTCCCTGGATGTGAGCGAGATTGGCGGGGGCCACGTACCATGCTGCCCTGTGTGATGGCAGGGGTCGCAGGCCGCGCGTTCCCTGAGGGAGCTACTTCACGTGACTCTCGCGGCGGCGCCCCTGGCTGGCTACGCTTAGCACCGCAGGCGGCGCACGGCGGCGCGCGGCAGCGCGCGGCAGCGCGCGGCGGCGCACAGCGCCATGGTCTCTTACACAGGCAGATAGGCCCATGTATCGACGCTGTGCTGTCGGGGGACAGCTCGGTCCCGTCGTCGCACGACCCCCGGACCGACCTTGCTTATGCGAGCAGGATCTAGGCCGCCCCAGCCACCGACGTCTTCCCTGGCTCCGGCGCATGAGCAATGGCGCTGCTCGTCGACCGAACCGCAGCGCCCAACGACGGGCCCAGGCCTCCCAAGACAGAGGACGCGCCGTCGACGCCGCCTCGGCCACCCCGCCCTGCCGTGTCGCGCTCGCCTGAGCTGATCTCGTGCCTGTCGCTGGGGCCGCCCACGCAGGGTGCCGACGCTGACACGGCGCCGCGCCGCGGCGAGCGGCGCAGCAAGGCCCAGGCGCTCTCGGCCATGGGGAGCCGCGGCGACGCGATGTCATCCGCGGCGCTGCCCGCCGCGCCGCATGCTGCGCGGCATGCGACACGCAAGGCGCGGAGCAGGCCGCCCCTCCCGCCCCTCGTTTTCGATACCACCGACGCCAAGCCGGCTGCGGGCGCGCGCCCCATTGCGACAGGCGCCTCGACGCCCCGCCACGAGCCGCCGCGCACGGCGCCCCGGGCCTTTGGCCTCGAGGAAGCGCCGACCTTCTACCCGACCTGGGACGAGTTCCAGGACCCGCTGCAGTACATCCAGTGGACCGCGAGCCCGTCCGGCGGCAACGGCATCGCCTACGGGATTGTCAAGATCGTCCCGCCCGAGGGCTGGCACATGGACTTTGTCGCGGACGAGCAAACGTTCCGCTTCCGCACGCGTGTGCAGCGGCTCAACGAGCTCAGCGCCGAGGGGCGCGTATCACAGAACTACCGCGAGCAGCTCGTGCAGTTCCACGCGCAGCAGGGCCACGGCCGCGTGCATGTGCCGCAGCTCGCGCACCACCCGGTCGACCTGCACGCACTCAAGCAGGCGGTGCCCCAGCCGCCGCCCGCGGCCGACTCCGACGCGTGGACGGCGCTGGCGACGACGCTCGGCTACAGTGTCGAGCAGTACCCCCGCGCTCCGAGCGTGCTGGCGTCGGCGTACGAGCGCCTGATCGCGCCGTTCGAGGCGTTCCTCGCGGGTCTGCGCGCTGCGCCTGCCGCCCCCGAGAGCGCCGCGCGCCCGAGCGCCGCCGACGCGGATCCCTCGTGCGTCGCGTGTGCGCGTCCCGCCCCCGCCGTCGTGTGTGCCGAGTGCCATGCCGCGTTCCACCTCGCGTGCGTGCAGCCTCCGCTGCGCCAGGCGCCGCGGGGCGCGTGGGTGTGCCCGCCGTGTCTCGTGCACACGGGGGGCGACTTTGGCTTCGAGGACGGCGAGACGCACAGCCTGTACAGCTTTTGGCAGCGGTGCGACGCCTTCGAGCGCATGTGGGCCGAGCACGCAGCGCAGCGCGGCGGCGCGGACGCTGCGGCGTGGGCGGCGTGGGCCACGCTTCCGCTGCGCGAGCGCGAGGACCTCGTGGAGCGCGAGTTCTGGCGCCTCGTGCACGCGCGCGACGTGTGTGTCGACGTCGAGTACGGCGCCGACGTGCACTCCACGACGCACGGGCACGCGTCGCCGACGCTCGAGACCGAGCCGCGCAATGCATACGCGCGCAGCGGATGGAACCTGCACAACCTGCCCATCCTGCCCGGCTCGCTCCTGCGCTACATCCGCTCGGACATCAGCGGCATGACGGTGTCGTGGATCTACATCGGCATGATGTTCTCCGCGTTTTGCTGGCACAACGAGGACCACTACACCTACTCGATCAACTACCAGCACATGGGCGCGACCAAGACGTGGTACGGCGTGCCAGGCGCTGACGCAGAGGCCTTCGAGGCGGCGATGCAGCGCATCGCACCGGAGCTCTTCGCCGCGGACCCCGCGCTCCTGCTGCAGCTCGTCACGATGATGAGCCCTGCGCTGGCGCTGCGCGAAGGCGTCCGCATGTACGCCTGCCACCAGCGCCCGAACGAGTTCGTCGTCACGTTCCCCAAGGCGTACCATTCCGGCCTGAACCACGGGTTCAACGTGAACGAGGCGGTGAACTTTGCGCTGCCCGACTGGATCATGGACGACCTCGCGTGCGTGCGGCGGTACCAGCGGCACGCCCGCGCGCCCGTGTTCTCGCACGACGAACTGCTCGTGACGATAGCCCTGCACCACCCCCAGCTCAGCACCGCCCTGTGGCTGCAGCATGCCTTCCGCGAGATGGTCGAGCGCGAGCTCGCTGGCCGCGAGCGCCTTCGTGGGCGCATCGCCGCCGAGGAGACATGGGACGCGCCCACCGAGGTGTCGTGCGCGCACTGCAAGACGCTGTGCTACCTCAGCCACGTAGTGCGCAGCGACGACAGCCCGGCCGCCTGCCTCGCGCACGCCGACGCGGTGCATGGATCCGCGCCGTGGACGCTGCGTGTGCGCCACACGGACGCCTTTCTGACGACGCACAGCGCGCGCCTCGCGGAGCGCGCCGCCGTCCCGGTCGCCTGGCAGCAGCGCGTGCGCCGCTTCCTCGAGCAGCACCCCCGCCCCCCGCTGCGCATGCTGCACATGTTTGTGCAGGAGGGCGACAAGATCGCCGTGCCGCTCCCCGAGCTGCCCCAGCTGCGCGCGTTCCTCGCGCGCGCGGCGCCCTGGGTCGCGCAGGCGCAGACCTTCCTGCCGAAGCGCCACGCCAAGCCGGCGCGCCGCGGCGGGCGCCGCGCGTCGTCGCCGCCTGCGCCGCCGCCCCCTGACGACACGGACCGCACGCCGGAGGCCCTCCTTGCGCTGCAAGCGCGCATCCCCACGCTGCCGTTCGAGGCGCCCGAGCTGCAGGCCATCGACGGCGTCGTCGACCAGATGAACGCATTCTGCCGCGCGGCCGAGACGTTCCTCGGCCGCGACGCCGAGGCACGCGACGCCGCCGCGTCCGTGGACGAGGCGGAGCGCACGCTGGCGCAGGGCGAGCTCCTGCACATGGACCTCGCGCCCGTGCGCCGCCTGCGCGAGTGGATCGCGCATGTGCGCTGGTTCGCCGAGGTGCACCGGATCGGCGCGGGCTTCCTCACCGGCGAAGAGGTGGACGAGCTGCTCGCCGAGGGCCGCCAGTGCGGCGTGCCCCTGGCGCACCCCCTCGTGCAGCGCCTTGAGGCGCGGGCGGCGCACGGCCGCGCGTGGGCCGAGCGGGCACGCGCCCTCCTCGACACGGCGCCCGTCCTCACGCGCGCGGCGCTGGCCGACCTCCTCGACGTGCCGCCCGACGTCGCGGCGCCCAGCGAGGTGCAGGCGCGCGTGCATGCGCTGCAGCACAAGGCCGCCCAGTGGGAAGAGACCGTCGCCGACTTGTACCACCACACGCACCCGTCGCGCGCGCCGCTCGGGCCGGACGCGCCGGACGCGCCACCGCGGCTGGACGCGGCGCGGCAGGTGCTGGCCGAGGCGCACGCCGCGCGCGTCGAGCTGCCATTCGCACGCGATCTCGAGGAGGCCATCACTTTGCACGACCGGTGGAACGCCGACCTCGCGCGGGTGTTGCACGCCGTGTGCCCACCCGACGAGCCGGCGGCCGACGCGGTCCGCGCGCTGTGCGAGCGCACGATCCGCTGCGCGAGCGCCGAGGCGCTGCACCGCGGGTGCCGGGATGAGCCGACGTACGCGCCGCTCTGGACGTACCCGCCGGTGCCGTACCCAGCGCCGCGCTCCGCATGCAGCGACGCGCCGTGCCTGTGCTTTGCGCCGACGGACCGCACGGCCAGCGTGGCGTGTGCGACCTGCTACACCGTGTACCACCTGCGGTGCCTCGGGCGCAAGGCGAAGCCGCCGCGCGGCTGGCGGTGTGCCTTTTGCGATGACGCACAGCTCCCGGCCTGGCTGCAGGCGCGCCGTGGCGTCTCGCAACTCCCACTCGTGGCGCTGCTACAGAACCCCGCGTACCAGCGCGACCAGTTCCGCTTCTTGCCATCCAACTATGTGCGGCTGCAGGCCGCGGTCCGCGCCACGGTCGAGTTTGGTGTGGCGGCGTGCATGCAGTTCCGTGCCGGCGCGCTGCCGGCGCGCCTCCTCGAGCCCGCGGCGCCGGCACTCCCTCCGGGGCCGCCCAGTGCGCAGCTCAAGCACCTCGCCCGCCGCGCGCTCGGCTGCCCGATCGATATCTTGCTCATCGCCGACGCGACGCCCCAGTCGCACATCCCCAGCATCCTGGATGTGTGCCGCCCGGCGTTCCACGTCCCACGCGCGGCGCCCAAGCCGAAGCGCCCGCCGAAGCACGCGCGGTCCGAGCCGGACGGCGCCGCGCCGCGGAAGCGCGCGCGGCGCGCGCGCTTCCAGTTTGCGGAGGAGGAGCTTCTTGCGACGCCGGACGGGATCTACTGCTACTGCCGCGCGCCGGACAACGGCACCATGGTCCAGTGCGATCGGTGCTCGCAGTGGTTCCACAGTGCGTGCATGGGCATCGATGATCCACAAGCACTGCAGGACAAGTGGTTCTGCCCCGTGTGCTCGTTCCGCCTGCGCACCAAGTACCCGTGGGCCGAGATCAAGATCCGCGACGGCACACGTGCGCTGCCGGCGGACGTGCCGGCGGACGTGTTTGTGGATGTCACGGCGAGTCTCAAGTCGCAGACGGTGCCTGTGCTGAAACGCCAGCCGTGGATCTCGGGCAAGCGCATCGTCCTGACGCTGTCGCACTTTGAGCCGGCCGTGCCGGCGGTCGACGGCCCGGCCAGCCCGGCACCGGCCGTCGCCCCGGGGCCCAGCGACCCTGGGCCGCGTGCTCCCCCGACGCTCCCCCGACCGGCCCCACCGACCGCGCCCCCGGCGCCGCCGGGGCCTGCGCCGCCCGAGTCCCTTCTCCAGCGACCCACCCTGCCCCTCTCGCTCGCCGAAGAGCGGCACCGCGCGGGCCGTGCCAACCTGCTCCGCCGCGGCGTGAGTGAGGCCATGATGCAGGCCTACTCGGTCGGCTGGAATGGCGAGTCCATCGTGTGCCAAATATCGCCGGACTGCCACATTCTCCTGGGTCCCCACATTGTGCTTGCGCGCGACGACCCGGACGGGACGCACCTCTTGCGCATGGCCATGGACGGACTTGTGCCGTGGGCACGCCGTGTGCCGGTGCCCGCACAGCCTGCGCCTGCGCCGGCTCCCCCACGGCCCCCCCCCGCCGCGCCACCACTCGCACGATCCTTGCTGTCCGAGGCACCCATGTCCTTACCTGCCCACCCGAGCCAGCTCGGCTAGTGAGCCTGTAGCGCCATCTTCGCCTAGGCGCATCTCGCGCGCGAGCCGCGCCATGCGCGCACACACCGCCATCACCGCCAGCGACACAGGCGCGTGCATCGGCGCAGGCGGGGTCTGCAAATGCCCCTGCAGGTGTCTGCGCGTTAGATGATGTACATACGCATAGCACAGAGTGCACTGCTCCTCCACGTCCATCAGAGCGCTCGCCAGATCTCGCGCGACGGCCTGCACAGCGTCGCGCTGCGTCGCTGGCAGGGCGGCACGCGGCGGGGCCTCGTACTTGGGCAAGCTGGGTAAGTGCGGCTCACGCACCTGGACCACGACGCATGCGCGTCGTCCCAATGCGATACGTAGGCATCGGCGACACTGCGCAGCACACGCACGCCCACAACCTCGTCGGGCGCGTCTGTTCGCCTCGGCGTTGGAGGCGCGTCGCCGCGCACGCGGGGCACGCTCTGGGCAAGCGAGCCCGTCGTGATGCGGGAGGCCAGCACCTTCACGCGGCGCACAGGCCGCCACCATACCATGTGCCGAAACTGCGCGGCACCCTTGTACCACAGTCTGTGCAGTACCTGCACCTCGGCTGCGAGCTCGCGAAGCTTGGCAAGGAGGAACCGATGGCTCTTGCGCAGGACGACGAGCGTTGAAGGGCCTTTGGACGACACGGGTGCCATGGAGGGCCCACGCCGTTTCTCGCCGTGGCTCTTGGGCCGTGCGCCCGCCGTCATCGCGCGCCGTGCGACCGACAGCGCGCGGCGGCGGCGGCGGCGGCGGCGGCGGCGGCGGCGCTTAGTCATCCGACCGCGCGCCACGCGACGCGACGCCACACCGTGTCGTTCTCGTTACGCTACAATGGACGGTGCGTGACGCGTAGCTTACACGCCAGGCTACGGGGACAACCCGTTCGGGGCCAACTATGCTGGCGGTGGCGGCTTTATGGGCGCCGACGGTAGTCAGGACGGACAGGGACGCGTACGTACGGCATGCTCACCGCAGCGCATGGGCACGCAGTCGCTGCGCCCTGTGACCGTGCGCCAGGTGCTGCATGCGTCGCAGCCGCACTCGGATGCACCATTCACATTCGATGGCGCGGAGCTCAGTCAGGTGTCTATCGTTGCGTGGGTGCGCAGTGCGACGAAGAACGCCACGAATATCCAGTATACGATCGACGATGGCACGGGGCAGATCGATGTGCGCAAGTGGATTGACAACTCGATGGACGAGGGGGCTGTGGTGGACGATATGGAGCCGAACCAATACGTGCGGATTGTGGGCGAGATCAAGTCGTTCAACAACAAGCGCAGCATCACGGCCGCCTCGATGCATTTGCTGCAGGACCACAACGAGTACCTGTTCCACCAGCTGGAGGTCATCCACACACACCTTGTGCTCGCCAAGGCGTCTGGCTCTGTACGTGTGCCACGCTGACACAGACGACCGCGCCCTCGCACGCTGGGGCAGCCGACATGTCGGCCTACGATGACGCGGCCCTGCACAAGGCCGACGGCATGGCTGCAGATCTGAGCCAGCTCTCGACGCTGCAGCGGCGGATCTACCAGACGATCGCCGCGGAGGCGCCCGAGTGCCCTGAGGGTGTCGACCTGCAGACGGTCAAGGAGCGCTGCCGCAACGTGGACCCAGCTAAGATCCAGTACGTCGCGCCTACTCACGCCCAGGGATGCCGTGGATGAGCTGGCCAATGAGGGCTACATCTACCAGGCCAGCGATGACACACACTACCTGACGACGGCCGGCTAGCGTAGCCTCCATCTCCCACACACGCCATGGACGCGCGGTTATAGTACATAGGCCCGTCCTGCTTGCTGGGCAGAGCCCTACTACTCAAGGAAACGGACGTCCCCCCGCGTGGGTTCTGCCATGTGAGCACAGCGTACGCACGGATCAATGGATGCAGCTGGGCCATGTAGACACACACCCACATGATGTAGCAGCAGGCGAGAGTCATGACGGCGCTCCACCGGATGAGCCTGCCAGTGAGCAGCGTGCACCTACACTTGGTTCGGGCCCTTGGGCGCCGTGTACCAAACGGCGCTCCCCGCACCCGCGGCGAAGAAAAGCACCCAAATCGCCGTCCAGCCCGACATGAGCAGCTCGGGGCAGGCGGGGCGGCGGGCTCGGTGCCTCGCGCGATGCTACTCACGTGATACATAGGGCCACGCGGACCCACGCCGCTCCGCCAGGGGCATGGACCTGGGACTGGGCCGCGTCCAGGCGTTGCTGCGGCGCGTCGGCTCGCCTCACACACGCTTCCCTGTCATCCACGTAGCAGGCACCAATGGAAAAGGCAGTACCATTGCCTTCCTGGACTCGATCCTCACGCACCTCGTCGGGCTGCGCTCGGCGCGTTTCAACACACCCCACCTCGTCACTGCGCGGGACAGCGTGCGCGTGCATGGCGGCGAGCCCATCGACGAGACCATTTGGGATCGCGCAGTGCACCAGACGCGGATGGCTGACGCTCGCGACGTGCCGATTTGTGCGACTCCGTTTGAGCTCCTCACCGTGCAGACCCTGCTCGCTTTTACCTTGATGCCCCCCGAGTCGCAGCCCGAGATCCTGCTCATCGAGGTCGGCGTCGGCGGGCGGCTCGATGCCACGAATGTGTTTCCTCGCGACAATGTGCTCGCGAGCGTGATCTGCCCCATCGCCCTGGACCACGAGGGACTGCTCGGCCAGGGTCTGCGTGCGATCACGCAGCAAAAGGCCGGCATCCTCCGACCCCAGGGTCTCTGTGTCGTGGCCGATCAAACACCCGCCCTGCCTATCCCGGCGCCATCGGCCATTCCGTCTCCCTCCGCCGAGGTTCTTGAGGTGCTGCAGTCCGAGTGCGAAGCCCTCGAGACCCGCGTCGTGTATACCCACATTCCCTGGTCTGATCTACGTATGACCCAGGCGCCCGGCATGGCTGGCGCGCACCTCCAATGCGCCCTGCCGGTGCAGGCTGCGCAGGCGGCTCGTGATGCCACACGCGCCCCGTCGGTGGCCATCGACTTTCGCGTGGATGCTACGCTCGCGCGTGTGTCCGGAGCTGCGACGGCGATCCAGACGCTCTGGGCGTTGGCGCACGATCAGACACCCTACCTGGATCCATGGGCGGACCTGCGCGCGCGAATACGTGCTAGGCTGACGCCCGAGGCCTCGCCCAGGCTGTGCGAGGCCCTGTCCCGGTGCCGCTGGGAGGGCCGGTGCGAGTGGCACACGTTAGGCGACGTGCCTGTCCTGCTGGATGGCGCACACAACGAGGCATCGGCTCTGGCGCTGCGGCACTATGTGGACCTGACTCTGAGCAGGCATCCTGCAGCGGGCGTGACATGGATCATGGCGTTTTCGCAAGGGAAGGACGTTTCGAGTATGCTGGATGTCTTGCTGCAGCCTCGAGAGCACGTTTCGCAGCGTGTCGCTTTGGTGCCTTTTTCGACACCCGTCGAAGGCATGCCATGGGTATCGCCTGCATCCCCCCACACCCTAGCCGAGCTCGTCCGCTTGCGCGGACTCGAGGCCCATGCCTTGGCGAGTCTTGGCGCGGCCCTGGCATGGGCCGAAAGCGAGCCCATGCCGTCGCCCCACGTCGTCATTGTGTGCGGCAGCCTGTACTTGGTCAGCGACTTTTATCGTAATGGCTATTCTCATCGTCGTCTACTGTAGGAAGGCTACCATGAATTGGACGAAGACGCCGTATCAATGTTGTGTGTAAATGTAGGAAACACGGAATGAGTGACAGCAGGTGGATGAGCTTGGTCACTGGGATGCGACAGAGAAGGGGTGTCTGTGGCCCGTGGGCTTGTCAGCATTCGCGTCGACCCAGGCCCTTCGTGCCGTGGGCCCGTGGGCGGCACCGGCGAGCCCAGCGGGAGTTGGATGCCCAGGTCAAAGGCAGACTCGGCCTGCGCACGAGCCCCCACGGTGGCCATTTCGGGTGCTTGGCTGACGACCGGCGTCCAGGCGGTGGCCACATAGTCAAGTGCACCGTGATCTTGTACGTTCTGAGCCTCATGCGCGCGCAGCGTCGCCGTCGTAGGATCCGTTTCATGCACAGAAAGATCACCAGCAATAATAGGTGGCGGCAATGGGTGGCTGGGGCCGCTTCCCATGATGGGACTCCGCATTGCCGAGGCCTCCCCCAGGTGGCCCGTTTCATCGCTCATATCAGCAAGGTCCGTCGTCTCCATACTTGCTGCACTGACGCCACGCAGTGACGGCAACTGGCTCTCCCGCAGCGCGGAGGGCACGTGCCGAGGGCCCAGCGGGTGTGCATAGTGCGCTGAGGCCGCAGCCGGCGCTCGTTCCTCCGTCACGGGCTCGTTCGCCAGCGGTTGTGCAGGCGCCGCAGGATGCGCCTCCGCAGGCGCAGTCGGCGTGGGATGCGCGGCAGCCGGCACGTCGCCGGGCCTCGACTTATCTTCATCGGAGCGTGCGCTGCACCAAAAGCGGTGGCCCATTTGCCAGCCTTTGCTCTGGCACTGCTTGCTGCAATACTTGGCCTTGCGGCAGCGACGGCACTTGGCAAACTCACGGGGGTACGACTCCCACTTTCCACACAGCATATTCGCGCACTGTCGGATCCCGCCGCGGAATTCATCCTTGCGGCACGCATTGCGCATAACCACACCCGCCCAGTACTGAATGTCCTGGGCCAAGCGCGGATACAGTGAACACATCAAGCTGGGCGTGCCCGATGAGCGTGAGGGCCGATGCGTGAATCGCTCCGCCAGCGAGAATACACTGTACAACACAGGATCACTGGGCTGCCACGAGCGGTTGGGCAGGGTATCTTCCGGCCATTCAGGACAATAAATCATGTCGTCCCGGATGTCCGCATTGTGAAAGAAATGCCGCACTTGAGGGTACTTGGACAAGTATGCCAAGAGCTGGAGACTCAGCAGCACTTCTTCTTCACGGTACACGGGTAATGTTACAGGGGAGGGTGAGCGAATTGTTGCCGTAGGCGATGGCCTCATCATGTCCGCAGCGGCAGCTGATAGACCCGTGTGCCTTGCACGGGGTGTCTCTGATGCCTCCATCGGTGGCACACCGCCCGACTCCTGCGCCAACGAACGGGAAGGCACACGAGGTGTGTCCTGGGGCGCAGAATCTCTATCCCCTTTTGCTTCAAGTGGAGCGCCTGCACTAGAGCAGGCATGTGTTTCTTCCGTCATCATGTCCGTGTCTTCTGCACATTCACTGGCACTGCCACTCGCACTTGCATCGCTCGTAAAACGCTGCACATCCTGGACAGCATGCGCCATGTCTGCATCAGTATGCCAATACGAGTTCTCCGCAGGGGCCGCTCCGTCGGTCTCCATGGGTGCGGCGGGGGGAGGCGCTGTCGGCGCCGCCCGCAGGTGCGGATACATCACGCGGCGCATTCCGTGCGGGAAGGAAGACAGCAGCTGCTCTCGAGTGATGGCCAAGGACTGCTGGATATGCAGCTGCTCAGCAGCGGTGATATAATTTTGAAGCACCATCACAATTATCGGAACCATTCCGGCTTCCACAACACGTGAGCGAATCGCCTCACTGCCTCGCACACCAATATTCACCACACACTGAAAAGCAAGACTCCATTTCCAGTTGGCTTGCATTTCAGCCATAGAGCCAGGGCTTCTCTCCATACTGAGGGCGGACGTAGATGTGCGGGGAGGGTGCCGCAAAATATGGATCAAACGCTCCAGACCACCATCCATCGTCACCATCTCACGTATCCGCGGCGAGGTAGATGCAAAGTAAGCAAAGTGGTTTAGCGAGTTGACGAGCGGCAACGTCGCAGTGCAATCGAGTGCTGTCGGTTAGCCTGAACTCGAGAAGGGGCGCAAAGATGAGGCAACTGCCAGGCATCAGAAACATGATATCGACAGATCCTCTTGCTGCACGTAGGCATACAAGAGCCTTCCGTGCTTGACTCTATATTAGGTTGGATCATCCTTTGGGGGAAGCAGCCCCACCTTTGCGCTGACCCTTTTTCATCATACGTACCTCGCCGATCATAGACCACTGCACTAATAGAGAGACAGGCTTTGTTTTGGGACGGGTTGCTAAAGTTACTTTCTCTCATAATATCCTGAGATACTCTGAAAGGCACGAACAAAAACAAGCCACCGTCGTCGGCTGGGAGGCAACAGACTCACGGCACGGACACTTGCCTGCTGCACTTCTTACGTAGAGCAAGTACTCCCTCTGTTACGGGGTGATCCGCGACAGCAACACCGAGGGGAAAACCAGCCCGACTCGACGAGAGGTGGCGGTGAAAGCCAAGAGGCCTAAAAATTAGCACATCTTGCTGGGAGGGTAAGAAGGGGAATTTTTAAAATATTTTTCTCTGCTGCCAGCAGCGCTCGGCGCGCTCATCCGGATTTGGTCAGGGATTCTGCTCATACTAGGATGCTGTGCGCACCTTTGTAGCATTCGAATATTTCTAGATGAGCTATAGAAAGTCCACTCTTAGTTGAATATACATGAAACGTGTTTTGATACTGATCAACCCCCCCATACCTTAGGCGAAGCTCTCTTGGCCCAGGGCGGCCCACAGGTGTCCGTTACTAGCATGTGGAGGCCATAGCTGCCGCGCGTCTGTTGTTGAGAACCATCTCCATGGATGGCTATGCAGACGCACAGGCTGGAGTGAAGCATGATCACGCGGTGGGACATGCTGCTCATCTAGATGCTCTGGAGGAGTCTGTGAATCGCCAAATTGATGCGGATGTGCAGACTCTGATGGACAATATGCGGGAACTAATTCTCCTTAGTCGTGTATGTATGCGTGTACTCATTAGGCTAGATCGGCGACAAGGACCATTTCGACGTCCAGCGGGAGAAATTTCTGCTTGAAACACGCGCTGACAGTATGGTACGTGCGACGAATACTAACAGTAGGTCCAGGCTGCCCAGTCGCTCTATTTACTCTCTGATTCCTTAAAGCTATCCCTTTTGCTCTCCCAATCATCCATGTCAGAAGCGCGGGACCATGAAGCGCAGGAGCTACTGGAACAGACGAACCGTCACATACATAAATGCGGGCAGTTGCTTGCCGAGCACCTCGCGGGAGCCCAAGCCATGTCGTCGCCCGAGTCACCACAGCCAAACTAAAACGACTATTCAGTCTTCGCGGGTTTGCAGTCACTACGCATTAAAACTACAAATGTTGTAAGATAGATTGCCATTTTTAGCCAGCGCCATGCTGGATGGTCATGATTATGTATTGGTCATTGACTCCCTGGTCAATTTGGGTATAAGGCTGTTGGAGCACACATGTGGCCATGCCAATTATTCTTCTCTCAGATGCCACACGCTCTCCTCATCCAAACTCGCGCGACGGCGAGCACGCGCTTCACTTGCTTTTTTGTGTTTGGAAGCATTTTGACGGATCGTCGGTGCAAAATCTTCTGCACTTCTCTCGTCTTCAATATCATCAATAGTTTGCAGACCTGTGTCAGATCCAGTATAACTGGCACCACGACGACCTCGAGCACCTAGCGATGTAGGTGCTGAGGCAACGCGCACTCTGTGGGGTGCGCTGCGCAGAGACGACGGGGCGCGGCGTGTTGATTCACCTTCAGATGTAATCGTTGGGGCGATCCAGGATGGCGCCCCTGAGCTGGTGCCACCTGAGCCAGCCGGTGTGGGTGCTTCTGGAAGACCAGCCCGACGACTATTGTTTGTCTGACGAGCATAGGCACCTCCATAATACTGAGACGAGCCTTCCAATGTGCTGCTGTCTTCCGAGGAAAGGCTGCCAGAGTAACTTGGATCACTGTAGGCAGCTCCACGGCGACTCGATCGGCCTTGAGTAAGAGTTTGACTGCTGTCTGAGCGACTTTCAAAGCTTTGTTTTTCGCTGTGTGGATCGTACAAGTGCGACTCCCGGTAGGTATCAGGCGTAGCTGACTTGGCGCGGTACTGCATGGGCTTCGACATGGATGCAATAGGCGTCGCAGCCCCATGTTTGTATTCCCATGCGCGAGTCCCCCACTCATAAAAGGGTTCGCTCAGCGAGTCTTGGTCCACAAACATAAACATGTACATTGCCATAAACAAGTCAAAGGCGAGAAACGCAACCTGAATACCAAAAGTGGCGTACGCCATACCCACGACCCAATTCACCATGTCACACAAATGACCCCAATCTGCTGGCTTCGGCCAGTGATAGTACCCATCCCAAATGCAATTTTCGTGGCCACGATAATCCGCAGCATAGGCTAGGGCACCACTGATCCAAATGGATGACATGGCAAACTGGAACAAAATCTCGATCTTCATCGTAAAGGTGAGGGCGATCAACCCACCACGTCGAATGGAAGAAAGTGATGGTAAAAACAAGTAGTAGCCAAAGTAAAGGATGGACGTGAAAATGCCCATAAAAAGAATGAAGATCATAGAACTTAGCGGCGGAAAGATCATCGGCTTGTGTGAAAGGTAATAGTTGAGGATGATGGCCGTCATAATCGCGCAAGCTAAAGCCATAAGGCATACAAGGACGGTAAATATCACCCGGATCGCCATGAGGGTCTTGGGGTGAGGCGATGGCGGCATGTTTACTGGCTGTTGAGCCGGCGTCGACAGTGAGTAGCGCTCTGGAAGTACCATTTTCCAATTTAAAGGCGCAATACTACTGATGTAAACAAATGCCCACTGTTACGATAGAAAGAAGTGTCTTTGCCGGCTATAAGGTGTTGACGAACGCCAAGGTGATTGTCGAAAGAATTGATTTTTGCGGAGAAGACTTGTTGTACCCAACGACTCGGATCTCCCCAGGCATATTGGTTGGCTGACCAATCTGACACGCGAAAACTCTGAATAAAAATATCATTGGCTATAGACTATAGCTGGGGTAGCTCACTTGGGCCACCAAATGTGGAAGGCACGTCCAGCGTGGAATGCTATCGCGAGGGCATTCCACCACTATACACTCATGCGCATGTCTAGTTTCCCATAGGGCGCGTAATCCACTAGTTCGATATCGTCAGCACGAATGTCGTCAATGGATTCTACTGCGCGGCGCCAGCGGATCGTGGGGAATGTGCGCGGCTCACGCAGTAACTGCTCCTGCAATGGTTCCACATGATCCAAGTAAACGTGGGCGTCGCCCATTACAAGCGTTAATTCTTCGGCCGTGCAACCTGTCACTGCAGCAATAAAGTGCGTCAGCAGAGCGTAGCTTGCAATGTTGAACGGCACACCCAGGCCCAGGTCACACGAACGTTGGTACATTTGGCAAGAAAGACGCGGCTTTTCTCCCTGTGCCTTCTCTGCCTCCGTGGGAAGCGACACGAAGAACTGGCAGAGAATATGACAAGGTGGAAGCGCCATGTTGTCCAGATCGATGGGGTTCCATGCGCTCAGTAAAATGCGCCGGTCCGTTGGGTTCGTCTTGATTTGTTCGATGACGTGGGCGAGTTGATCGACACCCTGACCCTGGTAGTTGGTATCAGCATCCACATACTTCGCGCCAAAGTGGCGCCATTGGAAGCCGTACACTGGACCCAGGTCACCTTCACGGCGGTGCCCAAGTCCGCGCTTCTGCAGAAATTCGGTGGAACCATTGCCATCCCAGATGTGTACATTTCGTTCACTGAGCCACTTAGAGTCCGTGCGCCCGGCAATGAACCACAGCAGCTCTTCCAGCACGCCACGGTAAAAGACACGCTTCGTTGTCAAAAGGGGAAGTGTGTTGTCGCGAAGGGTGAACTTGAGAGGATTCTGTGGGGCGAAAAGCGCCTTGGTGCCCGTACCTGTCCGATCTTGACGAACCTCACCGAATCGAATGACATTGGCCACAAGCTCCAAGTACTGGTACTCCTCAGAACGCTGTGAAAAATCGATACCACAGGTAGGGGAAGGGTGCATCGTGGGCGAGAAGAAGCCAATCAGCACAGGCTCTTCGAAGGACCGGTGGTGGTACGAAAGCACGGCAGCACCCGTGGTCGACATGAGGAAGGAGCGCGCCATTTGCACTGGCAAATTCAAAAATCGCGCAACGAGAACAATACTAAAGTGCCCATGAGTGAACACGACCAAGTCCTTTTTCTCTAGCCGATGGTATTGCTTGATCTGCGCGACTACCGCGTCGGCTCGGTCACTAATGTGCTGCACGGATTCACCAGGCAAATTGGGGTCGGTGGGGTGGTCGGGCGTGCCATGTTGGAAAATGTCCCAGTCTGACCTGAACGACTCACGAATTTCCTTGGTCTACTTGTTAGCCGAAAAGCGCATACCTTTTTGCCCTCATAGGCTGCTGTTAGTATACCCGTTACGAACCTCCGTAGTCCCATTCACGGACGTCGTCGCACACTTCTACATTAGGAAGACCAATTCTTTTGCGATCTTCCTCCATTCCGAGGACATAATCTAGCGTATGAGCGCAACGCTGACGCGGACTACGAATGATGCGACCTACATTCTGCAGACGCACAACATCATCCGGAGATAGTCCCACAAGACGGGTGCCGAACATTTTGGCCTCCATCGCACCCTCTGGGAGGAGGGGAAGATCAGTACGTCCAGTATGACTCCCTGACTTGGACCATTCTGTCACGCCATGGCGAATGATCACCAGCCTAGGCATGTGCGTCGCCATGGTGAATGTAGAACGAGCCCCATTATGCGTGAGCCTCTGCTTATTAACGTTCGGCCGACACGCGTGAGCTGCCTGGGATAACATCGCCCGTTGTCTGCGTGTGACCGTTGCACTCCGTTGTGTCTCGGTTGGTGTGCCATGGAATCACGGCCCCGTCCTATGCGCGGAACTTCTCCGAGACCCCCTACAGCTGGCCAAGGTATGGTGATGAACCCATCGCAGGGCCGGCCTCCCGTCCCGCGTCCTGGGCAACCCACCACCATGGCCGTGCGGCCTGGAGCTCAGCAAGCTCTGAATGGTCGACGGAGTCCCATGCCTCCCTCGCGTTCACCTGCGCCGGGAGTTCGTCCTGGGCCACCAGGTGTGGCAGGGAGGCCCATGCCACCGCGGTCACCCGCGCCGGGTGCCCGCCCCCCTCCGCCCCGCTCCCCTGCGCCCATGAGTCGGTCTCCTATGCCGCCTCGTTCTCCCGCACCGGGCGCCCGCCCCATGCGCCCCCCGCGTTCTCCTGCACCGGGGATGCGCCCGGGATTACCACCATCCCGCTCTCCTGTTCCCCGTCCTGCTGCGACCACACCACAACCCCGGACTGGTCTGCCTCCGTCGGCAAGCACTGGTATTGAGAACCAAATGCAGCAGATGAACTTGAAGGGAGGCCAGCCCCAGACCCGTCCAACACCCCCGCCTCCTTCTGCGGCCCCACCTGCGGGACCGGCCCGCTCGAAGCGCGCTGCGCGCGCGTACCACCAGGACGCCACTGCGCCTGCTTCTAGTGGATGGAACGATGTAATGGCTCGTCCACCACCGCCCCAAGCTGCTTGGCAGCAAGAAGCTGCTGCGCGAGTTGACTACCGTGCTGCACAGCAGACGGAACGTGCTCCCAACGATGACATGGACTCTGCGCTCGATCAAATGCCCGGTACACGAAACGTCCTATCCGCTGCGCAACTTGCTGCGAACCGGCAACTTATGGAGCAAAGTGGTGGTATGCCGAAGCGTACTTCCTCGGGCCCTATGATGCCGCTGGGGGGCCAGCCTGGCGCCGACAAGAGCGCGCGTCCGAAGATTGATCCCGACCAGATCCCCAGCCCCGTGGATGCGCAGTACGCGGATCAGCAATTTTTCCACCACGAGTTCTACGGTACCTGCAGTCGCGAGGGACTCCCGCTGTCCACGACTAACTTTGCGGCCGTGGACCAAGGAAATTGCTCGCCGAAATTCATGCGTCTGACGACCTACTGCATGCCCTCTAGCGACGAGGCGGCCATGCTTTCCAAGCTTCCGATTGCGCTGACGGTGCAGCCTTTTGCACAACTTAGGTCGGATGAAGCAGCTGTCCCCGTGGCCGAGCTGGGAGAATCCGGCCCACCGCGATGCAAGCGTTGTCGTGCGTATATCAACCCATGGTGTTTGTTTGTGGAAGGCGGTATGAAGTGGATTTGCAATCTATGTGGCTGTGCCACTGAGGTTTCCTCCGACTACTTCTGCAACTTGGACATCAATGGCCGGCGCGCAGACTTGGACGTGCGGCCGGAGCTGACACATGGTTCCGTGGACTTCCGTGTACCCACAGAGTACTGGGCTGTCCAAACACCCTCGGATGTATCCAGTATGCTTCCGGTACCTAGCGTCGTGCCGAGCAACACCAAGCAGCTGACTACGACTACATCTTTGCAGCAAAACGTGGAACGCTTGAACGATGTCGGTGGGGAGAATGAGTCGGCCAAGACGGCCGTCAAGGCTGCCAAGGCAGCGGGCGAAGCAGCCCTTGATACACTGAATCTTGGCAAAGGCCAAACGACTGTGCGAGTGCCACGCCCGATGACGTACGTGTTCTTGATCGATGTGAGCTTCAGTGCGGTGCGATGTGGCGCTCTGAAGGTATGCACGCAGGCTATCAAGCGGGCGCTGTATGGCGACGGTGACAAGAGCGATGTTTCGGCCGCTCCCGGTTTTGGCCTGGCGCCGGGTAGCAAAGTGTGCTTTATCACGTTCGACCAAGCGCTTCACTTTTTCAATTTGGATCCCAATCTGGATCAGGCACAGATGATGGTTATGGCCGATTTGGAGGACCCTTTTATTCCGATCAGCGGTGGTCTGCTGGTGGATCCGTGGGAATCGCGCCATGTCATTGAAGGAATGCTGAATGAACTGCCAGGTCTGTTTGCCCAGACCACTGTGGCGGAGGCGGCCATTGGTGCTGCTATGCAGGGTGCACAGGCCGTGCTGAATGGTATTGGCGGTCAGTTGAATTTGTTCGTGTCGACTATTCCTACCATGGGACCGGGTAAGCTGAAGCACCGTGAAGATACCAAGTTGTACGGTACGGATAACGAAAAGAACCTCTTCAGTGTTCAGGATGCCTTTTACGAGAAGATGGGCAGTGAACTGGCCATGGCTGGTGTGGGTGTAAATACCTTCTTCTTCCCCAGTCAGTACATTGATGTGGCGTCAATTGGACACATGTCGAGTGAAACGGGCGGTGAAGTGTTCTTCCATCCCCGCTTCGACCCTGTGCGAGATGGTGCACGCGTCGCCGCCGAGGTGCAGCGCACCGTCCTGCGGGAAACTGCCTTCAATGTCACGATGCGCATCCGCTGCTCGACTGGGTTGCGTGTGGTCCGGCAGCTCGGCAGTTTCCATCTCCATGGTGTGGCAGACATCGAAACAGGTACCTGGGACGCCGACAAGGCGTTTAGTGCACTCATCAAGCACGATGGCAAATTGGAGGAGTCGCGGGAAGCCTACTTCCAGTGTGCTGTGCTGTATACGACGGCCACCGGCGAGCGCCGCGTTCGCTGCCACACTATGGCTGTGCCGGTGTCTGCCACACTTGGCAACGTGTTCCGCTACGCTGATATGGATGCAGCTGTGGCCTACTATGCCAAGGAGGCCGTGCTGATGTCTCACAGCAAGTCGCAGAAGGAAGTGCGCAGCTACCTCACGAGCAAGTGTGTTGCAATCTTGCTCGCGTACCGCAAGAACTGCGCCTCGTCTACGAATCCCGGTCAGCTGATTCTACCAGAGAGCTTCAAACTGTTCCCTCTATACGTGCTTGCTCTGATCAAGAACAAGGCCATCAAGGGCGGCAATGTGACAAGCGATGTCCGTGTGTACTTTTTCCGGCTGTTGCTCTCCCAGGGCGTGGGTGCGATCATGTCGCTCCTGTACCCTCGTATGGTGGCCCTGCACAGGCTTAGTGAGGGCGATGGCTTGCCTGTGCCCATGCTGCAAGGTCTGTCGCCCGAGAAGCAGGCGGTCGAAGAGGCCATCTTGCATATCCCGCACGTGCCCAAGGCCATGCGGCCCTCGTTCATGCGGATGGAGCCGCACGGCGCGTATCTGCTCAACAATGGTGAGTGGTGCCTCTTGTGGATCGGTGCCGACGTCAACCCCAAGTTCCTGGAAGACTTGTATGGCGTGACGTCGCTGGATGAATTGGATCCACGTATGACGAGCCTGCCGAACCTACCCACCAAGCTGTCCAAGCAAGTGCGTAGCCTGGTCCAGACCTTCGCTGAGCAGCGTGGCAAGCCCACGCTCCAAGTGATGATGGCACGCCAGAACCGTGATGGTATGGAGGTCGAGTTTGCCAACAACCTGGTGGAAGACCAGAACAACGATGCGATGAGCTATGTGGACTACTTATGCCATGTTCATCGTGCAATTTCTTCGGATATGCATTCGGGCAAGGACCAAAAAGAATCGGGCGGTTCCTTGTGGAAAAATTTTATGTAGTCTCTGCCGATCTTCACGCACTGTTGTGGTTAGCCACGTGCCGCGCGCGTCCCCCCGGTGTTCTGCTTTCCTTACGTCCGGATGAACGTGGAGAAAGATCCGGCCAAGCGGGCATCCGACCGAGATGTCGAACCAGGCCGGAAAAAGTTATGGACGAGTCTCATTGCTGGTGGCTGTGCTGGTGCCATGAGTCGCACAATTGTGAGCCCTCTTGAGCGCCTGAAGAGTACGTTGACCCAGGTACTGACCCAGTTATTATGTAGGTGCCTTCATGACTGACGACGCAGGCAGGTACAGCCAACGCCGGCTAAGGGAGAGAAAAAGGCATACGCTGGTGTCCTGAAGGGACTGGCAAAAATATGGAGAGAAGAGGGTTTCTTAGGTTTCATGCGCGGAAATGGTCTCAACTGCCTTCGCATCGCTCCCTACAGTGCTGTGCAGTTTGCTACATACGAATCGGTCAAGGGATGGCTCGCGCACCCAGTGCGACACGACTACCAAACTGACCGAGGGGAAGTCAAGTCATACCCGAAAAAGGAGCTAGGGACGTTCGGCCGCCTCTGTGCTGGCGCCATCGCTGGGTTTACCAGCGTGGTGTCGACATACCCGTTGGACCTGGTCCGTTCACGTATTTCGATTGCTTCAGCCTCCATGTATATCCAGTCTGGGAAGGCTGCTACCGTGATGACACGCGTACCGGGCATTATGGAGACAGCATGCAAAGTGTACGCAGAAGAGGGTGGCATTCGTGGGCTTTACCGGGGGTGCTTGCCCACCAGCTTGGGCGTCGCTCCCTACGTTGCCTTCAACTTTGTCTTTTACGAGAGTGCACGCATGATGCTCACCAAGGATGATGGTACACCACCGGGGCCCATTGTCAAGCTGTGCCTTGGTGCTTGGGCTGGCGCAGTGAGCCAAACGTTGACGTACCCGCTGGATGTCATCCGGCGACGTATGCAAGTCTCGGGAATGAAGGACTCCAAACTGGGTGTCCAAGACAAAAGTGTGTGTTCCTTGACTTACTCGCAGATGCCGTCGATGCCATCCGCAACATTGTAGCACGGAGCGGCTTCCGGGGTCTGTACTATGGCTTGCTGCCGAATCTTCTCAAAGTCGCCCCATCCACGGGAGCCTACTTTTTGACCTACGATATTATAAGTGGCTTGCTCTCACCCTACGAGGCCTAACCATGTATCATTTCTTTAGATCACTATGCAATATTGCAACATAACAACGGATATATGCACGGTTTCGAAAAGATCGAAAAAATGTAGTGGTGTTAAATCACATGTGTCCGCGATCTCAGTAGCGAGGCTGGTTCGCCTGGTTAGCCGTAATATGCTGCTGCAGGTTGGACTGCGGCATTTCACGGGGTCCCATCATTTGTGGCCGAGTCGGAATGTCATTCCAATGCGTCGTCGGCTGAGGGACCATGTAAGGCTGGCGGCTCCCTGCCGGCGCCATAACCGTAGACGACGTGAGCGGTGGCGCAAGCTGACTCGTCTGCGCTAACGAAGACGGTGAGGTATAGTTATGGTCCGAATAGGACTCCTGCATGAACGGGTTCGAGTTCTGATGTAAAACGGTTTGTGAAGAGGGCTCCGGGTTCATGGCCATGCCATTCGGCGTCTGGTTGTCCAATGAACGTGCGTGGTTCACGTCCGAGAAGGCAGGGCCTAGCGTCTCATCAGTGAAGCTCATCTGCGAGTCGTTACGCATCATCATCGGCTGCTGAGACATATCGGTCTGGGACCAGCCCGCCGAGCTAGTGCCGTACCGTGGGTTCGTGGTGGCCGACTCCTGGTTGAAGCTGCCGCTCGACGCCGGGGCCTGCGGGCGCCCAATCGTCGAATACTGTGCCATGGTCTGCTTTTGCCGGTTATGACGCCACACAAAGAATAGAATCGCCGCAATGATAGCAAGAGCAACCAAAATACCAATCACAATACCAGCAATTGCACCGCCCGAAAGACCGTCGTCGTCATCGCCCGACTTTGACGACATGCCCAACTGAGGGGCCGGTTTTGAATACTTGCTGTTAAGCTGAGGCTTGGGCAGAGGCTTAGGTTCAGGACCCGGCTTCAGGTTGAACGGTACGAGACCAGGGTTTTGCTTGCCAATCATGATGAGCTTGCCATGGCTAGGCACACCGTTGACAGTCACGAACAGCAGAGCAGGCCCAGGGACAAACAAGTTCATGTTCGTCGGCATGGGGTTCACCATGAACTCAACGGAACCATCGTTCTGAACCGAAAACGTATTTTCCAGCTCCAGCGAGCGCTGTCCAAAGTTGTACGCATGTGTAGAGAAACCAGGTCGAATGACAAAGATCCTTGTGTTGTTCGCCATGTCATTAGCGTTGTTGTTCGGGTTCATGTACTTGGCAGGCACGGTGATGTTAAACGGATCACCACCGTATCCAATGACCTTGGGCAGGTTCTGTGGCACCGGCCGCTCCTCAAAGTAGTATTCGGGGTACCACCTCTCCATGACGTAGGTCGTGTTGAACGCTTCGTACTTCGTGTCCAGTTGGTCATTAGGGGGGAGAATGGCCACATCCATATGCGGGTTGGAACCCGCCACCAATACGGAACCATCGGGAGCAAGAATGGCAGAGGAGTGATACAGACGAGGGTAGTCAGAGTGTCCGAAGCCATCGTATTCCAGACGCTGTCCTTGTGGCTTTTCCGGGTCGTACACAACAGGACGAAGGGTCGGGCTCTGGCTCATGCCCTCAAGATAGACTGTGTTGCCACCCTTATCCTTCACCTTGTTCCAGGTAGTATTACCATAGCCCGCTAAACCGCGCGATGCACCGTTGACAATAACCATCTTGCCATTGGGCAGTTGAATGAACTGACCCATACTGCGAGGCTCAGGAAGGTCCTCTTCCTTTACATACTGAACATTCTTGTCCATGTCTCCGCTAGCCGACTCAGGGGTGATAGACGAGCAGTCTGTGCTGCCTTCACGATCATACACGTTGATGTTGGGAGCTGTGAAGTTACCCCACTCATCGTCAGTCATATGGAATCCACCACAGAAAAGGATCGTGGGCGTGTAGTTGTTTTTGGGCGTCAGAGGCTTCATGGCTGTGGCGCCAGAGGCAGGGTAGACACGAGTAATCTGCCCAGGCATGTCAGGCAAGTCATAGTACTTGTCATTGCTCCAGTCCCAAAGTGTGGTGCTGTAGTTGGCCTGCATGAAAATCTTACCCGAAGGCATCAAGTACGTGTGTGCATACATGTTGAGACCGCTGGTCTTCACCATAAAGTCCGAAATTGCTGGCTTGGGCTTACCTGTCGGAGGCCAGAATTCGTACGAGGGATTCGCACCGCCCTGGTCCCAAACACCAGGAGTAGGGTTGGACGACGACGTCGCATAAGCTGGATCCACATTAGGCGTGTTGCGGTTGATAAAGCCACCATTGGTGGCGCCACCAATGATCACCACCGAACCATCAGCCAGTCCCTCAATACCAGGGTACCATCGAGGCGAGTCCATCTGGTTAGGGCTGTTGTACTGATCCACCCAGTTCAGTTGCGAGGCGTCTTCGTTCGGCTCCATGATACGCACGACACGACGACCATCGAAGTCTTGGTAGGGGGCGACAGGACCGGTCGCTACGGAACCATTCGGCAAATTCGTGCCTTGGCCACCGTATGAAATAGCACTGTTACCACCCACGACAATGTAAGAGCCATTACCGAGCGTCATACCAGCCGCACAGAATGGGTTTGTCTGGGCGTCGATACCACGAACTTCAAAAGTGTTTAGGTCAACGAGCGACGCCCACGTCGGCTTGCCCGACATTGTCTTTTGAAAGTTGCCTTCCACCTTATCGAAGATGAACGCTGTGTTCTCATTAGCGAGACCCAGCATCATAGCAGAAGCCAGCGTGTCCTTGACGACCACCTCATACTGATTTTTGGCTTTGCCACCATCCGCTGACACTAGGCCAGAGCAGGAAAGGACTGCCCATATAGCAGCCACATAGGGCAAAATGAGCATTCTCCGAATGAATAGGTGGTAGGAGCACAAAGTGAGCAGGACTTGAAACGGCGCGTTAGTTCCGCGCGTGTTGGCCTACACGAACTCTAACTGCCGGTGCAAGGAGCGTCAACGTCGTGACAGGCTCTGCGTCTATTTTCTAAGATTGTGGTCGGACTTCCGACGTTTGTGCAATTATATGGTACGATCAAGTGCCTCATTGGATAAATTCACGTGCCCAGTGGGACTACATAGACGCGCATCAACACTGCCGCACCAATCGACAAAGACCGCAGGGAGTGCATGTTCCTACAGCTGGTGCGGATTGCATAATGTCAGAATTTGACACTCAGGCTTTCATAAGCGCACATGCGCAAGGGAAGGGCGAGGGCGCGGCCCGATGGAGCGGGCATCTTGTAAGCTGATCGGGACAGCGTTGTCACGTTGTATGCGAATTCGGCCGGGCGGGCGATCTTGCCCGTGGCGGGGCTGACCGCGTGGGTAACGTGCACCTTATTCCGAAGTTCGACACGCTCGTTGCTTAGTATATTACGGTAGCGTAACGGTTCGGATCGTCCCTGCAGGAGCGCGTAGTGCCTTGTTTCGTTTCGTTTTGTCTTTGGCTGTAGATCCTACTTTCTGCGGCATCCTCTCTCTACTGGGCTAATTGTGAACTTTCTCTACCAAGTTTGGATATGGCGAAAGTATATGTGGGCAACTTGAGCTGGAACACCACGGACGATGGCCTTGCCGAGGCTTTTAGTCCTTATGGTCAGCTTACCGACTACATTGTTATGAAGGACCGTGAGACTGGCCGATCGCGTGGTTTTGGCTTTGTTACGTTCATGACCCAGCAGGAGGCGGATGCAGCGATCATGGCTCTGAATGAGCAGGAGCTCGATGGCCGTCGTATTCGTGTGAACATGGCCAACTCACGCCCCCCTATGGGTGGGCTGTCAGGTGCCAATTTGGGCTACAGTGGACTGACTGGTGGTTACGGTGCGGGTGCCTATAGCACCGTGCAACCTGCCTATGCGCCTTACGCACAGCCAGCTGCTTTTGCGTATGCTCAACAACCAGGCTATGCTGGCTATCAGCAGCAGCCCTACGCTGCTCAGCCTGCCGCATACCCTGCACCCCCGGCGGGCTATCCCCAGCAGGGTGCTTACTCGTACGGTGCGCAGCAGTATGGCGCACCCCCTCAACCTTTTCCCGCCCAGCCTCCGCAGGGCCCTCAGGGATACGGAGGTCCTCCCTACTAAATTTTCCTCGCATTCGCATTTTTGACGGCCCGCTGCTCACTATCCTCTCAACCCTTCCCCTCTTCCCCCGGTGTGGACATAGAGAATGGCAGGTGGTATCGGATGACAAGCAACGTTACGATCAACATGTGGTGTCATGGACCCGCGTTGTATACCTTTTGTCTTTAATAGGGAGTCATAGCTGTCTACTCATGCGCGAAGCATGCGGCCGCAGTGGTAGGCGCAACGAAGTGCTTGCCTCCTGACCTACGGCAGAAACGGCGCCGAAGGCATCGAACTCTCGTTCCCCCGTGGATTCTGCATCTACAGAACAAGAATACGTCTTCGGGCAGACACATTTTTGAAGCTACACGACGACCTTAAATCACCGAGTAGACACGGACGATATCGTCGCTGTAACCAGCGAAGAGCGTCTGGCCGTCCGCCGACCAGGCCAGCGACAGGCACTCGGGCTCAGTCGCGTTCTTGCCCAGGCCAGAGAACTCGGGCTTCAGCTCGTCGACGATCGACTTGCTCTCGAGATCGAAGATCTTGATGCACGACGCCGTCGCAGCGCAGAGCCAGTAGCGGTTGGGCGAGAAGACAAGCGCGTTAACAACGTCACCAGCCTCCAGCGAGTAGAGGTGCTTGCCATCCGAGAGCTCCCACAGCATGGTGATGCCGTCCTTGCCACCCGAGGCGCAGAGCGAGCCATCAGGCGACACTGTGACGGTGTTCACGTAGCCCTGGTGGCCAAAGTGGTTGGTGGTCAGCTTGCAGCGGTTGAGCTCCCACACCTGATGCGTTAGTCCGTTCTATGCGACCGAGGGGCAGAGACGCGCGTGCCACTGTGCTGCTGAGCACTCAGTGATCTTGGTGGTTACATTGTTCTCATCGATCCATGCAAGCACAGACCTCCGTAGTAGCAAATATCATGTACCTCTTCTTCGTACACGCCACAGGGCTATACGCGCTCTGCCCCCACGGTGAGTTGTACATACCTTCACGACCTTGTCCCAGCCAGCCGACACAATGACCGGGTTCTGGGGGTTGGGGCTGAAGCGCACGCAGCTGACCCAGTCGGTGTGGCCGTCCTCGGTGATGTTGAACTTGCAGTCACCCAGGGTGTTCCACAGCTTGATGGTGCGGTCACGGCTACCCGACACAATCTGGCGGTTGTCGGGGCTGAAGCTGACGCTCATGACATCACCGGTGTGGCCGACAAAGCGCCGAGTAGTAGCGCCGGTGTTCAAGTCCCAGAGACGCAGCGACTTGTCCCACGAGGCCGAGAGAGCGAACTGGCCGTCCGACGAGATCACGACGTCCGACACGAAGTGGTTGTGACCGTGCAGGATCTTCTTGGGGTAGCCGTAGTTGTTCTCGTCGCGCGAGAGCTGCCAAACGATGATGGTCTTGTCACGCGAAGCGGTCAGCAGGAGGTCCGGGTTCTCCTGCGAGGTCGCAATGGCGGTGACCCAGCCCTTGTGGCCCGTCAGGCTGCCCTTGTAAGTGAGAGACTCAGACCTGCAGCGTTAGCACATGTCCTCTGCGGCCTATCTACGCCGTTTCACTGATACATACATGTTGATGAATGTCAGAGGTTCGGATGCTAGTGGTGGTACAAGCAATTGAGAGCCTCTGGCTGGCGCAGTTCCTCCAGCGGCTTCGCGCGAAACTGCAATGGGCGCCCTAGTGATTGGGTCGCGTGCACGAAACTGTAGTTGCACAACACGTGACCCTTTATAGTTTTATTCGGCCGATCCTTTTCTCGCCGCGGTCGTGGGGCTGGAGAGGCTGCGAGAGTGTGCCTCGTTCGTAGCATCCGACTCGTCGCATACCATGGCGCCCAAGATCGACCCCAACGAAGTGAAGGTATGTGGCGACTCTCTTGCAGCGAATGCTAACACGGGCAGATTATCTACCTCCGTACCACCGGTGGTGAGGTCGGTGCTCCCTCTGCCCTGGCCCCGAAGATCGGTCCGCTGGGTCTGGTACGTTGACACGCATCGCCGACGGATGGCTAACATGACGCAGGCGCCGAAGAAGGTCGGTGAAGATATTGCCAAGGCTTCGAGCGAGTGGAAGGGTCTCCGTGTGACGATCCAGCTCACCGTCCAGAACCGTCAGGCTGCGGTGGCTGTGGTTCCTTCGGCCTCGTCGCTGGTCATTAAGGCTCTGAAGGAGCCGCCGCGCGACCGCAAGAAGGTGAAGAACGTGAAGCACAGCGGCAATATCCCTCTGGATGAGATCATTGAGATTGCGCGGACCATGCGCTTCAAGTCGTTCGGCAAGACCCTTGCGGCGACTGTGAAGGAGATCCTGGGTACCTGCCAGAGTGTCGGCTGCACTGTCGACAAGCAGGCGCCGCACGATGTTATCGAGGCCATCGACGAGGGCTCGGTCGAGATCCCCGCCGAGTAAGCTGGTCGCTGTGCCCGACGGACAGGCCGTCAGGCGTACGGAACGGACGCTCTACCGTCCGTGGCGTTCTTAGTATTACAGTGCACGATCAGGTGCTGACTAGCCCTGCGACATGCCCTCCAAAAGCAATGTAATACCTTATTCCTCCATGGACGACGGCTATAGTGTACAGACTCAGGGCGAGTATGCCAGGATGACCGGCTGGTCTTCGTGGACTTGAGAGAACGCCTGGCAGTCCGGGCAGTAGGCCCACAGCTGCGAGCGTGTTCCGCCATAGTACCGCACGGACAGCTGAGGTATACTCGTGCACTGCGGGCCGTGCGTCTTTAGCGGATGCGCGGCGTCCATATCCATGTCGACCGAGGTGCCCATGGTCGGCTGCAGTAGACCCGGCGACGAGCGCGCCGACGACTCACCGGACGCGCTCGCGACACCTGTGTCTTTGGAACTGCCTATACCGAGCGAACGGAGCACAGCCTGATTAAGATCATGCGGTAGGGGGTAGAAAGTGGCCATATCACAGGAGCCGTCCAGTTGCGACTGCGTGCGTGGCATGACCGACTGCGGGTTACGGAATGCAAACGTACCTGCCGACAAAGCTCGGCAAGCTGCGAGCGATCGCACTCACTCACATCGCCCAGCTCCGTCCCGGATTCGCCCTCGCCCCATTTGCGCTTGCCCGATCCTGAGGACGCGCTGCGAATCGGGACAGGGCGGCGCGCCGCGCTGTCACATGCCCAGGACTGCATGAGGCGGGGTCAATCTCGACAATCAGAAGGAGCGTGAAACAATGGGCACGACCAAGTTAGCGAGCGGGCACCAAGCACGCCTCACGGGCCGGGGTCAGCTGCCAGTGGAGAAGGGCGGACGGGTGTTCTTCGACAGTCTACTCGGAGCCCCGGCGCCGCGCCTGTGGAGGTCGCGAGAACCTGCGGTGCGCTTGGGCCCTCGGCGCGTGCGAGAGTCGAGAGGAACGCGCCACCTCTTGACGTGGCCGGGCATATCGATGGAGACATCGACGCTGCATTGCACACGTATCCCCCTACTTAAGTATTCGCGCCAGGTCGATGACGACGCAGGCGAGCGGCGGCGCTGGGAGCACGTGTCGCTCCAGCCGCTTGCGTGCTGCGTATCAGCAGTCGTGGGTCCCTCCAACGAGCCCTCGGAGCAGAAGCTCACCGTCGAGTGGAGTCCGCGTACCGGCGCATACGCGCCTGACGCTGCCCCGGTTCGGCTAGTGCGTGCAGGGCCCTGACCGCAGGAGTCGCTCGATGTAGCGCGGCCAGAGAGCGCCAAGGGCGATTCGCGAATCGAAGTGGTGTACTGTGAAGACCGCGTCGGGATTCGCGAGCGCACAAACGAGGGGGTATGTGAGAGTGCTGACGCAGGCCACCCTGCGCCGGTGTCAGCTGCACTTTCGCACGCGCACGGACGTCCCGCGTCTCTTGGCGCTGCTGCAAGACACGTGTGCATGTGCACCCGCCGAGCCAGGCATACTACGCACACCACCAGGCACAGGGATCGCGTCCGCGCCACCCAGCACACCACCGGCACCGCGCGGCGGATGGACCACCGAGATATGGACGCCCCCGCCACGGCGCTCAGCTCGACTGGGCGCGACGCCGAGGTGTGATGACTAAGCGAATGAATCGGGCCCCACGCCGAGGCCCGCCATCCCTCCGGTGGGCACGGCGCAGCATGTCGTCATCGACGGGGACGCGGCGCCTGCATAGCTCAGGCTCACGTGTCGGCCTCTCCCGGTGCGTGTACTTATATAGCTGACGCGCAGTGCGCGATCGTCACTGGCCATGACGGCGGCAGGCGAGTCTGAAGCGACGCGGTCCACGGGACGACGGCGCAGCGAGGGGCCGCTACGCACGCGGTCCAACACCAACATGGAATCCATGGCGCGCCGTGCGCGCAAGAAGAATGCCAGCTCCACGAAGATCCACGACAGTCGGCGGGCTAGCGAGACCGTGCAAAACGAGAGCGAGTCCCACTGGGAGAGCTCGAGCGACGATGAGACGCACGACGGCGCGCTGCAGCTCGACATGCACGCAACGCGACCTGCGAAGGAGATAGGAGGACTTCGGCGGAGTGAGAGCCCCGAGTCACTCGTGCACCACCACGCTCCAAGCCACATGGCGCAGCCGTCCGCCGATCTCGGCGAGGAGGCTCTGTCGCCGCGCTCGGTGCCAGGCGCGCCGCCGGCCCTGCCCAATGTGGCGACGCCATCCAAGTCCGCGGCGGATTTGCGCCTCGGCTCGGAGCCACACGGCTCGCCGCGCTCGCTCCGCTCGTCGTCGTCTGTGCGGTCGGTGCACTCGCTGCTAGCGGGACATGCTGGCAGTGGTATCAGCGTCGGTGTGTCAACGACGCCCGTGCGCCCTGTGCTCAATACGACACCCGTGGTCGGCGGCCACCACGGGACACATGGCTTCTCGACGGGTCCTGACTCGTCGGGCGAGCACGAGGTGCGGCACCGCCCGCTCCGGCGCTCCACGAGCAGCTCGCTCCGTGCGCAGCCGGGTCGTATGGACGCGGCGATGGCGTGGTCGTCGGCGCCTACGTTGCCGCGCACCTGGAGCATGCAAGCGCTGCAGCCTGCCGAGGCCGGCGGCCTGACAAGCAGCGCGTCGCGCGACCAGCTCGCGCACTTACTGGCAGGCAGCGCGCGCCGGTCGTCTGCCTCGTTGGCGACGCTTCTGGGCGGTGCGCGCGTGAGCGAGCGTGCCGCCAAGCCAGTCGTCTCCAAGTTTGCGCATGCGCAGCAGCAATTCGACATGCACGCCACCCAGGCGTGGGTGCTGCCCTCGTCGGACGAGACGCCGGGACGTGTCGTCAGTGTGGACGTGCCGCCCGGCTCCGTGTACAGCGCGTCGTTTGCGGAGCGCGTCGTGGCGCAGATGACGCACCGTCCGCCGCTGGATGAGCCGCGGCCAGCGCCAGACAGTGGCGCGCCGCTGCCGTATCGCTACCTGCTGGACTTTGGGCTGAGCGGCCCGCCGATCGATCGCACTGCCCTCGGGCCGGCTGCGCTGACGCCGCGGCTGGGCGCAGGCCTCCCGCCGGCGGGCGCCGCGGCCGAGGGGCGCGAGGCAGCGCAGGACAAGATGCTCGTGCCCGACTCGACGACGACGCTGGGCCCCAACATGATTCCCTTCCACTTTATCCATGCGCTGACGTCCACGATGGAGAGCGCTCTCGCGCTTGATCCGGCGGAGGTGCCTGCGATGGCGTCGCTGCTGCCCGGCGCGGCGGAACGCCTGGACGAGAGGTTCGACGCCCTCAGCGATGGCGCGGCGAGCACCCAGGCAAGCACAAGCGACGGGCCCATGCACTGGATCGATCATGAGTCGATGCATGCGATTGCCTGTACGGCGCAGGCCGTGTCGATGCAGCGGCTCCATACGGTGACGCGGCGCTTTGCCGACCCGTTCCGGTGTGCCCTCGACCGGGTCGTGCGGCTGTCTGGTACGGCGCCGAGCGCCGAGCCGCGGCTGCCGCCCAATGCACGTATTGCGTCGTCCACGGGCCTACGGAGACTACCGAGCGGCGGCGAGCGGCGTACCGAGGCGTGGGGTGCGCCTGGCCATACCTAATCGTAGCCATTCGGATTGTGCTTCTGCCAGTTCCACAGGTCGCGGCACATGTCGTCGAGCGAGCGCGTGGCCTTGAAGCCGAGCTCGCGCTCCGCGAGCGTCGGGTCGGCGGTCAGGTCCGGCACATCGCCGGGGCGGCGGCCGACAATCTCGTACGGGTACTCGTAGCCCGTCACCTGGCGCATGGCCGCGATCATCTGCAGCACGCTCATGCCGACGCCCTTGCCGAGGTTGAAGGCACGGAACTTGCCGGTCGTCGAAGAGGCGAACTTGCTGTCGTCGTCCAGCGCGACCATCGCGTGCAGGTGGCCGTCAGCCAGGTCCAGGATGTGGATGTAGTCGCGCAGGCAGGTGCCGTCGCGCGTCGGGTAGTCGTTGCCAAACACCTTCAGACCCGGCTCGCGGTACTTGCCGACGGCCATCTGCGCCAGCAGCGGCAGCAGGTTGCCCGGCTTGCCGCGCGGGTCCTCGCCCATCGTGCCGGACGGGTGCGCGCCGGCCGGGTTGAAGTAGCGCAGCGAGATGGCACGCCACGTCGGGTCAGACGCACACACGTCGCGGATGATCATCTCGTCGATCTGCTTCGAGCGGCCGTACGGGCTCTGGGGGTCCATCGGCGTCGACTCGGGGATGGGAATCGTCGTCGGCGCGCCGTACACGGTCGCCGACGAGCTGTACACGAGGCGCTTGGCGTCGTGCTTGTCCATGGCCTGCAGCAGGTTCAGCAGGCCGCCGACGTTCACGCTGTAGTAGTCGATCGGGATCTCCGCCGACTCGCCGACCGCCTTGAGCGCGCCGATGAGGATGACCGCGTAAATCGGGTCGTCCTTCGGGCGCTCCGCGAACACGCGCTCCACCGCCGCGGCGTCGCGCAGGTCCGCCTGCACGAGCTCAATCTCGCAGTCGCGGCGGTCCTCCTCGCTCGCGTCGGCCGGGAGCGCCTCGCGCGCAAGGCGCTCAATGCGACGGATCGCCTCGGGCTTCGAGTTGTGGAAGTTGTCCAGCACTGCGTTAGTACGCGTGACGCACCCGTAACGCGGAACTTTCGCGTGTTCAGCACCGTCAAGGCCACATGGCTGCCGATGTAGCCGGCACCACCAGGAATCAGCACGCGCTTCTTGTCAGTCATGGAAGAATGGGAGCAGGGCACGGCACGTCGCCCAACGCGTGGACGCATCACGTGGCGCGGCGCCCCGCAGCCTCTCGCGCCTCCACCATGCGCGTGCCCGTCGAGCTGTACCGCGGCGGCACGAGCCGCGGCCTCGTGCTGGCCACGCAGGCGCTCGCGCCGTTTCCCCAGGCCGTGCGCGACCGCATCCTCTGCACGGCCAGTACGTCGGCCCGCTAACGGCAGTGGGATCGCCTGACCCGGATGGACGCCAGATCGACGGCGTCGGCGGCGGCGTCTCGTCGCTGTCGAAAGCGGCCATCGTGTCGGTGCCGGCGTCCGCGGTGAGCAAGCGCACGTACGAGGCTGTGCGTCGCTTGGGAGATGCGTGGGCCTTCCCCGGCGCGGCCGACGCCGACGACCCGCGCCGCGCCGCGGACCCGCGCACCGGCTACGACGTCGTGTACCGCTTTGGCCAGGTGCCGGTGCACAGCGGCTATGACATCGACTGGTCCAGCACGTGCGGCAACTTCCTGTCGGCGGCGGCCCTGCATGCCTATACACACCATGCGCCGGCCTTCGGCGCTCGGATCGCCCAGGCGGCCACAAGGGCCACGTACCGCTTGCCATTGCGACTCCTCCTCGCCGACTCGGGCAAGCGGGTGACGGTGCATGTGCCGCTCGAGCGCACGGGCAGCGGCACATGGGTCTTGTCGCGCCACGCCGATACGCAGATCGCGGGCGTGCCAGGCCGCGCGCCCGGCCTGCAGATCCACGTCCCGCTGGACGCGCCGCCGCTGCCGACCGGGCGCGCGCGCGACACAGTGCACATACAGGGGCGGGCCGTGCCCGTATCGGTGGTCGATACGGGCCTTCCCGTCGTGTTTGTGCACGCCGCCGATCTGCAGGTGCCGCGCGAGCACATCGTGCAGACGGCCGCCCAGCTAGACGCGGATCCCGCGCTGCTGGCGCGCGTCGAGGAGGTGCGGCAGCAGGCGGCGCGCCTCACGCCTGCGCTCGCTGCCCAGCTCTGTATGTCGGCGCCCAAAGTGTGCCTGGTGCATCCCCGCACACCGTACACCACGTCGGGCGGCGCGTCTGTCGCGGCCAACGACATGGACGTGCTTGTGCGCGCCGTCTCGGTGGGACAAGTGCACCGCTCCATTATGGCTACGGCGCTCTCGTCGCTCGTCACGGCATCGGCGTACACGGACTCAGTCGTGGCCGAGGCTTGGCGCCAGGGCGGTGGCACGCACTGCCCCGCCTCCGCAGCACGCTCGTCGTCCGAGGGTCTGCGCGCCCTGACGGTAGGCCACCCCGCCGGCACATCGCTCGCGATGGTCCAGCTGGCGCACGACGAGCCGGTCGCTGTCGTGTACGACCGCACCGCGCGCTGCATCCTCCATGGGCACGCCGAGATCCCGCCGTTCCCTGGACTGGCACAGGCGCAGCCCATGGATCTCTAGTCGCGTACACAGACAGACCCTACGGCCATGCGCTCGCCGCACGCCTCGTGCAGTCGGTCCAGCAGGGCCAGCGACGCAGCCATGCATCCGGCCATGGCCTCTGTCGCACACGGCGTCGCCGCCGCCGCGTCGCAGTGCACGAGCAAGCTGTCCGCGTCTTGAGCCGTGGCCGGCGGCGCCGCGGCCGCCCGGGGCGCCTCGATCGGGGCACCCGCCGCGCCGATCCACGCATCTGGGTCCAGGAGGTCGGCCGCCGAAAAGCCGCCATCGCCCCGCTCCTCGCGCAGAGAGGGCGCCATAGAAGGCGCTACCGGCTCCTCGCGCTCATGCACCACACCCTCCTTCGCCTCGTCCACCCACACCGCCACCGAGGCAAGGGCACGGGGCATGCGCATTGGGACCCACTCGTCGGCGCGCTTAGCGGCGACCATGCCGGCGGCCTGCATATGTGCCAGGAGCGAGACGCGCTCAGCACGCCACAGTGCCTGGGCAGATGGCGAGAGGCGCACCGTGCACGATGCGTGCGAGGAGCGTGTGCTGAGCCAGCGCACACGCCCTCCCAGCGCCCAGCGCCGGCCAAGCGCAGGACGTGACATGTGGAGAAGGACAGTTCCCTCTGCGCATGGCATCGCTCGCTCGCGCCGGCGTGCGCGGCCTGTGTACGCGTCCGGCGCGTGCGCATGCAGAGCGGGCAGTTACGCTGGCATCGTCCGAGGCAGAAGCGCTCGTGCCAGCCGTCCTTCATAGGCTGCGCACGTGGACCGACGACCACATATTGCTCTTCGCGCTGAGCAAGAGCCTGCCGCGCGCAGCGCTGTCCTCGCTCGTGTCGCACATCACCCAGTCGGTGCCTCCCCATGCACGCGTGGGCATGCTGGCTCCCGCCCTCCCGCCGGCGCTGGTCCCGGATGCACGCGCCTCCAAGCCCGTGCATGCAGCGGCGCTCGCGGCTGTACCGGCCAAGGACGCCGTGACGTTCCGCTCAACGATCCGGGGCGCGCCGCGCATCGCCGTCGGGCGATGGACCGCGCAAAAGGATCTGTGGAAGAGGGGCATGGAGCTGCGTGCCGATGGCCTCGATCGAACGGGGGAGTGGACCTCGCTGTGGGGCCGCGAAAATGCCGAGGAACACGTACCCGCGTCGCTCGCATCGCTGCGGGCCGACCAGATTGATGCTATGCTCGTATGCACGGACCCGCGTCCCGAAGGGCTTTGGGAGGGCCTCGACGCGCGTTTTCCGCATGCACATCTCATCGGTGCTACAGCAGCGCTCACGCCGTTTGAGACGGGGCGCGAGCATACGATGCTCGGCGCTGACATCTACGAAGAGGGCGCTGTGGGTCTCGCGTGGCGGCGCCCGACATCGCACCTTGTGCGTACATTCGGAGGGCTCGTGCCGCTGGGTCCGCGTCTCGTTGTTACAGGGTATGTGCGTGGTATACTAACAGTAGCGCGCGCGGCAATATTGTGTCATCGCTCAATGACCACAATGCAGCGCAGCAGTTCCTGCACCTCGTCCTACAGCGCCGCGCCGCGCCGCGCGACCACTTGGACGCAGCGCAGCTGCGCGCGCTCTCGAGCGACGTACGCCGTGACGACGACTTTTTCCTCGGTCTGTACGCCACCGAGACCGATCCTGTACCATGCCTCGTTGCGCGCATCCAGGCTGGGCACCCAGTGCGCGGCACGCTGGGCCTCGAGACGGAGACGGAGCTCGAGGGCCTCGCGCAGTACGCGCAAGTCTTCCGCGCCAAGCCGCACGACGACGTGCTCACGGATACGCCATGCGCCGCTCACGCAGGCGTACAATACGTGTGGGCCAGCGAGAACGCAGCGCCCGCGCATGTGCCGCCGCTCGCCGCGCCGGTCATGGCCAGGGGTGTGTGGACGTGGGAGCACACGTTTCTGGCCGGCGCCGAGTCGAGCTGGTTCGCACGCACACCAGGGACACGCACGCACGCCTGTGCCGTGCCGCAGTCGAGTGTCGTACTGCACCGCTCGTAGCCTAGTCATCGTGGATCCCATACTGCTGCTTGGCCTTCTGCAGCTCCTCTTCCCGCTGCGCAATCGATCCCTTGCCGGGGAGGCGGGATGGTACATGGTACAGCACGACAATGTAGCGCTCCATCAGGTGGAAGCCGTTCAGGTGGGTGATGGCGTTCTTCGCATCGTTCGCTTCCTCGTACACCACGTACGCCGTGCCACGCGTCTGCTGCGTGTTCCCTAGCCGAATCTGGCGGATCGCACCGTACCGCCCAAATAGCTCGTACAGATCGGCGCCATGGATGTTGTAGTTCAGGTTCTTCACGAACAGGATGCGGCTGTGCCTGCCACCCTCTGGCACCGACATGCTTGTACGCGGCCACGCGCCGTGCGGCGACGACGTGGGTACCACGTGGCTCACAGCACAACGATTACGTCAGAGCTATGTAGATGCGAGATGATGATTTCGTGCATGCATCGGCAGTTTTAGGCGCATTCCACGGCGCTGGAGGCCCGCCTGGCCGGCCCGGCTGCAGCGGCGTGCATGCAGCGGGCCTTTCTTGGGCATGCATTCAGGGTCTCAATTGGCGGCCTACTAGGTCCGCGTCCATAGCAGGCACATGGCGGTGACAGAGAAATCGCTCTTTGACCACACCTTGTTTGCCGCGCCGCAGGGAGGACAAGGTCGACTCGCCACAAGGAAGGCGTCTCTTGGTCTCTGTCACAGGCTCGCAATCAAGGGACTCTAGCATAGCCGCTCACATGAGCCAACCTCCGACGCAGGGACCTGCGGCGGGTGCGGCACCTGGCTCGGCCACCGATTCAAGGAGCCATCCGCTCCCGCCCGACCCGCACGGTGCCACTGTGACCTTCCAGACCCCTGATCACCCCGTGCGACCGACGCCGTCGAGTGACAACTTGAATGGATCACGCGGCCCCGGCCTTTTTCGCGGCTCGAGCCTGAGACAGAACCGCGATATCGAGTCCGGTACAGACTCAGGAATCGGCCGCAAAAAGTCTCTTGTGCGCCCTGAGCGCGCTCGTGCTGATCCTAACCACCGACAGTGGCACTACCGGAACCATGCCATGCAGATGGATCAGAATCACAACTCCAAAGTCATGTACATGCCATCCTCCACTGGACATATGCCCCGGCATGGCGCTGCTGACGGCGATGGCGCTGATATGTCGCATTTTCAGGGCCCTGGACACGGTGTCAGTGGCTACGGTGTCACTGGCCCCAATGCCCCGCCGCCAACGACCGCACGCCACCCGCAACTGCGCCGCGGTAAGTCGTTCCTTGGCCGCAACGAGGACAAGGTCGAATCAGGTATCAACTTTTTGCGCCGCGGCGTCAGTATGCGAAGGACAGCGCCGGGGAACCCGGATATGGCCGTGACCGAGGATAAGGAGCCCCCGCCCAAGGACGGCTGTATGGACTGGATCGCACCGGGTCCCGTGGGCCCGTGGATGATCTACTCATGGCTCGTCACCTGCTGCTTTACGGGCGGCTGCTTGAGCCTCGTTGGTATCAAAACGCCCGAACAGCAACGCGCATGGCGTGAGAAAATGGGTCTTATCAGCATTATCTTGGTGCTCATGGCTATTGTCGGTTACATTACGTTCGGTTTCACACAGACTGTATGTGGTGTCCAGAACCGCTATGATATGAGAGATGTGTATTATTCTGGTTCTGAAACATCAGCTGTCTTGGTCGGTGGAAAAATGATGACGCTTGACAACTGGAAACACCCTCCTTTCCCTGGCATTGAAAACTACGGTAGTTTGGGCAGGGTACCGCCAACCTATGACTATATGTTTTCGGCGGGGTACGGTGCAGATCTGAACTTGATTTTCCCTGTCACAGGCGGTGTTTGCGACGGAGTCCTTTCCGTCGTAGAAGGCTCTAATCCACCGCGCTACGCGGAATGCACGCTTCTGGCCACCCGTCTCGAACCGGGCTCTCGAATCTATACGGAACCGAAAATGTGCCATCCCCCCGAAATTCGAGAAAAGTTTTTGAGCGGTCGCGTGCCTAAGGCACCCGCAATGGGTGATGCCTATATTCGCTGGGAGGATATGAAAAACAATACGAATATAACCAATCTTCTATTCTGGCGCAATCATGTGGTTGACCTTAGAGTCCTTGACGCCATTGATCCACCGCAAATCCAGTCGGACTTCATCCAGAATCTTAAAGGAAATCAATCCTTCCGCGATCTATGGCGCTTTGGTGATGTTACGATGCAAGGTATGCGTGCTGGTCATACGAAAGATCTCGACTGTCTTGCATTGATTGGTAATATCGCCAGTGTCGATGTAAAGTCGTACGGGTGTATCGCCTCACAAGTGGAGCTGGTGCTCTCGATGATTTTCATTGTCGGTGCCGTGGCCATCAAGTTCTTGATGGCTGTAGCGTTTGCATGGTTCCTATCGTGGCGTATTGGTAATTACGATAATGAGTCGTATGCACAGCGCATGAAGCGCATGAACGAGATTGAGGACTGGTCCGTGGATATATACCGCCCCGCGCCGGCCGGCTACCGCCCGAATGTGAAAAAGACGTTCCTGCCGAAGACAAGCCGCTTCGGGAACCCGTACCAGAAGCCGCTGCCGAAGCCGACGACAATGGAGCGTAAGCTCGCTGCGGCGCGCATGGGCAACGTCTCGGCGATGAGTTCGCCGCCCAGCTCGCCCATGCTAGCGGCAGGACGCAGCTCGGCATCGCTACAGCCGATGCTGCCGACGTCGCAGTCGTCGCGGAGCTCGAGCTCGAGCAACAACTCGCCCTGGGGCCCCTGTCCGTTCCCGCTGTACAACGTGGTGCCGCAGCCGCCGTCGTCGTACCAGCCCTTCAACTTCCCCCTGATCCACTCGATCTGTCTGGTGACGGCCTACTCGGAGTCGTTCGAGGGTCTGCGTACGACGCTAGACAGTCTTGCGACAACCAATTACCCCAACAGCCACAAGCTGCTGCTGGTCGTGGCGGATGGTATTGTGAAGGGTGCCGACTCGGATATTTCCACGCCAGACATTTGTCTGTCGATGATGAAGGACCTGCTCGTTGCACCAGAGGAAGTCGAGGGCTACTCGTATGTGGCCATTGCCGACGGTACCAAGCGCCACAACATGGCCAAGGTCTATGCTGGCTTTTATGACTACGACGACCAGACCGTGGAGCGCTCGAAGCAGCAGCGTGTGCCCATGATCCTGGTCGCCAAGTGTGGTACGATCTTGGAGATGGACAGCGCGAAGCCGGGCAACCGTGGTAAGCGTGACTCGCAGGTGATGCTCATGGCGTTCATGCAAAAGGTTCTCTTCGATGAGCGCATGACGCAGTTTGAGTACGAGTTCTTCAACTCGATCTGGCGCGTCTCGGGCGTCACGGCCGACCAGTATGAGATCGTGCTCATGGTGGACGCCGACACGAAGGTGTTCCCTGACTCGCTCACGCGCATGGCTGCGGCCATGGTCGAGGACCCTGAGATTATGGGTCTCTGTGGTGAGACCAAGATTGCGAACAAGGCGCAGTCGTGGGTGACGATGATCCAAGTGTTTGAGTACTATATCTCGCACCACCAGACCAAGGGCTTTGAGGCCTGCTTTGGTGGTGTCACATGTTTGCCCGGCTGTTTCAGTGCGTACCGTATCAAGGCGCCGAAGGGGCCGAAGGGCTTTTACGTGCCGATTCTGGCGAACCCCGATATTGTGGAGCACTACTCGGAGAACGTGGTCGATACGCTGCACAAGAAGAACCTGCTGCTGCTCGGTGAGGACCGGTATCTGACGACGCTTATGCTCAAGACATTCCCTAAGCGCAAGATGATGTTCCAGCCGGCAGCCGTGTGTAAGACGATTGTGCCTGACTCGTTCCGTGTGCTGCGTTCGCAGCGTCGTCGCTGGATTAACTCGACCGTGCACAACCTGTTCGAGCTGATCCAGGTGCGTGACCTGTGTGGTACGTTTTGTTTCTCGATGCGCTTCGTCGTGTTTATGGACCTCGTCGGTACGCTTGTGCTACCTGCCGCGCTGGCTTTCACGCTGTTCGTCGTTGTTCGTGCCATTCAGATCCCCATTCAGAACGCGCAGAGGGCGAAAGACCCGGGCAGGCAGGATGCCACCGGCGAAGAGTTCCCTCTAATGCCCCTGGTCCTTCTCGCGCTGATTCTGGGTCTGCCTGGTGTGCTGATCGTCATTACCAGTCGCCGCTTCATGTATGTGCTTTGGATGTTGGTCTACCTCATTTCCCTTCCGGTTTGGAACTTGATCCTGCCGACCTACGCGTTCTGGCACATGGACGACTTCTCGTGGGGTGCGACGCGTGTTGTGCAGGGCGAGAAGAAGGGCGAGAGCCACGGCGATGCGGAGGGCGAGTTTGACGCTACCGAGATCACCATGAAGCGCTGGATCGAGTATGAGCGCGAGCGCCGCTGGCGCTCGGGCAACGAGTCGCGCGATACACCGAGCGACCCTGACAGTGCGTTTGGTCCATCCAAGAGCGGTCTGGACGAGACGGTCCCTGCGAGCGCCTCGACCACGATGTCACCCGAGGTGCCCGTGCCCCGCGGTCGCAATGAATCGGTGCCGCTGCTCGAGCTACCTGCGCCGCTCGGCCAGCGACAGGGGGGCAATGCGCCCAACTCGATGGCCGTGGGCTTCGCGCGTCCGCCGCCTGGCCCGTCGCCGGCTGGGCGCCCTCTGGGGCCTTCGAGCACCGGTAATGCGGGCTTTGCGCCGATGGGTTTGCGACCCCCTCATCCACCATCGATGTCGGGCCGTGGACCGGCGCCACTCGGTACGGGCGTGGTGCCTACATCAGACCCCCAGGCCTCGGCCATGGCGCGGCAGCACCTGTTTGGTGCGACGCCCACGAGCGCAGCACGCCCGCCGATGCCGATGCGGCCACCAGGCGCGATGTCGCCGCCGACCTCGCCGCCGCCGCAGTCCACGGCGCCCAACCCGTGGGCATCCATGTCTCCCCGCCCCCGCATGCCTCCGAACCAACCGCAGGGCGCTCCGACGATGCGGCCTGTGACGTCCTCGGCCCAGCCGAATTCGGTGCCCTCGAGTGTCCAGCGCATCAGCCTGGTGGACGATGGACCGGTGACTAGCAGTGGCCCTGTGCGGCAGGTGGTGCGTGGTGCGCGACGGCAGTCGCAGATGGGTGCGCCGCCTTCCTCCAACCCATTTGCTCCGCGCCCGCAATAGACTTGTAGTTACGCTGTATGATGCACATCCGACCACGTGGCAGCCATGCGGAGAACGACCGCGTCGATCGCGGTGTTTGGCTACGCTCCACTGTGCCCCCCTGGCGGCGAGATGGCGGAACCTACGCAGGGCGCGCCCGAGCCCACGTCTGAATCGCCGCACGCCGAATATAGTGATGAATTTGACCCTGCCACGCAGCCAGACTTGGAGCACGGAGATGACGAATCGTTCGACTTTGCTAGCGAGGGCGACATGCCTGAAGACGCCATGTACGACGACGAAGACGAGTACGACTTGGAGTACGATGAAGAGGAGCTCTCGTCTAGTCCGTCCATCCCTGATGAAAACATCAACTTTGATCTAGTGTACGCGCTGCACACGTTCATCGCCACGGTCGATGGCCAGGCAACTGTGCAGAAGGGCGACCACCTCGTCCTGCTTGACGACAGCAACAGCTACTGGTGGCTTGTGCGTGTTATGGCATCCCAAGAGGTCGGCTACATTCCGGCAGAGAATATCGAGACGCCGTATGAGCGCCTCGCACGACTCAACAAGCACCGCAACGTCGAGATCGCCACGGCGACCGAGGACGATAACGACATGCCGCCTGCCGAAAGCGTGCTTGTCAAGTCGCGCGCATCGGGCGACGTCAACGAGCAGTCAGGCAAGGTATCGGCCCTCTCGCGGCGCGAGCTCGGTACGGTGCAAGCGCAGGCGCAGCGCAAGCCCCCGAAAAAGTTCGGTGTCCTATTTGGCCAGTCGCAGTATCTCGAGCACAGCGGCAATGAGGCGACCGAGGACGAGGACGAGTACGATTTGCTCGACGTGGATGACTCGGTCGATGGCGCCCACGAGGCCGAGGACGCGGCCGAGCCTTCTGGCGCTGCGGCGCTCGCTCCGGCGGCCGAGGTCACCACACGCGATTCGTCCCTCCTGGGTCTCGAAGGCCTGCTCGGCAGTGCCGATGACTCGGCCTCGCAGGACCGTGCGCGGCCGGCGAGCCTACTGGGCATGCCCGGCTCCGAGAAGACGTTCCATGTGGTGCGAGTGTTTGTCGGCGACGATGTCGCTAGCGATGCCACGTTCAAGACTGTGCTACTTACACGCACTACGACGGCGAAGGAGCTCGTGAAACAGGCCATGCAACGGTTCGCACTGCGCGACGACGATGAGGACGACTTCCGCATCGTCCTGCACCAGCTGGATGGTGAGGACAAGGCCCTCGCCCCGACTGAGTGCCCGCTCCAGCTGCTGGACGAGCTGGCGTCGCTCGTGGACGACGACACGTCGATGGGCATGCCGGCCAAGCATGACAGTGTGACGTCGCTCATGTCGCTGCTCGATACGTCGCAGAGCCGACTCATGTTCGACTACAGCGACGACCGCTTCGGCAAGCTCTTCCTCGCGCGCCGCGGTCCAGTCTTTGACCGTGCTGTGCCCGAGGCTGCCGGCCGTGCGCCAGCGCCGTCCGAGACCCAGTGGCGCTTTACGATCCAGATGGCCCTATACCACACCGACCTGCCACCTGGCACCCACTTCGATCCCGAGACGGGCGAGCCGACGCGTGCTGCGGCGTCTTCCCGCGCGGGTAATCAGCCGCATGTGCAGAAACGCCTGCTGCGTTTCACAAAGAACGCGACCGTCGCAGAAGTCATCGAAGCAGGCCTCTCTGTCTTCCGCATCACCGATGCCGTCGTCAATGGCGGCGACGAAGTCGAGGCGCGCTTGTGGCACGCACGCCCCCGCGCCAAGTACACGCTTTCCGCTCGCTCCTTGGAGGGCGAGCAGCCCCTTCACCCGACCTCGAAGGTGCTGGCCGCCTTTGACACACTCCCACAGCTCACGCCCGTGGAGCCGGACTCCAAGCGGAAGAGCCTCGATGCTGCGTATGCGCCTGGCTCGCCTGGCGACCTCATGCACACAGACCCGCTATTTATTCTGCGCCTGGTCCCGTCCGAGCCCGCGATGGCCGAGTCTGTGGCCGACGCGGCGCCACAGGACACGCCACGCGCGTGGCACCCGCCTGTGATGGAGCCCGTCGCGCCGCCCTCGCGACCAGTCATCCGCCCCAACTCGCACCACGGCGTCGATCTCCTGCTCAGCGATGGCCAGCGCCTGCGCTCGATGCGTGTGCTGGATTCGCCCCGTGTGCGCTACGCGCTCCTCTCCCCGTCGAATCACTCGAGGGATGTGAGCGACGCGCTGCAGCCTGTGCTGGAGAACATTGCGCTGGTACATGGCCAGCGGCCGTCGCCCCAGGCTGACCTGCTCCTCTCGTTTGCCTCGCGCATGTCTTCGTTGCCCGACGCGTCGGTGCAGGCCGACGTTGATATGATGGTGCGCCACGTCGCGCGCGCCTCACCGATCGAGCCTGTTGAGCCGCGTGAGCCTGCTGCGCCCAGCATGGCGCCCGCCCTCCGGCTGCCTAGCTCGTCGCCAGGGACGCCACCGCCGCGCGAGCGCGTGGGTGGCCTGAATCTGCCGAGCCAATCGCTGCAACGCACGTCGTCCGTGCGCAGTGTCTCTGCGAGCGATACGGCTGAGCCCCGCTTCACCACGACGCTGCCGCAGCGCATTGGTGACCGCGTCATGTCCGACTCGACCGTGACGACCGGCACCGACCGGCGCGGGCAGGAGCGGTACAACTTCCATGCGCTGTACGGCATTGTGGATGCCCTTGTCCTCGAGACGCCGGCGAGCATGTCGGAGCCCACGGCGTCCGCCTTGGACGGAGGCGTAACCGAGTCGCCGCAGAGCAGTCTTGTGCGCGCATCGTCCGTCATGGCCAAGATGCTCGAAGACTCGCCGGAGGAGAAGCTGTATCGCGACTCGAACGGTCTCTTTGCGCTGCCGTGGCCGACATCGGACGCGAATAGCGTCGCTGTGGCCGATGCTCGGCATCAGTACGCCCCGCTCATGGCGCAGATCTCCGCCCTCGAAGCGGCTCTGGATGAGCAGCTGCTCCGTGTGCTGGCGTACCAGCTGCCCAGCTCCACGTAGACGGCTGGTTCATAGTGGCACGTGCGGCGGCCGCCTTTGTTACGAGATGGACCTAGTAGGTACACGCCACCGTCTCCGGACACGTCGCTCGCGCCGTCGCTCGTAGGCTTCTTCGGTGGGGCAACCAGGCGAGGACGCATCGTCACCATGTCGAACCGAGGTCCCCAGAATGTGTTAAAGCAGCTGCAGCGCATGCTCCAGCAGATGCAGGCTAACTCGGCCCGCATGGCGGGCTCCGGCAGCTCGTACGGTGGCCAGGGCGGCCAGGGCGGCCAGGGCGGTGGGCCTGTGAACCCGCTGCTGGGTGGCGCCGGCCTCGTGGCGCTGCTCGGCCTGGCGGTCGGCGTCAACGCCTCGCTCTTCAACGTCGATGGTGGTCACCGCGCGATCAAGTACTCGCGCATCTATGGTGTGTGTCCGACCATCTACAATGAGGGTACGCATCTGATCATCCCGTGGCTCGAGACGCCCATCGACTACGATGTGCGCGCGAAGCCGCGCAGCATTGCCAGCCTGACGGGCACGAAGGACCTGCAGATGGTTTCGCTGACGTGCCGTGTGCTCTCGCGGCCGAGCGTCGAGAACCTGCCGACCATCTTCCGCGAGCTGGGCTCGGACTACGACGAGCGTGTGCTGCCGAGCATTGTCAACGAGGTGCTCAAGTCGGTGGTGGCCCAGTTCAATGCGTCGCAGCTGATCACCCAGCGTGAAATGGTGTCGCGACTCGTGCGGGAGAATCTGACACTGCGCGCACGGCGCTTCAACATCATCCTGGACGACGTGTCGCTGACGCACATCTCCTTCTCGCCCGAGTTTACGCATGCCGTCGAGGCTAAGCAGATCACGCAACAGGCTGCACTGCGGGCGGCATTCCAGGTCGACCAGGCGCTGCAGGAGAAGCAGGCGATCATTGTGCGCTCGGCGGGTGAGGCCCGCGCAGCGGAGCTCATCGGTGATGCGGTGCGCAAGAACAAGGGCTTCCTTGAGCTCAAGCGCCTGGACGCCGCGAAGGACATTGCCAACACCCTGTCGACGTCGGACAACCGCATCATGCTCGACGCGCAGAGCCTGCTGCTCAATGTCAACGACAAGGCAGCGCCGGCCTCGAAGTAATCCTTAGATCTACTCGTACACTACACGCCCGTGCGCGTCACAGACTTGCGCTGGTTTGTGAAGCGCAGCACATCGCGCTTCTCGAGAATAAAGAGCGCGCGCTCCAGCGCATGCTGCGTGTACTGCTGTTTGGTACAGAATTCGTCGCGCAGGCGCTGGTACGTGGTGCTCCAGCCGATCGGCAGGCGGCGGCGCAGCTCGCGCTCCAGCTTCTGCACCTCCTCTTGCAGCTCGCCACGCGTCATGCCCTCGACGTTGCCGCTCTCCACGGCGTTCATCGTACTGAAACGGAACAGGCGGATCGCCTCGTCCACATGTTCCTCCGTAGCGTAGGGGCTCATCGTAACCTTCGCAATGCTCTCGCTCATGCGGATGATCGCCTCCAGTTGACGCACAGTGATCGCAATGGCCGAGCGCTCGTCGTGGTCCTTCTCCACTTGCGCCACCTGCTTGCGAATGGCCACAAAGTGGCTCGATAGTTTCTCCGACGCCTCGGGCGTGAGCACCGGTGCACAGCGCGCACGGCAATAGGCAATGTACCGCTTCATGCGCTGTAGATCAATTTCGCCCTCTGCCTCTGTCTGCTGCGACGCGCCATGCATGTGGATTCCGATGACGTGCTTCGCAATGGTCCGATCCCGCGCCTCGTTGTGCTCGTCCTTGACAATAAAGATCATGTCGAAACGGCTCAAAATGGTCGTTTGGAAGTCAATATTCTCGCCAGGCGATTTCAGGTCGTCGTAGCGGCCCCACACGGGGTTGGCCGCTGCCAGCACCGACGTGCGGCAGTTGAGCACCGTCGTGATGCCAGCCTTGGCGATCGAGATCGTCTGCTGCTCCATGGCCTCGTGGATCGCCACGCGGTCCTCGTCACGCATCTTGTCAAACTCGTCGATGCAGACAACACCGCCATCCGCCAGCACCATCGCGCCGCCTTCCAGGTAAAACTCGCGCGAATTCGCATCACGCTGCACCGACGCGGTCAGACCCGCCGCACTACTGCCTTTACCACTCGTGTACACGGCAATCGGCGCAACCTTCTCCGTGAACTTGAGCAGCTGACTCTTGGCCGTACCGGGGTCACCCAGCAGGAGGACATTGATGTCGCCACGAAGCCGCATGCCATCCGGCAGCACACGCTTCGAGCCACCAAAGAGCAGACATGTGATGGCTTTCTTGATATCGGTGCTCCCAAAGATGCTGGGGGCAATACTCGCCGCAAACTTGTCGTACAGGTTCGGCGTCTTGGACATGCGCCCAAATTCGTCCTCTTCTTCGGCGGTAAAGACGCGCGGCACGCCACGACCGCCGGCGCCACCCGTATCGATCTCCATGCCGACCACTCGCAAGTAGGGCGTGCGCAGCGCGACGGCATTCGGCTGTGCGCCGCTGCGGCCAGACGTGAAGGTAGAGAAAATGCCCGTGACAATAATGCTCGCACCCGGGACTACCTTGCCGCACAGAGCGCGGTCCATAGAAAGAAGCATGTGCCGAGGCAGCTCACCCACCGGCACCATATCAGGGGCCTCCTGCAGCTTGATCGTTTGCGCATCCACAAACGCACAGCGCTCGTGGAGAATGACATAGGGGTCCACACTGCACCGAAGACTCGGGTCCACCTTCGGCGCATCACACTGCCGAGGGAGCACGAACCCACCAAAGCCAGACGACACTAGAATGGTCTTGACGGCGCGGCAGTCACGGCACATGAGATGCAGCCGCGTTACACGCGAGGAGGGCACGGACGCGCTAATCACAATGCCAGGGATGCGGACCAGCCGCGAAATGTTCTCCGCATGCAGATCGCGCATGGCCATCAAGTTGGCGGTGGAACGGAGTGTGACCTGGCAGTCGGGAGCCTCAGGCCTCTCTTCGCCAGTTGTAACGGGGTAGAGGATTAAACGGGCTGCACGCTTCACCGCTGCCTCAAACTGCACTGTTAACACAATCCACGTACCAGCGTCAAAATCTCCGCTGGGGTCTCTCGCAGCCCTTGCGCCAACGCCGGACTCCACATTTGCACATGTTCCAACTGCACATCGAGCACATACTGCTTGACGAGCAGGTTGGAACGCAATCGGTCACGGTATATGTACTCGGCCCCAAGTCGAAAGTTCTGGATGAACTCGAACAGGGCCGTCTCATTTTGAGCCGGCGCATTGGGAGGCTGTCGCTCAAAAGGTTGAGATATAGCCTGGGTTGAATAGACACGACCCGCATCAAAGCCCGACATGCGTCGCGAGGGAGGACGACCGCAGCAGGCAGGAACCGTTCGTCGTCGGCTCGACGAGCGTGTCGCGCCTCCACATCTATATAAGGAATCCATCTTCCAATCACATGATACACGATCTACATCGGGCAGCGTGCAGCCCCGCCCTAGACGCGCAGGATCTTGACCGCTTGGCCCGCACAGAGCGCGAGCCAATCACTTCCGCTCGCCACAGAGGACGTTGTATAGTCGGTCCATTCACTGAGCAAGTTCTGGTAAAAGTTGCGATGCTTGCTCTGCTGCGACAAGCGGCGGTTGCCAAACGGCGTACGCAGCCAACTTACGTTGTTCACCATAGAGGGCGCTGTATAGGCCAGCACAGGCACTTCGGCACCGATACGCAGTCCTTCGTTGGGGGTCTGGCTCCGGTTGTACATGCTGTTTTGCGACCTCCGGCCCTGTGCGGAGGCGGACCGCAGCGTCGTACTAGCCAGGTCATACACCAGGCACTGCGCGTCGTCGCCCCCCGTGCAAATCATACCTTTGCTGGGACCATTCCGCCCCACACCCTGGCTAGGAGGGCCCCATCCAACACAGTTCACGGCGCCGCTGTGCCCACGAAGCTCCAAGATGGGGCTCCCCGGCGCACGCACGTCAAGAATCTGGACGGTATTCGAGTCAGAGTGGAAGGTGGCCAGATAGTTGGCATCCCACGGATTAAAGGCGATCCGCAAGAGCGGCAAAGTCGTGCCACCAGAGCCGTACGACGAACTGCCACTTCGGCCAGGGTGCCGGTGGCCCCGGGACGGTACTTGGGATATGGTTTCATAAATGATCGTAGAATGCTCCAAATTACGCAGGTCAAACACGCGCACACTGCCATCGGCCCCTACAGAGGCAAAAACGTCCGAGCTTCCGGGGCACCAGTCCACATCATACACTTCACGATCGTGGGCGATAAGCTGTGTGAGCGCTGTACGCGTAGGCAAGTCCCAGATAGTACATGTCGTATCAATGGACGACGTCACAATGAAGTTGGGCGACGGTGCATTCCATGAGAACGACGTCAGAGGGGCTGGTGGCGAAATGGAACTTTTCGCATGGGCTAGCGCACACTTTTCTTTTAGCAGAAACCGTGGCGCCGGAGGGTTTCGCTTTTTACTAGACAGGCTGTTCCGGAGGGACATGGCGCCGTACATCTCCGCCACGTCATCATTGCGTTCGAGCTCCCAGATATGCAAACAGTCGGCAGAGCTTGCAAGGAGGTCCGAGTCGGGATAGCCGTCAGACTGCTCCATAGCGCCCATCACAGTGCTCATCGAAGAGACACTCGACATACTCACACTTGCCTCAGAGACTTCTCCGGTACTCCACTCGTCCTCAACTACCTTATCAGATCCATCCAGAGAGTCTCTTGTGCGGAGTGTCGATGGCTGGAAACCCAGTTTTGTCGCAGGGTACGGATGCAGCGCATCCGCTAGCACCTCAACGTAGGACTCGCTGGCATCAGCAGACCACACATACTTTTTCTCATCGGTATGTACGCCAAGAACCTGGATGCGGTTGGTATGCTCCTCAAGAAAACTTCCTACCGCTAGCCTCGACGACCGGGGTATGCTGCTCTGGGACTCGCGGTCCTCCATACTGGGATGAGCGGCACAGCGTCTGACCTACCTTGTCGCTTCACGGGCTTCTAAACCAGACCATGCGAGCGCATATACAGGCCCTTCTATCAGCAGTGAAACACATACATGGTGCCTCGTACGTGATGGCACTCATGGCGCCGTCGTAGATCGCTCGTACAGGTGTCGCGAGTCGTTGGCTCGTTCGCCATGCGACCTAGTAGGCCCCGATGCACGTGCCTACATAGAGACGCGTCTTGATGGACCCAGACGGTGCTTTATTGATGGCCTCGGCGGGCCCCTTGGTCCAGCTGGTTCTGGATTACTTTGATGAGGAGCAGTGTACGTGATTCACGACTTATTCAGATGATGCAGCTCTACAGTTGATGGACGAAGCGTATTCATCCGAACTTCGACCGCCTGCGTACGTGATGGTTCCCCTTACATATAGCTTGCTATTGCGGCGCCTTTTATGTTTGAGCCTGTGCACAGATACCTACGATGATCACGACACAGAAAGGATACCTATGCCGAGACGTGGTAAGCAACACACATCTGCTACGTTTGTTCGCCCCTCTACTACGGCTGTGGGTATGGCTCGTGTGTTGCTTCTGCGGCTGGCGGATTGCAGCAATATGACTTGGCTCCCGGGAACTACGGATTGCCATAATACCATAAGGAGTCGCTTGATGCTTGATTGGGAGGCTGGTCGCCTAAGTGTGCTTGAGTTTGCGAGCACACCTTTCACTTTTTGGGCCGACGTGGCCATAATGGCAGGATTCGAGTCGATATGGGACTTACTTATGCGTGAATCGACGCCGAAAGCTCAGAGACTGGCAAGTCCTATACCTCTTGATCGCTTGGAGTTCTGGATGAATGAGAAGGACGACAAAACCCACAAGCGCTCGTATCATGACAATGGAGTCGCCACTCGCGAGCAGGGCCATGTGAGTGAGCTAGGCTTCCTCACACAAGGGGCATGGAGAACTTTAGATGTGCTTTTGTTTCTGGCAGCTCGCTGTCCTGAGGACAGATTTCTGGGCTCTAGCTTTATGCCGGTCATGAAGCCACTGGCGATCCTTTTCTCCTTCCCGCACGCGCTTGACGATCACGAACAACAGACCTACGATAAAGAAGAAAATTACACTGAACGACTTGATATTGCAGTGCGACTTTTACGCCATGTGTGTACCTATGCGGGAGGTTCGGTTTCTCGAGACAGCTTATACCAAACGTCAGCTCATCTCATGTTTCGGTGGAGCCAATCCGATTTGGACCGATTTTTCATGATCGCACAACCTTTAAAGTCTTTCCATGATATATGTTTCGTGCATTTGCACATGTTGTGCTGTCCAGGATACCCTATCGACCGATACTTGTATGGGGGTAAGGATCACCCTTGCGAGAAAGCGCTTTTAGATATGATTTCATGGAAAATTAACAGTGCTTTATGCAGCCGCACAAAATTTTGGCTCTCGGATATCGAGCTGCAATACCGATGCTTGGGCCTCAAGTGGTTTCTTTTGCGGCTAAGTGGCTATACTTGGCTACTACGTCAAGGTACAGTTCATCTGTCCAGAGAAGTTGCGGAAATGGCATCAGCACTGGATCAAAGGATGTTGTCCAATCAGGCTTCAGACATACGGGAGATAAGAGACGGTCTAACCTTGCTAGGCGACGAAATGAGGCTGCACCAGTAGTTTCTTTGTAGATAAATGCCCTGCCACGAAATCGTAGACAAGAAGTTCTGCGTAGTTTAGTGGCTATGACGGGGCCTTGTCAATAGACAGCCACGGCCCAGACCCGGGTTCAATTCCCGGCGCGGAAGCTTTTTTTACTTCCCCTGACCTAGGCAAGTCAATAATCGCACGAATAGTTCCTATCTTTTATCCATGACGACCAGACGAAATAGTACAACACTATAAATACACTCTAGCATTTTACAAAGGTCACAGGAATCCATAGTCCCTAAGAACCTTGGGAATCCGATCCAACCGCGTAGTTGGAAGATTCAATTGATTTGTTTGACGGGCATTCTCTTGCCCCTCGGGTATAGGAGGAAGTCTGGGTTCTAATTCCATACTTCGTTCGAAACGGTATTCATCCGACTTGCTTTGGGACATTTGATCGGTCAAGAAATCTTGTAAAGCATCAACCTTACACAAATTATACGGCACGGCCTGGTGGCGACGGATGTCCATAAACACTTCTCCCATCATTTGCCTTTTGCCAAAGTTTATCAAATGAGGCGCCGCGGGCAATTTGTCTGCGTTTCCATCTTCGATAAAGGTGAGGTCTTTTGCATAAATCCCAAAGAAAGGAACACACGGCGGTAGGACATCAGCCAATTTCTGTCGATACCAATGGTAATTCCGCGAGGCATCCGTAATTTTGTTCATATCCTCGAATTTTTTTCGCTGCTGTGCACTAAGCAATGCCCAGGTTTTACGAAGACGGAATATGCACGTTGTGTTTAAGGCCGAAACGATGCCCCACATCGTCGAAAAATTGTTCAGAATCAGACACTGGTTCCCTAACTCGATGAAAAAGCTCAGAGTGAGACACCGAAGGGGGGCGTGCTCTTCTTCCAGGATGGAGTTCGATACCCAGCTGGTCAACTTATTTTGCAGTCCAATAACATTTACAACATTTTTGGCATAGATAGCAGCTGAGGATTTCGTCCAGGCCTTTCCCATGCATTCCCGCGCAGTAATTTTTCTGAGCAGCTCGTGTTCACGAATCGTAAGTTGGCGTGCTAATTCAACAGGACTCAAGTCAAGCAGCAAGCGATCGCCCCTGCTTATCGGCAAGATGGGAGTAGGGGTATTCGTGCCGGTGGTGGTTTTGAATGGAATAGTCTTGCCTTCCCTCGCCCGACTCACCAATCGAAGCACAGCATCAGCTACGCCTTTCCACTCCGAGTTTGCGACATTCGTTGTAAAGAATTCTTCAATCATATCCAAGACAGGTACTTCGTCAGGAAGCGGAAGTTGACACTCGAGCCATAACTTGATGACATTGACGACGCGTAATTGAATCGGCTTCCTTTTTTCTTCGTGCCATTGCTTCAACAAGTCTTCGTCCATGTCATCAGGCGGCTGGATCTTGAAGCGATCCATGAGCAGACCAATAAATGTCTCTGCCGTCGTAAATGAACGATAAGTGAATATGAAAATAGAGGTAAATTTGTGGTCAAAGTAATCATGCCGAGTTAACTGTATGACCAGAGCCTCAATGGTTGCTCCCTTAACAGTGCCTTGGTCAGAAAATATGATGTCAGTCCCATGAAAAGAACGGAGATATAAAGAATTAGAAAGCCCATGGTGACTCCCGGGGGTTGACTCGCCATCTAATGATGAGACATTTGACCCTGGCAAGTCGCTTATGGGCTTCATCATGGGCGATTTCTCCGATTCGCTCAAGGAAAGTATCGATAGTCGGCCCAGGGAGCTGGAGAGGCTTTCCCGACTAGTGCCATGTCGTAATCCTTTAAAGGCGAGTCGCATTGGTAGTGAGGATGAATGCATGGGCGAATCTGGCGCGACATCAAAGGAGAACAAACTTGGGCTTCTCGTCTCCATCGAAACAGGAGATTCGCTTCTTGGAGGGCCCTCTAAAATATGCTCTTCGATGAGCTCGTCCTGAAGAGAAGAGAGCGTATTGATTATTTGAGTGCCACATTCACGGAAGTTAGTTTGAGCGGTGAGGAGCTCGCTATGCATGGCTAGAAAGTCTGATTGTCCTAGCAAAATTCGTGAGAGTTCTCTGGCCAGCGACGCGAAAGTCAATATTAACGACTGTAGTTCTTTTGCCATAGCATGTATTCGCTTAGATGCGAAACGACTCATACTAGCATCTTGCTTCCGTCCAGAGTTCTGTAATTGCCAGTGTATACTGATAAGCAGGTACCTTAGATTCTGGAAGATCCTGTCGGTGCCACGAAACAGCTTGTCAATAAACACCTCCTTTTCAGGATTTGCCATAGGATCCAGTGTTTGGAGTGTTGTGCAGCTCATCAGTGCGGAAAGTTCCTTCCGTATGATATCGATTTGGAATGGATAGTTGACTTCAGTCAGAGGCCCGAAGCTGTATGATCGGTTCGATTCAGAGGTGCTTGATCCCACCGAAAGACGGGGACTACTGACTGTTGTCCTTGTGGAAGCCCTGCTGGCGAACTCATCGGAAACCAGCTGAACATAGTTAGAAGGAAACCATCCTCGGGTCTCGCCATTCAGTAACCCGTCCCACCAGCCGCTTTCGAGCTGACCTAGTACCTCAATGATAGATCCAGCCTGGAACCGAAGCATGTTAGGTGACGTAGGATTGAAGTCATACTTCGCTCTTACGAAGAATGACATGGTGGTATCGTCGGCTGTCATTTCCAGAACAGGAATGGACTGTCGCCCTACTCCGGGAACGGGCATGACAGGTGCTGGCAGCTCGGCTGTGAAAATCTGGAGATGCAACCAAATGCAGCCATTTGGGTACTATGTCGGGTTTGTTGATTGAAGTCTACAATTACTAAAATTACCCGGGTTTTTTATAGAGCAAGCCTTTCCAAAAAGAAATCGGCAGCTCGTTTATAGACGTCGCGAAATGAAGCGTAATTTTCCGGGTCTTGAAGCTTGGCACGTGCGCCAGCAAATCCATGGTGATTGTTAGGGTAGTGATGCGTAATGCACTTGCTGGCGATATCAGGGTTGGCATGAAGGTTTTTGTAGAATTGTTCGAGAATTTCCTGAGGTTCGTCCTTTGATGTAAACGAAGCCATGGGAATGCAGATTTGGTTTGCATCCTGAGGATCGACGAAAGAAGGATGGATCTGTACGAACGCGCTGAAAGGTGTGCCCTTGCCACATGCCATAATGGCACCCTTGGAGCCCCAGCACAGGCCGTAGAGTCCCAGGGTTGTCACGCCGCTCTCTTGCAGAGCATTGGCCACTGTGAGAAGCGTGTCCCGGCACTTGACAGGACTGCCCTGGTTGGCGACAAATTGGTCCACAGTCGCCTTCTTCTCTGGCGTGTCCCAAGGCACCACCTCTTGGGGCAAGGGATTGCCAGCAAAAAAGTCAGGGAGAATCACGCGCGTGTCGGTCATCGCGGCAAGGATGTCTGCACCCTGCTGGGTGCTGGGCCAGTACCCAAATACGTCAAAGATACCCACAATAGCTTTTTTGCAGTCGTCATGGCCAATCGTATAGCACTGGACACCGCCGATGTTCTGCATCTTGCCCTTGGGCACATAGTCAGCCGCTACAGGCGGAATAGTGCAGCAGGCGGGTGATGTGATCGACGATGCCATTGAGTACGTGGAAGACGATAAGCTAAGGTATTTCTGCACGAATCTGCACTGGTCCGCAGCGTTCGTGTCGTGCGCGGGGATAAGAGCCTAAATCCGCAGAAATTGGTTGCCCCGAAAAATTGGGCCAATTCATTACTAACGGACACTATTCATCCGTCGTGTCTAATTGCACAGTGAGAGCGTCAAGGCCTGCCACTTCGGTGCGGAGGAGTTCCTCAACTCTCAGAACCAAAGCGCATGGGTCGACTGATGGCACTTCAAGGGTATCGATATGAATATGCTGTAACGTGAGTGATTACATAGACGTACAATAGAGCCCACCATAGACTCGCCATCCAAGGGCCAGAAGCGTGCTCTGGTATAGCCTGCCACGCCAGGGATCTCACACACCTTGTTTAAAGCATGCCTAATGCCGTCTGTGTCCATGGAACTCAAGTCTAGACACAGTATGCGGCCCGAATCAATAACCAAAGGGACCACGGATCCCAGGATCATGAGGCCAATGAGCAGCGAGGCAATCGGATCAAACCCCGTCCAATGGAAGTATTGGATCAGCAGCGTGCTGATAATCACACCCACAGACCCTAGCGTGTCCGCCATTACATGCAGATACAGACCTAGCATGTTGTGAGAATGCCCCTGGTGATCGTGACCATGATCATCGTTGTGCGAGTGGCCATGGTGATGGTGATGGTGGCCATGATGGTGGTGGTGGCCCATCGCGAACATACCGAACAGGTTGACCAGCAAGCCCAGCGTGCTGACGATGAGAAGCTGCGTCACATTGTTCATAACAGGCGGTTCAATGATGCGCTGGATGGCCTCGAACAAAATAAAGACGCTGATCAGCACAAGAAATATGCCATTAGCAAAGCCCGACAAGGTCTCCACGCGCTTGTATCCAAAAGGGAAGGCTTCATCTGTCTCCCAGGACGCCATTACACTTGCGACTAGGCCCATAAAGATGGCAGCGCAGTCAAAAAACATGTGGATGGCATCGCTGATGAGGCCAAGACTGTTCGTCCACACGCCCCATACCAGCTGAATGCCCATAAAAGCCAAGTTTAAGACGAGGAAACAAAAAATGCGCCGTGAATCGCTGTTTTTCAGGATCGCATGTACCATGCGGCGGAGATGGATGGAGACGCGGTACAGAAGCACCACGATGTCTGACAGAGCCGTACTGTCAGTGTCGGATCCTGCCATAGCGACGCGTTGCTCTGCCAATGTGACGCGCCGATACCAGGAGGTCATGTACAGAGGTGAGCGACGCAAAATGGCATAAAGCGAGAAGCCAACGCACATGGCAGTGGCAAGCTGGATCAGATTGACATTCACATTGAATACCGCGAAACCAATGGCCATGGCAGCCACGATGGCCATGGGCCAGGCATGAGCCACATACACGATCAATGTGACATACGACTCCAATGTCAAAGTCACCAGATTGTCGAACACCAGCACTCCCACGGCCAGGACAAAGTAGGCTCCCAAGTGGCTGATCTCGAGTGCGTCCTGCGCAGTGGGTTCATGCGTGGGCACCATTGGAGCTGGAAGCATCTTGAAGCCCAACATAGCTCCAGCGATGCTGAGCGGAAGAACCACCAAGGCGATCATGGACAGGCCCAGCACCATGGCGCGACGGCGGCCACCGACGTCTTTGGATGCGGTAAACATAAGACGACCTGACTCGATTGATAGGACCGCATAGCCCAGCAGCGACGCATACCCCATCAGTAAGTTCCACGTGTTGACCTGGTCCTGCAGACTGGCTGTTAGCCTCAATGTACGCGAGGCCGCATCGTCGAGTGTGTCGGCGAACGGACGACGCAACGTGACAGCCGAGCCGGTGAGGAGGCCCACGACCAGACTCAGAAGGAGAGCGATCGCCACGAGGGGGCCACCTGACTTGGTCCAGCGGCGGCCTATCTGGAGATCACGCATCCAGAGCTCGCAAAACTGTGTGAAAATCAACGTGCTGCCGGTAAGCGGAGGATACATACGTAGTAGCGCCCAGGTGCTGGAGCGACGTGAGCCACAGTAAGAGCTGGACAAAAAGAACTGCGCCTAGCATGAAAACGTGCCGGAGGGTGTGGTCCGTCCATCCGATGTGCCAGCGCCAGACCCGCAGTGAGGCCATAAGCAGCAGCGCGGCGAAGGAGGTGGCCATCGTTGCTACGGCCCACACACTCGCGGGAGCGTGAACGATGTTATCGTCCACGGGTGCATCCTGTCCGACCATGTCCCTCATCTGCGACGCAAATTCCTCCGCATCGACCTGGGGTACCAAGAGCCACTGTCTCGTGAGCCATGCCGCAGATGCCACGAGTGTCTTCGTGAGCAGCAAGGCCAGCAGGTGGTGGATGCGGATGCGGTGCGAGACTTGCACCGATGTGCCAGCCACCTGGTCCCACTTGACGTGCCCGCGCAGCCGAGGATCCGGCTGGGCCGGCATCGCATTGACCTCGACCATGGCGGGCGCAGACGGCACGATACGCGCGCCATCACCGCGAGGGTGTACATCACGTGACAAATCACGCGGCGACACAGCGGCTAGGACGACGACGACGACGACGACGTGGCGTGGAGGCGATGCGTGTGCATAGGGGCCTTGCTGTCGCGTGCGCGGCCGTGCGCAGCGGCGCATATCAAGTGCCGCGACCTGGCGTTGCTCATGCCATCCGTAGTCTTCCTCCGTTCGCTGTGCGACCGTTTCATGCCAGTGTGTTGCGCCGGGAAGCGCCGCAGACGCCGGAGGGCGAGGTGCAGCCGCGCCTGCAGCTCACGTTCACATGCACCGTGCCATCGTGTCATACACGCTCGAGCCATGAGTTCAGCAAGCGCTCGTACACCCATGGGATCGTCATTGTCGAGTGCCCTGGATGCAAGAATCGGTATGTCTATGTTGGCTCACGGCAGGCACCTCATTGCAGACAACCTGGGATGGTTTACCGACTCAAAAGACGAGCCGCGCACCGTCGAGGAAATCGTGCGTGCCAAGGGCGGCCGCGTGCAGGTCGGCACAATGTACGCGGACGGCTCGGGCGGCGAGACCATCGAGATCGAGTCGGGGGAAGACTAGGCTACGAAGCTAGGCCAAGAGGGGCTTGAAAAAGTCGCCCAGGCGCGTGTACAGGTCCTGGAATGCAAAGTAGTTGTCCTGGTCCTTGAGGTTGGCACGCGCAGCGCCAAAGCCATGGAACATATCGGTGTAGTGGTGGAAGCGGCTCTTTTCCACGAGCTCCGGGTGCGCCTGCGTGAAGTTGGCCCAGTAGGCATCCACATCGTCCTTCGGCTCATCCTTCGACGGGAAGAAGGCGAGGGGCACCGTCACCTTCTTCGCGTCCTCGGGGGTCACGAAGGCGGGGTGCGCTTGCGCCACACCGACGAACGGCGTGCCCTCGTCGCCACTCAGACTGACGATCTTGCCGCCCCAGCAGAAGCCATACAGGCCGATCTTCTCCACACCTTGGCTCTTCAGTTCCGCCACGACGTTCTTAATGTCGCCCAGGCGGTCGGGGATGCTGGCGATCGTGTCGAACCACTTGCCGAGGCGCTGACCCTCTTCCTCATTGCGCGGCGGGAATCCATCGATCGGCCAGGGGTGGTCACGCAGAAAGTCGGGCATAATCACCTTCACCTGCAGGCTGTCGGCCAGCAGGTCGGCGCCCTGCTGCGTGGTGGCCCAGAAACCGAAAATGTCGTAGATGCACAGCAGCACCTTCTTGGCATCCTTCGGGCCAACCACGTACGTCTTGATGCTAGCGATATCCTCGTACGTGCCCTTAGGTTGGTAGTCGGTCTGAACGGGCGCGATCGTGCAGCAAGCCTTGTTCGAAGTGCTCATGGTGGTTTCGGTGGCGGCCACGGGCCGTGCGACGCATCTGCTTAGGTCAGGCGCCCGTGCGCATCGGCTCACGTGCATGATGATGTGGCGGAGCCGCGGAGCATGGTCGTCGCCCAGCGCCGGTGTGCGGTGCTCGGGACACCGTCCTGTGCCTGCGGCACGTCGCGTTGCGCTCGACGCACCGTAATCACCCTACCTACACTATAGACGGACTGCAGCGTACCACGCGTAGCCACTCGGCGCGCCATCAGCTCAAGTGTATAGAGACGACATCGAACTGCCCGTGCGCACACAGGCCTTTCTCTTCTCTTCGCAAACATCCTTGGCGCACCGTAGCGCTCCTGTGGTCGCGCACGGCGCTTGGCCTCCCGGCGACGACCGGCCGGCGGCCGGCCGGCACATCACGTGGTGGGAGGAGCGCACGGCCGCGGTGCGGTCCCCGCACCACCACATGGCCGCTTTGCCGAGCAGGCCCGCCCCCCGTGGCGCGCGCGTACCGCACCGTCTCTTTGAGAACAAGGTGCATGAGTGTCCGCGATCGAGCAGCGATGCAGGCAAGACCGTGCCTCCAGAGCAGGTATGGGAGCGCGGCATCGTCATTGGCGACTGGACGGTGCGCGTGACGCACGGTCGCATTGCGAATGCTAGCGATATTGAGGCGCTCTCCGAGAAGCTCGATGTCCCACTTCCAGAAATGCCTTTTCTTCACAATGCACTGACGCTCGAGCATGCGCGTAGCGGCTTTTCCTACTGCTTCGATGCGGTGCGTGCTCTCCGATGTATCGATGGCGTGCGCCCTGAGCAGCAGCTTACTCCGATCGAGTGCGAGCCAGCCGCCCAGGCAGTGGGACCCCATGCGCGCCCGCACCGCACGCTCTCGCGCAGCGGTATTCAGGTCGCGTACGCGAAAGAGTGGGGGCAGTCCAGGCGAGCTGCGCTTGCTGCGCAGGGCGGGTCCTCTGCGTCGCTCACGTCGACGAAGCAGTACGACTGGACCTACTCCAGTACGTGGCCCGGCATGCCTGGCGCGACAGCACCGGACGACGTCCATGACCCGCGGTCGCCAATTCGCCGCACAGCCTGGCACGATGCCTTCCAGCTCGGTACGGATCCTGCGCGCGATCGCATCCCTGTGGAGCGCCTCAGCGCCGCGAGTGGCGAGCCGATTCTCTTCTACGACGACATTGTACTGTACGAGGACGAGCTGGGAGATAACGGCTCCAGCCTTCTCCATGTCAAGGTGGTGCGTACTAGCGACTCACGCAGCGTGTGATGCCCACGAGTCTGTTGGTGCTGCAGCGCTTCTTCCTGCGTGTGGACCAGGTGGTCTTCCGTCTGTTTGACACGCGTCTGTTTGTGCCGTTCGACGAGCCGACGCCGCGGGCCATTCGCGAGTGCCGCGGCATGCAAGTGCCCTATATCGACGTGCAGCAGTGCCTCCCGCCGCACCGCGCGAACGACCTGTCGCTTCTCACGCAGGTCGGCTGGGTCGCTGAGGCCATGGAGCGCGCGTGTGCGCGGCGAGCGCGTGCGCCGCAGGCGCCTTCGTCCGAGCGCTGGGAGGGCGAAGGCGCGTGTGTGCATGTGGCGTTACTGCGCCCTAGGGAACCTACAGCAGGCGAGGCATCTTGCTCGTCGTAGCCCCAGCGTCTGCGGCGCGCTTGCGCTCGCCGGGCGCGGCCGGCCGCGCCAAGAGGGCCTCGGGGATGTCAGCGCCGGTGATCTCCGCGTACTCGTCGACGACGGCCTCAAACGTCTCGTGGAGCTTCTCGAGGCGCTGCTCGCGCGGCAGCAAGTCGAGGACTTCGCGGTTGACGCCGTACAGGCGCGCCTTGACCTGCAGGCGGTACGCTTGCAGGCTGGCCGGCTCGTCGTCGAGGCGCACGAGCGCAAGCATCTCGAGTATGCGCGCCCACTGGCGGGGCGCCATCTTGTACTGCGTGCGCGCGGCACGGTACCAAGTGCGGTCCATCGGCGCGGCGAGCTTCGTCACGAGCGTCGCGTCGCGCTGGAGGCGCGCCAGGTCGCACGAGTCGCGCAAGCGGTCGAAGCGCTCGGACGGGTCCTCAATCGATAGTTCGCAGATCGATGCATCGCCCAGCGCCGCGTCGTATACAGCTTTGTACAGCTCCGAGCCGTGGCGCTGCTGCTGGTACGGCGGGAGGATGACAAACTGGCTGAGACGCAGTCGCGTCTGGTCGGGCCAGCACCAGAAGCGGTACAGCGACGTGTAGCCCACAAAGTGCCAGGACTCGCCACGATCCTGTACGCGCTCAAACAGCGTGTAAAACTCCCAGCGCGTATCGTCGTCGTCAATGTACGAGGCGCCCTCGATAAAAAGGAGCGCAAAAATTTGCACGCGCTCGTGCCACGCGCGGAAGCCGGGCGTGTCGAAGGTAGCGCGGAAGACCACAAACTCGCGCTCGCCGCCGCCGCGGCTCTTGTCCTGGCGTGTATAGCTGCCTACGCGCGTGCCATGCGGCTGGAACGACGCGCGCTCTGCCTCGACCACGGCCGGCCACTCGCCCGGCGCCACGAGCTCGTCAGCGGGGAGAAACTCGCTCAGTGTCTCTGCGACATCCATGATCTTGGCCGTCGTCTTTGTGTTCTTCGCCTTGTACTGCACATCGAGGCAGGGCCGCAGGCTGCCCGAGGCGAACGAGAGGTGGATATGCAAGTCCTGGTACCCAAAGATCGTCTCGGCCTCTCCAAAGATGGGGTACGTAAAGTCCGGATGGAACACGCGGTCGCGCGGCGACGGCGCACCGTCCAGGCGCAGGCACAGCGCCTCGTTGGCCGAGCTCGTCCACTTGGACGCCATGGCGCGTGCCTGGCCGCGCGGAGCGCGTCGAGCCGCCAGAGTGTCTGTCGGCCGAGCGCTCCGCGTGGAGGTGACAGCCCGGCGCCGCACGCCGCCCGTTGTGCTCCTCATGACGCGGGCGACGCGCTTTGCGATGCTCGCGGGCTGTGCCGCGCTGCTATACCTGATCTTCCTCGTCGGGATCGTTCCGGTGCCACTCGTGCCGGCGAGTGTGGCGGACGCCGTGCTGCCAACGGTGCGTAGGCGCCACTGACGCGCAGCTGCCGTGGTGGGTGCTCGTGAGCACCGGCGCCTACTTGCTCTTCCAGGTCGGCTGGGGCCTGTACAACTTTAACGACACGCCGCAGGCGTACGACGAGCTCTTGCTGGTACGTGGCGCCGCCGCGCGATGCTTACTACGCACAGGACATCAAGACTGCCAAGGACTATTTGCGCGAGCGTGGCGTCTCTGTCGATGCCTGAGGCGCATGCGCTCCGCCTCGGCGCGTGCGCCGTCGTGCGGCGTGCTGGGCGGCGCGCGTCGGGGCCCTGTTGCTAGATCCATAGAGGGCGGCCTACCAGGCTCCACGTGACACGCTCCTTTTCTTCGCTCCTGGGCCGCCGCGTCGCGCCGCTTGTCGATGGCCCCCATGCTCCGGCGTCTCGTTCGCGCGCGGCCGCTGGCCCTGTGGCCTCGTGCTCCTGTGTCTCCTGCGCGCATCGCTATGCCTGTGCGCATGTACTCCGAGACGCCTGCGCCGCCGGCGGAGCCTGCTGCGCCCGCCAAGGAGGCGGACGCCGGGCCGACCGTCTCGGTCGACTCGGCCGTGGAATTCACGCCGCTCCCTGGCATGCACGCGGCGGAGCGCGCGGAGCCTGTGCCGCCGACGTCGCGCGAGCCACCGTCGCCGCGCGGCCGCACGCAGCCGCACCGCCTGCATGTGCAGTCCTCCCGCAACAATACGATCGTCACATTCACCATGCCGACCGGCGAGCCGCTCGCGCGCGCGAGCGGCGGTAGCGTCGGCTTCCGCAAGGCCGCGCGCTCCGGCTACGAGGCCGGCTACCGCGCCGCTGTGCGTGTGTTCCAGCAGATCGGCGCGAACCGGCAGCGGTGGCATGTGAATGGCATCGAGGTGCTCTGGAACGGATTCGGCCAGGGCCGCGAGGCCGTCTTCCGGGCGTTCCAGGCCAGCGAGGGCGAGACCGTGCGCGGCCTCGTCAAGGTCATGACCGACAAGACCCCCATCAAAATCGGCGGCGTGCGCCCCAAGAAGCGACGAAGTACGTGTGCTATAAACTCACCGCAGTGCTGTAACTAGCGCTTGACCCATGTGTAGGCCTTGCGCGCCTTGGCGAGACCCGGCTTCTTCCGCTCGACCATGCGCGGATCACGCAGTAGCACGCCGTCTGTCGTCAGCCAGCTGTACGTACCCTTCGCCAGAACATGGCGCACACGCGCCTGGATCTCGGCGGCCTGCTCGCCCTCGGCCGTGCCCAGCGCCGCGACCAGCGCATTCGCAAGGCCATGCGCCAGCGCGCCTGCCTGGCCGGACGCGCCGCCGCCGCGCACAATGGCAAATACGTGGTACATGCCGAGCACGCCGGCCAGCTTGAGCGGCCACGTCACCTGCTCGCGGTGCGCGGTGCGCATGAAGTAGGCATGCAGCGGCGCGTTGTTCACGACGATCTGCCCCGCGGGCACGCCGTCCTTCACGCGCACCATCCACACACGCGCACTGCTCTCCTTCCGGCGGCCGCGCGCGTACGCGCGGCCCTGCTCGTCGATGAGACCGCGCGCAGACGTGCCGCCCGACTCGGATGCACCCTGGTGCGCCAGCTGCTCGCGCCGGTGCTCACTCGCAAACGAGTCGAGCACCTCGACGACCTGCTGCACAAGCTCGCGCTCGTGGGCGCTCGTGTGCTCCGCATCGCGCAGAAAGTGCGCAACGGCCACCTCGCGGTAGCGCAGGAGCAGCGACAGGCGCGATGACACACTGCTGTACTGCGACGCGCGCAGCGCCATACCCAGCTTGCTGCTCAGCCGCTCACGCGAGAGCCACGGCACCGTGGCGCCGCGCGGCAGTGGCGGCGGACGCGCATTCGGCGCAAGCACATACGCCTGCTCAAGCGCGCGCTTTACCTCGCGCGTCAGCTGGTCCAGCATTTGGAGCGTGTCCATGTACGACGGCTTCGTCGTGTAGTACGTCGGCGACGCGGGCTTGGCGCGCTCCGGCGCCGGCGGGCTCAGGTGCGTCGACAGCGACATGGCTCCTGCAGCGCTGTGTGCCATACGCACGCTCGGCACCGCGTACACGCGGGCCAGCGCTGCGCGGAAGGGCCCTCCCAGCATCGTCGTGGGCGTACGAAGAAAGGCGACGCGGCATCACGTGCACTACCACGCCTCGGCCGCGCCCGGCCCTCCCCTCCGCCGCCGGGATGCGTACGAGCGCGTTCCTCGTGCGGGTCCCGCACGCCCACTACCGCACCTTTGGCGTACAGTGCGTCGCCATGCGCGATAGTATGATGCTATGGTGCGGCGCCGTGCCGGACGACACGGGCGAGAACGAGGCGCCGCCGCCGGGCGACACGGACACGGACGCACATGCCGCGGCCGAGGCGGGCGCCGAGGCGCGCGCACCGACCGACATGGCCGGCGCGGCGACCGAGCCTGCGTCGGAGCGTGCGTGCGCGGCGCCCGCCGGGCGCCTGGGCCGCGACTGGAGCGTCGCGATGACACTGCCGGCCGCAGGCACACGGGCGTCTACCACCGGGACATGCCTGTACCGCGTCGACGGCGAGGCGGCGCTGCCGATGGCCCAGCGACTCGGTACGTCCTTGTGCTAACGCAGCCGCCGCGACGGGCCTCGCGCAGCTGTACCTCTCGCTCGACTTGCCGCCGGCGCTCTGCGTCGGGGGCCTCGTGCCGCTGGCGCCCGAAGACGCACGCGCGCTCCAAGCCCTCGAGCTCGGTCTCAAGGACGTGTGCGCAAGGATGCAGCGCTATACCCACGCCTAGCCGTGCGGCTCGGGCGGCGCGCCGTGCGCGGCGGTCGCTCGCACGTGATAGATCGTCGCGGCACGCCCGGCCTTGCGAGTCGCCCACGATGGACTTGTACGTAGGACGGCGCTCACGCCAGTCTCGACCAGCCGACACACACACTGATCCTGAATGACCTAGCGGCCTGCCTTGCGCGCGATGCAGCTGCTGGCGTGCTGGACGAGTCAGACTTTGCCGCGCTGCAGTACAGCGGCGCGTCGTCGAGCGAGCACGCCTTTGTGAGTGTCTCGTCGGTGCGCGCGAACCTGGCGCAGGCGCGCTTCGCTGCAGCGACGGCCGACGCGATGGCGGCGTCCGGTGCGCCTGCCCACGACGCCGCGTACACGTACCTCGAGCGCGTCGCCCAAACACTGTACAGCGCCGCTGCGCAGCTGCCGCACACGGACCTCGATGGCAGCCTGCAGGGCCAGGGCCAGTGGCCCCTCCCTGACGAGCTCGCGTACACGTACGTCGAGACACTCCTCAAGATCGGCGCGTGCGTGCCAGAGACGCGGCTCCCGGTGCTGCAGGCCGTGCAGCAGCTCGTCGACGGCCTGCGCCACCAGCTGCAGACGGACACCTCAGCGGCCAGCACGATGCGCTGCGTGCCCCAGGTGCACGGCGTCGCGCGTGCGATCCAGGACGTGGCGTTCCCGTGGGACACGGGCGCGCTCACGCGCCTCTCGGCGTCCCTCGCGCCGCTCGTCGAGGCCGCCGTCGTCCACCGCCTCGACGCCGCGCTCGTCGTCCTGCCCGAGCAGGCGGCGGCCGCACAGCAGTGCCGCGCCGTCGCTCAGGCGCGCGGCGCCCCGCCGGCGCCGCAGGGCGTGCCACACGAGAGCGCCGCGCACCACCGCCTGCTCGAGCACTATGCGCGCCTCGGCACGCCGCTGAGCGGCCACTTTGTCGCGCGGTGCGCGCTGGGCGCGATGGCGTCCCTCCTGGCGCAGGGCCTGTGTGGCCCCGCGGCCCCGCGCGACGCGCCGGCCTATGCGTCGGCGTGGCGCGCGCAGGTGCAGGGCGCGGCGAGCCGCCCCCTCGATGCGAGCGAGCCTGTGCCGACGATTGTGCGTGCGTACGAGGGGGCCGTCGCAGCGCTGTCGCTGGGCGGCGCTCTGCCGGCGGAGCTGTACGTCGGCGAGACGCTGTGCACGTCGCTCAAGGCCCTCGTGCTGGCGGCCGCGGCGGGCGCGCCCGGCGCCGAAGCGCTAGCGCTCGATATCGTGCGGAGCACCCTGAGCGAGCAGGCGCCCCTGCACGACGCATCGCTGCAGCGCGCGGCGCTCGAGGGCGTCGCAGTGCTGGGCCGCGTGTACCCTGCGCAGGTGCCGGGCCTGCTCGCGCATGTGCGTCGCTGGACGGCGCTGCCGCTCCAGCTCCTCGAGGCAGACCTCGCGAGCGGGGCGACGCTCCTCGACACCGCGGCGGCGAGCCTGGTGGCGTGCATGCGTGCGGGCGGCGCCGAGCCGACCGACCTCGCCGTCTCGACGACGTACGCCCTGCTGAACCACCTGACGCGCGACACTGTCGTCGCTGGCGCGGCGCCTGCGAGTGTGCTCGTCAACAGCACGCTGACCGTCGTGGCCGGCCTCGCGCTGCATCTGCGCACGCCGTCGTTCACCGCGCTGGTCGTGTCGCTGCTGCTCCAGCGCCTCGAGGGCCACAGCCGCGTCTCGCCGTCGCTCGTGCTCCTGCGCCTCGTGGCGCTTGCGCCCGAGGCGCCGCGCTCCAGCTTTGACAGTGTGCTCGCCGCGCTCAGCACCGCGGCGCGCGCTGCGCTGCGCCGCGACGGCCCACTGCCCCTGGGCGGCGTCGCTGCGGCGCTCCTGCGCCTCGCGCGCGTCCTCGATGCGGCTGCTGAGGCGCGCGCGGCCAAGATCGATGCAGCGCCCGACGGCGCGAGCCGCAAGGCCGCATGTATCCCCGTGTACCTGGCGCTGCTGGTCGAGGCGGGCCTGCACACGCACGGCGGGCGCACGGCGGCGCGCGAGGCCGTGCAGATGCTCCTGCCGGCCGTTGCGACGCTCGTCGCGCACGAGGACGTGCAGGTGCACCTGCACGCGCCGACGGAGCTCGTGTACCTGTTCCGCCAGGCGTGGGTCGTGCTGTCGCTGAGCGGCGCGACGCGCCGTGCGCCTGCGGCGCGGGGCGATGCGCTGCATGTGCTCGCGCTCAAGACGCCGACGCTCCTGCCGGACAGTGTGCGCAACTATGTCGACGACGATATTGACACGCACAGCGTGCTCAAGCAGGACACGCTCGGCGCGACGCCCGCGTCGGTGCGGCAGGCGCTGGGGCTCGGCGCGCGTGCGCTCGAGTCCGTGCGCACGCTCTCGCTCGCGCGCCTGGCGTTTGTGCAGGCCGTGCTCGACGTCGAGCAGCGGCGCGCGGCGTGCGGGCGCGTGTCCATGGCGCTCGCGTACCTCACGCACCCTGGCGTAGCGTCGTCGTCTCTGGCCGCGCCGCTGTGCGAGGTGGCGGCGCGCGTGCTGGACGCCTTCGTCACGCACGCTGCGGACCGGCAGCACGCGCACGCGGTCGATGGCGTCCTCGCGGACGAGGTGCGCAACGTGCTGCTGGCGCTGTGCCACGCGCGTGCCGAGGTCCGCGAGCTCGCGCACCTGTACCTGGAGCGGCTCCCGTCCGTGCTGCCGTCCGTGCTCGCGCACCCTGATGTGGTGGTGACGATGCTCGAGCTCGTGGCGCTGCTCGGCCGCGCGTGCGATGCGGAGCTGGACGAGGCGTACATGCCCGCGTACACGTACCGCTCCCCCATCGCGAACATCAGCATCGACGTGTCGGACCTGTACGCGGAGCGGCGCGATCGCCTGAGCGAGGTGCTCGCGCGCGTGCGCCGTCTCCTCTCGCATGCGCAGGAGGCGACGCCCCACACGCTGCGCGGCGCCCTGCTGCGCTACCTGCACGACGAGGCGTCCGCGGACGGCCTCGGCGCGAGTCTCGCGCTGGACTATGCGCGCGGGCGGCCGCAGCCCATTGGCGTGTCGAAGGTGCGGGGCGACGCCGCCGGCCCGCTCGCGCACGACCTGCTCGTGCAGGGCGCGAGCCAGGGCGCGATGGGCTCGGCCAGCGAGGCCGAGTGCGAGCAAGTGCGTGCGGCGCTCGCGGCGGCGCTCGAGCGCGCGGCGCCTTCGCCCGACGCGCTCGCCGCGCTGCTGTACCGCGGCGGCGCGCTGGTCGTCGAGCGCACGCCGCTGGACCTCGATCTCGTGTCGTTCCTCGTGCTGGTGCCGATGCACGTGTGCACGAAGGCGGCGCTCACGACCGCGACGCAGGTGTGGACGTGGGTGCTCGCCGAGCGCCCGTCCGCGCTCGTGGCGCTGGTCGGCGCGATCGCGCAGGGCTGGGCGCGCACGGCGGATGCGCGCCAGGGCCTGTACGCGACGACGCTGCGGGCCGACAGTCCGCTGGCGCGCCCCACGTCCATGACGGCGCTGGACCACAAGGCAGTCGCGCTCGAGGCGCAGCGGGCCGACGAGCTGCTGACCGGGCACATGCTCGTGCTGCAGGTGCTCGAGGATGTGCTGGCGTCGTTTGGCGCGTCGAGCGCGCCGCTGATGAGTGTGCTTGTGTGGCTCGTGCAGCACATCGTCGAGTCGGCGCCGCGGCTGAGTGCGCACCCCGTGATGCGTGCGCCGCGTCTCGCGCTGGCGTCGCTCGCACTGCGCGTGCTCGCTGCGGCGCATGTTGATGTGCTCGTCGAGGCGCGCCTGCGCGACGGCATCGCGCGCCTGCTGCTCGACTGGTTCGCGCATCCGCCGACGTGGTCGTTTGGCGGCGACCTGCGGCGCGCCGAGCAGGAGCTGCGCCTGCTGCGCTCGGTCGGCGCGGCGCTGCGGGGCGCCACGCTGCGGGCCGACTCGCTCGTCGCTACCGCGACGATCGCGCCGCCTGCGCGTGTCACGCTGCACAGCGCACAGCCTCTGGCGCCGCGGTGCACGCTCGCGCAGGCGCTCACGCATCTGCAGGCGGAGCTGCGTCTCCTGCAGCTGCTGCTGGAGAGCGAGGAGGCGCGCTTGCTCGTGTGGCGGCACCCGACCGAGTCGTGCGCGATGCCTGCGCCGCAGGCGACGCTCGCGGATCTGCGCACGGCGTGGCTCATCGATGGCCGCGTCGCTGTGCAGCTGTGCGCGCGCTTCCGCGACCCGGCGCTGCGCACGGAGCTGGGGCGCCTCGTGCGCGCGTCGCCGCACCGCGTCGTCGCGTGCTCCGAGGCGGTCGCGTACCTGCTCGCGGCGCCTGCCGAGGGCCGTGCGCGCTCGTGGCTGCACCTGTGGGCGCCCGAGCCGCCCGTGGCCGCGGTCGGGCGGCTGACGCCCGCGGGCGGCGCGCGCGACCCGCTGGTGCTGCAGTATGCGATGCGCGCGCTCGAGGCGTACCCGATCGACCTTGTGTTCTTCTATGTGCCGCAGCTGGTGCAGACGCTGCGGGACGACTCGCTGGGGTACGTCGCCGACTTTGTGCGCAAGACGTCGCGCATTTCGCAGCTGTTCTGCCACCAGATCCTGTGGAACATGCAGGCGAACACGCACAAGGACGACCTCGGCGAGGTCGAGGATGCGCTCAAGCCGACGCTCGACCGCCTGTCGAGCGAGATTGTCGCGCAGCTGTCGGGCGAGGCCCAGGCGTTCTACGAGCGCGAGTTCACGTTCTTCCAGGAGGTGACGTCGATCTCCGGCAAGCTCAAGCCCTACATCAAGAAGAGCAAGCCGGAGAAGAAGGCCAAGATCGACGAGGAGCTCGCGCAGATCCAGGTGCTCGAGGGCGTGTACCTGCCGTCGAACCCCGATGGCGTCGTCGTGGACCTGGACCGGCACAGCGGGCGCCCGCTGCAGAGTGCGGCGAAGGCGCCGTTCATGGCCACGTTCCGTGTGCGCCGGCCCCTGGCGGAGCACGAGCGCCGGGAGCCTGATGCGCCGGCGCATGTGGATGTGTGGCAGAGCGCCATCTTCAAGGTCGGCGACGACTGCCGGCAGGACCTGCTGGCGCTGCAGGTCATCGCGCAGTTCAAGAACATCTTCTCGGCGATCGGGCTGGGCGTGTACCTGGACCCGTACCGCGTCACCGCGACGAGCCCCGGGTGCGGTGTGATTGACGTGGTGCCGAACGCGACGTCGCGCGACGAGATGGGCCGCCAGAAGATCAACGACCTGCCCACCTTTTTCATGCAGCGCTACGGCGATGTGCAGTCGGTGCCGTTCCAGCGTGCGCGCCTGCACTTTGTGCAGTCGATGGCGGCGTACTCGGTGGTGTGCCACCTGCTGCAGATCCGCGACCGGCACAACGGCAACATGATGGTCGACGGCGAGGGCTATCTCGTGCACATCGACTTTGGGTTCCTATTCGACATTGGCCCTGGCGGCATGCGCTTCGAGCCGTACTCGTTCAAGCTCACGCACGAGATGGTCCAGGTCATGGGCGGGCCGCACTCGCCGGGCTTTGCGCTGTTTGAGCAGCTCGTCGTCAAGGCGTTCCTCGCGTGCCGCCCGTTCGCGGACGAGATTGTCGCGACGTGCGGCCTGATGCTCGGCACGGAGCTCCCGTCGTTCAAGGGGCCTGCGACGATGCAGCGCCTGCGCGACCGCTTCAAGACGGAGCTCTCGGAGCGCGAGGCGGCGCAGCATGCCCAGTGGCTCGTCAAGGACGCCTACGGCAACATGCGCGGCACGCTGTACGACCTCATCCAGGAGAAGCAGAACCAGATCCCGTACCGTCGATAGACTACGCCTCATTCGCTAGCACTTCCGCGGCGTCTGCCTCGCGCGCCCCGACACGTTGCACTGCGTGAGTAGCCCCTACGTACCGAGCAGCGTGTGGATGGCCGCCTGCGTCCGCGGCACGAGCAGCTGCTGCCGCGCCTCCCAGTCGCGACGCAGGTCCCAGTTGGGCCGGCGCGGCGCAATATTCGTCATATCCAGCTCCTCCGCCTCGCGCGCCCGGTCCTCGGCGATGGCGCGCGCCTGCAGGCCGTCGACGTCCATCTCGACCGTGTCCGTCGGCGCTGCACCGAGCGCCGACGCGGGCGGCTCGCTCGTGCGGTAGCTCCGCTTGACCGCCTGGCCAAACTCGTTGGTCGACGCAGCCTCGGTATCGCCCGCCTCCTCCGCGAGACGCAGCGAGCGCAGCGCCTCGATGCGCGCACGCCGCACCGCTGCCGCACGCTCCATCGCTGCAGCGAACGCCACCGACGACGCGGCCGGCCGCTGGGTTCGCTGACATAATCGCATGCACCGCGCTCCGTCGTCCCTCTCTCTGTTCTCGGCCATGAGGCGCAGTGCGGGCCTGTTGGCAAGCGTGCGTCCGCGCGTGCTCACGCGCGAGATGCCGTCTGTGACGCGATCCCTGTTTGGTTTGTTCAAGCGGCGCGCGCCTGCGCCTGCCAAGGCGCCCGCGCCCGTCCCGGTGCTCGCGCCCGACAACCTGTTCCACAAGCTGTCCGAGTCGCCGATCCCGTCGATGCGCGCGCGCGGCGAGCGCATCCGCTCGCTCGCGCCGTGCCCCGTGAGCATGGCCAAGTATGGCGAGCGCCGCCTCGTCAACTTCGAATGCCCCGACTGTGGCTGGCCCACGCACTACTCCGAGAAGGAGTGGCGTGAGGATACGGAGCATGCGCGGTACGTGCCGCGCCTGCGCGAGGCCAACGAGGACGAGCACGACCTGCGCAGCGGCCGCCCCATGAGCGAGTTCCAGCTGCCGCGCAGCCAGCCACACGAGGCGGCCGTCAACTTGTCCGGCTGGGACCAGTACTTTTACACGCGCAACTTTCCCTCGATCGAAGCGGAGCGCAGCAAGCGCCACGTCTCCAAGCTGCTCACATTCCCCATGACGATCGTCGGTGCACTGCACGAGTTCAGCCCGTACACGCGCCGCAACGCGCGCCTCACGCACGAGGGACTCCGCTCGCTGGCCCGTACGTTGCCCCACTAACCGCAGCCCTGCGTCAGACGCTGCATCCCGAGCTTGGCTCGCGGCCGCACCTCGACCCCGTGCGCATCTTTGTCGTCGGCGCACGCGCCGAGGCGACGCTTCCGCCGGACGTGTGGAACCAGATCTCGTACATGTTCCCGAAGGTGCCCATCCACGTGTTTCTGATCGGCCCCGAGGCCCTCATCCTGCCGCGGAACGTCCCGAGCCCGTGGAATCACCCCATGTACAAGGAGCGCGCGACGCCGTACCCCTTCCCGTCGCGCAGCATCGCCGTGTCCGAGAACCTCACGCTGACGGCCATCCAGACGACGTACGAGACGGTCCACTCGTTCTTCGAGCCGTTCGATCCCTACACGGACGTGTTCTTTGCGTTCGCGCCGGGCTTTGGCTTCCCCAGTGTGATTGCCGTCGAAGAGCAGGCGCGGCTGCGGGCCGAAGAGCGCGAGGACAGGCGGCGCACGCAGGAGGCGCGCGACACGTACTTTGCCAAGCACGCGCCCCTGGACGACGCGCCCCAGAGCTCGTTCCGCCCAACTGAGGTCGCGAAGAACCCGGCGGGCGGCGACGTGCCGTCCGACGAGCCGGCGCCCGCCGTCGTGGCGCTGCGTCCGCAGCAGGGCGCCTTTACGTCGCTGCAGGCCGCCCCGGTCGTGCAGGCACAGCGCGAGTGGGCGCAGTCCCTCGGGCAGATCCTCTCGACGCGCTGCGCCCTCTTCGTTTCGGGCTTCTCGCCCGCCGACGTGGAGCGCGACGTGCTGGCGTTCGAGTCGGTGGACGGCGTCAGCGGCGAGTTTGACTGGCTGCTCACGCCCGGCGAAAATGTGTTTGCGAGCCAGCAGTGGGCCATTGGTACGTGCCGAAACTAACCGCAGCCGACTTTGATCCACGCATCGCCGTCAAGGCCAACTGGGGCCTGTGGGCCGTGCGCGGCAAGCGCTACGACATTCTCGGCCCCCAGTGGGAGTAGCCATAGATGAGTCAGCACACCGGGCGCCGCCCGTCGCTTGCATCCACCATGTCGGACGTGTGTGCCTTCAAGTCCGGGAACGGCGCGGGCGCTCCTGCGCCTGCGATCCACGAGCACGGCCACAGCCATGAGCACGGCCACAGCCATGAGCACGGCCACACGCACGAGATCATGGAGCATCCCGGCCGCTTCGGCGAGCGCGACCTCCCGAACTATGCGGCGCGCCACTGGAACGAGCGTGCGTTCACCGTGGGCATTGGCGGGTGCGTTGATCTACTTACAGCAGGCCTGTCGGCTCTGGAAAGACGGCGCTCCTCCTGGCGCTGTGCCGCAAGCTGCGAGACCACTACAACATCGGCGTTGTGACGAACGACATCTTTACGCGGGAGGACCAGGAGTTCCTCGTGCGCAATGCGGCGCTGCAGGACACGAACCGCATTCGCGCGGTCGAAACGGGTGGCTGCCCGCACGCGGCGATCCGCGAGGACATCTCGGCCAACATGGAGGTGCTCGAGCAGCTGCAGGCCGAGTACGAGACGCAGCTCCTGTTCGTCGAGAGCGGCGGCGACAACCTTGCGGCGGCCTTCAGCGTCGAGCTGGCCGACTTCCACGTGTACGTGATCGATGTCTCGGGGGGCGACAAGATCCCGCGCAAGGGCGGCCCCGGCATCTCGCAGTCGGACCTGCTCGTCATCAACAAGATCGACCTGGCCGAGCACGTAGGCGCCTCGCTCGACGTCATGCGCCGCGACGCCGACAAGATGCGCGACCACGGCCCGACCGTGTTTACCAGCGTGAAGCAGGATGTCGGCGTCGACGCTGTCATCGACCTCATCCTCGCGGCGCGTCGTGCGGCGGGGGCGGACAAGGCGGGCAAGCCGCCGGCGTAGGCGTGCGTGGTGGCCGTCGCGCGGCGCGCGCGCGCCGCGTGCGCCGCTGCCGCTCCGTAGCGCGCCAGTAGCGTGCATAGAGAACCACTTCGGCTGTGCCTACGAGCAGCGCAGCGCCAAAGGCCACGGCCGCTTTCTGGGGTCAGCGTCGCGTACGTACCCAGAGGCTGTCGCGGCTGCCTGCGCCCCACCATACGGCGGTCGCCACGGCGCCTATGCTGAGAAGGATATTGACGAGGGCACTGAGCTGCGTGCGCGTCTCGCGCCATGCCTCGTGCTCCGCGCGCACCGCGTGCGGCGCGGCCCCGCCCGACAGGCGGTACGGCGCCGCGGACGGCTGCGTCGGCGCTGGAGAGACCATGCGGGCATATTCGCTCTCTTCGTGCGCGCGGCGGATGGCCTCGAGCGACGCGTCGAGCTCCTTGGGCTGCGGTAAGCCATGGCGACGTACCCGCTCATAGACGGCGCGCGGAGGATGGTACAGCTGCGCGCCGCGCAGGAGGGAGGCGAGCGTGTACGCGTCGTCGTGGGTGCGCGCCCACTGCGACACCTGCACGAGCAGCGTATGCGGCACGCGTCCCTCGGCGTGCGCGAGCGACGGATCCGCGGGCGCGTGGCCACCGAGGGGCACACGCACCATCTGCGACCGCAGTGCCTCCCGCACATCGCTCGGCACGTCCTCGCGTGCGGCCAGGCGCTCGAGGCGCGCTGCCGTGGCGCTCGGCACCACGAGGATCGGCATGGGCAGGAGCCGGGGCAACCGGCGCCCGATCGGATATCGGGGGCGGCCGCCTGCACTCCGCCGTCCATGTCCGCTGCCTTGGGCCTGGGCCGGGTGGTGCGCTCGCGGTGCCTCGCGCCGTGGGCGCCGCATGGCCCCAAGTGTACGGTGCGCCTTGCGAGTAGCCAGCCTACGGGCGAGACGCCGTCGGTCGCATACGAGCGCCAGGTGGCAGCCGGCGAGCTCAAGTCCGACGACTTCCAGCGGCGCATCGTGCGGCTGCTGGACCACTTGCACGAGCAGCTCAAGACGTACGAGCAGCCGGCTGTGCCGGAGCCGGAGGAGGGGCTCGTCGATGAGGTGCGCGAGGGCGGCCTGGCGAGCAAGCTGCTGTCGCTCCTGCCGCTGCCTGAGCAGGAGGCCGGCTCGATGGAGCAGGCCAAGCAGGCCAAGCCGACGGGCGTGCTGCGTGCGCTGGCGGGCCTCTTCCAACGTGCGCCGCCGCCGCAGGAGGCCGTGCGCCCCGAGGGCGCGCCGCAGGGCCTGTATCTGTATGGCGACGTCGGCACCGGGAAGAGCATGCTGATGGACCTGTTCTATGCGACGCTGCCGGGCCACATTACGCGCAAGCGCCGCATCCACTTCCATCAGTTCATGATGGACGTGCACAAGCGCTCGCACTTTTACAAGTCCAAGTACCACCGCTCGTCGGGGATCGTGGGGCAGGCGGGGACGCCGCGCGAGTCGCCGTCGAGCTCGGCCGCGGCGCCGACGCGTGGCGCCGGTGGCGCGGCGCACGAGGGCAGCGAGATTGACCCGATTGAGCCGGTCGTCCGCGAGATTGCGCGCACGACGCAGGTGCTGTGCTTTGACGAGTTCCAGGTCGTGGACATTGTCGACGCGATGATCCTGCGCCGCCTGCTCGAGGGACTCCTGCGCTACGGCGTCGTGACGGTCATCACGTCGAACCGCCCGCCGTCGGAGCTGTACAAGAATGGTATCCAGCGGTCGAGCTTCGTGCCGTGCATCCACCTGCTGCAGACGCAGTACCGCGTCGCGGACCTCAACTCGGGCACGGACTACCGCACCGTGCCGCAGGACCGGTACCAGACGTATTTCCTGAGCGGCGACGCGGCCGGCGTCGCGGCGTACGAGCGCGAGTGGGAGGCCCTCACGAGCGACGAGCCGGCCATCGAGGACCGCACGCTGCGTGTGTGGGGCCGCCAGCTGCATGTGCCTGTGTCGACGTCGAACGCCGCGCGCTTCACGTTCATGGAGCTGTGCGGCCAGCCGCGCAGTGCATCGGACTACATCGCGCTGTGCCGCGAGTTTCCGTGCCTGTTCATCGACGACATCCCGCTGATGACGCTCGACATGCGCGACCTCGCGCGCCGCTTTATCACGCTGATCGACGCCGCGTACGAGGCCAAGACGCGCCTGTGGTGCACGTCCGAGGTCGAGCTCATGAAGGTGTTTAGTGGTACGCGCGCTATGGACAAGCCGACGAGCGACCAGATGCGGGCGCTCATGGACGACCTGAAGCTGACGATGGACGACATTGGCGGCGCGTCGATCTTTAGTGGCGACGAGGAGCTCTTTGCGTTTGCGCGCCTCCTCTCGCGCCTGAGCGAGATGGGCACCAAGCACTACGCCGAGCACGCCGCGCTGCCGCGCCGCGGCTAGGCACGCCGGAGCGCCCAGATCTCCACCTTCTTCAGCAGCCCCTTGAGGTTCTTGCCGGCGTGGAAGCTGTGCGTAGTGAGCCACGCCTCCATGTCGGCCCGCAGCGCCGCGAGCGGCTCGGTGATCGGCAGCGCGCCCGCGAGCGTCGGATTCAGCGTAAGGTCAAAGAAGCGCGTCCACAGGTCCGTCTGCCAGTAGCGGCGCAGCGGCTGCTGGAGCCGGTGCCGCGCGCGGCCGTCGTCCGCGACGGACGAGGTCGTGTCCATGTACTTCCCGAATAGCAGGCAGTGCGCGATGCTCGCGAGGCCATAGTAGTCGGCCTGGTACGTCCACGGGCGCATCTCGCGCATCTCGATGCAGTCCTGCGCGCCCGGCGCCCAGTCGGCCACGAACCGCTGCCCGGGCACATAGCACCACAGGTCGACCGCGCGCCCAAAGTCAATCAGTGTGACGCCTTTGGCGGCCCACCCGTGCGCGCCGTCCGGCGCATACGTCGTGCTCCACTCGTCCGTGTCGTCCGCGCGGATCATGCAGTTGTCGATCTTCAGGTCGCCATGCAGGAAGCCGGCCGTGTGCAGTCCCTCCACGACGCGGCACAGCTCGATCACGTAGAACATCGCCAGCACCTCCTCGACGCCACCGGCACCGGCGCCCGTGAGCGCACTGCTCACACCGGCCGCGGCCGCCTGGTTGACCAGCTCGAGCAGTGTGCCTTTCGATGCATACTCGAGCAGGAGCAGCGACACGTCCTCGCACCACACAAAGCGCCGCGCGCCGACGACGCTGCGCTGCAGGGGGGGCGCCAGGCGGTGCCGCACCTGCTCGAGAATGTAGAACTCCCACCCGCTCGGCGGCGACTCCATCTTGAGCGCGAGCAGCTGGCGCCGCTCCATCTCGTCGACGTCGTCGGCGTCGACCTCCGCGTACGACGGCGCGGCCTCGCCAGCCATCGGCACAGCCTCGTTCAGGTCCTGCGCGAGGAACACGGTGCCGTAGCCGCCCTCGCCCAGCTGCGCACGCACGCCCAGCTGCATGTCGGCCACGGCGAGCTCGTGCGCACTCGCGCCGACCGACGCACGCCGCGACGTGCTGTCCTTGCCGACGCGCGCCTGGAGGCGGGGCAGGACACCCTGCAGCTCCTTCGGCGCGTCGACGTAGCCAGGTAGCGCGCCGAGCGGCACCGCCAAGTTGGCGAGCAGCGCAGCGACGACTTCAGGGTCCGCTGGCGAGCACGGATTCGGGAGGCGCAGCGCGCTGGGCGGCGCGCGCAGACCGCCATGTGGCACGGGCGCCTCGGGCACGGCGCCGCTCGTGTCCGTCTCCCACGCGCGGCTCACCTCGGTGCGCTCCGTGATGGGTGTCAGGGGCTGGAACGGCAGGCGCGACGGGCCACCGCCGAGCGCGTCGGGCGGCGCGGCGCGCGGCGTCGGCGGCACGTCGTTCTCCTCGCTCGGCATGACGGGGTACCGCACCGACTCGTCGGAGCCACTCTCGCTGTCGTCGCTCTCGCTCTCCTCACTGTCGCCGTTGAACATGCTGTCCACCTCGAGGATCGCCGCTCTGGTCACGACCGTCGGACTCGGCGCGCGCCGCGGCGCCTCCCGGCGCGGCCACCACTCGCCCGTTTGCGCATCCAGGTACGCCCACGGATCCGCGGCGCTCGTGGCGGGCAGGTGGCGCTCCGCGTACACCTCGTCCAGGCTCCGCTCGGCGGTGCGGGGCAGCGGCCGCGCCTTGTCCTGCACGTACGCACGAATGTCTACGCCGGGGTACAGGCGCTCGAGCGGCGCTGCGTGGCGCTCGGCCACGGGCTTGGCGCTGCGCTTCTTGGGCGCCGGCGCACGCGGCGCGCTGCGCGGCGGCGGTTGGAGCGCCTGGGGACTGTAGTGGAGGAACGGCTGGCGGCGCAGCTGGTCGGCCTCGCTGGGGGCGCTCTGGCCCAGCACGGCCGCGCGCGGCGTGCGGCGGGGGCTGGCATCTTCGTCCGAGTCGCAAAACACCTCGAGTGCGCGCGCCTGGGTGCGCGGCGTCATCGCGCTCTGGGGCAGGGGCTGGAGCGTGCGCGCCCCGAGCTGGTTTTCCTTGTGGCGCGTCGGCGCGTGGCCGAGGTCGGACCATGCGGCGCGGGCGCCTCTGGGCGCCTCGTCGTTTTCGTCGCAGTACACGTTCATCGTGCGGGCATTGGGCCGTGGCGCCGCGCTGGACAGCGGCTGGTGTGTGCCGAGCACATTCGCCGGCTGGCTCTCGCCGCGGCCTGTCTTGGTGCCGAGCACGCTGCGTCCGGCCTTGGCCATGGCGCGCGCGAGTGCTTGTGCGTAGTTTGTGCGTGGCTCGTCCGAGAGCTCAGGGAGGCTCAGGATGCGCTGCTGGTACTCGCCGTAGCGGCGCTTGAGGCGGTCCAGGGGGCTCGCGCGGCGCGCGATGCCGAGCTTGTACGTCTCGTCCGCCTCATCGTATGCGCCGTCGCCCTCGAGCACGTTCGCGAGCTCCTCGTACAGGCCCGCGAGGTTCGTCCCGATCTCGTTTGCGAGGAGGAACTGGAACACATCGCGCGGCACGTCCGTGTGCTGGGCATACAGAATCCACAGGCGCAGGTACCGCGAGTCGTGGCGGTACTGCTCGGACGCACGGAAGGTGCGCGTGGCGCGCTCGAGGAGCGGCACGATGCCGCTCTCTGCGCTCTTGCCGTCGGGGTAGTTGTCGATGCACCACTTGACGTAGGCGCACCAGGCCTCGAGCGGGTCGTCCGCCTCGGCATTTTCGGCGCTGTGGACGTGCGCCTCGTGCGCCTGGCGCTGCGCGGCTAGCACATCGTGCCGCTCTTTCGGGGGCATGCCGAGCGCCGTGCTCAGCGCATGCGCACTGCGCCCGCGCGCACGGGGCTGGACGTTCTCTTTCTGCGCCTCGATCTTCTCGAATGGCGTGATGGGCGTGGTCGATGTTTGATCCAGACTGCGCAGCGGCGTGCGCAGCGGCGTCTTGAGTGGCGTCGCGGCTCCTCGCATGGGGGTGTGGGCCGCGGCATGCGCAGGCGCAGCGTCGGGCCGGTCCATCGCGCCGAGTGGCACAAGGCACGGCGGCCCCAACCCACAACACGCGCGGGCGCGTATGTCACGTGCACTGAAAAAAGTGGCGCTGCCTCCACGACGGCCGCCGCGACGACGATGGTGAAGCGCCGGCGCAAGACCCGCACCCACAAGAAGGGCGTATGTGCAGCACACTGACCCCAGCCGATCAGCAATTCCACGGCTGACTCGCGTGCGCCCAAGAGCTTTGTGATCCGTGGCGGCAAGGTCGGCAAGAGTGTGTCCGCACTCGTGCGCGACGTGCGCCGCATCATGGAGCCGAACACGGCGTCGCGCCTGCAGGAGCGCGAGCGCAATAAGCTGCGCGACTACCTGACTATGGCCGGCCCCCTTGGGGTATCGCATATGCTGATCTTTAACCAGACGGACGCCGGCATCAATATGCGTGTGCTGCGGTGCCCGCGGGGGCCGACCGTGACGTTCCGTGTGAACAAGTATGCGCTGGCCAGCGACATTATGCACAGCTCGCGCCGGCCGATGGCGCCGGGCAGCGAGTTTACGACTGCGCCGCTGGTACGTGCGAGTGACTAACGCAGCTCGTGCTGAACAACTTCGGCGGCGACGACCGGCACCTCAAGCTGCTCGTGTCTGTGTTTCAGAACATGTTCCCGCCGCTGCATGTGCACTCGATGCGCCTCTCGCAGGTGCGCCGTGTAGTGCTGCTCAACTACCACGCCGAGACCAAGACGATCGACTGGCGGCACTATCTGATCTCGGTGCGTCCCGTTGGCGTGTCGCGCTCGGTGCGCCGCGTCATTGAGGGGTCCACGCGGCCGTCTGCTGCGTCGTCGGGCAGCGTTACGGGACACGGCGGCGAGCACCGGCGTCACGGACGGGCACTCGTGAACCTGGGTAACGCGACAGACATTGCCGAGTATGTCATGCGCGGCAGCGCGGCGACGGGCGGCGAAGACACCGATACCAGCGAGGCCGAGTCGGAGGCGGAGGACATGGCCGATCCGCAGAATGCCGTGGAGCTCGCGCAAAAGTACCTGGGCCGCGGTAACGTGGCGAATGCGCAGCGCGCTGTGCGCCTCCGCGAGATTGGGCCGCGCATGGAGCTGCGCCTCGTCAAGATCGAGGAGGGGCTCAATGGCAGCACAGTGCTGTACCATGACTATGTGCACAGGACCGCGGCGCAAGTCGCACAGCAGTCGCGCGAGGTGGCCGAGAAGCAGCGCCTCGCGAGCGAGCGCCGCGCCGAGCAGGAGCGCAATGTCGAGCGCAAGAAGCAGGCCAAGGCACAGCGCCAGGTCACCTTCGAGGACGACGTCGCGGACGCCCCGGACGGCGCGGACGAGTGGGAAGACGAGGAGGACGCGGACGACGAGTTTGCCTATGAGGACGCCGCCGCAGGTGCGCCCGCGAATAGCCAAGCGGTCGCGCAGGACGTGCTGGGAAGTGACGAGGAGCTCTTTGAAGAGGAGGACGACGAAGAGGAGCGCGACGACGACGACGACGACAGCGACCTCGAGCCGATCCCCCTCGGCGAGAGCGAATACGACCTCGTGTCGACCGGCGGGCGCGCGTCGCGCGCGAAGCGCCGCAGGTAGTGTCGTAGTCTTACTAATCCGCTCGGCCGGGTCGACCTTGCTGGCCACGCGTTCGTCTCGTTTTCGACGCTTCTCGCGCCATGGCCCAGATTTTCCAGAAGGACCCGCGCAACGCGGGCCTGTTCCTTGGTGGACAGCGCCTGTCGGGCTCGGATATCCGGGACCAGAATGTGCTGGCGGTGCAGTCGATTGCGAATGTAGTCAAGTCATCGCTGGGCCCTGTCGGCCTGGATAAGTACGTGCGGTACACTCACATCAGGATGCTGGTCGACGACATTGGCGATGTGACGATCTCGAACGACGGTGCGACGATCCTGCAGATGCTCGAGGTGGATCACCCGGCGGGCCGCATCCTCGTGGAGCTCGCGCAGCAGCAGGACAAAGAGGTGGGCGACGGCACCACCTCGGTGGTGCTCCTCGCGTCGGAGCTGCTGCGCCGCGCGAACGAGCTGGTGAAGAACAAGATCCACCCCACGACGATCATCACCGGCTACCGTCTTGCGTGCCGTGAGGCGATCAAGTACATCCAAAATGTGCTCGCCGTCAAGGTCGAGGCCCTCGGGAAGGAGAGCCTCATCAATGTGGCCAAGACGAGCATGGCGAGCAAGGTGATCGGCAGCGACGACGACCTGTTTGCGCAGATGGCCGTCGATGCGATGCTCGCGGTCAAGAATGTCAACAGCCGGGGCGAAACGAAGTACCCGGTCAAGGCCGTGAACGTACTCAAGGCGCACGGCAAGTCGGCGCGCGAGTCCATGTTCGTGCAGGGTTACGCGCTGAACTGCACGGTGGCGTCGCAGGCCATGAAGACGCGCATCCAGAACGCCAAGATCGCGTGCCTGGACATCAATCTGGTGAAGCAGCGCATGCACATGGGCGTGCACATTACGATTGACGACCCGGAGCAGCTGGAGAAGATCCGCGCCCGCGAGAGCGAGATGGTGCTGGAGCGCGTGCGCAAGATCCTCGCGACTGGCGCGAATGTGGTGCTGACGACCAAGGGCATCGACGACCTGTGCCTCAAGGAGTTCGTGCAGGCCGGCGCTATGGCGGTGCGTCGCTGCAAGAAGGAGGACCTGCGGCGTATCGCCAAGGCGACGGGCGGTCAGTTTGTGAGCAGCCTCGCGAATCTCGACGGCGAGGAGTCGTTCGATGCGAGCAGCCTCGGCACGGCCGACGAAGTCGTCCAGGAGCGCGTGGGCGACAACGAACTGATCCTCGTGCGCGGCTCTAAGGTGTACAGTGCGAGCTCCATTGTGCTGCGCGGTGCGAACGACTACATGCTCGATGAGATGGAGCGGGCGCTGCATGACAGCCTCTCGGTCGTCAAGCGCACACTCGAGAGTGGCTCGGTGGTGCCGGGCGGTGGTGCTGTGGAAACGGCTCTGGACATTTACCTGGAAAACTTTGCTACGACGCTCGGCTCGCGCGAGCAGCTGGCGATCGCCGAGTTTGCGCAGGCGCTGCTCGTGATTCCCAAGACGCTGGCTGTGAATGCCGCGAAGGACAGCACAGACCTCGTCGCCAAGCTGCGCGCGTACCACACGGCGGCGCAGAATGCCGAGGCGTCCGACCCGAAGAAGACGCTGCGCTTCTTCGGCCTCGACCTGCTCGGTGGTGCCGTGCGCGACAACTTGCGCGCGGGCGTGCTCGAGCCGACTGTGAGCAAGCTGCGCAGCCTCAAGAGCGCCGTCGAGGCTGCTACGAGCCTGCTGCGGATTGACGATGCCATCACGATCCCGCCGGAGCCGCCCAAAGAGGACCCCCACGACCATATGTAGTAAGCGAGTAGACCGTCAAGTGCCATAAATGCACGAGTGCAGCCAGGTGAGCAGCCTGGACCATCTTGAGGGCGTCGGCGCCGGGTGCGTGTCACCCTCGTCGCGCGGCGTTGTTGGTTCCGAGCTGGGCAAGATCGATTCGTCTTCGTCGGAAAACAGCGGCGAGGGGGGTTCGCCATTCGCCAAGTGCTCGGCATTCGCCTTGGCGACCTCGCCGACGATTTGGAATCGCTGCGTCGCACGCACCGTCGCCACGGCCGACTTCCACTTGGATCGGTAATTCTCTCGGATACCCGCGCCAATATCCTGTGTATCGTCCTGCTGTGTGTCCTGGAGACGAGCAAACCACTGAGTGAGTGAAGCAGACATACAGGGTGCTGGAGCGCCTCGTCTGAGGTGATGCGCTCGTCAGGATCGCGCGTGAGGCAGCGCTTGACGAAGTCAATGCCCGTGTCGCTCACGGTGGCCCAGTACTTTTGATCAAACGTGATATCGGCAGATTCGACCTGGCGGCGGAAGAGGGCAGGATCCGCGCTCGAGAAGGGTGCAAATCCACACAGCATGCAAAACGTTACGACGCCGAGACCCCACATGTCGACCTGTTTGCCGTAGTGCTTCTTTGCGACGACCTCCGGCGCAGCATACCCGATGCTGCCGCACATGTCATGCAAATCTGCATCGTTCTGGTGGCGCAAATGCGTCGCAATTCCAAAGTCGACGAGTACAATATTCGCATCGTCGGCCTCAGAGCGGTATAGGATGTTTTCGGGCTTGATATCACGGTGAACAGTATTGTGGTGGTGCATGTAGCTGATGGCTTCCAGAATCACGTAGATGGTGCGGCATGCGACTCGCTCAGTAAAGCGGCCGCGTGCAAGGCGGTCGAAGAGCTCGCCACCGCTCGCTTCCTCGAACACGAGGTAGAACTGGGTGTGAACGAAAACGACATACCTTATCATTCGACTCGAACCACTCGATGAGCTTTACGATATGGGGGTGGTCGAGGCTCTGGACCATCTCAATCTCACGCATGACCGTCTCTTCATGGCCCTTAAGTAGGTGCTTACTGATGATCTTCACGGCTACCGGCTCCTTCGACCCATCTGGACGCAGGTGCGTGGCTGAGCGCACGACACCAAAGGTGCCTTTTCCCAAAGTCTTTTCAAAGATATAATTTTTCTTTTTTGCTGCACGTCAGACACACAACTAGCGTACCATAGCTTGCCGGCTGCGTTGTGCTCATCTCAGAGAGACGAACAGGTACAGCGGAGGGGCAGCCGGAGAATCTAATCAACGTACTTCTCGCATTGACACAAGGCGCAGCACGGGCAGATGCCTAAGCCAATCACATAGATGGCCCAACACCATGTAGCCCCACAAGACAGGAAATTTGCTTACATAACCACAGGAGTTGCAAGCAAAAAAGAAAGAATACGGCGTGAGGGACTCGAACCCCCCACTGTTGCTGTTCCGATGGAAGGCAACTGTTATACCCCTTAACTAACGCCGTCGACCGCTGAGGTATAATACGGAGCGGCGTACAGATGATTGAGATTCCTAGTATATAAAGGCGCTATTAGTAACTGCAGGAGAAAAAAAAATTGCGCCTCGTGCACTGACGTCGGCCGGGACCACCATGGCAAAGTCGCTTCGTGCGAGCTCCAAACTTGCCGCACGCAACCGAAAGCGGTATACGGAAACGTCTGACTATGCTGTTACGGCGGCTGCGCGTCTACAACAGGTCTCGGAGCGCCTCAAGCAACGGATGAACCAGCCCAAACTCTCAGAGCTGGAAGCCGATAAGAGTGATGACGCGGAGGACGAGGCCATGGAGACGAAGAGCACGCCTGAGGCTGGGACTATGCAAGTGGATGGTGCTGAAGGCGAAGCGCCCCGCAAGATCAGCACGTCGGCGCCCCGTGGTTCCCGCAAGGAGCAGTGGCGCAAATCGCGTGGCCTGTCGATGCATCGCAAGTCCTCGAGCAAGAGTGGGCGGGCCAAACGCCGCCGCTAGTGCACGGGAAGATACCCTGTTTGGCACATGTTACCCTAGAGGAAACGGGTCATTATTATAACGTGTCTACATAGTTCCTTACTTGATGCATTCCACGACGTCGTCATCCAGGAACCCGTCAAAGAGGTCCTGGCAGGGCAGCGCAGGCGGTCCAAGGAGGCGGGGTGCACCATTCAGCGACGACGATTGTGACATAGATGGGCTCGGGCGGCTCAGCGTAATGAGCACAAGGCTCGCCGCCTTGATGGCTGGGATAAGCTCAGGCACAGACTCGAGCAGCGCCGTGTCAAGCATGACACCCAAGAGATTGTTGCCTTTCGCGAAGCGAACCGCCTCGGCCACGCTCGACTGCCGAGGATCGGCGTCGCTCGGCAGCATCGACACAGCCGCATCCGCGTCGAGGGTAGCGTGGTTGATGAAAAATACCGCATAGTTCGGCTGCTTCCAGTTGAGCGCCACACAAGCGCTCGGCACCGCGCTGCCGAAGAACAAACGGCGGCGCTTCTTCTCCCGCCCAGCTGCATCGTATACGGCGTGCAGCGTGGCGTCAATGCAAGGGTTGATCGGTGCACAATCCGCGTCGTCGAGCACCACCTCAAGCGCAAGGCCAATGTGCAAGGGGAGTGTCGAAAGGAGTGTCTCGAGCGACACCAGGGCACCACGCAGCTTGGCACTCCATTCCGCCATGCTCCGACCCGTGTCTTCGTCGCGAACGTGCCACTCGTGCCCAGTGTGTGTTGCAATCGTAGCAAACTCGGCCGCTGTAACCTGCGAGACCGTCGGCGCCCACACATCAACGGGGAGACGCTCCGTAGCACAGACCACAGGCACTGTATCCTTCGTGAAGCGCACCTGCACCCGCAGATAGTCGCCAGAAAGAGACGATGCAGTCACATACGATGCCATGTCGTGCGCATCGTGTGCGGCCGCGCCCTGCGAAGGCGGCGAAATAGTCAGGGGTTGGTTGCTGCCTGGCAGCGTGCTCTTCCAGTAGGTCTCCACGCGACCACCGATCTGCAGCTGCACCGTTCCGTATGGACAGACGCTCTCCACGACCACATTGATGTGCCCCACAGCGTTGAGGTGCCAGTCAAACAACGGGAGCTGCAGTTGCGTGCGGTTCTGCAGGCCATTCAGCACATCAGGAAGCAGTACCGTCTTGGCAATCCGTGCCGAGCCAAATGTCGGGAACAGTTCCAACTCGAGGTAGAACGACTCCATGTCAGCAATCTGGAACGAGACCTCTTCGCGGTCGTCGGCCAGCGGAAGGATCAGTGTGTGGGGGATGCCGGCCTGGACGCCACCGCCCGCCTGGCGTGGCGTCAGGACAAGCTTGAGCGACGACAGCAGACCGCTGCCCATCTCAATGCGCTCACCCCCGGACCGGTGGTGCAGTGTTATCGAGCTGTTGGTCAGGTTCAGGCACAGCAGGGTGCGCTTGTCCAGGTAGTTGTGACCATACGTGCGGAATGGAATAATGGGTGGCGGCAGGTGCAGCGAAGGGATACCGTCTAACTCCTGGTCAAGGTCGTCCATTGGCGCATCAGACGCAGCCTCTGAGGCGCTCTTCTCCGCCCCTGCCGGCGCCTGCGCCGCCTCGGCGGCCCTGTGCGCGGCAAGAAGCATTTGCGTACACTCACGCCAGCCGTGCCACGCTGCGTAGAACAGGGCATGGCGCCCCTTTTCGTCCACGTGGTCGATCGAGGCCCCAGCGGCCAGCAGCATTTCCACACACGCTGCGTGGCCAAACTCTGCCGCATAAAACAGTGGCGTACACTGCGTGCCTTTTTCGACCGCGTTAACATCCGCCTTGGCTGCAATGAGCAACCGCAGGCATTCGGTATGGCCAGCACGCGCAGCGAGCGTCTGCGGCAGCAGGCCCTCTGCATTCACCTCCGACTTGGCACCGCGCTCCAGCAGAAGACGCGTAATTTCCACATGGCCGCGCTGCGCCGCAATCGCCAGCGGCGACAAATCGCTAAATTCGGTCTTGCCTCGCAGCTCGGCACCGGTGCGCTGCGCGAAGTCGAGCAGCGCACGCACAATATGCGTATGGCCACGAACAATCGCATGGACTAGCACAGAGAAGCCGTCCATATCGACCCGGTTGATGATATCATCGCTGTGCTCCTGCGACTCGGGCAGTGAAAGCAGGTACTCGCACAAGTCAGTCAAGCCCAGCATGGCCGCGTACGCCAGCGCTTCGCGTCCATACACGTCGCAGCGGCGCGAGTCAACACCGTGCGTGATACATGCTCGTGCCAACTCAAGCTGTCCTGCGAGTGTGCTTATGTGCAGGGCGGTGCGCGCGTTGATGTCGTCGACAAACTGGTAGTCAGGAAGGCCAGCATCGATCGCAGCCTGCACCGCCTCCGGTGGTGCCGAGACAAGCGCACGCCACAGCTGGTGCATCACACCCGAGTTAATAGGCGTCGACTCATCAGCGAGCTCAAACTCGGCCGCCTGTGTGCGCGCCTGGTCTAGCAGCTGGCGCGTTTCCTGCGTGCGGCCCTCACGCACAGCGGTCGTCAGCTGCTCCTCCAGCTGCGCCATCGCATGGTCTTTGGCGTCAGACTTGCGTGCCGCTTCAAAGTCCAGGGGGCGCTCGGAATCGAATACAAGTCCTTCCACGGCGTCGTCGCCATCGGCCAGAAGCATGGCATTCGGCAGGTTCGTCGCTGTGGAAGGAAGGCTGCCGCGTAGCAACGCCGTCTCGCCCTTGAACTGTGTGACGGGCAGGGGATGGCCATCAGCTAGGCTCTCCAGCTGCAGGATGCTGGCAGAGGCAATATCGCTCATTTCGGCAATAAACTCACGATTGAAACAGGCTAACGTGAGTGGTAGATAACGTACGCTGTACTTCGACCTGGCGCTCTAGGTAAAGCTCTTTGGTCTGCGACTTGAAGCGCTTGTCCCACTTTTTCAGGATCTTGCGGAAGCCGGTAGCGTTAATTTCGATAAACTGCTGCAGCTTTGCAAGGTCCTTCTCAAAGTAGCGAAAACCCTCCAGCAGCGCTACCAAGGAAGGCGTGTCGCGCGTAAGGCGCATCGAATGGGTGCCATCCGACGTCGCGCGAGTGGCAAGTGCAATTAAGTGGCGCTTCTTTGAGATCAGCGTCGTCAGACGGGAGCGCAGCTCCGACTCTTTCTGCAGGTAGAACGCATTGATCTTCTCCAGTTCACGCTCCAACCGGAAGAAAAAGGCGGCTTTGTGAACCTGAAGCTCTGTGCCAGGCGAATCCGATGACAGAATGGGCTCCGTATGTTCCACATCGGAGGGGCGAACACTCGTAGCAAAAAGCGCAGCGTCAGCGAGACGGCCCTTTTCGAGCGAGTTGATAATCTAGCGAGTGAGCAAGTGCCTCGAGGCATACCTTCTTCAGGAACTTGTAGTCCAGGTAGTAGGCCCCCCATCCCGAGACTTGTTGACTGAGAATCTGTTTGCCAAACTGTAACTGTGAGCAAGAAATTACGCACCTTCATAGCGGGCGAGACGTGGGGGACTAGCGACCCACTTCACGCCGAGGGACTGTCGTCGCTAGGGAGTAGGACAATGCGGTCACGCTTAGGCTGCCCGCGCATGCAACGCACGGTACGGCCCACGTGCGTCACAGGGCACCGCTGCCCCGGTGGAGGCAAACCGCGAGGCGCTGTGGCACGTGATACGCGCCCGGGCAGCCACCCCGACAGCAGTGCGACGTGTCATCGAGCCACACCGCTGAGGCGATTTGCGCGCAATAGCTGGTGCAGCGCTAGCGTTCCTATCAGAGGACACATACTTTGACTGCACTGCCTAGCCACTGCACTAACACTCGCACGCATTCAGCACTGATCGCCTAGACACAGGCACAGGTTCAACCATGGAGGTATGTGAATGACTGTGGCGCGCCACTAACCATGCGCAGGCGATTTTGGACTTTTCGCAGGACCTTGACCTCGGTCTGCTCGACACTATTGTTGCGGCGATGTTCACAGGGGTCGGTAGCGAGCAGCGCATGGCACAACAGGTGCTGGCGCAGTTCCAGGAGCACCCTGACGCGTGGCAACGCGTGCCGGTGATTCTGCAACAGAGCAGCAATTCTCAGACCAAGTACATTGCACTGCAGATTCTCGACAAGCTAATCGCTACGCGCTGGAAGGTGCTCCCTGTGGATCAGCAGCAGGGGATCCGTAACTTTATTGTGGAGATGATCGTGACCATGTCCGCGGAGGAGGACATGCTCCGCCGTGAGCGCACGCTTCTGGGCAAGCTGGATACAACCCTGATCCAGATTCTCAAGCAGGAGTGGCCGCACAACTGGCCGAACTTTATTCCGGAAATTGTGTCGTCGTCGCGCGGCTCGCTCTCGATTTGCGAGAACAACATGGCCATCCTGCGTCTACTCTCCGAGGAAGTATTTGACTTCTCCGCCGAGCAAATGACGCAGGCCAAGGCCCGCAATCTGAAGAACCAGTTCTGCGGCGAATTCGGCGAGGTGTTCCAGCTGTGCACTGAAGTGCTCGAAAAGGCAACGAAACCGTCGCTGATTAAGGCTACACTGGAGACCATGCTTCGCTTTTTGAACTGGATCCCGCTGGGTTTTATTTTTGAGACCAATGTGATTGACAACCTGGTCGGCCGCTTTCTCGAGGTGCCCGATTTCCGGAATGTCACGCTCAAGTGCCTGTCGGAAATCGTGAATCTGAACGTTGGCCCCGAGTACGACCCCAAGTTCGTTGTGCTGTTTAACATGGTGATGACTTCGATCAACCGAATGATTCCGCCCTCGACGGACATTGCCGGTGTCTACGAGACCTCGACAGACGAGGACCAAGAGCTCGTACTGAACCTTGCATTGTTCCTGAGCAACTTCCTCATCGCCCATGTTCGTCTCCTTGAGAATGCAGAGAACCAGGAGGTGCTACTTAATGCACATCTCTATTTGATCAAAGTATCACAGGTGCCGGAGCGCGAGATCTTTAAGATTTGCCTTGAATATTGGGCCAAGCTCGTGAGCGAGCTGTACGAGGAGTTCCAGCAGTTCCCCATGTCGGACGTCAACTCAGTCTGGGGTCTGAACCTGGGTGGTGCTCAGGCGGCGCAGCGCAATGCGACGGGCCGCAAGGCGTTTTATGTGAACATTCTCTCCAACCTGCGCCTTGTGATGATCGAGCGGATGGTCAAGCCCGAGGAAGTGCTGATTGTCGAGAACGATGAAGGTGAAATTGTACGCGAGTTCCTCAAGGAGTCGGATACGATTGTCCTGTACAAAGCAATGCGCGAGGTGCTCGTTTACCTGACCCATCTTGACGTGCTTGACACGGAGAATATCATGACAGAAAAACTTGCAAGGCAGGTCGACGGGTCTGAGTGGTCCTGGGCGAACTTGAACACGCTTTGCTGGGCCATTGGCTCTATTTCAGGAGCTATGAATGAGGAAACAGAGAAGCGCTTCCTTGTGACGGTGATCAAGGATTTGCTGGGTCTTTGTGAGATGAAGCGTGGCAAGGACAACAAGGCCGTGGTCGCATCGAACATTATGTACATTGTCGGCCAATACCCCCGCTTCCTTAAGGCACACTGGAAATTCCTCAAGACGGTCGTCAACAAAAACTTTGAGTTCATGCACGAAACCCATGAGGGTGTCCAGGACATGGCGTGCGATACGTTCTCGAAGATTGCCCAAAAGTGCCGTCGACACTTTGTGATGCAACAGGCGGGTGAGCAGGAGCCATTTATCGACGAAATTCTGCGCAACCTACTGCAAATCACTGTGGACCTATCGCCTCAGCAGGTGCATACCTTCTACGAAGCGGTGGGCTACATGATTGCGGCACAGCCAAATCGGGCGACGCAGGAGCGCCTGGTAGCTAACCTGATGGAACTGCCGAACAATGCCTGGGACAACCTGATGAAGCAGGCCCACAGCAACGTGGATGTGCTCAGCAGCCCTGATAATATCAAGGTGTTGTCGAATGTGCTCAAGACAAATGTTGCTGCGTGCACCTCGATCGGGCCCTTCTTCCTCCCTCAAATTGGCCGCATATACCTGGACATGCTCGCACTCTACCGCAGTGTGAGCAGCATCATCAGTGCAAAGGTGGAAGCCGAGGGTCTGATTGCGACCAAAACGCCCATGGTGCGAGGTCTGCGCGCGATCAAGAAGGATATTCTCCGGCTTGTCGACACGTATATCCGTCGCGCAGACGATCTTGAGGCTGTTAATGCGAACCTGATTCCTTCGCTGCTTGACGCAATCCTGGGTGACTATCACAACAACATTCCAGCGGCACGCGACGCGGAGGTTCTGAATGTGATGGCAACTATCACAGCGCGCCTGGGTGGCCTGCTCACGGACAAAATTCCGCCGGTGCTGGATGCTGTGTTTGAGCCTACACTGAACATGATTAATCAGGACTTTGCCGAGTTCCCTGAGCACCGTGTTGGATTCTTCAAGCTACTGCGAGCGATCAACCTGCACTGCTTCTCGGCTCTCTTGCAACTTCCGCCTGCCAAGTTCAAGCTGACGATGGACTCGATCATCTGGGCGATCAAGCATACGATGCGCGACATTGCGGACACTGGTCTGAACATTTGCCTCGAGTTGCTTAACAACATCGCAGGTACCGACCCATCGATTTCGGGCGCCTTCTACCAGCAGTACCTACTTAACATGCTGCAGGACATCTTCTATGTGCTCACTGATGCGGACCACAAGAGCGGTTTCAAAACGCAGTGCCTTTTATTGGCGCGCATCTTTGAGCTGATTGAGACGAACAAGGTGGTGGTGCCACTGTGGGACCCAGCGCAGGTGAGCGACCCTGGTATGAACAACCAACTGTTTATCCGGCAATACACGGCGAACCTGCTGCGCACTGCGTTCCCCCATGTGCAGCCACAGTACATCGAGCAGTTTGTCAGTGGTTTGTGCTCCCTGTCGTCGGACCTCGTGCAGTATAAGGTGCATCTGCGAGACTTCCTGATTACGTCGCGCGAGGTGGCAGGAGGTCTGGACAATTCAGACCTGTTCCTCGAGGAGAAGGAGGCAGAGCAGCAGCGCAAGGCCGCCGAAGAGCGCGAGAATGCGGCCAAGATTCCAGGCATGCTCAAACCCTCGCAGATCACCGAGGAAGACGAGGAGCTCTGACTGTTTGAACAGCTCCTGTACTAATGGGTCGATTCTAGGTATAGGATCTACCGCCATCTATGTGCGGCGAGTGCCTGTCCATAGCAACAGCACAAGGCAAATGCCAATCACTAGAGCGAGGATAACATTGTCGCGTCGTCGTCGTCGCGCAATCAGCGAAATGAGACTCTGTAGACCTGGCACCTGGCCAGTGATGGATGTGAGACGTCCGTGAATGCTTGATAGAGTGTCGCGCTGCGCACGGAACTCGGATTGCGTCGCATACGCTTGTCTGCGTAGGTTAGTATAATCGACGTACTCCAAGGTCTCGTCAATCATGTGGTGTGACCGCTCCAGGTGTGATCGTTCGTCCAAGTAGGCCTGCACATCTGACGCATGTTGAGCACGGTACGCGCTGAAGTAAGCCTTAGCAGTCAGATACATACTCAATATCGTCCCGTATATGTCCCAAAAGTTGTTGTCGGTCCAGTGCCTGTCGCAGGCTCGTCTTGGAGCGGAAAAAGTCACGCTCTGATTCGACCAGTAGTTCGCGATGACGCTGGACGGTCCGTAACTGTGTCTGCGATGGCGGAAGAAGAGGATCTGCCATGTCATTTATAGAACGTGATAATTCCTCTTGGTCGTCTGCATATTGCACGAGCAGGTCTTGGATCTCTGCTTCCATCGCCGCCGAGTTCAAGCCGCCTGTTACTCCATCAGCGGATAAAGACGCACGAGAGGTGCCGCTCATATCCAGCGATACAGCACCCACCGTTTCTCCTTGAGCACGCTGTGGATCCCTCACAATGTCTGACACATAATGGGAGTACGCCAGCAACTTGGCGTCGAGCTTAGACTGCGTCTGCCGCACGCGCCGCGCCTGCTCCTCCCATGTCATGACAGTGGAGGAGCGTGGCTCGCACACGCACCTCTGCATTTACCACGTGGAGCACTGTGTGCTGACTAATCTATATGCAAACCAAACTCGAATCGGGACCTGGGCAGGCGCGTGCCGGCAAACGGACGAAGCCGCGCGGTTGCCTCTGCCGCGGCTTCTGTCTGTTTCTCTTCCCTCCACCGCTGGGCTGTGTCCTTTCTATCCCCGACTTTGTCTCCTTGTGCAAAGTCGCTCCCCCCATCTACCCAGCACATCTACAAACACAAGAATAGCTGTGTGCCTGCTTAGCCACAGCCTTAGTGTCAGCTACATCGCGTCGCGCGTCAACACGACCACTACGCCTAGCAAGTGGATCCTCCACCTCCACCCCAACGACGACGGCGCGGCTTGTAGAGCACTGTCGCCTTAATAACGGATCGAATCCCTGCTTGAGACACTTTCCCTGAACTTTGGTAGTCATGGATGCAGGAGGTCCACCACCAAGTTACCAAGAGTCGCGTGCCAAGTCGGAAGAGGCTCGTCCCCCGCCCTTGCACCAAGACGGCCCGCCGATGAAGGCTCAGAAACAGGACGCTACTTCGTATCCTGGAAAGGCAAGCACGCCGTCATCCACGATGGGACAATACAACACGATGGATTTTCTCGGAAATGTCACGGGGGGGCCACATGCCGCTGCGGCTGAAGCTCTCGCTACCTTTTCCTCGTCTGTCGGTGATTCGGCCAATAACTCTAACCTCTATGTGCATGTGCCGTCATCGCCTCAGATTCCAGTGCCCCAGGCCCCTGTCACACAGGCGCCCCCCCTGCATGGCCCGCCTTTTCTTTGCCCCACTTGCAACACTTCGTACTCACGTCTGGAGTACCTTCGCCGCCACGAACGGCGCCACGCCGACATCCGTCCTTTTTCGTGCCCATGCGGGAAATCTTTCTCTCGCAGTGATGTGTTGGCCCGTCACAAGACCAAGTGTCGCGTCGTACTCAGCGGTGAGGCCCAAGCGTCGCCGTCCAGCAACAGTTCGTCAACAAAGACAGAGCGCTCACAGCGCAATGTGTCACGCTCCACACGTGGCCGCCCCAGCACCCAGTCACGGCCACGCAGCGACAGAGACTCTTTCAGCGATCTTTCAGTCGACCCTGCCCTCTCCGGGACTGCGTCCGTCGACCCCTCTATGCAGCCGCCGCCACCGCTTGAGCCAGGCGTTCCCACTCACGGTGAGGGCGAAGAAGGCTCGTACGCGTATGCCACCTCTGCACCTGCGGCGTACCCTCCGCATATCCCGCAACCGCAACACGTGGACAGCGATTACGTGCATGCAAAGACGGCGGCGCACTATGCGCAGCCTCCCAGCAATGCCCATGCTCCAATGCCTGTGCGCATGCATGACAGCAAGGTGTATTCCCACAGTGCTCCGCGCACAGGTAGCGCACCCTATGTGAGTGGGGCCTCGGCCATCCATCCAGAGCTGTCGGCGCGTGGGGGCGCTGCGGGCATGTACAGCAGCCCGCATCAGACATCCGGCGCTAGCAGCCCCAGCCCGACGGCTAGTGGCTCTGGTGCTTACTATCCATCCCCGTCGCACATGGGTGAGCATAGCTCCGCGGCCCATTACGAGGGAGCAAGCAGTGTAGGCACGCAACCGCCTACGACAAGCAATGCCATGTACCCCCACAGTAAGGACTTGTCGGGCCGGTACGGCATGTCCTCTGCCAGTGCACTGTCTCCCTTTTCGAACACGGCGCTGAGCTCGAATGTGTCGCCGTATCTGTCTGCGTTCTCATGTGCACGCGATATGCCGGCACGCGTCTCGAGCCCGCGCCTCGGCAACTCGAATGGGAGCAGCTCGCAAGGTGGCCAGTCTCCTGCGACCTCAACTCAGCCGGCCTTGAATGAGCAAGCGGCATCGCAGCCGCCGTCAACGCAGCCGCAGCCTGATGCGTCGCAGTAAGCTCCCGATCGAATCCTTTAGTCGCTAGTGCCCCGCAGTGCAGGGTCTCCATGATATTAGCTAAGCGTAATCTATTTGGTGTCTGTGCATGGCCCGCCGGTTAAGGTGATTAGGGCGCGACGTACGTGCCAAGGTCATTTGAGGATTATTCCGAAGAAGCTGGATCTGTAATTCGCTTTTCTTGACAATCGATATTACACCTCGACCCGCGAAGCGCTACCGCAGCGATTCACGAGCCATGCCCTTGTCACAGCAAGGAGCTATGTCAGATGGTGGAAGTCTGTTTGCAAAGGATGAACTGGTTCGCATCATGATGCAGGCTCTTGCGAAGATGGGTATGGAACGTACGCTACATACGTTGAAGGAGGAATCAAATATTTCGATGGAAAAAGATTCCATGGTTCATCTACGGACAGCTGTGCTACAAGGTGATTGGAACGAGGCAGTAGAGGTGCTCCGTCTAATATCTGAATCTGTTCCGATGATCGAGCCTATATCCTTCAATATGTGCGAGTGGCATGATAGAAAGCGATGGAGTTCAGCACAGGACTTGGGCTTGACTTTCCTATGCGTGCAGATTTACGAGGAGCATTTTCTCGAGGAACTGGAAAAAGGGAACCACCATGGAGCCATGAAGGTGCTGCGCAGTCTTATCAAACCTCTATTTCCACCGGCTTCGGTTTCAGAGCGCCTGACACGCTTGCTCCTCTGTGTATCAGCTGAGGATGTGTGTCGCGAAGCACACTGGCCCGGTACGTCAGGTGGTGCTCGACAGGCTCTTGTGCGCAACATCGAACTCTGGTTTAGTCCCAAGGATATGCTGCCAAGTGACCGCCTAGATACACTTCTTCGTCAAGCCCTGACGTACCAGCGTGCACAACATCCTTATCATTCTTCGGAGAGCAAGGATCTGAAGCCAAGTCTGCTTAGTGACTACCGTCCAATGTCAGATACATTTCCTCAGCAATGCACACATATACTCCAAGGCCATACAAATGAAGTATGGGTGGCCAAATTTTCTAGTAAGGGCACTATTCTTGCAACCGGTGGTAAAGATGGACGCGTTATTCTGTGGAATACTGAAAATTGCATGGAGGCGGTGGCTAGTCTACAACATGCAGAGCCAGTTTCATGTATCGCATGGTCATCAGATGACACCAAGCTCCTTGTATCGACCGAAGAAGATGTGGTTGAATGGAATCTGGCCGACCGGCGTGCCAACGTGTTGGCAGAGCATACATGTAGTATTACGGCTCTGCAATGGCTTCCAATTCCCTTACCTACCTATTCGCATCAAGAGGACATGTATGTCACCGGTGCCCTAGATCATAAGGTTCATTTTTGGAGCTGGGGGGGTCGAAAAGAAAAGACCCTAGACTTTTTTCCCTATCGGGTGCTGGGACTCGATGTCTCACCCAATGGACAGTACATGGTCATACTAGGATGGAATTCACCACCCGAATCGTCACAGATAAAAATGGGTGAAGAACTTCGTTTGGAAGAGAGACAAGGCAGCCAGGCGTCTATTCAAAGATTAACTGACTTTATGCGGCGTTACAGCAGCTCAGCGAGAAGGGTTCGCTTCCCACCAGAGTACCAGCTCGTTCAGGCTTTACTCGGTAATTCATCTGACGCAGAGGATTTCGAAGGAAGCAATGAGCCAGTCGAGGCCTCAAGTGGGGGACATCACATAAACATGACGGGTCCAGGATCAAGCCTCGAGGGGGAGTTTGATTCTAACGATAATATCAGTGATCACTATGTGCCACCATCTGTACGCTCACAGTCTCCCATGAAGTCTATGCGTGTGTGGGTGTGGGATAATATCGCCCAAGCCGTGGTACAATCCTTTGACTTTTACAACAAATATAATTATATATCTTTTTCGCAAGATGGACGCCATGTATTACTGAGCCAAGCCTATGGACCTGTTCATATGATGGATATTAGGACCGGTTCTATTATCCAGAAATTCTACGGGCGCAAGGCAACTAGTGCTGTTTTGCGCACGGCCTTTGCATACCATGGTGACGACTTTGTACAAGATATTGGTGCCTATGTGACAAGTGGCAGCGACGATGGTCAGCTCTGTATCTGGCATCGGGCTACAGGACAGCTACTCCAAACAAACTGTGCACATCCAGAAGGCCGAGTCAATGATATGGTATGGGGTCGTGGTCCCGCTTGCATGCTGGCATCGTGCGGGGATGATAATACTGTGCGCATCTGGGAGTCTGCAAAAAAAATGCCGTTCCGGCCTACCGAGAGGACACTACAAAGTGACACGCCAGTATACCATGCGCCTGAGCCACAGGGCTCGTGCGCTCAACGAGAATTTGAGGTGCATGCACCCCTTTCTCGGAAAGTTCAGTCACATCAAACTGTGAGCATGGAACTCCGACGACAAGGCCGGCGATCACTTGCACGCCAATGGGAAGGTCTTACAGCACATGGGCCACATAGTAGCGATGATGCCAACCCTCCTTTTCTCGCAAGTGCGCCAAGCCAAGGCTCAGCACACCCTACTGGGCATGCGACGCTTGAATAAATGGCCTGTCAACAGGGATTGGCGGGATTAACTTGCGATAGCGATAGTGCCCCATGATGCCGTAATTGAATGCAGATATGACTCGATTTTCTCCTTATCAGTCCAGTTCTGACTCATCACTGCATATTTGTGACGAATTAGCAGAGCGTATTGCTTGGCCGCTGCGTGAACCTTGAAAAAAGAAGACATATCCAAGCGATGCAGACAACCCAACTCCGAAGTTGCAGATGTTCGCACAGCCGCCTTCTATATAAACTAGAAAGAGGTTTTTCCATGTTCTCTCCGTACGACTTTTCGTCACAGATGCCTGCCATGTTCTAATTGTCAACATTTTAAGTAAGGAATCTGTGAAAATCAGCGCCCGTCAAGTACATACCTAGCGCTTTTGATATCGTACAATACGTTAGCATGCAAATGCAGCTACTCTACTACTCTCAATATGACTATGCCTAACCAATCTTGTTTTGCTTCAGAGCTTTTCTCTGGAGCTTATGATAACTACACATAACCGAAACATTTCAAGCAAACACTGTATGGACGTGTTCCCTCATCCAAGTTTGCTCTCAGTACACTCCCCCCTTGCCACAGAACTAGCGAGTGAGCCATTGGTGCTGAAGGATGACGACAATGCTGTTCTTGAACATCTTTCTCCAAGGCTTTCCTTGCTTCCAATGGGTGACCACACGCTGCAAGCGGGATGGAGTGATGAGTCGCCCTCTCTGAGTGATTCACTGTTGTCACTCGACTTTGAGTCAGCTAGCGGTATGGGCTCCACGCTGCTGAACAGTGGCGGGCTTTCTGAACTGTCGCCGCTTGAGACTCCCCAGGATGAGATTCACACACAATTGTTCTCGCCCCTTGATTCTGTCTCACTTCCAGTATCTGGTGCGAAGACAAGAGACTCGATCCAGGGAACCGCTGAGCTCTCACCTGGTGGAGCCGATGAGAACCGCTCGCCAGTTTCTCCCAAGTTGACTTTGAAGCAGGACTTTACCCTATTTCCTTCAACAACGTCGCGTGGGAGTGTGAGTGGTCAAGAGGCGACTAGTGACACTATGTCTCTGCTCGACACCCTCAACGGTCGATCGAGGGGGTCGCCCAAGCCCACTTCGCAGTCGATGCCGCCGACAGCTTCTCTGCTAGAGATCGTGCAACCTGCCATGCCGTGCGCGCCTTCAGAGACAGGCATGTCGCCCTCTTCGACCGCAGAATCGGATGCACCAACAATGTTAAGAACGGCCAAGCGCCGCCGCCGAGAGGTTGACGAGCTGCTACCCATTGATGCACCTATCCAGCCGCGAAAGTACCTGACTGAGTCGGCAACTTCGCGTCGCGACTCATCGGTCAGTCAGACTGGACCGGAAAACGACTCGCCTTCTTGCTCTTTCGTGGATGGCTCACGGGAGCTGGACGCTCGGACGCAAAAGCGTCTGAGCAACACGCTCGCAGCTCGCCGAAGTCGCCACAGGAAGGCAGAGGAACTCAAGCGTCTATATGAAACAATCGCAACGCTCGAAAAAGAAGCGGCTATGTGGAAGCAGCGCTGTGAGGTGGCTGAGAAGGAGCGCGACCAAATGATGTTGAGTCGCCCTTGGTAGTTCATGCAGCCATTAGATTGCATTATAGGTAGCAAGCGATTCGACTCTATCCAATGACAACGATTTAGGGCTGTGACTCCTTGGCCGCTGGCTCGATAAGAAGACCTGCCTCACGTAGCATGCTTTCGAGCTCACCGGTTTGGTGCACTGTCTGTGAGTTAAACATGACATACTGTTCAGCATAATATCGCAGCCACCGACAAACTCGCCATTGACATACACTTGAGGAATGGTGGGCCAGTCGCTAAACTCCTTGATACCATCGCGCAGCTCCTGGTCCTCGAGGCAGTTGTAAGTGGCCACTTTGTCGGGGTTTACACCCTGGACTTGTAGTATCTGAAGCACGGCACGGCTAAAGCCACATTGGGGCATGCTCGGCGAGCCCTTCATGAAAACCACGAGCGGGTCCTCCTTGACGGCATTCTCGATCTTGGCGCGGGTTTCCGACGACAGAAGGCGTACCAGCGAGGGAGTCGCACTCGAACGTGCAAAGCGAGACATAGTTGCCGTAGGGCGCTGGCATGTTAGTGGGATCTACACACCAAGAGCGCCGAAGCTTGGCGGGCGAACATAGTGGCGGCGACGGAAGAAGATGGCTCGAGCCTCGCCACCTCAACAACAATTACGTAAGTGAAGCCCAAAGGTGAGGGCGGAATCTTTTTTCTCTTCGCGTTGGGCTCCATCAGTGCAGGTATGTGCGGCCGCAACGAGCAGGTCCATTTAGGATGAAGAATTTTAGATGACGAGTATGAGGGAACGGATGTCTTATGTACAGTCATATGGCAACCATGAGTGCCGTTTCCATGCTTCCAACCTGGCTACCAACCTGAAATCGGACCTGCTCTGGCGCTTGACGAAGCTGCTAACGTACAGCAACATGCCACCGCCCTATGATGACGAATCAGACTTTGATTCCGATGAGGAGTTTTCAGAGGTGCAGCTTGGCTTAGCTGATGGCCCTTTAGAGAACGAAGATGAGGCGAATCCTCTTGTGTCGCGCATTGGTGGTCGGCCCGTTTGGCTCCCTTTGTCACCTACGAAGCTGCCGCCTGCTTCGCTGGTGCAGTGTCAGTATTGTCAGAAACCGATGCAGCTTCTAGTACAGATCTTTGCGCCGCTTGAGAACTCTGCCTTTGACCGCAACTTGTTCGTGTGGGGCTGTGCGCGCGCCGCCTGTCAACGTAAGGGGCCAGGAAGGTATGTATCTATTGGGGCACTCGAAGATGACGTGAAATTTCTTCACTTGATGAGATGTGCATGCTTCTATGAAAAAACATCGACTTTGACTATTTTTAACCGCTGAGAGTGCCCCTTGCGTCTCAGAGCAGGCTGACAGGCAGTATCAAAGCTGTTCGTATGCTGAAACACAATCAACGCTGGGCTGCGAAACTGGCCAAGCAAGCTGAGCGGCAGAGAGTAAGGCAGGAGCGTGAAGAAGCCAAGAAACGTGCGGAGGCAGAGGCTGAATCCCGCCGCCTTGCCCAGGAGCGTACGACGAATCCATTCAAGATGGGTAGTGGAGGAGCGTCGTTGCTAGGACCGTCTCTCTTCGGGATACCCACAGTGACGCCAGCTGCTTCGGAGGAGGCACCGACTCCCATCGAGCCCGAAGACGAAGACGACGATGGTGATTTTGACGAAGAAGAGCGACTGGCCGAAGAGCTTGCAATAAAGGCCTCACTTGAAGAACAGCGCTCCCAACTGCAAGAGGACTGGACGCGTACCTCATCCCACTATACCACATCCCTGTATCTGAATACCATCCCTGAGCCTCGACGTGCTCAGGACAGTGACGTCCCGTCTGAGCCGCCTGTTCCTACCAAGGAAGCCTCAGTCGGTGGCGAGATCGAAGAGTATGAACAAATGACGATTGATGGCATTGACGACGTATTTGAGCGCTTCACGCGGCGACTCGGCACAGAGGCTCGCCAAGTTGTGCGCTACGAGTATGGGGGCACACCGCTTCCGTTTAGTGCCGTTGGCTCGCTCTACAAGCAGCTGTGGCCGTCTGGATGGCGAGAGCCTATGGATGTATCCTCGGTCCCGCCTTGCTCGCACTGCGGTGCACCGCGTGTGTTTGAGCTGCAGCTCATGCCCAACTTGGCTAACTTACTGCGCGTCGATAAGCTAAGTGATGCCGCTGGCATTTTGTCATCGTCCAACACTGAGGAACATCGCCAAGCAGAGATTTCGTCGCTACTTGGGCTTAAAGATACCCATTCAGATTTATGCACAGGTATTGTTTGGAGCACAGCCGTTGTGTTTGTGTGCAGCCGTGACTGCTGCTCAGATACGGAAGGCTGGGCAGAGGAGTGGGTCGGATTGCAGCATGAAGGTGATTTGTAGTTTAGTCATAGAGATGACGTGTGGAGAGCGTCTCCACCTGGGCTTCTCGTCGATCTCCCGTCTGTTCGGCATGATTCCGGTCGTGCGAGAGCCGCCATCGATCTATGAAAAGATTCGGCAAGCACCAGACGATGCAAATTTATGGTCACTTGAGTTTTTTCCGCCCAAGACCGTGCTTGGTCAAGCGAACTTGTGTGAACGTATCGAGCGCATGACGAAGTCACTGCAGCCGAGCTGGGTGCATGTGACGTGGGGCACGGGAGGATCTACCCGAGATTCTTCGCTGGAGCTGGCTGCTCGTGTGCAAAATGGTGTATTTGATCCAGAGGAGGACGTCTCCCTAGTCACGGCCCCTCGCGAGGGTGCGTGTGATGTGTGCTTGCATCTCACGTGTACGAACGTGGACCCTATATATCTGGATGATGCCTTGGACAGAGCGAAGCGGTTTGGTATCCGCAATATCCTTGCCCTGCGTGGTGACGCCCCACGTGGTGAAGAGTACTGGGTCGCGACAGATCAGCGCTTCCAGCACGCTATCGATCTGATTCGGTACATCCGCGCAAGACACGGCGACTACTTTTGTATTGGCATGGCTGGTTTTCCTGAGGGCCTGTCGCGTGGTACTGAAGCCGATCAAAAACGTGAGCTCGCGTTTCTTAAGGAAAAACAGGACGCTGGTGCTCAGTTTATCGTGACGCAGTTGTTCTACGATGTGGATTTATTTGTGCGCTGGTACCACGCATGCCGCCAAGCCGGTATCACCATCCCTGTTATCCCTGGCATCATGCCGATCCAAAATTACAGCAGCTTTCTCCGCATTGTGAATTTATGTGGTGCGACGGTGCCGCAACACGTGTTGGACCTGCTGGAGCCGATCCGAATGGACGATGCAAAGGTCAAGGACATGGGCATCGAGCTGAGCCAGGGGCTTATCCGCTCTTTACGTGCGCAAACGGACATCCACACCTTCCATATATATACGCTGAACCTGGAAAAGAGCGCTACCAATGTGATCAAGGGTGTCTCCGACGTGCCATCCCCGATTCCCGACATGCCCGGTGCCGAGACCTGGGATGAGTTCCCTAACGGTCGTTACACGGATGCTCGCAGTCCAGCGTTTGGTGAGATGGATGGTTACGGTGCCAGTCTCAAATTGCCACCCACACAGGCAGTGAAACTGTGGGGCACACCTGTCGACGAAGAGGATATTTCCCGGATGTTTACACAGTATGTCTCCGGACAGCTGCCCTGTGTACCTTGGTGTGATATTCCCGTGTGGGACGAAACGACGCAACTTCTCCCCATGCTGTTGCGCCTGAACATGCCCAAGGCAGAGGGTGGTAAAAGTTGGTGGACAGTGGGCTCGCAGCCTGCGGTCGACGGATGCGACAGTAGCGACCCTGTATTTGGCTTCGGGCCCCAAGGTGGCTACATCTTCCAAAAGGCCTTTGTGGAGCTGTTTCTCACGCAGGAAGACAAGGAAGCCTTGGTGGCCGCCATCCGCGCCAGTGAACGGCCCGTGACATATTTCGCCGGTACCTGTGATCCAGCATCGATGGAGACGAATGTACAAAAGCACGGTCTCAATACGGTGACGTGGGGTGTGTTCCCCGGCAAGGAAGTGGCGCAGTCGACGATTATCGAGGAGGCGTCGTTCCGGGCCTGGCGGGACGAAGCCTTTGCCATCTGGCGAGAGTGGGAATTGCTCTTTCCACCCCGCTCGGCGACTCGTTCGCTACTTCGCAGCATCCACGATCAACGCTGGCTGGTGACCGTGGTGCACCACGATTACAAGGACCCCAGTGGGCTGTGGAACTTGTTGGATCAGGTAGCGACCGCACCCTAAGTCCCCACGTCCTTGCCCGTATCCGGCATTTGATCGCCATATCGCCCACGCCACACTCCTAGCGCCGGGTCGACGCGTCCGTAGATGTGCGTGCTCTGGTTCCGCCGCAGTGCAGTGACCCACTCATTAACAATCATACGGCTATCCAGCATGACATTGATCTCCTGTGAGTGGAACCAGCTCTGAGTGTCCTGGTTGCCACTGCCCAGGATCGCCACCTGATCATCAAACGAGGCAAATTTGACGTGACAGTTGCGCTGCTTCCGTACTGCATTTAGCGGCTTGTCCATATCCTTGCCGGTGTACCAGTACACCTCCAAGTATTTCTCGTGTCCCTGGCCATCGTTGCGCAGCGTCCGATACATTTGTACCACCACCTGCTCGTTCGTGCCACCTTGGAACGGCATACTTTCGCTCTTATCGTTGAAGCCAAGATCAAGCCATAGTTCGACGCGCACGCCTCGACGCACAGCTGCCAACACTGCCGCCTTGACGGGCGTCGCATTCAGTGTAGGACTTTGTACAAATATATGGCGCTGCGCGTATCGAAAACCAGCGAGCCATGCAGCATTTTGAGGGTTCTCAATATCATCGTGCCCGGGACGCCCGTGCGGCCGGCGATTGACGAGTGCCATGGGTATAGGTTTGTGAGGGGTATGATAGATGACCGGCTCAAAGTCCAGCAGGCCCATCCATTGCTGGGCCGTCCAGCCGCCCACGCTCTGTGTAATCTGCGTCTCATCAAGTGCCTGTGCCTGAGTGCGGTTCGCAAAGCTGAGGCTCTTCGTAATTTCTTGCAGGCGCGTTGCAGCCTCGTTTGCATCGATCGGACGCGAATGCAAAGCGCTCAGTTCCACATTCCAGCTGCTGCTGCTGTCCTTACCCAGCAGGCGCATGGTGCTGTTGGTGAATAGGGACGCGCTAAAGGAGTTTGATCCTGCAGTCCGGTTTCGCCACAGGGCAGCAGCACGCTGGACGGGGTCGGATACCATCTCCCTTCCCGTCGACATGGAGGAGGGGCGTGCATCTGTCGCAGACGCCCGCGCTCGCATCATGTGCTCAACCATATCCGCCAGATGTACACGCATGCGAATAGGTTGTGTCGATGCAGCATCTCGCTCCTGCGACACGAGTGACTCGTATGCCTGTAGTGAGAGCTTGCGCTGGTTCTCCGTCGAGTCAACTTGAAATTGTGTCGATGGCTCTAATGGCGCTGGTTGTCCCAAGCATGGGAGGGGCGGCTGAAGCACCAGACCCCAGGACAGCAGAGCATGGTCATAGACTGCGTTGACAATGTCGCCTTCCAGATGGATGCAGCACTCGAGGTTCGGTCGGTCCTGGATGTTGATGCTGTTAATCAGGGCGACACGCCGATCGACGAGGAGGAGTTTGGCATGGAAGGTACCCATGAGAGGCTGGTGGTAGTTAATTACTTCCATCTGGATGTGAGTGAGCTCCGCTTCGGTTGGCAGCCCATTCGGCGCCCACTGTGATGGCGGCACAAGCGTCCGCTTGCGGAACAGATCGGCAGGGCTGCGTGGACCGCGATCCCACATGATCTTGACAACTATGCGAGCACCTCGATCGACTGTGCGCTGGTTCAGGCACCGAAGAGCCTCGGCAATCTTACTCACATTCTTGCCCAGTTGCCAGTAATTCGTGAGCAGAATCACCTCCTGCTGTGCATCCACGATACAGTCATAGTAATGCTGGATAATGTGCGGACCTGTAGAAAGAATGGAGCATGGGATCGTGCCTGTTGTTGCGAGAATCTGCGGTGAGACCACGCCGCTCAAAGGGTTCGCACAAACTGGCAGCATGGCGTCGGCAAGTAGCTTCAAGTACAGCTCGCTAGGTCCACCCTGTGCGGGAGTGCGATAGCCAAAATGCTGCCGCAAGTACTCCAGCTCATTAGCATCAGGCTCCTGGTTGCCTGGGTGCACGGCACCCTGGTGCCAGCTCCAGCCCCGCGCGCGCCGCGCTGGGGGCGAGTCGTACAGCCATTTATGCAGCGTCCCGCCACGAGATACGAGCTGTTTCGCAGCGTCCAGGGGCGCAATACTTGGATCTTGGGAGACACGAGACGTCACGGTATCCTCGAGGAAGGCTCGGGCAAGAGGCACCGTAGGCGTCTCCAACCCCATGACGTGAGTGGATCGCGAAGGAAAGGTGGCTCTTGCCGCTAGTGGAGGCCAGAACGGCGCTCCTGGGTCCCACCTCCCAGGCGGTGCCATGAATGACGGAGAGGCTAGCCTGTCGGCCTCTGCCGCAGCGGCCCTGCGCCATATTGAGCAGGCGTATCAGGAACTAGAGCGCTGTGTCGCAGGTGCTCCGCTGGATCGAGCAGAGGCCGCGCCACCGGCGGATCTTCTGGCCGCCTACTTATGCTTGAAGCGCGAGCATGCAGCACTCCGCGCTCAGTATGAAACAGATATGCGCAGATGGCTTGCGTTCAAGCAGTGGTGGAAAGCGCGGCTGCGAGAAAAGCGCCGCCGGCGCTCAGCGCGACCGACCGCCTCCCCGGCGCGCCCTGCGCCGATAAAATTGAGCCCACGCAAGGCACGAGAACAAATCTTGCAACACCGACAGCAGGTGCGTGAGATGATGCATGAAAATCCGGCTCTCTTCAAAGGGCTCGGGCGCTACAGCGCCCCACCTAAGCGGACCATACCCAGGCACGCACCAGACACGCCATCAACAGCCCCTGCACATCCTTCAGAAAAGCATACGCACGACTGTGAATGCTGTCGAGATGTAGGTTCATGAAGACTCACCGCAGTACTATGCCGCCGTCGGCCGTGGTACGTCAGAGGCCCCCGCTGCGCCCTCGACAAAACGCCACAAATCGGTCGATCCGACCCCACCAGATTACTGGTACGCCTATCTACCGATTCAGACTAACGATAGGAATATTGGATTCCCTAGCACACAGGAAGACGCGCCGCTAGTGTCCGAAACGAGCTCGGACGAGCCCCTGTAGCGCCGGCGCCATGGACGCGGTATGGTATGTAGGTGTGTAATCATACACGTCCGTGTGTGACGACCATGAGCGAGGGCAGCGTGCCCCTGCGCCGGTCGACGCGGGTACATTCGCGGCCGAAACTCTATGCTGAAGAAGTGTGGAATGAGGAAATGAAGAAGCATGCGTCGCCACGTACCCGAAAGACGCCGGAAAAACGGCCCACGAAAGAGACTGACGAAGCGTCTCCGACGAAGCGCCAGAAAGTGAGCACGGGGACGCAGCCGGCGGAGACTCCCGCGCCGCAGGAGAAATCCAAAAGCCAGCCACCATACCTGCCGTTGTTGATCCGTCAGCAGTCTCTGCATGCCTTGAGCCTTGCCGTCTTGTGCAAAATGTCCCCACACGAGCGTGCACGACGCCTGCTCCATGTGGGCTCCACACCCGAGTCGCTGCCGTGTCGGCAGGAACAGTTTGCCGCGGTCGTGAGCTGTGCCGCCGAAGCGCTGCGCACAGGGGCGGGTGGCTGTGCGTATGTGTGTGGGGTGCCTGGCACAGGGAAAACAGCGACGGTGCGTGAGTCCGTGCGGGCGCTGCAGAGCCAGCAGGAGCGGGGCGAGCTGCCTGCGTTTTCGTTCGTGGAGATCAATGGCATGAAGTTGGCCTCGCCCATGCAGGCCTATACGGAGCTATGGTGCGCGATGAGTGGGAACGGGCAACGTCTGAGTCCGCGCGCGGCCCTAAGCAAGCTCTCGTCATTCTTTAGCTTGGGCCTGAATAAGAAGAGGATGCCGACAGTGGTGTTGATGGACGAGCTGGATCTCTTTGTGACCTCGCGCCAAGACGTGATCTACAACATGTTCCACTGGCCAGACCTGCCAGAAAGTAACTTGGTCGTCATTGCCGTGGCCAATACCATGGATCTGCCAGAGCGTACGCTGCAGCCCAAGGTGGCGAGCCGGCTCGGTATGACCCGTATACCCTTTATGCCCTACACGGACCGCCAGCTGCTGGACATTGTGTGCGCGCGCCTCGGGATCGACGAGCATGGGACCCGTTGCAGCACGGCGGTGGCGACAGCCGGCTGCGAATCCGTCTTCAAGGTGGACGCACTGGTGTTTGCCTCGAAGCGTGTCGCCAATGTCTCGGGCGACGCGCGCCGCATGCTCGATGTATGCCGGCGCGCTGTGGAAGGAGCCGAGGAGCGCGCTTTGGCACAGCATTCGGAGCCTGTACCGATCACCATCCATGATATCCGCGACGTGATGGATCGCATGGCGCGCTCTGGCCGGGCCGCCCATATTGGAGCACTCTCACGGCACGCGAAGCTCCTCTTGGCCAGCATGTTTGCATGTATTCGCCGCACAGGCGTTGCGGAAGTCGTATGGAAGGATGTGCTCATGCACCATGCGGCCCTCTGCCGGACGCACTCGGTGGCCCGGCTAGGAATGGCCGAGAGCGACTACAACGAGTACGAGCTGCTGCGGCCTCTGTCGACGCTGTGCCAGCTGGGTCTCGTTGTGGCCGTTGGCGCCGGGGCAGGCAGTGCACGAGGCGGCTCCTATGCACGCTATCTGTTGGCGGTGCAGGAGGACGAAGTGCATGCTGCGCTGGGACAAGGTGAGTCGGAATGGCAGTCGCTCTTTATGCCGCGCTGAACTCTCCGTCCGACACGCGCTCGAGGATACAATACTCGCCGTAGCGCAGCGCCGAGCCCCAAGATGGAAGATGCTGGGTCAGCGCACTCGGCAGCCATAGCGTCCGAGCGAGCGTCGCGTACACTTTGTCCTGGCGCGGCAGCATCGCAGCCGCCTCGCGGCTCGCGTCCGCATCGAGGAAGGGGCGGCATGCTACCTTGCGCCAAGCGTCCTGGAGGTGGTACCGCGGCTCCCATGTCGTCGCGGGCCGCCACGGGAAGTCGACGTCCACCATCAGGGAGCAGGTGCGTGGGTCGACCTGTGGTAAGTAGGCGGCACGTACATATCGATCGCGCTCTGCCTCATTCCGCTCGTTGACCGTGGTGGGAACACGCTGAGTGAGTGAGGCCCAGGGCCAAGCGAACGCCACATGCTCGAGCACTCGCTGGGCACCTGAAACGTCGGGCTTTTCAGGTAAGGCTGACGGCTGCGCGGCAAAGTGGTGGGGGAGGATGCCATCAAATTCGGACTCGACAAAGTCCACGCGCGTGGACGGCGCCACAAAAAAGTGCGACGGAAAGCGGTGCCACTCTTTGCCGTAGCATACCTGGTGCTGGCCCTCCATCCTAGAGAGAACCAAGCCCAGGTCGAGGGGCGCCCGGTAGTGGTTTATGAGCGCAAGCGTGCGCATCGCACCTAGGACCACCGCCAGCAGCAGAGGAGCGAGTGTCAGTGACGAGAAGAGCACCGTCCGGGAGGCCCGATACGGCGAGCGTGTGAGGCGCAGGTACACCGTCTCGGTTGCAGCCCGGAACAAGTACAGGCAAATGGCAGCATTCACACACAGCAAAGGGTAGATCGGGTACATGAACCGCTCTTCCTTGTGCGGCTGCACGGTGAGAACGGCCACCCATAGATACACGGGAAGCACACGCAGTCCCAGAAGCCATGCACCATGAGAGCCCGTACTCGACGAGAAGCGCTGTGGCAGGAGTCGCGCCGATACAATCACAGCCGGTAGTGCCATCAGCGCAAGAGGCACGACCACAGAGAAGGCGAGCAGGAGCGAGACCAGATAGTACGATGGTGGTTCCACGCCATAGAGCTCAGGCCCAATACCGCGTGCGCGACCCATGACATTGTAGAGCACCGTGTTCAAGGGCACCAGCACGACACGGCCATAGGCCAGGGAGTCGACGAGCAGCATCGGGGCAGCCACCAGCGCAGCCACTAGGACCGCAGCCAGCCAGCGCGTCGCACGGTGCATGCGCACGCATTTGGTGTCGCTACCACGCATAAAGAGCTCCTCCCATACATAGGGCAGCGCAATCACAAGACCAAAGGGCCAGCCGCCAAGCGCGCCCACAGCAAAGGCCAGAGTAGCACGCCATGTGCGAGAAGAGCTCCTGGTACCTGCAGGGGGCATGGCGAATGCCATGGCGATACTCGTTGTATACATGACGAAGGACGAGGGGAGCAAGGCTGGGTCAGGCTGAAAGCGTACCTGAGGAGGCGGTGAGCATCCCTGCAGAGCCTGTCAAGAACACAAGAGCATACCTTGCCGCGCGCACATTGACATGGCGCGCCACGGCATCGTACAAGAAGGTATCACACGCACTTGATACAGCAGCAAGAACAAGACGCAGGGCAAAGAAGCCAGCATAGGGGGGCAGCGGCACTAGGCTCACAAGTGCCGGGACCCACGCATGCAGCGCAATGTAGGCCCAGGAGCGAATGGCGTACTGGGGGGCATACTCCCATGTCTGGAATGCCCTGTCAGACGTCTGTGGTCCAGCTAGGAGGTGGACGGGCTCCCAGTAGTTGTACACTGCATGAGCCTGAGCCACGTACCTTCGTCGCAATCGGCCACGGCCATCCACAGCGACGCCAGCGCTCGCACCGTGAAGAGGAGCAAGAAGGCGGCGCGCCAGCTAGGGCGCCAACTCGTCCCACTGTAATTAGTCGGCCATAGTGCTTACAGCCTAGGGTGGTCTTGGAGCAGCATGGGAGCGTCCACGATTCGCACGCGACGATCGGTCGACGACATCCACCAGCGTTTCGAGCGTCCTGCACCTTCCTCCACACGGACCACCTTGCACGGCATGTCGGAGCTGAAGGTCTTGTCCCTGAATTGCTGGTGCGCAGGCGATCGCTGATTCCAGGGGCCTTCGATTTTTTTCGAAACAGCGCCCGGAACGTCTTCGAGCGATTGCAGATCGCCTTGCGTCGACGTCGTACGATATTGTGGCGCTCCAGGAAATTTGGGTCGAGTCGCAGGACTGGCGGTACATGCGCCATGTCTGTGCGCAGGAGTACCCCTATGGCAAGTTTTTCCTGACGTGCGTATAAGCTATCTGATGTAAGGGGTGCCTTTGGCTCAGGCCTTGCCGTTATGTCCAAGCATCCGATTGTGGGAATGGAGACGCACATGTTTCGCCTCACAGGCACACCCATCTTTGTGCACCAAGGCGACTGGATTGCTGGAAAGGGATGTGGGTGCGTCACTATAATGCATCCCCAGCTAGGCGAAGTGGACGTATGGGATACGCATGTATGTGGCCGCACTGACACGTACAGTTCACGGCCCTGGGTGGACAGATGGGCCCAGAAATTCAGCGCACAGAACGGACGTTTGAGGCGTATGAACTAGCACAGCGGTGTGCTCGCAGTGCCGCGCTCGGACGCCATGTCATTTGCACGGGTGACTTTAACTCTTTGTCGAGTTCTCTATGCATGGGCCTCCTACGGAATGTGGGTGGTCTCCGCGACTCATATTTCGATGTATACGACGCCGAGTCGGCGAGCGGCATCACCTGTGACAGTCCTGCGAACACCTGGTCACACACGAAAAAGCTGGATGAGCTGGCACTGCGGCAATCGGGGAAGCGGATTGATTTTATCCTATATCGCGGCCCCGCCACCCAGCCGAATCAGCTACGGTGCGTGTCGCACCAGGTAGGATTCAAGGAGCTGGTGCCCACTTTGAATGTATCATATTCAGATCATTTTTCTGTGGAGGCTCTCTTCCGCATCTCAGACGCTCAAGTTGAGGCACCCGCTGCAGCGCTGGAAGAGGAAGCACGCGCGGACGTGATCGAGTGTGCCATCGGAATTTTGCAAGAGGCATTGAAGCGTTCTTGCCGAACGCAGTCGCGTCATATGCGGTGGTTCTATCTGATGTTGGGTGGCGCAGGGCTGCTGGTCGCCGGGAATGTGTGCGCAAGCGCATGGCTCCATCACGGGACAAGTGTAGGGCCGAGTCTGGTCACATCAGCACTCCTGGTCGCATGCAGCTGGGCAGGTACCACCGCACTGTACAGTGGTGTGGTATGGGGGGAATGGTACAAGCGTGTGTATTCGAACTCTAACAGAATCTAGGCGCGCTACGCTCTGCCATCGATGAAATGGAAACAGGCGCATCATAGTTCTTCGTAAGGTATTTGGCTAGAGAGCTTGTATGCCAGCACGAGTGCATTTACTTCGAGCAGCACGAACCAGTACCGTTCGAGCAGCACTTCTGGTCCGAAGCACAGCCGCAGGGGTTGCTGCAAGAGGTTAGCCTTGAGGCGCCAACATACCAAGAGCACGAGCAGTTGCCAGTCGAGCAGCCGCACTTCGAGGCGCACTTGCAGGCGCTAGTCTCAGTCTTAGGGCAAGGGCAGGCCATGATGATGAATAGAAAAGTGTTGTTGGTAGTGCGTCGTGTGCTTCCGCTGGTCCCTATATATATGTTGCTTGGCCCTGCCCGGTCCTACGGCGAAGCCAAGAACGCCTCATGTTGAGGGAATTATGGACCAATCATATAGTATTCTGGGAGAAATAAATTGCACTTGTCTCCATGAGAGAATATTGCAGGCCAATCATTATGATTGAGCGAAATTTGCCGTGAAGGAATAAGCGCGACAGGGAACATTTTCGAAATTGACTCTATGAGGGATTAATGCTGGCCAATCAATATGGAAAGCAAGTCAGCATGATCAATCCATCCTGCCAACGAGAGAGTTTCGGATAATCGCCGCTACGCATGCACGCCTCGATTTTAGTCAATCTAAATGCTACTGCATTCTTCGCGCAGACGCAGTGCAGCAAGCACACTTGGTCTCAGAGCTACAGCAGTAGCTGATTTTGTCGGCAAGAGCGCATTCGAGTGAGACCTCCATGCAGCAATTCGACCTGGAAGAGCAGTCAGTACCACAGGCTGATTGGCAGCAGTCACACTGCTGCAGGTGTCAGTCTTACGGCACAGAGCGACTAGTATGGTCTTACATGTAGACGCATAATTTTTGAAAAGCATATAACGAGTCTTGGTTTAGTGTAACAGAAACTTTGGTCTTTGAGCACTTCAGAGTTGTGTGTAATGGAAAACCCTGCGCGGCATTTGGGGAGCAAGTGGCGCGGTCAGATCACCTTGTATATTCGATCGGTCGCGCGCGACAGCAGTGTTGATACAAACTAACTAAAGCTAGTTTGCCTGCAGCGCTCATCCTGTTCAATGCTTTCACATGGTTTCTATTTGAAATGCGTGCACGATCCCAAGTCTGATGACAAGGCATCTAAGAACCGGCGCAGCAATGCCCGGCTAAGTCATGATGTCCGTTCACAGAGGTGATCAGGACCCGCACATTCCAGTAATGACATGGGATATCAAAGATTACAAGCACTATCTGTGGGCGACAAGCTCAATAAAGCGTTGGATGAAAGAACCCTCATATTGAAAAGGGGGCACAATGCCAAACTGAATGGCCACGGAGAAGAGAACCACAAAGAGCATTGACGGGATCCAGAACCAAAGGAGCATGGGATCGTCATAAAGGCCCTGTCGCGGACGCACAATCGTCTTTTTTGAGGCTTCAGCGCGCTCTGAACCCATGCGATACTTGGCCCGGCGGTTGGCCCGGCGTTCCCGGCGCGTAGACTGAGCTTTGGGCTGTACCACAGTTACACGCTTCCGGTGCAAATCAGCAATGCCAGAATCCGTTAGCAGCTTCTCGCCATCAATGTAGTTGAGGTCACCTGCTTCATCGAGCGTAGCTTCATCGTACGTGGGTGGCGGCGAATGGACGAGGCCCGGTGACTTTGTGTCTGAGAGGGGTGACCCGGACTCGGTCGAGCGATAATGTGAGAGCAAGTTACTCAGGCTCCAAGACGAGGCCTTGGGTGTGGAAAGGACCTCTTTCTTATCGGCCTTCGCTTTTGCAAGCTCAGCGAGTTCCTTAAAGGTGATGTCTGCATCCCCCTCAGATGATGAATCATGCATGCTGTCGTCGTCGTCGTCGTCACCCTCGTCGGACGTCTCATCGCCACAATCAGACGCCGGAGCATCACCGACCCAGTCGGTTAGGACATGCTCCGCGTCAATCTTCTCCGAGCGCCGCGCAAGCTCCACGGGAATTAATCCCTCCGCATTAGTCTCAAAGGGATCTGCGCCGTGCTGCAACAGTAGCTTTGTCACCATGACCCATCCATGTAGTGCAGCAAAATGCAAGGCCGTGTACCCATTGATGTCGCGAGCATTGACAGGACAGCCACGACGCAACAAATCCGCGACGAGGCGGTGGAGATTATGCATGACCGCCAGATGCAGCAGCGTGTGACCACGCGGATTGCATGCAAAGAGGGCGTTAGACTGGGTTGAACGCTCCATGTCCACGTCCAAGAGCGTCAGAAAGCCCAGCAAAGAGTCCTGGATGCTGGGTAGCTTGGAAGCATTGGATGAGTAGAGCCGAAGACCCATAGAAAGCAGTTCCTTGGAATCTGGCGCAAGTGTGCTTTGCATACTGGTGCTGTTCGACGAGGTCGATTGATCGGGCCCTTGAGAGGCAGCGACAATGCGCATCGCAATGTCACGAGCCGATGCCATCTGTCCCGTCATCTGGAGGCCCACCACCTGGAGAGCCAGCTCCATGAGGGCACGATCCGTGGAGTCGATATACGTGAACAGCTGCAATGACTGCGACTCCTGCGATGCAGAATGTGTATCAGGCGTTCCCTGTAAACTGACGATCACCGGACCCGGTCGAAAACATGGTGGCAAAATGCATACCAGCGTTGTGCTAGACCAGACGCGCGTATGTGTGCTCGGTGTATCGCCAAAAACGCATTGAATGCCCTCAGTGAAGTTCTCACCGAGTACGGTGACCTCAATACCGCCCGTGGTGGGTCCTTCTGCGGGTACAAGCTTGGTGATGCTGGGCGCCGTAGCACCGGACCCATCCGACGCCTGTCCCAACATGCCTGACGGTACAGTCAGTGGCATGAAAAGCTGGCCCATGTTGGCAGATGCCAGTGAGGAAGGATCCGGCACAGCCGTCAACGGAGACTGGCTCAGGGAGGGCGTAGACACTCCGTCCACGCCCTGTGGCGAAGGCGTTGAATCCAAGCCAGGTACGGGTTGGGTGCCCTTCAGGACAAACGAGTTCCGCGAACGGTCCATCGGCGACTGTGACACGTCGTGAAAGGGACGCGTACGACGACGAGCGGAGATCAGGTCGTCGTATGGTTTTGGACGCTCACGAGTGCGATATGTACCTTCGACAGAGCGAGGCGACACGGACGGTTCCTCCGACCCAGTTTGCTTGTAGCGACTGTCGGCCGTGCGCGTAGGGTTCGCATATTGCGCCGTCGACTTGTGGTCGTCCATGATCATGATTGGCGGCGTGCTTCCAGCTGCGACAAAGTCACCCTCGGAGTTGCGCAGGGTAAACACGATGTGGAAGCCAACCTTCTCCCGGTGGTGACGGCAGTAGCAGGTTATACGAGTGGACAAGACCACCTCGCCATCGTGGAAGCTGATATAGTCGCCACAGTTGAACAAGACGGCATGCTTACGCTCCTCCTCTTGGAGTCGCGTCGCAGCGACCTCCATGGCGCTGGGATCATTGGGATCAATGTTGAGTGCGCGCATTTCCTCTGCAGTCGGCACGGCGTTTACCGCTGATTGCTTCGTTTTCTTCCGATCGGCTCGCTTGCGCTCGCGCTCGCGGCAGCTGTTGCACACGAAAACGCGGGCATGTGGTGGCGTGGCATTGATGACTTCTGCCTCCAACACGAGCGTAGACTCGGCGGGCACATTAAGGTTTTGGTATTTTTTCGATTTACGCTTGGTGCCGCTAAGAGGCGGCACTTTTATGTAATCGAAAGAGCCGATCCGCTCCCATTCCACTGGCGCACCCGGGTCGCTCGTTGGGGCAGGGGCGACAAGTTCCATGCGCATGCGGATCTGTGTCTCGACGCGGGACTTGGCACCTTGAGCTGGCACGCCATTGATGATAATTCTCATTTGCGGCGGCAGATGGTTCCGGGGCGGGCGAATGACACGCACAGACGAAAGACTGAGTGATTCGTCGGAAGTAGGTACTTGTGCCATCATGGAGGGCGAGAATGGCAGGGACGTATCCGACGGTGCGATCATAGACGGTGTAATGCTGCTAAGCAAACTTTCTGTCGACGGAATGTCAGTGAGCGCCTGGGGCGGCCCACAGGTGTCACCGTTTTCCTGTTCCATCGAATAAAAGGATCGGCTAGAGCTGGACGCATAGCCTTGGTGCATAAGCGGTTCGTCGTGCAGCCATGAATGGGGAGGGAGGTCCGAGTCCAGCCATGGAGGGTCTCGTGACGAGCCCGGTTGCGCCTTGGGGGAGTTTGGGTACTCGGAAAGTCTGGGTGTGAGATGTCCAAAACGATCAGACCCAATGTATTGGTCGTCCATAGACGAATTGATAGTGCTAGGCAGGGTGGCAAAGGACGTCCAGTCCGGAAGGAGAATGTCTGCTGATGAAGAGCTTGGTTGTCGCGAGGGAAGCGCTGACGTCGCAGGAGGTTGTAGATCCAGGTCTTCGTTCTCCTGACACGATTCAGGCGAACTTTCAGATGTTAAGCTCGGCGGGGTAGGTGTGCTGCTATCCGTTGGGAACGTAGCCGATCCATGACGCGGCGAAGACGGTGCCAAATTTGAAGGTACCACCATGCCTTTAGAGCATGGAATGTGCGATCGGCATTCAATACGTGTGTGGTGGCAAAGCAGGCACGCTTCTTTTGTCGTAGTAAATCGACCTCGGAGCGGCACTTCACTAGATTGTCGGCCGACCGCGCTTGCTCTGGGCGCCCTGGGGTTGAAGAGGCTGGGGCCAAGCCCCAACATTTCGCCCGGCCTCAACAGGCCTGGCGCGTGAAAGTGATGTATGATGACTCATGCTGATGAATCTAGCCAAGAAGTCGGTTTCTGCCCCGGGTAGCGTTGACTGCCCCAATTTCGTAAGCATATGCGGGTGTTGGTTACCATGTTCCACCGTGCTGAATCAGCTCTGCAGAATGGCGAAAAAGACAGCGAGCTATTTGCGACCGTATGCAACGAAGTTCATTTTGCAGTTCTTTCACAGAGAGAAGATAAGAGAAGATTCGCCTTGCATGCATAAGAAGAAGGGGACGGTCAAACGAAATAAGCAGATCCGGGGTGCGGCGCAAGTTTCAAGGGTATTGAACATCTCTGTCGTGCATCCAAGAAGAGGGACCCTCAAAAGAAAACAGCATATATATAAGCCAGCAAAATTATGGAGCTAGTCCACTACCTCAAGCAACAAGCTCCTCTGCCACCAGCCTCTCAAGACTCCCAAGACTATATCAAGTATGCGCACTGCTTTCATTGCCTCGCTTTTCGCTCTGGGTGCTGGTATGACTCTCGCTGCCCCCGTGTCCTCCAAGGCGGAGGCTGACGTTGAGGCCCGCGGCAACCGCGGTGCCCACATCACTTGGTACGGTGGCCATATGCTCGACGACCCTTACTGCGGTGGTACGAGGCCAACTGACGGCGACCTGGTTGCGGCTACCCCTTGGGACTCGCCCTATGGCTGCGGTGACAAGATCCACTTTGACTACTGGGGGAAGCAGGTCACTGTGACTGTGGTCGACAAGTGTGACACGTGCTCGGGCACTTGGTTCGATATCTCTAAGGGCGCCTTCTCGCGCCTCGCTAGTCTCGATGTTGGCGAGCTCCACCACGTTGACTTCTGGCGTGTGTAATTCAGTTGATCAGGCTGGTCTTGATGCCAACTCGTGAGGACTCGCTGTCTATCTGCCTACGTGATGGTAGCTCGTGGTGGAAGATGGCACAAGTCAATGGTCATGTTACGACACGGAGAAAAAAAAGAGACTATCTAGTCTTCCTTTAGGGATTTAGTTATGGATGCAATGGTTCTTCTATGGTCCAAGTGAAGGTTGAGCGGCGAAGTGGCTGGTGCAGCGACCCGTCTCCACGCGGCACGCCTGCATCACGTGGAAAACAAGCCCCAACGCCCGGGCCCTCCGGCGGAGGTCTTCTTTGGACGGACCATGGAGCGTGACGTAGCCTTGGCTCAGAAGGAGCTGTCGAGTGTGCTCGCCCAGGAGGATCCAGTCGAAGCGGTGCAGAGCACGGCAGAGCAGCCTGGGTCTGCCCCGGCTGAGCCTGTCGAATCAGTGACGCCATCGATGGCACCAGTGAGCTCGCTTATGCGGACGCCACCGAACAGGCTGCAGTTGATTGACGAGACACAGCAGTTCCACGAGGATGCTTTTCGTGAGCATCTAGAATCGTGGGGTCTCGCTGATGCCGGCTTTGGATACGATATCTGTGCCGTGCTGGGATCGCAGTCGACGGGGAAGTCAACGCTGTTGAACCGCCTCTTTGGGACCAACTTTGATGTGATGGACGAGCGCGTGCGAAAGCAGACGACCAAGGGTATCTGGCTGTGCCGCGGCTTGGAGCGCAATGTACTCGTGATGGACGTGGAAGGCACCGACGGCCGCGAGCGCGGCGAGGACCAGGACTTTGAGCGCAAGTCAGCACTGTTTGCGCTGACGACGGCCGAATGCCTGATCGTGAACATGTGGGAGAACCAGGTTGGACTGTACCAGGGCGCGAACATGGGCCTGCTCAAGACTGTGCTGGATGTGAACCTGTCCCTGTTCCAAGCTGGCCGCGCACGCGCAGGCGGCGCGAAGGATAAAACACTGCTGCTGTTTGTGATTCGTGACTTTCTTGGCACCACGCCGCTTGCGAACCTGGAGGCTACGGTGCGCGCTGACTTGCAGCGCATCTGGGCGAGCTTGACCAAGCCCGAGGCGCTCGCGGATGCCGCGCTGGGCGACTTTTTCGATGTCACGTTTGCGACGCTACCCCACAAGGTGCTGCAGGCGAAGGAGTTCGATGCGGGCGTCGCGGAGCTGCAGCGGCGCTTTCTCGACCGCAGCGACGAGAACCATGTGTTCCAGACCCAGTACCACAAGCGCATTCCGATCGATGGTTTACCCCACTATCTGAAAAATGTGTGGGCGCAGGTCGTGGAGAACAAGGACCTGGACCTCCCGACGCAGCAGGAGCTGCTTGCGCAGTTCCGGTGCGATGAAATTGCCAGTGCGGCGTCCCAGGTGTTCTCGGGTGCGATTGCAGCGCTGCGCACGGCACTCGAGACGGGACAGGTGCTTCCGGCGCTTGGTACCGACATGCTGGCGCGACGTACCGAGGCTCTTTCGGTGTTTGACCGCGATGCGAGCCGCTACCACCAGGGTGTCTATGCGCGCAAACGCGCGGATCTGATGCTTGGGTTGAATGCGAAACTGCTGCCCTTCTTCCTTGCGCAGTTGAAAAACCTGCTGGTGCAGCTGACCGCACAGTTCCAGCAGACGGTACGCGACGGCATGTCGCGCCCCTCGTACGACTTTGGCGCACTGGTACAGGACGCACATGCGGCGGCTCTGCGCCAGTTTGACGCCGAGACACAGACGCTTGTTTTGCCTGAGACGGACTGGAAGGTCGACGACGAGCGTGCGCAGCTGTCGGAAGAGCTGAACGGGATGGCACGTACGATGCGTGTCGAAGAGTGCCGCAAGCTCGCCACGTCGCTGGAAAAAGAGATGCGCCGGCAGCTCGCGGAACCGGTGGAGCTGGCACTGGCGCACCCTGCGCCCACGATGTGGGACGCGGTGATGCAGACGCTGCAGCGCGTGAATGACGAGGCAACGGCGACGTTCCGCGCGCGTGCCGTGCGTTTGCAGGGCACGCCGGAGGAGGAAGAATCGGCCGTCCAGGCACTGCAAAGTGCGTCGTGGCGCCTGCTCCAAGACAAGGTGCACGAGCAGACGTCTGACCCCGTGCTGTCGATGCGCCTGCGATGCTTCTTTGAGGACCGCTTCCGCTACGGCGCAGGTGGTGTGCCGCGTGTGTGGAAGCCGAGCGACGACATGGAAGGCATGTTTGTCCAGGCGCGTGATGCGACGCTTGAGCTGATTGCATTGTATGCGACGATCGCGCCGAGCGAGCCCAGTCTGCTGGCGCCCGCTGCGCACGCAGCCGCCGCGGCCAACGAGTCGGATGCGTCGTCGTTCGAGGAGAGTCTGCACGTGCTCTCGGAGCTGAAATGCACGGAGATCGGCCAGCGGTTCCGCCGCGATGCAGACGCATACTATCTCGAGGCGAAGCGCAGCATGGTATCGAGTATGTCGCAGGTCCCGATGTGGGTGTACGTGGTCATGGTCTTGCTCGGCTGGAACGAGGCGATGGCGATCATCCGCAACCCGCTCTACTGCACGCTCCTGTGCCTCGTGGCGGCGGCGGCGTACGTCACGTGGCGTCTTCACCTCGCGGCGCCGCTGTGGACCGTGGCGACGGGCGTGGCGCGCGAGGTGCAGCAAGTGGCACAGGACCAGCTGCGTGCGTACCTGGCCATGCCGCAGACGACGGCGCCGATGAATGAGCCGTTTGAGCTGCGTGAGCGCGTGGTGAGTCACTCGGCCGCGGGCGCCGGCGCCGGCGACGAGTCGGGTCCCCGTCTTCCCGCTTCGTTCTAGGGCCTCCATAGCATACAGTCTACGAGGAGCCAGGTATATTAGGCGTGGTTATGTTGGTGGAAGCCGCCGCGGTGGCCGCCACGGCCACCGCGGCCACCAGCACCACGGTTGTCGTGCGGGCGACGCTTCTCCACGACAAGCGTAGCATCGCCAATCTTGACGGCGCCCTCAGCGCTCGCGGCGATCGCGCGGCGCGCCGAATCGGCCTGCACAAACTCGACGAACGCAAAGCCCTTGGCCGAGTTCAGCTGGCACTCCTTCGTGGGGCCGAACTGCGTCTCGAACACCTTTTTCAGGGCGTCTGCCGACACCTGCCCGCTAGGCACATGCTTCACGAACACATGGCCGCCCGAGGGAGCACCGTTGCCGCCCTTGCCGCCCTTCGGCGCCGCAACAGGCGCAGCAGCACCGCCAGTCTGGGCCTTGGCAGGCACCGACGCAGGCGACGAGAGGCCACGTGCCTCGGCAGCCGTGTTGCCCCAGCGGTTCGCGCCGGACGCCGCCAGGTTCGCCCAGGTCTTGGGCGCGGCAGGCTCAGCAGGCTTGGGCGCCTCCCTGGGCTCCGGAGGGGCCACAGGCGCCGCCGCTGCCGACGGGGCCTCGGCCGCCGCCGGGGCCGGGGCCGCCGCCGCTTCCGCGGCGGGCGATGGGTCCGCTGCCGGTGCTTCCTTCTCCTCGACCACGTCCGCAGGGGCGTGGGCCGTGTCGGCGACGGCGACGGGCGCAGCTGCCTCGTCCTCGTCGGCCGGTTCCTCGGCAGAGTCCGCGTCGACCTGGATATAGCGGAAGATGTCGTTCAGGACATAGTAGCCGTTGGTCTGCGCGGCAAGGAAGAAGGTCTGCACAAACTTGCGCCAAGTGCCGCCCTGATTCGACAGCTCGCCAAGCACCTGGACGACAATGCCGCCGTCGGCGGACGACTGGCTGTCGACCGACAGAACGACGACCTTCGTGTCGTCGAACCCGAGCGACATGATTTTTTCATGGATCTGCTGCTGACCGACGCTGGTGCTGGACTCTTCAGCCTCGGCGGCATGCACCATGGCGCTCTTGTTGGTGTAGAAGCGGTACAGGCGCGATGGGTCCTGGTTCATCATGGTATAGTAGTGCGTGACGAAAAGCCAGCCCACTTCAGAGGCCTTCGAAACCTTGGGCCGGTCGGCACCGGCCGAGGTATCTTTCGGAGCAGCAGTCGAGGGAGACATGGTGTAGACGCGAAGAGGATCGCTCGCAAGAAGGCAGTGAACGCCCGACAGAGCTTCGGTGCGTAGGCCGTCCGCCGATGGTGGTCACGTGCCAGTACAGGCGCGCTATGGGGCTACGACAGCCGTGGCACCGCGGCACAGCCGCGGTCTAGACCGTGGCACAGATCTCGGCCGCCTTTTCGAGCGCGCCGATCATCTTGACGCACTCACGACGGCGCGCGACAACATGGTCAGACTCCTTCATGAGCTCCTTGAGGATGTCGGGCTGGTAGAGGGCCTGCAGCAGCTCGCGCTGCATGTTCTCCTTCGAGTGGTTCACGAGGTTGAGCATGATCGCCTTAGGGACCATGTCGATCACGGTGCGCTTCGTGATATTGAAGTAGGAGGTGATCAGCAGCTTGATCACGTCCGTCTCCATCGCCTCGCGGTCCGTCAGCGTGCCCGACGCCTTGAGGCTCGGTGGCGGCGGCTCCATCATGCCCTTCTTGGCCTTGTTCTTGCTCGGGAAGAAGCTGCCAAAGAAGCCCGACGACTCCTTGATGTCAACGTCGAGGTCCTTGTTGTTGTTGGCGAGGCCCGGCGGGATCGGCTTGCCGCTGCGGAACTCGGCGGTCGTTGCTGGCGTCTGCGCCGCATTGAAGCGCTCCGTCACAATCGCCACGGCGCGGTGGCCCGACAAAAAGTCAGGGTGGCCCGTGTTCAGGTAGCATGCCTCCGCCGATACAATGTCCGACACGAGCTTGTTCGTCGGCGACATGCACCGCTTAAAGTACTGTATCACCACCGAGTTGAAGCGCTCGCGCAGCGCGGGGAAGCGCCGGAACGCCGAGTTCTTGGCAAGTAGCTGCGACAGAATGCGCACCAGCTCGTCGTACACAAGCGCACAGCACTTGAGACTCGGCTCCTCGAGGCGGCGGATCTGCTGCTTGACAATGACCTCGAACGCGGACGTCGTCACGAATAGTGCAGGCGATGATCCCGACGAGTTGTACAGAATCGTGCGGATATCTGCGTCCTTCACGGCATCGAACGGATCGATGCTCTTCACGCCGTTGCTGAACAGCTCATGGAACACAAAGCTGATGCGCGCACCACCAGCCAGCTCGTTCACGCTCAGGTCGTTGCTGTTACCGTCAATCACCTGGCGGAACTCGTTGCAAAAGTCCGTGATGATCGAGAGCACCACGTTGCCCGAGCTCGTGTCGCCCATCGCACCGCCCAGCGACGCGAGCTCGATCTCAAACTTCTTCAGCTGCGACTGGATGCGCGTCTTGATGTCCGGCAGCGTGTTGCGGATGTGGTGCATCAGGATCGTGCTCAGCTTGCGCGCGAGGAACGGCGTACCACAGAACTGCGCCTTCGAGCTGTAGCTCGGGTGGTTCGCGAAGAACTCGTGCTCCGCCTCGAGCGCCGCCGACACCGTCTTGCGCGTGTCAATATCGCGCTGACCGCGGTTCACCACCGGCACGTAGCCCAGGCGCAGCGGAATCACCCGGCCCGCCAGGATGTCAACCACGTCCGTGCCCGCATCCATCAGATCCACCTTCGTCAGCACACCGACCGTGCGCGTGCCGTCGGGGTCGACCTCCGACGCGAGCTTCAGGCCGTCTGAGTTGGCCAGATCCGTGTTGGCCGCCGTGACGGCAAGAATGATCGCATTCGGCTTCGAGATGTACTTCAGCAGCATGTCACGGATCTGGCGCTCGATGTCCCTGGGCTGGTCACCGACAGGGTTCTTCGTCAGGCCCGGCAGGTCAACGAGCGTGAGCGTGAGCACATGCGGGCTGTAGATGCGCAGGTTGATCGGCTGCGCACTGATGCCGGCATTCTTGCCCGTCTTGAGCTCCGTGTCGCGCACAATCTCGTCGCGGATCTTCTGAAAGTCGTGGAACTTCTCGCCCGGCAGATGCAAGAACTCGCCCCACTCGTCCTCGTTCGTCTGGCCCGTGGGCTCCGTCGCACCCGACGCCGACGGACGGTTGATGAGCTGGAGCACGAGCGGGCGACGAGTCACAATGCCCGTGCCACGCGGCAGAAAGTCGCGGCCGACAATGTTCTCCAGCACACTACTCTTGCCGGACGACTGGCTACCGAGCACCGTGATCTGCGGCAGATCAATCGGGTTCTGGATACCGACCTGCGGTCAGTCACTCTCACGTACGTCATGGAAGGCGTCCTGCAGCTGCGCTGTTAGCCGACATCGCACGCACCTTATTCACAAGCTCTGAGGCCCCCGGAGGGGGAGAGTTAGCGATCGGCCTATCCGCGCCACGTACTGATAAGCGACTGATCCATGGCGGCAGGACCTGGCGCACAATCCACGTAGACGGAGGCGTGGCCGCCACCCGCGCCGACGAGGCCCCTGCGACGTGTACTTCCTCGCACGGGAACTATGCAGACCTGCCTGGCACCTCCACCATGCCACAGCTGCTGGTCGATGTACGTGCGCACGGCTGACGCAGGCGCATTGCCACCCGACGGAGGAGGTGCGCGCAGGCCGTGATGAGGACGAGTGGGTCGAAGCGGCGGGTTATGTGCCGCTAGATACTGTCTGCCTCATGTCGACGGACGCGTGGGACCAGCGTCTCGTGGCGCGCGCCGCGGCCGCATGGCCCAGCAAGGTGGTGCCAGCGTTTGGCTTTCACCCGTGGGGCGTACATACCCTCTCGCTAGCGCACCCAGCGCCGCCGGCGCGCGAGCACTATGAGGCGCTGCTGGGCCCGAATGTGGCGGAACTGCTGCCGCACCTGCCGCCGCCGGTATCGCTCACCGAGGCCCTGGCGCAGCTCGAGGCGTATCTCGTTGCGCATCCCCACGCACTCGTCGGCGAGGTGGGACTGGACCGCAGCTTCCGTATTCCGCTCCCGCAGACGTCCCCGCGCCGCCTATCGCGGTGCCAGACGCCGCTAGCGCACCAGCTGGCCGTGCTGCGCGCTCAGATCGCCCTGGCGTGCCGTTACGGGCGCAGTGTGAGCATGCACAGCGTGCGCGCGGCAGGTCCGACACTCGACCTGCTCGCGGATGTGGACGCGCATCTTCCCGGCTTCTCGCGCATCGGCGTGCTTCTGCACAGCTGCACGCTCAGTGTGCCGAGCCTGACGCAGGTACAGCGCGCGCATGCGAATGTCTTTGTGTCTTTCTCTACGTGCGTACGAGGCACTGACCGCAGGGCCATCCAGACGCAGCACACGTCCGAGCTGATGCGCGCGTGCGATCCCGCGCGGGTGCTGTGTGAGTCCGACTACCATGCGTGGGCGGAGCTGGCGCCGCGCACGGCCGCTGCGATGGCTGCCTATGGCGCCGCGCGCGAGACGGGCGTGAGCGATGAGCTCAAGGCGCAGTTGGCGAGCAATTTCCATAGGTACTGCCACTACAAGGAAACTAAATCGTAACGAAAGAAAAGCGCAATGCGGGGTATCAGAGAACGAAGGTGGCTAGGGTGAGGCGCGCGATGGGCCTGGCACGGCGTCGGCGCTGGTGCTGGCGAGTGTGGGGTGGCGAAGGGCCCAGTGGCGCGCGTATATGCTCGCCTTGAGGAACTTTTTGCTTGCATACTTTTTGTACACAAACTGGTCCTCAAAGCCAGGCTCGATCAGCTTCTCCAGGAGGAGGTTCGCGCCGGGAAGGAGCTGTGCCTCGGTGAAGCGCGCATAGTACACGAATGCATCGTCCCACACGCCGCCGAGCATGCGCTTCGCGAGGTACATGCCGATAGCGGCAATCATGCTCGGGCGCACGCGCAGGAACAGGTAGTGGAAGAGCGTGACCTCCATGAGGCACTTGCACAGCGTGCGCGTTTGGATGTCGTAGTCGTCGGCCTTGGAGATGCGGCGCACCCACGAGTACGGCGAGCAGTACGTCGACACATTAAAGTCCAGCGTGGAGAGGACGATGCGCTCGCCCTTGAGGATCTCCTCGCGCGAGTAGCCGCCATCGGTCATAAACACGAACTCCTCGACGCTCGGGGCGAGGATTTCCTCGTACTTGGCCGCGATAAACATGGCCGTGACGCCCACGAGCTGCAGCTTCGCGAGGCTCACGATGCGCGCGGACAGGAAGCGGTCCACGAGGTTCACCGCGATCCAGAGCGTCTCCGGGAGCATGTGGTAGCGCGTGTGCACCTGGAGCAGCCAGTCGATCAGTGTCGCCCGCATGTGCCACTGGATCTCGTCCTGGAAGTCCATGTAGTTGGGATTCGCCATCGACTCGCGCTCGCAGCAGGCCATGTAGGCGAAAATGTCCTGCGCGTACTCGGCGACCATCGAGATGTCGCGCGCCTCCTCGGCGTCGAGGCCGAGGCGCATCATCACGTCGTCGTGGGCCGCGGCTTCAGGGTCCATCTGCCCATGACGCACGAGCTCCCGGCGCTCCGCCTGCGCGGCAAGCGCCTGGGGCGCCAGGACCGTCGCCTCGAAGCGCTCGCACACGTCGGCGACGCGCCGCTGCTCAGCGAGCTCTTCCGCGAGCGACACGGTGACGAGGCCCGCGGGATCCAGGTCGAGCTCGATGTCTGCGAGCAGATCGCTCTCGTCCGAGGGCACACTCGGCGACGAGAGCGCGGTGTCCACGTCCGGCTCAGCGGCCACGCCGCCGTGAGAGCCGTCGGTCGACATGGACAGGTCCTGCACAACGCCCACGGGCATGGCCGGCGCCGCGCTGGGCACAGGCCGCCCTGCCGAGCGCGGTAGCACGGGCGCTGGCGCCCCCATCGCCCCCGCGCGGCGCACGGGTAGGATCGCGCGCGCGGACGCGGCGAGTGTCGTGGGGAGCGCAGGCGCAGCACTGGGCGCGGGCAGCGATACGGGCACGGCGGCAGGCGCCGGAGGAGCGGGCATGGGCGCCGGCGGCGCCGGCGGCGCCGGCCCGGTCGCCTTGGCGTAGAGCTTGGCTGCGGGGGGCACATACTGGTGTGAGGAGGTAGGTCGTGCAGCATCCTCACGATTGCTCACGTCGGCCAGGGCCGGCCGTGGTCCCTTCTGCGACGCAAGCGGCTTAAGCGAGGGCTGCTGGGCCGTGAGGCGCAGAGGCCGCGTGCCTAGCTGGCGCGAAGAGTCCATGACAGGAAGGAGAGACCCACGCGATGGACAACAGGATGGGCACGCAAGCTGTGGGAGAGAAACAATCGCACAAGCGCAGGTCCAGCCGCTGTGAATCCCTGGCCAGGGCCGAAAACAGGTCGGCCTTAACTGAGGTACGCCCAGACTCGTGACAGTGCTTGGAATGTCTCAGACGCGGTTGACAGTCTATTCATCTACGTCGCGTCCCTCCAGCGCTCACGCGGCACAGGCGGCCAGCGACGGCCAACGACAGGGCCCCGTCGCAGCCCGTTCCTCCGAATGCGCTCCACCTGCAGCGCGGCCGCGCAGATCGTCCCATCCATCGAGCCGCGCGGCAGGCGCCGCTCACGCGCGGTGCATGTGCCACATCGTTTTGCGCCTGCGTGATATATGCACGCCGTGCATCGCCCTATCCGTTTCGGCCGATGAGAAAGGGGCTACGCGCCGGTGTAGAGTCACGTGGATACGCCTTCCGCCGCCGCCCCCCTCCTCCGCGCTGTCGCATGGCCAGCGCCGCGCACGGACGCGCCCTGCCCCTGCGCTCGCGCACGCGCGTGCCGCCAGCTCGCACGGCGGCGGCGGACGCCGCGGAGCGCGCAGCACGCACACAGCGCGCCTCGCTCCTCGCACAGCACCGCCGCCACCGCCGCCTGCTCGAGCTCGGCGCGACATGCTTTCCGGCGGACCGCACGCGGCCCACGCCCGGCGGCGGCGGCGGCGGCGGCTCCGCCGAGCAGACGATCACCGCCGTCATGCGGCAGTCAGCGAACGAGGCGCAGGCACCGCCCGTGGCCGCGGAGAAGCAGCTGCACCGCACGAGCGCGGGCGTGCGTCGCCTCCTCGCGGCGCGCCGCGGCGCCAACGCCCTGCTGGACGAGGCCGCGACGCTCGGGCACCTCGCGCGCATGCCGTCGTTCCTCCTCGGCGCACCCCGCTGCGCCTCGCGCCCCCTCTGCAGCGTATGTGGCTACTGGGGCGACGTCCAGTGCATGGCCTGTGGCGAGACGTGCTGCAGCCGCGCATGTGTCGCGACGCACCACGAAACGCGCTGTGAACGCCCCATTGGGTAGCTACGAAAGACCCTCGGTGAACAGCGGGCTCTCCTGCAGCCACCACTGCATCGCCTCGCCCCGCGTCGCCGCGTCCATATCGCCCAGGCTCTCGTGCACGCGCTCCAGGATCTCGGTGCGCGCCGCACTCGCGGCCGGGCGCGCCAGAATGCACTCGCGCACCCGGGCCAGGAGTGAGCGCAGCAGCACGAGGTTCACGTGCGGCACCAGCGCCGCGAGGCACCGCGCGAGCGTCTGCGCCTGCGCCGCGTCGCGCTGCGCCTCGGCGCCGCGGCGCGCGGCGTCGACTTGCTCGACACACCACCACGCCAGCGAGTCGCTGCGACTCGACAGCGAGCCGACGACCGTCATGAGGGCCGTCTCGAGCTGCGCCGCGCTCAGCCGCGCCGGGCAGCTCGCCAGCAGAAGCTCCACGTAGAACGGCGTCAGGGCCGGCGTGCTGGGCGCCTGCGCCGCATAGAGCGCCAGCACCACCGCATGCGCCGATTCGAACGCATCCTGGAAGCGCGTGTCCTCCAGGTACGGGCGGCACAGCGGCAGCACGAGGCCGTCGATCATCGGCGCCGGCAGCTCCGCCACGAGCTGCTCCACCACGAGGAGCAGGTACGTGACGTGGATGCGCTCCGCGAGATCGGCCTGCGCCGCGGCGCGCGCCGGCCGCCCGGCGCCATCGTACGCAAGCAGCGTGCGCGCGAGACGGCGGACCAGCTCCTCGCACGCCTCCGCGTCGCGGCTCTGCACGTCGAGGGCGGAATAGAACACGACGCGGTACGACTCGAAGCCATCGAGGCTGAACGACGAGGTGATAAAGTACAGCGACGCATAGACGTGTAGCACCTCGCTGAGCACAGCAAGGTACGGCGCAGGGACGTATCGCGCGCGCAACGACAGCGCCGCGCCCGGCGTGCCCGCCGATGCACACTGCTCCACGACGACGCCCACGACCGCGTCGAAGAGCAGCGTCACCGCAAAGAGGAACCGCTTGAAGATCTCCCATAGCTGCTTCGTGGTCGGGCGCGTGGTGGGCGCCAGGCCGTCGCTGCGCACGCCCGCGAGCGCGGACGAGGTCCACGCCCCGTCGAGGGCCCCGCTCATCGCACGCAGGACGGGGAGAAGACCACGCTGGTCCTCGGCCAGGAACGCGGCCCAGTCGGCCGCACTGCACGAGGCGCCGAGGCGCCGCAGCGGCGCGGCCAGCAGGCGCGAGAGCGGCCCCGCATGCGCGTACAGGGGGTGCGCCTGCACGCGCGCGGCCCACGCGGCACTCACGCCATCGGGCGGCAGTGCCACGAGCCCGTCCGCCTCGGCGGCGTCGTGGAAGAGCGAGGACGCCACGTCACGGGCGTCAAACACCTGCACGAGCAGCGGCAGCGCCGCGTCGATCCACACGCGGTCGTCCAGGGCCTGCCGGCACGCATCAGGGAGAATGTCGACGACGCTCGCACTGAGCGTCAGCGCAGCGGCCCGGGCAGCCGAGTCCACGCGCCCCTCCGCGTCCCAGCGCGTCGACGGCGTCAGCGCAGCGACGAGCGCGGCGGCCCACGCCGTCTCGAGCGTGCGCGCGTGCTGGCGCACGCGGAAGCGCAGGGCCGGCGCAGGCGACGCAGGGTCTCGGCGCTCATGCGCAAGGCCCTGGACGAGCCCAGTGACGAGCGCGAGGTGTGCGATGCGCGTGCGCGGCGTCGCGAACGCCATGCCAGCGTCGGCGCCGTGCAGGACGGCATCGATCCACGCGCCCAGCTCCGACGCCGCAGCGCGGGGCCGTGTCGTGCCGATGGCGCGCGAGATCACGGCGATGCGCTCCGAGACGGCCAGGGCAAGGGCCTGCGCGACGCCGTGCGAGCGCTCGACGGCATCGCGCATGTCGTCGTCCGGCCGGGGCGGCGCTGTCCAGAGCGCCGGCGACGTCACGAGCGCGGTGGCAAACTCGGAGACGTTCACGAGCGCCATGTCCGAGAGGTAGTGTCCGATCGCGCCATAGAGCGCAGGGCGGTCGATCAGGTCAATGTGCTGCCGATTCGCCGGCGGCGCGAGCAGGAGGCGCCGCAGCGTCTGGTACGCCGAGTCGCTGCGCCGCGCAGCCATCGCAGGGAGGCGGAGTGGCCGGGTGGAGAAATGCGCCGGATTCCACGACCGACGGCCATGGCGCGTGGATCGCCGGCGGCGCAGCGGCGCGGCGCGGGTGCCGCGTCGCCGTTTGCGAAGCTCGCGGAAAACACAGCGGCGGGCCGGCGGGGCAGCCCCCATGGCCGCGCGGTGCCAGGGTCGCCTCGCGCGGTGCCTGAAGCGCGCGACCCGCACGATGCGTTCCTGCTGCCCCGCACGCTCGAGGACACGCACCACCGCCGGCTGCGGACCCTGCTGCACGAGTTTGTAGCGGAAGCGACGGCGTGGGAAGAAGCACACACGCTCGATGGGATCCGGTGGGCGTCCGAGATGGCGCAGGTATGGGACGACCTGCATGCGGCGGCGGCCTCGGACGACACGCGCGCGAGCGACGAGCAGCGGCGCGCACGCACTGTGCCGCTCCTCGTGCAGTGGGAGGACGCGCACGCGCATCTCACGCGCATGCTAGCGCGCCTCGTACGTACGGACCTCTGACGCCAGGACCAGCATGCGCGGCGCATGGAGGCGCTCGTCGACGCCACGCGCGCGCTCGTCGTCGAGACGAGTGCGGGGCGCATCGGCGCGGCGGTGCTGCAGACGCCGATGTGGGGCACATGGACGATGGACAGGTTCGGTACGTGGCGCGCACTCACGCCAGGCCGTGCCATGGCGCAGCTCTCCCTGCAGTACTCGCTCTCGACGGTGCACGTACGTGCGCTCGTGGCGGATCTATGTGCGCCGCGCGGCCCGGAGCACGGCGCGGCGCGCGCCGCCGGCCCCGCGCCTACGGCGAGCGCCGCGGGCGAGGACCGCTCGCCCCAGCGCGCGGCGCTCGCGGCGTTCGTGCAGCTGCCCTACCTACACACGTCCGGCCTCACGTCCGCGGCGCCGACGTTCGGCGCGGACGCCGACGGCGCCACGGGCGTGAGCCGCCACTTTTTCGAGCACGTCTGTGAGGCCGAGGTCCGTAGCTGGTAGCCACGTGGCCGATGCGGACAATGTCTTTGTGTCGCTGCTGCGTCGACGTCCGGCCGCGCCGGGCTTGTCGAGTGCGATGACGGGGATGCGTGTCCTGCGTGCGACGCCCGACGACCTGTTTCCCACGGCGACGTCGATGGAGCAGGCGTGCACCGAGTCGTCGATCGCGGCGCTGCTCGCGGAGGGCACGGCCGAGCTGCGCCGCGACGAGCATGTGGCGTACCTGCGGCGCCTGCTCGCGCCGCTGCCTGCGCCGTACGTGACGTTCGAGTCGAACCGCGCGTGGCTCCTCTACTGGGTCGCGCACGCGCTCGATCTGCTCGACGCGCCGCTCACCGGCTCGCTGCAGGCGCGCGCCATCTCCACGCTCCTGCACTTCCAGGCGCAGGGCGGCGGCTTTGGCGGCGGCCCCGGGCAGCTGGGGCACCTCATGAGCACGTACGCGGCCGTGTGCGCGCTGGCGATCGTCGGCGGCCCCGGCCCCGCGCCGAGCGCCGCTGATGTCGCCGCCGGCCAGAGCGTCCACGTCGGCCGCGGCGGCTGGGACGCGATCGATCGGTACGTGCCGCCCACTGACGCAGCCGCGCGATGTATGCGTGGATGCTGCGCCTCAAGCAGCCGGACGGCTCGTTCCTCGTGCACGAGCAGGGCGAGATTGACGTGCGCGCCACCTACTGCGTGGTCGTCATCGCGACGCTCCTGGGCCTCGCGACCGATGAGCTGCTCGATGGCGCGGCCAGCTTTGTCGCGAGCTGCCAGACGTACGAGGGCGGCTTCGCGGCACTGAGCACGCCGTCGTACCGCGTCGACGCGCGCGGCGTGCACCCCGCCGGCCCCGTGGCGCTGCAGACGCCGCAGGGCGAGGCGCACGGCGGCTACGCGTACTGCGCGCTCGCCTCGTACGTGCACCTCGCGCAGATCGGCGCGCCGGGCGTGCCGCCCGTGCACGTACCGCGCCTCGTGCGCTGGGCCACCTCGCTGCAGGGCGCGCCGATCGAGGGCGGCGGCTTCCGTGGGCGCACGAACAAGCTGGTGGACGGGTGCTACGGCTGGTTCTGCGGCGGCGGGCTCCTCACGCTCGCCGAGGAGCTGGCCGCGCCGGGCGCCGCCGCCACGCCGAGCTCGGCAGGCTCGTGGGAGACGCTGCCCGAGCCGCCCGAGCTGCTGGACCGCGAGGCACTCGCGACCTATGTGCTGGCCGTCGCACAGGCCCCCCGCGGCGGCCTGCGCGACAAGCCGTCCAAGCGCCCCGATGCATACCACACCTGCTACAATCTATCGGGCCTTTCGCTGTGCGAGCACCGCGTGCGCGTGAGCGACGACGCGCTGGCGGCGGCGGCGGCGTCGTACGAGGCGCTCGTACCGCCCGCCCGGCGCACGGCACGCGCGCAGGCGTGCTACGCGGCCACACTCGCGTGGGGCGCGCCGCCCGCGCGCGACGCGCGCGTGGCCGCGACGCACCCCGTGCTGAATGTGCGCCTCTCGCGCGTGGCGCCGATCCTGGCACACATGTATGCCCGTAGCAGCTAGAGCTCGTCGTGCTCGCGCGCCAGTTTCTGGAACAGCTCCTCGGCGATCTGCTCGTCGCTCTGGCCGCGCTCGCGGCCATCGATGCGCATCTGGATCGTGTGGATGAGCCCCGCGAGCATCTGCAGGTGCTCCTGCATCGCCTCCACCGCATCGTCCGAGAGCGCAAAGCCATCGGCGTCGGCGCCGGCACGCAGCTGCTCCTCGAGCTCGCGCTGGTCCTCGCCGAGGCCCTCGATCATCTCACGCTCCGCGAGCGTCAGCGCGCCTTTCGTGTCCGAGGGATCGTTCATCAGCGCCTGCTCCACGGCGACGCGCGCGCGGTCCGCGCGCTCCGCGAGGCGCGCGCTCCACTTGTCGCCGACGTACGACTGCAGCTCGTCCATGAGCCGCTCCTTGGTGCGCGGGTCGTTCGCGTTCTCCACGCGCTCGTCCTTCACGATCTTCTCGCGCGCGCGCAGAAGCGCCTCCATCTCGCCCCTCCGGCGCTTCTCGTACCGCTTCTGGCGCTCCTGGCGCAGCAGCTCTTCCACCTCCTCGTCGTCGCTCGTCATCCCCGCAAACGCCTGCGCGAGGCGCGCAGTCTCGTCGTCCGCGTCCGCGCGCTTCGCCTGCATCGCCTCCAGCTTGGCGCGCGCGCGCGCCTCCTCCGCCGCGGCCGCGTCGCGCTTGGCCTGCGCCTCCCGCTCGCGCTCTGCGCGCGCGGCCGCCGCGGCCTCGCCACCCAGCTGCTCGTCGACCCACAGCTTGATAAAGCGGTAGCGCATCGCGCCGCGGTACCGCACGGCCCTGCCGCGACCCGTCTCGGCGTCGAACGACGACACAAAGTACAGGCCCGGCAGGCGCTCCTGCGTGAGCTGCGCATCGACGTGCGCCTGCGCCGCGGGCAGCGCGCCCTCCTTGTTCGCGTACACGTGCGCGAACGGCACACGCCCGCGGTAGTCGAGCGCGAGCGAGCGGTACATCGGCGACGTCTTCGCCATCGGCGTGACGAGCACGACCTTCGGCTGCGCCGCGTTCTTCTCGAGGAACGGCCTGAGCTCGCCCGCGCTGACCTTGCGCACCGCCTCGGGCGGCAGCATATCGAGGGCGTAGTCGAGCATGGCCTTGGCCTTGCGCTCGCCGGTGTAGTCGCGCGGGATCCGCTTCTTCGTCGCGGGGAACGCCTTGATCGTCGGGAAGCCCTGGATACCGTACTGCGCACACAGCGCCTTGGAGCCCGCGTCCTCACAGTCGACGTTCGCGATCTTCACGACGCCATCGAGCTCCGTCGCCACGCGCACGTACTGCGGCGCCAGGCGCTGGCAGTGCCCGCACCACGGCGCCGTGAACGCCACGAGCGTGGGCTTGTCGACTTTCAGCACCTCCGTGTCAAAATTCGCACCACTCAGCTGCTGCACAGGTCCCTTGGCCGGGAAGAGCGCCGCATGCGCGGCGCCCGCCACTACGACAGCCCACAGCCACACACGAAGCATGGCGACAGCGAGCCGCCGCCGCGCGGCGCCACGGTGGAACGTCACGTGATCAGGTAGCGACGGCCGCGCGGCCGTCGCCCTCGCCGACCATGGTCCTGCACGCCCCCGGCACGCGCGCGCACGCGCGCGCGGTGGCTGCGCTGGGCAGGGCCGTCTTGCGCCGCACAGGAGGTCGCGCCTACACGGCCGTGTCCGCGGCCGAGGTCCTGCGCGCGCAGGCCGAGGCCGGATCGAACAGGGAGCTCGATCCCCGGGGCGTCGATTACGGCCTCTTCGAGTCGCCCTCCGGCGAGTACGTGCACCAGTCGCGCCTCGCGCCGCGCATATCGACGAGTCCCGCGGGCGTGGACACCATGCGGCGCGTCCTCCAGGACGGCGACTATGCGGGCGCCGCGCACCTCTTTGCGCAGCTGCGGGCGCTCGGCACGCCGCTTGCGGCGCCGCTCGTCGAGTACGCCTACGCGGCACGCTGGTGTGCGGCGTCGCAGCGCGCCGACGAGGTCGTGCCGTTCCTCGAGCGCGTTCCCGCCCAGGCCGCCCACAGCGCCGCGGCCATGCACCAGGTGGCGCAGGCGCTCCTGCTCCTCGCGCGCGATGCTGCGGCGCTGCCTGCGGCTGAGAGAGCCCTGCTCGTGGCGGCGGACCGCGGGTTCACACAGGCCCTCCCGCGCGCCCTCACTGAGCTGTACCACGGACCGCTCGGCGGCTCCCCGGGCGCCGAGGCGCTGTGGCGCTCGCTCGTGCCGCGACTGCGCGCGGCGGGCGCGAGCGAGGCCACGCTCGCCTCGCTCTTCGCGCGTGTCGTGCGGGCGCAAGTGCGGGCGCGCCACGCGCCCCTGCACGAGACGCTGCCGAGCACGTCTGCGGCGCCCGTGTCCTTTGCGCTCGATGCGCGCACCCGCACGCTCCTGCAGCGCGATGCGCTGCGCGCACCGCTCATGCTGCCGCACGACCAGGCGCGCTTTGCGCACTATGCCGAGGCGCGCGACCTGATGCGCATGCGCAGCGTGCTGCTGGGCGCCGTGTCGCGCGGCTACGTGCCGCCGCTCGAGCTCCTGTCCACCCTGCTCGCCATGGCGTCGGCGCACACGCACATCCCCGCGTCGGGCGCGGCGCCCTGCTCGACGGGCACGTACCTGCGTCCTCTGCGGCGGCGACTGCAGGCGTGCCCGGGGCTCTGGGAGACAGCCATGCTGCGTGCGCGCGAAAAGGCCGGCGACTGGCGCGGCGCCCTGCGCCTATGGCAGGCGCGGTTCGTGCCGAGTCCCGCTGTGCGTGCGGCCACCGTCGAGGCGCTGCTCGCGACGCCGGAGCCAGGGCGCGGCGNTCGCACGCAATAGCGCGGCGCGGCCGGCCGCGCAGCGGGCGGTGCGCGCGCGCCTTGTGCCGACGTCCTACGCGGTCGCCACTGCGCTGCGCGCGCTGGCGCAGGGATGCGGGCCGCAGGCGGCGCCGCTTGCGCAGGCGTATGCGGCGCTCGTCGCGCATGCGCGTGCAGGTGCGTCTGTGCGTGCCGCGTGCTTCGAGGCGTTCGTTCCGATGATGAGTCGCGCGGACCCCCAGCGCTTCGTGCGGGCGGCGCCGACGACGCCGCTGCCGACGCTGTGGACGATGCTGCAGGATATGCGGGCGTGCGGGGTGGCGCCACGTGCGACGACGTGGACGCTATGGCTCCAGGCGCTTGCGCGTGCGCGTGGACGGCGTGCGTGGCGCGTGGCTGCGACGCTGCTGCGCGCGATGGACGAGCCGGCGTCGGAGGCGGCGCGGGCTCTCTCGCTGCCGCGCGCGACCGCGGGCACGTACGCGGGCGTGCTGCATGTGCTGCAGCGTGTGCGGCCCGGCGCGCGCGTGCGGCGGCGGCAGGCGCACGTCCGAGGGCGGATGCAAAGGAGGGGCTATGAGCGTTGTACAGCGGTGACGCCTAATCGACACGCTTGATGGGATGGAGCACCGACGGTGCGCGGCACACGTTGGCGTTCTTTTTCCAGCCCATGTAGAGTTCCTTGGCGTGTTGGGCGTGGTAGTAGAACGACGAGTCCTTGTGGAGGTTCTCGTTCTTCTTCTCGTAAAAGTCCTGGCGGTTGAGCAGGCGATTGAGCTCGTGAATGTCCCACTCGTGGCGGAAGTAAATGGGGTGCGGCGCAAACACGCCCTTGAAGGGGATCGGCAGCGTGTAGCTGAACCCGGCCTCGGGGTAGAACGAGTGGTTGTGCGAGAGGGGCATCTGCGAGTGGAGCACGAGCGTCGTGGGCCAGGCCTCGCAGTGGAGGCTCTTTTTCGCCTCGGCGTTGACGACGTTCATCGCCTCGAGTAGGCCGCGGCTGAGGCGCATGTTGGTGCCGATCGACGCGCGCCGGTCCGTGTCGCGGCCGAGGGGGTAGTTCTGTACGTCGTGCGTCCAGTACCAGCCGCTGCCGCGCGGGTCGAAGATGGGCCCGAGCGTGATCATGTCGGCCTCCTCGCCGACCTTGGTGCTGGAGCTGCTCGGCGCGCGCCAGATGCGCTCAGACTCGGGCACGCCGGGCATGTACCACGTCTCGTACTTGTGCATGCCCGGATTCAGCGGCTCCTGCCGCGCGTACGCCTCGATGCCCTCGAAAAAGTCGAGGTAGTTGCCGATGTAGCGCACATCCATCTCCCAGTTGTACACAAAGTCGTACTCCTGGTGGTCGAGCCAGAACTTTTGCAGCGCCATGAGGCACGCGCGGTAGGACGTCTGCGCGATCATATTGTTGATAAAGCGCCCCGGCAGACCCGCGTACAGCACCTCCAGCTGCTTCTCGGACCAGAACTCGACGAGGCCCCAGAACTCGCGCGGCACGCTGCTCACGAGCACGCGGTACCGGTCCCACTCGGACGTGAAGACGCTCAGCGCTGGGTCCTTGACCTCGACGAGGATGCGCACGTCGTACGGCGTGTTCGGGTTGTTCAGCGAGAGCTCGCTGATCATCGCACGCAGGTTGAGAATGTCGTCCTCGCGCCACGGGTATCCCTCGTACGCCCGCATCACGATGGCCGTGCGCTTCACCGCGGGGTCCGTCCGGTACTGCTCGCTGTCCCACGTCGACGCGTTCCACCCCTGCTGCTGCACATGCCGCGCGTAGCATGCGTCCATGAGCGCGCGCCAGTTCGGCACATTCACGCGGTGCGGATCGCGCGTGTTCTGGCGCATAAGCCGCTCGCGCAGCAGGTTCTCGTAGTCCTTCGTCTGCATACCCTCCGGCCGCGGCTGGCCAAACAGCGGGTCGTACTCGACGGCGCCGCGTGGCGCCGACTGGCCCACCTGGTGCACCGGCCACGGGTCGTCGGGGTCCTCGTCCACCGCCTCCTCCGTCGCAGGCAGCAGCTCGTCGGGCAGGCGGTATGTGATCTTCAGCGCCTCGTCGGTGTACATGCCGTACCGCTCCTTGTACGTGATGCACTGGTCCCCATCCACACCGACCAGCTTATAGTCGCCGACAATCGGCTTGGGGTGCGTCGCCGGCGTCGGGTGCGCGCTCGACGGCGAGAGCGGCACCGGCACACCGTTCGGGCCCGGACACTGATCGAGCTTGGGCGGGATGATGGGATGCGCCGGGCGCACCGAGATGGGGCGCCCGCTCACGTCCAGCGGCACACGCGCGTTCGGGTCGACGCGGTAGTACGCCATCTCGTACCACTCGGGGCGCCCCAGGTTGAGCAAAAGCAGACCGAGGATCGCGCCGGACGTGGCGACGGTCACGATCGTCTTCCAGCGGCGCACGACCCAGTGCACGATGTACAGACCCACAAACAGAACAAAGCCCGAGACACCCATGCGCTCATAGCTCCGCAGCACACGCTCCCGCGACGTCAGGAATGGCTGCGACGCCGGGCTGGGCAGCTCGTCGTCCGAGCCTGTCGCGGCGCCGGGCGTGTCATAGGGACGGAACTGGTATCGCTCAGAGAGAAACACAGACGAGTTCTCGTCGGCCATGCCAGCTTCCACCACCGACACAGGCACTGTCTCTTTGCTCGCCCTCATGGGGACATCCCCAGCCTCGCTCATCGTGGCGGCCGCCAGGGGCGGCGCAAGCGACGAAACCGATACTCGGCCGAATCTACATAAGGGGCGGCGAGGCCGTCACCACTCGCCCCGGCCACGCCGGCGTGGCGTGCGCATGTACGGCAGCTCGCTCGCACTGTCGTCCCAGTCGCTCATAGGCACGTACGGCTCCCCGTCCTGCAGGGCCGCATCGACCACATCTCTGCGCTGGTGCCGCCGCGGTCGGCGGGAGGGCCACGACTCGGCATACTCGTCGTACTTGTCCATGCTGCCCCGCGAGCTTGGCCTGGAGCCGAGGTCCTGGCGCCGTGCGGACCGCATCGTCTCCTGTTCGTAGATGCTCGGGTCCACAGGCGACTCCATCGCTGCAGTGTCCTCATGGGCGGCGGCTGCGCCCAGAGGGGCCGGCCAGTGGGAGGGCGGCGGCGCCGTGCCTGGCTCCGGCTCCATGTACGGTGTCAGCGTGTCTGCCGGGTAGTACGTGGGCATGGGAGGCACGACATCGGCGGTGTCCTGCGCCGCGTACGTCGTGGGCTCCATAGCTGGCGGCTCCGCCGCTGGTGCCTGTGTGATGGGCGGCTCTGCAGCGAAGGCGGGGGCGTTCGCGGCGTCCGGCTCGCTGCGCACGGAGGGTCTCCAGCGCGAGAGCAAGTAGGCTAGCAGGGCGATGAGCACCAGACCCACAAACGCCCCGATCGCAATGCCGGCAATGGCGCCACCGCTCAGGTCCGAGCCGCTATCGGACGCTTGGATCGCGGGTGTGACGCCGGCCGTGCTGGAGGGCCCGGCCGTGCTGGAGGCCGCGGAGCCCAGCTGTCGTAGCGTTGACATGGAGTATTTGCTGGAAGACGAGCGCGCCGAGGAGCGGCGAGAAGAGGACGCAGAGCCTGCTGCAGGCTTGGAACGGCTCGTGGGACGTCGCGACGCCTTGGACGTGCGTGCTTGGCTTCGCGACGCAGACCTGGATGCCTTTGCGCGCGTTTTGGCCGATGTCTTGGCACTCTTGCGCGAGGTCTCATGCGAGGACGCACTAGAGCGGGCGCGCCGCACGATATTCTGATGCCGTTGGTTCATGGCATCGTCCCACATAGTGCGGATCCGGACGGAGCGTGCGCCGGCGGAGGTCGCGACCAAGTGGCGAGCTGCACCCCTGTACCCTGCTGCAGGTGGCGCAGGAAAAGGGGTTCATGCTTACTTAATAGAGCATCGAGGCACGGCGGCGCCGGCCCTGACCTGCCCCGGCGTCGCTCCTGCTACCATCGCGGACGAGCCCGGCGTCTTTGTAGCGTCTATGCCGTGTGGTCGGGCGTCGTTTCGGGCCGAGCCGTGAGGCGTAAGGCGTCTCGGGGGCGAGGGTATGCGTCGGGAGGGAGGCTGGCGCCACCTAGTCATGTAGCTACATATGCTTTTCCTCCCGATATTCTTCTCCCGTCGTCTAGTTGGTTTATGACACGGTGCTTATAGAGGTCCTTGTGTGGTGCCCCTGTGCACGGCCCGCTGAAAGACGCGGAGAGAAACGCCGTTGTCCGGGGTTCGAGTCCCCGCGGGAGAAACTTTTGGGACGGCCCACGCGGCCCTATGCAGGCGCCCGACCCCGCCCCGTTTCATTTTGGGGTCGGAGCCTGACGTGAGCCCGCCGTGCCTTGTGTGCCTGACTGCGAGCTATCTGTCCCATGCGCCTCGAACGTGGGCAGCCGGGCGCCGCACGACACGGACCGCACGCGAATCGCACGACACTCACCGTAGCGGGCGTCTAGAGGCTACGAGTGTGGCGCAGGGAACGAGGCGGCTGATCCGACGTCACAGCGCCCATGAGCCTGCGCCGCGCACGGAACGGACGACCTCCCGCGCGCTTCGTGTGCCGCCTGTGACGGCCTACCAAGTAGTGCCGCCACGTGGGGCTGGGGCAAAGGCATACAGTCTAGTTAGTGTACGAGCGCGCCGGCGCTGGCCGGGTAGGGGAACGATGCCCGCTTCTGGCGCTGGCCCCGCTCCCACGCCGCGGCGAGCGGCAGAGAGCGGCCCAGCGTGTCCTCCTTCTTGACTTGGTATATGCGGACCAGCCAGTTTTCGCTGGTAAACACCTCGTCGAGCGTGTCCAGCACCGGCGACTTGGACGGCCCCGCGGAGCCGCGCGCACGGTCCTGGCCGGGGCCCCCGCCGAACAGCTCGTTGAAGCGGTAGTAGCTCATCTTGTACATGAGGCTCTCGCGCATCGTCGGACTGGCATTGTCGTCGACGCTGTAGTCGCCTGCCGCGCTGAAGAACTTGGACTCGACAATCTCCTTGGGCCAGATCCCCTGCGAAATGCGGATCATCCACAGGAACTTGTTCAGATCGTCGCCACTGAAGCCGAGCAGGCCGCCAAAGATGATCAGCACGTAGTCGACGTCGTGCTGGCGCAGAATCGGGTATGCCTTCTCCTCCGACGACGCCATCGCCTTGCCGACCGTCGCAATGTGCGTGTTGTTCCACGTGTTGTTGTCGACCAGCGTCGTGCGGTCCGCAAAGCCGGCGATCTGGTAGCCATAGTCCCACCAGCTCATCACCTTGGCGTCCTTCGGCGTGTTCTCACGCAGCCAGTAGTAGGCCTCGCGGAAGTCGTCGATGATCATCTGCGAGCCGTCGGTCGTCTGCGACGCCAGCACGACCGAGGGCGACGAGTACGCCGACGACGTGATGTGCGTGCAGTGCCACACGAACAGCTGCAGCATGACCATCACCGCGCCGACCACGAGGAGGCGCAGGTCCATCGGCAGCGCGCGCGCACGACGGCCGGTGCCGTCGACGGAGCGGCCCACGTACACATCGAGCAGCGTGCTGAGCGCGACAGCCGCACACACACACACACACGGCGTGAGCGTGAGCATGAGGCGCACCATGACGCCGGAAAAGTAGGATCCCATCACCGCGTAGATCACCACAAACACGTGCTCGTCACGCAGCTCGCGGAAGAGGAGGAACACACCGACCGGGAAGAGGAACACGAGGCAGTGCAGGTCCATAAAGTAAGACGGCCACGACGGCGGCTGGTGCTCCGACACCGACGCAATGATCGGGATGTGCTTCTTTGCGTACGACGTGTCCCACAGCGAGTAGAAGCGGCCCGTCCACGGCGCAATGTACCCCGCCGACGTGAGCAGCACGAGGACGCCCAGCGCGCCCACCGCGACGAGCGCCACGGCGCTGCGCACCAGCACCTTGAATTGCGCCGACGACACGTGCTGGCGCACCGTCTCGGTGAGCGCAATCAGCTGCAGCAGGCCAAACACGCCCAGGGCCGCCATGTGCTCGGACGTGCGCACCGGCTGGAAGCCGACGAACGGAATCTGCATGCTCGCGAGCGTGCCGATGACGTAGTAGCTCGAGTACGCCACGTACAGCCGCTCGCTGAAGCGGCCCATCAGGATGAGCACGAGCGCGTGCAGCGGGATCATGTTCGTGATAAAGACGTAGCCGCCCCACGCGGCGACCATGTAGAAGTAGAACAGCGCCGTGAGCACACCGTACAGAATCGAGCCATCGCGCACCGCGCGCACCCACAGGTAGAAGGTGAAGAGCAGGAGGAAGATGGCGATCGCCTCGTTGTCGTACGAGCCCGCGACCGAGCGCGAGATGTAGCCCGGCGCAATCGCGACGAACAGCGCACCGAGCAGGCCCGCCGACTCGTCCTTCATCGTGGCGGTGAACAGGTAGGCGGCCACCACCGTAAAGACACTGAACAGGGGCGCGAGCATCACACACACGTCGCGGATGTTCACGGGGATGTGGAAAAAGTGCAGGATGTTGTACAGCGTGCCACTCGTGATCATCAGGCCCGGGAACACCGTGCCGCCTGCCGCACGGCCCAGCGGGTACCAGGCCGTCGGGTCGAACCAGTTCCAGAAGCGGTAGTAGCCGTCCTTCGTCAGCACCTTCGTGGCACGGAAGTTGAACCACGGATCAAACTCGTGGATGATCGACTCGTACCGCACCACCGCAAACAGGCGCGACGAGACGGCCGCTCCGGCAATCATCAGCAGAATCACTACTCGCAGCAGCGACGCTGCATGCTGCTTCGTCTCCAGCGAAGCCCACGCCATGGCGGTCAGTCCAGGGCCCGCCACGCACCGGGTGCGGCGCCTCTTGTCACGTGGATGCACGTGCCTCTTCGTCCCCACCGGCGCTCCCTCTTCCCCGCAATGGCCCCCCTCGTCGCGGCGCGCGCGTACCCCATTGTGGGCGGCAGCGACGATGCGTGGGATGTCGTGTATGTGAATGCAGCACTCGAGGACCATCTTCGTGCGCAGGAGGCGAGCGCCGCGCCCCTCGCTGTCGCGATGGCGTCGGTGGCCGACGCACACGCCACACGCACCGCCCTCAGCACGGCCGGGCGCCTCGTGTGGGCGCGCCCCGCGCCCCCCGAGCTCGAGGAGGCCGCCAGCGTCCCATCGCAGGCATGCGCCGTGTTTGTACCGCATGGCCGCGCCGAGCTCGTCGCACTCCGCGCCGTGGAGCCCGTGCCGCTCACCGCCGCGTACCTCGCCGTGGCGCCGGCCCACTACGAGGCGCTCGCGGGCGCCCCGACAAAAATGCGCCGCGAGCTTGCGGGTCGTCTCCTGCACACCGGGCGCACATGCGTCTGGGAGCACACGCCCGTGCGCACCGTGATGACCGAGCCTGTGGCGCAGGGCATCGTGGTCGAGGGCACAACGCACATCTACCTGCTGTGCGACACCGAGCCGCCGCCGCCGACGCCTCACCATGGCACCGCTGCGCCGCCCAGCATCAGCGAGCGCTTTCTCGCACGCGACGCGGCGCCGCCCCTCACACGCGCGGCGCGCAGCGCGCCGTCGAGGCACATGGTGTGTGAGGCGATCCGTGCATGGCAGCAGCGCAACAGCGACGTCTACGTCGACGACGAAAGTACCGTGCTTGTCAGCGAGGCGACACTCGCCGAGCTCGGCGCGTTCGATGGCGACTGGGCCGTCGCGAGCGCGCTGAACGACGCGCGCATGCGCCTCGTGCGCCTCTTCGCCAGCAGCGAGGCGCACGAAGAGGCGCTTGTCCCGCCGATGCTCGCGCAGAACCTCGTGCATCCCGAGGCATACGATCCACTGCGCCCGCTGGTGCTCTGCCTCCAGCCCCTTCCTGCGCACGCCGCGGACGAGGCAGCGAGCGTCGCGGATCCACGCATCGCAGGCACGCCGGCGAAGCCGCCGCTCATGCCGCTCGCCGAATCGGTGGACCTGGCCCTCGTCGCATCGCCCATCACGACGGACCGCGCGTACGAGGCACAGTGCACACGGGCGCTGCAGGCCCATCTCGCCGACCATCCCCGCCTCCTCCACGAAGGCGACGTGCTCGCGGTGGCCGTGCAGGGCGGCCAAGCGCGCTTCCACCAGGTCGACGCGGAGCGCGCCGCGTCGCTGAGCGAATCTGCGCATGCGGCGGCGGCGGCAGCCGACCTGCCTGGCCTGGCACCCACGTACCTGCGGCACGCGGTCTTTTACTGTGTCACGGCCCTGGCGCCGGAGCTGGTCGAGCCTGAGGCGCTGCAGGAGCCGCTGTCGGCGCTGCCCGCGCTGCGTGCGTGGTACATGCAGCTGGTCGCGAATGGCGCGGACGCGGGCGCTGGCGCATGGGTCGACGCGGCGCACACGCGCATCGTGCAGTCGGGCACCGTGCAGCGCCGCGTCGCGGACGTCCATGCGTGGCTCGATCTCGCGAGCGATGCGCCTGCGTGCCCCCCCGACGGGACGCCGCTGACCGAGGCAGGCACGCCGTTTGCGCGCCTCGTGTCGCTATTGCACGCCGCGCTCTCGCCGCCCGCGCAGCCCCTGGGCCTGCACCTGCTCGTGCTCCTCACTGGCGCGCACGGGAGCGGTAAGCGTGCGCTTGTGCGGTGGGCCGTGCAGCGTGCCGGGGCGCACCTCCTGGAGCTTTCGTGCCCTCTTCTTGTGGGCGACAGCGATGCGCACACCGAAGGCGCTCTCCTCGCGCGCTGTGAACGGGCACGTTCGTGTGCGCCGTGCGTGCTGCTCCTACGTGATATCGATGGACTTGTGCGCGCGAATGCGTCCGAGGCAGCGCAGGGCGCGGTCGTGCGCCTGCTCCAGCGGTGTCTGCAGCCGGACGGTGCAGCACCGCTCTTTGTCGTTGCCACGGCGGAGGAGGCGGAGCGCTGTCCGGCTGCGCTGCGTGGCCTCTTCCACGAGACGATCAAGCTCGATCCGCCGGCGGAGCCGGCGCGCGCGCAGTGGCTGCGCATGGCGCTGGCGCCGCACACGGTCGGGGCGGACGTCCATGTGCCGTCGCTCGCGGTACAGACGGCCGCCCTGCTCGCGGCGGACCTGTATGGGATCGTCGCGCGCGCGCGCGTCGCGAGTGTGCAGCGCGCGGCAGGGCTGGTGGCGCATGGCGCGAGCGTCGCGGCGTCGCGCCCGGTGCTCTGTGCGGCGGATCTCGACGCGGCGCTGGGCCATGTGCGTGCGTCGTACAGCGAGAGCATGGGCGCGCCCAAGATCCCGAATGTGACGTGGGACGATGTGGGTGGCCTGGCGAGTGTGAAGCACGAGATCCTCGACACGGTGCAGCTGCCGCTCCAGCACCCCGAGCTGTTCAGCGACGGTGTGAAGAAGCGCAGCGGTGTGCTGCTGTACGGCCCGCCCGGCACGGGCAAGACGCTGCTGGCCAAGGCGGTCGCTACGACGTGTGCGCTCAACTTCTTTTCCGTCAAGGGCCCGGAGCTGCTGAACATGTACATCGGCGAGTCGGAGGCGAATGTGCGCCGTGTCTTCCAAAAAGCGCGCGATGCCAAGCCGTGCGTGATCTTCTTTGACGAGCTGGACTCGATCGCGCCGAAGCGTGGCCAGCAGGGCGACTCGGGCGGCGTGATGGACCGCATCGTGAGCCAGCTGCTGGCCGAGCTCGATGGCATGGCCTCGGGCGCCGCGGCGAGCGACGTGTTTGTGATGGGCGCGACGAACCGCCCGGACCTGCTCGACCCGGCGCTGCTGCGTCCCGGTCGCTTTGACCGCCTCCTGTACCTCTCCGTGGCGGAGACGCACGAGGCGCAGCTTCACATCCTCCAGGCGCTCACGCGCAAGTTCGCGCTGGACGACGATGTGGCCGACCTGCGGGTGGTCGCCGAGCAGTGCCCGTTCCACCTGACGGGCGCCGACTTTTATGCGCTATGTTCCGATGCGATGCTCAAGGCGATGACCGCCAAGGCCGCCGAGATCGATGCCGCCGTGGCGCGCGCCGACGCGCTCCCCCGCACCGGCACGCGGCAGCACTGGCCGGTGCCTATGACGGCGCCCTTCTACCTCGCTGAGCTCGCGGCGCCGCACGAGGTGCAGGTGCGTGTGCACCGGCGCCATTTTGAGGAGGCGCTCCGCGAGCTCACGCCCTCGGTGAGCCCGCAGGAAATGGCGCACTACCGCGAGGTGCAGCGCCTGTTTGCGCCGCCCGCGCCGCCCGAGATACCCTCGGCCCCCGGTCCCGACAAGGGCAAGGGCCGTGCTCGCCTGTCATAGGTCGTTCCTTTCACGTGATTTCGGCGAACGGCCCCGCACCGGGGCCGTTCCCCGGTCCTTCCCCACGAACCCGAACATGAAGGCCACGGTTATTGGTGCTGCTGGTGGTATTGGCCAGCCCCTGTCGCTGCTGCTCAAGCAGTCGAAGTATGTGAGCGAGCTCTCGCTGTACGATGTAGTGAACACGATCGGTGTGGCCACCGACCTGTCGCACATCAACTCGGCGGCCCCCGTGACCGGCTTCCTGCCCGAGAACGACGGCATGGCCAAGGCCCTCCAGGGCACCGAGCTCGTGATCATCCCCGCCGGCATGCCGCGCAAGCCGGGCATGACGCGTGACGACCTGTTCAACGCGAACGCGTCGATCGTGTACGGCATCGCGGAGGCCATCGCGAAGAACGCCCCCAAGGCGTTTGTGCTCGTCATCTCGAACCCCGTCAACTCGATGGTCCCCATCTTTGCCGAGGTGTTCAAGGCGCACAACACGTACGACCCCAAGCGCCTGTTCGGTGTCACGACGCTCGACGTCGTGCGTGCGTCGACCTTTGTCGCCGAGGCCGAGGGCCGCCCCGCCGAGGCGCCCCACTTCCACATCCCCGTCGTGGGCGGCCACTCGGGCACGACCATCATCCCGCTGCTCTCGCAGAGCGAGCCCAAGTTCAACGGCGACCAGAAGACCATCGAGGAGGTCACGCACCACATCCAGTTCGGTGGTGACGACGTCGTCAAGGCCAAGAACAACGCCGGTAGCGCGACGCTCTCGATGGCCTTTGCGGGCGCGCGCTTCGCCGAGGCCGTCCTGGCCGCCGCGCAGGGCCAGTCGCTCGAGCGCCCGCAGTACAGCTACATCGACCTCGCGGCGGACGCCAAGGGCGCCGAGCAGATCAAGAGCGTGATCGGCAACGACACCGCCTTCTTCAGCGTGCCGATCACCCTCGGCCGCGACGGTGTCACGGCCATCCAGCCCCTCGGCCAGCTCTCCGAGTTCGAGCAGAAGATCATCAAGGAGGGCATCGAGGCGCTCAACGGCAACATTGCCAAGGGCGTGTCGTTCAAGCCCACCAAGCTCTAAGTAGGCCGTAGTCGCTTCTCGTCGTACCTCCACTGGTCAGCGCCCACCTCGACACGCACGGTGCGCCGCGGATCGATGGCGGCCCCGAGCACCACGCCCCCGGCTCGCGCGCCCTCGCAGGAGCAGCGCCCAGCACCCGATGACCCCAGCGACGCCCCTGACCGCGTCGCATGGCTCCAGACGCACCTCGCCCGCGTGCACGCCCCCGCCAAGGCAGAGCCGCGCGGCCCCTGGTCCCGCCGCCTCGCCGACGCGGGCGTCGGGCCCATCGAGCCGCTTCTGACCGAGCTCACACGCTTGCATGCGGCCCTCGAGCAGCGCCGCGCCGACGTGGCCGCCGAGACGACCTTCCACATGCAGCAGGCCACGCACGTCGTGCCCCGCGCCGTCGCCGAGGTCGAGCGCGCCTCAGCGGCCACGACGCGCCTGCGCGACGAAATGCACACGGCGCAGCGCTCGTACCAGGACGTGTGTGAGCCGACGGCGCCGGACCGTGCGGCGTCCGCAGCAGCGCTCGCGCAAGTCCACCGCCTCGCCCGCGCCAAGCAGCACATGCAGGTGGCCCGCGATATGCTGCAGGCCGTCGATGCATGGTCGCTTGTCCGCAGCGACGTATCCGCGTTCCTGGCGGACGGGCAGTACACCCACGCTGCCGCGCGCCTCCGCGACGTCGAGGCGAGTCTCGCGCCCTTCGACGCCGCAAGCGCGTATGTCGAGCGCCAGCGCCGCGTGCACGCCGAGCTGGTGCACGACCTCGTCAATGCCGTGACACCCCCGCTCGTGCGTGCCGTGCGCGACGCGCTCGTCGACGAGATCCTCGCGTACGCGGACGTCCTCGCGTGTGTCGGCCAGGGCCCCGTCTTCGATACACTGTACACGGCTACACGCTCCGAGGCCGTACAAGCGGCGTGGCACGACGCCCAGCCTGCCTCCGTGCCCGAGGCTGTTGACGTGCTCGGCCGCGCGCTTGTGCGCCTCGTGCAGCAGGAGGCCACGGACTTTGCGCCGGCCGTGTGGGGCCACAGCGCGCATGCCGCGCTCGTTCTCACCGCGACGCTCGCGAACTTGCGCCCGACGCTCGCGGCCTACCTGCAGGCCCGGCAGGCACCGCTGCCCGAGCTGGTGCAGGCCTTCACGCGCCTAGACACCCATGCACAGACGCTGCAGGCGCTCCTGACACCCCGCGGCCCGCCGGCCCCGCCGCCCCGCCGGCCGACGAGCCTCTCCGCCGAGTGGCGCCCATGGCTCCACGACGCGTTCGTGCCGTTCCAGCAGACATACCGGGCCCTGGAAACGGCGTTCCTCACCGACGCATGGCGCGCCACCGAGGCCGCCTTCGAGTCGCGCCTCGGGCGCATCTGGGTCACGTCGCTGGGCCAGGACGCTGCAGCCGCGTGGACCTTGTGCGTCGCAGGCGTCGCGCGCCTGCTCCATGAGCAGGTGGCGCAGTGTGCGGAGATGCGTGACGCCGCGTTCGAGCGCGTGGCCGTCTTTACGGGCGGCGCAGGCGCCGCTGATGTGCGTGCAGCGCTTGCCTCGGCGCTGTACGAGCCGTGCGTGCAGCGCCTATGTACCACCATGGACGCGGTCCGCGCGCGTTTCCAGCAGCACATGCGCGCGTCGGCACCGCCCGCCGCGCGTGTGCTGCAGGGCGACGACCACATGGACGCCGTGCACGACTGGGACCTCGTGCGTGCGGGCGTGCAGCTGCTCGCTGTGGCGCGCGCTGCGCACGAGTTGGCGCAGGCGCCTGTGGACCATGCGTGGCGATGGCCTGCGCCGGCGCTGCTGGACGGTGCGGCGAGTGTGCCGTCCCGATCGGAGGCGCCGGATGCGCCGATGGAGCGCGTGACGCTCGCGGCGCACCGGCTCGTGCTGGAGCTGATTCTCGCGGCGTTCCGGCGGCACCTCGAGGCGTACCGTGAGCATGGCGCGTGGCGGCGCACGGCGCCTGCGCCGGCGGCGCCCAGCGCGGCCGACGCGCGTGTGCCGGTCCCCTCTTTCAGTCGGAGCCCCACGGAAGGCATGGTGCGTCTGGGCGAGGGCCTGTTGAACCTGCCGCGCCTGCTCGAGTCGCTCGTCGAGCGCGAGCTGCCGCAGTTTGCATTCCAGGCGGACCTCTTGCCCTTCGCGCACGAGGACGAGGCGGGCCCGCGGCCTGTGCGGCGCGAGGCGCGCGCGCTCTCGGCGCAGCTGCTCACGCAGACGGACGACGCGGCGTCGGCGGCGTCGGCCACCGACCACGTTCTCTCGCTGTGGCTGCGGTCGCTTACGCGGACGCTGCTGGCGGCGGTGGAAGGGGACGTGCTACCGTACATGGTGCAGCAGACGGACTATGACCGCGCACAGCTGGCAGCGGATGTGGACTATCTCAGCACGATGGCCAGTGCACTGAATGCGTCGTCAGCGCCGCTGCGCGAGTGGGCCGAGGTACTGGCGCTTTCGCCTGCTGCGCGGGCGGCGCTGCCGAGCACCTCGGCGCTGCGCCTGTCCGCCGCGTACCGCGCCGTGGCAGGCATGCATTAGCGCCGGCGGCGCTCGAGGACGGCGGCGTGCAGGCGGTCGAGCATCTCGACGGTCGTCTCGAAGCTGACGCACCCATCGGTGATCGACACGCCGTACTGCAGGGCGTCCTTCTGGCCGTTCTTGGGCTCGCTTTGCTTGCCCTCGTGGATATGCGACTCGATCATAATGCCGGTGATGGCGGTCTGGCCCTGGGCGATCTGCTGGGCAATGTCCTCCGCGGCCTTGGGCTGGTTGCGGAAGTCCTTGTTGCTGTTGCCGTGGCTCACATCGATCATGATGCTGGGGTGGCGGTCCGGCAGCGTCTTGAGCAGGTCCGCCTTGCTCGTCTCGACGCTCTGCGCATCATAGTTGGTGCCACGCTTGCCGCCGCGGTGGATGATGTGCAGGTCGGGGTTGCCGGCCGTCTTGACGATCGAGGCGAGTCCCTGGTTCGTCACGCCCATGAAGGCGTGCGGCTGCGACGACGCGCGGATCGCATCGACCGCGACGCCAATGCCGCCGTCCGTAGAGTTCTTGAAGCCAATCGGCAGCGACAGGCCCGACACAAGCTCGCGGTGCAGCTGCGACTCGGTCGTACGCGCGCCGATCGCGCCCCACGCGTACAGATCCGACAGGTACTGGGGCGAGATCGTGTCGAGCACCTCGCACGCCACAGGCAGGCCAATCTCGTTAATGTCAATCAGCAGCTGGCGCGCAATGTGCAGGCCGCGGTTGATCTGGAACGAGCCGTCGAGGTTCGGGTCGTTGATCAGACCCTTCCAGCCGACGGTCGTGCGCGGCTTCTCAAAGTAGGCCCGCATAATGACCACAAGACCATCCTTCCAGCGCGCCTCGTATGCCTCCTTCAGGCGGCGAGCATAGTCGCGCGCGGCCTCAGGGTCGTGGATCGAGCACGGGCCGACAATCACCAGCAGGCGGTCGTCCTGCCCGTGGATCACACGCACGGCCTCCTGGCGACCACGCCCAATCACCTGCTTGGCGGCGTCGGTCACCGGCAGATCATGCATGAGCAGCATCGGAGAAATGAGCGGGTCATTGCCGACCACACGAGTATCGTTGGCGTACACAGCGTCCGTCATGGCGAACAGGAGGACCTGCCCCGCCGCCCGACGCTGCCGCAGCGACGCACCGTCGTCTCGATGACTAATCGCTATGGAGTCATAGGACCGGCGCCCCCATCGACCCGGCCGAGGCCTTCAGCACCTCGCGTGCCCAGTTGGCCGTCTTGCGCGTCTCGGAGCTGTTGCCGCGGCTGCGGCCCAGCTTGATGTAGTCCAGCACCCACGGCTGCTGCAGCTTGACCAGCACCGGGCCGGCCGGGAACGCGGACGCCATATCTCCCAGCAGACCAATGGTAGCGCGGAGCAGCGACTCGGAGCGGTCCATCCCGTCCGAGGCCACGAGGCCGACAAACGCCAGCATCGCGTCCATGTACGGTGCGAGCAGCTCCACGCGGCCACCGCCACGCAGGCCCGAGAGAATGCCCACGTACGCCTCGGCAATACCCTCGCGCAGGTCGTTCACGTACTCGATCATTTCATAGTCGATCGACTCCACAGGGTTCTGCACCATGCTCGCCTGCTGCAGCACTGTCATCGCGCTGGGCAGATACGTTTCGAATGCGGGCCCAATCGCCATCGCCATGTCACCAAAGCAGCTCAGAATGTGCGGCTTCACGTTGCGGTGCAGCACGGGGCTCTGCAGGTCCTCAAACAGCGCCGTGAGGAGCGTCTCGCTGTACTTGAGCACCTTTTCGTTCAGCGAGCGGCACACGTCGCCCACAATGCCCACGCTAATCGTGCACAGCTGGTGCTCTTCGTGGTTGCGCAGGCCCTCCACGAGGAACGGCAGGAACGCATCCAGGTACTTTTCAAAGTCGGCCTCCAACGCGACAATCACCGTGCCGACGGCCACAAACGCATCCTCCAGCACCGTCGGCTGCTTCCCGCTGTTCTGGATCAGCATCAGCAGCGACGTCATCAGCCGGTCGCCGATCGGCGCCATGCCCGCCTGCAGCCGGCGAACTGCAGCAATAATGACACTGCACAAGTTGCTCTGCAGCTCCGCCCAGTTGTTGCGGTCGTCCAGACCAACCAGCTGCGACACCATACCGTTCAGCGCCTCCTGGCGCTCGACCATGTGCACCAGCACCGTGCTCACCTGCGCCAGGCAATCGGTTGCGCTGTTCGCCACGACCGACGCCAGCGCCTCGTACGCCGAGGTCCGGCTGTTCGACTCGTTCGTCGAGCGGTCCGTCGCCTGCATGAGCTGCGCGACCATGGTCTCAAAGTACGGCGACAGCGACGTCGTCGGCGGGTCCACATCGTCCAGCGACGCGAGGATGCCCTTGCGCTCGGCCAGGTTGATCAGGGCCCAGCAACAGTGCGTCACAATGCGCGGCTGGTCCTGCAGCGCGTGCAGCAGCGCCTGGATGAGCGGGCCCAGCTGCACCTCGGGCGTAATCGCGTCGTAGACAAACTCACACATGCGCCCCAGCGTCCACGCTGTCGTATCTTTGACCGCCACGGAGGGGTCCTGCAGCGTTTCAAGCACGGTCGGGAGGGCCTGGGTGACGAGGGTCATCAGCAACTTGCTCTCCGGACCGTCCATGATACTGCCAAAGCACATCAGTGCTGCCTCGCGACGGCGCCAGTCGGGCGACTTGATGTTCCCTTCCACGAACGGCACAGCCAGCGATACAATCTGGTCGCCCACGACCTGGGCAAGCAGGCCGAGACACGTTCCAGCGGCCTTGGCCGTGTCCCACTCGTCCTCATCGCTGTCTTCGTCCTGCTGCGTGAGCAGCTCCATAAGCACTGGCGCGATCTCCGGCAGGGCCACCCGCGCAAAGTGGTGCGACACATGCGCCGGCTCCTCGTTGAACTCGGCGGCCTCAGCAGCCTCGAGCGCGAGCTCAATCTCCTCGTCACACACCGTGCTCCAGAACTCGACCGCCTGCAGCGCCACGTTCGGCTCCGCATCGCGCATGCCAAGCACCGTGAGGCCAAACAGCGCCTGCTCCATGTAGAAGCGCATCTTATCGTAGTACAGCTGCATGATGCGCACGAGGTTCTCAAACGCAGCCACCTTGACCGGGACGTGCACCGACTGCGTCGCCTCACACACCACTTGCATGATAAAGTTGCGCTCACCCTCGCGCTCAAAGTTGCCGCGCACAAACTCGAGCGAGTTGAGCAGCGCTTGCAGCGCGGCAAGCTGCACTTCGGGCACCGTCTCCTCTTTCCGCGCCCCTTGGATGACCGCCGTGAGAATCTCATTCGACTGCGTCGCAAGCACCACAGGATCCACCACTTCACAGGTGAAACCAATCGCCTGCAGCGCCGCCTGCCGCTGGCGGGGGTTGGTCAGGTCGCCAATCGCGGCGAGAAGCTGCGACACGAGGTCCGGCCACATGCCGCGCGGCAGCTCAATGGCCGCGACCGCCGCAGTTACCTGCGCAGCCACCGTGCCGGCGCGGCTCTCGCTGCTACTGAGCGTCATGAGCACCTTGCTCTTCACCTGGTCACGGGCCTCTGCCGGCAGCAGCGTCCAGCGCTCCGCATACTCCTGCGCCCGTTTGGGATCACGCGCAGAGAGCGCATTCTTGAGTGCCAGACCTGAGGCCGCGCGGATGTGCGGCACCGACGGCTCATTCGCGAGCTCCGCCGAGAGCGACGTCATGTACATGGGCTGACGTTAGTGCACCAGCACACGTACGTAGTTGTCGCGCGCGGCCGTCTCAAGCGCATGCTCCGCTGCCTGCCGTGTATTATGATCTACAGTCAGTCAATATACCGCGTACCTGGCGAGAGCGAGTTGGTGAGTAGTTCACCGACATTCATTGTGGCACAGAAGAATCCGCCTCGACCGCCGGTGTCCAAAGTGTTTGTTGGCATTTTTGCAATTTGTGAAAATGGCTCGGGCTACATTCATGTGGAGGTCGCTGCGGCTACGAACGTCGTGAGCGGCTCGCCGGCCGCGACGATGGCGCACGTGCCTCGGAAGCGCGGCGCTTGCGCGTCTTCTTCTCGGCACTCGCCGCTGCCTCCAGCTCCTCTTCCTCCTTGACTACAATCGTGAGCAGCGTGTGACAGCGGCGCGCCAGCTCCTGTGGCGTGCGGCTCTTGATGAACCAGTTGAAGCGGAACTCGGGGTAGCCCAGCACATCCGCACGGATTCGCTCGTAGACATCCTCGCCGCTCAGGCCATAGTCGGCAAGCCGGACCAGAAGGAAGCGGTCCTCGTCCTCTGAGTAGGCCTTGCCCTTCGCCTGGTTGTACACGAGCTTGAGCTCCTGCAGTGGCGCGCCATATGCGTCCACCTTCCGACGCAGCAAGCGCTCGTGGTGTTGGAGCTTCTTGCGCCTCGATTCGCCCTCCTCGACACGCTGCACGATGCGGTCGCCATCGCTCAGCTCATGCACATGTGCCCAGAAGACCTGCGAGTACGCGCGCACGTCAGCCTCACTCTTCTCGCCCAGTCCAATCTCCTCCGCAATGGCCGCATACGCCGTGCGCCCATGCTTCTCACAGCCCTTAATGAACTGCTGAAAGTCGCGGCGGCTCCACTCGCTCCATCCCTCTTGCGCCAGGGCCTCCTTTTCGGCCTGCTCCTCCTCCGTCAGCGGCTCAGCCTCGTCAATGAACTTTTGCTCCTTCGCACGCTGCGCCTCAGCCTCCGGATCATTCGACTCGGCCTTGGGCACCTGGTAGTTCAAGCTCCGCTGGTACGCGGCCGTCTCGCGATTCTGCAGCTCGATCAGCCGCGGAGGGTAGAACTGCCACTCGGGCGTCGAAACTTGCTTTGGCGCACGAGGCGCCTTGGGCTGCGCCGGCTTGCTTGTCGTACGCATCGCATCGCGGTAGTAGCTGTCAATCGAGTAGTTCTGCTTGCGCTCGCGCTTCGCAGGCTCGATCCAGATTCCCGCACTGGGCTTACGGCCCTTATTCTGCTCACCGTCCCAGCCATAAGTCGAGTCGTTGCGCAGGTTCGTCAGCTCGTCCAGACTCGTAAACTGTTGGTACTTGGCCTGCAGCTCCGCCGTGCGGGCCTCACCCTGCGCAATAATGGCGTCAATGTCATCCTTGACCTCCATCGACTCTTTTGAGTTGATGATTCGCTCGGCGCCGTGCTGGATCATGTCGACCAGATCGTCCTTGTTCTGCGCTCCCTTTGGCTGCGCCGAGGTGCGGCCCTGCTGGATCACAAGCTGGTCCAGGCGCAACTTTTGCGCGGCACGCTCGAGAATGCGCTCTTCGATTGACTGGTCCGTGACAAAGCGGTACACATACACCTGTTTCTTCTGCCCGATACGATGCGCACGATCCATCGCCTGTAAATCGGCCTGGGGGTTCCAGTCACTGTCGAACAGCACCACAATATCGGCCGACGTCAAGTTGATACCCAGACCGCCAGCGCGCGTTGTCAGCAGGAAGATGAACTTGTCGCTGTCAGGCTTATTGTACTCGTCAATGGCGGCAATACGATCCTCATGAAGCGAGCTACCGTCAATGCGGCAGTACTTGTACGAGCGGAAAAGGCAGTAATCCTCCAAAATGTCCAGCATACGGCTCATCTGGCTGAAGATGAGCACACGCGAACCACGCTCCTTCATCTTCTTCAGCAGCTTGTCCAGGATCACCATCTTGCCGCTGTTATCCACAAGGTGCTCGTCCGTGGTGAACGGAGGACCTGGCTCGGCACCGTCAAACAGATACGGGTGGTTGCAGCACTTGCGCAGCTGCATCACAATGTTCAGCAAGCGCGTCTTGCCCTCTTTCCGCGACAGGGCGCCATTGACCGCATCGATATCCTTCTCTAGCAGCGACTTGTACCACTTACGCTGCATGTCGGTCAGCCCGACAAATACATTGATCTCCTTCTTGGGCAGCAGGCTGTGTTCGACATCTGCCTTTACACGGCGCAGCAAGAAGGGGCGCAGCACCTTGTGCAACTGCTGCACGATACTTTCCTTCGCCTCGTCATCGTTGCTCTCTTCGTCCTTGCCCTGGAACCAGGCCTCAAAGTCGTCTGCTGACGAAAACACATCTGGAAGCAAGAAGTTCAACAGGCTCCAAAGCTCCATGAGGTTGTTCTGCAGCGGCGTTCCTGTGATCAACAAGCGGCTACGCGACGTAAATGAGCGCACAATTTGCGAAAGCGCCGAGTCCACGTTCTTGATGCGGTGCGCCTCGTCAATGACAATGTACTCCCACGACATTTTCTGCAGCGACGGCTTCTCACGCAAACACATCTCATAGGTGGTCACCAAGATATCAAAGTCCTGCGGCAGCAGCTTCTCCTGGATTACGCTCTGGCGCTCTTCCTTGCTGCCTTGCAGGGTAATTATCCGGAAGCCAGGCACCCACTTTTCCAGCTCACGCACCCAGTTGTCCAGCGTCGACTTGGGTACCACGATCAGGTACAAACCAGGAGTGTTGCGGTAAAACTTGAGGAAGCCCAAGAAACTGATGGTCTGTAACGTCTTTCCGAGACCCATTTCGTCCGCCAGAATCCCGTTAATACCGTTCTGGTACAGCGAAATGAGCCAGTTCAGACCCTGGATCTGGTACTCCTTCATTGTTCCGCCTTTCACATAACCAGGACTCTCGCGGAACATGAATGTTTCGTCCCCATCCTCGGCGTCCTCGTCATGCAGTAGCTCTTCGTCCTCCTCACGCTCCGACTTGCGGTGGTGCCGCTGGTCACCGCTGCTACCACCCTTCTTCTTTTTCGTGCGCTGATGCGCTGATTCTTCCAGAAGACGAGCAAAGTCCGGATCACGGTCCTTCTTGATATCAATAAAGTGCTGGAACAGCTCCGTCTGGCCCAGCAGATAGCTAAAGCGCTTCAGACTGTCCACCGTCTTTTGCCGGTTCATGTTAGAGCGGGTCGCATCGAGATTTTGGTTCTGCTCCATGCGACGCTGCGCGCGGCGCTCCCCCTCATTGGGACCGGCCATTTCTTCCGACGACATCGCTCCAGGCAATGCCACTTGTCGTCGGTCCGTGTGCAGAAGCACGCCGCGACGCGTGCTCGGTTGGCGCGTATAAAATATTTTCTATGGAACCACTACGCTCACAACGAGCCTCGTCCGACGCCTTCGGACCTAGATCGAATGCTACTAGCCATGAGGCTTCTCATTACGTCCATCACCGCAGCGACGCTCCCTGGCCCATGTAGTGCGTGTTCGCGTCACCATAAACGCGGTGAAGGATGCCGAACTTTGGTCGGGCATCAGGTGCATGCGGCGCAAGCGACTGCAAAGCCTCGCGAATCGGTTCTCCCGATGTGAATGAGGGAAGAGGGCCCTTGGCCGTCTCTAGCGAGTCCATTGGGTCAGTTTGACGCACTGAATGGACAGCCTTTGTCAGGTAGTGCTTTCGTCAGAATTGTATCACGTACATTCCATCGCGCCTGCATCTCTTCCCAAAAAGTCGGTAGACGTGGATGATATGCCGAGGCTGGTGGCCGACGCTGGCCGTTCGTCGGGTCGAATTCGGTATCAGCGGCGCCAAGTGCATCGGCCTTTTGGTGCATAGTGGTCACCATGTAGCGAGTCTGGTCTTTCATAGACTCATGCACAGCATATACGAGAACTCCGGCAACCAATGCACCACTTGCGGTCGAAAGCAGCGACAGAGAAGGCAGCATGTCGCAAGGATGTGGTATCGTTCTGAGCGATGCTCGACGATCGCCGCTCCCGCTCGGGGTGTGTTACGTAGTGGAGATATTCGGCCTAGTAGGTAAATTCGTACCATTGTGCCCCGTGCGTGCTCTGCCTCAAGAACTTAAGCCAAGAAACCCAGCCTATCAAGATGATCACCATCAGTAAGACTATTACGACAGAATACATTTTACCGAATCTATCTGGATCTTGCTTCAGGCTGCTATTAGGATAGAGATATAGGTGCAAAACATAGGCCAACCCATTATGTGCCTCCCTAGGATCTTGACGTACTATATAGCTAGGTCATGTATGGGCTAAATGGCTCGCACAACGATTTCGCAGACACTTAGGGTGGCTCTATTCGGGTGGAGAACATTACTATGAGGTTTGACACAGAGAACAAGTACTTCACTGCCATCCACGGAGATGTGCCACAGGTAGGCGAGTTCAGCATTCGGAGAGGTACAAAGCACCCTCTAGCTGATTTCAAAACTGTAGAGAAATGCCCTATCGAGCTTTCACACTAATCATCGTGCCGTGCGGACCACTGGCAACACCACTTGACGGCAGGATCGCAGTTTCTGCCTGGATGACATGTGGAGGCGCCTACTAGGCAAATACGCTGGTGTCTATCTTGCTCCGTGCGTGTGTGATACTGCAACGCTCGCGTTCTGTCTTCTGCATGCCAATGTCTGGGCGGCCCACCGCCTTATATCTGCGTCCACTGGTCGTGCGATTTACAGATCCCGCGATGGAGGATGCGCATATCGACCTGGTGTATGAACGTGTTGACGATGATAGTGAGCGCCACTGGCCGCGACTGATCGAGCTGACAGTCGGTCAGGTAAAGCAGCGGGTGGGTATAAGGACTCTGACCTGACCAGATTGTGGATTCCTATCCAGATATCACTGGAAGGCGCTTGCGACTGATATACCTTGGCCGCGTCTTGCCTAACGGTATCCGACTTGCCTCTTGGCTCGATGCATCCGCGCATGAAGACGAACAGGGTCACACTGCTGCCATGCTGCTTGAGTGCGAGCCGCTAGATCAAGATAACTTTACTATGAAACGTGCTCCCAATGACGGCGACATCTCTGACAAGCAGCGCGGCAAACAGCGGCTTATTGACTTCGATATGGTTAGCGATGGTGTGCAGACACGCGACGTCCTATGCCTCCCGACGGCCTTCCTACAGTGCTCGATCGGTCCCTCCAATGAGGAAGCACCACCTACGCATGAGATACCCACACCTAATCCCACGCACGAAGCGCGCGGTTTTGATCGGCTGCGTTACACAGCCGGCATGTCTGCCCTGGATGTTCAAACCATGCGCGAGCAGTTCCACCTGCAATCGGGACTTTCTAGGGCTTATACAGGAGACCTGATTCGACAAGAAGATGAGCAAGACTATGCCTATCGTTTGGAAGAGCAGTGGATCGACAATATGGGCACAGCGCCTATCCGTTCTGATACACCGTCCATGTCCCTGTGTATACTACAGGGTTTGATGATCGGCTTCTTCTTCCCTCTAGTACGTGTTGTGATGGTTGACGCAGATCCCCTTTTTTTTCATATACGAGTCTCGCTTTGTCCACTGGCCCCGACCTCGACGAGCACGGTCATCACTCAGTCGAACTACACAGAACACCGAGCGCCTTCAAGCGGCACTCACCCAACTCGTACAGCAATTAGAGGAGCACGAGGAACAGAGGGAAAATGAGACACAAACTCCCGAGCAGGAACGCCGAGATCTGCAGCGTACATTGACGAATTTCACCAATCTTTTGCGTATGGGTGAAGAGGCTCAGCAGACCACGAACACTGGCCCTCTGCCCGCTGGGGAAGGTGAAGACGCCGATGCCGACGATGACGCAGAGGAGGACTCTTCCTTGCCAAGGCGCTTCCTGCTGCGACCTGCACGACTAGATCGATATGTGATTTTTCAGCCATATACCCTCTTGGCCATTATATTGGGCTTTATCTGCAAGTATGTACCAGAAACTGACGCAGTCTACTCTTTGGAATCATATCGTGCTTGTCATAACTAAATATACTAAATATTCATAGAGGTCATGATATCCAGAGACGTCTGATTCGTCGTCTTCTCGTCCGGTAACGGAATAGCCTTGGTGCAATTTTCGCCCAGTTCATCATTTTCGAGCACAAGTACCTCCATTGTATTGTGGACCGGCTCCTGCGAGGACTTAGCTCGGTTGATTAAGCCCTTTCCCCTCGTCTTCGGGTAATCCGTACTTCGCTACCCGACACGTTTCGTAGACTAACACGCGAATTATACGGAAGCAAAACGACATGGCACATAGGCCTGAATGGAAAAAGCACAAGTCAAATTTACGGAGTCAGCTACTCTCAATGAAGTCTTGGATCCAGAGTGATCAGGCACATATCAGTTCATACATCCACATGCTAGTCACCACAAATATAATGAGCAGGCATCATCTCTAGCTTGAATTATGAAAGATCCCTGGCCTATTGCATATGCTCCGCGCGTTTTTATCAAGCATTTGGCACTTGAGTTCTCATAGTAGGCAGAATTCTAGTCCAATGTTCGATATGCATCTTGGGAGGTCATCGACTATGTCTCTGCAAATGGGGACTCCTCCTTCTGGGTCTCTCCGTGGTTCACCAAGGACGTGGGCTCAGAGTCTTCTTCGTCCACTTCGTCATCGTCAAGCGCAAAAGCATTGTATAGATCTCGTGTTTGCAGCTGCGACGAGCCTCCGCGCTGGCCAGGCTGCCAGTTGAGCTGAATCGCCTCGTCGTCAGCAGGCACGTGCTCGTAACGCCCGCTCATGCGGGACTGGTGCCGCCGATACAGCATGTAGATGGCGAGAACCATCAGGGCCACGACCAAAATGCCTGCCAAAATATAGGCGAAACTGGACAACTGGCTCGACCACGGCAAGTACGCGGTGTCAACTTCAGGCTTCTGGGGCGCGTATGTCTGGCCAAATACATGCTTCGTCTCACCGGGGTCTTGGAAGTGGTCTGTGGGCAGTGCATGTGTCGGCTTGACAAGAATGCGCGAAGATTCTGCAGAAGCACTCATTGTAGGCTGCTGCGCAGGCGGCGACCCTAGGACGGTGGTGCTCGGCGCTGCCGGTAAACTTAGTTTGTATTCCTCCGAGTCTGCCGGGAAGTTCCATGGGTGGGCAAGACTGGCATTCTTCGCGGCACCCCAGAGAGAAAGCGACCAGCCTTCAAAATGACCTGCCTCGGTGGGATTCTCCTCATCCACCATCTGCGTGTGATCTGACACTTCCGCTGTCCATGTGCCCACGGGATCCTCGTCCCAGTGTTTTAGCGTCATGAAGGTCCAGCCTGGGAAACCGCCCGTATCACCGTCATACCGTCGCGGACTTGCCAGCACACTCTTGGTGCCATGTGGACCGTACAGTACGACCTTGACGTCACCACGACGACGGTGGCGAATCCAAAAAGTGGCCGTTACGTGTTCTAATGATGCCAAGTTGGCCTGGTCAATCATCTCGCGCGTAATTGTAAATGTCGAGTTGACCGATTGGCTTGGATCGATCGGTTGGTCCACATTCTGGCGCGGCATCTCATACCAGGCCTGGGGAGGCACGAGTGTGTGCTTCTTTGCCTCGTTCACAAGCCGCGTAGCATCCACCACACCAAAGCCAAACTTGTGACTGTACATGTATCCTGCCGCCGTGCGTTGCCAATCTGGGTCTTCTGGGCTAGTCACGCTGCTAGACTTGATCAGTAGATGCTGCGCATCGCGCCACGTCAGATCAGGGCGCACTTCCAGGGCGAGGGCAAGCATGCCCGCCACCAGCGGGGCCGCTGCGCTTGTGCCACCGTGCGACGAGGTGCAGGTGCGGTTGTAGACACCTCGCACATTCGTCGTGTGAATCATCTCGCCCTTGCCAGAACTCCAGCTGCTGGCTATGATGGCGCTGCACATTTCCGAGTAGTATGGGCGGTGGCCCTGGCTGTCGACGGCCGCGATCGTAATGGTATAGATGGAATTGGTATACCCATCGAAATTACACTGGTCATCCGATGCACCACCATTGCCGCCGGCAAAAACAAAAAGACTGCCACGCCCTTGACGCCCATGGTAAATGCCATTTAACAGCGCCTTGGCGACAAGGCCCTTGGGGGCATCCATGCTTTGTCCATTGTCGGAAGGGCCCCATGAGCAGCTGTAGATGCCGCTGGTCTGGTATCCGTAATTCAGTGCAGCTGCTTCGTCGGCGTCACTGATAGGACCGGACAGGATGCGCACACCTGCTACGTGGGCTTCCGGCGCGACACCCACGCCACATACATCGTTTTTGAGGGAGGCAATTTCACCCGCACAGCGAGTGCCATGCATGTCGTCAGGCAAACGTGGCTCTGGCAAATCCGTATGGTCGTTGAAGTCATAGGATCCTTTTGCATCAAAGTTGGCCGCGAGGTCCGGATGCGTATGATCAATACCATCATCAATTAGAGATACTGTGACACCCTTGCCTGTTGCTGCTTTCCATGCACCTTCGAGATGCAGGTCATGGCCAGGCAGCTCATTATTTACAAGATGCCACTGCTTGTAGAACAGAGGGTCTCGAACCTGAAAGGTCTCGGCAAATTCTGCCGTCCTGTTGCGCGCTGGCACTGGTGCACGCTCCTTCATCCATTCCTCCGTTGTGGGGATGGGAGGCAAGAGGGTCGGGTATATATCGCGCATGACGTTGGGGTCGTAAATGACCGAGCGCTTGTGACGCCAGCGAACTTTTTGGCGCTCCAAGGAGCGGACGGAAGAGACCAAGCATTTCAAGGGCACACAGTACTCATCAAAACATGCGCGTCGCTCCAGATCTGCGTGTTTCCACGACGCATAGCGTTGAAGCACAGGGTCCCGCTGTTCGTCCACCTCGGCCACGACAGAGCGGCGAGCATGTTCGCTGCCCTTGGGGGCCTTTAGAAGCCAATGATCCCGCAGCTCACCTACACGCTCCACCATATCCGCACCAAGTGCCCGGGCCACAAGCTCAGGCGATACGCCCTTGTCGCAGGACTCGGACGCATGTACTTCTGCAACATAATAATGATGAGAGTCGTACGTGCGCTTAGCTGGAGTCCCTGCTAGGGTAACAGGCGCAAGCCATAGAGCTCCTATAGCTGCCCACAGCGAAAATCGCATGAGGAACGAGCAGCGACTGTGGAGCTACAGTAGCTGTGGCTAGATCAACGTCACCACCGCGGGGAACAAGTCAACCTTAGCCCTCACGGACGTGTGCCTGAGCCTGGCCTCACGTGACTTGAACTACCTGATCTCTACTGCTTCGACTCGGTCGTCGGCATACGCTTCGTGACAGTTGTCTTGGTGGGGACAGCAGTCGAGGCGGCTTCTTCCTTCTTTTCAGTCTTGGCGGGGGGAGCAGGGGCATCCACCTTCTTGGTGACAGGAACCGCCGTCGACGAGCCACCGCTGAGCAGCGAACTCGCCAGACCCACCAGACCTAGCAGCACAGCGACCACAGCACCGTAGAAGAACAGGATGTCCTTCGACTGCAGGAGAACATGCACCTTGTCATTTTCTTTGGAAAGACGGTCCACCAGGACATTTGTGCGGTGGCGAATGTGCGACACAACACGATCCCACACAGGCTGATCAAGGCTGCGGCCCTGCACAAACTCAGGGTCGTTTTCAATATCGCTCTGTTCCCTCTTCTGTTCCACAGGCAGCTTCACCTCAAATGTTTCCCTGGCAAACTTGAGCGCTTGCTCAGGGTCGTTGCCAATGTAGATGTTGTCAAACGCAATACCATCGTCCATGGTCCAGAGCTCAAAGCCCACACCACCCACAGAGGCAAACTTGTTCGGCTGCTTGTCCTCGAACCAGTCCTTGTTGGGGATCTTGCGCGGCGCCCACTCACCCTTGTAGGCAGGGTTCTTGATCATAGGGGGACTCCACTTGCCCTTGTAGGCAGGGTTGGGAATCTGGTTGGGTACCCACTCACCGCAGCCCGACACGTCGCGGCACTTCGGGTTCGGCACGAGCGGGGGCACAAATTCGCCATCTTCCTCATCGTCCCACTCCTCAGGCTTCACAGCCTCAGGGTCCGGCACCATGAGCGGCTCGTCCTTGAGCCAGTCGCTAGGCATCTTCGAGGTAGGGTCTGCAATCATGACCGGCGCGTCCTCGTCCCAGTCCTTCGGCTTCTTGGCCTTGGGATCAGGAATCTCAGCCTCATCCACCCAGTTCGAGGGCTTCTTGTCCTTCGGGTCGTCGATCTCCTTCGGTGGGTTCACGGGCGGCAGGAAGTCTTCCAGCAGGCTACCCTTCGCGACAGAGTCGTTGTTCACTAGAATCTCATAGGTCTGGTCAGGGTTAACAATCAGAGTGTACAGCGTCGTCACCTTGGCGATCTTGGCCTGCGGTGGCACCTTCAGCTGCTTCTCCTCGTACTTGCCCGTCTTAGGGTTCTTGTGGTGGAAGATGAAGTGGATCTTGCTATCCGCACCACATCGGTCAGGACCGAACATGATCGAATAGGGAGTCGTGTCTCCGAACTTCTCCGGGTCCAGTTTGCCAGCGTCGGCGTTCAGGAGCTTCACATACGCGCCACCGCACGAGAGACCATTCTGCATTTTCACCTCATATTGCACGACGAACGGCTTCGAACCATCAAAAGTGATGGGCTTGTCAAACAGCGAGCTAATGGCATGCTGCTTGGCCTTGCTCTTCATGATCAGGCTATCATCACCAGCCAGACCAGGGAAGACACTCGGCTCCTCAACAGCCCAAATACCATCGTACTTAAACTCCTCTTCGCTACCGCTCTGGATCTTGCTGGTCTTCGAGAGCGCCCAACGCGTCTCCCAACCGGGGGTGAACTGTTCCACGAACAAGCCTTCCACAGAGCTGGGCACGAACTTGGGGCGGTCCGCTTCAACGTCAGCAGATGCCGACTGCAGAGCCAGCAAAGCAAGAGTGCTTGTAGTCACGGCACCAGCGAAGGGCTTCATGGTATTAGCTAGGGAGGAGGCACAGTTCGAGAACCAAGGTTCCACGTGGAGCGCGGCAATATGGCGCAAGGGGCTGGTGGGCCCAATCCCTGTCTATTGAAGCCTGCATATGACACGTGTCGCTATTGGCACCGAGCAAGTAGATGCTCCACTTGTTCGTGCACGGCCCGACGGCTCGTTCCACCGATCGCATTGCGGCGCTCCACACTCTCCTCGGGATCCCAGACCTTCTGCACGTCAGCCTCGAATGCAGGGTTGAGTGTCAGGAAGTCATCCAACGTGAGGTCAGACAGCTCACATCCACGGTCTTCTGCCATTTTCACAGCAGAGCCAGAGATATGATGCGTCTCGCGGAACGGAATGCCCTTGCGCACCAAATAGTCGGCCAAGTCCGTAGCAAGCATGTCCGTTGTTAGTGCGCCCCGCATTTTGTGCGAATTGATCTGTATGGATTAATATTTTGAACAACGTACCGTCATAGTGCTGATCACACCAGTAAGAATCTGCACGCATGCTTTCGTCGTATCGATCGAGTCAAACAGCGGCTCCTTATCTTCCTGCAGGTCCTTGTTGTATGTTGAGGGAATACCCTTAAGCGACATCATAAACCCACTCATGTTACCAAATAGACGGCCACTCTTTCCCCGTAGCAATTCAAGGCTGTCGGGGTTCTTCTTTTGTGGCATAATCGAGGAGCCGGTGCTGTAAGCATCACTGAGTTGCACAAAGCCAAACTCTGAAGACGAATAGATAATCAAGTCTTCGGCAATCTTGCTAATGTGCACTGAAAACAGAGACGCCCACATCAGCATTTCGACAATAAAGTCTCGGTCGCTGACGCTGTGCATGCTGTTAATACCCACGGAATCAAATCCCAGATTTTCTGCCAGCTTTTTGCGGTCCAGTCCAGCGAACGGGTTGCCTGCCAGTGGTCCAGCACCCAGCGGAAGCATAGATACGCGCGACCGCATGGACTGCAATCGTTCTAGGTCGTACAAGAAATAGGTGGCATGCGAAAGCAACAGTTGAGACCAGCGGATAGGCTGCGCCCGTTGCAAGTGCGTATAGCCTGGCATCAGTACATCTACCTCTTGTTCTGCTCGCTTGCCCATAACGCAAATAAGCTCTTTAAGTAGCTTCACAAGAACATCAACCTCGTCCAGCATCCACATACGCATGTCTGTTGCGACTTGATCGTTGCGACTGCGGCCCGTATGTAACTTCCCAGCGACAGCCCCAATAAGCTCCTTCAGGCGACGCTCATTAGCCGTGTGGATGTCCTCGTCCTCTGGAGCGGCTTTAAATGTGCCATTCTCCCACTCCTTTCCGACCTGATCTAAGCCTGCGATAATTTGATCAGCTTCCTGCTCGGTTAGGATGCCGCAACCGATCAATGCCTTGGCATACGCCTGCGAGCCGCGGATGTCTTGTGCCCACATGCGCTTGTCATAGGACAGAGATTCATTGAATGCGTGCATTATTGGGTCCGTTTCTCCGGTGAAACGACCTCCCCAAAGTTTCTTTTTGGTAAAATCCTCGGACGCCATACTGATAGAAAGGTTCCACAATCAATTTGGGCTATGACTAGGTCAAAAGGGGTATGTGGAGGCTACATTGGTCGTCATTACTGTTGGGCGCATTGGACTTCAGGTTCACCAGCGTCAAACTCGTCCCTCTCCTGATGCTGCGTGCCAACATTGTTGCCATATTCATCCATATTTCCGGGCAAAGTAGCAACCTCATCCACAATAGTATCGCCGGATGATGGTACAGTGGGCCGCTTGGGCGGAAGGAGGCGGCAAAATGCCTAGATGTCAGTCATTCTTAAATACATACGTCGGCATCCATAGATCGCATCCAGTCATCCGGAGGAAATTCGATGTTCCATGCAATAAATAAATCACCACGACGGTCAAGGTACCTCTGATCCATCATTCCCTCGCCACGGATTATATCCACTTGGTTCGGGCGGATTACCTCGCCCTGCTGTTTTGTAACATGGATATGACGTCCATCTAGATGAGTAAGAATAGTCCGAGAAAATCCAAGAAGAGCTTCTGAGAGCGGAATATTCACAGTTGCTAACAGATCCAAGTTGCGAACCTGGAAAGTTTCGTGTGGCTTTTGCTTCAGCTCAAAAATGATCGATGCGGGCTTAGTGTCCGGCAGTTGATCACCCTCTCCTTCAAAGACGATACGCTGACCATCATACCCGCCGCGCGGAATCTCCAATCGAAGACGAGTCTTTGCCGTCACAACGCATTTACCGTGACATTTCTTGCACTGATCTTTTTCGCGGTACTTCTTGCCTTTGCCATCACACAATGAGCAAGTTGCCATGGTCTGGGATATCATACCATTACCAGCATGACGTTGCTGCAAAACTCGACCTTTGCCTCCGCAAGTAACACAGTCTTTGGCCACAGCACCAGGTTTTCCGCCCGTACCTTGGCAATGTGAACACACAACATTCTTTTCTAGAGCGAAATGGGCAACCTTGCCATTGTATAGCTCCTCAAGTTTCACATCATACGGCAAGACGCTATCCTGTGCACGCTTAGGACGTCCTTTGCCAAAGCCGAATGTGGCATTTCCAAACATTGACGCTAAATATCAGTGTCACACGACGCACATACCGAACATATCATCCATGTCCATCCCTGGACCCATACCTGGAATATCATCAGCATTACCATAGCGATCATATGCTGCACGCGCATCCGGATCTGATAGAGTTTCATATGCATTGGCCACCTCCTGAAACCGCTGCGATGCGCCATCGTCGCCAGGATTTTTATCGGGGTGATTGGCCAACGACTGCTTCTTATAGGCTTTCTTTATTTCTGCGTCATTCGCATCTGGGGATACTCCCAAGATGTCGTACAGTTTACTGTCAACCACCATGCTAATTGATGTTGCCTAACAATGGGGACGACGCTCTTGCGACTACACCTTCGAACCCGATAGCTGTGGAGGTCCCGATCTAGCTATTTCGGATCGTCTGCGGCCATGGCGGACTTTTATGTGCGAGCAGCTCGAGCTCTGCAAGATATTCTTGCACATCGTGACTCTATCAAGGGGGCAACATCAGAAAGAGCAAATATAAATGATTCCAAGAGGTTGATGGCACTGGTTGTGCATACATTAGCGTACCGTGACGCCCTTCAGCATGTACTCTCTGAAGTAGATATTTCAAAGAAAGAATCCAAATGGTTTGGCCCAAAGTCATCGATTAATCGCATTGAAGGTTCTCTTTCAGATCCACCCCTTACCCAATGTTTAATGGTCTTACTTGCTCATGACCTCTTACTTGCTCCGCGAGGGATCCAGGCAGCCAAAGCTTGGCCGCCACGTGTGAGCATTGAAAAATACAAGTCTCAACTACACGCTTCGTTGGTAAAGTTACAGATTCGTCGAGGAAAACGAAGTGTAGAAGAGCTTCGCAGTGGTGAAGCTGGAAGGAAAGTTGCTGCTCGTATCCCAAGGTGGTGCCGCATTAATACACTTCACAATGACGAGCAAGCAGTGTTGGGACAACTGAAGGACGCAGGATTCCAACTTGTTGACCAATCCTACTTGGAGAAAGAGTACGTATCGGGTCTCTCATCCTAGTTTTCAATTTACCCGATCTCAGCATGTTGCCAACGTCCTAGCATTCCACCCAAAAGCTACATCAAAGCTAATGACACTGCCAGTTTTCCGCAACGGTGGCCTTATATTACAGGACCTCGCTAGCTGCTTTCCAGCTGCTGTTCTTGACCCATCCAAATGGACCTATGATCAAGTGGATGCCCTCGATGCTACTTCGGCACCAGGGAACAAGACCAGCCATTTAAGTGCATTGATGAAGGGGACGGGATCACTGACTGCACTCGAATTAGCGCCGAACAGATTCCGCACTCTAGTTAAAATGCTTGGCCGTGCAGGCTGTTTAAAAACTAATGGTGGAAATGTGCAGCCAAAGAACGAAGACTTTCTCAAGATAGAGCCTTCTACGATCGTTCGATGCATACTTCTGGACCCTAGTTGTTCAGGGAGTGGGATTGTAAATCGCTTAGACTACTTGATGAGCCAGGATGATGAGCAGGACAATCTGGAACAGGTCGTCCCAGGGGATGGACAACCTGATCCTAACTCTTTGCGACTTTCAAACCTGGCAGCCTTACAGCTACGCATGATACGACATGCTATGTCTTTTCCCAGTCTGGAGCGCTTTACATATTCTACTTGCTCAATTTATGAAGAGGAAAATGAGCAGGTGGTACTTGCCGCCTTGTCGTCTGTGGAGGCGAAAGAGGGTGGATGGGCCTTAGCACCGCGTGATGAGGTTCTTCCATCCTGGTCAGAGCGTGGTCGATTGGAAGCTTGTAATGGTAATCAAGATGTGGCTGAGAGTCTCGTGCGTTGTACTCCAGGCGGGCTAAAAGAATGCGACGAAGGTATCGTTCATGTTGAGGCCACGAATGGATTTTTCGTTTGTTGCTTTGTACGCAACATTCCCACGACGAAACGGAAGGCGAAAGAATCAGAGCAAAAGAAAAAACGAACTAGGCATTAAGACGGCATAACGAAAGCACCGGCTTCGTTTGACCCTGCGCCACTTGGTCGGATTTGCACGACTTGATTTTCATCCACAAAAGGGAGCCTGGTTTGTGTCCGATCCAGATCGGACGTCACTGTACCAATCCAGGTTGCCTCATCATCTAACAAAAATACCTCGTAGTATGCACACCACGGAACAAAATCAGACCATCTTAATATACCCTCTTCCCAAGTTGCAGAGCCATCAGTGTCTGGATATTCTCCCAGTACAATATCGACTTGACCCACAAGAACAGCACCATGGACCTTGACCAACAAATGGGGCTCTGCCTCTGACCAGTCAGTGAGTGGTATTTCTGATGTAATATGTGCCCAATCCCCATCACTTTCCAGAGAGATAGGGCCCTCCAATGATTGATCGCTAACTCGAAGGCAGGGTGTACAGTTACCTTTGACCCAAATTTGCACAACAACGGACGTTGCTTTGTATGGGAAAGGTTCCATGGAAAAAAGGGGCACGTATACAGATTGAGGTGCTTCAATAGAGAGGCAGGTGCATCCACTCCATGCCAGATCAGAACGCAAGCTAGTATCAACTTTCTGACCAGAAAGACAACCTTGGGCATCGAGTATATAGGCAGTGTCCGGCCATGCAAGGACAGGTTTTGGTGCACAGACACCCATATCTGTCCAGCCATTCTCCTTGTCTTCGTATACATTTTTACCCTGTACAAACCATTGGGTCCCAGACCCAAATGAGAAATTTGTCCTGAAGCCCTTGACACTAGACCCCTGCCACGGAAATGCATGGGATGGAAAATAGTGGCGCACAGCTTTTGGAGATTTCAACCAAAAGCTAGAGTCCTCATCCCACCATGCTTCCCAGGTCCTTGATGACGAGTCATGCTCCCATGTCCATCCAGGTGCAAACAACGCAACACTGAGACCGAGCGACTCTCCTTGGTCAGCTAAATCTGATGAGATTGAACGACTGCGGGGCACATGTGGGGAAATCATATCCAATGCTTTGTAGGTTTCATGTCCACCGAGGCAATTGCGTCCAAATACATCAATACCCACGAAGATTCTTGACCGCAGCATCCTGAGTGAGTCAGCAATAGCTGCAGATAAGGAGAGCAATGGATGAAAAGGCTCTTCGAAGTTGCAACGTTTAGGATGAGCCCATGTATAATTCGTAAAGACGGACGTTGCAGCCTTAGCAAATGGTGCATTGGAAGGAGTGAGGGCATCTTGCCATGCAAGTTCTCCATGAGGGAACACAACCGAGTCATACCAAACCACTTGCCAATCCGGATAAAATTTTTTGCCTTCATCGCGAAGGAGCTCAATCCATTTCCGAAGACGTTCCGTATTATGTTGACTGTCCAACCTCGCCAGGAATTCATTGTTCGTCGGGTGTAATTGCATAGATGTTTCCACATTGACCAAAAATCCGTCCACACCATGAGTCAGGGCTAGATGGACCAGCTCTGTAGCGTAGTGCTTAGAAAGTTTGGCACGCACGCTGGATTTCCAGTGGGGTAATGGTCCATCTAAGAGAATCTTCAGGTCTGCCTTAGACTCTGCCCACTCGAAAATAATTGTACCTAGAATTGCCACACCATGTCTCTTCGCAGCGCGAATCCAGCCAGGCGGCGGAAGAGATACTCTTTTATGAGAAAAATAGACAACCGTGTTTACATAGGCCCAATGTTCAAATGTATAGCCTCTTTGGTGTGGTTTGTCTGTATAGCCCCCCTGAAAGTCATGGCATACTAACAGCTGAGGCCTGTCATGGCTGGAATTGGTCGAGCATTGCTTGTAATGCTTTTCTTGTTTGATTTTATATGAATCCAAATCCCTCAGTTTTTCAAAATACGAGGGGACGGTGTGAGGCGACAGGCGTAACTCTCCATGCGGCGTAGTGGGCATGGGCCACTTGTATAGCCGTAGGACCTCCACTGAAGTTGCTTTTTGTCGTCATGTCCTTTAACGATTTAGAGCAGGCGCGCGGTGTCGCGGATTCTCCTACCGTGCGCGAAGGGGGAAGTCGAATGTTTGCTAGTCAAGCAGAAACTCCAGAATTCATGCAACTTACTGATCGTGTCGGCCTTCATATTTTCAGAATCAATGCTAATGTTTCGACACTGCAAAAGTTGGATAGGCGGCTGCAAGATGCTCATGAGCTTGGTCAAAGTAAAACCGATGAACTGATGAAGCAGTTTGCGGACTTGTGTGAGCAAACTCGAGGAATTGTGAAAGACTCCACGGAAGACATCAAAACACTGAACGCCTACTCTTTCCACAGCTATGGTGGCGTGAAGCGATCGTCGCCATCGCGTTTGCTCCAGTCTAAGCTTCAGAAGGACTTTCAAGATGCAATTAAATCATTCCAAATGATCCAAAAGTCTGGAATTCGCAAAGAGAAAGTAGCGCTGGCCTATGCTAAACAACAAGGAAACGAAGCGAATGGGATGGAGTTCCAAATGCAAGACCAGTCTGACTCCTCAATGCAGCCTATGCAAATTCAAGTTCAGTCGCAAAAGATTTCTCAAGAAGAGCTTGACTTTCAAGAGTCTCTAATAGCCGAACGCGAAGCTGAAATTCGCGAAATCGAACAGGGTGTCCAAGAACTGAACGAAATTTTTCGTGATCTGAGCCATATGGTCCAAGAACAGGGCGGTATGATCGATAATATCGAATACAATATCGGAAATTTGGCTACGAATGTGCATGGTGCTGATCGCGAACTCCTACAGGCACACGACTATCAACGAAGAAGTGGACGCCGGACTTTGTGCCTCATGATCATACTTGCACTAGTGGTTGCAGTTGTGCTAATTGCTGTACGTATGCTTATATTTACATTAGCTTTTGGCCTAACTGGAGCATGAGGCTTGCTGGGTTGATTGAGCGATGTTCCGAGAGCATCCGAGCAGATTCTTCGAAGGCGCATAGAATATGAGAAGTCTGGTCAGACCACCAGATCTGCATGTAAATACAGTCATATGCTGTCAGTCAGTCGAAGACCAGTTCCTATCGTAAATGATGTATGTGTACCTGGAGTCCTACTAGGGTGCAGGGCAATCCCACTCGTCATGGCTTTGTGGAGGCAATATTTCGTCGCTTCCACCATGTCGAACCCACCCGGGAAGCGGCAGGCAACTGGCTCTAGTTTCTCAAACGTCAACTCGTCGGCCAATTCTTTCGGACCTAACATCCCAACATCTGTGTATCCGAAAGATACAATAAAAGATGTGGCTGAATCGCTCGGAATCATGAACTTGCGGGATAACATTGCCATGGCTCTTGCTACAGATGTTGAGTATCGTATCCGTGATATTGTTCAGAGTGCTAGTAGGTATATGAAACACTCGAAGCGTTCTAAAATGACAACATCTGATGTAGATAATGCACTTCGTCAAAAGAACATTGAGGTATGTTCTCGTTTTCTAATGACAGCCACTTTATGGCTTCTTTCCGCCATACACAGGCGGCAAGAAACAGGGTGCTTGGTTTCGAAGTGTACCTACGCCGTCAAGTTCTCAACTCTTTGTTATGGAAGATGAAGAAATCGATTTTGACAAGATTTTAGAGCATGGCCCCACTGTTGGTGTCGGTCGAGGTGTTGGTTGGCATGCCCATTGGCTTGCTATCGAGGGTATCCAGCCTCCTGTGCCCGAGAACCCCGTTTTCTTAGCACGGAAGTCAGCAAGTGTCGAAGAAGGCACCTTTGCTGATACCGATGATGCTGCAGCAAATCTGTCTGGTACAGATGTTAAGCCATTAGTCAAGCATGTGCTTTCTCGGGAGCTTCAGCTATATTACGAGCGTCTCACTTCCTCGATTCTTAGTCCCCCATCAGAAGCCAAGGCCGAAGAAAACATTTCTCTCCCAAGTGATGATGCTCCATTGGATGACTATGCCCAGATTTCCAGTGGTAACCTTGTTCGTGACGCTGCCTTGGCTAGTCTCCGTGGTGATGCAGGGATTCATCAACTCGTGCCCTATCTTATTCAGTGGGTCGGCTCGAATGTCACACATGCTTTGCACACTAGCACACAAAAACAGTTTGCAGAACAAGGAACACCTGCTCGTCTTCACACAGTGCATCTATTACACATAATGCTAAGCACGTTACATGCACTGTTGATCAACCCGTCAATCTTTATCGAGCCTTACGTATGTACTTTGTTTTCTAACCCCAGCTCCATCAACTCATGCCCTCTGTGCTTTCCATTCTCCTTGCTTCGTACTTTGGCTCTCCTAGTGAAGAGCAGGTCAATAATGAGGCTCTCAGCCTGCGCATCTACGCCTCTGCGTTGCTCGTGTTTGTGATTGACCACTTTGCAAAGTCGTATCCCACTCTCAAGTCCCGAGTGGTGGCAACACTTCTCCAGGCCCTTCTTGCAGATGTTGATGATGGTACTGCTAAAGATGCAATAGAAGCCTCGGGTTCTCTGGATGCTAAACTGGGTGCTCTTATTGGTTTGAGAAAATTGGGACCCTCGAGCTTCCGCTCGCTTCTCAGCCCCATCGGTGTATTGTCTGGCTCCACCTCTGATGAAAAGGCCAGGACGGTGCCTCTCAAAGTGATAGGTGTCTGGTTGGAGAAAGTGTCACAAGACGAAAACGTGTCAAAAATTAACTACGAGAAGCTATTGCAAGAAATTAAGGCCGGTTTGGTTAGTATTGGAGAGGGTTCTGTGCAAAGCAGTGCTAGTGACAAGGAGGCATTGACAGAACGGTTTGGATCGTTCTGGGTGGAACTTTTGAAAGAAAACGACACAGCTTTGTTGGGACTTTCCTATGAACTCAATATAGAAGAATAAATTAGGACGACTGCTGCGCCATCTCTTTGTACTCCACTAAACGGAGAAGGTTCCGTTGAAGCATAGACACAGTCACTTTGCCAATGGCAGGAAGGTACGCGGAAGCACGGCTACGCACGTTTGGCTCAAAGTTCTTCTCTGAGCTGAAGTTAATGCAAATAGCGTCTTGCTTGATCCAATCCGTAGGAATCTTGAAACTGGCAGCAGGAACACCACCGATCACAACGTCTGATGACCGGATGCAGCTTTCCGAGTCCTGGAACGGGCTAGCACGAACGACATGGGAGGAACGAAGTCGGGCCGAACTATTCTGCTCATGCGCCTCAATAACTTCCCTAGATTTCTTGTAGCCAGAAACAACGGTGCTGACCGAGTCGCCATCTCGGCGTTTGTTGAACTCAACAATTGAGTCGATGTCCACAGAGAAGACACGGGCACCATCATTGGCTAACAGGGCAGCAAGAGGACGACCGACAACTTCTGAGCGGTTGACAACGGTGATAGTCTTTCCGTACAAGCGGTCACCATAAGGCAACTTGGTGTCATAAACGCCGACAGCTTCCAGACTCTTAACAACTGCCAAGGGTGTGCAAGGAAGAATACTCTTGCAAAAGCCAGGGGGGACATTATCCTCGTCTAGTACATTAGAGTCGAGACCCCGGAGGTCGGCTTCGTTTGATGTGCCTGGGGCACTACCTAGCTGCGATGGTTTGATCCAGCGAACATTGTGGTACATGTTCCAGCAGTAAAAGAAGTGAAGACCTTCGACATCCTTACGAGGATCAACAATCTGCTGAAGGTACGTATCTTGACGACCGCCAAAAATAGGGTAATACACCATGATGCCGTCCACACTCTTATCGCGGTTAGCGGCCAAAATCAGATCCTCTACATCGGCTTCCAAGTCGAAGTTCTGAAGACTCTGAGAATCGTCCCGTTGTGATTCAGTCACATCAACAGAATCATCCCAGGTCTTCCAAATTTCGAAATTAATACCAACAGCTTGGCAAGCATTGGCCGTCCATTCTGCATAGGCCATAGAAGGAGGGTTTGGCTTGGCAAGGATACCAACGAGCTTGGGAACAGGAAGGTTCTTGTCCTTGCGGATTTTAATCTCGCTCTGGATGCTCTCTTGGAAAGGCTTGGCAATCGACGCCGCTTGAAGCAGTTTGCCGGGATATTCGGGCTTGGGCTGCACGGACGTCATGCTAGTATGGAGGTCGGTGCACGTCACAATTTTTCCAGCGTCCAGCTGACCACGTGACGAACCTTTCGAAGATTCGGCGGCACATTCAGCGTATGGTACAACTACCTATCTGTCTACCCGTAGATGAACCTTGTAATAATTTAGCAAAGTAGTTGTTTCTTGAGTCGGTAGTTAAGACGAAGGTTCTTCGGTGGAAGCAGCAGGCTCACTGTTCGAAGGCTCTTCCGTGTTCCAGGCGTTAGCGGCACCAGGTTTGAAAAAGCTCTTGCTCTTCTTTTCATCTTGCTTGGCTCTCTGTTCGCGGCGCAGACGGTCCTGTTCGCGGATTTTTTCATCAATCTCGCGCTGCCTCTCAATAACATCCACAGGCTTTGCAGCACCGAAAGGATTGGAACGACCAGTGCTAGAGGTGGATGTAGCCTCATCAACCGGAGCTGTGCGGGGCTTAAGGTCTAGCTTGCGACGCTCAGTAGGAACGTTGCGTTCAGCTGGAGGCTTGCTTGAGCGCCAGCTCGACACGTCATTGTCGTCCAACCGACGCCCGCGAAAGCCACCGCTCTGGCCCCCACCTTCACGATCACCGAAACCAAAGCGCGATGGCTTGCCCGATACAGGCTTACCAGTCCTCCAGTCAGACGCCATATCGCTGGCGCTTGGCTCGACAGGCTCCATAGGTCCCCGACGACGAGGCATGTCATTACTAGGAGCGAATTTGGAGCCGAAACCACTGCGAGTTCCATCGCCTGAAATGGACATCTCGTCAAAGCCCGAAATGCCAGAAGGAGCTCCGAATCGACGGTCGTCTGCTGGCAGAGGAGTAGAGCGGCGCCACTGCGTAGCATCATCGGCAATAGCACTCCTCATGGTGCGTGACGAGGGCTCCGCCACACTCACACGCACATTGCGATTGGCAAGAGGCTTACCAGTGTAGGTCAGTGCATCCTTGAGCTCATCCAAGGTCTCAAACTCGACATAACCATAGCCACGGGGGCGGCCGTCAGGACCATTCACCAGGCGAACGCTCACAGGGTTCATAGGCTCGAAGAACATGCGAACATCGCCCTCCGTGCTGTCAAACGACAGATTGACCACAAAGGCGGTAAAGGGAGGCTGAGTGGGGAGAGGTGGCTCCTCGCGCATCATGGGTGGAGGCCCATCGAAACGCGGACGACCGGAAGGCATGCGACCGCCCATATCCGCAGCGCCGTAGTCAGCCATGTGATGGTCACGAGGTGCAGCTGCAATGTAAGTATGGAATTCAGAGTGATCCCGTGGCATATGTGGTGCCAACGGGTCAACGTACGAGCAGAGGGCAAATCATCGAGTTCGTCCGCCCAGGAAGTACCGGTGGCTAAACGTAGTTAGTACCATGGCTGAATCAAACACTCAACATACTCTCATCGGCAAGGAAGTCCCCAAGGGACATCTTGTTCTTCTTCGGAGCTGGCATATTAGGAGAATTCTTTCGGTGGAAACGTACCCATTCTCGAAAGATACTTGGTCAAACGAAGAGACTGAGAACGCAGATCAAATCTTCAAGTAAGCAACCAAAGGGCCCACGAGAACCCAAGGTGATTATGTAAGTGTAAAAAATAAGATATAAAAGCAATACGTAGACGGAATTTTATTTATATTGTATGTATAATGTGAACTAAAGAAAATTTAACAGAAAATAATAAATTAAAGAGAAAAATCAATTTTCATAATCATAAAAATATAAATTCAATCAAAAACAGAGGAATATATATTGACTTATAAGTCCAATCCATATCGTTTGATATTTTCATAAAAACATAATTTCATAAATTATTCATATTTAATGGCTTATGACATTTATAATTTCATTTGAATTTCATATTTATTACAATAGTGAATTTTAAGAATATTTTTATTTACTTATTTGATAATGAATAATTTATAAAATTATTTATTATTAAAAGGAATAATACCTTTATTATTCGTTTCTAAACTATTTCCTGTTTTCTAAATTATATTTGCGTTTATATTTTGCTCTTTTGATTTCTCATTTTTTGGAGTCAATTTAAGATGTGGCATTTTTGCTTGTTTGGCGCCATCCGATGACGACGACTGCTTTTGCCAGTCCGCCTAGTTCCTCCCGTAATGGCTCGTCAGATTTGCCTCTTCGTGTTGCTGAATTAAGGCACGTTTATTGTTGGGTTTGTTCCAGTGAAGAGACAAGATCATTTGATTCTATTGAACGAGCGCGGAAGAGCCGAAACTCTGTTCGGTCTCGGTCAAGTTTTGTGCATCCGTGCAGCTGTTCACTTGTCGCCCATGAAAAGGTATAGTCTCTACCATTAACTGACATTTAGTGCTTATTGTCGTGGATGCGTCAACATAATATTGACCATCCGGGAGTTCCTGTGCGGTGCCCCCAATGTAAAGCATTGTACCAGTTGGAGCAACCCTTCTCGTTGACACTGACTGTCCTTGAATACATGAAAAAGGTCGTAAAAAATATCGTACCGATGAGTGCTTCCTTAATGGCTATGTCCGGAGTCTGGCTAGCGGCTACAGCTCATGGAAGCTTGTCTGTAAGGCTCTTCCTGGGACCAAGAATGGCTCGGCGAGTTTTCCAAAAACCATGGCCATGGCATGTACGTATTATTATCACTGTACATTGTTGCTAACTTTCAAGTATTGGATTGATCTTCCATTGATACCATTAATGCTTATCGCAAGTCGATTGCCTATCCTGGCGAACTTTTCCACTTGGCTTCCAACCTTGCTTGCTATGCCTGTAACTCAATCATTGGCCTCCGGAAATGACCTTCTAATGTATCGTTATTCTCCCCGCATACTCCTTTCGCGCCATTATCCCCCTAACCCTTTGGTCATCACATTATTTTTACCGTGGCTCCGAGTAATGTATCTCTCGTTTAAACGGCAATTATATCGATACGTACTGCTGAATGATAGGCGAAGTCGCCGGACAAATCAGCAACGTCAAACGGACAATACACGTATGATTATTATGGGAAACCAGGGCGGTGAAGGGCAGATTGTGGGAGCAAGGGAAGATCATGACGACACGTACGAAACGTTAGATGATGGCACATTACTCCTCCATCAAGACACCAATCGAGAGCAAGGGGTCGAATTGGATGACCTTGAGGAACAACTGTTTGAGACGGGTAGCATACCTTCGACAATATATGTTACTTATTTCAATGTGTCGAAGTTGCTTGTGCAAGCTTTGGGTTTCCCATTCGTGGCCAATCTTTCAGGTAACCTTTTGTGCTCGTTAAGTAAATACAGTCGCACCCTTTCTCGAATTCTTGGTATCGCCCCTGGCGTTGAGCCTACCAATGATATCACAAACTGGATAAGAGCGCTTGTGCCACCGACTGAGGCTACCAGTCGCCTCGATAAGTCCTGGACTAGCACTAGTCAAGATGTGCTACTTGATTATTTGGATCCGATGTGGTACCGTAATATGCTAGGGGGCGGGCTTTACATCATTGTAAAAGATGCCCTCGTTCTCCTCTATCGCTATTTACAAAAGCAACAGCGCCAGCAACTGCGTATCAAGGATATGCCTTTTAGTGAAGGTGTAGCTAGGGAGCTCCACTCTGAGACTGCTTGATTTATTAGAAGGCACGCGTTATAATTACAACTACGACATAGCCAGTTTACTATAGCTGGGAGGCGCTACACGCGCGTGAACAACCTTGATAAGATACAAAGGGAAACTGCTAACCAGTACGATGATGGCAGTCTTCCACCAAAAATTGTAGGTTAGTACGAAGTCCAAGTCAAAGAACTCGGGCAAGAGAATCATGCTGGAGCAGTAGATCACAAGTGTCACAATTTCGGACAAGAACATGTAAAAATGCCAAGTGGTTATTTCTAAGGCCACCATAATCAGTTCATTCAGAATGAGAGCTGTGAACGAAATCCCGACAATGTTGAGGAATTCATTCTCGAACAGCAGCAGACTGGCAATCATAATAGCTCCGCCTTGGTAAACGCTGATCATAAGCCACATGGTGAAGGTCTTTCCACTTAGACTTCGACCCTTGGTGAGATCTTTGTACAGCTCAGGATATAATAAAGCCATATCCTCGCTAACGTCCCGGTCAAGTACAAGACTAAACACTGGCGCCATCGTATAAACAGTGGCATAACCAACCATGAGCCAACCTTGATACAATGCAATAGGTGCAAAAAAGAAAATAGAGGAGAATACAGCCTGAATGACAGATATAATTAGACCGCGGTGAATAACGAATTGAGCAAGCTTGGCACTGCGCTGATACGAGTTACGTCCATGCCAGAGAAGAAGTTTTGCCAGATGACTGAATTGCATAACAGAAAAATCAGCGGCAAGTGATGCCTGTTTTCCCTCCTTGCCAACTATGCCGATACCAACATCGGCGGCTTGAATCATGGACACATCATTTCCACCATCACCAATACAACACACCCGCTTCTTGGTGTGCTTGCGGATGAGATTCGTTACTTCTGCTTTCTGTGTAGGTGAGCATCGGCATGCAACGACCACAGAAAGTTGTGTGGCAATTTCCACAAACTCTGTGCGGAAATGGTCAAAGAAGAATTGCAGAGAATCACCGTCAATGACGAGGCAGCAGTCAAGCTTGGATTGCAAAAAGACGAGTGTATCTCTTGCAGCTGTCATGGTCTTAACCTTGGATACCTGATGAATGTATTGATTTCGTGCAACGAGTTTTGTTGAAATAGCAATGCATGTTGCAGTCTCAATCTTGTCACCAGTAAGCATCCAGATCTTGATATTGGCATTCCGAAGCAATTCCAAAGTGGTCTTCACGCCTTCCTGAAGTTTATCTTCCACCCCCGTCACACCGAGCAACTCCATGTTTTGTTCGAGGTGTGAAGCTACGACCTTAGCCATAGTTTCATCTCGGTTTTCCACTTGAATCTTAGCTGCGTTGTACGCCTTCTCAAACATGGTCCAAGAATCCTGACTTAAACGCAGCCTGGCCATGACCAGAGTTCGCAATCCTTCCCGGGCCATATTTCCACACTCTTCGTCAAGCCAGTCATTGTGTGTCACCACAGGGCTCATTACAACATCCGCACCCTTCAAATAGAAAGTCACATCTCCTGTTGCCTGGTCACGCACAACAATGCCCATACGCTTTCGTTCAGAGGTGAAAGGGAACACCTCCAGAATCTCGAAAGAAAAGCGGCCAAGCTCCGTGGCCAGAGTGATGAAGTGTTGATCGCGCGCCACCAGTTGCATGCCGACCGACTCTGTCCAATTCACCAAGGCCACTTCATCTGGACTCGACGCCTGATAGGTGACAGATCCATCCTCGTTTTGTATTGGAGTGACATTGTGACAAAGGCCAAGGGCCAGCACCACATCATGAACACGGGCACTCATGTCGCGCCAATGACGTATACGTTTGCTGTCCTTCTGTTCCAGGGCCGAATGTAGCTGCATGCGAACTTCATCCATGCTATCCCAGCCATAGCTCATGGTACCAAGATGCAAGCGCTTCACTTCCATTTCATTCTGAGTAAGTGTGCCAGTCTTGTCGCTAAGTAGATACTCGATACGACCGAGTTCTTCGGGCAGAGTCGATGTGCGCACGATGGTACTGGGAATATCCGCATCTCCCTGGATCTGACGAGCATAGACGGTTTTGCCCATATCGAGATTCACTCGTAGACTGATCGGAATGATGGAACTGAACAAGATAAGGAAGCGGAAGACATAGATCCACCACTTGCCGCGGAAGCCATTGAGTGCCACGAGCAGAACGGACAGAAGAAGAGTAACAAAGCACAGGATTTTTGACAAACGATTGATCTCAAGATCCAGTAAACCCACCTTGGTCTGAGGATGCGACGTGTTCATGACAGATCGTGTTTCACGACCGGTGTACACAACCATGCCAATAGCACGACCAGCAGCCAGCACAGTGTTCGCCCAAAGCACATGTTCATTCGTCAAGGGCGATACTTGAGGCTGTTGCGAAAGAGCCAGATCCTGCTGCTGACTCCATTCGGGCGAACTTCTCCCAGAAGGGTGGATCGTCAGCGTCCCCACAAACGAATGAAGGTCTTTGGAGGGAGGACCCGCCACTAGAACGGCACGCGATCGCAAGGCGGTAATCTCGTCCTCAGACATAGTTTGTGTGACGGGTACAGCCAGACGGAGCTTCCAGTCCGTCTCGCCGTCTAGCTGGTCCGTGCGAATGAAGCAAGTGCCAGACTCAGAGTTTGATTCACCTTCATCGTTGGTCTCGTCAGCAGCGTCAGCAGCATAGGTCTTGAGCAGCACCATATCTGCGGGCACACGCTGGTTCTTGTGTAACATGACAAGGTCGCCGACCTTCAAGCCGCTGCTTGGCACATGGGCTACTAGCGTATCAGTGAGTGCTGGGGCTTCGATATCGGAGGAAGTCGTTTGGCGATGAGACAATCGCTGGCGCATGATCTCAGAAGTGCAGTGACCCAATACGGCATATGGAGAACTGTTGCTTTCGACATCCCGCTTGTAGCGTTCGTAGTCATCAATGGCTTCCTTGCCGATTGTAACGCAGAGAACAAACGACAGTGGCGCAATGTATGTTACTAGAAATCCAATCTTCAACGCTGGAATGAACTGGCTTAGAGCCACCAACAAGAAATAGAGATTAAAAAAGAACTTGAACTGTTCATAGAGTACGATGGGTAAGAACGTCACGAGGTTGTACTTCTGGTTGCGCACAACATTGGGTGGGTACTTGGACCCTGAGTGATCGGGCTCCTCCATCGTAATCTCGCGGTTCGGTATAGATGTAGCAGGCTGCCATCGCAGCCAACGCCACGGACGCCATGGCAACGAGGATCGCTTGGCTCGCTCGTACGAATCAATGTCTTCACTCTCAACCCCAAGGAATGCATTTCCCTCGTCCTCGTCTTCGAACATGTGGGTGTGGCGCGAGCGCACACGCGGCGAGGTAGGGAGCATAGCCAGGCCGCTAGGCTCGTGCACAGTAGTCGACGACCACGCAAGACGTTGGCACTGACCTGTTCGGCCGAGCCGGGCTTGAGGAGAGGCACGCCCGCGGCGAGTTGGCGCTGAAACGATGAGTGCACATAATAAGGCTGCCCGTAGCGAAAGCCAGGATGTATATGACATATATTTCTTCTATAGCTCTATGTTAGTAACTGCTTAACATTATCTTCCATCTTTTTGTCGACGCAAGTCGCGCTTCCCGCGGGAGCAACCTTGGAGTGGAGGTCCACGGGGCCGACGCGAGCCGGTCGCTTCATTCAACCACTGCCAGGCGACTCAAGGGCTTGGCGACAACGAAAGAATTTTGGGAACACCCCCCCCTCGTGATCTTGCTGGGGTTTGGAAAGACAGGGAGCCTTCTAGTTCGCAGTTTAAATCATCAACCCCGCAGTACGATCTTTTTCAGGACGCGTACTTAGCTGAGAGCCCCCCTAGCATTGGTTCGTACAGGCGACGCAGACCAGACTACACACGTAAACCTGTAGTCGAAGAAGTGAGGCGAACGTCAGAACCGTATATCTTGGATCCCTTCTGTGCTACATTGCGACCTTTGGAGTCTAAAGCACGCGCCCAGGCCCTAGCATTGCCCCCATTGTGCGATCCCTACGCCATGGAAGAATCGAATAAGAATCTCACGGAAGCACTAAATGTTGTCAAGGTTAAAGGTGTCCAGATGAAGCGGTATCTGGATACAGACCGCGTTATGGATGCCCTGAAGAGCGCGTCGACAATGCTGAATGAGTTGCGCTCGTCGGCACTCTCACCCAAGCAGTACTATGAGCTTTATATGGCCGCCTTTGATTCATTGCGCCACTTGTCCATCTATATATACGATGCGCACATGAACGAGAAACACCACTTGGCTGACTTGTACGAGCTCGTTCAATACTGCGGCAATATCATCCCGCGTCTCTACCTCATGGTCACTGTGGGCAGTGTGTACATGTCTGTACCTGATGCGCCGATCAAAGAAATCATGAAAGACATGATGGAGATGTGTCGTGGTGTGCAGCACCCTACGCGCGGCCTGTTTCTGCGCCATTACTTGTCAGGCACGACGCGTGATCATTTGCCCACAGGTTTAGAACCGGGCCCAGCAGGAGAGCTGAATGACAGTATCAGCTTTATTTTGGCTAACTTTGTGGAAATGAACAAGCTGTGGGTCCGACAGCAGCACCTCGGACACTCTCGTGAGCGCGAGAAGCGTGAAGCGGAGCGGCGCGAGCTGCGCATCCTTGTTGGCACTAACCTTGTGCGTCTAAGTCAGCTAGATGGCGTGACGCTGGAAATTTACCAGCAGACCATCCTCCCCGCTATTCTCGAGCAGGTGATTCACTGTAAGGATGCTATTGCGCAAGAGTACCTCATGGAGGTCATCATCCAAGTTTTCCCTGACGATTTCCACCTGCGCACATTGAGTCTCTTGTTATCGGCCTGCGCGCGGCTGCATCCCAAGGTGAGTGTTAAACAAATTGTCATTGCTCTCATCAACCGGTTAGCTGCGTACGCAGCGCGCGAGGCCGAGAGTGAGACACCTGAGGAACGCAAGAGGCAAGAAGACGAGGCCAGCGCGCGCCTCTTGCGCAAGACACAGGAAATGCGCCGACATGTACATAATATTCAACCATCCGCGGTTTGGCGCGAAATCACGGAAGAACAGGTCAAATCACGCGACTCATGGAGCCGGCTGGCCTCAGACCTTGGACAATCGCTGCAGGACGATGGTCCCAATATTTGGGGCGACGCATTAAAGCCTACTCCCGCCGTGGAGACGACAACCTGGGCAGAAGAGACGGAAGCGGATGCACAAGTGAGTGAAACGGCAGAGGCAGAGGCCTCAGAGGGCGTGCTTGATGAGCAAGCGAACGAGGCACCGTCAGCACCAGGTGAGCCGACAGGCGTGAAGCCACCGTCAGCGACTCCGCGCAAGTTCCGTGGTATACCTGAAGATGTGCGACTATTCGAGGTGTTCTGGGAACAGATCGTTCTGCTAATGCGAGCGCGTCCCGACTTGTCGATAAATGACACGGCGGTTTTGCTACTTTCACTGCTCAATCTATCGCTGAGCTGCTACCCGGACCGCCTGGAGTATGTCGACCAAGTCTTGGGCTTTGCGAATAGCAAAATCCAAGAGGCAATGGAAGGGGAACAAGGCATGCCTATTATCCCACAAAGCCACTTCCAACCACTGCTGGTGGCACCGATCAATGCCTATGTGAGCGCCTTGACCGTGTTGGCTATCCCTAATTACTATATGCTTTGGGCGCAGCAGCAACCCCTGGCCCAGCGCGCGATTGCGCAAGCAATTGTGCACTCGATTCTTCGCCGAGAGACTGTCATCGGTACGCCTGAAGAGGCCCACGGGATTCTCGAGTTTTGTACTAGCCTGGTGAAGGACAAGGGGGAGATCATGGCGACCAATGCGACTACATCGAATGGCCATGTGGCGATGGTCGATGAACTGGCAGAGCAGCAGGGGATGCTTGCACGCTTGGTGCATCTGTTTCGCTCGGACGACTTGAATATGCAGTTGGTACTGCTGCACATTGTGCGCAAGCACTACAGTGAGGGAGAAGAGTCGATTCGCTTCACGTACCCGCCGCTTATTACGGAGGTCATTGCGCTAGTACGTCGCTTCAGTGCATGTAAGCAAGAGAAAAATTGGGAGCCGAAAATGACCACGCTCTTCCACTATGTGCATCAGCTTGTTTCGACGTTGTACCATCGTGTCGAAGTGCCAGAGCTGTCTCTGCGTCTCTTTTTGCTCGTGGCCGAAGTGGCAGACGAAGCCGGCTTTGAGGAGATGGCCTACGAGTTCTACGTGCAGTCATTTTCCATTTTCGAGGAGTCCGTCTCCGACTCACGCTCTCAGCTACAAGCAATTGGACTGATCATCAGTACACTATACAAAGCACGTGTCTTTGGTCCAGACAATTACGATACGCTCATTACCAAAGCTGCGCTTCACGCTGCAAAATTGCTAAAGCGCCCACATCAGGCCGCTGCCGTGCTTATGGCGAGCCATCTCTGGTGGCAGCTGCCTGGTCCCAAAGATACCGGTGAGCCACGCTTCCCGCTGGTTAAAGATGGGCGCCGTGTGCTGGAATGCCTACAAAAGACGTTGCGCATTGCGAATGGATGCATCAACGAGTATACATCCGTGGAAATCTTCTGCCACGCGCTGAGCAAGTACCTGTACTATGTACGTAACGCCTTACTAACGTGCCAGTTTGAACAGGGTGTGGAGGCCGTCACGAGCCGGTATATCAATTCGTTGGTGGACTTGATTACCAAGGCTCTGACGTCGCTGCGAGCGGAAAGTCGATCTCGTGCAACTGGGTGGCGGAGTGAGTTAGAGACGTCGCCTACATGGGATGCCGTCCAGCAACACTTTTACAACCAGCTGAAGTACATCCAAGCTAAAAAGCGCATGGCCTCAGAGGCTGACACCGGCAGCGTGGCTGCTCCCGATTGGGCCAGTCTCGAAATTGACGAGGCGCTAGAGAGGATGGCGCCATCGTCCTAAGATAGAATACCAGATAGCACACACTATGCAAAGAGGATACAAGCAAGTGGTATTGCTGTTTTTGTCTAGACGCTCACTACCTGAGGGAGGCAGGCGCCCGTCACGTCACACACCAAGTAGGGCTCGCCAACACGAATAACTTAGTAGAAGGTCGAGGGGCGCTTGCCAGCGTAGATGCCAGCCGAGCGCGACGCACGGTGAGGCAGAGGGAAGCGCAGGTTCTTGGCAGTGAGCTGCTTGATGTAAGGGCGGCGGATGTCAGCCGTCTTCTCAATCTCGGCCACCTTCAAAATGTGAATGCTGCCGAAGCGAGCACGGTGACGGGCAGCCATGTCCTGGTACATGAGCTCAACTGCCTCAGCACGGCTGAGGGCGCGGAACTCCTTGTACATGTTGTGGGTACCCGAGCGCGAGTTGTAGCGGAGCCAGATGGCGAAGTTCTTCACCTTGTTGGGCTTGCGCTCCTCGATCTAGCGTAAGTCAATTTCCACACACATACCTTGTTGACGGTGACAATCTCACCGGTAGCCTTCTTCATCTTACGCAGCTGACGCACGAAGTACCAGAAGCGCGACTTGGCGATGGTCTCGTTCGCCGCAAAGATGCGCATGCGGTACAGAGCCGGGACAGGCTCCTTCTCCGTCGGCAAGTGCCGGCCAATGACCAGGTATTCCGAGATGCGGCCCATTGTTCTGATGTATTAGTCTCCGTCCATGCCGCGGCGTAGCCGCCGTACGCACCTGGCGAGAGTTGTGCTAGACGAAGGAACGGCGGCAGCACCCACAAAACCACGATCCTCTCGTCGGCCGATGCGAAAACTATAAAATAATCACGTGGATGTCGGTCTTTGTGTCAATGATGAGTCAGCATGATGTGGGCATGGCCCCCGTCGTCCAGGACCGCCGCCACGCATCTGTGTGGAGCTTGCACCATGTTGTTCCCGCAAGAAGAGGCCCCTGCGGTCAAGCAGTGGCTCGTTCGGGAGCTTGAGCCGCTCTGTGATGCGGATCCAGACGTGCTAGCTGACTATGTGTTGGCGCTATTTAAGAATGATGCCAACGAAACGGAACTGGTAGCCATGCTTAACGAACAGCTCGCCGACTTTCTTGAGCAGCACACGCAAGCCTTTGTTTCCAAGACAGTTGAGGCGCTTAAGGGGCGCGAGCATGTGGCAGGACAGACGCGCAAGCGCGAGGCTGATGACGAGGTCACGCCAGATGAGACTATGTCTACCGATGACCCTGCAAGCAAGCGTCAGGCCGTGACTGACAACGCGATGGACGAGGGCGAGGCTCGAGACATGCCACAAGCACGCCCGCGTCGTAATCAGCGCGTGCCCAAAGGCTGGTGTCGCGACTATCACAGTATGTATTCAGACCATGGGCTCACATTAGACACGGGTGTCTGCTCGCGCGGTAGTTCGTGCAAGTTTCAGCATTCCGATGACAGTATTATGGCCCCCTTCCCGGACGCGCCATTCCCGATGCCAGGTATGCCATTTATGCCGCCCCCCTTCCCAATGGGACCCGATGGACAGATGCCGCCTGAGTTGGCGCAAATGATGCCTCCGCCCGAGCAAATGGCCGAGTTTATGCAGCATATGGCCGCGATGAGTGGCCAGATGATGCCGCCTTTCATGAGTCGTGGGCGCGGACGTGGGCGTGGGCGTGGTGGCAGTATGCGCGGAGGCATCCAGGGTCACGCGCCCGTGGCACGCAGTCAGGACACACTAGTGGTGGAAAATATACCCCCTGAGTACCTCAACTTGGTGCAAGTGAACGACTACTTTAAGCGCTTTGGTACGATCACCAATATTCAAATGGATGAGGCAGGGAAAAAGGCTACCGTCACGTATGCTACGCCTGCCGAGGCTAATGAAGCTCACAAAAACCCGGATGTGATCTTTGGCAACCGGTTTGTCAAGGTGTACTTCCAGCGTATTGAGCGTCCACCGCCATCCAAGCCCAACTATATGACAGACAAAGGCTCGAACGTGTACCTGGCGCCGGAGCTGCGCTCGGCCGCACCTGCGCGGCCCAGCATCGACGACGAAAAGCGGCGCGTTCTGGAGTTGCGCAAGAAGCGCGAATCGCTCGTGCATATGCAGCTAGCAGAGCAGAAAGCGCTGCTGGAAAAGCTCGAAAGCAAGGATCTCACGCCGCAGGGACGCAGCAGTATTATGAGCATGTTGCAAAAGCTCTCTGCGGAGATCAAGGCTGCGACCGACTCGCTCAAGAAGGACTTGTCACCTGAGGCGATGAACACTGATGGCGCTACCACTGAAGAGCTGCAGGCCAAACTGGCCAGCCTGCGGAGCGAGGCTGCTTCCCTGGGTCTTGACGCATCGGGACATCCGGCCCCCGGCAGCTTTCGCGGAGCGCCTCGTGGCCGCGGCATGCGCGGAGCGATGTCATACCGTGGTCGTGGCCGTGGCGCATTCAACCGCTCTATGACGCTCGACAACCGCACCACGAAGGTGGGTGTAAGTGGCCTCCCGGAGAGCTACGATATGGACAAACTCCGGGAGCATATGCAGTCATTCGGCGAATGCACATCCATCGAGCCAGAGGGCGACCAAGTGGTCGTCACATACAAGACGCGAGCCAGCGGCGAGCGAGCAATGCGCGCGAGCGGCTCTGTGCCAGAGGCCAGCGAAGCCTCGTTCCAATGGGTCGAGGCGCCGGTGATGCCAACAGCTGCCATGGAGCCAGCCTCGAGCGGCCCCTCCGAGTCTATGGCAGAGCTCGATGAGAGCGCCGGCGAACGAGAGAACTGGAAGCGCTAGACCATATATAGCATGTACCATATCGCGCTCATGGCTTCCCAGAACGTTCGTGTTCCAACAGTACGCTTGTGACATGTCTACAGGATCTCGACAGAGCATGCACGCACACCCGGGTTAGCATGAGCGAGCGCAGGCGGCAGAGAGCCTGGCGATAAGAGCCGGGCCCGCCAGCTTTTGGGAAGAAAGCCGTTACTTCAGCTTCTTCTTAGCACGGAGCTGCGAGCTGTGACCACACTTGCGCTTGCGGCAGTTGGTAGCACGCGGAGGCAGGCGAGCGTAGCACTTGCGGCAGATCTGCTTCTCGCAGTTGTACTTGCTGGCCAGCACCTTGAGCGAGGGCTCAATGATACCACCACGCAGACTGTCGCGTTAGTATTCCATGTCAGTGCGGTACATACCGAAGCACAAGGTGCAGGGTGCTCTCCTTCTGAATGTTGTAGTCGCTCAGCGTGCGACCGTCCTCGAGCTGCTTACCAGCGAAGATCAGACGCTGTTGGTCCGGAGGGATGCCCTCCTTGTCCTGGATCTTGGCCTTGACATTGTCGATCGTGTCCGACGACTCGACCTCAAGGGTAATCGTCTTGCCAGTCAGAGTCTTGACGAAGATTTGCATGGCAGACAACGACGTTCGTACGACGCAAAGGGAGTAGTGGCGGCGCTCCGCCTTTCTCGACCACGCTTTGCAGTTTTGCCGTCGTCACGTGCTAATGATGGATTGTACACGTGGGGCCACGTGGAAAAATTTTCGAAGCCGAGACGTACGCCACAGTGTCGGGCGACGTTCGAGCCACCATGAGCCAGGTGGGTGGCGAAGATGTATACACCTGTATCACCTGCTCGGTGGCGTTCTACACGGCGCTGGAGCAGCGTGATCACTTCCGCTCCGACCTGCATCGCTACAACATGAAGCGTCGCGTGGCGAATCTGACGCCGGTGTCTGCTGCCGTATTCAATGCCAAGATCCTTGAGCGCCGTGCCGCTATGGAGTCGTCCGAGAAGGCGACACAGGAAGACACCGGGCGCTGTCACGTTTGTCGGAAATCTTTTGCCTCTCAGAATGCTTACCGTGACCACATGCAGTCGCGTAAGCACCGTGACATGGTGCAGAAGCAGGCAAAGGTCAGCCCGTCGGCGCCGACCAGCGATGCTCTGGGCGACGTGGGCGCTGTGCGCGATGCGCTGCCCAAAGAGGAAGACGAAGAGGAAGAAGATGACGACGAAGATGACGAAGAGGCCCGCATGGAGCGTGCGATCCAGCGCAAGCTCGCCAAGGCGCGGCGTATCGACCCGGCCACTGAGTGCATGTTCTGCAGTGAGTCGCAGACATCGCTGGAGGCAAGTGTGCAGCACATGCAGCATGCTCACGGCTTTTTTGTGCCTGAGCGTAAGTACCTGACTGATTTGGATGGACTACTGCGTTACTTGGCCGATAAGGTGTCGGTGGGTAACGTGTGTCTATGGTGTAATGGCCGTGGCCGTGGATTCCATGACTTGGGAGCCGTGCAGAAGCATATGTTGGACAAGTCGCATTGCAAGGTGGCTTACGACTCGCAAGAAGACCAGTTGGAGCTGAGTGACTTTTACGACTTCCGCAGCAGTTATGCGGACTATAGAAAGAAGGATGACTGGGAAGACGTCTCCGACGATACAAGCGACGACAATGAAGAGTCTGTGTGGGAGGAGGTTAGCGACGAAGAAAGCGACGATATACCCGAAGACAACGGCATCCGATATGGAGACTCGGAGTTGGAGCTGGTGCTACCCTCGGGGGCGCGCCTCGGTCACCGCTCGCTGCAGCGCTACTACCGCCAGACGCTGTGGCAGACGCCTGCATCCCAACAAGCACCTGCATCTGCTGCAAATGGGCGTGCATTGGCGCACCGTATCGCTGGTCATCCGCAGCGTCCTGTGGTCACGGCTCGCGGCGGCCAAGAGATGGCCGTGCGCAACCGCGGCGAGGCTAAGGAAGCGATGCGGCACGTGCGCGAAGTCCGCGATGTCCAGCGGCGCGAGCTGTTCAAAACCAAGGTGGGCTTCCGCCACAACCACCAAAAGCATTACCGCGACCCGCTGCTGCAGTAGCGCTGTATACTACTAATGACCACGGCCGCGGCCACGGCCACGTCCGGGCGCGCGACCCCCACCACGACCCCGGCGCCCCCCGCGTGGCGCACTCGGCACACGCCCGCCCTTGAGCTTGTCGGGGCCCCAGCTGGATTGACTAGCTTGGTTCATATTGGGTGCCACCATGCGCTGCGCCTGCGCAAGCATGTCCTGCTTGCGTGGATTCCGCTCCAGCATGACGGCCCAGCCCTCGATTTGGTCGTCGCCCCACGCCCCCAACGACGCAAGCGACTCGCGCAGCTCCGTGCGGAGGGGCGATGCTCGCGCACTCTTAGTACGAGCAAACATGCTCGCATCCTGTAGATACGCCTGTAGCAGCACACGCTCGGCCTGCTGAACCGGTGTCAGCTCTGTACCGATATCCCACTCCTCCTCGAGAGCGTCGGTCGCCTCGGCCGCTGCAAGGATCGCTTTCTTAAGGTCCGAGGACAGCGGCGCATCGTCCTCGCGCCCTTCCGTGTCGCGAGATGCCGCAGCACACGGGTCGTAGTCGTCGTCCAAGTCGTGCAGGCCATCGGGGTCGTCGAGGAACGCCTCCATAATCGCCTCCTGGGACATGCCTTGGTACCGCGGCTTGGCGAGGCGCATCTCTACGCTAGGCCGGGACAGGTGAGGGAGGATAGCAAGCACCATATCGACTAGTGCAGGGTCTGTCCGTGTCTCCGGCGCAAGAGCCTGGCGCACGGCGGCCCAGGCCATGCCTGGGAACGGTGTAGGACTGGCGTCCAGTACATGAGTAGCACGGGGCGACGCTGCCTGCAGGTCCGCCACAAGGGAGACGTCCACGAGAGCCACGGCGTCCGGCACATCCTCCGCGCAGGCGTTCATCGCCGCAAGGACCGGCTCAGCATCGGCAGTAGGCGTGCGCAGAAGCACCTCGTCGGCCAATTCCAGGAATTCAACCTTGGCGGCGAGCCATGCTGTGGGCCACGGACTCGCGGACGAGGACGCCTCGTCTGGTGGAATGCGCCGCGAAGCGAGTGTGTGATGGTAGGCGCGGCCCAATATGCTGCCCCATGCAGGGCCGTCCAGGCTGGAAGGGAGCGACACAGTGGGCACGGTGGCAAGCATAGCCTGAGCAAGGATAGCCGAACGACGCATACGGCGCACGCCCTCGTTCCATGGCACATGGAAAAAACGGTCCACGGCCGTCGAGAGGGCTGCAAGCGCCACGCCGCACCACTCGGCCCAGTCGATACGGGGCCAGAGAGCGTGCACGAGGGCGAGCGTATCGATATGGTACGCATGTCCCAGCACGGCTGCATCAATCGCGGCCTCACGGCCGCCCAGGCCCTGCAAGAGGGAGGGGTCCCCGTGTTCGTACAGGCTCTGTAGCACCATGAGCAGATCGACGGCGACGCCATCCGGTAGCTCCGTAGCATCGCATACGAGATAGGAGATCTGATGAAGCAACACTTTCAGAGTACCCTCGAGCGACTTGTGTGCCAGAAGAGTGCGTGCCACCTCGGAAGGCGCCCGTGGCAGCGCCCGCACGAGCTCGCCATACGCGCGGAGCATGGCTAGCGGCAGAGGCCTCCACATGTGAACGGGGTGCAAAGGCCTTCGGCCGATCCAGCAGCAGTGCCACGCCGACGAGATCCTACGGTGCTCTTGCGTTTTTCCTCCGAATCGCGCGCACAGCGACGAACCGCAGTCCGCCTTGCTGCCGAATCGACACACGCATCGTTGAAGAAGCGTGTTCGACTGTTTGCATAGCGGAAAGCGCGATCCTCTGTTGACTGATACGGGCGTCAGGGGCGATGGCCAAGGCGCCCGCGGAATGGGACGACGGGCCGTTCATGGATGACATGCGCGTGCTTCCGCCGTCGCTAGCAGCGAAAAAGAAGAAGCGTAAGGGTGTGCGTGGCAACGATGGCCTTCTCGACGATGTGGCGCCGTCGCTGGCGGCCACAGCTCAGGTGCAGGCTGATCTTCTTGCGACAGCAAGCGACCTATACCGGCGGATTGAAGCGGATCCGCATGGCCTGCCTGAAGACGAGGCATACTGGACCTCTTTGCCCGCACACCTGCGCACATTTATACGGAATGCACTGCCGCTGGGCCAGCTGGGGGCCGGCGCCAATACCAACGAGGCCCTGCCACGCCACGCCTCGACGCAGGCCATGATGGCCGTTGCGCAACAGCTCGCACAGGCTGCACATGCGTCCCAGAACATGCTTCCGGACATGTACCGCACAAAAGACAAGTTCCTTCCGCACTTCCCTGGTATGACGATGCCGGTGGACGAGGACGGCGACCTCGTCTTTGTCAACGAGCTAGACGACGACGACGACGGGGACCTTGACCCGGCGTATGCCAGTGAGGAGAATGCGAATGAGCGCACCGACGACGTGACCGACACTGAGAAAAAGAAAAAGTCGAAGAAGAAGAAGAAGAAGACGCCCGTGGCCGCCGACGAGCGGCTGCCCACCGCGTCGCCACCGGCCGCCCCGCTACGGCAGCGCAGCATGCCGCCTGTGCCCATGTCCGTGCCGCACCCTCCCCTGCCGTCGTCGCGGGCTACTGGCAAGCTGCCGATGATGTTCCACTCGGCGACGCGTGCCGGCAGTGGCGCACGACCGCCGCTGCCGAGGCGGACGAAGAGCTCGCTGAGTGTGGGCAGTGGCCATACGCCCATGTTCCCGATGCACATGGCCGGCGCGGCGCCGCCCGGCAATGGAAGCGTGTTGACGATCCGCAACGGCGACGAACGCGAAAAGGTGCGTGAGTTCTGGCGCACGCTTTCGCGGCGCGACCGCCAGAACATGGTGCGGGCCGAGGAGCAAGAGGTGCTGCGCAAGCTGAAAGAGTTCCAGCGGCATGCATGTGCGTGTTCCGTATGCTTGCGGAAGCGTGCGATGGTCGGCGCCAAGGTGGAGGAGCTGTATGCGCTGTACTTTGATGCGCTCGAGGAGCAGGCGGGCGAGTTCGCTGACGGCGGCTCGAGTGCGTCGCAGGGCCCGGGTCCGTTCCCAGGGAGCATTGCCCTGGACAGCCACGGTGGTGTCGTCGGCGCGAATCTACTTCTCTCGCGGCCGCGTGAGCGACGAAAGCGGAACGTGAATGTCTATCCTCCGAGTACGCCGACGAGCGAGCGGCGCGAGTTGCCAGACGTGGACGACATCTACGACGACGATGAGTACGACGACGAGTACGACGACGAGTTTGACGACGAGGCCCTGGACGACGACTATACCGATGAGTATGAGCGTCCAGAGCGGCGTCGGCGCGCCGACTCGCACTGCCAAGGGGGCGACTGCTACTGCATCAACTCGTCGCTGACCGTCAAGGGCATCCTAACGCTGGCCGATGAGCTCGGCGGCAACGAGGCGCACAAGCTGATCCTCATGATGGAGCAGCTGAGCGAGCGTGATGCGCCGGACGATGCAAGCTGCGACGTGGCCGACGACGAGTCGAATCCCAGCGAGCAGGAGCTGTCGCCAGACGAGCAGCGCGAGCAGGGCTGGCGCATGTTCCAGATCTTTGCCGCACGCACCCTCGAGCAGCGTGTGCTGCAGGCGTATCGCGAACGCCTTGCGCAGGACCGGCAGCTGCAGCTTCTGCGCGAGCTCGAGGAGGAGGAGTCGAATGAGAAGGCCAAGGAGGCCAAGCGAGCAAAAGAGAACCAGCGCAAGAAGGACAAGAAGCGGCAGGTGCGGCAGCAGAAGGAGGAGGAGCGCCTCCGTCGCGAGCAGGAGAAGGCCGCCGAGGAGGCTGCGGCACGCGAGGCGGACCTGAAGCGCAAGGAAGAGCTGCGCCGCAAGGAGGCCCAAAAGCGCGAGGCTGAACGCAGGGAGCTCGAGAAGCGCGAGGCCGAGCGCAAGGAGATGGAACGGCGAGGAGCCGAACGCAGAGAGGCCGAGCGCAAAGAGGCCGAGAAGCGCGAGGCCCAGCGCAGAGAGGCCCAGCGCCGCGAAATGGAAAAAGAGGCGGCTCGCAAGGAGGCCGAGAAGCGCGAGGCGGAGCGCAAGGAGGCGGCGCGCAGGGAGACGGCACGCAAGGAGGCCGAACGCAAAGAGGCCGAGCGCAAGGAGGCCGAGCGCCGCGCTGCTGAGAAAGAGGAGCGTCGCAGGCGCCAGCAGGAGCGTCGCCAGCGCGGCAAAAAGGCCGAGGCCGAGGCGGCCGCAGCAGCGCCGCAGCCATCGCAGCTGCCGACAGTGCCTGCCCAGCCTGCCCAGCCTGCGCCGCCCTCGTCGATGGCACCCTCGGTGCTAGCGCCGCTGTCGACCGGTGCCGAGGCTGAGCCTGCAGGCCCCCGCGCCGACCTGCTCTTTCCCGAGCCGCTTACCCGTGCGCCGTTTGCGCTACGCAGCACCGAGTCCGATGCATGGGACGCGCCGGTGCCTCCGCCGCTGCCGCCGCAGAGCACGTCTCGCTCGCTGCCCCCCTGCGACACGGCAACTGCGTCGAAGTCGGGCAGCCCGTCGCTGCATGCGCCCTTCTTCGACCACGTTGCCTCCACGACCACGGCGCTGGGCCGCCTGCAGCTGGGCCACCCGTCGCCGCCGCACGCGGCGCCTGCGCGTGACTTTGGGCTGGGCCCCCTCGTGGCGCCAGCTGCCTCGAGCCCGGCGCGCGCGGTGCCACCCCCGATCGGCCCGATCGAGCGGCCGCGGCGAACGCGCACCGGCAGCAGCGATGTGGCGGCCGAGGGCGTGCTGGGCAGTGCCGCGCTGGGCGACGACGAGCTGATCGAGCCGCGCGGCCGCCGCGCGGCGATGACTGCGCCGCTGAGTGGCGGGAGCGCCTTTGGTGCGCCTGGCAGCAGTGCGCTCCCGCAGCCTGCTGCGACGTCGTTCTACTCGCCGTGGTCGGCGCCGGGCTACGGCAGCCTGGGCCTGGGCTCGCTGAGCGTCAGCAGCCCCGCCGCCCCGCCGCTCGGCGGCATGAACATACCCGCGGCCCCCATGGGCCGCGCGTCTGGCAGCGCGCTGGACCCAGGCTATGCATCGCCCTGGAGCTCGTCGTGGGACCGAGCGCGACACGCGTTTGAGCAGCCCGTCGACATGTTTGCGAGCGACGCTGGCGCGGACCTCGGTGCGCTGGGCGGTGTGCCCGGCGCCGCCGCGTCGGTGCGCTCGCCGCCAGGCCTGGGCCCCCGTGCTCGCCCGACGCCCACGTTTCCGTACCACGGCGGCCCTGCGCCGCCGTTTCCCACAGGCCCGTAGCCCGAGCGCCGTGACCTCCACCCTGAAAATCGGCCGCTTTTTGCCCTCATGTCGTGTGCGCCGACCGAGGCGCAGGTCGTTGAGGCTGCGCGGCCCTGGATCGAGCGGCCCGAGCCGCTGGGCCTTGCCAAGCTGCTGACGACACTGCAGAGCGAGCATGGATGGACACTGAGCGAGAAGCGGCTCAAGAAGATCCTCATTGCGTCCGGCCTGCGCGACGGCCCACGCAAGCCGTGGGTGCCCGTGTCGTCTCTGGACGACTCTGTGCCGCTGCCGGACGGCGTCGAGGCCGTGTATCTCGACGCCGTCAAGGGCCGCGGGCTCGTTGCCACGCGCGCGTTTGCCGAGGGCCAGACGCTGTTTGTGGAAGACGCCTACGTCGCTGCGCCGCCGCCCAGCGAGGTCAGCAAGATGCTGGCCGGGCAGATCTGCACGCAGTGCTTCCTGCCGACCGCTGGGAGCATGCTGTCCGTGTCGTGCGCGCATCCCCGCTGCCACGCGGCGTTCTGCCACCGCCAGTGCCAGGCCAAGGCGCAGGCCTCGCACCATGCGCTGCTGTGCCCCGGCGCGCAGCCCGCGGCCGCGGCCCTCTTTGCATTTCTCGAGCAGTACCAGTGGCACTCGCTGCACACGGTCGCGCGGTGCCTCGCGCGTGTGCTGCTCACGGGCGCCGCGCAAAAGCCGCCGTCCGTGTCGCCGACGACGGGGGCGACCGTGCAGGGCCTGCCGTCGAAGGACGCCCCTGCGACGCTCGACGAGGTCCTGCGCCACCTCGACTCGTTCGCGACGGTATCGGAGCTCGAGCGCCGCGCACGCAACCCCGGCTGGGAGCTCGAGCGCGCAGGCTTCATGCCTGCGCTCCAGCGCGCCCACTCCCTGCTGGTCGACGCGCTCGATCCCCGCCGGTCGCGCCCGGTCCGGTTCCCTGTGCCGGCGGACGCGCACCCTGCGGCGACGCTCGACCGCCTCTTCTCCTGGGACACGTTCCTGGCGTACGTATGCTGTACTTACCGCAGCTGGCTGGGCCGCGCGAACATCAACATGGAGAGCCATGGCGGGCTATGTATGTAATGCGCTACTGACGCAGACCTCGTGCACAGCCATCTGAACCACGACTGCACACCCAACGTATCGATCCGCCACATGCCCGGGCGCGGCGGCGTGCGTCCCGCGACGCGCATCACGGCGCGCGCCGTGCGTGCGATCCAGCCGGGCGAGGAGCTGCTGATCAGCTATGTGGACCCGTCGCTGCCGGCCGAGCGCCGCCGCCTCCTGCTGTGGCGCGACTACTGCTTCGGGCCGTGCGCATGCGAGCGCTGCGCCAGCGAGCAGCAGGACGCGCCGGGCGCAGCGGACGGCTTTGACGCGGAAAAAGCCTCGAAGCTCGCCCGCAGCATGCCGGCCCCCGAGGCCGTGGAAGCGGCGGCGCTGGAGCAGGAGCTGCGCGCGTCGCTCGGCTTCTGAGGCCGGGCCCAAGCGCCCATGCAGCCCACAGCCCCGGCGGGGCGGGGCGGGCGTGGCGCGGCGCATCCTCCCTACGTAGCGGCATGATGGACGGAGTGCCCTTCCCTCTCGGGGCATGGCTCCCTGCGCACGACGATGACGAGGCGCTCGTGCTGCGCGAGCTGTTCGGCGCAAGCAGCACGCCGCTCACCGACCTGCCGGACCCTGGCGACTGGCCTTGCAGTAGCTCGAGCGTGCCGGACGCTGACGCGTGGTCTGCGCTTGGCTGGGACGCCCAAGCTGCGTGCCTGTGGCAGCCGGCGGAGCCGCTGCCTGCCGACCTGCTCTTCGCCTCGTGGCTCGCGTCCGCGCCCCCTATGCTGGACGCCTACGCGTCCGAGCGCGCGCTGGATCTCGCGCCTGCGAGCCAGGCGCTCGGCGCGAGCGAGCCATGGCCGCTCCCGTCCCTGTTCTGCCTCGACTATGTGCCATGCGTGGAGCCCGGCCACGAGCCGGTGCCGCCGGGGCCTGCAGCCGACGGGGTGGCCGTGCTCGATGCGTACACGCCGCATGCCGCCGACGAGGCGAGTGCTGCGCGCTGCCCCCTGGCGTGGGCACCGCATGCCGACTGGCTCGGCCTCGACGGGCCTGGCCCCTGGGCCGCGGAGGGCGGCGCGACCTAGCACTCCTTGTCCTCGGGCGGCTCGTACCACCGGTATCGCAGACGCGTCGCGTCGCTGCAGTCCCACAGGGGCTTCTGTAGACGTGCATTCACGCCATTGTGCAGCTCACAGAGCCACTGCCGCAGGGCCGGCCCACTCGCGACGGCGCGCGCGCGCGCGCTGGCGTTACTGTCGGGCTGCTCGTACGCCACGCGCAGCTCGCTCGCACACGACGAGCACGGGTACACGTTCGGCAGGGCGTCCAGCATGGCGTGCATCGCGCGGCGCTGCTCGTCGGACGGCGCGTCAGGGTAGTAGGCGGCGGCCGAGTGCAGGAACGTCCATGTGGCGCGGCCGAGCTCTTCCACGTCCGGCGGGCACGCGTCGTCGGCCTTGGGCCGCTGCGCAGAGCGCAGGGCGGCGCCGAACGCCAGCTTCGTCTGGCACGCGCGGCACGGCTTGCCATCGGGCCCCAGGACGACGGCCGGCTTCGTCCGGGGCGGCGCAGGGGCCGCGTCGTGCTCGCCCGGCGCGCGCTCCTCCGCCTCGATCGGGCCGCGGCGCGCAAAGAACGACGAGCGCGACTGCGGCGACAGGTCCGCGTCGACAGCCTCGCGGCCGGCCGGCGCGGCGGCGGGGACGCCGCCCCACTCGGGCATGCCCTCGGGGCGCGCGACGCGCTGGGGCTCCCAGTCGTCGAGCTCATCCGCGCGCGACTGGAGTTTCTGGGTTAGCCGCACCACGTACAAAGTACTCTTCGCGAATGTCGAGGCGCTTGCGATCCGAGCGCAGCCGGAGCTTCTCCTCCTGGGACAGGGCACGCACCTTGGCGTCGTGCACAATGTACCGCTGCTGCGTGACTTGCGCAAGCAGCATGGACCCCACCACGATCGAGAGCACGAACGGCAGCCCGAAGCTCAGTGTCGGGCTCCTGTGCACGCGTGCACGCACCGCCTGCACGAGGCGGTGGCTGCGCCACCCGCGCCCGAGCGTCATGGTGGCAGGAGCTTAGTCAGCTATGGGGGGCGGCGCCGGAAGAAGAGCATGTACGGCGAGGCGGTGTGGATCTGTGCGTCGCCGGGCGTGATGCGCTGGTCGTCGCAGTAGTACCACAGGCCCTGGGTGCGCACCGATGCGGTATAGTGGCCGGACGTGAGGGTGCCGAAGTGGTGCGTCACGCCGTACAGGTCGTACAGGTACGGCGGGCGCTGGCTCTCGCTCGCCGACACACCCCGCGCGGACGAGCCGGGCGGCAGCGGCGGCGGCATGTAGTTCGAGAGGTCGAGTGACTCGGTAGGGAATACGACGCGCGTGTCGATCTTGTTCGACACGGGGCCGCGGTACGTGAACCGCTTCAGGTGGACGAGCAGGACGGGCGGCAGCCGCGCGAGGCTCAGTCGCTTCGTCGAGCGCCGCGGCTTTTTGCACTGGGGGCAGTGCCATGCGTTGCCCTTTTCGAGCACCTCCTCGCGCACAAACGCGTCGAGGCACTGGCTGAGCGCCACCTGCGACATGCCGCGCCCCGCCGGCACCGGCAGCGAGAGCGACATGAACGCATTGTACGTGGTCGACGTGTGACCGCATGTGAGGCACGTCAGCTGGTTCCGCAGCTGCCCCTGGAACGCGTCGACGACCACGCTGTCGTTCCGCCGGCGGTACAGACCCCACTCGACGACGCTCGCGAGCTGCGGCGGCAGGCGGTTCAGCTCCGCCTGCTGCGTCTCGCCGAGCTCCAGCGCCGGCGGACGCTGTAGCACGCGGTTCAGGTCCTCGTGCAGCCCATCGAGCAGGAACGTGAGAAACTCTTGGCTGTCCTGCTGCTCGTGGCTCTGGAAGAGCGGCGCGAAGCGCCCGATCGCCTCGCGGAACGCCGTCGGCGCCACACTCGCGTACTGCTCCGACCAGATCGTGCGCAGCAGCTGCGCCAGCGCATCGGCGAGGGCGCCACGCGTCCCGAGCGGGTTCTGGGTATTGATCGCCGTTTTGTACGTGCCGTCCAGCAGGTACTGCGACAGCAGCACCGTCGCGCTCAGGCACTGGATCGTCGCATTCATGTAGCACGTGTTGCCAAAGTTCTTCAGGCCCGTAAGCCCAATTTTGATGTCGCGCGCACGCGGAAAGGTCGGCGCTGCGTCCCGCCACACAGTCGCGCCCGCATCAGGCACGACGCGCGGCGCCACAGCCGGCGGCGGCGGCGCGAGCGACGTGGGTCCCGGCCCAGAGGCCGGCGTAGGCACCGCCGGGTAGTCGCGCCGCCCGCTCACGAGCGCGGGCGGCAGCGCCTCGCTGCTGCCCTGGTACGCGCGCGGCGGGACGCGCGGCGGCACATGCGCGGACGCGACGGGCCGCAGGCCCGGGAGACTGTACCCAGCGAGGCGCGCGTGCCGCACGGCCGCGAGCGCTTCCTCGCCGGCCGGGCCACTCGTCGCGACAACGCCCGCCTCGCCGACCTGGCGCGCCCACGACTCGAAGCCGCCACGCAGGAGCACAGGCGTGTGCAGCCCATCCGCCTCGAGCGCGCGCAGGATGGTATCGAGGTGCACCTGCTCCGGCGTCGCATTGCCCGGCGTCGCCAGTGCGCGTGTGCGCTGGTCGTACAGGACCAGGACGTCGTACTGCGCGCGCCGGGCCCACAGCGCCGCCTCGGGCGGAGGCAGGAGCGCCTGCAGCTCGGCCGCCGTGACGGGCGGCGCGGGCAGCCGGCCGGGATCGACACAGACTGTATCTGCGCCGCGGATGTGCCCGGCATCGTGCTGAAGGCGCGGCCGCACGTCGAGGAGCAGGAGCGAGAGCCCCGAACGCTTGACGAGGAGCTCGTTCCCGGCCGCGTCGGTCGTCTTGTCAAAGCCAGGGTACATGTACGACCACAGGTCCTCGACCGACACCACGGGGCCGGCGGGCCGCGGCGGCTTGGCGGGCGCCGGCGCCGGCTCCGACGGCGCGCTCTCGGCGCGCTCAGGCTCGCGGCGCCGGGCCTCCTCGTGGCGGTCGGTGGCCTGCTGGATCTCCTGCTCCGCGCGCGCCTTGAGCTCCTGCTCCATGGCCTGCGCGCGTTCCACAATGTACGGCGTGCGGTTCATCAGCTCCTGGTACGCGAGGAACGTGGGCCCTCGCTGCTGCTTGACCGACGCCCACTCGGGGTGCTTCGGCACGAACGAGGCGACGCTGGCCGTCGTGAGGTAGTGTACAAACGCAGAGACCATGTTGCCCTGCGCATCCGCCATCTGCGCCTTCTCCAGCAGCGTCGAGGCGGCGCCAATGTAGCTCTTGACCGAGAACGACGGGTCGAGGGTCAGGTTCACCTGCTTGCGCAGGTTGACGGGGTGCGTCGGCGGGAGGCGCGGGTCGCCAGCCGCCGGCGGCCCTCGCGGCACCGCGTCGGCGTCTGTGCGACGGCCAGCGCTCGTGCCGACGTCCCCTGCCAGGTCGCCGCTTCGCCGCGGCGCGTCCATCAGCGGTGTCGCGGGCCGTCCGGTGCTCGCGGCGGGCGGCGCTCCACTTGGCCACGTGATGGACACGTCCGACTCGCGCGGCCGCCCGCCGCGGCGCAGCATGGCACGTCCGCGGCGCTCGACCCGCGCGCGCCGCGCGCGCACGGCGTCGTCCTCGGAGATGTCTTCGGAAGAGTCTGACACCTTTCATGTGGAAGAGCGGCCCCGCCGGCGCGCGCGCACGTCGCGCGCGCCGCGGGACGCCACGCCGCGGGACGACGTGTCGGAGGACGCTGACGGCGCGGACGGCGGCGATGTCGTCGAGATTGACGGGCACGAGTACCGCGTGGAGGACGACTCGCTCGTGCTCGGCACGGACGATGCAGGCGAAAAGAAGATCGACGCGCAAGGCCGCCTGCTCGGCGGCCGCAGCTACCGCGTCGCGACGCTCTCGTCGCCGGATCGCTCTGACCCCGAGCGCCTGTACATGCTCTCTATCGACATTGCGCGCGTGCTCGGCTACCGCGACTCGGCGTACTTCTTCCGCAAGAACCCCCTCTTTTACAAGGTCTTTCTCACGCAGGACGAGAAGGACACGCTCGTGGCAGACGGCCGCCTGAACAGCTCGCTGCGCACGCGCAACGTCACGATGGTCACTGCGCGCGCCGTGTTTATGCAGATGGGCGCGCGCGTCGTTGCGCGCGGCCGCATGGTCACGGACGACTACTACGAGGCCCAGGCGCGCGCGGAAGGCAAGAAGGAGGGCGCGCCTGTCGCCATGCCCTCGCTCGATGACATCCTGCGCGCCGAGCGCCGCCGCGAGAGCGACCGCGACCGCGAGCGGGGGCGCCGGCGCCCCGACGCCTCGACATACACGACGGTTGATGCGCAGGGCGAGACGATCGTGACCACGTTCGGCGACGCGGGCCACGCGCCGTTTGAGCGCGCCGAGGCCAGCGCGCCGCGCCGCGCGCTCCTGCAGCGGGCCGACCTGTCCGAGGACAACTGGATGGCCGAGTACGCGCGCAGCGTGCGCAGCATGAACGCGGAGCTCCTCGCGGCGCGGCGCGAGCAGATGGTCGCCTTCTCCCGCACGCCCAAGCGCGTCACGGTGCCGGACCATGCGCGTGCGATGCGTGCGGACGACGAGGACCATCTCTTTTGCGATACACGCCCGCCCTGGGAGCGCGCAGCGGACACCGAGCCCGGCGTGCTCGCCGCGCGGCAGCGCGCCGCACGGGCCGCCGAGCGCCGAGCGCGCCGCGCCACACAGCCGCCCGTGGGCCTGTACGATCCTCACACCCACGCGCCGATGGTCGACACGGCCATGCAGCCGCGCGCCGCGCACTTTGCCAAGGTGTCCGACACGCCGCTCCATCTGCCGCCCACCGCGCGCCTCGCGGGCCTGTGCACCATCGATACCTCGCTGTGCTTTGCGCCTACCTAAGACCGCGGTGCTCGCGGAACCACGCGCCGACCTCGGCGTCGCTCGGCACGTGCTCTTCGCCGAGCCATGCCACAAGCCACTCACGCAGGGGCGCGGCGCCCGCCGCGGGCGGCAGCCGCTCGTCCTGCGCCACACACAAGAGGCACAGCGTCGCGCGCGTAGGGACGAGGTCGAGGGCGCGCATCCACGCAGGCACGAGGAAGAGCTCGTCGGCGATCTCGCGAGCGAGCGCCGCCGATGGCATGCCCGTGCCATCCGCGCCTGCATCCAGTAGGGCCTGGAGTAGGCAGCAGTACTGGTAGAATCCTTGCGCGTCGATGCACAGCATCGCCGCGTCCGTCGGCGCCGGCGAGCTCGGCGTATCGGCGCGGCCCGCGGCACCGCGCAGTAGGCCTGCGACGCGCTGCTCGATCCACTGCTCCCAGCGGCGCAGGCGCAGCTCGCCCCGCACGAGCCAGCCCCGCACACTGCGGCCGGCCGCCTCGAGGGGGTTCGTGCACGCCTGCAGCTCGGGGTACTGCGCGAGGAGCGTGCGCCGCACGTACTCGCGCACGGCCAGCGGCGCCACCAGGTCGGCGCGCGGCCGCGCCGCCCTCGCCGCGGCGCTCAGCATGACCTGCAGCGAGACCGCGTCCGGGCGCACATGCAGCGTCGGCCCGAGGGCCTCCCACACCCGCAGCACCGTCTCGTGCGCGCCTGCGCGCAGAAGACCGGCCAGCAGTGTGTTGGCCAGGTACGTGCTGGGCGGCACACGCACACGCCGCGCCGTTGCCTCAGGCGGCGCCTGGGTCAGAGGCACGTCTCTGAGCGCCTCGATCGTCGGCACGCGCAGCTGGACGGCCGTGCCGCGCGGCGGCAGCGCCCATCCCCCGTGGCAAAAGTGCACGACGCTCTCGAGCGCACGCGCAGGGTGTCCTGCCTGGAAGTACAGGCGGCACAGCGTCGTGAGCGCCCACACGTCCGGCGCCATGCCGCGCTGGAGCATGGCGTCCCACACGGCCCACGCATATGCCGGATCGCCGCGCGCAAGCAGCCCATCCACGAGCGCCGTGTGCGCGACGACCGAGGCCTGGAGCTGCGCGTGGATGTCGTCTGGCACGCGCCACGGCGCGCCTTCGCCGGGGACAGCGCGGCCATCGCGCCCCGGGAGGCCCAGGAGCGCTGCGACGCGTGCGGCGGGGATGCGTGCGTCGCCGGCCGCTGCGCGCAGCATGAGCATCCAGTCAGCGAGGCGCGCACGCTCTGGCGGCGCATCGGTGCCCTGCACGAGTGCGTCGAAGAGGGCCCACGCCTCGTGAACGTCGGCGTGCGAGGGTGAGTGCGCGAGGGCGCGAAGCAGCGGCGTGGCTGCCTCGTCGGCGGTGGCATCGAGTGCCGCGTACCACTGTCGCGCGTGGGCCGTGTCTCCCTGCGCGGCAGCGGTACGCACCGCGACGCGCAGGAGCGCAGGGCGCGCCTCGGGCGGCAGGGGCGCGAGCATGTCCTCGAGCATCGGCACGCTGAGCCACGCGGCGCCGCGGCGCGTGTGGACGCGGTGTGCGAGGTGCGCCACGAGCTCGTCGCGTGTGCGAGGCGCGCGCTCGCATGCCATGGCCCATACGCGCAGGAGCGCGGCGCGTGCGCGCTCGTCAGGGCAGCCCCGCAGCGCAATGGTAAAGGCCGTGAAGAGGAGCGTATGTGCATAGCCTGGCTGGGGCTCGCGCTTGTCGAGCCAGCGGCGCGCCGTCTCGAGCGTGTGGTGCGTGAGCGCACGCGCGGAGGGCCACGCCTCGTGCGTGCGCAGGAGGCGGTGCCAGAGAAAGAGGCACAGGCGGTGGGCTTCGTCGACGCCGAGCGTCGGCAGGTGACGAGCGACGAGGCGCATGGCGCTGGCCGCCTCGCTGCTGTGTGCGATTTTGTGCAGGGCGCGCTGTAGCACAAACGGCGGGAGCTCGCCGGGCTGGAGCGGCTCGAGAAGCGCCGCGCATTCAGGCCACGTTGGGCGCGTATAGGCGTTGTACCACTGGACGAAGCGCGCCTCCGGCACGCCGCGCTCGCGTAGCGTCGCCTCGACGGCTGCGCGATCGCGCTCGGCCATGCACGGCAGGTCATCAAGTGAGGCTGCGGCACTCGGCAGCGATGTGCGCGCGCCCCGCGCGGAGCGAGTACAGACGTCCAGGAGGGAGCGCATGCTCAGGGATGCGACCGGTACGTGGTCGGGCGGGAGGCCCATGGGCGGCGCGGGCGCGGGCGCGAGTGCGTGCGCTGACGGCGGGCGTGCCGGGAGCGCAGAGCGCAGGCCGCGCGCGGCCGTCGCGGCGCGCATCGCGGGCGGCTCGAGGCGCGTGCGTAGCGAGCGCCGGCGTGGCGTTAGCATCACGTGACACGAAAAGCCTTTTTCCTGCGGCGGCGCGGCGGCCGCGGCGTACGACCATGACGGAGGCGGTGGACCAGCTGGCAGACCGCGTCGGCGGTCTGCAGATTGGTGCGTGGCGGGCCTGCTGACAGCAGATGTGACGAAGCTTACGCCGCTGAGTCCGGAAGTGATCAAGAACCAGGCGACGATCAACATTGGTGCGTCCAGGAAGACTCACAGCAGGCACGATTGGGCACGTAGCGCACGGCAAGTCGACGGTGGTGAAGGCGATTTCGGGTGTGCAGACGGTCCGTTTCAAGAATGAGCTGGTGCGAAACATTACGATCAAGCTTGGCTATGCGAATGCCAAGATCTACAAGTGCCAGAACGAGAAGTGCCCCCGTCCGCAGTGCTACCACAGCTACCCGTCGAGCAAGGAGGAGCACCCGCCGTGCCCGGTGCCGGGGTGCAGCTCGAAGATGGAGCTGCTGCGCCACGTCTCGTTCGTCGACTGCCCTGGCCACGATATTCTGATGGCGACCATGCTGAACGGTGCGGCGGTCATGGACGCGGCGCTCCTGCTGATTGCCGGCAACGAGCCGTGTCCGCAGCCGCAGACGTCGGAGCACCTGGCGGCTGTCGAGATTATGAAGCTGCAGCACATCATCATCCTGCAGAACAAGGTCGACCTGATCCGCGAGCAGGCGGCCGAGGAGCACTGGCAGAGCATTGTGAACTTCGTCAAGGGCACGGTGGCCGATGGCGCGCCGATCGTGCCGATCTCTGCGCAGCTGCAGTACAACATCGACGCGGTGAACGAGTACATTGTGAAGCGCGTGCCGGTGCCGGTGCGCGACTTTACCGCGACGCCGCGCCTGATTGTCATCCGCTCGTTCGACGTGAACAAGCCCGGCGCGGAGATTGACGAGCTCAAGGGCGGCGTGGCCGGTGGCTCGATTCTCTCGGGCGTGCTGCGCCTCGGCCAGGAGATCGAGGTGCGCCCTGGTATTGTCACGAAGGACACGGAGGGCAAGATCCACTGCCGCCCCATCTACTCGCGCATCGTGTCGCTGCTCGCCGAGCAGAACGAGCTGCAGTTCGCCGTGCCCGGTGGTCTGATCGGTGTCGGTACCAAGATCGACCCGACGCTGTGCCGGGCAGACCGCCTCGTCGGCCAGGTGCTCGGCGAGGTCGGCCAGCTGCCGGCCATCTACACAGAGCTGGAGATCAACTACTTCCTGCTCCGCCGCCTGCTCGGTGTCAAGTCAGACGACAAGAAGCAGACCAAGGTGCAGAAGCTCGCGAAGAACGAGGTGCTCATGGTCAACATTGGCTCCACCTCGACCGGCGGGCGCGTCATGAGCGTCAAGGCCGACCTGGCCAAGATCTTCCTCACCTCGCCGGCCTGCACAGAGGTCGGCGAAAAAATTGCCCTCTCACGGCGTATCGACAAGCACTGGCGCCTCGTCGGCTGGGGCAGTGTGCGCCGCGGCACACAGCTCGAGGTCGAGGGCGCCGCGTAGTCCGTAGCCGTTGTACAGCAGGCCTGGCCCGATAGCCCGATCGCTCCCACCGTCATGTCCGCTGCCTCCTGGCCGTGGAGTGCGCCGGCCGCGGCGCCGGCCGACGGCGCTGCGGCGGATACGGGACTGCTCGCCTACTTCCGGAGTGGGCTGTCGGGGTACGTGCCGCTGCGTAGCGGTGCACGCTCGAACGAGGAGGAGGCGTACTTGAGCCTCAGCCACTGGGAACGGTACGTCGGCGCTCCTGACCCAGCTTCCTGGGCTTTCTCGCGTGCCTCGGCGGCAGCGGGCTGTGCTTCCTCTTCGCCTTCCTCTTTGTGTCGCCGCCGATCCTGCTGGTGCGCCCGCACAAGTTTGCGCTGGCCTTTACGCTGGGCAGCCTCCTGTTCATGGCCGGGTACGTGGACGTGCTAACGCCAGGTTTGCCGTGCTCACGGGCCCGGTCGCGCACCTGAGGCACCTGCTGAGTGCCGAGCGCCGCGTGTTTTCCGCGGCGTACCTCGCGTCCATGGCGCTGACGCTGTACTTTGCCCTCGGGCCCAAGAGCCGACTGCCGACGGTGCTGTGTGCGGCCGTGCAGATCGGCTGCCTGCTGACGTACCTCGCAAACTACTTTCCCGGCGGTACGTGTCGCGATCTCACGCAGGCCTCACGACGCTGCGGTACGCCGGCACGTTCCTCGCGCGCGGGGGATCGAGTCTTCTGCCTATATAGCATGCAATCCAGGGACTGGGCCTGTCCCGCTACGGCAGCCTCTAGTGGTGCGGCTCGGCGGGAAGGTCGGCCTGCAGCTCCTTCAGGTACTCGTTCACGTCCTGCTGCTCCGACGCAGCCTCGTCGGCGGCGTGCGACACGGGCGCCGCATCCGGCTCGGCCGCCGCGTACGCCTCGAGCTCCGACGAGATCTCGGACGACGACGGCGTCGACGGCGCGCGGGGGGCAGCAGGCGCCGAGAACTCGCGCACCTGGCCCTTGTGAGCATTTTCGTCCTTCGGCGGCGCCTTGTACGCCTTCAGCTCACGGAGGTAGGCCTCCTGGACAAGGTCTGCGTCAGTGTGGGGCAACGCACCCTTGCGAGCGACCGCCGAGGTCGACATGGCGCGGAGACCCGCGGTGCGGGCCTGGCCTGTTAGCACAGAAGGACGCGGCGCCACGTACCGACAGCAGAGCGCGTGGAGCCACAGCAAACATCATGGAAGGGGCGTGGAGCGTTCGTCCGCCGTTCGCACCGCTCCGCTCGGCCGGGCACGCCCGGCGCCAGCGCACGAATCACGTGACATGGCCCGCGCGCGGCGGCGCTCGCGGTGTGGCGCCGTTCCGTTGTCCCACCATGCAGGCTCTTCGTCTGACTCGTCCCGCGACTCTGCGCTCGACCGCCCGCGCGATGACTGTGCGCATGTACAGCCCTGGCCCCGAGGGCGGCGCCGGCTCCGTTGCCAGCAGCAAGGGCTGGCACACGCGCGAGAAGGCCCAGGAGGACCAGTACATCCTCCAGCACGAGAAGGAGAAGCTCGAGAAGCGTACGTATGCCCCGCTTACGCAGTGCGTGCCTCGCTGCAGGAGCAGCAGAAGCTCGTTGAGCACGTATGTGTGCCCGCCTAACCCCAGCTCTCGGACAAGGAGAAGAAGTAGTGGATAGTCATCTACGGCGCCAGCCCTCCAGTTGCCGGTCGCGCACCTGCTGCACGTCGACGACGTGCCCGTGCGCGAGCAGCCAGCGCGCGTACTTGCGCACCACATGCACGTCGCTGCACTCGATGTGCTCCGCGCCATGGTCGCCCAGCCGCGCGCAGAGCAGCGTCTCGAGGTTGCCGACCACGAACAGCTGGCGCTGCGCCCGCGTCAGGGCCACATTCATGCGCCGCCGGTCCGCGAGGAACCCGATGAAGCCCCCGCGCTCGCGCGGCAGGCTCTCGAGCCGCGCGGCCGCCGCCTCGCTCGGCCGCTCGCGCGCCCAGTGCAGGGCGGCGGTGCCCTCGACGGAGCCGCCGCTCGCTTTGACCGTGCTAAAGACCATCACCGGCTTCTCGCGCCCCTCGAAGCCATCGACCGTGTGCACCTCGATCGCGCTCAGCTCGCTCGCGCGCCGCGCGTCCATCGCCGCCAGGGTATCTAGCGCATCCTCGCTCAGCTGCGGCACCGTCGACGCCATCGCGTCGCCCCCCGTAGCCAGCGACTCGCCGGCCGCCAGCATGCGCTGCAGGAGCCGCACCTGGGCCTCGTACGGCGTGACAATCCCAATGTCCGCGCCGCGCAGCGTCGGATTCCGCTCGAGCAGGTCACACACGAGCTCGAGGCACAGGTCCGCCTGCAGCGGGTTGTACGGCGACGCCCCGCTCGTCCGCGTCCACGCCCCCACCGCCGAGCTGCTCGACGCCACCGGCGCATGCGTCAACAGCGTCAGCGGCAGCGGCTCGTCCATCGCGTCGTACGCGGCAAACACGCTGTCGTACGCACCGAGCGACTCGGTCGACGGCGCATCGCGCAGCGCGCCGTCGTAAAAGTGCACGTTCGGGAAGCGCGCGAGCAGGGGGTGCATGCGGAACTGCACGTCCAGCATCGTCGAGGGCACCGCGCACCGCGCATGCGCGGCGCCCGGCACCGTGTCGCCGCGGATCAGGCGCTCGAACAGACTCGTCGAGAGCCCCGCCCGCCGCGCCGCGGTGCTCTGGAGCACGGGCGGCAGCTGCTTGTGGTCGCCGACCAGCGCGAGCTGCGCGCACCCCTTCATCAGCGGGATCAGCGCGATCGGCTCCGTGGCCATCGACCCCTCGTCCAGGAACACGAGCGGAAAGTCGATCGCGTTCAGCTGCGCGGACCCCGCCGCAATCGCCGTCGAACACACAACGTCCGCGCGGTGCAGCACATCCGCGTACATGCGCTGCCGCAGGACGTGGCACCGCGCCGTGAGGTGCGCGATCGCGCGCCGCACACGCACCGCGCGCTCCTGCATCGCCTTGTCCGCCTGGCCCTGCCGCAGCGCCGCTTCCAGCGCCTCGCGCGTCGCCTGAGACTCCTTCAGCGCTGCCTCGGCCTCGGCGAGCGCCGGCGCACTCGCGTGCCGCGCGAGGTGCGCGTCCAGCGTGTGGTCCGCCACACTCGCCCGCGCCGCCGTCGACGAGCCAGCGCGCACGACCGTGAGGCCCGCGCGCACGCAGCCCTCGACCAGATTGTCCACGGCCACGTTCGTGTGCGCCGCGAGCAGCACGGGGTGCGGCACCTGGAAGTGCTGCTTGAGCAGGCGCACCGCCTGCACGAGCGTGCGCGTCTTCCCGGTGCCAGGCGGCCCCTGCACGAGGCTCACGCGCTCGCGCAGCATCATCGCGACGGCGCGCAGCTGGCTCCGGTTGAGGCCCAGCTCCGGGTCGCCCTCGACCCGCACCGGCCGCGCGCGCGCGTACCGCTCGCACCAGCTGTGGATGCGCTGGTCCTGTGCAAAGAGCCCCGGGCCCGTGACAGACGCCTGGCCCGTCAGCACGTCGCGCAGCGTCGTGCCGGCGAGCGCGTACCGCCGCTGCGGCGTGCCCGCACGCACCACGTCGTCCGGCTCGTACAGCATGGCATCGAGCGCCGCCTCCGTGCGCTCGTTCGTCACGTTGCTCTCGCCGCGGTCCAGCCGCCAGCGCTCAAAGAGGCCCAAGTCGAGGTGCTCCCACGCCTCGCTGAACCGCACGCGCACCTGCGTGGGCGTCACATCGATGACCTCGGCCGGCACACGCACCACGCGCTCAGGCGCGCCCGGCGCGCCGCCCGCGAGCGTCTCTGCCGCGGCATCGACCGCCGACGCCTTGCGCCGCGCCATCCGGAGCCAGTCGGGCGGCGCGTCCTCCGGGCACAGGTCCACGACCGAGCCGGGCTGGAGCTTGTGCCGCGGCAGGCGGCGCGAGCCGGGCAGCTTGAATACGCCGACGCGGCGCCCAAAGTGGCGGCCCGTCTGCCAGAATGCCATGAGGCCAGGCACCGCGAGCCCCAGCGCCACGAGCTCATGGAGCGGCCGCGAGCGCTGCTCATGCAGCTCATCTTCATGGTGCGCGCGCTCGTACGACAGGACGCGCCGCCAGTGCTGTTGGTACTGCCGCGCGCCCAGGGTCAGCGCGCGCATCGCGCTCGTCTCGTGCCCGGGGTCGTGCGGCGCACGGTGGACCGCGCGCGCGGCCCTGTGCGCCGCGCGCAGCAGCAGCGACTGCGGCGGCTTGCGCCGCACCCACGCCCACTGGTCCGCGTCCCAGGCGGGGCCCACGAGGTGCGTGTACGTGTGGCCCGGGAGGGCGACGCCCTGCTGCGACACGGCGACGAGGCGCCAGTCGTACTGGTCGCGCACGCCACGGCGTGGCGTGTGCGACGTCGGCGCGGCAGGTGCGACCGGCGTCTCGGGGGCCAGCGCCTCGGGCGCCTCTTCCCGGCGGCGCGCGGCGCCGGCCTCGAGAGCTGCGTCCGGATCCGCCAGGAAGAGCGCCGCGATATCACTGGGGAGCGCCTCCTCCGGCCCCCCCCGCTCGGCCTCGTTCGCCGCGTCGTCGATCCAGTCGTCGGGCGGCATGGGCAGCTGGTCTAGGGGCGGCGCATCGACGGGGAGCTCGTGTCGCTCCATGTCGTCGCCGCCGTCCTCGCTGGGAGGCAGCTCGTCATGCAGCGTGGCCGCGCCCGGTCGCGCCTCCCACGCCTGGAAGAGGCGCTCGAGCGTGGCGCGTCGCACGCGCTGTGGCGCGTCCTCGGGCGGCGTCCACGCACTCGCTGGCGGCGCCTGCCATGCATGGCGCATCTCGCGATCGACATCGCGCTGCTCGGCCAGCGCGCGGCGCCACGTCCGAAAGTGGCGCACACGCCCCGGGCGCGCGGCCAGCTGCGCCGCAACGCCGCGCATGGTCGGAGCGCGGCCGGCCGCGCGAGCCGCGCAGGGCGTCTGTCGATGCTGAGTCAGCAGGACTACGGCGCTAGATGGTCAGCTGCTTGAGCTCGGGGGTATGGGGCGAGTCTGACTCGCGGCCGCGCGGGGCCTTGGGCGCGCGCAGGTGCTGGCGCGTACGTCGCGGGGGCCGTCTGCGCGTCGCTGGTGGGGGCGACGCAGACACGGACGACGCGGAGGACGCCGGCGATCGTGGCGACGACGACGCCGACGATGCACGTGCATCGTGCTCCGCGTCGCGGCGCAGCAGCTCCTCGACGACGGCTTCCCAGTCGCCCAGGCGCCGGAGGAGCAGGCGCACCGTGCGCTCCGAGTGCCCCGGCACGCTGCGGTGGATGAGGCACTCTGCGTCCTCGTCCGCGTCCGCGTCCGCGTCCGCCTCGGGGATGCATGGGTGGCCCGTGTGCGGCCCGTCGAGGCGGCGCAGCGAGCTGTAGTGTTCCCAGCTGTGGTATCTCGTGTGAGTGCGCGGTACGTACGCCAGGTGCAGCGGGCCCACACACTCGAGGGGCGCCGCGCGCGCGGCCGCGCGGCGCGGGCTGGGGCGGCGCCGTC